ATGCAATATCCAACCAGCGATAACATAGAGAGGAAGGCGGTAGCGCATGTGCGTATGGCCGCAGCAGCTAGGCGCAAACGGGCCAGCAAGGCGATAGATAGTGGTACCAATGTCAGTCAGGCTTGCATGCTACCGCTGCAACTTTCCCTCCGGACCCGGGCCTTCGGACGAGCCCAAGCTTCGACGCTAGCAGCACTAAAACGTGGGGCGGACCAGACCCAGCACACCAGCAACTCAGTGACTGGTATCACAAGTACGTACACAAGCTACGAAGCTCGAGCCCTCCCTGAGACACGGGCTGCTAAAGGTGCCAGGGGGGAGGGACGATCAGTCGTTGCCGCTACTCCGCGAAGCCGTTCGCCCCAGGTTGAACGGCACGGAAAAAGAGACACAGAGCAAGACGAAATTAACACAACAGCCCTGGGGCGGTAATCTCACAAGTACGGGCGAAGTACTGGCAGATGGGCTACTGCTGAAGAACCAAGCTTGCTGCTACTGTACTTCGTACCCTGAGGCAGGCTATACCGGTTTAGGCAAAATCACAACAGGACAAGGCCTACCCACTGCCTGCTCACGAGGCGAGTGCCGGGGTGGGAACAAACGCTCTGTGTGATATTAGTTCGCCGTCCAGAACATGGAGCACCGCGGCGTACACAATCAAGCAAAAACGCCTGACGGGGACGGTTATCTACGCTTACACCTTAACCTCGGCGGAAGGGCTATCCCCGTCCCATCCCATGGTGAATTTAAACTTAGCAGGAAAGTGGGCGGGGGACCGCGGCGCCGTCTGGAGTGAAGGGGGTAAGATGTGGTGGTGGGCATTAAGCTTTTTCCTGCTGGTTCCCGTTTCCTTTAGGCGTTTGTTCAGGATTGATGCCAATTATAGAAGAGAGTTTTGCAAGATGGTGGAGCACGTGGCTTCTGGCGGCAAATTCATAAAGAGGGCAGATGAAGAGAGCAACAAAAAAGAGAGAAACGGCAAAAGCAAGGCAGAAACGCTGGCGCCACAGGCAGAGTTGATGGATGGATGTCGGTCATGTCATGCATTCTCTGGGCGGCATGGCGGCGCTACGCGAACAAGACGCTACGTTTGTACACTTTGCGAGTGATAGCGCCGACTGGGACCGCGGTTCGCTTCGGGGCCGCTGGGTTGCTGGTTGCTGGTATTGGTGCTGGTGCTGGCGGCGGCGCAAGTCGAGTCAACGTTTCTGCTGCGCACCGCATCTCCTGCCTTCTTTGTCGTTGTTTTCTTTTTGAGGGTCGCAGTGCCAAATTTCCGCAGCTGTTCTTCCTGGCCTTCCATGTGCTTCATCAGCACAATGACAGCTGTTATTCCCTTTATTCCCGGACGGTAGTCACAGCTCCTAGTGGATGTGCTTCTAGCAGGGGGCCCCCGCCCAGGGGCGATTTGGTAGGCCCCCGCAGGCTCGCCGACGGCAGTTGGCGGTGTTCCCAATTAGGAAACAGGCTGCGCAGCCAGCGGAGCAATCCTTGGGCACGCCCCCCTGGGACGGAGAAGACTAGATCGACGGTTTTGTTCTTATTGTTGATATTGCATGGAACCGATGGAAGAAAAGGATGTCGAAACTAACCTTGCTCGATAATGCAACGCAGTCATCAATTCATCCCGTGGTGCAACGCTACGGGGGGTGCTGGGCGGCGGTGCCCCTAGTCAGTCTCGTCTATTTGAAAGAATAACGGCCGAACAGCACCAGTACCAGCGCCAGCAACACGAACAGGCAGCCCCCCCACCGTGTCGGAGTGAAGTGCAGTACAAGCACCAGCAGCAGTGGGTGCGTTTGCCCACCGCCCACCTAGCAAGTCTAACTTAGTGTACTGGTCTAGCGCTTGCTTGGTCGTGCAGTGCTTACGCTGCGCTTCTCGTCTAATTACCCTTATTTTTTATTTTATTCCAGGCTCTTGCTTTTTTTCTGGGGCCGCCCTCCCAACACCCACACAGCGTCCAGAGAATGTCGCTGCCTACGATGGGACACATAGGGACCAGCGCTTGTATGCCTATTTCAACCCTACGATCGAAGCTAGATTCGATAAGAATGTTCGGGAGCCCTGCCGGTGACGGACGTCATCAAATTTGTGCGGTTTTAGAACGCGTTTTGCTCGCCCGTTGGCGACGCTGTCACAACCAGCAACCGAGTTGCAGGCAACCAACGCCCCCTTTTTCTTCCACGCAAGCACCAGCACACACAGAAGAGGGGGCGTGACTGCCAGACGAATTACCCCATTGAGGACTAGCGAGCCCAAATATTACTCTTTTTTTTTTATTTTCCACCCTTTGACTTTCCAGACCTTGGGTGCCCGCCCGTCTGGGGTCGTTTCGCCCACTGGTAGAGGTACTGTCGGTTCTCGGGTCTCGGTTTGGCTGGCGAATCCGACTATCTCGGACTGGCTTTCGTCCGCGCACCATTTCACCCCCATGACTTTCGTTCTTGTGTTGTCGCTTTGCCTATCCCAACACCCAGCCCCATGTCTATGCGGTATTCTTCATCCATCTGCTAAATTGGTCTCGCCGCTCTCCCCCGTCCGTCTACACCGTGTCCACCCCCTGTGTTGCACGTTCGCATAGCAGTGCCTGGTGGGTTCACGCAGATATTCAGTCAGTACTGTACCTGCGCCGCAACTGTTGCTACCAGTGCTGGATGTGCATTCTTCAGCCAAACTGGGCAAGCTTTACGATTCTGCCTTCCACCCAGACCCCGGGATTGGTGCAAGCCGGCTCCCCGAAATCGAGGCTTGGCTCAGAATCACGCTGTGTCGACGTATGCCTGTATGTACCTGTGATGATGATGGTGACGCCCGTGGTAAAGTGTACGAGTCGAGTCGTAATGCGTGGTGCCGTCTGCAAATTGACTCATTCACCGGCCGCCGCATCGTCGCCATCGTTCCCGTCACGGCCTTCTCCACCGTCACGGGTTTTTTACCTTTATGCTTTGGTAACGGGCGGCGGGTGAAATCATGGTAGAGAGTGACCACCTGCTTGGCGAGGGGTCTAGGCTTCCAATGCTTTTCTTCCCTTTCGTTGGCTATTTTAAAAAAGGCAGAAGCTTAATCCAATCTACCATGCGCCTGTGTGTGGACGCAGGGGCCATAAACACCCGGGAGTTTGGCAGCATTGCCAAAAAAAGCCCCCAACCACGAGGTCCCTAGTTGACGACAGCCGATGAGACAAGCCCAATCGTTGTCAGCTGGCAGCGACACGGCGGGTCTCATAATGTTGACCACCCATCTTGGGGCGATGAGAGACATGGCTTGCACAGTGGGTAACTCCTTCAGTCCTCTGTTTTTGCCTCTTGTTGAGTCACCAACCCGCTTTGCCCAATATATTTCGTGGGCGTGTGTCTGTTTGTAAGCAATGCAATTTTTTTTGGTGACGTCTTTGGGGGAGAGTTGGCCGTATAGCGGCCGTATTGTTAGACGGGATGACATTACTAGGGGCCCAATATACAGAAAACGTGCGGAGGACTCGGATCGTGGGAGGAAGAGGAAGCTCGGCCAAGGACCGAGCCCGGGTAGCGCAGATGGCCTTGCCGGTAAGGCAGCGGGCAGTGGGCGATAGGGATGATTGATCTACACGGGTGAGCTGCCTACCTGCCTGTTCGCCTGCCAGCCTGGGCGACCATTTTTCGCTTCATTCTCCGAGGAAATTTCGATAGGGCGGCTAAATAGAAGAGCCATGCCCCAGTGGCTTGGGGCGGCTTCGCATCGCCTCTGGGGGGGCTTGTTATAGCGGGAAGTGGTACAACAGCAAGCCCAAATTATGGGCAGATGACATCGGTTTTGGCTGTCCCGCGGCGGCGCGGGGGCCTGGATCCTCCAAGAAGGCATTGAGTAAATGCATTTTGCCTTTTGCTTTTTTTCCAAACAGGATGCAAATGGCGCGCACTAGACGTCGTTCCGGCCAGCCAATAAACGCCTAAATCGCCAGCGCTAGCAGCCTGGCTTAGGCGGCGGGCGGCGGGAGGGTCTAGGTCGACTACTACTGTACTTTTAGTTGGTGGTGTGGTGTGATGAGCGACGATGTGCACCGGCAGTCGTTGGCCTGCCTGCAGCGGAAGCAAGCAACAAAGAAGAGAATAAAAGTAAAATAAAATTAAACGTAACGAAATACCTTAAAAAAAGCGGATGCACTCCGTATTCACAAGCCAGGAAATAATAAAATAAAATAATAAATAGAGTACTATTCTTTTCCCCCAAAACAACGCTAAAGACAACACTTGCAGACACTCTCACACGCCAGTCGGAGTCGGAGTACAGTATTTGAACCCACCAAATGTAGTTGCCCGTAGTGCACTGGCGCCCTCCCAAAGGCGGAACGGGAGGCGCCTTTCTTCGCAGGGATACGGTGCTTGCTGCTGGCTTTTGACAGGTGCCTCGACTACAGTTGCTGTACAGGTGCTAGCGGCCTCCATCGAAGGCCCCCGCCCACCCCCGGAAGCAAGCAAGCAAGCAAGCCAGGTGGGTGAGTGGGTGGTGGGCAGCACAGCGCTGTACTCCGCCTGTAGGTACATAACATTACAGTGGCTCTTAGCAGCCCACTGTGCAACCAGCAGTTGACAGCAAGCACCGTAACAGCAGTGCAGTGCAGTACCCTTGCCGCGGTTGTGCAGGGCCCCACGCCCCCTACCTGTAAAACCTTCCCACCCCCCCTAGCACCAGCGATTCTCTACTTGACGGGCGGTTCTATATTGGGCCGTTTGGCCCCCATGGTGGGCGTGGCCGGCTCTGTTTCTTACTTTCCATCCGCGCAAACTGCAACTGTTTCCAGCCATGGAAGCGAAAGAGGGGAACGAACCGCTGCACGCCCCCCCCCCCTTCGTCCCCTGTACAGAGAGTCCTCGCTGCACGCCGCACCCCACTGGCTAATCGGTGGGCAGTCAGTGAGGCTTCCCATTTTCTGACTTTGGTTGCTTTTTCGCGTTGCCGCCCTCCTTCTGCCCTACGGGGGTGAGATGGCGTCGGGGTTGGTGTGGGTTTTTCCTGTTAGAAAGGCAAAAAAGCCAAAATGCGTGAGCAAAGAGGAACAAGGGACAAGGCTTCCGGCCAGGCCAGGCACTGACTAGCATCTTGTCAAGATCCGCCCACCTGGTGAGGAGGAGCCTTTCCCAATCTTCGGTATATAGATGTCCTTGACGCCCCCAACTTTTCCTCCGCCCACCCAGCCTAGTGTAAAGACGTTATAACCTCTCGATCCCATCGACACAAAAAGGAACCAAAGGTTTCTTGTCTTGTCTTGTTCCAAGATTCACACATTCACACTCACCTACATACATAACCACCCCTCGTCCTCCTCCTCCTCCTCACACCTTCGTCTTTCTCCTCTACCGCCAAACACTCGCTTGGTTTTCTTTCATCTTTCTGCATATGTTTCTATCCCGAGATATATAGCACAATAAACATCAACAGCCAGCCTCCTGTTTCCTGTCTGCCTGCACCAAGCGCCATCACACAGCAGCAGCAGCAACAACAACAACGACAACAACACCAGGACGCGGTTTTGTTCAGAAGAAGAATTGACGACAAAAAGAAAAGAAAGCTCTTGTGGTTTATGCAAAGAGAAGAGACTGTCAACCAACGAGCAACACCAACCACAGCAATGACTGACGCCTACAACTTGTTTGCTCAGCAAGAAAGCTATCCCGAGCACAACGCCATCTTCTCCCCGTCCTCCATGGACCTGCCCATCTCCCCCGAGACCTTCGCCACATATTCCCACTCGGAGCAAGATCTCTACCGCAACATCACCTCGACCTCGATCCCCAACTACGTCCTCAGCAGCCACGGCTCGCCAGGCCTCTACCCTGACGACGGCGACCTTCGCCGCTCCCCTGCTGGCCTCTCCGCCTCTGCCACATCCGCTCCCTCCTCATCAGCGGGCTCGCCTCCTTCACACCACGGCCAGTTTATGCCTGCTGTAACAGACTGGAACGGTGCCCAGCAGCCCTTGACGCTCCAGCTCGGTCAGGAAATCATGTCGGATTATCCCACCTTTTCTGGCGCCAACATGGATGATTTGGCTGCCTTTGACTTTACAACAAATACCAAGACTTTTGTCGGTGAGTTTTTATTGCTTTCTTTCTATTGATCATTTCTTTGCCCTTTGCTTTTTTTGTTTTGGCACTTTCATCTTTCGCGGCTCTCGCTCGCTCGCACGGAGAAAACGGACCCCACCTCTTCCGCCCCGACGCAGTTGAACCCACTTGCTGGTTCTAGTGCTCGGCACCCACCTGGCCTGCCTGTGATGCTGTTTATTACAGTGTATCTACAGGGCACTTTCATGGGAGGGGTGCCCCGCTGCAAGTCTCCGAGTGGGCTGCATACTGTTGTTACCTTGCAGCGGAGAGCCGTAATTTTTGTGAGAAAAGAAGTGCAGGCCGGCAGGACAGGCTGCATTCTTGCCGGTTATTTTTATCTCGTCTTTCTTTGGACTGGTGCTGCTCCGCGCAGGTTGATCCGAGACATTTGGGTAATGCCGAGTGGCCTTGTCTCGAGTACGCGCCTCGTTGTCTCCCTCAACCCACCGTCCTCCGCTATGGGAAACTCGCTGTGCCGCGGTGCACACAGCGCTACTTCTGCACTGCAACACCACAACACAGCCGCGCTCCCACCTCGGAACACCGTTGGCTGCCTCAAAAACCCCGCTGCAGCCTCCCAGGCATCAATACCACCACCGCATCTCTTCCCCAAAAATTTATCTAGCAGCATCTTCACCGTTTCTTTATTTTCTTTTTTGTTTTCTGTGCATCGCGGGTTTTTTGCTTTCCTCCGGGCAAATTGCACGCTGCACTTGCTGCTTTCCGCCTCTCATCCACAACAAACAAACAACCATGACAAACACGCAAGTTGCTGACCTCGCGTCCTACGATCTAGATCCTGCTCTCATCCAGCATGAGATGAACCACAACTCCATGGTCATGTCGCCATACGACACCACCTTCCACAACCACCTCCACGCCTATCCCGTTCCTTCTTCCACCGCCACCTCTCCTCATGCCCGAAGCTCCGCCTCTCCCTACATGCAGAACCCAGCATACCACACAGGCTACGGCCAGGCCAAGAGCCCCTTTGGCACACCAATGGACCTCCGACGCACAAGCTTTGCGCCCAGCATGACATCGCCCAACGGCGAGTACCAGAGCGGCGACGAGGCCAAGGAGAGACAGCGCTGCACATATCCCGACTGCGGCAAGTACTTCAAGGATCTCAAGGCACATATCCTGACGCACCAGACGGAACGTCCTGAAAAGTGCCCCATCCAGACCTGTGAATATCACACCAAGGGCTTTGCTCGCAAATACGACAAGAATCGCCACACCCTCACTCACTACAAGGGCACCATGGTCTGCGGCTTCTGCCCCGGCTCGGGATCTGCAGCCGAGAAGTCCTTCAACCGCGCCGATGTCTTTAAGCGCCACTTGACCACAGTCCACGGCGTCGAGCAGACACCGCCCAACAGCCGCAAGAAGGCTCCCGCTGCCGTCAACCCTGGCAAGAAGCTGGCTGGTTACCCCTCGGATGCTACCGGCAAGTGCAGCACCTGTTCTCAGACCTTCTCCAACGCTCAGGACTTTTACGAGCATTTGGACGACTGTGTGTTGCGCATCGTTCAGCAAGAAGACCCTGCCGAGGCCATCAACGCCCAGCGTTTGGCCGAGGTTGAGCACGACGCCAGCGTCGCCCAGACTCTGGAGAAGAACCATCTTCCTCTGGATACCCAGACCATTGATGAGGCTCTGGGCGAGGACGACGACATGGACTTTGACTATGGCGAGGATGGCGACGACTCCAAGCGCCGCGGTGGCAGCATGCAGAAGCGCTCTTCTGGCGCCGTGACCAAGACCCGCGGCCGCAAGAACCGCCGTGACTACCCTTCTTCATGGGGCTTCGACAAGGGCCAGATGAAGATGAAGAAGCGCATCATGGCTGTGTTTGACGGCAAGCAGCGCCTGGCCAAGGACGACATGATGCTGTCCACGGACCACGAGGTGCGCATTAAGCTGTCTGACGGCAAGTCGTACGTCACCGATCTCGATGTCCAGACCATGAAGCGCGCCGAGGGCTTCCTGCAGCCCGAGGATGAGCGCGGTGCCTGGGTCGCCGACGATCCCACTGAGGAGCAGCTCAAGGAGATGCAGCGCATGCTCGAGACGGGCATCACTGAGTAAATCTCCCTCCCCTTTCTTTATACAATGACAACAAATCTCCCCGTCCGCCCCAGTACACGATAGGCACGGACGCAAGCGTGCGTTTCATATGAGCGGAATATTATATACACCCCGGGGACGGCGGGTTCCCCGGAACAGCATGGCGACTTGGCGTAATAGGACCCTGGTGGGACTATAAACTATTTTTTTTTTCTGATTTCTTTTTGGAAACGAGTTGTTTGCTTGTTCGTTTCTGATATGAACATCTCCAACTACTGATTTTGGACTGCGTTTGTTTCTTGTTTTTTCCCCTCATGAGACTACCTCGAGCTGTGTGTTATTACATGTGTTTTTTTGTGCTTTTTTTGGTTATGAGAAGAGGGGTGTCGAGTCCAAGAATTGTGTGATACCCAAACAATATATTACTAGCAATATTTAATCATATACACTGCTGTACAATTAATCTCTCTCTCCGTCTGTCAGTGCATGCTTACTTCCAACAATCTCCAGTGACCTCGAGTGTAGTATTGTAGCCAAGAACACCACCCCGCCCCCACCCACAAAACTTTTTGACATCACCAAACCGTTAGCTCCCTCCCTATGTCATTTCTCCCGACCTCCTTTGCTCCGGAAGGCCAGCCCAGCATGTCGCTCACCCACCGCATCACCCTCAAAGACCTCAACGAAGAGCCTGAAGACATCCTCGCCTACGCATTTGGCACCATCTTCCCCGAAGACGTCGCCATTCTACACGGCGACGCCGACCAGCCGCTCCTCTACACATCGCCACACCTCCCGCTCCCCTTCGTCATCGACCTACCCAATGTCTCCTCCGAGGACGACCGTCGCCTCTTCTCGCACCACCTCTGGAACTCATCCCTCCTGCTCGCCGAGTTCATAGAAGCAGACACCCTGTGCCTCCCTCTAACCCCACCACGCCGCAACACCGACATAGTCCACTTCTCCATCACCAACCTCAAAACACTCGAGATTGGCGCCGGCACCGCGCTGCCCAGCATCATGAGCACGCTGCTCGGCGCGCGCGAGGTCGTCGTGACGGATTACCCGTCCGCGCCGCTCCTCACGACACTGCGGACCAATGTTGCGCGCAACACGCGGGCCGAGTGTGCTCCCTCGCCGACTTCGGCGACCGTCATTGTCGAGGGCCACTCGTGGGGTGAAGTGGGCGACAGCGTGGGCGTTGCGCATGGGCGATCGTGTGATCGTGTGATTGCGGCGGATTGTCTGTGGATGCCTTGGCAGCATGAGAATCTGCGGACGACGTTGGCGCATTTCCTGAACGATAGTGAGGGCGCGCGCGCGTGGGTATGTGCTGGGTTTCATACGGGCCGGGAGAATGTGCGCAAGTTCTTTGATAAGGAGGCGCTGAGGGCCAAGGGGCTTGAGATCGAGGCGATTTGGGAGCGGGACTGTGATGGCAAGGAGCGCGATTGGGATAGTGTCATGGAGGATGATGTGACAAAGCGCAAGAGATGGCATGTAGTGGGGATCCTGAAGAAGATTCGCGGCGAGTGAAGAAGGTTTTGAAGAGATGGGAATATAGATGGAGCATTTGCTGGCGTCATACTTGGGGTATGTTTATGGGAAAACGGGGAGGAAAAGTTTTGACTCTGCATTGCGTTACATGGGATTTGGCATATAGAATACATATACGTTTTTTACATTACGAAGATACAATTTGGTATATAGAATGCACTTAGACTTTTAAGTCATCAAGATACAATTTGCTGGGTTATATATGAGGGAGTGTTGTTGGGTGAGGGCGGTGGTAACTTTGGCTTTGTGAAGTATTGAGAGCGCAACTGATGATGCCATACGCCTCACAAAAAGGTATATACAGTTAGCATGTGGAATGACATTTAAGGATCAAGTAAAAAGCGATGGATTGCATGGCGTATATACAATATATGATACAGATACTGGTCATATCTCATTATAATAGACAACTCCTCCCCCCCCCGCACTCACACAGTGGCCTCTTCAGCAGCTTCCTCTTGCACAATTGGCCCCTTTTCGCAAATCTCTTCAATTACAGCAGCGCTCGCACGCAGATTCTGCGCTCGGCTCAGCGCCTTGGCCACCATGGCCTCGCGCTTCTCGCGCACCATGCGCCGGATCGCACCCACCAGGAACACAGCAATAACCTCTACCGGCCACGAGTCGGGAATCAGCTGTAAGACTTCTGCTACGTCAAACCACCCCCCAAACCTCGCCAGAAGCGATCCCGTCTGCTCAATACGGTCAGCCGCATCCTCAATAACCAAAAACTCGCGTAGAACAATGTTGAATAGGTTGCGTTGCAGCTCAATCGCAAGCTCCAGACTGTGTAAGCTATCTGCCGTCGTGGTCGAGAAGAGGCTCGAACTACCGCGGAGACAGTATGATAGCGCCGAATCGTAATCCCCCAGCTTCTGCACCAACAGGCGCAGGGCATCTTTGTGGTTATGTTCGCGGCTGGCCAAGATCACCGTCTCGGGCACCAGCAAGTCGTCGGGAAGTGAGGCGATGCGCTTTCGAATCGCCGCCGAATCGTAGTCGTGCGCACCGCCCAGCAGCTGAAGAAGTCGAAGCCTGCTTTCCCAGACTTCGTCGTTTTCCGGCGAGTTTTCCTCCAAAAAGTGGTGGTACGTCGGCTTTGGGGCTTGCAGCGCTCTATACGCACCATATGCTGCCATGATGGCCTCACAGCTAGCTGGCTTCTTCAAGTCCTCAATCACTACGTCTAGATAGTATGTAATGAGCTCGTTGACATACGCCGTATGGCCCTTTCCAAACGTGAGGTGCTCTAGGTAATATTTCACGGCGTCCGGCGCTTCTTCTTTGAGAATTTCCACCGCCTCTGTAGGCTCAAATTTGGGCGCCTTGCCCTTGTCCTCGGTAAATACTTGCACACCCAGCTTTGGATTGCGCTGTGCAAGCCAGATGCCATACTGCCGCACGAGAGATTGATTACCAATCTTGGTCAGATACTCGCGCACGCGAACTTCACCGTCGACCAGTTCGTTGCCATCGTCTCGTTCTCCCTCAATAATCCTCTTCCACGTTGCCAGAACGTCTGCAGACATCTTGCGGCTCTGGTATAGACGACTGAGCATAAACAGGCGGTGGTGCGCTTCTAATAGGCTAATGGCGCGTTCAAATGAGTCGACGCCCTTATTAACAAAATCGTTCAGCTCCAGTCGTATCGCGCTGTTGTGGTTCGCGTTCTTCAGGTTTGGGCGGTCCAGCTCCAGCAGTACACAGAGAAGCGACGCTTCGACAGTGCCAAACACCTCCTTCTCGTCAGACACACTTCCAAAGCCCTTGCGTTTTCTCCAGGCGCTGAGAAAGCGGCGTAAGAACTGTAGTATTTGAGACTCGAGGTTACCCAGCGAGCCCTTGGCAATCGCCTCAAAAGCCCGACTTTGAAGAAAGACTTCGGCAGCAATCTTGATGCCATTGTAGACCCATATGCCCTGGCGAGCCTGTAGAATTTCGTTTCCCAAGCCGGGAATAAAGGAGAGCACCACACGCGGATCAAGCTGGCTTTCCATCAAAACCGATTCCAGTATCTGGATCTGCCCATCGGAGAGCTGTTGCTCGGCATGACCCATGAGCAAGCTGCCCAGCAGTAAAATTCCGGCCTTTTGTTGAATATATCGAAATGTCAGAAACTCCAGCTCAGAAGTTGCGTCTCGTTCTTTGATAGATGACAGCACTGAGAACACAACATGGCTGTCAATCGCCAGGGGCCATCCATCCTTTTCTGATACAGCTGACTCAAGTCGTGCGTCCAACTGCAGCAGCATCGGATTACGGACTGCCCACCAAATCTGGGTTTGGGACCAGACCGCAATGTTTGAGTTGATCTTGGCCAGACGACGAGTAAACTCTTCACCATCTGATATTCTCGATGCCTCCCACCCTTCTGTTATAGAGTCGCCGTCGTGAGAGTCTGAATCACGCTCAAAGAGTTCTCGTTCCTTGGCAAGCCGTTCCATAGACATGGCTGTGCGCGAATCGACGCTCTTGAGCGAAGCTGTGGATGCCTCTATCGAATTTGGAAATGGGTGGAACCGTCGCTCGCTGAGTTTCGTCACAATCAAGTCTGAAATTGTCTCTTCAGTGCCAAGTAGTGCCTTAATACCGTAGTGACCAGCTCCCTCGCCCGCTGCAATCCAGTGCTTTTGGGGTACAGCCTCCGCCCCTGCATCCCATCGCTGGATTTCAAGACCATGGCGAGTCGTGCCATTGTCGTCTACCGATAGCGATGCAAGAACATAGCAATCGTCATCGGCCTGGATATCGGCCTGGGACATGGATGGGTCTGCAGCAACACCATCGAGGACTACCTCGTTCGGGTAGCTCTCAAATTCGATTGTTGGACGTGTAGTGTCGCCATCCACACTGACAAACATTCCGATTCCGACTTCATTGGGACCAGTACCAACGACTAAAAGAAACTCTTCGGGAGTAGGCGACGCAATATGCGGTCGGAGGGGAACAGCTGGCAGAGAAGTCTTTGATTCAGAGGCAGGCAACTCTGGTGCAGGCTCACCCGGCACTGGAGGCAAAGCTTTGTTCGTTTCTTGCTCGGGCGGTTGGGGGCTGGCGAATCTCTGAGGGGATCCCCCAATGCTTTGGTCATCGTAGTCGTGCTTGGCCGGCTCATGCCGCCTCAAATTATCCAAAATTGAGCCTCCGAGGCTAGAGGTTCGTGAATGGCTCTGGTGCCTGGAGCTGCGAGGCTCTGCCAGGGATGAACTTCGCTGCATCGAGCCGGTCTCTGTAGGGAGGCTTTGTGTATGGCCTATATGGCTTGTAGAACTTGTATCCAACGATGATATGCTCATCAAAGGAATCATTAGTTTTCGGTTTACATCGAGCAGAGAGTACGATTTGGAGTCGGCAACGCAGGCAATTGATTCTCGGCGTGCTGAGACTCTACTGCCGGGGAATGAGATTTCCTGTGCCTGTTAGCTTCCTTCTTAGAATAATATCAACATTGCGAGCCAACCTTTAGGAGCTGTGGCCTTCCATCTTCGGCCATCCGAACCACATTAATCTTGCGTTGCAGAGATAGCATGATCGTGACTGTATTCTGTTCGTCTGCGGCTTCTGTAAGAGATTCATTCAGGTCTATGCCTCCAATCCAGTTGCAGTTGCGAGCCTGCGTCGAGCCAAAAGCTGGGCTGAGCTCTGGAAGCGAGTAGAAGGAGACGGTGCCATTACAGAGGATGCATGCCTTTCCGATTCGAGGAAGAAGCATAATCTGCTGCACTCCAGGCTTTGACGTCCCAGAGGGGTCGGAATAAGGTGACGTTCGAGAGGCAGATATAAACATCGGGGCGCCATTCTTGTCGGCAGGATCGGGGGGGATTCGAACAAAGTGGAGGACTTCAGAGGCAGATGTGCCCACGTAGAGGTTTCCGTCTGCAGCAGAAGACATTAGCTCAGTCACTAGGCGAACAATATGCCACACGTACCGTAGTATTCGACACAATTTATTCGTAAATCATCTTGCGATCCATCTTCAGAGAGGGGCACCTGTTCAAGCAGTGGCCGGAGCACATACGGCCCGACCTGGTCCCCTCCAGGGCGTTGGGGTATCATGACGAGCAATGCAAGCAGCTCCTCATCGATAAGTCGGGGATTCCAACGCAGCCAGCGGCCTGAGTCCAGATGCTGGTGCAAGTTGCTGTGCCGGAAAATGTCCTTGAGGCGAAGTTGGCTGTGACGACAGTAGGTTGGAGCTGGACAGGCTGAAGTGGGGCGCGTCAACGTGCGCGCCGTAGCTTGCGTGGAGCCCCGTCATTTCTCCTGATCTCCAACTGGCGAGGCCACGACTCTGCTTTGACTTTCCGCTGCAGCACAATTTATGCACCACCGAATATATTCATCCAAATTGTAGTCGACAATTGTGCACATCTACTGGTTTCTATTCATGATTCACCTGCCTGGGAGCACAACCAGCCGACACGGAACCCCAGGCGCATAGACGCGACAGCCTGTCCTCTTCCAACTAATTATTCAACAATCCCACTACAATGTCTGCCGCCGTCGAAGATGCGGTACCTGCAGCATCTTCTGCCAATGCTGGCCAGGGCACCGAGGCATCCAACAAGTTCCAACACGCTGTGACAGCATGGAGAAGTGAGCAGCAACGACAGCAAACCGGAGCGCTGCCAAGGCTAACCAAAGAATAGCAATCGATCTCACAACGCTTACTTCTAACCTCGACACTACAGCTTCCGACATTGTCGCATACCAGAGAGACTCGACAGTACAAAGAAAGGATCTAGCCCAAAAGACAAAGGACTTTCGCAAGCTAGACGACTCTGCCAAGTTGACCGAAGTCAAGAGCCTGCTCAAAGGTGAATACCTACCACTTTCTCTTACTCAGCCGCCGCAGTAGCAGCAAGAGCATAGCTAACCAGAACAGCATATCAAACATTCATCGATCTCTTGGCGAACCACTCCAAATCTGTTAATTCTGCCTTTCTCCAGGCATACACCTCCATCTCCGAAGCCCCCGATCCATATCCTCTCCTAGAAGCATCGGTTGATGCCATGCTGGTGGCAGAGGAGACGGTGCCAAAGCTCTCAGCCGAAAATAGACACCTCCATGAGACGGTATCGAAGCTGACATCGCAGCTCGAGGAGACCGAGGCAAAACTTCAGTCCGAAATCTCAGCCAAGAAGGAGCTTGAGGATACGCTAGAGAAGAGAGTTAAGGATGTTGAAGCCACATGGACAGCCGTTATGGAGGAGAAGAAGGACAACTGGGAAGCCAAAGAAAAGAGTCTGGAAGAAAAGGTCGAGAATCAGGATCGTCTGCTCAACGAGATGAAGGCTACCTACGAAGTCAACCAGCGCCTGGGTAAGACTGGCGAAGATGGCGAGGCTCAGCGCAGCCAGGCATCTACTGCGGAGATTGAGATGCTCCATTCAGATCTTGAACGAACCAGTGCCCGTCTTGCCGAGATTGAGACGAGAAACGAACGCCTCCGCCTGGATCTCGCCCAAGCCAAGTCTTCGGCTACGTCACAGACCAAGACGTCGCTGGAGGACGATCCCGACTACATGCGCATGCGCTCCGAAAACTCGTCTCTGATCCGTAAACTCGACTCCTCCAGGCTGGAAAAGGATAGCCTGAAGAGAGACCTAGACGTCAAGCTGCGATCTGCCGAGCGAGCGGCTAGTGCACTCAAGGAAGAGCGTGACACACTCAAGGAGAAGCTGACCAAGTGGAGCGACTACGAAGAAGTCAAGCAAGAGCTTGACGTCTTAAAGAGCATTGAATTTTCAACTGGAGACGACGACGAAGTCGCAGAGCAGGGAGGCGATGGCGAAAAGGGAAACACTCTGGAGAAGCTGCTGCTGGGCCGCAACAAGAAGCTTGGCGATGAGCTCACCATCCTGCGTGTATCACACCAAGACCTTCAGACACGGCTGGGTAGCATCCAGGAAGACTTGTCGCGGACCAATGCTGAGCTAGAGCAGTCTCAAAAGCTCAACGAGAAGCTGGAGAGCGACCTGGAGAATATGCAAGCCGAAGGTGCCAATCTCTTCCCGTCAGGTGTCTCTGTGGCTGGCACATATGTGACGCGAGCACCAACACGAAAGGGCAAGATCTCACCAACGTCCTCCATTATTAGTGGCCTCGACCCTCGCAGCTCATATGGCGAACGTGACGCCCCGGCAGCCAGCGCAGGCATCCTGCCCATGGTAACAGCACAGCGAGACCGATTCAAGAAGAAGAATGTGGAGCTTGAGCGGGATCTCTCCGACAGCCACGCGACAGTGCAGCAGCTCCGTCAAGAGGTGGCGGCGCTACAAAAGGACAACCTGAATCTCTACGAAAAGACCCGCTACGTATCGACCTACAACCAGAGTGGTGCGACGGCTGCTGCCTATGGCGGAAACCACAACCCATCATCCGTTACAATTGGCGGCACAGGCACGCCAGGCATGGAGATGGACCGATACCGTCAAGCGTACGAATCCAACCTGTCGCCTTTTGCAGCCTTCCGCGGCCGCGAGTCAGTACGCGCGTACCGACGCATGAGCCTGCCAGAGCGAGCAGTGTATTCCATCACGCGCATCGTACTGGCATCGCGCATGAGCAGAAACATCTTTGCGGCATACTGCGTGGCGCTGCACGTCTTGGTCTTTATGACATTGTACTGGATGCGCTCGGCAGACGCAAACACGGCACGAGGGTCAACCAAGGGGGCGGCATGGAAGAAGGACGGATTTAACGCGTGATGATAAAAGGCTATTGATGGGTGACCACGACGCCGTACCTGTATTTTAGGACCATATTAATACACACACACACACCTTGACACATATGAAATGCATCCTGTATATGCACAGCAGCAGCCAACCAGACACAAAGGTAGAGGCACCGCCAAGCTAAGAGGGACACACACAGGGTCTCCAAGCAGGGAGATGATGTGCGTGCGTGCATGAACCGGATTGTCTCTGATCTTGCAGCCGCCGGCCGCATCGCGCGACCAGCGCCGAGAGCCAATCATCTGGTGGGCCGTTGCACCGGCACTTCAGGCCAAGTATCATGGGAATTACCATGCATAGCTATGAATAGTGTCTTTTTCTGTACTCCTCGCCATTTCCGATACTAAAGTGTAATTGCCATGGTCATCAGTCTACCACTGAAACAGGCCATTGACATCACCGCAGTCTGTTTGCTGTACAGCCATCTCCTCACTACCAATGCAATCCAGCTGCCATCATGCTAAACAACAGCTGTATACCACTGCTCGTGTCTTACACGCTGTATTTTCCTCCTCTCCAGCAACAGAAATTCATATACAGCCAGCACGGAACGACCGAGCGAGCCTTGTTTGCAGCACCACCACCCCAAAGATCGGTTCATCTCGCATCCCAGTTCCCCAAGCTAACCGCCCGTAAAATCCTTCGTCATCATCTCCATTCCCATTTCTTTTTTCTTTCCAATAAAAGAAAAAACACATCCACCTGCTTGGCCCGAACACGCACCACCGTATCATCCACCCATCCGCCAAACCTGTTAGCGCCGGCACCCAGCCAGCCAATCAGCGCCGCCCACCCAGCGTCCACTTTCCCTCGGCGGCTACATCCTCGCCTCTGATTGGCCCCCGTCGTCGGCGCTTACACGCACGACTCCTCCCCTTATGCTGTGCAGCGTTGCTCTCTGCGAACTTTGCAGCGAGGGTTCTAAAGAAAGAAACACCGAATCTCCGCTACGGGCCAATAGGTAGTGCTGGATCCGCTTGCCAAGCGTGGCGGGCGCTTGTACCGGTGTTCCTTGGGCCTGCACACCCGTGATATTAAACTGACTAGATCTCGGCACCCACAACTCTCCCTCTGCATCTTTTCACTATTATTCAGAAAACAAGAAAAAGAGATAGACTGCGCCTTTTCCTCAGTCCTTCTTCTTTTTTGTTTTCTTTTCCTTTGTCTCCATTTCCTAAAGTCGAGTCCTGCTATTGTTCTGTTTCTCCCGTTCTTGATACCACACACACACATAAACATCGGCTGGTTCCGTTCAAAATGCGCTTCTCTACTACAACAACTACTCTTTTGGCCGCCTCGGTGGCATCAGCCGCGCCCGTATGGCCCTCAATTAGCCTCGGAAACGTGCGCAACCCGTTCGCCGCGCTCGACAACCTCTCTGGCTACTTCAACGCCGTGGCGACCAAGGTTGCCCAGGCCAAGGTCATCTCGGTGGCTCCCCAGTGCGATCCTACCAAGGCTCGCATGCCCACCAGTAAGTGTTCTTCTGCTCCGATACGAATCCGCAAGATTAACCCGAGTGTTTTTGTTAGTTGATGGTCTTCCAGGCTCTTCGCCTGGCCTGCACGTGCGCCACGTTGCAGTTGGCCGCGGCACGCAAAACTACACCTGCGCTGGCTCCAAGCCCGAGGATGCCCCCAAGGCTGTCGGTGCCGTTGCCACGCTGTTTGACGTGACCTGCATGGCTTCATTGTACCCTGATGTGACGAACCGCGTGCCTGGCATGGCGGTGCACTTTAACATGGACGACTCGGACCGTCTTGGGCCCAGCACCCTTCCCATCTCGGGCCACCATTTCTTCACAGGCTCTGGTGTGCCATTTTTCAACCTTGACACAGCCACTGGCGATATTGGCCTTGCCCCCTGTGCAAAGAACGCTTCTGTTGCGGCGCCTGCGGACGCACCCGTTGGCCAGAACGGTGAAGCCGCCGTTGCTTGGCTCAAGCTGACGACCATTGATGGCGCTACTGGAAACTTGAAGGACGTTTTCCGCGTCGAGACTGCTGGTGGCAGTCCTCCCAAGACATGCCAGGGTCAACCTGATCACATTGAGGTTGAGTACTCTGCGCAGTAAGTACCATTTTAGTCCATCATCACGTTTGACTTGGAAAACTAACTTGAGTTTGTAGGTACTGGTTCTGGGCGAGCTAAATTTAGCCGGCGGAGGTTGTGTGTGGCTGTAAAACGTTTTAATTAAATTTCATCTTCATCCTTTGATCCATTTCTTCTTTTTAAATTGCTGTATTTATACGGACATCTTTTCATTTCATAGGTGGCTTCGCCGTAGCTGTGAAAAAAAATTCGAATGAGCAAGTGTATAAGAAAATCTGTTTAGTATCAATGAAGACCACAGTAATTCGGATAGACATTCACTTGACGTTCACTGGAGACGCATATATGTTTTTGTTCAAGGTGTTCATATTTTGTTTTTATTTCATCAAGAATTCTTGAGAAAGAAAAATGGTAATAGACGTTTGCATGCGTTTCCCTGTAATGCCATGCTCCTCCGCCGACCCTGCCATACACCTGAAACAAAAGATGAAAAGGTCGCGGGTTGCCAAAGTTTCTCCTTCTAATCGCTCAGAAAAAAAGATCTCCTTACAAGCGGTCACAAAGTGTCCCATTTTTTTGTTCTCTTAAAGACAAAACTCCCATCCCCAATGCCATTTGTTTTCGAATTACCCCCGGTTTGAAAATGATCGTTATTATTCGTCATTTAAGCGGCGGTGATGGCCTGGCGAAGACGGGCACCACGCTGGCGGTGAGACAGACGGGCAGAGTCGCGGCCGGCAACCTCCTCGGACTTCTGGACGACCTCCTCGGCCTCGGTGAGGATCAACTCAATGTGGCAAGGGTTCGACATGTAGGGGTTGATACGACCGTGAGCGCGGTATGTGCGTCTGCGCTGCTTGGGGGCCTGGTTGACCTGGATGTGCTTGACGACGAGGGCGGCAGTGTCGAGGCCCTTGGCATCGGCGTTGGCCTCAGCGTTGCGGAGGAGACCGAGAAGGTACTCGGCGGACTTGGTGGGCCAGCGGGCGCGGGAGACACCGAACTGCTTGCCTGTAGTAAAAGAAGTAACATGTTAGTATATCTTGTTGCGTGTCCTTGTTCCTTGACGCAATCCCCAGTCAGATGGATATTCATCATCAGGTCTCATCTCTGTAAGTGTCTAGTGAAATTGCCTTCATTCTCCTAGTCCTGCAATCACAACGGTCGACCAAGACAGACACACAGAAAAATCCAGAGACGAGACGTGATATTGTAATACAATCCGGGGGCTTGCGTTTTTTCGAATGGATAAGTCGTACCTTGAGCAGTGCGGCCAGTGCCACCGGCGTAGCGGCGCATGGGGACAGCCTCCTTGTGCTCCTTGACGTTCTCGAGGAAGGTGATGGCGCGCTCGAGCTTCCAGCCGTTGATGGCCTGGGCAGTCTCACGGGTGTTCTTGAAAGAGACACGGAGGTAGGCACCGCGGGCGCGGGCCGACTTGGCGGGCTGGATTTCGGAGGCGGCGTAACGAACCTGCAAGCAATTCCCTCGTTAGCAATTCCGCAAGCAATTTTCTAAACGCGGTATTCGACGTGACTTCGGCCCTCGTGCTGCCCTTGATCGGTGGTCATGGTTGTGAACAGATGTGACATTTTTTTGCATCCCAAGATATATATGCCCCCAACGCCATACGGACGAGGAGGATGCGAAGGCATGGAGAAAAAATTCGGTTCGGTTCGTAATCTCATCGATCGGTGCAGCAGAGGGCGTTATTCAGTCATGGGTTTTAAAAACTCACCATCTTGACGACTTTGTTGTGGTGGTTTGCTTCGACTACCGTGGGTTCGCTGATCCAAGTTGAGAAATTGAGAACTTTTGCCCTAAAGGTGACGGGGGGGACTCGCTTACTCCTTTGGGAAGTGCTTAGGGCTTGACTGCCCTTGTGAGTGTGAGAGGGTCAGCGCAGGCCGCGATATCACAAGAATGCAAGAAAGAAAAGAGAAAATAAAAACCGTAAAACAAATATATAGATTAATTTTCAATTGCTTGTAAGCTTTATTTAATTTTTAACAATTATCCTCGCGCTGCAAATTACTTCTCGACTCACAGCACCGAAAGTCACCTGACAATTCACTTACACAACCCGTCCACGTGACGAGACTGTGACTTTTTTTTCACTTTCGCCATCGGCGCCGGAATAATAGGTATTCCAGAAACCGCCCACGCTAACCGGATTGGGCAAAGCGGCAAAACCTTTGAGCTACAGGCCAGGAAAAAAAGCTTCAAAAAATTTCTTTCCCATCAAGCCCAAAGGTCGACAACTTGCCCCGGCAAAAAGCAACATATAACACAAGGGTTACCCTGCTTCTCAGTTGCGAATTGCGGTTGAGAACACTTTCCAAACCTCGCCCTTTATCCTGACGATTAATTATCGTCGCTCTCCCCTTTCAATTCCTCTCTAAACCCTTCAGCACAAATGGCTTTCGGACGAGGTGCTCCTCGCGGTGCCGGTGGTCGCGGCGGTGGTCGCGGCGGCGGCCGTGGTGGTTTTGGTGGCGGTGACCGTGGTGGCCGTGGCGGCTTCGGTGGTCGTGGTATGTTTGCTGCTTGATTCCCGAACGAATTGCGTCGTTGCTCATGTGCTAACCTTTGGCAGGCGGTGGTCGTGGTGGTGCTCGCGGAGGCCGTGGCGGTTTTGGTGATCGTGGCGGCCGCGGTGGACGTGGTGGCCGTGGTGGTGGCCGTGGTGGTGCTGCTGGTCAAAAGGGCGGTGCCAAGGTCATTGTCGTAAGTTCACAATTCTATGCCGTCTGAAGAGGCGGGGGGGAAGAAAGCTGTATGTCTAACCTTTTGTCTTTTTCTTACAGGAGCCTCACCGTCACCCTGGAGTCTTTGTCGTCCGTGGTGGCAAGGAAGATGGTATTGCCACCCGTAACCTCACCCCTGGCGAGTCTGTGTACGGCGAGAAGCGCATCTCTGTCGACGAGTCTGTCCAGAACGACGACGGCACAACCACCACCACCAAGGTCGAGTACCGCATGTGGAATCCCTTCCGATCCAAGCTTTGCGCTGCCGTCGCTGGTGGTGCCGATAACATCTACATGAAGCCCGGCTCGCGCGTTCTCTACCTCGGTGGTGCCTCTGGTACCTCCGTCTCCCACGTTGCTGACCTTGTTGGTCCTACCGGCTTCGTCTACGCTGTCGAGTTCTCTCCTCGCTCTGGCCGTGATCTCATTGCCATGGCTTCCAAGCGCCCCAACGTCGTCCCCATTGTTGACGATGCCCGTCAGCCCGCTCGTTACCGCATGATTGTCCCCATGGTCGACGTCATCTTTGCCGATGTTGCCCAGCCTGACCAGGCCCGTATTGTCGCCGTCAACGCCAACTGGTTCCTCAAGGTTGGCGGTGGTGTCCTCATCTCCATCAAGGCCAACTGTATCGACTCTACTGCCCCTGCTGCCGAGGTCTTCGCTGCTGAGGTCCAGAAGATGCGTGCGGAATCCATGAAGCCCAAGTACCAGCTCACTCTCGGTAAGTCCCAAGTGACATTAACTCTTCAGAAATGCCATTACAGCTCGCTAACATTTACCTTCTTCTAGAACCCTTCGAGCGTGATCACTGCTTGGTTGCTGCTGAATACACCCGAGTCAAGAACTAAGCACCCCGCCTGAACTCAGGACATGCTGATGTTGTTGATGTTTGTTGTGGGTGACTGAAGTGATAATTCCCCCTATGGCATATTTCATGTATTCGTGACGCGCTTTGGATTCGAAGCTGTGGGACTTTTTGTATTTGCGGCCTAACGGCTTGCTTTTCGGCGAGAGGCGTTTGGGATTTGATTTCTTTTGTTTAAGCCTGTATATGGCGATGTATTGATGTCTACGCCACCAAAATATTAGAAAGGCATTCTGCATTCCAACATTTTCTTCCTGCACACTTCTGTGATTGTCATTGTCGCTGTACCGTAATTAATTGAGAAGCAAAATCATTGGCTTCCCGTCGAGTGTAGTTGGAAATAAGCGCCGCTAGTCGCCTCGGCTCGATCCTACCCTGTATTGAGCACAGGCTTTGAGCCGACCCGTAGTGAGCGTCAATTGAGGGATTCTTTACGCCGATGGAATCGAGCCCACGTTTAGATCAATGTTTTAGTACTTAATTATTACTTTACTCGTTGTTTCGTCATTGAAGCAACGTGGTTGTTGTTGTACACTACCGTCACGCAATCTCGTGACATTTTCATGGTTGACTTGGGCATACAGGAAAGACTGCCAAAAAGTCCAACTTGGCGCAGGCTTTGCTTATGCACAGATTACTCTGGGTTCGACCAAGCCAGTGGGTCGCACCTGCAAAACATGTTGATGGCTGCAGGCTATCAGATCCGTTGGTCGCCGAGATCGGCAGGTTGCTTCTAGAAGGTGAAACGCGCGCACGACCAGGATCCTGGGTTCCATCAATAAAAAGGTTATTACGACGTCCCTTGTAGAGTCACCTGGTAAAGGCATTTGCGAATGAGAACTGAAACCGAACGGGCGCGGTCGGCTATAAGAATACGAGGGTGTCGGGCCTCGGTGATGGAAAGACAGGGCGATGAGATTGATAAGATGATCAGATAATTTCGTTGGGGCGGCGGCAGGCTCGGTTGACGGAAACTGGAATGGAAGGCAGCAAGGAATGGAAATTAGGGGGGACATTTTAGGTCAGGCCATAGCGTTTGGTAGCTCGCACGGAGTACAAGCGTGGTTTACAAGTGCGAGGTGTGCATCCCTTTCATCTTGTATGATGCCATGTTATCCCGGAGTGGCGGTTGCGCGACTAGCTGCGATTGGAACAACAAGCCGAGCAAAAGCAGCAAACCGCCAACACGACAGCAAATGAAATCTGCTGCAATTGCGCTTATTCTCCAAATACCATAAAGACGCACCCTTTTACCCGCGAGTTGCGAATGGGCTACTACTGGCGGAAAAGGTCGGACAAGCGTTGTGGGGAGATTCGGGTAGGCTGTTTCCGGGTCGTCTTTTCGTTGCTTGGAGGGCCGGCTTACAGTGGACAGGGAGCAGGAGTAATGGTGCAGTAGTTTCTTAATGGCGTGACGAGGGGGGGGCTAGGCCTTGTACTTTTGCTGGGGCGCCTGAATCAGATAAGCCACGCCCCATGTCTTGCATTGCAAGGCCACTCAGGGCATGTGAACGGTGCTGTGCAGGTGAGTAGGGATTATGGCGACCCGAGAAGCTGGGAAGCGAGAAGGGAAACGAGGCGTGTTAAGACATGGTGAATAGATTGATTGGATTGATTGATTACAAGGAATGGGTAAGCTGCCAATGGGCTCCGTGGTGCGTGTCCATCCAGGTGAAATTAGCGTTGTTTTTTATTTGGCATTTCGGTTTAGCTGCTGATTGATAAAAGGGGGGTGCGGGTGGGCTGCTATTGGCACTGTGCCGCATGTTTGCTGGGCTGGGCGTCTTCATCCGGTCTCGGTGATGTGGAAGAAGAACGAAGACGGATGCTGACAGAATAGAATAAAAGGGAAAGAAAGAGGAATTGGTATAATAAAAAAAGATGTTACAAAGAATTGCAAGAAGAATAAGCAATTAATAAAAAATCGACCGCCATCCGTAAAACACACATACTACACAATATGCTGACCATCCCACAACAGTCATCATTATATCATCACTGCTTGGTGCTGTTGTCCACATGACAAACCGGCAGATACGCTCGGCGCCGCCCTAAAAACTCTGATGCGCGCCCTGACAGGCGGCACTGTACCAGCGACCCCACCAACTACAGGCCCCCCTCGCACTGTGTACCCAGACCACTGGAGCAGCACCAACAGCACCCGCTACAGCACGCCTCGCCTCCCCGTGGGCCTTGCAGCGGCCACGACCTCGGCGGGAAACGCCAACAACATTTTTAATTCCCCCAACTTCTCTTCCCCCCACGCTTCTCTTGCTTCACATCTTCTTCTCTCCTGTCACAGGCTTTAAAAGTAGACAGCATACAAGCTACTGCTATCGTCGAGAAAAGAAACGCAAAACAGAAATTGCACATCACTGCTGGCCAGAAACACGAAACACAAACGGCGATTCCGGCCTCCCACCCAAACTTTTTTCTCTTCTCTAATCTGATCGGCTCAACCATCACCCTTGCTGCATGAGTACCTGAGCCTCCTCCAACACCACCCACGGAGACTTGGAAGGCTGCAGCGTATCCTGCGACGATACGAAACGATATAAAACCCTATTATCTCATACACAATGGTCGGATTGATCACAGAAGACTCTGGTGTTCAGGGCCTGGTCGACTCGACACGGGACTGCATCCCTAGCGAGCCTGCACCCACCATTGCGCCCTCGCTGACCTACTCGTCAGAGTCAGACGATGCTGATGAGCCGCTGCGAGTCCATGCCCCGCGCCAACGACGGGCTTCTACAAGGCTGATTGCCCAGAATGCCCGCGACATTCGCCGCATCACCGGCGAGAGCACCGCCGAGTTTGTCGGCCGCTGCTGCGGTGGCGGCTGCTGCTTGACAGACCGCAACGATATCACCTTTGAGCGAGTGACAGTCCCCGAAAACGACGCTTTCCAGCAGCTGGAGCTCACCATTGGCGAGATCCCCACCAAGCTGACCAAGATTGCCGACCTCCCCAAGCAGACCGTCTTCTTCAAGGCCATCCCCCGCCCCGAGACCATCCCGTCACCGAGCGACTCGGCCGTGTCTCTCGGCGGCTCCTCCGACTCGGACCAGCTGATTGACGGCCCCCTGACAAAGTCTATTCTCGAGCAGCACATGCAGGCCGTCGACACGAGCATCCAGCCGCCCAAGTTTGTGCAGCCTCACCCGCCATTCTACACATACCCCGCCAAGATTCACACAGCCCGCGAGCTGACCAAACCCGGCGCCGAGAAGCGCACATACCACTTCGACCTCGACATCACCGACTACCCCCACGAAGAGGCCACTGAGTTCAAGGTCGGCGGCGCTATTGGCGTCGTCGCCCCCAACTGCGACAGCACCGTCGACGACATCTTCGACACCCTCCTCGTGCCCCGCTTCGTCCGCGACAAGCCCGTTCTTCTCTGCACCACGGGGGGCCGCTGGCCGACAGTCTGGGGCGACGAGAAGCCCCGCGAACTGCTCACTACGCGCCGCGACCTGCTTACCTGGTGCACCGACCTGCAGTCATACCCACCCACGCTGCAGCTCGTGCGTCTGCTGGCCGAGCACGCCACGGCCGACAATGAGCGCAAGATTCTGAATTATCTGTGCTCGGCCGAGGGCAAAAACACCTTCTCCAGCTTCCGTGCCGGCCCGCACATTAGCGTCTCGCAAATGCTGCATGCCTTCCCCAGCTCGCAGCCGTCGCTCGAGGAGCTGTTGTCGGTGCTGTCGCAGCTCATGCCGCGCTTCTACTCGCTCTCCAACGACCCGCACGAGTCGTACCAGATCCGCGACCGCTCGCAGCACCGCCTTATTGAGATTGCCGTCACCGTGCACGAGACGACCGATTGGCGCCGTGGGTGCCGTACCGGCGTTGGCTCCGGCTTCTTTGAGCGCCAGGCCCGCAACTTCCTGCGCGCCCAGGCCGCCGGCGAGAAGGACAAGTCGTTTTACATCCCCATGTTCAAGGGCCTCATGGCCAACCCGCTCGCCAAGGAGTTCAACGCCGACGGGCCCATGCTGCTCATTGGCGCGGGTGTCGGCATTGCGCCGTTCCGTGGCTTCGTCCAGCGCCGCTTGAAAAAGGCAAACTGCGCAAACAAGGTCTGGGTCCTCCAGGGCATCCGTGACTCGCTTGTCGACGAAATCTACAGCGGCGAATGGGGCGTCCACGAGGACGAGGTCAAGAAGGTTGTCCAGAGCAGGCGTGGTGAGGGCCGCTATGTGCAGGAGGAGGTCCTCAACCAGGCTGATCTTGTGTGGTATATTATTAATGCGGTGGATGGCCGCGTCTTTGTCTGTGGTAGCTCAAAGGGCATGGGCGAGGGCGTTGAAGAGGCGCTTGTCTCGGTGGCCATGTCCAAGGGTAACCTGGAGAAGGAAGAGGCTCAGAACTTCTGGGACCTCAAGAAGGAGGCGGGCCAGTATATTGCCGAGACTTGGTAGATCTTGGGGGGCCGTTTTTTTGGGTTGGGTGACAGGGGAGCGCACTGTGAGGATGAATATAAACAGGGGGATTGGTATATACATGGAGGAGGGAACACGCTATTTTGCATGGTTGCTATTTTAGACGTTTACAGGCGCAAGCATTGCTTCAAAGATTCATTACAGTTAATACTACTACGACTTCACAGTTATTTTACTTGCAATCCGCGCACGATTACCATGTGATGTGATACTTAATCCATCCAACTTTTGTGAGTGGCTGTGTGGTACCATGTGCATTGTTATGTTGAAATTCTTGCTTTTGTTTTCCCTATATACTCCATATGCCAGCGCAAAGGTCTATACCGCTTCAGCAGCATCAAATAGAAACCTGTCCATCCACAAGGTCGGATTTGTCGAGTACTCCTCCTCGCTGAATATATCCGAACCACCACTCTCCATCTCTACCACCATCCCACTCTCACCTGCATCAAATGCAGCCATACCTCTAGCTAGCTGTGCAAACGCTCCATCTGATCCTTCGCCCGCCTCACGCGCCGCAAGATCTAGCTTCTCTGCCGTACTAGCCACCAGCGAGGGCAGATCGACTAGTCGCCGCACCGCACTCAGGTCCCAGCCCAACTCGCCTAGCGCGCACAGGTTGCGCAGCGTTGCAATGCACCCGACCAACTGACTCCATTGGACGATGGAGATACCGAGTATCTCTGCTGGTGACAGCGTTAGGAACGTCGACGTGCACGACTTGATCGCCAGAGCCGACTGCCAAAAGTACCAGAGGCGCTTGGGGCCGTTTGTAGGTGGTGCGTTGGCGATTTCCTGAGTGTGGACGGCCTCGATGATGCGTAGCTCTGCATAGTACGTGTGTACGAGGGGGACTGTCATTGATGTCAGCTGGTTCAATCGGGGTAGGAAATGGACGATGACTTACAAACAGTGTACTGGAATTCAGGCGGGATCACTCCCCGAAGACTTTGAAGTTGCACCATGAGGGACTTGATGTACCGTAGAGAAGACTCTGGTAGCGCCCCAGATGCCTCTTGTGGGAGATGGGCACGGTCACAGGTCTCAAACGCTTTGAGAGCTAGGAACTGGAGCTGTGCTTGAAAATATAGCGTACCGTCGGACCGAGATTCTGGGTTTGCACTGCTACTCGTCACCCCAGATAAACAGTCTTCTAGGATTGGCGACCACCGCGGTAGATCCATCTGTGAAAAGTAGGTCGAGACTGCCGAGCCGACAATGAAGCAGCCTAGTACTGCCCGTTGACGCTCAAGTAAGAACCGCGCATCGGATCGATCAGCAGCTTGCCAGTTCTGAAAGCCGGCTGGGTCAAAGAAGCTATTTGTTGGCTTGGGAGCGCGGTCCAGACACATGTCACTGGCTAGCGATGTGGCTATCATCATCAGATGTGACGTATTGCCCCCGTTAAGTAGGTTCTCCCAGCCCCAGGCGATGTAGATGAGAAGGCCGACTAGCAGATCGAGCTTTTGTCTTTGCGGTTGTTGGAGAGTGATTTCACGAGATAGCCGGCGTTTCAAGTCGATTGCCTTGGCGCGCTTTTCTGCTGTGGACGATGCCATTACACACACAATCGCGCTGTGAACAAACGGCCGATCTTGCTGTAGCTGCTCTGATGATGAGCCTGGTGGAATCTGTATGAATGGGCAATGGTGTAGCTTCCTTTCACGAAACGAGTCGAGCAAGGATAGGTTAGAAATAGGCTGTGGCGAAGTTTCGTCAACGGCCGAAGGAGCCCACGATGCCTTGGCAGTAGCTATTGCAGGTGAGGGGGCGTTACGTGGTGCTAATTCGGCGTTATGGGGTGGTGTTATTGTATGTGTATCACTATACACTGCCTCCACAGGTAACGAGTTGCTGACAGTGTTCATGGGGACATTGTTGGCTTGCAGCATCGAGACCAGTTGGCCAAGGGTGTCCTCGAGTTTGGCGATGCGGTCATCAGAGCTCTGTTTCCGCTCTGGTCGTCGACGAAGCTCATCAGCCGCCTGGCACGGCTTCTTAAGCCGATGACATCTTGAGAGTGTATTAGAGGATATCCTTTCCGTCCGGACTGAGACCAAACACACCTTTCGCAACCGTGACCATCCTCGCGGGGAACACAGCGACACTTTATCTTAAAGCATGCCATGCACGCTTGGCCGTACTGCGCAGAGCGCGCTGCCGACCTTTTTTCCATGTTGGGCGTTGCGTTTTAAGGTTGAAAATTGTATGCTGTCAGCTTATGCCGCGGTTGGAGAAGTTTGGCAAGACAAGGCTGCGGCTACTGGTGGCTGATAAGCCCTAGCCTCGCTTGCCGTGAGGCATAGATTTGCCCAGTGATTATCTCGATGAGGCATCAGATGTACATTGTGCTTTTTCTTGATGAATCGGGGGATATCTAGGTTTTCGACGGAGTGAGCGATATGTCTTTATGCTGAACTGACTACTGTTGAACACTTGTAGTTCCGAGGGGATTATGGGTAAGAATTTAACACGGCTGGCTGCGTTCAATCTAAGTATTTGTCTGGATGTTATGTTGTAATAGTAAAAGTCGATGAAATACGTGGTATTTATTTTAATCTTTATTTCAAAGGGTCGTGTTCTTCAAAATGCGTACGTTGGATGCAGTGAGGGGAAGACCAGCACTGGTGCCGAACAACCAGTCTGTCACCATGACCAGGTGCCTGACAGGTGCCACACTTGGCGCAGCTGGCAATTATGTTCGATACGTGTATCCCGTCTAACCGCGCGGCTTCCATTTTCTCCCGCTTCATCATCTAACTTGTCATCGGCAGCATGCTCGTCTCCGTGCCAATGAATACCCGACGGCGCAGTAACGAACTGGTGCTGCGCCCCGCTAAAAAGTCGGATTATGAAGCCGTTTATAAGCACGACTAATTAGCACAAATTTTCGCCAGCGCCTCCACACCCCCAGCTATAGTGGGGAGAAGCCTTGCTTTAGCACCATGACGCGATGGATTACAAGCCTCTGACAAAGGCGGGCGTCGCCACTTTAGGGGCCGAAAAGGTTTTTTTAGGGGCTGGCGATGGCGCATGCAGCACTAGCGCCGGCGGGGTGCGCGCAATGCGGTGATCGCTAATCGGTTGCTAACGCAAGAATGGAGTTGCCGCGCTATGCCTCGAAAGAAATGGAACTAAAAGATTATCCACAGTGCTGCTGCCGTGCCATATGAGCATGAAGTATAAATAACCACTAGGGTCTCCCCTCACTAACCCCTCTTGCTTGTCCATCACTAGCTTCTCTCTACTACCCCTCCTCATTGAGCTTCCAAGCCCTCCATCTTCAACCAACAACCAACTACTACATCCCAATTAGCTTCACAATGGCCGCCGTGCACTCCGCCGAGGCTTTCTTCAAGCTCGCTGCTGCCCGCCACTCTGTCTACCCCCTCACCAAGACCCTCCCCGCCGGCGTCACCTCGCAGCGCATCCACCAGATCGTCAAGCAGACCTTCCAAAACACGCCGTCGTCCTTCAACTCTCAGCCCACCCGCGCCGTTGTCCTCTTTGGCAACGAGCACGACAAGCTCTGGGACCACACCCGCTCTACTCTGCGCGCCATTGTCAAGGACGATGAGGCCTGGAAGGGCACTGCTGCCCGCATGGACCTCTTCAAGGGCGCTGCTGGTACCGTTCTCTTCTTCAACGATGAGGAAGTCACCAAGGGCATGCAGGAGAAGTTTGCTCTCTACGCCGACAAGTTCCCCCACTGGGCCGACCAAGCTACCGGCATGCACGAGTATGTCGCCTGGACTGCTCTGGCCGCCGAGGGTGTCGGTGCCAACCTCCAGCACTACAACCCTCTTATCGACGACTTTGTCCGTGACACCTGGAACATCCCCAAGACGTGGACCCTCGATGCCCAGCTTGTCTTTGGTGGACGTCCTGCCGAAGAGACCGAGGCCAAGCCCAAGAACCCCTCTGACGACGTCATCAAGGCCTACGGCGCATAAGCGGCTAAGAAAAAGGCATTATTCCCGGCGTTACGAGCTTTTATCTGTTTACGATCGCTAGACGATTAGATGTATATACCCTTAATGAAAGAAAATAAACTCACATGAACCAATTTGAATTAATGTATCACGACCAGGGGTTTCGCTCGTTGCTTTGTAGAATTTTGTCTAAACGTATCAATGGAGTCGTCCGATCCATCCAAGATGGCGATCAGCCCGGCTTTCGCCCTCTTGACCCCTTTAAATGAAGTATTGCCCATGAATGCTTTGAATCGATGCTGCCTGTTATCGAAAGTGAAGTAAATGCATGTGTTAGCCAGGGGTCAGTATTGTGGACGACAGCCGTTCGGCTGGATCCGAATGCGAGCCGAAACAGGCAATCATCTCCTTTATTTCCACTAGTCCCAACGGCGTGCGCTTCTCTCCACGTGGAGATCGAGCATCCTCTTCAACTTTCTGCACCAACCGCCAAGAGAGCACAATCTCTGGGCTCACCAGCAGCCTTTCCTTTCTTGGCTATTTAGTATCTTCTTCTACTCACAACACGAACATCCGGCGCATTTTGACCTTCTTCTTGAGGTTTCTGTTGGAGCATCCTAGTCTCAATGGCGCCCCCGAATAACACCACCAGAACTGTCAACGCTGGGCTCGTCTTCCCCAGAAATGAAACCTACGAGCCTGGCGAGTTACTTCCTATAGTCTTCGGATTTTACGGCAACCCGATTTCAATGCTCCACCCACAATTGCAATACACATTAAGTGGTGACGGCGCAGATCAACAGGCGGCAGCCTTTCGTATGACCAGTCTTGCCATGCAGGGCCAGGTGCAGTTTTTGCCTTTACAGATGTGCTCAGTATCCCCCAGGAGATTGAACCGCGTATTAGCGAACCTGTCTGCGCTGTCTCCGACGAGAATAACCCTGTAACACGGTCGTCGTCTTGCAACGTCGCCGTGGATGCCGTCTCAGCTGAACAGATGGCCTCTTACTTGCTTTCCAGCTACCAAGTGGCGTACTGCAAATTATCAAACCCGCCAAAGGTAGCTCGCTGCCCAAAGACTAATGCAGGAAATGGGGCAATGGATGGCTTGGGAACCTTTGCACTGCTTTTAGTGCTATGGTCCTCTCTTTTTACCTGCTAACATACATTAGCATAAGAATTGGGTTCGGACAATCATTGGCCGCATCACAAACGTACATGAATGCTGCATATATTTGTTTTATATATTACCTTATATTTCATTTGTACAAAGGCGGCCGTTACTAGGACTCTGACAATCAGCTATGGTGGACCTTGCTGACTGGAATAAAACTACTAGCGGTTGTAGGCGTGACCAATGGCACGGGAATTTTATAGTAAATACATGGCTCGTAGAGATACTCTCATGCAATAAGATACCTCTTGGGTTATTTACTTCAAGGTCAATTTGGAAAGCTAGTAGATAGGAAATAGACAGAAGATAATTACTTAGCTACAGTAAGTAGACAAAAGTTACAAGTAGTCCAGATTTCAACAAACGTATTCTAAATAACTTATATGTTACACAAACTTTATATGTAATAGTCATCTAAAAACTCGATAAGTTACATATAAAGTATTTATATCACACATGATATTCTATAAAGATTGATAGAATGGCTAATTTTATAACATATATTGCAGAATACTTGAAATATTGACTAAAAACGAGTTTACTTGTAACTTTTGCTTACCTATTGTATAGGAGTGCGACTCACCAGCCGTGCCTGGCAGCCTCGCGCGGCATCAGCCACCATTACGCAACCCTTTTGACTTCCCCTCATTTGAAGAGTAGCATCGGCACGAATTTGCCAACTGCATCATCAATTCCTATTTATTGAATTTCAAAATCTTCTGGAAAGATGAAATATTCCGCCAGCCTTTGGGTTAGTCTCGCCACGGGCGCATCTGCCGCGTCACTGCTGCCTACTCCAGACGACTTTGACTGGGCTTCTGTCACGCCCTCCAAGGATCTCGAATACCATGCCTGTTTTAATGATTACAAGTGTGCCCGTCTGATAGTTCCCCGAGACTGGCACAATGAGACGGATGGACACACCGTCACCATTGCCATTGCCAAGTTGCCCGCCGTAGTGCCTGATGACGATCCTGCGTTTGCAGGAACCATCCTTACAAACCCAGGTGGCCCCGGCGGCTCTGGTGTGGGATATCTTCTTAACGCAGCTAGCCAGCTGCAGAAAACCATTGATATTCCCGGCAAGAAGCACTATGAGATCTTATCCTTTGACCCTCGCGGCATTGGACACACCCTACCCACTGTCGACTGCTTTGAAGGAAATGTGCTGGCCCGCGATGCTGCCACCCTAAGCGCTATGGCTGTCGGGGCCGTCGATGCTAGCGATAATGCTCTCATCTACACCTTCAATGCAATCCAACAGGCTGGCAAGCACTGCGCCAAGGTCATGGCTGATGTGATCCCGTACGTCAACACGCCTAGCGTGGCTCGAGACATGGTCGCCATAGTCGACAAGATTGACGAGCTGCGCAAGAAGGAGAGCCGCAAGGGCGACGGCGAGGATGAGATGCTTGAGCTCAGGAGTGTCAAGGATACTACTCCCCGTCTGCAGTATATTGGATTCTCGTATGGCACCGTCCTGGGCAACTACTTTTCCGCTCTGTTCCCGGAGCGTGTTGGCCGTGTTGTCCTGGACGGTGTTGTTGACACCGATGACTATGCCACCGGCCGTGTAGGATAATCTCTGCAACAGTTTCTTCAAAGCAACATCATGTACTGACTTGTTTCTTAGGGATGGCTTACTGCCACACACGACTCTGACGAGATGGTTGAACTCTTCTTCAAGGGCTGCTTCAAGGCCGGAAACCCCGCGTGCAAGCTCTACCGCCCCGGCGACAAGAAGCCATCCGACATCAAGAAGCGCGTCTTTTCATGGATTGAACATCTTGACAAAGAGCCCATCACCAGCGTAACTCCCGATGGCAACCCGCTTGTTTGGAGATCTGCCGACATCCGCAACATGATCTTCAGCCTGCTCTACGCCGCCGACCAGACCTTCCAGGGAATGTCCGAGATTCTCGATGAAGGTATTTCCGGCAATGTAACCGTCCTTACAAACACCTTGGCGTTCATGTCCAACATTAAACCAATTGTTGACTACTGCCCCGCCGCCAACCAGACCTTCCCGACGGCTGGTATCAACGAGGACGCCTACAGCGCCATCTCCTGCACCGACGGCGACGCATCTTCAGGCCAAAAGGTGGGCTACTGGCGCAAGTATATCAAAGACCAAGCTGAACGGTCGTCGGTGGCTGGCGGCAGCGTGGCCCAAGGCCGCATTACCTGCGCCGGCGTATTCGCTCGACCAAACTGGGAGTACAAGGGCCCATTCACAACCCCCAAGGCATCCAAGGACTCGTCTGCGCCAGAGAAGGGTCGTCCTGCAGCGCCGCTTCTTTTCCTCTCTAATCGCTGGGATCCCGTCACGCCGGTCACCTCCGCACGCAACATGTACAGGCAGCATCCTGGGGCTGGCCTGGTTGTTGCCAACGGCATGGGCCACTGTGCCGCTGGCTCTGGCATCGTTAGCAAGTGCACGCAGACTGCTCTGCAGCAGTATTTTGACAAGGGTATCGTACCAAAGGGCGAGATTGAATGCGAGGGTGTGCGTGATCCGTGGGACCAGATCACTGCTTTGAGTGCAGAGGAGGCGGCGCATTTGGACCGTATGCTGCAAAGACGTACGTTCAAGAACATGTTTGGCATCTAAGATTAAGCCCAAATTCATAGCACATCAGATGGGGCATAGTTAGGTATATAAGTGTTTGCATTATTTTCTCTGCTTCAATACATATCATTCCATTATAACCAGGTACTCTCGACAATCGTCCCTTGTGACGGTGAAAAATAATACAGTGATAACCGGGAGCTTTTTTTTGGTCGGATTTTCTTTACTCTTCTACAATGCGGCCAAGGGCTTGTCCCATCTTGACAGTTTGGCCCTTTTCTACCGCCCACGTCCAACCCGTAGGTTTCTGACCCTCAGTTGTAGCGGGCTTATCGCTGGGTGCTTCAAAGACGAGCACGACGGTGCTGCCGAGTTGGAACCCGCCCATCTCATCACCACGCTTGAGGGCGTGGCCGTGCAGAACAGAGCTAGCACCCTCATACGTTGCCTCCGCAAAGCCCAGGTACGGCTCACCACGCTTGGCGGCCTCCTCAGCAGCAAGGTCAGCAGCCGTGTCGGTCAGTAGGCTGTTTGTGCGGAGCTCTTTGTCAAAGTTGACAATGATGGAGCCGACATTGGTGGCGCCGACGGGGACGTAACTAAAGAAGCCGTAGCGCCAGCGGCCTAGAAGAACCACGCGCTCATTGAGCGTGAAAAGACCGGGAAGCGTGCGCTGCAGGTACGGCGACACACTGTACAGCTCGCCAGCAAAGTGGCGGCGGCGCTCGACGACCCAGTTGGTGGGCGAGTGGAAGCGGTGGTAGTCACCAGGCGCCAAGTAGATGACGGCGTAGTAGAGAGAGGTGGTCTTTTCGGGAGAGAGGATGTCGTACCAGGGCTTCTCGCCAAGAGCTAGGTCGGCGCGGACTTGGGATACGGCGCTCTGCGAGGCACTGGTCGACTGGTCCGTTATTTGGTGAGGGTGGCCGTGGGGGTCCTTCTGGCCAGCAAGCAGATCAGGCAGTGTGTATGAGATGCCATTCATCTTGGCGAATTCTTCATGCTGCTTGATTTCGTCTGAAGAAGACAGCGAAGACGAAGCAATGCTTGGTGCAGGAGTGTTCTTGCCAAGCAGGGCGTCGATTGTGTAGGTCATGCCCTTGACCTGTTCAATGTTGCCACCTTCGATACGGCCATACTGTAGGACCTTGCCATCTGACGGGCAGAGAAGGGCGTTGGCGTCGGCATCGAGAGGTCGTGCGCCGGGCTTGAGCGTTCGATAGAAGAAGGCCGCAAGGTTGGGATAGATGTGGAGGTCGGGCTCTGAGACTTCGTCAAGGCTGCTGCTGTTAGTGATGGGAGTTGGAAAGCAGACAATCAGCAATGACTTACTTGACACCAAAGACGAATGAGTAAAGCTTAAAGCCTGGTACGCGGAGGTAGTAAGGGATCGTCAATTCGTTAAATCGGCCCCAAAGACGCGAGATGGCCTTGAGTGGCAGTGTGGACATGACTTGGATCTGCCTACATAGAGGTGTTAGAATTTGGCGCCAATACGCGTAGATTCAATCGGGGAAGCTCACCATGGACCCTCAGGTGTGACTCTGGGGCGCGGCTTAGGCTTTTCTATGCCTTCTTGCTTCTCACGCTCGCGCGCCGAGACTTTGTAGAATTGCACCAGGCCGAGGAAGCCGATGCCGAGACCAACGGGGATCTGGTACCATTGGATCTTGGTTTTGCGAAGAGCTTCACGCAGTCTGTGTGTGAACTTTGGTCTTTGGCCCGAGCCTGTCGAGTAGCGGCGTTGGGAGCTGAAGGAGCGCTGGGCCGGTCTGTTGGAGGACGAGGATGGTGGACGCAGCGCGCTATTGGAGAGGCGTCTGCGGATGGTGGTGATGGCATGGCCCTTTGTCAGCTGGCAGGGCGCAATGCCGAGAGACGCCATTGTGCTGGTGGTGTGAATGCCAATGGCAATGGCACTATTGAGGCTATTGTTGAGAGTGCAACGGCTGGCGATGTTTGAGGTTTAGCTTGTGAAGGAGGAGAAGGAGAATCCACAGGGGGGCGGAATTGCACGCGCTAGGCTTTTTCGTCAGGAACCCACAGGCGGCTGCCCCAGGAAATACAGCGCAGCGGGTGTCGAGGGTAGCATCTAGAATAAATATTTAATTGTGAGAAAATTCAACACAAAGGGTCAGCCAGATAGAAAATTAACCTGACAATACTTAGTCGTGTATATAAAGTGAAACATATTTTTAATCAAAGGTTACCATTTGACTTTTGCCCTCTGTCTCGGCCTCTCCAAAGACCCTTTGATAACACATCCAACCAGTTTATCCCACTACTCTAATGCGCTAAGCCCAACGGGGCAGCCCACCCAAGTGGTAAGTTTAGTGGCCCACAAGCACTGCCGGCCGACGCATGCAGGCTACACACAAGGTACCGTGATGACCAATGTGAATGTTGTCATCTTGCCGCCACCTCGCACCAGCCTGACTGTTTATCCATTCTTCCACCACCGCCAGCGTATTGAATCTGCATTGCGGGCAATACTGATTTTATACCAAAATAGTCTCTCGGGAATTTATCGTGATACGATTACACCGTCTGCACCTTGTCTGGCATGGTTAACGGCCCCTTTGATCGCTAATTCCGGGGTTCGGCTGCGTTTGTTGAGTCGCCTGCCACGACCAGACCGACACACCTTACGAACATATTATAATAAAGAATAGCTCAACATGGCTGATGAAACAAGCTCCTCTGGCTCAGCTCAGCCGGCGGGCATCAACCTCAAGATCGTCTCGCCGTCGCTCAGCGTTACCAAGCCGCTTTTATTTCCCAACATTGCCCCGACGACGACAATCAGACAGCTCAAGGAAAAGATTCGCGATGAGCTGCCGCTACGGCCGACCGACGAGAACCAACGTTTAATCCATCGCGGAAAAGCGTTACTTAGAGAAACAGATACTCTTGGCTTTATTTTTGGACCAGAGGCGGCACAGTCGCCAGAGACACAGACTATCCATCTCGTCGTCAGAGAGCCAGCCGACCAAGCACCCCCTTCGTCAACCCCTCTCGCTGCTTCTACACCAAGCGTACCGACACTTTCGAATCCTTTTCGCCCAACTACAAGCACCCCGCTGTCTGATCCGACTGGCTCCCAACGACCAGTGATGCCTTCGATGCTGGGTCAAGGCCGAATGCCGTCTCCGGCACCCGCTCCCTTCCCTGATCAAGCTGGTCGCACTATGCAGGATCAGCACCAGAATCTAAGCAACTGGTTGGCGAATGTACAGCGAGAGGCTCGTGCAAGAGCCATCATAAACCAGGGACAGCGGGGTAGAGCGTACATGGGTATGCACGGCCTCGGTGACGGGGCACTACGAAGCGACAGCCCGGCTCCGTCACACACTATTTATCGCGAGACTATTGCACCAAGTGGCCACACATTTCACCTAGAGACTAGGACTGGTCCTATAACACGCTCAACACACATGGATGCGCTCAACGCCCTTGGCTCTGCTATGCAGCGTAGCGCGTCCGGCGCTTCCATGTCCGGGCGCTCTCTTGCACAACCTGGAGTCACGGTTCCGGCTTTTAACATGCCTGGGAGCGGGCGTGCAACACCAGACCCCATGGCTAGAACCTCGCTCAACACATACAGCGCTACTTCGCTTCCAATGGTAGGAGCCACTCGACCGACTTTCGAGGTCTATATTCTCCAATCCCCGGATGGCCCGCAGGCCATCTTGATGAACACACAAACCACCGAATCGTATGCTAGTGCACGAGACTTTTCACCTATTCGCTTGCCTGGCATGACAATCCGACCTGCTAGCTACCCAGCCCAAACACCAGCTGTTCCACAACCATATCCGCAGCCAGCTCCCCAGGCCATGGGCCAAGCACCAGTTCAGCAACCACCGAACCCTCAGATAGAGCCTATTCAACCACTTCACGCGAATATTGCAGCACCAAACGTTGCCGGGTTGATGGGGCAACTTGCTCCTCACTTCTGGTCTGCTGTCAGACTGGGTTTCTTTGTCTGGCTTGTAACGAACCAGTACACCAGTTGGACCCGGTTTATATTCACTATTATTATCGCGATCTTCATATTTATTCTAAACACAGGAGCTCTCAATGGCTACGGCGAGAATATCTGGCGACCTTTGGTACAGCGTCTCGAGGTCATCTTCCCAACAGTGGGAAGACCCGCCAATGCAGAGCCAGCGGCCGCGACGACAACAGAAGCTACTGCACCAGGGCCAGAAAACTTGCAGCCAGGTGATATGGCTGCCAGGCTATTAGCTGAACACCAAAATCGCGAGTCGTGGGCCAGCGTACAACTTAGACGAGTGGAGCGCGGGGGCCTCCTCTTCCTTGCTAGTATTGCACCTGGAATTGCTGAACGACACATTGCCCGAGTTGAGGCAGAAGCTAGAGCGGAAGAGCAAAGACGACGAGAAGCAGAAGCCGCCGCAGAAGCAGCAGCAGAGGCAGCGAGGGCTGCAGCAGAAGCTGAGACAGAGAATGGAGAAAAAGAGAAAACAACCGAAGTCGACGAGACGGAACCCTTGATTCAGGACGAGCCAACTGACCAAGCCCAAGTTGAAGAAATTGCAGCGGCATAAAATGTACTTGATTCATAGATTTAGACCCCGAAGCATCACTTACAAGCACAGCCCTTGGGCTCAATACACCATTGAGCTTTTAACACAGATGAGACATGGGAAATAGCATTTATAGATCCGAATTGTATACCATTTGAATTTCTTTCCCTTAAATAAGCCCGTATTGCAAAACCATGTGCATCGCTATTGTCTGGAAATGGGTGTGTCCATAGAAGGCGGGGGAACGTTGCAAGGGCTTATCTTATCAGCCTCCCACTATGTCACAGGCACCGCTGGCATCCCTTGACGCGTAGCTTGGCCGCCTGAAGAGATCAACTAATCCATGCACAACGCCAGCTATTGGACACTTAGCCAATAAACACAGTTGATACAATTAGAGTGCCGCTGTCGCAGCTATTATTCTGCTATACATACCAAAAAAGCCATTTATATACCCACCCCCAGAAGGTTGAAAGCACTACATCCCACCATGAGCGGGGGGTGGAATACAAGTAAGAACCCTGTCATGCCGTTAAACTTAATCTGCAGCTAACGTTGGACCCTTTGCAGTTGAATCCGATGCTGTGAGACAACATTCCCAGAACGCCTGCCACTGGAACATGGCAAACTAACTGTGTTTAGGGTGTCTTCACCTCGCTGATCGAGAACCTGGGCGTCAAAGATGTCCAGTTTGAAGAGCTCCTCACTCTCGACCATTCCGAATTAGCAGCTCTTCAACCTGTCTACGGCGTCATTTTCCTCTTTAAATACCCAACCGATAAACCTTATGCGACACCCAACGGCCCGGTAGACGGCGACTTCGACGCGGAAGCCGCTGAACACATCTTTTTCGCAGCGCAGACCATCCAGAATGCATGCGCCACGCAAGCTCTGCTCAGCGTGCTCATGAACAAGACCGAAACAGTCAATATCGGAGAAAAGATGAAAGACTTTAGAGAATTCACCATGGTCTTGCCTCCTGAATTCCGCGGCGAAGCGCTCTCCAACTCTGATCTGATCCGCGAAGTACACAACAGCTTTGCGCGAAGCAGCCCGTTTGCCGATGAGACACAGCGCCCTGATGCCGAGACCGAAGATGCTTTCCATTTTATTGCCTATACACCTATTAACGGTACACTATACGAGCTGGATGGGCTGCAGCCATCGCCTATCGCTCATGGGCCTTGCAATGACGACAACTTTCCGAAAAAGGTGGTACAGGTGCTGCAGAAGCGTGTGGCGCGGTACGAGGACTCCGAAATCCGATTTAATCTACTAGCCATGTGCAGAGACTTGCGTGTCCGTGCAAAGGAGTTCGGCGACGATGATCTGCTAGAGCGCGAGGAACGAAAACGCAAGGAGTGGCACTTTGAGAATGCGCTGCGAAGGCATAACTTTGTGGGATTTGCGGGAGAAGTGCTCAAGGGTGTGGCTACGGCAAAGTTGAAAGAGGGTGGCGATGAGGCTGTTAAGAAATGGGTGGATGAAAGTCTACAGAGAAGGATTGCTGCGGCGCGGAAGAGAGGAGATGAAGACGTCGAGATGGATTAATGAGGATTGGCAAGTGTAAGGGGACTATCCTCCAGACACCAGCCTCTTGACACTAAAGCTAAATACATATTATAATTCCTAAAAACAAAATCATTCCATAAGCAAAAGACCATTCAAACACGGGTATTCACGTCATCGAGAATCGGTTTCATTAGCGAAGGCGAGCTTCGGGCATAGGACGCGAGAGGATTGGTAGGTCAGAGATGACGGGTGAGTCGTCCTTGGCAGAGTTGCCGTGCTGGGACTCGACAAACGAAGCATGTCCGTGCTCATGAGGCTTAAACGTGTTTCGTCGGTCGGTAGGTGAGGAGCCGCTGCGCTGGCGATGTCTGCGAATTGCACGGACATACCAAGGAGGCTGGCCGATGTTCTTCCAGGTCCAGTATTCCTTCATATCGTATTCTCTGGGTTCAAGACGGCTGCCTGACACCAAGACTGTCAGTCCGATGAGACCATTAAGGACAGTGTAGACAAAGATGCCACTGGGATCGTTAGCAAGTATAAAAGCGAAATGAACGGGATTGTCTTACGCAATGAGGCCGTATGCTACACTGTAGCTAAAAGGGATAAACGTCATTACGACGAAAGATGGGAGAACGTCGCCAATGTAGCGCCAATTGATCTGAGTAATCTGGCGAATCATCATGCATCCGACCTGCATATGTTAGTTAACGAAGCACTGGAGAGAAACGCTTCGACTTACAAGAACAAGTGTACATCCAGTTGCCCATGGGGGAATTGAGGCGAAGATGGGAGCAAAGAAGAGCGACACGATAAAGCATAGGCCCGTCACCATAGACGTCAGCCCAGTGCGACCACCCTCGGCGATACCTGCACCGCTTTCGATAAACGCGGTAACAGGCGAACTTCCAAAGAGGGCACTGATGGAGATGAAGGCAGCATCAATGCAATATGCAATGGTTGATCTGGGAAAATCACCGTCCTTGGGATCAACTACGCCACAGAAGCGCACCATAGAGTACAGTGTAGCCGTCGCGTCAATAATGTCGACATAGAGAAAAGTGAAGAGAGCAAGGGCAAAGTGTGAGCCGCTCTCACCGACGGACCAGTCCAGCTGGTTCAATGTCTTTTTGAGAGGGTGCCATGCTACACCTTGCTTGAAGAACTCGTAGCGGGAATCGCCTTCGGGGGTATCTGGGAAGTATGTCACCGATGTATGACGGCTAAAATCACGGTTAGATCTAGTATAATGTTTTACGTGGCATGGTACTTACGGCCATGAAATGATGGAGACGAGGGCAATTCCAATCACAAGAGAGTACTTGACTCGATATGCCATTAGGTAGGCGGTTAACAGGCCACCGCAAAAGACTGCGAGCCATAGCTTCGGATTGGACATTTGGCCACTTTCACACATTCCTGTGGCCGGGTTGATCTTTTCCTGAGGGCATCCACCGAGAGTTAGAGGAGCTGTGCCTCCGCCGCCAGTAATGGCACCGATGCCTGCAGAGTACGACAATCCGATCTCAGTGAGAAGGAAGCCGATGCCTACACCTGTAGCTGTCTTGATAGTTGCGGGTATGAGCTTCACTAGCCACTGGCGCATACCGGTCAACGCGAGGAAAATGAAAATGAAGCCTTCTGCAAAGATGGCGGTTAAGGCGGTGCGGTAGGGGATGGGACCGGTACCGTTGATTCCAACAACCTCCAGTCCGCGTTAGCTATGTGCGTGAATTCGTGGGGAAGTATCTTACTTGAAACGCAAAGTAGGCATTGAGGCCCATTCCAGGGCTATGGGGAAGTTAGATTAAATCCAGTAACAAAGGGTGTATTGTTAAAGTACTCACGCAATGGCGACGGGGAGGTTGGTCAACAGGCCAAAGGTGAAAGAGGCCATGCCACCAATGGCAGCAGTGGCGGTTACTAAGTCTCTGCGGACGTCTAGTCTGTTAGTATTAAATATTTTGTAAGCGAAATTAATATTTACCTTCTTTGCAAGCTCGAAAGTCGGCCAAGGTGTCGCATTGCATCTTGTCAGCCAAGTCACATTCGCAGACACCCCCAGTCTGCGATATCAAGGAGGCATTGACGGCAATAATGTATGCCATGGTAGCGAAAGTTGTCAATCCAGCGCGAATCTCACGCAAGAGAGTAGCTCCCTGGATTTCGTTGGGCTGTACATGTCAGGACAGCACTTCTGAGACTCAGCTAGATTGACTTACATGCCCACTCCCAGACAGATGGAACATCCACCCGAGGCGCGAGGCGGAGAGATACTCATCAGTCAGATCAATAAAATCGCGAAGACCACAGAACCGAGAACGTCTAGTCGTAGGCTCCTGTTGATCCAAAGCGAACTCCTCATACGGCACTGCTGGCATTTCGGTGAATAGCTGAACGAACAGGCCAGGAAAGGGATATTCTGAAACAGGGCACCGTTGCTAGGAAGTGAATATATTTCGGCGAATCTAGAATATCGACTATTTACACCGAATTGAAAAAGATGAAAAAGTGAAAACAAAAGGTGGGCGTGCTCTAGTCTTGGTCTCCCCGTCGCCCGCCGGCTGGCAGCCAGTTGGCCGGGCCGGCGAAAGTGAAGAGTGCGTGGCGAGTATCTGAGCGCAGACGCGTGTGCGGTCAACGTTACGGATACCTTTCTAATTTCGACTAAAAAAAGACTAGAAAGAGACTATTCCTACTATTACATGCTGTGCCCCTGGAAAGAGGGACAGCAGCTCCGATTCAGCACCGAGTTGTCAAGATCCAGCACACACATCCCGCTGGCCGCGCACAAGATGCGTGTCGGATGCTTCTTTTCAGCAAAACTACCGAGACCTTGCCAGCTGAATTAACTCGCTTAGGGAAGTTCGTGGCACTTTGGTTCTTGGATGCCGGTCACACGTGTCTTATTAGGGCCGAGAGAAGCGAAGCGTCGATGTAGGTCTGTATCACAATCGCGCGGCGAGCAAGCAAGGCTCGGTCCGATAGCGTGGCAAAAACGTATTTGCGGCAAGGTACACATGACGGCATGATGAGGGAAAGTTTTCCTTGTTTGACAAGGCTGCGGAGAAGAGAGGCCTCTTCCGCGAGCCAATGTCTTTGACTTTGGGTAACATTGTGGGACTTGGACTCGGCTGGCTGCAGGAGATATATGCTCTCGTGGTGGCAGTGCTGTGATTCTTTAGCAGAATAAGAGGCAGAATCTAATCGACGCTGATATTTAAAATTGACGGTCATTAGGGGCAATTGTTGGTGTTTGAAGGCTCGGGAGTCAGAACAGCTGGTGTAAGTCCACCAACAGAGAATTCCGTCCGTAGTAGCGAAACAAGGATATACAGCAGTTGTGCGGTTTAATTAGTAGTTGCATAATTGATTTGATTGTGTTTCTGTGGTAATGTACAAGTTACCAATCGCTGTAGAGTAAGTCACTTCACCTCGCTGGCTTGCCAGCTGGCAGACGCCTGACGACAGCTTCACCCGACGCTGACTTCCGTACTCTTCCCTTCCAAGCTAGCTTCAGCCACCACTGCCATCCACCATCTAGTAAATTATTCGGCGACTGCAAAAGTACTTCCCCCTTGACTGTCAAATCTCGAGGCTTGCCCAGCTACGGTTGATTGCCTGTTTGTGCTACCGAATCTGCTGCATCTCGCCTGGGCCGGGGTCTCCTTTTTCAGGCTGCAACAACCCGTTCCTTTCATTTTGACAGGTACTGGAGTGAGTATTTTCCCAAACTGTCTCTGTGACAAACTGCAAAATCACTGGTCTCTATTAGCGAGCGGCCGTCTTGATTTCTGTCGCCGTTTCAAACCCTGTCCTCGCGTTCGAGATAGCAAGCAACGCCCTTTTCAATCAGACATTCGCATCGAGGTTAGAGAAAAGAACAAGTCTCAGCCACCATCCTGCTTATCGCAAACATTGCAATCCACAGGACAATAAAACAGACAGCACGACAATGTGGGATGTCATCTGGACAGACCCGGACCGGCAGTCGGTCAAGGATCATCGTGCCAAAAAGAAAGGCCGCCAGACAGACCAAAAGCAGATGCCTTCTTCAAAACGAAGTTCCATGCTCACTACTGGCTCGGGGTCTTCTGGCGAAAGCCCATTTGGTATCTTTCGCTCCAAACAGAACAAACAGCGAGCAGTCTCTCCGTACACTTCTGGCACTACATCTCCTAGCATGTTTTCGTCACTGTCGCCCTTGTCACAGGTCTTTGAATCAAAGAGCCGCAGAAGCTCCGGGCTTGTGACAACAGCACCATCTTCTCCTGTGGTTGAGAGAATCAAGTCAAACACCACCACCGGCCGTGCAGACTCCCAGCTCCAGAGCAAGCAGCAAGAGAAACCACCAGTGTGGGACGAGAAAGGTAAGCCATTAGCCCTGACTGGTTAGAAGAGAGGTTGCTAAGACTTTTGTTAGGAATAGTGAAGGAAACACAACCTTCTGCCACCGTACTGGCACCATCCAAAGATGGGGAGCTATCTGAGATTAAGAAAACAGGTCGTCTCATCGAGCTTTTACAGAGTCTGTCTGATGGGAAAGATACTGGCTCCATTTCGATTAGTCTTGGTGGTGTTTTTGGAGACGACGAATCTGACAACGACCTGGAAGACTTGATTGCCGAATTTACTGCGCCTCCTAGCGTCTCAACAACACTGTAAGTACGACCTACTCGCAGCTGCACAGCGATTGCTAACCCTCAAAGCATTGAAAATAACCCAGAGGCACTGCCGGATTCTCCCACAACTCTGGTTCCACCTCCCAAATCACCCTTAAGACTTCTTTTACCCATTTCTCCTGTGAATGACGTCAATTCATGGAAGACACCAAAACAATGGGCTGCTCTTGATGCCAAGCAGAAGGCGATGGAAGATGAGAAACCGAGCCTGCTCCCTCCAGCGCGCGTCGAAAGCCAAACAAAGCCTAAATTGGAAGAAGTGAAGAAGATTGCTGTTTCACGACCACAGGTAATGCTGGCACGTCTAAATCAACTGTATGAGGCAAATGGTCGGTTAGATGTGAATCATCAAAACTATACCGAGATGGCTATCTGGGCACTGTCTACGTTCTTCTATTCAGATATGCCTCTGGATAGCATTATCCGACAAACTGGAAAGGCAAATCCAGCAGAGTTGGCTTTAGTCTTACAGGAATCATCAGGTGAGTAATAACCCTCCGGGATACCGTGTACCACTAACACTTCTTAGTCTCAGCCATGTATGTTGCTGCTCTTCATGCACCTCACAACGTTCACCACATATCTAGTGCGCAAAGCTCTTATGATGATGCTACGAATTTGCAGCTCATTAAACTACCATCCATCCATGCAAAGGATATGAACTTGTCGCCTATGGTATATCAGAGCGCGTATGCATATTCAATGCCGAGCCGGTATCCGGCGTCTGAACTCGAGGGCATATTACGGAATATTAGAGCTAGTCTGCGAGTTGGAGGTATCCTGAATCTTGTGTTGATTGATCCTATGCCATGCTTAGGAAGCATGGGTGAACATATGTGGCGATGGATGAATCGCTATGTGACCTCGAGACTGGAAGGCTTGGACTGCTGCCTCGAACCTACCCGACGCTTTCCCAAACTATTGGGCAATGCTGGGCTGAGAGGTGTGGGTAGCCGGTGCACAAAGATCAAATTCTATGCGCTACAACAGAGTTCACTAAGTGGCCGTCGTGACCCGGATCGGAGCATTGACGAACTGCGTGAAGAACTGGAGACAAAGGCGCAAGTGAGGACTCTGATCGGCCGCTTGGTCTGGATGGAAACATGGGGCAGTCTAATTGAGCCCCAGCCGACTAAGTGGTGGTGGGAGGATAAGAACTGTGTGGATGAGTGTCTTCTACTCGGTACGTTTTGGGAGATGCAGCAAATCGAAGCAGTACGGTCAGAAGTATGATGTCGGATGCGAACCTGGCAGACAGGCGACCAAACTGTGGTTTATGTGATTGGAAGTGGGATGGCTTATGAGAAACATGTAGATGAATGAAGTGATGAGGATCCTAATTATTGAGAAATACCATTATAGTTTTTATGCAGTTCATTATAGCGCAGCTTGAAGGTCTTCTTGGCAGGCGCACAGTCGAAGCTCCTGCCCACCTGGTCAACAGAGGCAGAAAGGCCTCAGTAGCTTTGCAAGAGGATCTTGTTCGCCAATACAGTTTTATTTTATAATGGTTGCCAATGTCGTAACCCTTTCCATTCTGTATCGTTGCATCTACCATATTGGCTTCTAAAATTGAGTATTGGGTATAAAATATATACAGCATGTCTCCCGCAGGATACGGATACAGCTACTCGACTCTTGTCGAGTCGATGGCGCCCTCCCGAGAGAGGGTAAGCACAGAGTATAGCCAGAAGCGATCTGTTCCTTCTAGCGGAAATTACGAGACATATACGATGAGAAGACCGTCAATGGAGCGGAGATATAGGCAACTAGCGGCTTCTCAACGATATCGCGCAGCAACTTGTCGAGGTCAGTGCCCAAATTCTTCAGGCTGGCCAGTTTCCAGAAACATAGCCAAAAAGTCCTCAAAGCGAGAAAAAGAAACGGATGCAGCAAGAGGTACAAGCTCAGAGTGGTTGCGCCGATTGTCAGGCGGTACGCGTCCCGTAGATTTACTTGAGCACACACCTTCATCGCGTCGACGCAGCAAACCGAAAAAGTCATTGGATCAAGACAGACAAGAACCACGAATAAGCATAAGCAGCTTTCGAACCAGGGCAACAGCGGGATCAGAAATGTCAGAGGAAGGCGGGACATGCACCGGAAGATTCAGAAAGTCTAAAAAGGCTAATGGGGCGTGGAACTGCTTTGGTGCTCACTGGTAGGTTACCGTTGACTTGAAGCGGAACCATATGTGCATAACTGACAATGGCGGCACAGATGATACACAGCGGAGAACATTGTGGTCTGTGATGGTTCGAAATGTGGCGATAGAGAAGAGTTATTTGGGAAGCGCGACGGTAGAGAAATAAGATTGACGGCCTAGATACAACTAATTTATAGTCTTAGCGGTATTATTTCTACATTATTAAAACGTTCTACCCTGACTGAGTGCCACAGATACTACAATTAAATATATGTCCTACACCATTCTCAACCTCGACAGTCTAGTATAACTCTGACTAAATTTTATATTACATAACATTATAAATGAGGGATATCGCCTCAGAGCCTATTTAATAGAGAAGCTGGAGATGAGGTATAGCCTTGGTATGTACCACTACGCTCAATATCCCTTGCTAGCTTCGTCAAAAAAGCGACAGCAGTTTTGCGTGGCGTGCGGAATAAGATGTGCAGACCGTCTAGGTCTCGTCAAAACTCACCATCCTGCTGAATTACAGCATTTGCTTGCCATGCTTGGATAAAGTTGATGAGAGATTCCCATTCGATCATCCCACCCTGGTGATGATAGCCAAAATCAGGCTCACACAGACGGAAACTATGAAAGGTAGATCATCATGGTACGCTATTTTCTTCTCAAACCATGTGAATCTTCATACCTGGGAATCCAATTAAGACCAATGATGTCGTCAAAGCCGCACTCGACAAACATGCGATTCGTCCGGATGGACTCTTCATAAAATGAATTATACAGCATATAGGCCTGGCCTAAGAGCTCGGGGCTCTTCAGTGCACGGCGTCCTTCGAACAGCTCTTGAGCGTGGGTGCTACCTCATGTTAACAAATATTTCGATCACAAAGCCGTCAAAGAGCTTACGCTGGCGTCTGCCTCTCCGTCGCCGTCTCCAATGGTGTGGTCCTCACTATGTACAGGTTTCCCTGAGACGAGCTGGGAATAGTGACCAACTGGTCGTTAAATCGCATAGGACGATTGCGAATCTAGTTTCTGTCATGTTAAAAAATAAGGACCGACACGGTTCGGAGTGTAACTGACCGTTATATGCTGTTGGAGGGCGCGAACTGGCTTGTCGAGTGAATTCTGCAGCAGATGGACTCAGTATCCAGCAAATGCATCTGACGCGGACATGCGTTCGCTACCAGGGCTGGTCTGCTTGACGCGCTCATGGATTTGCTTGATGAAGTCGCCAGGGATATCAATATCGACGCGGACAGTGTCCCGCAAGAGGCTATTGTGCCGTTCAACCAAGAATTCGGGATCAAAATCCACAGTCATATGCGATATCGGCGTTAAAGCAGGAGAGAAGTCACCTCTGACATTGAACTTTGGCCGCGCAAGCCTTAGCTTTTTCTCAAATGTCGCATGCTCCGCCATCGTCTTTTGCTGGTAGAAGTCCGACCAGGTCCTCATGAATTGACCGACGTTGAAGCCATCGCCTAAGAGGTACGACTGAGATACGAAAATGCTGGTCTGGCCAGTTTTACTGTATGTCGTTACTTTTACTTGAAACAGGGGCTCGTTTTCTCCCACGTCGACACGGCCTAGAGAGAACTGATAGTCTACGTCCCCAAGAAGAAGTCAGCTATCTCTATCCAGCAGCTTACGGGAAGGATGCGTCACATACCTGGATGCTCTTCTCCTACCCAATCCTGTGCAAAGGGACCAGGATGATCACTGGTGCCGATAATCAGTTCGACTGGCCGGTTCGCCAGCCTCGCGGAGTAGAAGCCATCCGCATCTCGTTTCAGCACACCACAGTGAAGCGGAAAGTGCTACAGAGTTGGGGACAGCGCGTCTCGAAGACGATTGGCGTCTAGAGGACCAGGGACAGTCCATGTATTTGCAATGTACGCCACGGATGCCAGTTAGTGTACGATACAGGTGTAATTCATTATGAGGCATACAGGATAAAAGTTCAAGTCCGTGGCGGGAATAGATACAGAACGGTGGCCGCTTAGGGCTGTAGGGAGTTGTGGTGCAACTTTGTACGTCGTAAGCTGCGATGTAGGCTGTGCCTGAGCAGCCGTCTTATCTTGCTCTATACTCATGGCGATTGTTTGTTGAATATTTACACGTCAACGCCAGTTCTGTCAGTTAAGGGGCTATTAGGATATCAAAGGCATTTTTTTACATACTGGACCGCTATTGATCCTACGATGCAGGATGATCCTACGATGCATGTACGACGCATGTTGATCCTGAAGGATCGGCCGGCACGGCTGGGCCCGGTGGGCCGGGTCAGTGGTGGTTTTGGATATTTGTAAGTGATGAGTTAAGCTTGACTTGATTTACACTTGTTGCGTCTACTTGCACGCACCAGAGTAATCTGAATGTTGATGGTGCTATTCGGTTTGTAGCTTCAATTGCGATTCTCTCATGTATAAGTCTTAGGGTCATGATACGCATATCCTTGGCGAAACCCTAGTAAATTGTATCCCTGTTCCGCTGGCCCAGAATATACGTGAAAGGATGAAACAGTAAGACGTGGCACAACAAGATACACCATAATTAGGTGCAATGACGGCACGGCGAGACACGGTAGATATATTGAGACACGGACATGGTATAGCTTTCGGCACCAACACAGCCGGCGCATAACATTCACATGATTTCCCCCCAGTCTACGCCTCATACGAGAACTTGAACACACCCAACATATCTTCCAATGACTTTCAATGCAGATGATCTTTTCGGTACTTTGAAGTCAAAGTAAACAAAGACAGACATCGATGTTGGTTGCATGACGTATTGAATCATCCAGATCTACATCGATTACTGATTTTTAATCACTCATTTCTGTGTGACGTTGATCACCATCCAAGCTTCACAAATTCGCGACTGATATTCAATATGTGGCCAGAGAATTGGCGGTCTTCTACGGCATTCGTGACATTTACTGTTGCATTTGCCATGATGACTGTGAGAACCACTCGACCGAAACGGCTCTTTTCAAGCCACGACAGCTAATCATACATACGCAAGGACACGATAACATATGACATGGTCATTCCATTTCTGCCAGATCTCTTCGCAAAGCGCCTACATGTGCCAGAAGACGAAAGTAAGTTTGATCTTTGTTATATATACACATCCGTGAACTGCAATAACCAAAGCTTTAGTTGTGGCATGGCTAAGCCTGTCTCTCGAAGCCTATGGCGCCGCCATGCTCATCACCAACTGTAAGAAAACTACCCGTACGAAAAGATGATGCAAAGTGTGAGATTAACTTTTCAGATATTGCTGGATACATCATCGACACGATATCGTCTAAAAGTAGACCTTTTATGGTGGGCGTCGCGGCTCTACTTGCGTCGACATTACTCTTCTTTCTCAGCAAGACACCACTGCTTATCATCACATCACGAGTCCTACAAGGCAGCTCCTGTGCACTAGTTTGGACTTCTGGTCTGGCATTTCTCACAAGCAGTATTGGAGAAGGCGATGTAGGCTACTACACGGGCTATGCGCTCATGGGCGCAACAGTCGGCGAGCTCGTCGGCCCGCTGATCGGTGGCTTCATCTACAAATATCTGGGCCACTGGGCCGTCTTTACCGTGGTCGAGATTCTTATCTTCTTTGATATTATTCTCCGGCTCTTTGCGCGCGACCCAATTGCTGCGTCCCAGCCCAAGTCCTCGGATACGGAACAGGGACCAGATTCAAGTTCACGTAGCCACGTCGAGACGGACCCTCTACTCGAAGGAGACTTGCTAAATACTCAGCAGTCTACAGAAGACGCAGGCTCGAAAGATGGCGATGTTGCAAGCGCAATGCGTCGTATACGCCTGCTCTTGGCGACGCAGTTGACGGCGGTCCTTGTTGCGACCATGATGCGCTGTGCCATGGAAACGGTGCGTTCATTAACTAATGTCAATATTCTATGCGCTGGCAGACGCGTTAACACTTACCTATTCAGGCAATCCCCCTCGTTGTCCACAGCTTCTTTGGGTGGTCCTCCGATGCAGCAGGCGGCCTCATGTTCGCGCTCCTACTTCCGACAACACTTTCACCATGGGCAGGCCATCTAGCAACCAGCTATGGGCCGGGTTTTATCAGTGTGTCGACCTGCATCATTTGCAGCAGCGTGGTAGCCTGCCTAGGCTACCTCACACAAGACACTCTATACACCAAGGTGGCATTTGCAGTCTTGCTATCCGTGGTTGGCGTGTGCCTCACGATGACCACGGCAGTGAACACAACCGGCATCCTGATTCTGGTTAAGAAGCTAGAAGATGGATCGATGCAGTCAACTAGTCATGTGAACGATGAAAACAGCAAAACCAGTCCTCCTCGACCATGGCCGACAGAGGGTATGATTATGACAGGGCTCTCCACCTCTTGGGCCCTTGGCCTCATCCTGGGTCCAGCTTGTGCCGGTCTGATTGAATTCATAGATGTGCGCGGCTGGGCTGGGTTGTGTTGGGCGCTCGCCGGTATTAGTGTTGTTGCCTTTGTATGCAGTATAATGACATGGAAGAAGTGGTACCGGAACAATAAGGAGTAAATTATACTGTAGGCTAGAGACACAATACAACACGGAACAACAAATTTAGTATGCTTGGTGGCGTCTAGCCAATAAGGCTCACTAACTGCAATACATGCATAGCCCCTTTCTGGCCCTGATTCGCGATTAGGCGTAGATCCGTGAATGGCGTGGAACAGATATAATAAGGCTGCGGTTTAAGTGATTGGACATTACGGCTTGACGGCTGTATTAGCATTGGGTTGGCTGCTCGAGAAGTTGTGTATACAAATCTTTAATTCTCTAGTCTCCCTTTTAATTTTGAATTTTAACAAACCCGTGATATTAGGCAAAGGTGTTCGGCAAGGTATCCATGCCTTTCTGATCGTGGTTCCGTGCACCTCAGCCTTAGATTCAATTCGACTCCTCCGCATAAATCAAGCTCGGCTGCGACCTGCATAATCTACTTCCCTCCTTCACCAACAAGGCCTAAACGATACAAAATGTCCAATGAATTATTTTTAGGCCCACCGCTGAAGGACAAATCGCGCATCCGGCAAAAGAAGTTCGCACCGAAAGTCAGAACAGGTTGCATTGTGTGTCGGTAAGGACGACATATCCTTGAGTGTGCGAGTCGATTTTGACATGAGTCGCAGGATTCGACGGGTGAAATGCGATGAGACGCGACCATCCTGCACAAAATGTACTTCTACAGGTCGGAAATGCGGCGGTTATACGCATAATGAGGGCCCACGGGACAAGACTCTAGTTACGATTCGACCTGCTGAGACGGTAAGCCCAGTCTCGGTCTCGGCCGGCAGCGAGGATTTACACATGTTCCACATGTTTCGACTGGATGTCATTTATCAAACTTCAGGGCTCTTTGACAAGCCTTTTTGGCAAGTTGACATTTTGCGCGCTGCTCGCGAGCGTCCAGCGATATGGCATGCCAACCTGGCCTTTGCAGCCATCTATAGGTGGCGTGAGCTACGGCACAGCGATCAGGTGAATGCTGAGCAGAAGATCTACGATTTATATGCATTTTCCATAAAGCACTACAATGCTGCCATTCAGGGGCTTCTCTCCATCACAAAAAAGACAAACCAAACTGTGTCCGACAAGGAGACGCTACTCCTTACGGAGACGCTCTTTGTCGGCCTCAACGCCGTTCAAGGGAACCTAACGAGCGCCATCGCCCACGCAAATAATGCAAACACATTTTTTTACACCTGGGAATTCTGGAAGTATGCTGAAGCAATCCCCCATGGATTAGTCCTGAGGCCGTCCTCGTTGGTGGCGCTATTGACAAACTTTGAATCGCAAATGCTTCACCGCTTGCGCAACAAGTCGGCTCCCCGATGCCGGAGAGGGCAAAAGCTGTTCAAAGTATCTACGCAGCCATTCCGAACCATTGAAGACGCATACCATGAATTTGTTAGGCTATTCGCAGCCATTATCACATCTTGTAGATGTAGCGATCACACCGAGTCACACGTCATGCTCCCCGAGCCTCTGGTCTTCCCGTACCACGTATCACAAATGCTGTTGTGGGCAGATAAATTTGATGCGCTGCGCTTGGCCAAGTCGTTGGCACGGGAGATTCACGGCTTCCCCTACAAGTTACTAGAGTTACAGTCGATGGCGTTACGAGCGTGCGGTCGCTGTGACCCGAATGACGGTGTGTTTATGTTTGATAACCAGACGGCAATACTTTGGAAGATCTTGATAGGGTTAGAAAAACTTGTGGGTGATGCTTTGGAAGCTCATGATGGGATTGTCCCGAGATTCTCGTTTAGCATATCGATATGTGAGCTCATGTATTGGATAACAACTGCCTGCAGGGACCACGATATGCGCGTACGGTCTGTGGCGCTGCTGAGGAAGTGGCCGATCCAGGATGGTCTTTTGGATAGCCGACTGATTGCTCCGCTGCTAGAGACGTTCACCAAGGTCGAGGATGCACCGGGGATACGCAACATGACACTGTGTGCGGAAGATGGCGAGTGTGAGTGCATGTATCGTAAGTTTATCTGTGGTAAGCACAGAATTGTGAGGTCAGTAGTGGAATTTATGAAAGAGGGTGAGGTAAACTTTTCATGGGAGACAGTAGAGGATATATCACAAGGCAGAGGGGAACAGGTTCAAAAGCTCTTCTACTGAAGCCGGTTATGAAAAGGTGGCTATTGCGTGGCGTTTTTGTATCTCAAGGGCGGCAGGGAGATTGTTTGCCAATTTTGTGGCTTCTTGTTTGCGATTTGGATTTCATGTGAGTTCTATAACGTTAGCGGTACATTGAGTAGATGAGCACGTGTATGCTTAGCTGGTTATCTGGATGAGATGTGTAGCTAGGAAAGCTTGTCGATGAGGGTACTCCAAGCATAGTGGCGAGACAACAAGGTTCACACGGCTGCGCACTGTGTCACGAGCCGTGCTTGTTGGTGGCCGACGTGTATTTATTTTGCCAATTTTATTGTGGTTAGCCAACCTGGTCAGTATATTGCGTAGCATGAATGAAGGTATATCTTGTTCTTCTAATTCCTAGCACATGAACCGCTGTCAATACCATAGAGTTCCTGCAACATAGACATATGCCGTACCGTGCATTCTGGCGCCAGAATCGCACTGTTGGCTACGGTACAGCCCCGGGCGTTGCTGTTGCTCGCCCGCCGCCTTACAGACTCGACTCCACAGTGGCCCGTCACCCTGCGAGCCGCCTGCTAAAACAAGCCAAGCCGCCCTGTTGCCTCCCCCCAAACCGGCCCCCCCAAGCCCAGCGCCCACTAAAAATGCCCGCCCGCACTAGTAGGTACCCTCCTCCTCTCCACCAACGCACTGCACTGTACACTATACGGCTATCCCGATTGCGCCCAGGCACCCAGCTGGATGCATCATCACCAATTAGGCTTGCGTTGTTGCGTGTCCCTTTGCAGCCCGCCGACGTCCGCATCTTCCGCACGCAATTCACTTCCGACAGTGTCCCTCGCCGCATTTCTGATTTTTATTTCCCCCGACTCCTGCCCTCTCCTCCGCAATCGATTCGCCATTTCACCCAACGTTGGCCCTTCAACCGCCCCGTCCTCTCTCTTTCTCTAACCACGAGCTGCTATAACCCATCAGCACGATACCATAGTTAAGAGTCTCTCTACATCTTCTCTGGACCTGTGGTCCAAGTCTGGAAGCCCTCCGACACCCCCGACACCACATCCCGTTTGCGAGTCCTGCAGCCATGGACGAAGGCACCGGCCCACGACGCGAGGGCAAGCTGGCCTCTCTGTCCGCCACCACGGCAAGCAGCATCATTAGCGACTTTGCCCTGTACGAACCCGTTTCCAGAGCCTCGTCTCCAGCTATCCCAGCCTCGAAGAACCACGAAGATGATCAGCGCCGATACCGCCCGCGCACATTTGCCTACTTTCAGCAGCTGCCCTTTGCTGTCGAGAAGCAGGCGGAGCGGGATGCTGCTTTACAGGAAATCCTCAAGCAGCTCTACATTGCTATTCGTGCCGAGGACATGTCTCCTGGCGCGATGCACTGGACGCGCGAGCTCGAAATTTGGATTAATCTCAAGTTTGAGATGCCCCGCGAGCTCCGGGCTAAGCTCACCAAGCTCTACTATTCCCTGGCCCTGAGCCCGGGAGTCGATCCCACCGTCGCAGACAGATTCTTGAGAATGGTGGTCACCCTTACTAGGTAAGTTACAGCATTTCTGTGTTGCCGTGCAGACGGGATTCACAGCTATTGCTTTCTAGCGGTCTGTAGAAGGTGCTAACATTCTGTGCGTAGAAAGGAACACTACCTGAAATCGGGCGATGACCTCATCCTAGATTGGCGACTTCTATGGAACGAGGTAAAGTCGGCAGTACTTCCGACAGCACAGCGCGGAAGCCGCAAGCGTATTGCAAAGCAATTCCTCAAGCTTGCGAATCATGCAAACGCATACTTCGACCCCTCCGAGAGACCGAATATGCTCCAAGAGTTTCTGCCATACTTTAGTGTCAATGAACTGCCCAACGCATTCATTGTCACGGGCGCCATCAGTGCACTGCTTCCCAGCCAGCCTGCACCTGCTACTGATGTCCAATCACAGCCAGGCGCTTTCTTCCCGACATTGTTCCATCTATGGGCCATTGTCAACAGGTCCAAGGTCACCGATGTCTTCTTCGTGGACCTTTTCTCACGATTTGCAAGAGATCACCTGACCTGCAGCCATTTACCTTTCAATGAATACGGCATTTTTACAAAGTCACAGGCTGACATAATCTTCACTACTATCCTTCGACTCACACAGATTCCCGTGGGCCAATCCGGCTCGCAGAGCACACCACTCGATCTCCTGTCTGGAGCAGGCATCCTCTTGGCCAAGGATGAAAAGAAGCACCCCATTGCGTACATGGTTGCTCGATTGGTTGTCAACTCGCTGTCTCCTGCTTGCCTCGGAGACGGTGAATCGATGCTGACGAGCTTGGAAGGCCTCATGGATTCTATTGAGACCTTTTTCCACCCATCTAACCAAGGTGCCTGGACTACTATGCTTGGCCAGTTGACACTCTTCCTCACAGACGCCTTTGTCTCCCGATGGAACAGAGAGCAAGCTGGCGAACTCGATGTTCCTGAGAATCGCAAGATTACCCCGGAGCTGAAGAAGCGTTTTGTTTTGGCCTTGAGAGAGGTCACATATATGGGTATCTTCTCCAAGAGTAGCCGCGTGTCTCGTTTCTATTATATTGCCTTGCAGGGCTTGTCATTCCTTGAGCCCGATTTGATGCTGCCTGGTGCTCTGCAACGATTCTACCCTAGTCTTCAAGGTCTCGTTGAAGTCCACAGAACAACTTCTAGTCTGATTGGTCTACAGATGATCTGCAATCTCATGTCAAAGCTCAAGGGATATCGTTGCCATCTTACCGCATTAATGGCACTCGCTCTCCCTGGTATCGATGCCAACGATCTTGAAAAGACACAATACACTCTCTACTTTATTCAAAGTATGGCCTACAGTATTCCAATCGCTCCTCTTTCCAAGGATGGCGAGATCCACGATACAAATCTGGCAATGCAGTGGGTTCAGGGCGAGATGGAGCGAATGGAGCGTGATGGCCAGAACGTCATCATGAACTACAGCACCGAGCTTAGCGACGAAGACGAAGCCAATATCCTCCGATCCTCTACCGCAGGATTCGGCGAGTTTGTGCTTACACTCCTCGGCAAGGTCTTTACCTTGCTCGAGAACTTACCAGACGCCAACCAGGGCAGCCGTGGCACGCCCGAAGATGATGTTATTAGCGCCCTTTCAGCTGCCATGTCCCCCCTGTTTGCGTCCATGTCGGATGATATCTACGATATGGCCATGGAAAAAATCGCCAATTTTGTATCATCGCATGTGGTGCATCAGGCCCGCGACCCAATGGCTCGAATTTTGAACGCAGTCTGCAAAGTGAACCCCGCCAAAGCTTTGAAGGTCTTTGTACCCATGCTGGTTGTCAACATCCGCAATGAGATTGACGACAACAACGCGGCATCAGATCGCACAACTGGCACCGACTATCTCCCCAGAGATCGTGCTCTAGTATGGAACATTAGCATGCTTGCCATGACAGTAGTCCATGTTGGCCGAGAGGTTCTCAACTACAAGACAGAGCTCCTCGGTATTGCTGAGTACATGCAAGAAAAGATCCGTGGTTTACCAACCCTACTTGTCTCGAACTTTATCCATCATCTGCTCCTCAACCTCACACACACATACCCCATCGATCACTCTCTGTTTGAGCCGGATGTGGTCAAAAAGGGGCTTGATGTACATAACTGGGGTCAGACCACTTCTCCCACCGAGCTTACCATAAAGTGGCACCATCCTTCGCCGCCTGAGATTGAATTTGCTGTGGAACTGTTTGCCTCCCAGACCAAATCCGCTTCGAGTCAGTTAGAGCTGCTGCTTAGCGACGATCCGCCTGTTAGCAGAAAAGGAAAACATAAGGAATGGTCAGATGAGGTGTCAAGATTGATGGAACAGATTTGGCTTGTTATTTCTGGCATGTCAACACTGTTCGATCCGACTCAGAGCAGCAGCGCGGATAATCTTACAACAGATGAAGACGAAATGATGATTGATGATGAGGCTGACAGTGACCCGCTCGCTGAAGTTGCCGAAGACGAGAGTCTTCGACCACAATTCAAATACCCAGCTGGCTACGCATTACAAAAGGGCGATGCCTCATACAAGCGCATCCATGATCTCCGCCAGCAGCTGGGTCACCTGCTTACCAAAGCTCATGCTTTCTTAACTACAAACCAGGAAGATGATGTCAAATCCTTTACATCTCTGTACTCGGCCTACCGAGCCTGGATTACTGACGTCGGCTTTGAGCGATCGGCGCATGCTCATGAAAGACACGTCAACCTGTATAAATCCTATATTGCTGCATTCAAGATCAAAGGCCTCCGCAAGGTTTATCCGAGACCATTGCTCATCAGACGTGCAGAGGCTTATTTGCTGTTGAGAATGAAGCGAAACGGAACCTCGCGACGCAAAAGCGACCTTGATAAGCAACTGTTACTCGACCTCGCCCAATCCTGTTTGTCCTCTTATGCCGATATTCGTCGTGCCGCGCAGAGCGCTCAAGATTCATCTCTGCGCTCCTTAATTGGAGGCAAGCCTGTAGTTATTCCGGTCATTTTGAGCGGACTCCGCGACGCTCTTGATAAGAATGATCATGACCGCATTAAGGGTGGCATGTATTCTATGCTGTTTACGTCTCTTCTCAAAACAATCATCAAGGATTGGCGCTTTGCACCAGAAGCGATGCGTCTATATATTGAAACGGCTAGTATTGATAAACCCTCCATCGAACGCCTTGGATCCTCTGCAGTTCTCTCACTGTATGAGTTTGGAAAGCCGTTTGAGAGAGCCATCGTTATTAATCAGCAGACGCTTGGTCAGATCAAGCCTGCAGACGATGTCGAGACGGAAATCAAATCGAGGCACAAGTTTATCCTGAAACGTCGAAGCAAGGTGGAGGCTGCCAAGACGGATCTCGGATTGGAACTGACCAAGCGAGCCAAGGGAGCTCACTGGAAGGTAGCATCGAGATGCGCTCTTTTTGCATCCAACCTTTGCCTCCGCTTTCACACCATCGCACCCCCAGAGTTTGTTGACCTCATTGCCACTGGCGCCAATGACGCTCACCCTGGACTGCGCACATCGTATGTCAACGCACTTACCGGGCTGTTTACAGCTATTGACACGAGAGCTGTGTATGGCCATGATTACATGAACTATATTCTAGAAAAGGATGTGGCTGAGGAGAACCGGTTGGAGATTCCTGTTACGAAGGGTGATGAAGCCTTCACACAGCACTTCCTCGCCACCTTCACTGAAGACAAAGACCCCGAGTACCTAGTCGATGCCGATTATCCTGGCTGGCTCGTGTGGGGTAAGAAGTTTACGGCGTTCCGTGCTAAGCCTCTGGCCTTTGACAGCTATGACGATCTTGAGCGTGGTGTGCGAGCGCAGCTTGGCAAGATTCTCACAAGAGAGTGGCTTGCCAAGTGTTTTGAATATCTCAAGCAGGAACCACGTGATAGCTACGCTGATCGCGTTTCCATGACCAACGTATATCTGCTGATGCATGTCTTCACTCTCATGTATTACAACGAGACTGCTGTAACATTTGACGATGTCAAGGAGCTCGCTGTGGAGACGTTTGGTGACGGCAGCGACAAACATCAGCACCGTGCCACATCAGAAATCTTGGGAGCTCTGCTGTCTTCTGCTAGTGACGAGCCAGCCGAGATTCGCAAGATGGTCTGGGACTTTGCAGCACCCAAGGTACTCAAGATTTACTCAGATGAATTGACTCCCGAGAATCTGCAGTATTGGTTGACATGCCTGCACCATATTCTGGACACGCGGGACCCCCGCCGCTCGCGAGAGATTGTTGCCAGTCTGGAAGCATTCCGCCTCGATATGGGCTCTAATGCAGCCTTTAAAGAATCGTCCAAGATCCAGCTGCTCGAAGTTGCAATCGGCGAAGGAGGTTGGCATTTCCAGAGGGAGAAGCCCATCTTGGAGAACTTCCTAGGTCACATGGACCACCCGTACAAGGCAGTGCGCGAGGCCATGGGTCGTGTAATTGCTGTCATCAACCGCACTAGAAATCACGAGTCCTTTGAAAATGTGACGAAGCTGCTAGAGGCAAACGCTGCGGCATCTTCCGTGGGTATCCGACCATTCCCCCCATCTGAGGAGCTCACAGCCACGCTCAAGGAAGTGTTTGGCAGACTAGAAAAGTGGCGGCAGGAGCGAGAGCCTGGCCAACAGGAGCAGTCATCGTACACGTCAGGATCGAAGACTGTTCTGGCATGGCTTGACTGCGCCCTGGCCTCGTACGAGTGTGTCCAGCTGGCTCCCTTCTTTACTATGTTTATGAACGAGCTGCTGCATATGATGGACGTCAAGGAAGACCCTGAGTTGATGCGATTGGCCTATCATGTCTATCGATACTTCCCCAACGTACCACTCCGCGAAGGAGAGGACACTGATTTCATCCAGGGCTTAGTCAAGCTTGGTAGAACAGCGTCTAGCTGGCATCAGCGTCTCCGCGCACTAGTGAACATGCAGGTTGTTTACTTCCGTCGTTTGTTTGAGACGAGAGAGCCTGAGCGCGACCTGCTCTTCATGACGGTATCCGATATGCTTGTTGACTCACAGCTTGAAGTGCGTGGCTGCGCCGCAACAACGCTCGCCGGCATGATTCGATGCTCACCACAGCGTATCCGCGAACCCATGATTGCAAAGTTGCGTAAGAGATTTGAGGCAGAATTGGATAGAAACCCTATGCCTAAGAGAAAGCCTAACCTGCCTGGCACTGAGACGCCGGTAGATGTTCACAAGCAGATTCAGCGACGCCACGCTGCAGTGCTGGGACTGGGAGCCTTGATCGAGGCATTCCCCTATGCAACACCACCTCCCAAGTGGATGCCGGAGGTGCTCGCGTTGCTGGCACGTCGCGCTGCAGGAGACAGTGGCGTTGTTGGCAAGGCTACCAAGGGTATCTTGAGTGACTTCAAGAAGACACGACAAGACAGCTGGAGCGTTGACCAGAAGTATTTTACGACGGAGCAGTTGGAGGACCTGGAAGGTGTTTTATGGAAGAGCTACTTTGCATAGATTATGAGCCGTGTACGAAAGGCGGGATCCGAGGAGCTTTGGACGGGAGGCTTAGGCTACTTGTAAATGGATATATGTGCGGGCTTTGGCTAGTTACGGGCAAACCCCCTCCTTTCCTTCGAACGAGGCATGATAGACAAATAGAACGTGTTAAATTGTACTCGTTTTGTGCTAGTGAGCAGCCAAGGCGAAATGTCATTGGCTGGCGCTTGGGAGGGCTTGTCAGCCAGCGCCATGCAGTGTGCCTTGAAATGCGCCTAAAATCAGCCCCAGCAGGCTATGCGGTTGCGAACGGCCATGCCTGCCGGGGTCGGTCCGGGGGGCGCTCTTGTGAGCAGCAGTAGCAGCCACCCGGGATTTCCTAACAGCGTCCCCCGCGGATGAAATGAGCTGTGCAGATTAGGCATGTCGTAGTAAGTGGGTTCGCTGTGTTGTTTCGGAGCCGGTTCCGCCCTTTGTGTCCTGTACGTGTATTTTTCGCAAGGTGGTGATGGGGTCTGGTGTTGGCGCTGAAAACGGGTTCCCCACCAGGCGCCAGGTGCCAGGCAGCTGGCGCGAACAAGTCTAGTGCCATCTGGCAGCTGGCAGTGCAAAAAGTGTAAATATTTAATTGCATGCCCAACGCCATTTCAACGAACGCTTTTACTCTCCAGATCTGAAAAATCTCAAGACACCCTCCCGGCTAACCTGTTCTTCTGACAAGCACACTCACTCACACACACAGTCGTGCACACACTCACACACAATCGATCGTGCACGTAACGTTAGCTCCTGCTTGCTTGCACATGTCCGAGCTGCCAGATGGGCTCTGCCGCCTCTGCTCGTAAGCGGTTCGCGCCTAGACGGTACCCAAACACAAGATCGCGAGCGTCGTCTGTAGAAGTCGCTGGTGAGAGTGCCTCTCATAATCACAAGATGCCGCGCACCAATGGCGCCGCTGTGCCGACAAGCGCGCAGGCGTACTTTGCCGCGCGGGAGGACCTTATTAAGCTGGAGAAGACGATGGGGTTTGAGCACGAGTGCCGGTATCAAGCGACGGACCTGGAGCGCCGGGTAGATGCCATCTTGCAGCGCCTTCGAAGGGTAGATGACGAGACTGTGTATGCTGGCGCGGCGCCGCGGTCTGATGAACGAGGTCAGGCGCATCAGCGCTTTGCGGGCGACCATTTCCTCTCGAATGTCGAGCTGATTGAGCAGACGGCGCTGTTTCGCGTGGCTTCGCGGATGCCCAAAGGGGCGCATCTGCATATTCACTTCAATGCTTGTTTGCGGCCGGCGGTGCTGCTGGGCATTGCGAAGACGATGGACCGCATGTTTATCACGAGTGATTTGCCGCTTGTCACGGAGTCGGGGTTTGATAAGTGCGAGTTGCAGTTTTCTATCCTGAGCCCGGAGAAGGAGGTACCGGGAGATTTGTTCTCGGCGGCGTACGAGCCACGGCAGACGATGCGCTTTGCAGAGTTTCTGAAAGTGTTTCCCCAGCGGTATACGAAGAGTAGTGCGGATGATTGGCTGGTGCAGAAGCTTGTGTTTGACGAGTATGAAGCGCACAACTTTATGCAGACGGCGTCTGGGTAAGTTTTCCATTTGGTATAGTGATTTGGGTGCTTGTTTGTATGCTAACGTGTTTTGTGTGCAGAGCGTGGAAAAAGTTCAACGGCCGGACCCGCATGATGAAGGGCCTGTTTAATTATGAGACAGCATATAGAGTGTATACCCGGATGTGTCTGGAGGACTTTGCACGGGACAAGATCCAGTATGCCGAGATTCGGCCCAACTTTATGACGAGCAACCAGCTGTACTCGGACGACGGAACCGGGTCAATCGACAACTGGGGCATTATGCGGATCATCATATCCGAAGTAGAAGCCTTCCAGGCACGAATGGCCAGCGAATCCCGCTGCTTTAGCGGCCTCAAGGTCATCTACTGCACGCCGCGCTCCATGTCTCGCGAGAATGTCAAGGCGGCGCTGGCAGAGTGTCTCGACTTTAAGCGCCACTGGCCCCAGTGGATAGCAGGCTTTGACCTCGTGGGTGAAGAGGCGCGCGGACACCCTCTCAAGGACTTTGTGCCTGAATTTCTCGAGTTTAAAGAAATGTGCCGAGTGGATGGCGTTGATATCCCGTTTCTCTTCCACTGCGGCGAAACGCTCGACTTTGGCACAGACACGGACGAGAACCTCGTGGATGCGCTGCTGCTAAACTCGAAGCGCATCGGGCACGGCTTTGCTCTGTCCAAGCACCCGCTCATCATGCGGCGCATGCGCGAGCAGGGTGTCTGCGTGGAACTGTGCCCGATATCCAACGAGATACTGGGCCTGACGCCCCGCGTTAGCGGACACTCCATGTACAATCTGCTCGCGAATAATGTGCACTGCACAGTGAGTTCTGATAATGGGACACTCTTCCGGTAAGTTTTATCCTACTTTGCGTTTCTGCAAGATAGATTGTTAACATAGCGCAGGTCGACACTTTCACACGACTTTTACCAAGTCCTCATTGGAAAGGCCGACATGGGCCTTTTTGGCTGGAAGCAGCTTGTGAAATGGAGCCTAGAGCATTCATGTATGAGCGATGACGAGAGACGGACAGCAGAGACACAATGGGAGCACATGTGGAACGAGTTTCTGGCATGGGTAGACGCCGAGTATGCGCATGTGCTGGCTTAGAAGAACAACTCGCGGCGTTCAACACGGAACAGGTTTTTAGATGGATGGATTATACCCGGAAGCAATTCCCGCTCGCATATTGGCGTTTTGGCGTTGGACTTGACTCCAAATTCTTTTTGAAATAAATCATGACTTTTATTTATATGTTGCTTTTTAATGGTCTAAATGCTGTTAAAATACCAGAGCAACTCCCTCCCAAAAAAAACGACACTAAAAAAGTAGTCCGTAGACGTGGCAATATAAAACAATGACAAACAGTATATAGAAACACATGCAAAGCAATGTAGGAGTAAAGAAATGTAGATGAAACGGCCCGTTTCGACGCCTGACGATACAAAGGGAAAGAAAGAACAAAAACCAGTAAATGTACTTTTTTCTTTATGCAGCAAGATGCACAAATGCAGCAGTAGATTTAGTCAAAGTAGACGCTCTTATTGTCGGTAATGTCGATGGCGCCACCGCGGAAGCCGTTCTTCTTCTTCTTGTTCTTCTCCTTGGTGAAGCCCTTGCCCTTGGTGACAATGAGGTCGTTGAAGGCGTTCTGCGAGTAGTCCATGGGGACGTACTCGTTGGAGGCGAAGCGCGGGTCGACGTAGACGTCCTTGGGGATGCGCGAGAAGGGCTCGTTTTGCTTGCGCTTGCCAGTGGCAACGGGGACGGGGGGCAGAGGGGGGTTGACGGCGGTGTCAAGCGTCACGGAGGAGTCGGACGAAGTCTTGCCGGACTTGCCCTTGGGTTTGGCGGCGGCAGCTGAGGTGTCGCTGTCAGAGTCGGAGTCGGAGGAATCAGAGGAATCAGAGTCGCTGTCGGACTCGGGCAGGGCAACCTTGGCGGCCTTCTTCACTTCAGCGGAGGCGTCAGAGGAGCTGTCGCTGTCAGAGTCGGAATCGGAATCCGAGTCAGAATCAGAGTCTGAGTCGCTTTCAGAGTCGACGTCCATCTTCTCAGTCTCAGCAACCTTGGCCGTCTTTTGCTTCTTTGTTTGGGGCTCATCGTCAGACAAGTCCGAGTCGGAGTCGCTGTCGTCAGAGTCGCTGTCGGAGTCGCTGTCGGAATCAGAGTCGGATTCATCACTGCTCTCAGGAGCCTTGCGCTTCAGGTTGGCCGCAGGGGCGAGCTTCTTCTTGGGTGCCTCATCCTCTGAGCTGGAGTCAGAGTCAGAGTCGTCACTGTCAGACTCGCTCTCAGAGTCGCTGTCGCTGTCCGAGGAGGAGTCGTCAGAGTCAGAGTCGGAGTCGGAAGAGTCCTCCTCGAGCTTCTTCTGCGCAACAGACCACAGCTCATAGACGGAAGCCAATGTGTGCTCCTCCTTGCTGTCGGATGTAGCAGTCCAGCCCTTTTCCTTGCGGTCCTTCTTGAAGGCCTTGAGGGCCGAGCTCAAGGAGTTGCTGCTGAGGAAGCCCTCGACCATGTCGAGCAGCTGAGCAGGAGGGGCGGCGGCGGCGGCATCGCCCTTGGAGGAAGAAGATTTCTTGGCCATTTCGTTTGATGGGATGCCGGAGTTGGTGTTGTTGTTGCGGAAGAGCCACGAGGGTGGTCCTTTTGCCGAATTGGACATGTAAAGCAGGTGTTGCGAAGGGAAGATGATTATACAGAACGGCCGCAGAAAGTACAGCTTGTGAAAGGAGTCGGGTGGGCAAATGCAGGGTGCAGAGTGTCGAATGCTTCACCGGGGAGGATTTCTTGCAGCTTTTTTTCTTCTCTCCAGGCGGACCAAACGGCGTCTAGAAAATTTTGGTGGAGTTTTTTTTGTGGTGGGGCCTAAAGAGGAAAGGCTGGGGGTTATCGCAAGGCTTATCGGGATAGGTGCCCAAGACTGAGCGATGGGCGCTGCGGATGCAGGGCGTAGCCGGTGTGTGCGTGTGTGATGGAGGGGGGTGATGGGAGTGCTTTGAGAAGTATAGAATATTTGGTCATACATTTTATCGAGATAATAGGCAGATAATGGCTTGCAGTAACAAATTGGAAAGTATGCGCAAATGCAACTGCCCGACGTTAAAACTATGTATATGCAACGGAGAGCGGTGACAGCAGTGTTTTGATAGTGACGGTTTATACTAGCACAAAGCCTCATATGATGTATATAATTAAAAAATAATGTTTTGAACAATGTGTACAATTAAAAAATTATTTTTAATCTTCAATTACCACTCTGACGTGTACAGTTCCATCTCTTGCATCCCATCCAAATACCTGTCGGGTAGTGGTCTAGGCGACTGCTGCCCACTGTAGTCGAGTTACAGCACTGCAGCCTACAGTGGCATGCCCAACGTGGTACGTACCCAATACTTTCTTGTCCAAAACCCACTGGGAGGGTCCCCCCAATTTCGTCAACACCCTTGCAACGTCACGAAACCAGACGCGATCGCTGCAAAAAGACCTGGCCGCGCTACCGTCAGCCCGCTGAGCCACCAGGTACCCTGCTCTGTTGCATCACGAGCTGTTGCAGTTCGCTGTACAAACAGAAGAAGCAGCTCAAGTGTCCAAACGCGCAAACACGTCCAAGCACGCCCGTACACAAGACAGACATCACCAGCTGCATGCTTCAACGGCCCTCTGCTTGTTTCACAGCCCGTTTGCCCCCTTTTCCGCGTCTACATCCCATCCAAGTATTGACACCAAATGCTTTGCTAATGACCCCCCGGCCCCCAAAGTAACATACCAGACCACCCGTTGTACCACACCTCGCCTTCTTCTTCGCCGGACCCTTGAGCCCAAACCTCCACACAACATGAATGCCACTAAGCGCAAATTCAACGCTCTCCTCCAGGGCCTGAATTCTCCTCGTCCCTCCTCGCCCGATCATAGCTCATCGACATCCGTTCTCGCCTCCTCTCTTAAGCGTCACAAGACGAGCAGTACTACCACAACGATGGAGAATCCCCTGCTGCCTGCAAAAGCGCCCATCGGTCAGGCTCTGCTACGCAAACGAGTCTCCCACGTCTCCCTCGGCACCCAGAACCAGGCTGCCGCCAAATACTGTCCTAGCGATCGAGAACAGCTGCTACGTCGGCTTGCCACATTTCAAGAAATTACAGACTGGACGCCAAAGCCCGACCGCGTCAACGAGGTCGAGTGGGCGAAGCGCGGGTGGGTGTGCCAGGGCAAGGAACGCGTTCGCTGTGTCCTTTGCCACAAGGAGCTTGTTGTCAAGCTCAACCGAAAAGAACAAGATGGAAAGGAAGTTACCGTGCTGGTTGCGTCAGAAATTGGTGCGTACTCCAATTAGCTAGTGACGAGACGGCCCAAAGCGTAATACTAACTGTTTAACAGAAGATGCCATGGTCGACAAGTACGTAGAGCTCATGACGACAGAGCATCAGATGGAATGCCTGTGGCGAAAACGGGGATGTGAAGGTACTGTACACCCGTCAAACACTGTAGTGTACCATGACGTGGACTGACTGTTGATCTAGATTCTATACTACGAGTATCCTTTGCCAACGCCAGTATAACCCTCGAGGGCCTACGACAACGATACGACGACCTGTGCTCCCGACACACCTTTCTCCCTTACGAATTCAACCTCCGACTACCCGACGATTTTGTGCTAGACGACGTTATCGCCCTCTTGCCAACGGCCTTCTTCACACATCCCCCGCCGATAGAAATCCCCGGGAGGACAGCTGCTGATGGCCCCAACCGCACGGCTCTAGCACTCGCACTGCTTGGCTGGCAGGGCCTGACGAATCCACGAATTGGCCCTGTCCCAAACACGGCGTCATGTAATACATGTCTGAGGAGATTGGGCCTCTGGATGTTCAAGAGCAAAGAAGTCGATGCCGATGGCAAGGTTCTTGTGGCAGCACCCATGGACTATCTGGACCCGATTCGCGAGCACCGCTTCTTTTGCCCGTGGAAGAATGCCGATACCCAGGTTCGCGGAGACCAGAGCAGCAAAGACGACCTCCAACCTGCTTGGAAGCTGCTTGTCCAAATGATTAAGAACGAGCACGACCTCCGCGACTTTTACGAAAGCCGCGCCAGAAAGACTACTACTGGCACCGTGGCCGAGCAGCCTCGCCCACAAACACCAGCCCCAGATGTGGATCAGTTTTCTGAAGTGTCTGAAATTCCACAGCTGGTTGTCAACGCCACACCGGGTGATGAGGATGACGCTCAACGTGATGCCAAAGACAAGGAGCGCTGGGCGCGACTACGCAAAGTTAAGAGCTTGTTCGACACAAAGGGTTCTAAGAGATTACGGAAGCAAGTTAGCCGTCCGACATCAGTCTTGTCTGCGGCGTCCAAAACGGACAACTAAAAATGGCATCGTGCCTCTTATATATAATACATGTACTATACAATTCCCTTTGAAAAGTAGCGTTTACTCTAGAATACAAAACCTATCCATGGCACACCAAGCCATCTATTTCTTCCACTGCAAATCATCAAATGATACAATCTTTCCTTCGTAAGACTTATTTTGAGGCTCCTCTGGCGTCTTTGCCCTCTTGACACCAAGATCAATACCTGCCATTTCCAATATCGCTGCTCTCACACCACCCATGCCACCACCATTACCCAGCGTATTCGATGCGCCTCGCATCCCCGCCGCTGTTAGATACACATCTGGCACCCAACCCGACCCCTCTGACCACTCATAGTCAGACTGCACCTCGAGCGCTCGCAGCTCCTCCTGCAGCGCCCGCGCCATGTCTGACCCAACGACCGACCATCGGCCCTTTGCCTTGTCCACCTTTGTCAGGACAGCCAGTGTTCTCGTATTTGTATCTGCCAGCGTCTTGAGGATCCAGCGGTCCGTATCGAGCAGCTTCTTCTCCGAGGACAGCAGGACAATCGCGCCCCGCAAGGCCTTGCGCGATGCAAGGTACTCGACAATAGACTTGCCCCATGTAGCTTTACTCTTGAACCCGTAGCCTGGCGTGTCCATGACAATGAGAGGATGCGTGGGCTTGTGTGTGCCTGGTGTTAGGTCCTTTTTGGGCGTGATGGGCGCGGGGCCGACGCCGTAGGCGTTCATGAGGGTGGTTTTGCCGGGCCGGGGGCCGACGCGCGCGGTGCCGGAGCGGGAGACGAGGGCGTTGAGGAAGGATGATTTGCCGACGTTGCTAGCGCCGAGGAGGACGACTTCGGGCGTGAGGGGGTTGTAGGGGTGGTCTTTGAGGGCGGCGGCGGAGTAGAGAAAGCGCGGGTTTTTGCGGAAGAAGGTCTCGATGGGGGCGAGGGAGTCGATGGTTTGGGAGGAGGGGGTGGCGTGGAGGTGGTGGGAGGCGTCGTAGAAGATGTCGGAGTAGAGAGAGGGTGATTTGAGAGTTTCTTCTGGTGAAGATGATGGTGATGGTGAGGGTGAGGGTGAGGAGGGGGTTGGTGGCGATGAAGGTTGAGGTGGTGGGGGGGCTGGCTTCAAAGAGCGAGGTGAGGGAGCCATGGGTGAGCGTCTAGGGAGGTGGGTGATGGCGCTTGTAGAGAAACATTGTGATATCCCGCGACCCGGGAACATCGGGGAGAGACGGCGCGCTGTGACCATCGTATAGGAGGTGGATGCGCTGAGGGCGCGGGTTGAGCTTGTGATGAAGAGGTTGTAATTTAAAGTAGTGGCATTTTTGGAATTAATGAGAGAAAAGAGCGAATAGAGAGCGGAGGAGGCTTGATGAGGGAGCGATGGCTGCCGTGATGGTGATGTTGAAGCGTCGTTGAAGGGATTATGTAAGTTTTTGGTGGTGATAATTTTCAGTGGCTACGCCGTGCGTCAACCTCAGTCCTCCAACATTGACTTATACTACACGCCCACTTGTTGCGTTATTTGTGACGTCACCATGAAATTCGAAGTCATCGAATAATTCTAACAGAGATTTATTTAAAAGCCAGGCTATTTGTAGACATTGCGGCCTCCTCTCAACCTCATCTCTGAGTCACAATCATGACGACTGCCATCACAGAGCTGGATGCTCACGAGCAGCCCTCGGATGTGATGAAGGCGAAATGGAAGGCCTGGTCAAGAATGGAACCATCGGAATTTGTCGATAATGACAGAATAGACGATCCACGCAAACCGCTTTCCGTGTCTGGCTTTTTGCAAGCCGCCTCGATATCTGCAGGCCAGCTCAACGACGCCTTTACAAAGCTGACTGACGGCTCATATACTACCAAAGCGACAGAAGACATTCCTGTTATACATCACCCTATTCTACCAGGTTCGTATATCCCAGATGCATCAAACGGTAACGCTGTCTAACCTGACAACAGGTCTGCTCATCATCCCCAACATGGTTCCGCCAGAGATGCAAACAATCCTACTGGAAAAGATGCTGCATCGCGATCTAAGCAACCCTACTCATCAAACAAACCTTCACCTCCATTACACCCTTCCATACCCTGCTGACTCTGCATCCTTCTTCTCAATGGCACCAGAATCCGACCAGACCTTCACTCCCAAGGACCCCTCTGTTCACAAGCCCCTCAATGCACGCCAGGTCCTTCAGCGCCGTCTACATTGGGTGACGCTTGGTGGCCAATATGACTGGACAAACCGCGTGTATCCTGACGAACGGCCGCCTACGTTTCCGCAGGACATCTCTGCGTTTCTGGACGCGCTCTTCCCAGACACAGATGCCCAGGCAGCCATTGTCAACTTTTACACGCCAGGCGATACCATGATGATGCACAGAGACGTCAGCGAGTTTACTGATAGAGGCCTCGTAAGCTTGAGTCTAGGCTGCGACGGGCTATTCATGATTGCTCCTAATGGATGGAAGCCGGTGGTGGGAGAGGAGAGCACAGAGAAAGAGTACCTGCTGCTTAGACTGCGGTCCGGCGACGCCATCTACATGACGCAAGAGTCGCGGTATGCGTGGCACGGCGTCCCCAAAGTCCTGCCTGGTACGTGTCCGGATTACCTGGAGAATTGGCCCGCAAAGGATGGCGAGTATACGGAATGGGAGGGCTGGATGAAGAACAAGCGCATCAACTTGAATGTTAGACAGATGCACGAATAATGAATGACGCACGGGCCAAAACGCAGCTCGCATTTGTCAAACTCGGACTATTTTGTTTTCACCAATTTTGGCGTATGTTTCTTGTTGCTATTTAAGCGAGGCGCAGACCTGATTGGGCAATTCGTCATTTCCAACAAAGCTTTGGAGTGAGGCTTCGTAAGGCTCTCGGCAGAATAGGGCTAGTGTCATGGGCGTCGGTTGAGGCCGCGAAACAGTTTGCGTATGCTGACAGAGTTGCATAATGGGCTTGACACAAGTGCATTATGGGCTTCCTAATTAGGATTGAAGCTGGCCAGCCTCGCACGCGAGTCTCGGACTTGGGCAAGGCAACCCCGCGCTAGTGATCGACCAGCTATATAACCCCCGGATAGAACGACGCAATTCTCTGGTGGAGGAGGTCCATATTATTGAACTTTACTATTTGAAAAACAAAAAACGATAATTGCGAAACACGAAATAATGGCCGACTCCGAAATAGTGAAAGACGTTGTCGTGACCCCAGGTGTCTTTGACGAAGACTTGGCCGAGGAACTCTACAACCTGGACAGCCCAGTAAACTTTCGATTTTCTCCGAAATGCGACAGGCTGGTCTATCAGAGTGGCCTAACCTTCATTGGGGCCAAGGAAAAGCAAAAAGGCACCATCTGGCTTGCAGCCACTGACCAAGCCGGGTCTGCTCGGCAGTTGACCACTGGCCTCTTCAACGACAGTAACCCAGAATGGCACCCAGATGGAGACCATATTATTTTTCTGTCTGATCGGGCCAGTCCAGGAGATGCGCAGTCGATATGGATGATGCCTCTGACTGGCGGAGACGCACGCCCCGTTTCATCAACAGAGGCTAGGAACAGCGTACAGTCGTTTAAAGTATCCCCTGATGGCAAGACGATTGCATTCCTGTCCAATGATGAGATTTCCAAGGAAAAGAAGGAGCAAGAGGAAAAGGATGGGGCTCTTCCTCAAGTCTGGGGAGAGGACTGGATCTACAGAAGGCTACGTATCCTGGACATTGAGTCGGGCAAAGTCCGCACGCTCAGCGAAGAAAAGCGCCATGTCTACGAGATGGATTGGCATCCTGATGGCAAGAGCATCGCATACAGCAGTGCTGCCAATACCGAGGAACCTGAGCCTGTCCTTTCTGGTGCCAGGCTATCTGTGGTAGATGTTGACAGTGGCGCTATCCGCCATGTTTACAATGTTCTTGCTGAAGTGTACGATCTTACTTATATGACGGATGGAAAGCTGTACTTTATCGCACCCTACGAGATTCATCTGATCAAAGGAAATTCGGGTGCTCACTCCGTTGACACATTGGCGGCCGAACCAACTCTCAACAGGGCCGCGCTCGGGGAGACAGACTCACCGGTCCAGATTTTGAAAGAGGGCGATAAGGTGTACATCCGACGTCAAAACCGAATTCAGGACGAAGTATGCGATATTGACGGCAACGTCATGTTCGCTAATGGCGAGTCATTTAAGCAATGGAGTGTTGGAATTGACCCCGAATCACAGCAGCCCATGTTTGCTCTCGGCCTTTCTACGCCGGACAAGCCATGCGAGGCATATGTTGTCAGGAGCGGCAAAGACACCATCCAGTTATCCAACTTTGGCAAGGCTGTGAAAGACAAAGTCAACGCAACGACACACATATTTACTTGCCGATCCTTAGACAACGAAGAAGATATCGAGGGCATCTTTATTGTGCCGACGGCATCAATCGGCTCTGACTCTGACTCTAAGCCGGCTAAGCCTCTTCCAACGGTTGTCATGCCCCATGGCGGCCCAACATATAGAGACAGTCTAAACTTTGACCCCTCCCGCTTTTCCTGGACACCCTACCTCCTCAACAAGGGCTACGGCATCTTGCTCATCCAGTATCGCGGCAGCACCGGCTACGGTCAGCGCTTCGCGGCCTGGAGCGGCCGCGGCATTGGCACATTTGACTACGAAGATGTGATTAGCGTGACGGACCATGCGATTAAGCAAGGCCTTGCCGACCCGAAGCGAATGGTCGTTGGATACTGGAGCCAGGGCGGTTATCTTGCGTACCTGTGCGCTGTACGCAACGGCCTACACAACCTGGGATGGAAGTTTAATGCTGTGATTGCAGGTGCCGGCTTCTGTGATATTGACAGCCTCATGCTGGGGTCTGATTGTGGCCCTACGGACCAAGTCGAGCTGGCTGGATTCAAGGGCCCGTGGAAGATTGATAGGGATGACACTACTGCGCGAAAGGCTAGTGCCATATGGGAAATGAAGCATGCCGTGGAAGAGGCGAAGCGCAGGGGCGAGATGGTAATTCCGCCGGTGCTGATTCTGCATGGCGAGCTGGACAACCGATGCCCGTATTGGCAGGCCGTGGCATTTCAACGTGCCTTGCGTTGTTATGGCTTGCCGTGCGAGTTTGTCACGTATCCGGGACAAGGCCATATGTTGATGCCCAGGAGTCATCAGATGGATGCTCTCAAGCGGGTGGCCCGGTTGTGTGATGCGTATGCTGGGCCGGGGTTCAAGATTGGGGGAGAACCTTAAAGTATACTATTTTGATAGAGGTGGACTTTTCGGGTTGGCCATATAGATTGAAAATATAAATGTATTTTGTCAAATTCTTGTGTATAGGTGTGAATGTAAGTGACTTGTACCTGCAACAGACTGGTTCGCTGGCAGGTCAACATTTTGGTTCCTCACAACTCTATTATTTTATGAGCTCTTGACGCCAACAAGGCAACGGCAGCTGCTCCACAGAGAGCCGATGAAAAAATATACGGAAGCCCGCGCCAAATGCCGCCCCAGCGGATACCCCATTTGAGTGCCTGTGCTAGTACTGGACCAGCAACTAGCGATCCGACAGTGTCCATGAGAGATAACGTGCTGTATATGCTGCCCAACCTGTGCGGATCAACAAGCATGCTTATAAGCGAGCGTAGAAAGATGCCAAATGCGCCACCAAGCGTGTACAGCGTAAGTCCTGGCCCAAGTTAGTCTTTGTTCTGATGTTAGCTTTGCAAATATGCCAACACGTACCAGAAATAACAACTGCAACGTTAGGGGCAAGCGCTAGAATGACAAAGCCCGTTGTGATAAAGCAGATACTGACTCGAGCTAGTAACATATCTTTTCTAGCTGGCTCCATGGCTCTGTTTACGCGCAATGTTCTATCGACGAGCGGCAGGATGAGAAGGTTGAGAAGTATGGATGCAGCGGCTCTCCATGACAGCAAATAGTTTGCCTGGTGTATGTGGGTTAGTGTGGAGGAGTGAATGACACTGCATGACTGACCTTTCCAAGACTGAGCTTGTATCGGATGGAGACGTATTGCACCAGGTACATTAAGGATTGGCGAGCAAAATCGGAAACAGAAAAGACGCAAACCAGTAGCAAGAGGGTTGGATGGTCTCGAATATACGCAATGGACTTGACGACGTGTCTAAGTGTGCTTTTGAAGGAAACCTCCTCTTTGATCTGCTGTTCCGCATCGTCGAGTGGTTTTGGGAGCGTTTCTGGAGTACTAGCTGCAATAACAACCGCTAGAGCCAGACATCCAAGACCCAGAAGCAGCGGGATCCAGGGATCCGTGTCGATAAAGTAGGATGCGATTGGCGGCGCAATGACCTCTGAGCCAAGATACGACGCCGTAAAGTAGAGAAAAACACTCGATCGCGCAGACTGCGGCGTAGAGTCGGTAAGAATCATAGTCAAACAGGCATTGGAGACTGCGCTGCCACCGCCAATGAGGAGGAATGTGGACGAGAGCCATGCCAGGCGGAGCGGCCACTCCATCCAGCCTGTGTTTTGGGTGGTTAAAATGTCTTGATCATTAGACGTATAGAAACAGAGACTTACAGACGAGCAGCGTCCAGCACGATGCGAGGAATAGGCCTGTGGCACTTGTGATGAAGATGGGGCGACGGCCGATTCGGTCTGCGAGCGCACCAAAGTAGAGGCCGAGGAGAATACCGACGATGCCGTCAAAGAAGGTCTGCATGCCGAAAATCTCGACAACGGGGCCCTGGACCTGCGGGATCTTGCATTGGGATTCATCAGGCCGGCTAGAGGTGTTGTAGTAGTTGCGACATGTAATGTCTTCGAGGACGCGTGTCAGAGGCGCGATGCTGACAAAGTCGGCGATGTCGGATACGAGAGTGAAGAGGAAGATGAGACTGATGGCGTAGATGTTTATTTTTTGTTCGGTTTTCGCAGGTGATGGTGATGATGCGTCGTTGTCTTGGGCGAGCAGTGGCCGCGTGAGGTCGTCGTCTTCAGTGGACATGTTGTTGTGGCTAGAAACGAAATAGAAAATCCGGGGAAAGGAGGATTTCTAGTTTGACGTGTTACAATCGTGAGTCAAGTTGCTGTTTCTGGGGAAATGGACTCTTTCTGTCCCTCGGGGTTCTTGGCCGCGCGGCTCAGCCTGATTCCAGACGCCTACCGTAGCTAGGCATGTAAATAGAGACGATGGCACGATTACAGTAGATTGTGATGCATGTTTTGTTCAAGCATTACTCTATAGCTTCCAAGCCTTTTAAATCGCTATTTCGTGTAAATTATAGTATATATACTCTACAGAAGAAACGAAATTTGGTCTAAGCGAACAAAAGTGTCCATCTACCCTCTACTTTAGCAGCCTGCCAACACATCGTGGGCAAAGTACGAATACGTATCCGCATGGTTAATGTTCTTATCAGCAGACAGACGGCGCAATCCATCATATCCATAGACGCCATAGTCATCAGTATTCTTCACCTCGTTCAAATGCGTCGCCTCGTGTAGTGCAATGAACGCCTGGTCGACCTTTCTGCAACCCTTGTCGAGTTCCTTGAACCTCTGGAACCACGTGTTGCAAAAAACAATATCTGACGGTGAAAACACACAGTATGCCACCCACCCGCGCCCACAGTAGTTGTGAATATCTCTGCAGTGCAGGTTCGGCTTGCCACCTCCGCTGTACACTCTGGCCATTTTGTCAAACACACCTGCAACAATGTTGCGCGTGTTATCGTCGGTTCGCTTAAAATATTCTTCCATCTTCTTGGCCGGGCCGCTCTTGGCTGCTTTGGAGGCCTCGATAGCCATGCTGTGCGTGTGCTTGACTGATGCTTCGACGGCGCTGCGCTGTGCTCCGGAGCAGTTGGAGTTTATGTTGGCGCGCTTCTGGTGCGTAGAGCGAAAAGAGTGTAAAGAGTAGGATGCTTGTTGGCCGTCAATCTCTGTGAGCAGCGTGTTGGACTCGATGGCATGCGTGCCGATATTGGTGATGTCGCCGTTGACGGCGTAGTCGATGTTGAGGCGGGATTGGATCATGTAGCGGCCACCCTCGGTGAGATCGAAGGTCTCGGCGACGTCAAAGACGACTTCTTCGCTTTGTCTGGGGAGGATTGTCGTGAAGTCTGTCGCGGTGAGAAGGTCGCGATCTATGTAGCCGCGAAGACCCTGGAATGGGATGTTTTCTCCTGTTTCTGTTTTATACCATGTATGTAAGTGCTGCAATCTCTACGGTAGGCATGAAGTAGGGCGGACTGCGTATTGTATGTAAACGTACCTTCGGAAGTAATGTGGACTTTTTGTACGGGGTATTCACTGAGAAGGCCATCTGCATTCAGCACCACGACTGGCTCAAGGCCTTCGTTAGTTAGAGTAGCTACAAGGCGCGAGTTTCCCATCACGGCGATGTTCAAGTTGAATACGGGATGCACAGTCACGGCGGCCACGGCCGCAGCTCTGGCAACAGCAGCAAGAGCACGCATAGACTTCATATTTGTGAATGAATATCTAGTGGTAAAATTATGGAGGACGAGAGAAGAAGAATATAAACTGTTTTATTGGCACTTTGTAGCCTCTCGACACATTTTACAAAGATGTTCCCGGCTCTTGGATGCCATGTGTAAAAGTGTCTTGGATTTGGTGTTTGTCTCGCATCCAGTCCATACACATGTTATAGATATCTGGTAGTGTGATGCAATGCTAACTCGGCAGATCTAACTAGCGAACACCTTTTTCGGGATTTAGGCATTAGGACGGCTTTATGCATGTAGCCCTATATAGAGTATCAGGATGTACAAAATCACACGGGCGCACAATGCCGGGTTCTTGGCCGCGGTGTCCGCGGCTGGCTAATTAAGGCGATTTTCATGCATCCAAAGTACGTGTATTTTGTCCACTATCCCGAATCTTCCAGGCGATGTGCGGCATGTGGGAGCCATCTTGTCAAGACTATTGGGTGGCGGCCCGCCACAATGTGCTGAGCCATGCCAGGCGAGGCGGGAGGCTATCGGCAATTGTAGATCGACACTAAGCATAACTTTTTCAGCTTGTAATTTTCTCGTTGACAGTTTATTTCTAGTACCTGCTCGACTTGCAGACGCTATTCCAACCAGCCAGGTTCCGACAGCGACCAACGCGTTGACAGTAAAGCAAGAAAGACAAATAAAAGTGACATGGAATGAAATTCTATTTAGAGCACGAAGAGCTGCTGCATCCATCGCCAAGTGAGGCTCCTTCACACGTGGTGCCCATATCCGGTGGCTTACACGGGCTTGGGCCGCGAAGCATCTTCGAGTCAGTGAATAAGCGCCACGGGCAATTCTTCCCTCAAGCTGAGCAGCCTTTTGAGGGATGCCACCAATGTGGCAGAAGCAAAGTGGCTTGCTTGCCTTATTATCGGCCCTGCGTGCTCTTGTACTGTGTAGTGTTATTTGGGAAATACGGATAAAGTAGTCAGTCGCAGGGCAAACACACGGGTATAAGTCTCGGGCACCCGCCTGCTCTGTCAGAGTCGCGAAGCTGAGGAAACACGTCAGCCAGATTGTAAATTCTACAAATAAACATGGCACACACACTGGGACATCATGCTGTTCATCACATTGGCGAGTGGCTGATCCATGGCGCCCCTGGTGCATCTAGCACTTGGGATGAGATCACGGCCGACTATGCAGGCGAAGCACGCAAGTGCGTTAATGAGATCTTGACAGAGCACCCTTACGGTAAAGCTTCCAAGATGGTGTACTCTTGAAGGAAACGTGTTTTGCTAACAATGGCTGCTGCTGGTAGTCTACTTTGACTTTACAGACGTGTCTCGCGGCATCAGCAAATGGATTACGATTGGCGATGAAGATGAGCTACGCATCCGATACGGAAAGGATTCCTCCAACACGGAGGTGCTACTCATCCAGGGCGAATATTTTGGTAAGTTTGTCTTGGCTTGAACAATAGCAGCAGCCTTCGCCAGAAGACCGAATAACGCTGACTGGGAAACCAGAGGACATTAAGCGCATCTCCGCTACATACAAGGTGGTTAGGGAAATGACGGGATACAACTGCAAAACATATCAGTTTAAACGTGGAGAATTTGTGAGTACCGAAAGGGAGTAGGAGGACTGATAAGTATACACACTGCCATTTGTACGTGGACAATGATGCGCAGGCGCTGCTCACGGGCTGCGGTATCTTTGATAAGAAGCTGCTTCAAAGTCCCGATGCGAATAAAACAAAGACAGACAACGATGGAAAGGGCGGGAAGAATGACGACGAGAAGTCGGGTGCATCTCTTGTGTCGACATTGGGTCTTCTATCGCTAACTGGCTTTCGTCGTATTTGTACTCTAGAGCACACTCTATTATGAACAACTGCAAATTGTAGCGAAATAACGTTCCAAAGGTATAAACTATGATATGCATAGTGCACATGTTATCCTTAATCAATCTGCTATCTTTCAGACTTTTGTGCAGCGTGTTCAACCATGGTTACTTGAGATTCCTCGCCACCAAACCGCAGCTTAGTCGAGCCCATCCGCTTCTGCCACTGATTAGTCGAAGCTCTCGATAAATTGCCCCCTTCATACGTGACATGAGATGTAGCTACTCTTCCCACACTGGTGTCATTAAGCATGGCCCGGAGATTCTTGACAAGTCGCCAATTGACTACGCCCGAGATGAGCGCTGCCAGCACGGAAACGATACAAAACACAAGCAGGATAATGGCTGGCGTCGCAAAGGCAAGGTTATACTGCACCCTACGGATAAACACCTGCACATTATGCCGCCCACCAATACCATCCACCACAGTCTTCGACGAGCTTGCTACCTCGGCGGCTGGTTTGGCCGTCATGACCGAATTGGCCAACATATCTGTCCAAATGAGACGCAGAATGGCCCCGTAGCCGTTTTCCTTGGCCGCCAGCTGTGCCCATTTCGTGCTGAGCATCATACTCTGTGCACCCGTGTAAGAAGGCAGAAACGACGGGCCATCCAGCGACACCGCACGACCAAAGTTGCTCACCACTGTGGTGAGAATGCCTACCGGCGCTACCGTGGCAGCAAGCATGTCCAGCGGCGCTGCCTGATATTCCCACGCACCGCGGAACGAATGCGGGAGGTAAAAGGACGCCGCTTTGGTGAAGTTGTACTCAGGTGTGCCCGTGTACTTTGCATCGACGATACCCCAGATGGGACTGGGCACGTTAAACTCGCCGTAGCCGCTGTCGGTGCGGAGACGGCTAAAGTTCTTGTACTCAAACGCCCAAGTGGGATAGTCATCCTCGCTGTTATAGTGTTTAGGCTGGCGGTTGAGCACCTCGACGTTCTCGAGGGCCGCGGATCCGTTCATGGAAAACGTCAATGTCTGCACCGACGCCTGGATGGCTCCTACACATACATGCATCGGCACTATCCACTCGCTGCCGCCGCCCTGCACGACTGTCGAGTCGCCGTTGATATTTCTGGGGAGCCCAAAGATCTCGCCGCACTCAAAGTACTTGAAGCTCTCGTAGCCCTTATCATCAGCCGACAAGTGGCCGGAGCAGTACGTGTCGAGCCGGCGAAGCATCATGGCGGCCCATATGTCCGGGTGCTTCTCTGCACCACCGGACACTTCCTTGCCATCGACCTCGATTTCGCCAGTCTGCTCATTTTGCCGTGCAAAGGGCAGGTTTCCAAGCCAGGTGCCTTGGAGGTCGTAGGCGCTGAGGCCCAGCGGATAGCCAATGTCACCCTTTTTCCCAATGAGAGGGCTCATCGTGTATTCTTTGTTTAGCGTGACGTTTAGGCCGTATTTGGCATTTGTAGGGCTTATCATGTTGCGGTAGATGGCGGCCAGGACGTTGTGTATCCATGCCGTGCGGTCTGCTTGGTAGCGAGTGCCGAGTTTGCTTCTATCGGGGTTGGTCCAGCCTTTGCTGGGGTTGCCGTGGCGCAGTTTGGCAAAACCGCCTTGATCTACTAGCGCCAGCTGGGAAATGTCGTTTTGCCCAATCTTGACGCGGAGAGACAGATTGGTATTGGCGCAGGAAATGTCGGGCTCGAGCCACAGAATGTCTTCGTTCCAGGTAACGCCGCGCTGCACATTCGATGGAATCGTGTGGTTGCGGAAACCAATGCCGCCATGCTTCATATCAGCAACAATACCCTCTACAAGAACTGTTTTGTCGTTTGAAAGGAGCGTGTCGATGTGGCGTTTGGCACCCTTGGCGTAGGACCTGTTTCCATCATAGTCTGGTGTAGACGTCAGTGACCACGAACGGTACTGGATATCAAAGGCACCAGCAACAGTTGAATCTTTCGTGGCACTGGTAAACATGGCGGTTAGATTGGCGGGGAGATGTGTTGTGGCGTTGAAATCAGTTGTATTGAGATTGTAGCTGTTGTTAAAGTCGCGAGAGGCGGAGATGAGGCCGCCAGGGCAGAACAGAATGAGTCTGTTGCAGTCTCGCGACAAGCCGGTCATTGGGCGTGGTGGTGTGCTATTGCCGAATAGAGACAAGTCCCGGGCATATTCGAAGTTGACGGATGAAGGAGATGTGGTAACGATTGCATCGCTTAGTCCTAGTGGCGTGACGAAGCCAGTGACAAAGACAAGCAGAGCAAATGCAAAGTTGGCATGTGAAATGGTGGACACGGTCCAGTGGACGTTGCGGGAGGCTGCTGAGTCGGACTGCAGAATGGTTGGCCAGAGGGACGAGTGCATCTGTCGAGCGAGGACGGACCTAATTGGACGTTGTAGTTAGAATCAGTGAACGATTGGCAAAGTGGTAAACCAATATGTTCCTCTTGCGAGGTAATGCACGTACCATGATGCTGCAGTTAGCTTTTTATCAAAATGATATACAAGCAAGATGGATGCCAAAAGAGGAATGCTCAAAGACACTAGAAAAATGCATGGGGTTATTATTACTTGCGATTGTATATAGTTGTGCACTTTGTTCTTACCTAGCGAGACACCAAGCGCAATCAGAGCAGACACCCTGCCCACAGTGAGCGCGTCTTCGATGTTTTCAATCATTGTAGTAATGCTTAAGCGGTCTTAATACGCAGCTACTACAAATCTATGCAAATGATTCACCTGAGAGTCCTTTCGAAGCGGGTGGGCACACATGCTTAAGGCTAGTCCCTCGCTTATACGGAACCGTCGATCCCTGATCAATGCTTCGCTAATAAAAACTCACCGAAGCAGTTGGCTGCTGCCTGCCAGCTTGCCATTATGAGACACAACCACTACGACTAGACGCATCAGCTCTACGACCCCTCAATTTTAGCAGCGGGAGGGCGGCCCAGGCGGGACAACTCGCGCCGATGCTGATGGGTCGATGCCCACGATGGACGGGTCCCTTTTCAGCTTGGCGTTTTTAACCATAACGATTTTGTCTTTCTCAAGGCGAGATTGGTGGGACGGAAACACCCATAACCGGAAATGTAGTTCCTTTTTGTATGAGCGGCTGAACGGTGGCTGTTATACGAGAGATACGTACTCGGTCTCAGGAACATCCAGGGTTAGGGTTGGGCGATGGACAACATATCAAGGATACGTGCAAGACTATCTTGAGAAGCAAACCAATGCAGGCGGTGAGTAATATGAACGGATTTATATTCAAAGGTTATGTATAGGTAGATGTATACATGTGTGTTTATAAATAGTTATATATATACGTAGAGAAGTAAAAAGTCATCACGGCTGGGACGTTGGACTCGTGACTGGCCAACATGCCTTTAAACAGCGATGCGTATGGGCCTGACAGGTCGTCTCTTGGACGCAGAGGGCTTCCACGGCGCACCGGGCCCGTTCTTGCTAGTATCGTACGTAGTCGTGTTGGGGATGATGGAAAACTGGACAGTAGCATTGCCCTCTCTGTACGTGCTCTGGGGCGTGCCATGCGTGCGGTAACATTTGCCAGCATGCTTCTTGCCTGTAGCGACATCGCGGCCGCTAATCACACGCTCAAACATCTCGAGCGCAAGCACGGGCTTGTAAAACGGCACCTCGTGGCCACTCTCGTAGACGCGGGTAAAGGAAAACTGGCCGCTCTGCTTGACCTGTCCGTGGACCTCGTTGTCGCTGGTCGTGACATTGACGTAGCCAGCCTTGGCCCAGCCCGGAGCACCCACTCTATCGGCAATCGTCTCCACGCCGTACCAATTGCAAACAAAGTCAGCATCACCCGCATACAGCGCGACAGTGACGCCCTGCTTGAGCAGCAGACCGAGGTCCTCGACTGTGTTGACCTCGCGGCCATCGTCCCCGGTCCTGCCAAAAGCGTTGCCCACAATGTACGAATAGTCAGAGTAGTTGGTAAACGCGCCAAGGGCCTCTTGCACCTTGGGCGTGTTGAGGTAGTTGACGTAAAAGTTGTACGGGAATGGGTCGGGGCTAAGCTCGCGGATGTCATAGTCATCGCGGAATAGGTACCGGTCCACGACACCCTCAATCTTGTCGCCGCAGAAGTTGTCCGCATCGGCGCACGCGCGGTCGTTGCCAGTGGGCTTGGAGCACTCCTTTTGCAGACGCGCCTTGCAGCCATTGGGGCCGTAGAGGTCGTCGTACATTTGCTTAGAGACCGTCTCGTTGAGCGTCAAGTCGTACGTGTTGCCTGGCGACACGGTGAAGTTGTAAAACGCCTCGTAACCAACAACGGGATCGAACCAGCCATTGCCAACCAACAGGCTCTCGAGGTTGATCTTCTTGGCACCAGGGACGTTGGCGGCGTTTTGCTTCTCAAAGTACTCGCTAAAGACGGGGCCGTAGTGGCCACCGTACGACTCGGTAGCAAAGTTAATACCGTTGCGCGCGTACTGGGGGAACGCGCCCATGAAGCCTTGGAGGGTCTTCCACAAGTTGGGCGCGGCGGTGTCTGTCGAGTTGGCCATGATGGGAGCCTTAGGGTCTGAAAAGGTGCCGCATGTGCCGTTTACGCCAGCAGGACACTTGCCATCCGGAAGAGCATGGAAGTTGCCATCGCTGTCCACGTAGCCCGTGACAGGCTTGGAGTACGACAGGCCGACAGTGGTGGGCTGGTCAATGAAGATCATGTTGCTGACCTTGGAAAAGGAGTACGGGTTGTTGTAGGGCTTGCCGTAGTAGTCGACGCCGCAAGGGCCGAGTTCCTGGAAAAGCCCAATCATGGAGGACGAGCCAGGGCCGCCATTGATCCAGATGGTCAGTGGCGCGTCGCGGGGGTCGACATCGCGGGCCTCGAAGAACCAGAAGAACATGTGCTCATCCTTGGCGACATCGGCGAAGCCAGAGAAGCTCTTGACCTTTGGGTTCAGCTCGCAGATGCCATTCGGGACCTGCTTGTAGCGGATAGGCACGCCGGCATGGCCCGTGACGTGCTTGAAGCCATTGGGCTCCGGGACGAACTGGGCAGCGGCATTGTGCGCAATGGCAGCAGCTCCGACGAGGAGCACGCTGGTAAGGGAGGGCATAGTTAACCGAAAAGGTGGCGCGTCTGTTCACTTGGCGTAGAGAAGCCACTAACGGTAATTCAGACGAGTAGGAAAGAAAAGAGGAAACGAGGCGCGTGAGGAGGCCAAGAACGAGGGCGGGGAACAAGCCGCTCTTTTAATGTCCGGAACAAAACCCAAGCAAACGAGCCAGTCCAGGAGTCCGGAATGGAAATTGGCCGCGACAGGACCACCCGCCAGCACAGCCTTGGACACAAGCCCCGGCCGGACGTCGCGTTCGCTCGCTTGCCGTCATTGCCTGTAGCTGATAAGTATGGGGAATTCAGCGTCGATTCATTCCTGGATGCGGGTGTGGCGGCGTCTTGGGGCTGCCTGCTTGGGCCTAGCGTGCCCAAGGCGTTTTAGCCTGCAGGGCGGGGTATCATTGGCATCCACTGTACCCAGCAGGCAGGGAAGGGAAATAAGGCTTGTCCCATTGTTTTTTGTTTGTCTCGGCGTATTCTGGATCGTCGTTCTGCTTCGGTAGTGGTAGTAGCGTGCCGGTGTGCGTGCCTGGAGGCGGATGCAACTGTACATCGTGCGTGGTTAGGCGAAAGACTAGTGGTGAAGAAGGGACGGATAGTCTCCGAACAACTCGCACTCTTCTCAGCGGATTTAGTTAGTTGCCGAAACAAGGCTTCGCTCTGTTCTGCAAAAGTCAAATACTCCAGCCAGCACAACTGGGCTTGCGAGCAAGAAAGCGCCCCATTCGACGAATTTCAGAAGTTCCTTGAAATGGCGTAAAAAAGGTGGCGCGGGGCGGGCAGCTCGGCGATGCCCCCATCTCGGAAAAACCCCGTCTCCGTGTTGTAGAGAACAGGCTTTACCGGTAACGGGGTAAGTTTCGGCAAAAATAAATATGGAAATAAGTAGTAGGTAAGATTTGAATAGTAAAAGTTGGTTAATATATTTAATTATTGTTATTGCTTTTGTACAAATAGGGAGACGATGGAGGGTGCTGCTGTGTTCGCTCCCAGTCCCCCAAAATCATATACAACGCCATAACGGCAATACATGAGAATGATGACAATGGCCGAGAATAATACTCGAGAAATTCTGTAGAATGACCATCATTTCAGCAGCCACTGCTGAAAATAATTCATCATGTGTTCGGTATGACCCATTCCTATAGTCATTACCATCGTTGGGTTCTCAGATGGGATGGGCCGGCTAAGGGCATGTCCAGTCGGGGCCTGTGGTGTCGCGTGGTACAGCTTGCCCAGGTACGCGAGCTGTGATATCATTTGCTGATGAAGAACCCATATTGCGTTTGCAGTTCCCCTGCTTCAGGTGGCCAATTCATTAGCATTGTCAAGAACTTCGCCTCGGGGGATGTTACTTACACGAGCTACAAGGAGAGCCGGTGAGTTGCCGTCGACTGGTGCAGCAAGGGCTGACGAGCCGAGCAGGGCAAGACTAATAAGAGTGATAGAGGCCTTCATTGTTTTGTTCTTTCTTTATAACAGAATATATGTATAAGAGAATATGTGATTGTTTGGATGATCCCATTTACATCTACAGACGCCGGGGATATTGTCAAATTTATACTGCAACTTCCCGAGAAAAGAGCCCATAGGCAAGACTACAATCAGGCTCTCTCTTCTAAAAGGCTCCCCATATAGCACCGCCTTATTCACGTCATTGCGATCCCTCCAACGCACTAGTGTTGTTGCTTGGACTCTCAGTAAGCTGTATTGAGGAGACGAGTGCGACTGCGAGTCCGAAAATCTAAGCCACTATACTTCTACACGAGCCTCTAGCGCAAGGCAACAGCCTCTAGTTCGAAAAGAATTGCCAAATAGAGCACACCAGTACAAAACGGGCGCGCTACTGTTATCCAATCACGATGGTGAACCGCACGGGCAAGTGTCACCGCCGGTGGAGCGGGCCACCGTCTGCCTGGCTGTGCACGCTGGGACGCTTGGTACCTGGAGCCTCAACTGGCAAAACGCTCCCAAATCAACCGGGCGTTGTTCACCTTGTAGCAAAACTGGTAAGGCTGCGGCGTGTGAGTACCAATGCCAAGGCATGGCACGTATTGTCCGGTGGTCGGCGGCCGTGCCCTACTGTAAGGCTGAGTCAACGCCGTACTCTCAGCCTGCTCGCCCTGTCCTCTTCACCTTGACTCTTCCCATGACGGGATTGACGTCGGCGCCTGACTTTCTATTAATAGAAAAGTAGAAGAAAATAATGTCCGATATACCACCAGCATCTTTCAGTGTTCGCCTCGATGACGGCGAGACCGATGAGCGCTGCGTGACCATCCGGCAAACACTCACGCTCGCCATCAGCGGGTCGTCTGCCTATCATGACGCCACTAGCGAGCTTACTAGTAGCATTGTGGCCAGAGCCGAGAGGGTGTGGAACTCCGTCAAAGATCTCGACCCCAACCAAGTCGACCAGCCATTTGAGAACGGCCCCAATCTCGCTCGCGATGTGCGGGTGACCATGGGCTCTATCCCGGAGGTTTGCTCTGCGTACTCGCCAAACCACCCCGTCCATGATTTCCTGATTGCCTTTATCAAGGCACTGCAGAATCTCCCAGATAACAACGTTCACCAGTGTGAAGAAAACTATAATGAAGATACTGAAGAATGGGACATTAGCTTCCCTATCGTGAGTCATCTATGGACTCGAGGGGCCGGTGGTGGAAGCTTTGCACACGAGGCTCTCCGTGAGTTGTTGCCTGTAGCCTTGGATGCTAATGATGTTACTAACCTTCTCACAATGGTAGAACTTGATTTTCCGTAGGACTACGTGGAAGGTGTGGGATCCGAAATCCAGTTGCGGTGGAGAAACTTCCAAGCCTTCATCATGCGCCTCTACATGGAGGACTTGCTCGACTGCTCCGGGTTATCCGCACTGAATTCTATTGTTCTCTCATCAAATGAGTGTCCAGACCTAGAAGAATGGAAATTTGAAGGTCCTAGATGGCTTGCAAGTCAACTAATGTCCGGGCCCTGCTCGCTCGAGACGGAGGCAGCATGCAACCACATGTATCTAGCGTCTCACAAGCAACAGAGCAACGAGGCTGGTGTGTGGTCCGTGGAGGGATGGGTGGAGCTAAAGGAGCAATTGGAATTCATTGCGAACAAATTGGAGTTTTTTCCTACGGATGTCGAGCTTAGTAAACAGACTCGTGCTTTGGCGGCGTCGTTGAAGCTCAATATGGAGGAGGCCGAGCAACGAGCGGCGGCAGCCACAAAAGAAAATACCGAATAATCACCGAATAATCTGGAAGGGTCTTAGTAATACAAATACAATGAAATTGGAAAGTGTCTATAAATATGGGCTTTTGTATACATTTTGGTGGTGGCATTAGACATGGCTGTGACAAGTGCACGCCTGCTGGCTGAGAGTAGAGCGTCACCAACATGGTGTAAGTCAGTTTGTAAACATCGATCCAACTAATAGATACGAGATATATAGTCGTATTTTGTGTAGTAATAGATCTCTTTTAAGAGGCTCCATATCATAAATTGCCACATATAGGGACTCGTTCGGCTTGTTATGCATGTCAGCCTGGCCTCGTTTCAGCCGCGCCCCCGCGCTGTTTCCAGCGCCTCGCGATCCAACTCGTAATCACGATCAGCCGATCCCTGATTTCGCCCTGAATCGCGCGACTGGAAACAATTTGTCAACTTCATTTGGTGCCAATGATGAGTCTACTTCAGGCTACCTGTGAAAGTGATATCTTCGACAAGCTCAAAGACGCTATAGACCGTCAACAGTGAAGACATTCTGTAACGTTGCTTGTATGGAATTGAGATCTCGAAAGTCTCGTATATCTATTTACAACTCGTCCCGGCCACTCCATGCCTCGGGTGGATCCCAAGAGTCCTGCCTGTCGTTCTCTCGATCGTATGAGCTGCAATTGAACCCGCCCGATACCATTCTTGCCCAAATGGCTGTACCCTTTGCTGCATCGTATATAGGATCTTCTGATATCAGCAGCTCAATTTTGCCATCTTTAAATTGCTTGTCTTGTCTCATGGAATCCACCACATTTTCCATGACGGAAACATAACCAGGTTTAGATGCTGCTTCGCCCGTAAAGACAACGAGATACTCATCATCTGGCCAACAAGTCTTCGGGGTACAGAGTCGGGTGAGTTTCGATCTGAGAAATGCCTCCAATTTATCCAATGCAGGAGCAGAAGCATTCGTCCCTGTTTCAAACTTGGAGAGAAGTTCTATATTGCCGGGTACATATCCAGGTCCGTTGTAGCCGAGGCAGGACATCTCTATTATGGTGGTGTACACGGCTGAGTTTGTAATGCTGCAGTCCGATTAGCTCATTGATATGGCCACAGATAACAGGGTATATAGCTAGGGGTACAAACCTGATATAATATATCATAGTAGATCTATCGATATCAATGTATCCCTCAGGCCACAGACACCAATCTTCTAGGCACAGATAATGGCCGTTGGCAGCGAGAACGGCGTTGACTTCTGGGTTGTAGATTGGTCCCCTGATGTCATTAATAGATGGCTGTATGCCCGATAGACGTGCTGCAGGATTAACAATAAACTCGCCTGTGCCGTAAGTTATCCATGTTTGCATCCCGGGTACCGTGATAGAAACCTCGCGTTGTAGGGGACTGCCTAGTGCGACCTCGGCTGCTTGTCTCAGGGGAAGAAGCATCTCTGTCAGGATTTCCGTCCACGTCGGTATACCGAAGAGCTTCTTCAACCAGACAAATCTCTCACGCCCATACTGATCATGTCTGTTTTGATTCCAAAGAGAGGGTTGCCTCTTATTCATTTCTCGTCGGACAAAATTGATATAGCTGGGCGTTCCATCAACCTTGGCGATGTTTAAAAATGTACCATTGGGGAAATAGGCAACAACGGTCCTGAATACATGGTTGAGTGGTCAAAAGAAGGTCACTCTAATGAAACACACGAAAAAAGAGATTCTTACCCGTACGACGACCCGAGGTGAATGCCGAGCACTGGCTTTGCGTTGAAGGCAATCAGTCCGGGATCGACACTTTCTGTAACAACACAGCGCGCCAGCAGCAACAGTAGCATCCGCGAAAAACATGAAAATATCTTGACCATATTGTACTATAGGGTAAGGGATTGTATAATGTTGTTTTTTCGTAACAGTATCCAATACAAGTATGTGCAAAAAATCAAGTTGGAAAGAACACGACTATCCCGGCAATAATGTATTGTTGACATCTGGCTTTAGGCTTTAACAAAATTAGACTTAAATGTAAGCGCCCAAGAGTGGCGTGCAGCTGAACGCCATTCAACGTCAGACTAAACCGCTATCAGCATAGCGCAATTTCACTGGCACACGCCCAATTGCAGGGAATACGATTCTCAGAGTCACGTTTCCAGACGATCATTTCTCAGCTGAAGAAATTCTTCAAATATTCCAAAGCAGAGCCGCAACTTTGACTCCATCGCCAACCCTACATCCCACTCACAGACTGCCATCATGGAGGGCGACAAACCCGCACAAGATACAAAAACGGAACCCATACCAGCCAGTGATAATGTGAAAGAAGTCACATCACAAGACTTGGCGATGCCGGCACCCGTCATAAAGCAGCCGCCGCCATCTCTCAAAGAGCCTGTCATGTACAACTCTGCACTGGGCTTCAATGTCTACTACAGCAAACACTCACAAGAGTATTGGGCCGAGACCATTAGCACAGACGGAACGGCCAACTATACCTTGTTTATAAAGGTCGAGAAGCAGCTTGTCAGCAAGACGGACGCCAAGAAAATTCTACGCGAATGCAACAACTTTGACGATCTCTGCGCAAAGTTCCCATCGTCATTCCCCAATATCAAAAAGTCGCCTAATGAACAAATTATACCCACCGCCCTCATCTACATCAATGCCGTGCACGACAGCGTCAAGATTAAGCGAAACACAGGCGAGACGAGCATCGCACGCTTTTTCACCGACAAACGCGCCATTGGCCAGCTATCCAACTTTATTTTCATGTTTCGCGAGGACTACGTGACAGGCTGTCCTTGTAGCGTGCACGAAATCTGCGGGTCGGTCGTGTATTGCAAAGCGTGCTCGACATATCGTATTCAAGAGGTGACGCCGCAGGCCGGGCTCGTCTATCGGGGGCTTCTGACGGTGGGAAAATTGTCGGTAGATCCAACATCGGCGAGAACAATGATTATGGCAATGTGCACGGGAGATAAGTTGGATATGCAAAAGTCGCTGATTGTCATGGCCAATATGTTTAGGTTGGCCAAGTTCCAGAACATCCCGCTGCCGGTGGAGCAGATTGTGTATTGGACGTTGCGTGATAGCCTGTTTATGAAGTTTCCAGATGTTAGCGTCAGTTGGTACGATCAGTTCTTCACGCGACCGTATACAGACGCGAATCAGCCGATGAATGGAGTCGTAGCCATGGTTGGTATTGCCAGACTGGGCTTGGCAATTGCAACGTTGGGCATGATTAGCTAGTTGCACATGGCCCTTTGGCTGCTTTCACTTCAAAAATCAAATAATTTCCTTTTTTGGGAGACGCTGAAAGTGGCGTATGGTGTAACATGGCGTCGCGATCGACTTTGCCGATGGCAGCATGCAGGAATCCGATATGCAGTCTTGCAGGGACACGCACATCATTCACGAGTACATATGTATTGGAGATTATTCATTCCGGGGAGTCATTTATGAATATAAACTTGTCGGAGGGCAAGAAAACTGTCGTTAAGCTTGCTTGGGAGGTTCCAGTGGGAGGTTGTCGCTGTTTACTAGGGCTGTGGCGTCTCTGGCGACCATCAAGGACGGCATATCCCGATGGGGTGTATATCTCTCTCTCACACGGCATTCTTTTATTCTATCAATTGTTTTATGGCCATCTTGGCGGTGTTATGGCTCTGTGCTTTCATGTTGTTGGAAGAAAGAAGAGTCTCTGGATCAGGAACACGGTGGCGATGCGTAAGCAAGTTGGTGGGCAGAGGTGGTTCATCCTTTAACAAGCATGCCACGTGGCAACCGTTGTATTATGATGCTCAGTTCAATTCAATTCGCCTTCCCGCCATGGTTCTAGAGCCGTCACGTGCATATATTGTCCTGCAGGTCAACGCGTGCTGGTTGCTACGGTATGGGAGAGCGCGTCCGGTTTATTACAAAGGAACAGTATGCGGCCGTTTATTGAATAATAAATCATCCTCCTTTAGTCTTGACCTTGAATTTCGGTGATGTAGCAAGATGTATCTCGACGTGAAGCTCTTCGTAGATCACCGCACGGCCCTTAACAGCTACTCAACGCGAGCACACACGAACACGCCATTGTGATTGTAAAGTGAACTCTCGCGTAGATGATGTATTTCATACTCTGTAGCTATAGGGAGTTCTAGGCCCTTTACCTCCGACTATAGCCGACCACGATTCCCCAGTCACTCCGTGTAGAATCAGGTTGCCAGCTGGCGTGACTTTGCTTCTCAGCTGTCTATCAATTTTCTTGCAATTCCTTGTTTCTTCTCAGTAAGCAAGTCAGAGTGAATTTACCTCTCCAGTTTGACTATAAGATACCGCTCTTCCACACCTCCTCCTAGACACCTCTCTCTTCTCCCTTACATCAACCACTTTTACATGCCCTTGTACCATAACTCTACGATGTAAGTATTTCAATCTTCTCAATTTCTTCATTTTGTCAGTCCCCTTTCATACAAGTTGATATAACTAACCATATGAAATACAGGCCCACCCAAACCTTTAACCACGAACAAACAGGCATCCTGAGCTGCCCACCTGAAATCCATTGGATGGTCTTGTGGTGCTGCCCGGATTTGAAAACATTACTAGCCGCCTCCCACTCTACACGCGCGCTCTATTATGCTTTGAAGAGTTACCCGTTTCCAATAATCGAGTCGCTTGTCCACCAAGCTGTCGGCGAAGCTGCCCTTCCCGATTGTATAAGGGCCATGAGAGCAAAGACCATGGCCCATGGTGGACCGAGAAGTGAGAGAATGGAAACTATGGTCCAAGAACTGTTTGAAAATGATGGTGTTGTACGCACAGATTTCTGGTCAATCCCTCGAGGCCTGGCCGCAATCAGTCTGCGTGAAATCTTCGTACAGCTGGCAGCCGAGATAGGCTCGGAATACGCAACAAACTGGACCTCTGTCTACCCCATGATTTCTCACAATCCCCCGGTGCCACCTAGCGAGGCAGAACTAGGAAGAATAGTCTCGGCCCTTTATAGATTCGAGACGTTTTGCACTATCTTTGCAAGGGTCCTCCGCCTAGGCCAACCCGACCTCGACGCCGCATACAAGTTGTTTTTCTCGCGCTTTGCACCCTGGGAAATCGAGCAGATCGTATCTGTCTTTGAGTCCGTTGGCTCTCTTGTCATCCCAGCGTTTAATGACGTGGCACTCCACGATATAGAATTCGGCTTTAAGCACGTATATTCCGCCGACTCAGCACATTGCGCTCACCTCCAACGGGTACTCGGTCATGGCCTACGCCTTGCCTACCAGCTATGGAAGGCTCAAACTTACAACCAAAGGTACAGCCTCCTCAAAGACCTGTGTGCAGATGGGAGATGTTTCTGGGATTATCCCCTATCCGATTTTAATGAAAGCATCAGGGATGAAATCAATTCTGGCATCACATATCCCCCTCTACCCGATGACGACCCCGAATGCGGCGCGAAACATATGTGGCAATGGGCAAACCAACCTAGACCCAATGTACGAATCGCAGGGCTTCTCAAAAACCAGAATGTCAGGAGAATTGGCTACGTCTTCTGGTCCAGGAGCCGTGTTGACAGCAGCCATGTAACCGACACGCCCTAGCAGGTCGTGAAGTACAGCGCCAGACACTTTCGGAAATTTCGACCACGGTCGTTCTCGAATGAAATGAGGTCATTCGAGGAACGAGAAAGATTGTACGACATGGGGAAGCGAGGTCACTGCACCTCAGAATTTCTTGATGAAGATGACGACGACATGTCTTATGACGGTGATGAGTCTGCTGTTCCTGAAGATAATGCCGTATGGTGGGAAGCAGACAGTGTGCATAGCCTTGATGACGTCTTTTATCACGCGGAATCCTCTCCATGGTCTGTCCACGAGGAAGAAGACGCAGAAGACGAAGAAGACGAAGAAGATGAAGAAGACGAAGAAGACGAAGAAGACAAAGAAGACGAAGAAGACGAAGAAGACGAAGAAGACGAAGAAGACGAAGAAGACGAAGAAGATGAAGAAGACGGTGTTTCGTGGGGCTCCTATTTTATGCTGAGCCAACCATTGTCTGATTGAACTCTTTGCTTGACGCATAAAATGCTGATCGCCCGGACCAAAGATTGCGGCCAGAGAACAGATCATGAAGCTCGATTTGCTTGGAACTTTTGCAAGAAAACCATTTTGCTACAAGGGACCCGACATAAAATGTCGAGGTATGAGGAATTTTTCTGTATATGAAAGAGTCGCAATGTTTGCACTACTGGAAAGAACTTTTTTTGTCTCTGGCCTTTTTTCTTTTGTTTATGATGGCAGCAAATGGAACTCTGATTGGATTGTGGTGGAAAACACCTGTCTCTATGCAAACCTACCTGTGACGTGTGCCTATGCTCTAGTGAATTAAGCTTAATCTTGTAAGGCTAACCCAAGATATCGCTCTACTGTATCCTCTGTAAGATATCCAAGAGGCCCAACGTGGTTGCGTGCCAAGCGTGTATGCGGAGACCAGCCACTGCCAAGTCAACCCTGATGGACGTCAATACTATTGCCCAGAAAGATGCACCTGGATGGCATCTGGTCTAGATTGGCAGCTGCAGTTTATTTTGACGCTTAACGGCTTGGCTCCAGGCGCGGGGCGGAAAGGCATTGTTATTATTCGCTGTGATAAGCCACAGCGTGGGCGGGAGGCCCAACTATCAAGTCTTGGATAACGGGCTTGCAGGGAGGCTGTCTGCTGAACTGCTCGATTCGGTGAATATCACACGTTCTAGAATACTGGATATGGATGAAAATTCTTTTTTGAGCTATTTACATGACCGGTGTAGGGTTGGAAAGTGACGACTGCGGCTACCGATAGTGGAATGGCGTTGACCACGTTTTTTGATATAAATATCGCGAGAAGATGGTCTCATAGTTCGTCTGCTTGTTTCTCTAGATACCCCTAAAAGTTGTTTGTTATCAATACTCTGCGAATATGAAGTTCACTCTTGTCACTCTTACCGCCGCACTCTCTGTCGTCTCTGCCTCGCCGCTTGCAGGACGCAAGGACGCTGCCACGCCCGCAAAGTTAACAACTGAGCCGGCTAAGCCTGCTCCCACAGGTGCCGCATACGACTGGTCTGAGGGCTGGAAGGCATCGTTCCCTATTCATGTCTCGTGTAATGCCACGCTGAAGCGCCAGCTGAGCGATGCCCTCGGCGAGGCTGTTGAGCTTGCCCAGCATGCCAGAAACCACCTTCTTCGCTTTGGTGACAAGTCCGAGTTCAAGAAGAAATATTTTGGCAACGGATCGACTGCTGAATCTGTGGGATGGTTTGATCGTATTACTGCGGCGGATAAGAGTGCCATGCTGTTCCGCTGCGACGACCCAGACAGGAACTGCGCCACTCAGAACAGTATGTCTTATGCCCTATCTTATCTTTCTTTTTATTCAAATTGCTTGACTTGTTGAAGTGAATTCACTAACACGCTTGTTATAGACTGGGCTGGACACTGGCGCGGCAAGAATGCCTCTGAAGAGACCGTGATCTGCCGTAGATCCTTCGAGGTCCGTCGTCCCTTGAACTCGGTCTGCAACCTGGGGTACACTGTTGCCGGCTCACCTCTCAACACTATCTGGGCTGTCGATCTTCTTCACAGGCTGCTGCATGTGCCGACTATCAGTGAAAAGGTCGTGGACCACTACGCTGACGATTACACGTCTGTGTTGGAGTTGGCGAAGAAGGACCCTTCCAAGAGCGCCATTGACAGCAACGCTCTGCAATACTTTGCCATTGATGTATATGCCTACGATATCGCTGCTCCTGGTGTTGGCTGCACTGGTGAGCCTGCAAAGGATGCTAAGAAGGAAAAGGAGCCCAAGGCTACAACATCAGCTGCCCCAACTCCCACTCAGAGTGCAAAGAAGGAGTGCCACACCCATGCTGATGGAGTCGAACACTGTGTTTAGGGCCATGAGAACAGGAATCACTACCGTTTACGGACAGCCACAAGATTGACTACATGCCATGAAACGATTTTAGACGCTCACGACAAATAAAATATACCAACAGTTTCCATGCATCTTTGAATTTAAATCACGTGAAAAATATATGCCTGGTAGATTTCATATGTGGCTGTTTGGATTTAAATTTATTACGGAGGCTTCCAGGCACCCGCCGCTAGTGTGCGTGACTCGGTCTTCAGCCTCGTTTCCAACAGCTATCCATATATTCTTCCAACACCCAGAACAGCTGCGATTTACGTTTCCATAAGAGCAACCTATGCACTGAAGCAGTTGGTTTGTCTGAGATACACCCCATAAATATGTCAGTGCCACGTGGTCCTGTACTGGACTCAACAGAGGCACAGCTCGTTCAAGACCTCACGCAATGGCTCCAGCCAACCGATTTCCGGTCCCCTGGCGGTGAGCTCATGAAACATGTACGGGCGTATATGCCTGGAACCGGAGATTGGGTGCGAAAGACGCCTGAATATGTCCACTGGGTGGATGCTGATGCTGGTACAAGGGCGTCACCACCCAACGGATGTCTCTGGATTAAAGGCGTTCCTGGCAGCGGCAAATCGGTTGTCTCTGGAACTGTGGTATGCCTGTTGTAACAGCTATACCCCGACAACCCAGTGCTCTTCTTCTTCTTCCGCCAAATTGTACAAAAGAATCACGATCCGGCGAATCTCGTGCGCGACTATGCTGCCCAGTTGCTTCCTTTCAGCGCAACGCTGAGAACAAGCCTTTCGCAGTCAAAAGCCAACAGGTCACGGGGTTTTGATCAAGATGCAATTTGGGATGCCACCTGTACGGCCATGGATGAGCTTGATCGCGTTTACTGTATTGCTGATGCTTTGGATGAGATGGATAACGAAAGTTTTGACTTTATCAACAAACTCAAGGCCCTGGGTAATCGACAGCCCAGCAAAATCAAGGTTCTATTGACGAGCAGACCGATACCAAAATTAGAGGCCGCTTTACAAGAGCAATATATTGCGCCTTTCCGCCTGGAGCCCACCAAGATTTACCCTGACATAACAAAATATGTCAAAAAGTCCATGGCATCTCTTGTGCCGCGCCTCTCGCTAGAGACCGAGAGCCGGGTCACTGAAGCACTTTGTGAAGCTGCCAAAGGCTCATTTCTTCATGCAAGACTTCTCATGGATAATTTGGAAGAAGGTCTAAAAACAGACCGTCAGCCGACGGAGGATAGGCGACCCGATATTATCGACTTTTTAGTAACTGCCGGAGCCGACATTAATCACAAAGCATCCATCGATGGGGTCATGATGACGCCGCTAGATCGAGCGATAGCATTGGGCAGCACCAATATTGCGCTGGAACTAATTAGGTATGGTGCAGTTCCAACCAATCCAGATACTGTGACGAATATGGACCTTTCGAAGCATCAAGAACGCTTGGATCGTCTGTTACGACTACATGATGATGCGTTAATAGGGGAGACTGGCAAACAGCACCATTCTTGGTATGATCTTGAGAGCGAGTTTACGAAGGTCGTGTCGAGCGGTTATCACAGCGCCGCAGTTGCTTTCTTCGACCAAGTTCCAACTCGGCCAGACCTTAAAGCCATAGAAGATTCCGCCTTGCGGGTTCTTGGTTCTTTGATACATCAAGGGCAAATCACTGTGCTCCGTCGACTTGGGAAGTCCATCAAGGAACACCCAGCTTTGGAACAGAAGCTTCCAAAAGAAACTAAACTCTTAAATACCATATGCTCGGTAAACAGATATCAGTTGGAATCGATACAGCTTCTTGTCGACGATTTCCAAGCACCCATCAACACTGTACCTCATCCTCTTCATAACTTTGTCTACTATTTAAGTAGTGGATGTGCCGCTTCTGCCCGCTACCTCATCGAGCATGGCGCTGTGGTAGATGTTATGGAAACGCAGCTCGGCATGACACCGCTGATGCGCGTTCTTTCGCACCCTACACCACACATGGAGTTGGCAGAGGTTTTACTTGCACATGGCGCGAATCCAAATGCAGTATCTGCTAAGGGGTCGCAATCTACATTGACCGTATGCACAGATCCTGATGCTCTACGTCTGTTGTTTGCCCACGGCGCCGATGCCCGACTTGATGTGCATGCAGGAGCACTAGTTGCCTTACTCACGATGGGATCAACCCCTGCCCCGAAAATATCAGAAGCCATGCGGCTGCTGATTGAAGCTGGACAGGAGTTGAATAGTGCCTTCAATGGCAGGTATCCCCTGCTTTCTGCGGCTAGGAAGATAGGCTTTTGGCGCCCAGGTGATGAAGAAAAAGCTGAACAGTGCTGTGCCACTGCCATCGAGTGTGGCGCTGACATGTCTAAACAGCTTGCAGATGGCCGCTCTATAATTCAAGTTGTTCTAGAAGAGCATGGATTGGCTAAGCCTTTTCTCGGTAGCCCTAACTTGGACATGGAGGCACGGGGGCTAGGCGGTCGTACCCTGTTGATGTCTGCTTGCAGGCCATTTCCAAGTCCAGGGCCCCGAGAGAATTCCAAGTCACTAAAAGCTGTGGTGCCATCCATTGTAGACATGCTGCTTGATCAGGGAGCTGACACCGGCGCCGTTGACGATGTTGGTCGTACAGCTCTGCATTGGCTCTGCACAATAGAAGCGGAAGCTGATGATGCTCTCTGTAACCTTGCGATTCGTCTTATTCAGTCCAACCCAGCAGCAGTACTGGTTAAGGACAAGGAAGGATACACGCCGCTTCATCTTGCCTCGAAACACCAGCAACCAGACATTATGGATATCCTTATGGCTAATGGTGGTGATGTGTTCGAACTGGATCCCGGACGAAATTCGGCATTGCACTGGCTGGCGCCCCGGCTTGTTAAGCCTCAAGTTTATGTACGTTACACATATGAGTGCATAGACGAGTCCACAGATGCAACGAAGATGATTGAGTATTTCAAAGGGCTGGTAGCGAAGGGCCTTGACATCAATCAAGTGAATAGTGAAGGAAGAACTCCATTGTTTGGCTTTATCAGTGCGGATCCAGAAGGCGAGCTTCCCAAACGGCGACTATACGCGGAACCTTTCAAAATCTTTCGTAAACAAGCTGCCAATATGTCTCAACAAGACACGGATGGACAGAATGTTCTCCATATCCTAGCTGGGCAAAGATTGCGGCCGTATAGCAAGAAAGTCTGGCTCTTTAAAAAGTTGCTTATGCTTGGTGCTAACCCTAGGCAAGAGAATAACAAGCTCCAGACAGCCATTGATATTGCTTCCACCACAAGTAATTACCGGGTTCTCGAACTATTCCGACCAGAATTGGCCAATAGTGCTACGGTGACTGATGATAGTGATATCTCTTGTTCGGATGACGAATCTTCCAACGCAGTGCCTAAGAAAGACGATGAGAGTTCGAAGGTAGAGGAAGCTAGTGACAATGAAAGTGAGCCTGGATATGAGGTGATTGACACGGAGGAGGTCGATACTGTCATAGTTTAAGTCACATGAGTTGGTTGAGGTATATGATATACAGATGCTATTCGTATTTGCTATTTAATTTTTGACTATTTTACTTTCTTGTTGTATGTATGTACATATATGTACCGTTTACTTGCATTCTGCCTCTTAGATGAGAGTGCGGAACTTGGCAAAGTCAAAGGAGCCGAGACCACTGGCGGCATCCCAGCCAGACTGGGCAGGGAAGCCAACGCTGTCACAGCCGGGGTTGCGGCCAGAGGTGACATCACGGAGAGCGTTCCGGGTCTTGGAGGAGTAGAGGAGAGGGTTGATGAAGCCGAGGTTGGCCTGGCCCTTGGACTTGCGGTAGTCGTTAAGAGCACCGAAGAGGGCAGCAATGGCGGGGGAGGAAGCAGAGGTACCGAGGACCTGGGCGATTTGGCCGTTGACGTTGGTCTGGTACTTGACACTGACGAGGGAGATGTCGGGGTAGCCACGGTTGTTGGCGTTAAGGCGCTGCTGCATGGCGCTGGGGAGAGTCTTAGCGTAAGCCTGAGTGACGTTCTTGTTGTAGTCGGGAGCAGTGAAGTGCTCAGAGTAGCCACCGCCAGGGGAGGTGATCTTGCCGTTGGTGTACTGGGCAAAGTTGGCGACGACCTCGTTGTTGTTGGAGTCGAACTCGGTGCCACCTACAGTGGTGACGTAGGGGCAGCTAGCGGGCCAGGTTCCGTAGTAGCCGTTGTTGCAGTTGTTGCCGCCGTTTCCACCGTTGCCGTTGTCACCGGAGGAGAAGAAGACACTGACACCGCGAGAGCCGGCCTTCATGAACTCGTTGCAGATACGGTCGAGGTAGCTGCCGTCGAGGGTGCGCTCCTCAGCGCCGTAGCTGGTGGAGACGACGGAGGGAGGGTTGGCGTTGGTGTTGAGGTAGCTGGTGAGAGCGAGCATAGCATCGTTGAAGGACTTGTCGTCGGAGCCGGTGGGAGCAACGGCAAGGTACTCGCTCTGGAGAGGGTGGCCAACACCACCCATGTACTGGGTGTCGAGGTTACCCTCAAGCTGGCTGCCGTCGCCGCTGTTGCTGCCACCGTTGACGCCGACGTCCTTAAAGTCCTTGAGGCCAGAGACGAACTGGCGGCCAAAGGCGGCGTAGTCCTGGTGGGAGGCGCCGATGCCAATGAAGCCGGTCGAGGCAATGAGCTGGCCGTTGCCAGAGGGGGTGTAGTCGACGTTGTAGGCCGACTTGATGGAGGCAGGGCTGGTGAGGCCGCCGGCAGCAGCACCCTTGGCGCTGTTCTCGTGGATGTGAGGAGCAATCTTGGAGACGAAGGCAGTGGTGGGCGTGACAACGTCAATCACGGAGTGCAGGTTCTGGGGAACAGAGTACTGCTTGGTACGGGGGACCTTGGCGCCAGTGGTGGCGTGTTGGTAGAGCTCGTACTTGGCGGCGAGAAGAGATTCCATCTGGTGGATGGGGACGGAGAACTCGATCCAACTATACAGGAAGTCATGTTAGTGATATGGTGTACGGACATGTACATGACGAATTGTAGAAAGACGTACTCGTTGGAGGGCATAGAGACCTCAGTGATGCCATTGGCGGCGAGCCAGGCCTTGACGGCAGCAACATCGGCGGCAGCGGGAGCAGTGTACTCGTCAACCTGCTCCTTGGACAGCCACTTGCCGTAGTTGGGGCTCTCGGGGTTGGAGATGTCCATGAGCTTGGCCTGGAGACCCTTGATGTTGTTCTGCTTAAGACCAATCTGGGCCTTGACCATGGTGTCGCGGTTGGCCTGGCCAACTGAGGCCCAGGAAGCAGGAAGCTGCTTGACCTCGTTGAACTGGACAAGAGGACCAGCCTGCTGGGAAGCAGGGGCGGCCATCACACCGGCAGCAGCGGTGGCGACGAAGACGATCTTGGAGACGGCAACCATTGTGAAGGTAGGACAGCTTGGTGTTGTTATTGTCCTAGGGAGAAAGAGAGGGGGGAGAAGAGGTAGTATATATGTATAATTGAGGAGAGGGGAGAGAAGGAGCCGAATGGATTGATTGCTTGGCTTGACGAGAGAAAGAATGGAGGTTGGTGAACGGATGGGACAATGCTTCTTTATACTTTTGTCGATATGAGTCCTTAGCCCATGTGAATGCCGCGATATAGTCAGCCTGGTCTGTTCGGCATAAGGAAAGTCATTTAGCCGTTTGGTTAACACCAGGAGGCGAGTTTGTTAGTCCCGATTCCGTCTGCTTCAGCAGCGGCTTTGAACGAAGCTGGGCCCCTGTCCTGCTGCTCTCATTACCCTACGACCCCATGATGTTTTACGTAAAGCTGGGGTAGTGCTTTATTGGCCGACCCGGCCGCGAATTCCCCGCGTGCCTCTGCTATACAAGGCGTGCCATCTATACCGGGGCACGCTATCTGGATCTGGATAAGCGTTTAGCTGCCGAAACAGACCCCACCGATTCCCCAGAACGCAAAGCCTTGGGATAGCGTTAGGTAACTTTTAACTAATGGCACATTATCTAGACCAAAACAAGCAGGTTGATGGCTGTAGGCGAACTAACTGATAGATAGACCCTGTTCATGTCTAACTAGCTGTTTCAGCTGCACGGGTTGATAATGACGACGATTCTCCACAATCGAGTTGCAAGTATGTAAAGGAAAACCAAAACGAAGGGACATTGGATGAATATGCTTACTGAGGCGGAAATGCGCCACGGGACAATCCGTTTGGTCCTCGGTAATCACTTGGCATGCCGCCATAACCGTGCTTGGCAAGTAGATTTGCTTGGCAATGGAATATTCTCAAAGGGAAAGGAAAAGAAAATGGAATACTCGAATTACTACGCTTCCATTATTCTGTTTCAGTGAGAGGAGAACCGTAATTGGTTGACTAAGTAAGTGGCTGGCTAACAGGCTACGCTCATTCTTCATAGTCCTCGGATGAACCATTCAATGGTGGACTTGGTTCATGCAGAAAGTGTTCACCTCAATAATGTCACTTTACTTGACATCTCGGGTCCTTCGTGTTCTCGCCCCGCTGGCATACTTTGATACTACACCACAAAGCAACGACCACCGCGCATGTCCTCCACACTCTCCCATTGGCTCTGCATCAACATTGTTATCGCTATTCCTGCTGGGGAAAAGCAGCGAACTGGGCAGGGATGCTGTAGGCTGTCATTACATAAAGTAGGGTAGCATCGCTCGAAGCCCTATCACGACCTTCCAAATTGGGCTAAGGCCCAGCGCGTCGCAGCCACTGGGAGATCATCAACTATCGGGCCCCCGTGCCTCTAACAGCGCAGAGGAGCCCCGCGTGACTGGATGGCTCCCGAAGAACGATAGCGTGTGGAGGGGCGAAGGCCCGATCTGGAACATCAGATGCAACACGGAACAGTAGAGGGTTGCCGTCGCCTCTTGTTACTACGACGCTGTAGCCTTCTGGGTCTACCTTTGTAGAAATTTCAAAAAGCCTGCTACGGGGCGTAATATTGGGCAAAAACGCTTTTGGTAGTATCCTGGTTAAGCGAGAGTCTGCAGCGCTATAGTGCAAATTGGTTTGGTCCTCGGCGATTGCGCGGCCGTTCAACGAGCACTTACCAAAGGAAGTCCAACAGGTAGAGTACTCGGAAAGGCTGTGTAGATGTTCTACGGCCGTGTGTGCCACACTAAAGATACAGAGGACAGCACAAAGGCGAAGGATTCAGCGTCCAAAATGGTATAAACGAGTCTCTAAGTGTCATAGAACAAAGAGCAGAGCCTTACTCTCTTGTAGCAACAATTTGTGCTAAATAGTAGACGATTTTTCCAATTCTCATTATTCTATTTCATCATGAAGATCGCTGTCCTTCTTATGAGCTGCTTGGCTACATTGGCTGTAAGTCAGGCGTGCGGCAAGAGTAAGCGATAGCCCCCTTCCGGATGCTACTGTGCCATAGAAAAAGTCGCTAACCAAGCGCCACCAAACAGCTGCTGATTGTGGTGAAAACTTTTGCTGTGTCAGTAGGGCCTCGGGCGGTAATACTTGCGGCCCCCTAGGTATTGAGAATCAGGACTATAGTAAGTTCAATTACCAATGAAGCCTGGCCTTCCGACCAGGTGGCTAAGACTCGCGTCCACAGGCCCCGGCAGTCGCGATCCAACCCGATTGTACAAGTGGTGTCTCTGTTCAGAAGCATTCACATGCTTTAACAACAGGTGTGTGTCCTAACCGCACAAGACGCAATCTCGGGTGCCGCGATAAGACTGCCGACAAGGAGTAGCTTTTGCTTCCGTACAAGTTGTGACTTTTGGTGGCAACTATCGGTGGCAAACAAATCATCCTCCTCTGCGTTATGCATCCCAGGCGAGGCCCATGTGCCCATGGATTGTGGGGTGAGATCGTTAGCCTACAGGATCCATCCGTTGAGTAATTGTGATGTAATGGGATGAACGAGAAACATTGTCCGTATGGTAGTTAAGTGGGTTTCACGCTAACAAGCAGATTTGCATTTAGCCTAGGATAGAGCCCTGGGTAAGCTTATTACCAGCCACAGCTGGCCGGGGTTTTATAGAATGCAATCTCTTTCGTAACAATATCATTGCTTAAGCCGAACGTTGCGACCGTTGCCAGCATACACGCTTATTAACCCGTTTCTTTTACTGCTCTCAACTGAGCTACCATATTTGGTTGGCGAGCGTCCGCCGTCTTGGTTGTGGTGGTGTCGTCACTCATGGCGTTCGCATCGCCAGGTATATCTGCAAACAAATAATTAATTTTTATAATTCAACCGATATTTATCGACATTTAATATTACCATTAGTATTCACGATGCGTATTACGATATGCAGGCGAAGAGACCCGGCATTGTATGCTACCCTAGAGACGCAGGCCTGCAAAAGCTACGACCAAGTATGCCACCAATGTTGAAAAGTAAGTCCTTTTTGGAGGAAATAACTACTTATTCTTTTAATGATTATTATGGAATATTTGCAAAGCGTATAGGAATGCGATATGAGGGCAAAGAGGGCAATAAATAAGCTCTCAGCCTAACATGCTGCCGCCACATTCTGACTGTAGCCGTGCCAGACTCACGGCTACAGTACAACATCCTCTATCCCCACGAATAAAATACAATGAACGATACACAGACTGCTGGCCTCTTGTCCCTACCGCTAGAGGTACTTCGACAAGTTGCTGATGAGCTTAGCGGCCTGGCAACGAGTCTCAATGGCGAATTGTCACGGCGATTGACCAACAGCAGCCACCACCGTGAAACTGATAAGGTCGCACGCTATCGAACAAATATTTCGAACTTCCGCTTGGCCCGCAAAAGGCTTCATGAATCTGGCAGCCATGGGCTTGTACCGTGTTTGAGAAATCCGTCTAAATGACGCATCCCTCACCACAGCCGACGCGCTATCCCAGAATCCCTTCATCGCCGCAGGCATTAACGAGGTTCAGCTTATTTTGAACACCTGTCCGGAAAATGTAGCAAATGATCTGGAAGCGTATAAGGAGTTTAAATGGAAAGCCGTAGATAGGTTGACACAATACTGCGACTGGTACACAGAGGCAGTGTCTATGGCGCGAAATGGAAACCCCAATGCATACCCAGGCTACGGTTCCCACGCAAGCCTATTTACCAGTGTCAGTCATCGATCCTTGGCTATGCAGTGCCTCTTGAAAGACAACGACTCGTCAGCGGAATCAGATCTGACTATGGAACCATGCAGGTTGTTACGGATTGAGGGCTTCACATGTTTCCGCGCCATGTCTAGCGAACAACAATCTTTGCTAAAGACAGGAGGTTTTGCAATCCGCCTCTGTGCCATTATGGAACGACTTTCCAATGTTCGATGGCTCCATTTCACAGACCAAGCGCCAGAGTGGTGGGACACCGAGCCCCTAGTACCAATTGAGGAAGCGACGATGCTCACTGAAGATACCAAGCTGCTCAGAGTCTTGGCCTATCCTTTACATTGGGGTGGCCAAGCAACTTATAGTTACGAGGACGAGGATGAGGAACTCGTGTTTTGCCACGATGTGGCCGACTCTTCAGCTGCAACATTGCTCAGTGACATTCCCATTGCCCTTGCCCGGGCTGGTGTCGAGATCCGTGGCCTAAAGATATCGTGTTTTCCAGTATCCCAGGATATGCCACTGCCAATTCCGGCACGCGGTGCGTTGGCGGGGACAGACGAGGAGCTTCGGTTAGCCTTTTCTTCACTGGAGCGGCTGGAAGTGAGGCCGCGTCGTGCAGAAGATGGCAGGGCAAAGGAGTTTTTTTCTCGTCAGGATTACAGCATCTTGCAGAGTTACCTTGCGTGTTGCCAATCGAACCCAAAACTTTCCAACATTGAAATCAGCTTGCCGAATCCCTTCAAGTTGCAGAATCTACAATGAATGGTCTTGGCACGAATTACAATAGTGACGTTTTGTAACGAAAATGATACTTTTATGTATTCATGTACGTCTATCTATTATATCTGGATCATATACAATCGTGGTTCGTGAAAGAGATCGTTATTTCTGGCCCATTGGCTTTAGCATTGGCACTTGTTGGGGTTGCAGTCACCGCCGCACGAGGTATCGCAGCCCTTGACGAAGGTTGGGGTCTGAATCTGGACGGTGAGCGCACCAGCATGCTTAGGAGGCCTGCCGTTGGTGCTCTTGCTGACATTGTACGTCTTGAACTGGAAAGTATCGGCCGCCCAGGTGCGGACAATGTCCTCGCGAATCGCGGTGTAGACGTTGGCGATATCGGCGCCCTTCTCAACCCAGTTGTCGGTGGTGTTGGGCAGGGCAAAGTTGTAGTCGAGAGCAAATGCAAACGTGCCTTCGGGGTAGCTGAGGTAAAGAGCGCCGACAAAGATTTGGTCCTCGTCCTTGGTGGTATTCTCGTATGTGTATCTGTCGAATTCATGGTTAGCGCCCCTCGGGTCCGATCAAGGGATCTGACGACATACCTGGGAGGGAAAAGGCCGTCGAATCGCTTCATGCCGTCGTCAACATGCTCCGGAAGCAGCTTGGGGCACTGGGCTGTTCTGCTGGCCACATTGAACTTGTAAAAGACCTTGGGGTTGGTTCCCTTGACGATGCCTTGGGCGGCGGCAGTAGCGGCCAGGACGGCCAGAGCGAAGCAGTTGGCGAGCATCTTTTGTTAAAATTGGGAGATTAGGGAATGGGAGTGAGAGAGAGAAAGAAAAGAGACAATAGAGCTGAGATTACAATGCAATATATATAACAATAAAAGGAAAGGAAAAAAATCGCAATCCGTAATATTTCGGCACGTCTTTATCCGGCCCCCGACAATGACATTACCAGCTTACCGCGGCCCGTTCTAACTTGTTCTAGTTCTAGCGTCATGCAGACATCTTCCAGGGCCTCGATTATCGGCGCTGCCGCTTGCCTGCTGCCGATCAGCGCGAAAAGACACTGACGAACCAGGCCTTGACCACGTTCCAGCCAATGCCGAGATACATTCGGCTAACCGGCTTGTCGTAGAATTGGCCTTTGTCGCCAACCTCTGTCAAGCTGAGGCCCAGCTCGACGACAGGCTGCGGCCAGCGCGACGACGCGCGAGCATACGCAGCGACGAGTTCGTTTCCGTTGGTGACGCCGCCTGCAAATTAATTAGCCAGTATTTTCTATGAATTTCCTTTAGGGTGTACGTACCGCTAGACCAAAAGTTGCCGTCCTGCACCCACCGGTAGCGGTCGCCCACCAAGTCAACGCTAGGAAATTTCTTTTTAATCATGGCCTGCAGGCCGCGCGGACCGCTGGCCTTTTTGCCGTCAACGATGCCGGCAGATGCACAGACAAATATGCCAGTGCATATGCATATAATATCGACTCCAGGTGTGGCGGCCTGCTTGCGGAGCCATGCGAGGCCTGCTTCAGCGTATTCATCAGATGGGTCCGGGCCAGGAACAACGACAATGTCGAGCTTTCCAGGCGCCACATCCTCGTCTGTATAGGAGTGTGTGGCTTTTAGTGTAGCGCCGGATGTGAGGGGGATGTCTGTGCCGTTCTCGGGCGATGTGATGTAAAAGATGGACACGTTGGGGGCAATAGAGACAACGTGGTCGGGGAAGTCGGGGAGAAGCCCAAGATATTCCTTGGACATGACGCCGAGCGAGTCGACGCAGGCTACGTCGAGGAATTGCGCATCGTTGGGGATGAAGACGCCAATCTTGATGTGTTTGCTCATGTTGGGCGTGAAAAGTAAGAAGAGGACAATATATATGACGCAGAGAGAAATCAGTTAGATCAACCTTTGCATGTCCATTGTCAACGCCGTTCTTATATAGACAAACGTCAAACTATGCTCCGGACCCGATCGGAAACAGCCCATCGCTTCTCGCCTTGGCGCTAACCGGCTCCCTCTCGGGTTGGTCGTGGGGGAGGCTTACAAGGGGTTCAGTTGGGGAGGCCGCTGACTATTGGTAGTGGAATTAAGCCGACGCCACACGGCACGATACGCGCAATAAGCAGCTCCGCTGCGAGGCTCTGTTGTGTGGCTGCTCCAGTACATGTGGACAACGAGGCTCGCCAACTGGTCTCTTCTCCTCCCATATAACCTTCTCTGGCAAATTTCTATATATAATTATTTCATCCTCAACAAGTTTGCTATATTCTACATTGATATGGTACCCCTCATTCGCAAATCTGACGACTAAGCTATTTCTGGCAAGACCGGCGCAGCCTGATTTACAAACCATGACTCTCTTTAGGACCCAAGCAACCCTTTGACAAGTGTTGGTTTTTTTCCTTTCGGCACCTCTTCAAAATATTTGGCCATAATACGCGAAAAACTACAACCAGACGTCTAAAGATGCATCTGTCAACTCCTATGACTGCCGCTGTGCTAGTGGCTGCCGCCAACACAGTAGCTGGTCTTCGGATGAGAACAACCGATGGAACTCCACTGATCCGAACCCAGCTGGCTCCAACCAGTATGCTTATATTGACAACTCTGCGCAACACCACTAACATGAAATACAGCAAAAATGGTGGAAATACTTTGAACGTCGGTTATGGATTTGTCCCAATGCTGGCGCTGCTGACTCTGCTCAGCCTGTAAATACAAAGCACAATTTCAAAGCACCCCATTTGTTATTCATGCAACTACCACCTAGTATTTATCTAATGTCTCATGTACCTTCTTCAGAACAGTACCATCTTCCACGTTTGCCTCGTTCAGAAAGTGCCACGGCAGGATACTGGACTGCTTCTTTTGGTTCTTCCTTTGCATACAGTGCATCATAACCTTGAGCATACCATTCATCTGCTGCAACTGTTGTGGAATGTCGGCATAAAGATCGAAGTCTTCTCGCGATGCCGACTTGACACCGAGGCGAACGCACCCTAATAAGTTCGCTGCCAACCCCGCTGCCACAGGTGTTGCATACGATGTACCAGAGACAAATCTCGTTTCTTTGTCTCCCTTTCCGAATCGACCTTTGACTTCGATACTTTCGCCAAAGGCGTAAAAGATTGGATACGCGTTATTCTCATCGGGATTAAAGGATGAAACTTCCCCGTCTCCATCTGTAGCACTGATACCAAAGACGTACGGCTCTCGAGCTGGCCAAGCCATTCCCTTATGTGCTCCGTCATTGCGAGTGGCAGCGAAGAAAAGTGGTGGCTTTGTTAATTTAAGCACCTCTTCCATCGTATTGCTGATAACCCGAATGCGTTGGTCGAAACCAAAGCTCATAACAATAATATCGGCGTTCCATACTGTGGCTGCGTGCCGGATTGCCTATGTCATTCCATCGTCAGCTCTGAAAACATCTTTCTACAGGTGTACTTACCATTGCAACATTTTCCTGTACTTGTGATGAAGTGATGTGGGCCGTAAAGTCAGTCCGCTTTGTGCACACCTTGGCAACGTATATCTGAGTTTTTGGTGCTACATCCAAAAGGATTTTTCCAATGGTCGTACCATGACCATCAGAGTCTGTATCCCATGCTTCCCCATTACAAAACGATTTGCAATCTTCAGCGGCGAGTTTGCCAGCATCAATGTAGTTCTGCTGTAAGGCGCTCGCAAGCTCGAAGCCCGTATCCAGGATGGCGATCCTAGTTCGTTGAGCGTCTTGAGTGTTTGCTGAAAGCTTCTCGAAGTTCTTATGAAAGATCGCATCATGTACAATTTTCAACTGCTTATACCATGCTCGGCTCGCGAGTTGCAGTGCTGTACACTCAGTAGAGATACCAACTGCAGCTTTTCCACCCCCATCAATCTTTTGGTGAAGAGCATGCAGTGGTACATTGTAAATAGCGGAGAGTGCATCGCCGAGGGGATATAAAATCCTTTCGAATATGTACTTCCTCACCTCACCATCCGTAATATTAGCTTTGCCAAGTCCAGCCTCCTTCAGTTGCTGCGGCTCGAGGCAAGCAAATACGGCGTGAAAGCAGCCATCAGGCACAACCGTTGAGCTTTTCTTACCGTCAGCGGCGATCCATCGATCATAAGCTAGCAATGAGGTGGCACATTTATCCTCCACTGCTGAGAAGTGAATAATGCTGCCCCGGAAGGTTTCCAGTAGAAGTATGCCAAGAGAGAGGATATCAGGAAACCAATGTGCTTCGCTCAAATTGCGCGCTGATGGCTTCGATATATCTTTAGTGAAGTGTATATTTAGAAATGGTCGGAGAATATTTGCCGACTGTTGTTTCATGTGAAAACAAATATTGTCTGACGTCAAGGTTGCCTAAACTCTATTAGTTTGGTGTGGTTGCAAAGTATACATTAATAACATAACCATACCTGCAACTGCTCATGGTTGAGATTGAAGAGGTGAAGAAACGACGTGACAAGAACAAAAGATAAAATTACCCGTTCTTTGAGATCGATTTTCGAAACAAAGGAGGGTCCTGAATCGATAGGTTCAAGTAACTCGCGTAGTGATTTAAAAGCGCCGTCTGGAACCTTTATAGGGCCAGACCTGTCAAATTCGGATTGTAGCTGCCAAAGCTTTTTATCATAGACCATCATCTTGGGAATAATATTGGCTCTTGCCTCTTCAATAATACGGCATAGATTATCTCCAATAGCCGTTCTCGGGTCGTCTTTTAGGCTTGAGATATATTAGTACATCGTCCAGTCGCATTGAGATGCAAACATACTCTACTTCACGCACAGCAATATCGGTGTCTTGCCAGTGCGGCAACCCAAGACTTGTGGGAAACAGTATACGAAATAGAGCCTTTCGTTGTGATAACGCAGTCCCGTAAACCGGCGCCGTCTCAAATCGCTGATGATGGGTGAGGTTGATCTTCATGGCACGCTCGAGATGTAACCGCGAATTGCAATTACACTGCCAGCCAGTCTCCAGTGCGCCGAACAGAATCTTGGAGAACCTGCGGACATGCTTCACTGGATAGTCCGAGAAGCGAAGAGGACATTGTGAGTAGACCAACTCTTCTGGTCGCATTCTGTCCAACGCATCAAAAGCAAATGTCAAATGATGCAGCATATCTCCTCTATTTTTCGCTCGCTTGCTGAACAGTCGAACATGTTGGCACAGAACCCAGATGTCTGTTTCCGAGAGATCTCCTTCCTCGGGTAGGATACGCAGTAGAGCCCGCAGTCTAGGGTATACTTCATTGACTTGGTATCGTAGGCCAAGCTTGCGGCATGCATCGGCCGCCTTTGTCCTTTGCAAAGGAGAAAGAGCGTGCTCCAAATCTTCAAGGGTATCGCTCAACGCTTTATACAACTCGTCCGAAGTCAACGGTATAGAGTCTATGTCGCATACCGCTAGGGCCGCCGATAATATTTCCGATTTTACATAGTAATTTTGGTAAAACTTTCGAGCAGCTGTTATTTCGGGGGGCTCGTTTTCGCAACGGTCGGGAACAGAGTCTCCATGAGACTGGGCGATCGCGACAAATGTCGGTAGCGTATGGCGCAGCAGCTGAAACAAGTCGTCTATAGTACAGGATGGAGCGACTTCTGTATAGAATAGGCCTTTGAAGCCAGGAATAAGATCCATATCGGCTCCTCCAGTGTATTGCCGCCACCATTTAGGTGTATGAAGGTGCAAAAGAACAAGGCTGGCCCTTGGGAATCTGCCGTCAGCCGCATAGGCGTTTCTTGGTGGCTTCAGCTTCCCCTCAACGCGGGGCTTGAATTTCGACTAGGGTCGGCCCGGGCCATGCGGCTGTCGATTTGCTTCAATATCCAACACCCAGCACGAGTGCACTTTTATTCATGAAATCGACACTAAACTAGGAAGCGCAGCTTCATATGGAAGACGGACCTTTGATAACTGTGGCCGAAGCCGAACAGCCCGAGGAAGTCGATGTGCTGCCGGTCGCTCCAGATGAGGTCCTTGATGATATCCGGTCTACCTCTCGAGCCTGCCAGGAGCTGCTCGAGCGACTTCGAGATGCAGATAGCTCTGAAGATAGATCAGGGTCATATCCAGATGCATCCAGAGAGCTGACTAGCTTTTCTATTTGGGCGTCTGGAGTCGGTGCCTTTCGCCATGGCCAACAATCTCTAGCCTCACGGCTGAAGACCTCGCCAGAGACTAGCAATATGATGAAACAACTACTTCTAAGTTTAAAAGATGATCTTGGTAAGTTTCCCTGGTAGCATAGTCTATATTTATCAGCTCTAACCAAACGGCAGAAAATCAGTTGCAATATGGCGACGATGCTGAGTTTGATGCCAGTGATACAGACGAGTCGTCCGATGGATCGTCAATAGCAGTAAAGGAATCCGATTCAGAGGCAGCAGATGGTATCAGAAACAACTCTATAACATCGCATGGTCTTTGGATGTCGATACACAACACCATCACCAGTCTCCGCCAGATTGGCATCAGCCTTCATCGTGGTGGAACACGGCACCGACAGGAACGCATTGATCGATATGTCAACCTCGATCGCAACAAGCAGCAATATGAAATGTTTAAACATTTGGCATTGCAAAAAGTCGAATTCTTATTCCCGAACGCAAGCTCTGTATTGCAAGAGCGCATGGCGAAATCCATTGCGACACGCCGCGCTCGATTCTCCTATCTTGAGCAACATCAGGTTAAACTTCAGGCTATGGAAACAGCCGAGAAGCCACAAGAGCCACAAGTTTCAATACCAAAGGCTATCAAAGCTGCTGTAGCTGTCATGGAGGAACAGGAAACCAGGCTTAGCCCTCCGTCTCTACGAAGTAGAGCAATGCCCTCTTTGCATCAACGAACTGAACTATCCCATACCGTTGCTACCAAAATTGAGATGCCTAAAAAGGCTGAGTCGGTAGCTTCGGTACAAATACCGATACATTCTCTACCACCTATTCCAATCATAGATAGGATCACATCGTCATTCAAATGCCCTTACTGCTCTCTTACCTGCCCATCAACCGAAGCCAGCTCCGAAGAAGCTTGGCGCAGGCATCTCATTGGCGATTTTGAACCTTTTTTCTGCACATTTGACGATTGCAGTGACGTATTTGAATGTTCAGCCTCGTATTCGTCGTGGTTGTCGCATATACAAAAGGCACACATGCAGTCCGAGTGGCATTGTTGGTACTGTCGGGATACAACTTCGGGCTCCCACGCCCAATTTTCGTCAGAACAGCTCTTCAAAGATCATCTAACGAATTTACACTCTGATAGAGTAACTGAAACTGTCATGTCTACGGTTATTAAACATAGCGAAGGCAGGAACAGCCTCGCGTGCCAGACATGTGCTTTTTGTGGTGGATATCCTGAAGAGATTGAAGCATTGCATCCCACAAGAGAGAGTCCAGAAGCTCTGTTAGTTCTCGAAAACCATATCAAAAGCCATTTTATGTCACTATCGTTGATCCTCCTTCCAGTTGTGATCCAAGGAGAGGCACAGCAGGATGGTGGTGGGGAGTCAGACGCAGACAGAGGCAATGAAAGCCAACAGGACTCGGAAAATTTGGAAGGTCTCACAGATCTCACAGATTTATCAGATTGGAACAATAAGCCCCGTTTCATATCAGAAGTGAGCCTACATTGTGCCAATAAAGAGTGCGACTGCAGAGTCAAATCATCCATTCCATCCGGTATCTTCTCCTCATTCCCAGCTACCATGCCAGCGGACGTAACCTCTGACGAACGTCGATACAATGCAATTGATCCTGCATTCTACTTCCTAGCTGACGGAAAGGAATGGGAGTTTTGGTATCCTTTACCGTTGCCTCCTGGATCTGAGCCAACAGCACCACAATACCCTAACATTGAAGATGACAAGAAATTACGTGACTACTTTCAGTTACAGACCAGAGAACCTACACGCATCCAGAAGCGGGTGGGTTTCCTTGGCGGGCCGAGGGAACAGATTCTTGGACATTTATATAAGAATTTCCATAAACACAACCCCCCTTTTACGTGGTACAAGAAAAGGATACCGAAAGCTGCTCTCAACACATGCAATTGGATCTATCAGAATAGGCCCGTACAAGACTGGGTAGCTGGCAACACGAAACTTATTGTAGTTACTGGCACTACAGGAACTGGAAAATCCGTGCTGGTTAAGCACATGTTGGAGCCATCTTTTGCGGACTCCTGTTACTTCATCTTTTCAGGTATTGGTGCAAATTGGTCGAATCACGCACTGGCCGCCATATTGATACAAATACTGGAAGACCAGCCAGACTTTTACAGTAGCTCAATTGAGGAGGAGGTGAAATCAGAACACTGGAAGTATCGGTCATCAGACTTCCTGTGCGAGATGCTGGAGCGGATAGCGAGCAAAGGGCGTCTGTCGCGTGTTTTGGTTTTCTTGGACGGCATTGAGCTCTGTATGAATCTTCCTGAAATGCAAGAATACATACGGCGTCTTATTACTGTTAAAGGCAGCTGCTTCCGATTTTTTGTTACATCTCAGAGCGAAGGGGCTCTGGTGTCACTTTTGACAGATGTCCGATTCCACAAAAGCTTGATCGACTTGGATAACACGCCAGATGTCGTATCAGATGCTGAGATGGTGACAAATCGTCATCTAACATTTATGACCAAGAACGGGGGTTGGTCATCTGAAGTTGCTAGCTGCCTTAGATCACACATACGGACACACCAACGGAACTTTCTTGATGATGCGTTCGTTATTCAATATCTTGACTGGAAGCGCCCCTCTGCTAGCGCATCGGAAGCAGTCCCAGCTGATTACGGGAGTGTTGTAAACCGGCTGATGCACGAAAAATGGTCTAGCGAAAAAGACCGCAGGCTAATATTCATGGCGGCAATGTCGGAGTGGCCTCTCACAATGGACGAAGTGGCCAATATAATGGCCATGGGTGATATTGAGAACGATCCGAATAATGGGAACATCAGCAATGTCTTCCGTAAGCATGCAAATCTCGAAAACATTGAGACGTATCTAGAGCGCTTTGAACCACTCATATTTATATGCGATGGCCGACTATCGTTTGACCAACGACTGTTTCTCGGCACCATGATAAAGCCATCGCCGCCATCTCCCAATCTCACAAATGATGTCGCTTTTCTACATATGGAAGATATTAGCAAGGTTGTAGCGACTTCATGTGCACTTTACTTGAATATCTTCAATCGCATGACAAGATCTACGTTGGAAGACGTTGGTGCCGTCAGTTTATTGCCATATGCTGCCAGGAATTTTATCTATTTCTTGCAAGGGAGCCACACAATGGATCTTAGAGAGATTTCTATGAAACTATTTGATACGTCATCTCGGAGCTTTCAAGTATGGTACTCTAGTTACCAGTCTACTCAGGGGGCAAACTACTCAGTCCCAATTTTACCCTGCAACTCGGCGATAGTATCAGCCTTCTTCGGTATAGATTGGCTCACTGCCCGCTACCTAGACGATGGTGAAGATATTAACGGGACCGATGCATCTGGTCGTACAGCGCTTTCTTGGGCTGCATCTAGTGGACGACTGAAAATAGTTACAACATTGGTTAAACGAGGTGCAGATATAAGCGCCAAAGACAAGCTTGGGAGAACAGCACTCACATGCGCAGCCGCTTCTTATCAAATGGTAGCTGCCAAACTTCTGCTAGACTCTGGTGCCATGGTAGAAGTACAGATGAATCCAGACCACACTGTGGTTACAGCGGCGGTCAGAGAGGGCATAACCAGTATGATCCAAAGCTTCATGACAGCAGGTATTGACTTCTCATCAAGAGCGACTCTGTTGAAGTTATCACTGGAACATAAAAAGGATGACATAGCAAAGCTATTTCTGGAAACAGGTGCAACGATTGATATCATAGACCTCGACAACGACATGCTCCACTCATTAACGCACGATGCCTACACTGGATCGATCAAGAATGGTGTTCTGCTTAATTATACGCAACAGTTTGGAAAACGTCGTAGTCGATTTCCAAGGAATTCATTAATTCGACTGCACCCTACTGACATTCAGAAAGCAACCTTCCGCCTATATGACAACGCAGCAGCATTGGACAACGAGTTCGCCCCCTATGTTCAAGCGCTGAAAGATTTGGAATTGGGAGTCGGGCGCCGGCCTGGGCTACGAAAAGCTGCCTTTGGCATATGGAAGGACGTGCGGCGCTTCCAGAACGAGAGAACCCTTTTTGCCCTCGGCTTTGTGGCAGCAAAGACCTTGTGCATAGATTCGTCACCACAGTCCATCAGCCGCAGGATAGGCTGGCTTGAAACAGCAACTCAAATTACCGATGTGACCAGTCAAATTGATTTTGACTTTCTTCAAGCGAGCGAGCAATTGCTGATAGAGCAATACGAAGCTAATGGGCAGAGAGCAGACGCCATTAGGGTGCTTCTGAATATTTGCAATCGCCAGCATCCTTGGCTTCCGACACCAGGTATCAGTAGACTTGGGATTTTAGTAGACTTAGCAAGACTCTATGCTGAAGACGACAATATGGCCGAGTCAATTGCGATGCTGCAGATAGTTTTAGAGGCACTGCCCTCTGATCCAAAGACGCTGTATAAGATGGAATATCTCAAGTCAAAGCACCGAGACCCTACGAGCTCGGGTATCGTTGATGAAACTGGTTTACCAGGACCTTATACATCCGAGGACGGGTTCGTCGAGCCGGAATTTGAATCCGATCGGTATGCTGTACTCCACATACTTCTTGTCGCATATTGCGATGACAAAGCTTATGAGAGTGCCTGGAAGGTCGTAGACCGACTTAATGCTATCATGAGAGATAGAGATCGCGGTTATAAGCACTGGCTGAAGAAGCCTTAGCCTTCTCCAGGTGTATAATTAATTGTGTTGCAAAGCTGTCCTTTCATAACTATCTTTATTGGGTTCTGTCATCTTGCATCAATACTTGCTATGATCGACTAGCCGTGGTCGTACGAAGCACTTTTGTGGTTTGTTGACCACATTCAAATATCCTTCATACCCTGAAAGCTCCACTGGGCACTTGTCAAGCTCAAACATCCACAGTATTCTCGTAAGCAGCATACGGACTTCCAAATACGCCAGTCGTCTTCCAAAACATCCTCTCGGCCCTGCGCCAAAGTTATCAACGGCTCCGGCGCTCGCATCAAATATCGTCTTGCCATCAACTTCTTTTAGCCAACGCTCAGGCTTGAATTCGTGTAAATCATCTTCGTTTTCCCAAATTCTCGCCATCTGGCTTTTCTTGGTTTCTTGTGATGTAGTGCTCCGCAGACCTTCGTCGATTTGTAGGGATGGCTCGTGGTATCCAGGACCCTTGTTCATCAAGAGGATATTTGTACCTTTAGGGATATACTTGCCAAGAAGGACTGTATCGTGCATGGCCTCTCGAATGGACCCAGCTGACGTCGGGATATATCGAAAAGATTCTTCCATGAATGCATCCAAAAAGGGCACAGAAGTGCTAGCCATTTCAGCAGCAGACGGCATACGGTTCTCCGAAAATGCTGTTGGATATGCGTCAAAGAGAATTCGACGGAGTTTAGATTGGTATTCTGGCTTGTCGGAGAGGAGCTTGAGCATCCAACTCATGACAGCCGATGAAGTATCATGGCCGGCAACGATGAAAAGATATGTCTGCTTAGTGTTAGCACTCCACCAAGTTATTACGAAATTGTCGACAGATTCGGTACCTCTCCAATCATAGATGCTGAAAAGAAGTCTGGCTCACGGCCTTGTCGTTCAGCTTGTCGCGCTTCGCGGTCGACCATAAGGTCGACAGCGTGAAGAATACGTGGCTCTTCTGTGCTCTCAGCGCGCTTTTGAATGGCCTTTGTGATTTCTGTCTTAATCATATCGGCTTTGCGGCGCATTAGCATTTTAAATCGCGACGTGTACTTGTACTTTTGCCAGCTCAGAGAATACACAACACTATTCATAATCTTTCCACTATACCAGACAAGATCAAGCGCTGCTCCCAGGCTTGGGTGGTATTCCGCCTCGCCAAACTCCAGAGGAACATCGAGATCGATGTCTCCATCCGTAATCGACATGCCATTTACTAGCTCGAGCTGTGGCTTGAGTGCGGAGTAGGGATATTCGGGGCCAAATGCAAAGGCTAGCACGCCGTCCAAGGTTACCCGAGACATGTCGTCCTCAGCAGCAAAAGGGCGTCCCTGAGCGAGCTTGGTTTTCACTTTCCACAGTTCGATGAAGTTGTCTGAAGCAATCTCGATATTGGGCGTTGCAACAGTTTGTAAGAAATTCGGTGTCATGGTGTCTTGAACAAGGCGACGGTGCATCTTATGCTTCGAACCAGACTGAAGATGAATCTGGCTGGGACCAACGACTGGGTCTAGAATATCCGCAAGAGATGAGGGCCGGTCAAAGTCTTTAGCTCGCTTCGTCATAACATCCATAGTTTCTCGCGGATCAGATAGAATGACCATGGGCTTGGTGAAAGGGTTGAGGAAGACTTGCTTAAGCGGCGAGTTGGAGGATTTGGCCTGCTTCACAAACCATTGTGCAAAGTCTCCTGTGCTGGAAAGCTCATGTAAGAAGTTGGGAATATCCCCAAGAATGCGAGATTCTGAGCCCTCGTTGTACGGAATTCCGGGAATAGGCTTAGGTAGCAGACGGCGGTAGATGATGTACAGGGTCGCAACGGTTGCCACTCCCAAGAGGGCAAGATTGGCTGTAGTAGGCATTGCTAGTGTTGAGTATAGAAAAACAAGACGCTGGTATGAAATTAAAGAGATAAATGCCGCCCTGTAGTTGTTTGTTAGGTATATTGAGGGGGGGACTTCTGTGCTTTCAGAAGAATGAGTAGGGTGGTATTGTCCTGTTCTTGTAGACTGGGCATCCCTCCTAACCCCCAAGCCATTTAGTAGCGTCTGATAGGCCGCTGATCGAGCCTCGTCGTGCTGTGGGAATGGGCGTAATGTCGACACCCATGTCAGACCGTGGCGTTCATTAGCCAATCAGCCTTATTAGAGGTATGATTCCCCGCACACACGGCGTCTTACTGCATATACGTAGAACTCTGTGCAGTGTTTCTGGGGCACCATTCGTAATGCAGTTTCCCCTAGTATCTCCAAGTTCTTGATTGTAAATTAAAGAAAAGAGTGATATAACTTTACCCAAGAATATACTACTATGTCTGCTATGATGGTTACCTGATATTTTGACTCACAGGGTTCACCAAAGCGCGATGCATCAAGGAGCTGCCACATTTTAATTTTATCGGGCTTTTACTCAATCAAGCACCCTGACGGACAACCATGAGGAATGAAACCCAAGAGTCGAAGGTAAAAATAAAATGAAATATCTAAGAGCATTTTGCACCATATTTACCAGATAAATATGTAAGAAAAAAGGTCTGCCACTCAGAAGACTCGCACAGCACCTACAGCTTCGAGCGCTTCCGCGATGTTTCTATCCTCAGGTTAAAATCGACAATCCGCAATATCCGCACAAGAGGCTCTTACCTTCAAGCTGTGCAATTTTTTCGGCGAATCTCCGAATTGGTGCGCCGTCCGCAACTCTGTCAGTGAGGGCATCCGCTGAATCATATAGTGCCATCATCCGCCCTGTCCGAAGCGTCGCGTTTTGCGACTTCTTGGCCAAGATCATGCTTTGCCCGTCATTTACTTGCAGCTGCTCATGTAGATACTCCTTGACATCTGCTCGGAAGCTCCCGACAGGGAAAATCTTGTTAATCATCCCCCATTGCTCAAGCTCCTCCGCGGTGGCCTTGCGACCAAACATGAGCATGTCGTTGGCGCGATGAACACCAATGGTTTGGGCAAAGTTGAGCGCAGAACCATTCTCAGGAACAAGCGCCAGCGACGAAAATGGAATCTGCATGTAGCATGTATCCGCTGCGAACACAATGTCTGCAAGGCCAGCAAACCAGGCGGCACCTCCGCCAACAGCAGGGCCGTTGAGGGCAAGAACAAAGACCTTCTTGTGATCAATCAGAGCGCGGACCAGCTCAACACCTAGAGTACTCAGCATCATGCAACCGTAAATTGTAACCTTAGGGAACTAATACCTTTCAAAAGAGTTTCTGTAGCCGCAATCTTCGCTTCTGATCTAGTGTCATCTGCTAATTCTGGCAACACTCGCGGCTCTGCGTTGATTAGTTAGAAAATGGTGTCAGACAGGGGCTCAAATCCGGAGAGTTGCCTGCCTCGAATGTCAGCGCCGGCAGAAAAGAATCTGCCCTCACCGGTTAGGACTGTAAAAATTGTATCCGGATGATCATTCAGCTCCATGACAGCATTGAGCGTCTCAATTAGGAGCCTGCCACCAAATGAATTCAGCGATTTTGGTCGGTTGAGCTGAAGCTGGGTTAGTTATGTTGTTGTGGTACGGCTCGAGAACTTACAGTGATAATCCCTATCTCGCCATCAAGCTCCACCTTGATATCCTGGTAGTCTGTCTTAACCATTTCTTTTATTTGGGACTTTTTAATGTCTATGCTGTAGATTGAGGGATTGTCGCGTGGTCTTGTTGCTGGTCGGCGGAGACGGAGTATTTGAGACGCGGCTGTCCCGTACGGCTGTCGGCTACATGCTTGATCCGAAACCGAGCCTAAGCCTGATGTTTACCGATCTCGGGAATTATAATAGGCATATTAAGAAGTAGACAATAAATATAGCGCGGGGAAACTTCATGACGATGGAACTATTAAATTCGACTTCGACGGAAACGCGCGGATAATATTCCAAGTGGTGTCCTTTGCGTATGGATAGACACACTGCTTTAGCGCAAGTGGACAGTATCGAGAGCTAAGGTGTACGGCTAGTGGTGATAAATGGTAGACGGCACCAGACAGCTTATTCGATGTAACATCTTAACCAAGATACATCCTAAACATCGTGGACAATATTTCTTATGTATCTAGAGTTATATATTGCTTGTAATTACGCACCTCGGTCCCAAAATTACTTCTGTTGCGCTGTAATTAGTCTAGCGATCTTGACGCTAGACTACTGGTCGGAAACGGAACCCCGCTCCCAAAGAGCGCCGCCTATTTGACAAATCAAGACAAATCAGACAAACTATACAAATCGATCATAGTGTGGGGAATGACGATGAACTATGCAGGGTTAATAATCGCATTAGGCTACGGATAGATGGAACCTGTATTTATAAAAACAGCAACTGTTCATAGAAAATATTATATCTCTCGCGATTAAGCTTATGCCTACACAGACAACCAACACAATGACAGTCAATCCTTGCAACAAATTACAAGACCCAGAGAAACAAGATGCGCCTGAAGTGTACCCCCCAGATGAAGGCATCATGCCGTGGATACAGGTTGCAGGCTCATTTTGTCTCATGTTTGCCTCCTGGGGTTCTGTGATGTCTTATGGTGCCTTTCAAGAATTCTATAAGTCAAACATGATTACAGGACAAACTTCATCATCCACTATTGCCTGGATTGGAAGCTTACAGGCATTTCTCCTCATGTTTGGAGCTGCATTAACTGGTACCCTCTACGACAGTGGCTATTTCCGGGAGATGCTTTACGCTGGTTCATTCCTCATGGTGTTTGGTCTTATGATGACCTCTTTGGCACATGAGTATTGGCAGTTTATTCTGGCTCAATCCGTCTGCGCTGGAAGTGGAATGGGATTGGTTGCGCTGGGAGCCCTCGCCACAACTGGAACATGGTTCGTCAAGAGACGAGGACTTGCTGTTGGGATTGGCAGCACAGGTGCATCTGTAGGCGGAATTGTACTGCCAATATCATTGCGCCATCTGATTCCCCAGATCGGATTCCCCTGGGCAGTTCGGTCCATGGCGTTCATTGTAGCTGCAATGCTCATTTTACCGCTAGCAGTCTCTCGACAGCGTCTGCGACCAAACCGACGAAATACTCTTCTTGACTTTCGATCGCTGCTACAAATTGATTTTGGTCTTTATTGGCTTAGCATTTTTCTTGCATTTCTCGGCTTCTTTGTGTTCTTTACCTTTATCGAATCGTGGGCCGTGGCCACGCACCTTGATACGCACGGAGTTCCGCCATACTACATTCTCGCTATTATCAATGCATCCAGCATCTTCGGTCGCATCTTTCCGAATTTCTTGTCCGACACTATTGGGCCGCTCAATATCCAGGCACCTGCCACATTGATTGCTGGTGTTCTAGTGTTCGCATGGATTCCTGCCCATTCGATTGGATCCGTTATGGTTGTGTCCATTCTTTATGGCTTCTTCTCCGGATCTCTGGTCTCATTACCACCAAGTTCTATCGCTTCTATGACAGCGAATATGGGCGAATTAGGTGGTAGAATCGGTATGGTATTCCTAGCGATGGCATTTGGGTCCCTTATTGGTGCACCAGTCGCAGGTGCCATTGTGCAACAGTTAGGCTACGATGGTGCACGGATCTATGGTGGATGCATGATTATCGCCGGCGCTGCTGTTATGTTTGCTTCGCGGATTAAGAAGACAGGTCCAAAGTTTTTGGTCAAAGGTTAGGTAGTAATAGTTTTAGCATTTATCTACGAAATAATTTATATTGTTATACGACGAAACTTATCGTTAAATTTATTTAGTGTCTTGTTAACGTATCTCACACAGAAAGAGCATATTACGGTTTATGACAGACTTAAAACAGATCATTACAAAATAGTTGGTGGTAATAGTTTAATTTTAAAACAGTAAGGCACAAATCTTTTTGATTATAATCTCTGTTGAATTGGAAATCTATTCGTCTAAAATCTAGCATCTAATACTCATTTACCACCAGTACAATACTTCTAAATTATGATTGAGCGAACTTGCTCTTTGCTCTCAACTTCTTGCCAAACACATAGATGCCAGTGGTTCCTAAGATACCTACAACACTGAGGCAAGCAAGCAGTGTCACACCTTTGTCCACACCGAGGTTGATGAACAGTGGTCTAGCCACAATAACAGCTCCAAAGGCCGCGACACTGCGCCAGATACTGTTTCCTGCAAATAGACTTGCGGCATACTTGGGGTATGAGAGAGGCAGATAGATGAAAAGGCTCTGCATCACCCAAAAGTGGCCAATGACGAAAATACCGACACCAATCAAAGGCACAATCCAGTGAATGTCGCTTCTTGAAGTCCACGCAAAGATGAACAACCCGATTGGTAGCAAAACGGAGCCAATAATTGCAGGTACAAGCCGGTGTTCTTGTTCGCGAAGGCCATTCTTCTTATTGTCAGGGATCATGTACACGAATAAGTAGATGAAGTATCCACCAAGTGCAACGCACACACCGACAAAGCATGAGAGAAAAGCGAGACCAGTTTCGCCCAGATTGAAGTCATAATAGACGGGGAAGACAAGAGGGAAAACTTCGAAGAACGTGTAGAAGACCGCATAGAAATAACCCGTATACAGATTGACAAACATGATGGACGGGTCCTTCAGCATAATCTCCATCGGTCGAACCAAGGTCGCCACAACCATGTCGGATGCCTTTATGCTGCGCTGCTCTATCTCACTCTGAGATTGCAAACGCTCATCACCAGATAGCTTTCTAAGGCGCTTAGCGCGTCGAAGGAGGATGTTTGGAGAGGAAGTTTCGGGCATGAGAGTGAGTAACAGCAGGAGAGCAGGCGACGCCATCCAAACAATCTCCCACAAGGGCCATCTCCAACCTTTTGCTTGTGCAGCAAATCCTCCCAGAAGAGGACCAAATGCTGGGCCAGCCCATGCAGAGAATACCCACCAAGACAGGCCAAGGGGAATATGCATCAGGCTGAGCATGTCACCAACTGTAGCACCGCCATTGGCAAGTGCAGGACTTCCGAAAAAGCCGGTCCAGAATCTGAGAGCGAGTAGGCCACCAAACGAATTTGCAGTAGCAGTGGGAAAGGATAGTGCCCAAAAGACAATAAAGGTTCCCCAATAGACTGGGTTTCGTCCAACAACAGGAATTTCCGTGAGTGGTGAGAACAAAAGGTCGCCAATACCGTATGCAAGAATGTAGATTGCAAGGCCGATGGTAGCAGAAACAGCGCTTATACCGAATTCTTCTTGGATGCCCTCTTCACCAGTTGCGTAGATTGGTCCAGCGCAATACACTGTCCATGTGTAGATGCAGAGAACGAAGATCACAAAGCCCTTCTTGAATGAAGACCAGTTCTGTGGGTTGGCTGGGTCATCAGTCGTGTACCAATCGACCAAGATGACTCCATCAGCAGTTTTTTGTGGTGCAATTGGAACTGACGGAGTTCGTTCTAGGCCCTTTTCGACATCACCAGGGCCGGTTGTGGTGGTGGGTTGTAGATTCTCTGAAGTAGTAGAGTCACTGTCTGTAGTGTCGTTTGAGTTGGGTAAATTTAGTTTTCCTTCTAGTTTCTCGATGTATTCGACAGGAAGCTTAAATCCAGGTTTCTCTTCGGGATACTGAAGAAGTCGGTTTCCAGAGAGGAACCTAATCGCCTGGCCAAGAGGCGCTTCGCGGACGAGGTCGAACATGTTTCGCTGTTTTGTAGAGTGCCGAATAGAGTGCAAGTATACTGTTAGACAGTTTTGAAGATGCTAATACAAAAACTCCAAGAACCATTGTTAGAAGAATTATAGCGTTGTTATATACATGATGCGATTCACGATTTGTCTACTTACTAGATTGTAAGCCCCAGTAGTTTGTAAGCCCTATCGCGCCAGATCGCCCACTGTATCTTGTCTGTAATCCGAAGACAAATTAAATTGCGGGGCACGATCGGAGACGGAGACGGACCAGCCAGCAGAATTTAAAGCATCAAGACAAATCGCATGACTTATTTCACACTATTTTAGTTTAAGCTAAGAATTTGTAAATCTAAATCACATGGAAAAGATTACACCCGCGCTGCCGCATAATGCATACACTGCAAATGCTAACTAATGTAATATTTTGTCTACCAAGGGCCTGCCACATGGAATATTTGAAATGATGTTTGCGAATGTGGCATGGGAGTCATTGTTTAAAAAATATTGATATCTTAGAATTAGCCATGTAAAAATTAATATTTATTGCAAACTAACACTATCTGGTTGTATGATGGATTCTCGTATCGCGTTGTCTACATCATCTCGTCGTATCGCTGGGCAGAGACCCAAGCACATCGACTTTGCTGCCAGGCATTCAATCAATACGTCGACGTTGACAATAATCTTGTTGGCATCCCCTGATGGGCTCACAGCTGAGCCAGCTGGTGAATAATAATCCATCTCCGTATTTTCCGAATCGTTTAGGCTCCAAGCCACGCCACTGGGCGACAAACCACTCGTCGGGGTATCCCCCAGCTGTAGGTGTAGTTGGCTACAGTCCGGGTCGTCACTGCGTATAATGATACCTCTCTCTGCCAAGTATTCTTCCACGTCAATCGCCTCAAGCCATTCGCCAGCGAACTCGGGTAGGTCAAGCTGATCGACCTCAGCGACGGTTCGTGTTTTGCCAAACTCAAGACACTGGAGTTTGGATCCCGGCAGCCTGTCTATGCGTTGATTTGAGTCGGCATTATTTTCCACCTGTCTGTAAAGTTTCGGAAGTAGTCTTTCCACGGCGCTTGTAAATTGAGTATCGTTAAGCAACGAAGACGATGGAGAGTCGGACTCGGCAACATGCGACAGCGTTTGAGCCAGAATCACCTCGTTTGGCTGAACGTTAATATTCTCAAGCATTTTATTGTGTGCTAAACAGGAGCTGTCGACGTCATTGCTACCGAGAGCGTCTACTGTGCGCTCGACGCCTCTGCGGATGAGCCGTTCGGCGAGCAACCTGCTTGGGGACGCGCCGAGTTGCTGTTGTTGATCGCGTGCCGCTTGGTTAACGAAGTGCCCAATGTCGAGGGCTGTTTTACTTAATTGAAGGGTAACAGAGGTGGGAACACGGTATGCGGTATGTAGCATGCTATTGTGAAGCTCGCGATAGGAGCATAGAATTCCTCGAAGAGCTTCTTCCAATTTGGCGGACTTTTCGTTGGCAGCTGTTAATGTTGTTTCCTTTCTGGCTCTATAATTCCTTTGCGCTTGCCTCATACGCTCTCTTCTAATCTATTAGCGCGGTTAGAATAGGTCAAATTACCGCCAAAACCTGCGATACATACGGCTGTGTCGTCTACAGGTTTTCCGATGGAATCGGCCATCCGTGGTCTGCCTGGTCGTCTTGCGGGCTTTCCATAGTCTGCCATCTTGAGGGTATTTTATTGTTAATTTGTTTCTTGCGTATCTATCCCCGTATTATGAATGTGGTTGATGGAGACGTGCGATGAGTAGTGCCTTTGTTGAGGTATGGAAACAAATGAGGACAAATTTGGCGGGTGAATTTGCTTACAAACGTGTCGCCGTCCCGCACGCATAACCTATAGCACTTGGTGGCGTTGGGTTTCACGCAGTTAGTAATACCAGCTTCGATATTTTTCTCTATCATCTATAGTTATTCTTCATGCTCCAAAGTGTGTCTAATGTATATTTGGCGTATATAACGTCCATGAGCAATGCCGTTGGCGTAGGCTTACTGCTTCATTCTATAACGACATGGCTAGCATCACCGACTAGCAAAGTAGCCAACTGTTCATACTAATGATAATTCCTAAATTTATCTTATAATCGTATTCTAAAGCTTAAAAACGGAATGATATAATTTTTTATTATTTTAAGGCTGGTTGTACTGTAACGTCGTTGCATGGGCATGTTAACCTAGTTAGACTCTAAGTTACGAGCTCAGTTGGTTGCAGCAAATGGCTCATATCATCACAAACAGGGTATGTCAGGAGCCTATGTCTATAAATATATTAATTAAATCTATGAAAATAAAACTCTATAAAATTCATTTATAACTCAGGAAGCTTGTATGCCTTTGCCCATTGCTCCAAGGTCTCCAACTCGGCGCCAATTCCGAGATGCTCTGCAGTCATGACCTTTTGACCAGGGTCCAGCCAATCCTGAACTGGGACATGTTCGAAAAAGTCCATCATGAGTGCAAACTCCTCTGCCCAGCTAGGATGAGGCCAGATAGCATCGTACAATTCCCGGGAAACTCTGACCTGGTGAGCTTCAACGTTATTGGCCTTGGCCCAAAGGTCAAGCCACTCTTGAGAAGTGGTCGTACCAATGCTGCCGACGACGACGGTACCGTTCTTTGTCTCATCAGACTTTTCCACAATTGACTTTACAAAAGGTGTAACGTTCTTGGTAACCTCGCCAATGAACTGGATAGGCGTCTCGGGTGGGTATGTTGTGAACTGAACGTATTTCTTAGCAGACTCAACCCACTGGGGGCGGAACGATGAGAGAGCCAGGTTATCGGCGTAGAAGCACACCACAAGGAATGTACTCTTAGCCAGTAATGCAGCATCAGCCTCAATGAATTTGTTGACATTGTATTTGGATTCAAAGTGAGGGACTGGATATTCTTTGGTGCCGTTGATCAGTGTGCTCCAGATGTAGTGCTCGAGCGTGGGCGTGGCGGCAGCGGCCTTGGCCATGTTTGTGCCATGCGTGAACTCAATCTCCTTTGCCCTGGCGGGGCCAAACTTCTGGAAGGGTTCGTAGAAGTCGGTAACTGCGAAAATGATGTGGGAGCCGGCAAAGGCCGTCTTGATCGAGTCGAGATCATCGAGATCGGCCTTGACTACCTCAATGTTCTGCTGGGCAAGGGCCTTGGCGGCGTCGCTATTGGGGTTCCGGGTAATACCACGCAGCTTATATGCCGGGTTGCCTTGAAAGGCTGCAATGACGGCTTTGCCCTGTTTGCCGGTGGCACCAACAATGGTGATGAGCTTGGCGGACATGTTTTGTGGATTTTGGATATTATGTTGTTTGAGAGTGTGGTTGTTCAAGTATAGTGAATTGGGGAAACTGGGATTGTGATGATGGGATTAATCGAATCTGATTCTACGGAATACTCGATCATTTTATAGACTTTACACCATGCCAACATTATTAATTACCATTATTGTATTTTGTCGATTGAAGACATACAGCACCTTCAAAAGACAAACTGCGACGATTTGTAAAAACTCTGGCTGAGAAATACACTAAAAGCGCATACCACCTAAGTTACTGTACTGTAGTGGAGGCTCTGGGGAAGCCACAGGGAAGTCCCACATGCGCAGATGCGGGGAGCCAATCAGGGCGAACAACAGCCTATTTCTCAGCTCGATTTGTCTTCGCTCTGACTTCGGCCCCGTAAAAGACAAACTAGGTTATTGTTAATATTCTGGGCGACAAATTGCATCTTACACAGCAGTATCGTAGTATTGTGCGTGCTAGCAGGGCGGGATGAGGCAAAAGAGACCGAGATCTGTGTATCGTAAGCTTCTTCTTCTTCCATTCTTCCATTCGCCTTCTTTCGACCTGGCTGTTTAATTTTAGCAGCCCGGTTAAACAACGACTCAAGACAGCAAACAGCGCCAACAAGGCTGGTAGCCAACGCCACTTTTGGCTGGTTGGCCACTGGTCGTTTATTGCGACCACCATGGCTTGCTTTCCTCGACGGTTGAGCCAGCAAGTGGTCATGGTGAGGCGGTATTCTCATCGCTCATTCCGTTTCGCGTGGGTACCAATTCCGGCTCCAGTGTGTTGTGATCACTTGATGATTGTTGCGAATACACTTTGGAAGAAAGGCAAATGGCAAAGTCCGCCTCGAGCAGTGAGTGAGTGGCTGCTCAACAACAACGCCGAGCTGAGGAAAAAGACATTGTCGCTGTCGTTGTCTCAGCGTGGTATCGGATAGAGAGAGTGTATCTCGGAAAAGTCATGCGCTGTTCTAGCCATAGGCAGACATGGTGACTCGTGTTACCTTCTCCTGAGCAGTTTCGACTGGCGACCTCTGGCGGCAGCCGTGTTTAATATACACCACAAGGACACACCAAACGGCCACGAACGATCTAACCCTTTGCTATAGAATTACCACATCATAAACAAACCCCCAAGCTTATCTCCCAACCTATTGGATAAATCCCCAAAAACAAAACGAGGCGAATTGGAGGCGACCACTGCTTGCATTTTAGAAATCGCCGAGGTCTGAGCCCAAAGCGTCGGTCTCACAAGCCACGACGCAAAACACGGGTGCACAAACCATCGCGCGTTCCCCTAATTTCTGTTACTACTGATAATTCGGGCGCAAAGTGGTGGCGTTTGCAGGGAGGCCGCGTTGGTTACCATTTCCAGCCTGATGCGCACCCCCTACTCATGCGAGGAACCTTTCTACAGGACGGGAACGAAAGGGTAAATGATCAGCCGTTTCTTTTGGCAGTGTCGAAATTTCTGTGAAACGAAGGAAGCAAAAAAATGCCATTCTTTTGCGTGTTTTGATTTTGCGGAGTAAGACCTGCCACTATCGACTGACACGCAACATTATCCAGCCCTGAGATAGAGTTTACCCACTGAGGGGACCATGACAGGCGAGGGCACAGACAACGGAGCATGTCCCAAAAGGGCATGGGCGATAGCAAAGGTAACACTATTGAGCAAAAGTACCGCTAGGCCGTCAATCATAATTGGGTCGGCCCAATGCAGCGACGCAGCCACCGGTGCCGTGTGTACCGTTGGTGGGCATTCTAGATGACGCCACAAGGCTTGCGCTGCTGATCGCTTACATGGTTATCAGCCAAAAAACAGGCCACGGCGTAAACGCTCGAACCACTCAGCCTCAAGAAGAGCCAGTGAAGCGATTAGCCTGCCTGCACCAGCCAGCCAGCATTACAGTGCCCCCCAGTAAGATAGCTCATGCGCACGCGGCCCATTTCCATCCAAAGCGTGGCGTTTTTCTGGTCTGCGAGGGTATGGGGGACGCGGGGGGGCAGCCTTTTTTTGGAGAAATGATGGAAACGCCCCCCCAGGTGGTCGTTGGGGATAGGTTAGTATAATATGCATGCTGTGTCCAGTGGAAATTCGGACACTTGTGAAGAAGGCCCCTTAATCCGGTGCATTTCTCCAACAGGGTACCTTTGTCAAGCACTCCCTGGCTGTTGTTGGTTAGGCTGTGTGTCTGGTCAAGCACACTTATACCCAGTACAAAAACCACGCGTTGCGGCTGCAGCAGCTCCATCCTTTTTACTTTTGTAGGCTTTTGGCCGCTTCAAAGAAACCAAGTTCCCCAGAATCTTGTCAATCTGCACAGATCTCCATCGCAGCCATGGCGGATGAGAAACGACACGATCATGCCAAGGAATCGCCCAAGGTGATCGAGGAGGCAGGGCAGCCACATTACGACATTGCTCTTGGCGAAGCCGCTGACTTGTATGGCGATATTCAAACTGCGCAAGGTGAGTGATTTTGTGTTTGCAGACATGGAAAAACAGCACTAACGTGTGGTGTAGAACTCGGCTATGTCAAGCGCGGTCTCAAGTCTCGACACATCCAGTTCATCGCCCTTGGTGGCACTATTGGTACTGGTCTCTTCATCGGAATCGGCAGCGCCTTCACCATTGCAGGCCCACTGTCCGTTCTTCTCGGTTACACCCTCACCGGTATTGCCATTTTCGGCATGATGCAGTGTCTTGGCGAGATGGCGACTTGGCTCCCGCTTGCTGGTGCGATCCCGCAATACTGCGCTCGCTACGTCGACCCGGCCATGGGTTTTGCTGTCGGATGGAACAATTGGTACTCTAGTGCTCTAACACTGTGCGCTGAAATATCGGCAGCGTGTATTGTCATTCAATTCTGGGACACGGAAAAGTCAATCAACCCGGCTGTCTGGATCACCATCCTCATCGTCCTGGTCGTGTGCTTGAACATTTTCGCCGTCTCCATTTATGGTGAGGCCGAGTTTTGTTTTGCCTCAATCAAACTCATCACCATCGTTGGTCTTCTCATCCTGGCCTTCATCATCGATGTCGGTGGCGTTCCCGGTCAGCAGCGCCTGGGCTTTCACTATTGGAAGTCGCCGTATGAACCGATGAAATCGGTCGTAGCGTCGGGCTCTGCTGGCCGCTTCCTCGGTTTCTTCTCCACGCTTGTCAATGCTGCCTTCTCGTTCGGTGGTGTGGAAATGGTGGCCGTTGCTGCTGGTGAGGCTGAGAACCCCCGCAAGAACATCCCCAAGGCTGTCAAGAGAGTCTTTTGGCGTATTCTCGTCTTCTACGTCCTCGGATCTCTGGCCATTGGTGTTTGTGTTGCATCCGATGATGAGAATTTGCTCAAGGGTACTGGCAGTGCTGCGTCGCCATGGGTTATCGCCATTAAGCGTGCCAACATCCAATCTCTCCCTTCCATCATCAACGCTGTCATTCTCACCTCGGCTTCCTCCTCCGCCAACGCCTTCCTGTACACTGGCTCACGCTATCTCTTTGCTCTTGCACAGAATGGACAGGCCCCACGCGTTTTCCTCAAGTGCACAAACCGCGGTGTTCCTGTCTGGGCTATTCTGTTTACTGCCTCGTTTGCCTGTCTCACCTACATGACAGTCTCCAGTGGCTCGGCTACCGTTTTCGGTTGGTTCCAGACACTCACCACCATCACCAGTCTGCTTACCTGGGTATCCGTACTCATCGCCTATCTTAGATTTAAGAAGGCAATGGCAGTACAAGGTGTCAGCCCCTCGGAGCTCCCATTCAAAAGCCGCTTCCAACCCTATGCCGCATGGGTCTCGCTCATCTTCTTCCTTGTCATCATTGTCTTTAACGGATGGCAAGTCTTCACCTACGGCAACTGGGACCCTCAGGCATTCGTCACAGCGTAAGTCTCTCTCTTTCACAAGTGCTACTCACGGCATACAGAGTCAACTAACAATGTTTCACTTTATAGCTACATCTGCGTACCGGTCTACCTCGTCTTCTACGTCTTCTGGAAGATTTTCAAGCGCACCTCTTTTGTCAAGCCAGAGGAGGCCGATCTGTTCACCGGTAAAGCCGCCATCGATGCCGAGCATTGGCCCGAGCAGCACCCTCGCAACTTCCTCGAAAGAATCTGGTTCTGGATCGCCTAAGCCAGGAAGGGGACACAATTTGGTAGACAAACGGACGGATGGATATACGCCTGGAATTTCACACCTCTGGGTGGTATATATGGAACTAGGGTACTACGCACATAAGTCGAATCGAACAACACTGAATATATTTTCTTCGTCGTTTATAGATTGAGATATATAGCTTGCGCAACTGTTGTAATATAAATCAAGTCTCTCATCTGACAGCCCACACTTACAACACATCCGCTATTGTTATTTTAACGTAATTAAGAAATGCACTATTGGCGCCCATCTCGGCTTACATGCGGGCCTACTACAGGTCGCATCTGTACAATTGCGACGCTAGTCCACCTTAACTTCGCAAGCTATGCTGCATTAGTCGTGCGGGACGCAAAAGTTTCTGGGCGGTTCCTGGACCCGTGGGAGAGGAAAAAAACCTAAACCTGTCTATTGCTGAAAAGCAACTACGTTCTTTTTTAATCTGCACGTCTTTTCGTTGTTCTCGCTCCTTTTTCCTATTTTTTAGAATAGTCTATAGAGGCAGCATGACAGTCGAACAGCAGAAACACCACAACGCCACAGATGGTGATCTTAGCGGCAGCCCGTTCGGCGAGATGTCTGTTCGCGCAGACAGCCTCAAGAATGCTGCTGCCCAGGATCTAAACCTCACAGTGGTGCAGGCTATCAAGCTGTATCCGAAATCCATCCTCTGGAGTCTAATCATGTCGACGGCGCTGATTATGGAAGGCTACGATACTGTCTTGCTGGGCAGCTTGTTCGCGCAGCCAGCCTTCCAAAAGCGATATGGCGAGCCTGCCGGCCATGGTCGATATGAAATTCCGGCTCCGTGGCAGTCTGGTCTTGCCGCGTCGTCTAACATTGGCATGCTGAGTGGCCTGATTACGTCTGGCTACCTGTGTGAGCGCTTTGGCTTCAAGAAGACCATGATTGGTGGCATGCTGCTCATCATTTGTCTAATTTTCATCACCTTCTTCGCGCCTGGAGTTGAAGTGCTTCTCGTGGGACAGTTGCTCTTTGGCGCTGCTCTTGGTATGTTCCAGACGCTGCCGGCGGTGTATGCCATGGAAGTCAGCCCGACTTCGCTGCGCGCCATCCTGACAAATTATATCAACTGTTGCTGGGTAAGTCGTTTAGTATCGTATCTGTGAGAAGTATTGTTTGTTGACTTTTGTATAGGTTTTTGGCGCTATTATTGGCACTGGTGTCCTGCGTGGTGTGCTACACCGCACTGATGAATGGGCATATCGTATCCCCTTTGCATGCCAGTAAGCCTTATTGTTCAAGATGGACTTAGCAGCCATAGGATATGTATACTAACTTGATGCAGATGGTTCTGGCCTGTGGTCCTTATTCCTTTCATTGCCTTTGCCCCTGAATCGCCCTGGTGGCTGGTCCGTCAGGGACGCCTTGACGACGCAAAGGCTGTCCTCCAGCGCCTTACAAGTCCCCAGAACGTTTCATATGACATTGACAAGGCCATTACTCTTATGGTGGCCACAACTGCCCATGAGCGCGCCGTTGACGCAGCCACTTCCTACACAGCCTGTTTCGACCGTGTCAACCTACGCAGGACTCTTGTTACCATTGGTGTCTACGCCGTACAGCCGCTAAGCGGTCTTTATATCCGTGCATACTCGGCATATTTCCTTATTCAAGCTGGACTTTCTCCCGATATGGCGTTCACAATGACACTTGTCACGTACGGTGTTTGCATTCTGGGCAATATATCCTCGGTACGTATATCTACGCGCAAGGGTGTGATACAATGACTAATTTTTACTCCAGTGGTTCCTTCTTTCTTTCTTTGGCCGTAGAACGCTATATATATGGGGCTTTATTGCCCAAGTCGTACTGCTATCCGTCGTCGGTGGCCTTGGTGTGCCTCATTCGACAGAAGCATATGGCTGGGCAATCTGCGGCGTGCTCATTCTGTCGTCGTACGTCGACAATCTGTCTATTGGTCCACTTCCAAACACCATCTGCTCTGAGATGCCTTCAGCGTTGCTCAGAAGCAAATCTGTTGTACTGGCCCGCTTCTCGTTTGCCATTGTTACCATCTTTGGTGGCGCAATTACCCCTTACCAGCTCAACCCCACGGCGTGGAACTGGTCTGCCAAGACGGCGTTCTTCTGGGCTGGCTTGTCTGTGTTTGCTTCTTTGTTTGTCTACTTTTGTTTGCCGGAAACCAAGGGCAGAACTACCGTCGAGCTGGATATTCTGTTTGAAAAGGGTATCTCTGCAAGAAAATTCCGGGGTACTACTGTCGACCTTGCCGAAGCCGTTCACAGCGAAAAGTCCTTTGTTTAAAAAGCATAGCATAGCATAGCATAGTATGTTTGAAATAGAGATTTAAATGTATTTTAAATATTATTCTCGTTTTCAGAGTCTGTGTATATAACATCTCTGTCTGTTCTTATGGAACATGCAATTTCACTGTCGCTTTGTAATCTTCAGATACATATCCCCAAAAATGGGCTTGGCTGAATGCCAGTCGCGATCTGTCACTGGCAACGGGCTTGTACGTGGCCCCATGTCCTTGTCACAGAGCTCAAAATCAAACCTTGCTACAAATGTCGCCACAGCCATATGCGTCTCAAGCTTGGCAAACCTCGTGCCCACTATTGAGGATATTAGTTGGAGGAAACAGCTCGCGTGATACAGCATCAACATACAGCATGGGTGAAGGCCGGTTCCCCAACCGAGATACGCGTTTGGAGACTTTTTGTCTTCCGCTCGCCCTTCGAGGTATCTGCGAGGGTTCCAAGTTTCTGGCTCGACGTAGATGTCGGGGTTCATGTGTCGGTCGTCCAGCAGGAAACACTGGGATACTGTTAGTCAATAACTCGTCAAAAGCGGAGATTTCTTAATGGGAGTAGTCTTACAGCAAAAGCATCCTTTGGAATAATTGTGTTTGTACCAGGGATTTGTATGTCCTTGCCGCTCATATTTTTGCGGAACGCGGAACCGGGAACATTCATTCGGATGGACTCCTTCAAAGCCAAAGCAATTGTTGGGAAGCCCTCTTCCCAGTCTTCGAGTTCAACGCGTGCGAGAACGTCTGTTACTGCCTCATCGGCCGTTTGGCGGTACTTGGAAATGATGGCGTCCACTTCGGTTCGAACGCGATCTCTCCACTCCGTATCCTGCGCGAGATATACGGGGATCCACGAGGCGTTAACACCAGTGTTGAGCAATCCTGCAAATAGAGCACGGACAATGAAAAATGTAATTTCCAGGTCTGAATCGCCATCATCCATCAACCTCTGCATGGCATCATCTCCTCTCTCACCGCTTTGTCGGCGCTTTTCCATGATGGTATGCATTATTTGGAAGAGCTCGCGGCCGGCCTCCTTCTTTTGTCGCTTGTTAGGGGTGACAAGTGACGGGAACATGACTTCCACGCCAGATGTGCAATCGAGTCTAGTGAACATCTCCAGTGTCTTGGCAAGAAGTTCGGGGCTATCCGCAACATCGTTGCAGCCCAGAGAGCGTTGCGTAAGCTGGTAGATGAGACCATAGAAGATTTCAAAGCTGTCCGATGCCTTGCTCAAGTCGAGAGCGTCGAAAGTGGCAGCAATATCTTGGTTCAGCTTGGGCAGACGCTCTTTGAGATTTTTCGTGGTGAAGAACTTTCTATAACCAGCAGCAGAATGGGCAGTGCTTCTCTGCAGGATGTTGAATTTGTCCATGCTCTTGACATCCGGGCCTGCACCGAAGAGGGTGCTATATCTATACGTCATCGAACATATCAATATTATATTTCAGTCATTGACCGATGTTATCTTACCCAGTTGCAAAATCCAAATCACGAGAGTGAAAAAATAAGGGCGTTCCTACCTCACCAGCAAGAGCCACAATACGGTGAGGGCCATAGTAGAAGCTGAAGATGCCGTTGGATGACCATAGTTTACCACTGGTCAAGAACTGCGCTCGAGACCTGAAGAAACCAAGCGAACCCAAAATTGGCCAACCAGCTAAACGGCTTGGTGCATTTGAGGGCAGCTTAGGGCGCGACCAGACCTGAAACCCAACCCAGGCAACGCCGGTCAAAAGACCGATGAGAAGGAGTGCAGCGTACATGATTCTGACGATGTCGATGTCAAAAGAAACATTTCACAGCAATTTTTTCATCCAAACTCTGAAAATACTTGGCGGTCTGATTTGCTTATATGTGGATATTCTTGCATTCGGCCGGCCGAATTCCCGGCGAGACTCTGTGAGTATTTCCTGCTGTCGTATTGCGCTAACCAATCGCAACAAAGTCTTTATTCAACAGGCGGATACTGTAGTGTGACGCTACGGCACAGCGAATACGCGGATCTGTGCATCACGTTGTATGCGGGCCGCCCTACTACCGAGCCCTCTTCATTCCTCTTACATCATCGTCATCGTCATCGTCATCGTCGTGCTTTATCTTTTTTTATCCATGGGCAAAGGGGGATAATACTGGCCAAATAAATGAATGTTTGCTAGAAATAGATTGCCTGTTTGGGGGTAGCGATCACTATTAAACTTTAGTGGTTTGCGATGCTAGCGTTGTGCGCTAGGCTTACTCGAGCACGATCATCTCTGCCAATCTTTGAAAAGGACAAGTGATCGACGCAATACTTATCAGGCAGGCAAACACGTGAACTTGATAGAACTGCTTGATATACAGCTGGCGAAAATTGTCAAACTACGAGAACTATGAGGATACTAGTCTACAAGCGCATAACTATTAGAGTTCGCACAAAACCCACCAAGATTTGAATATTTTTATTCCTCTGTAGGTTAGCATAGTGCATTACATCTTGGAGACCTTACCCCAGGCGCGGCGGCGGAGCACTTTGCATTGTTTGTGGCGTTTATCGCCGAATCAGGCGGAGTCTCGGCAGATACTACTGAAGCGCTTCACTGGAGACTATGTTTAGAGAGACACTTTTCTAAGCAAGGCAAAAGATTGAAGAAGGGGACCTGGAACAACTTTGTTCAATGCATGTTCCGGAGCGGCGGACCATGGTTTTTGGAACATCGACCGCTTAGTCTCCCTCAACATCGACTACTAGCGCTCCCTAAGGGGGGCAAAAGAGCCAAATTTAGAAGCAGAAAATCCCCCAAGGGACGCTGGTGAAACCTGGACGCACGATAAACTTGTTCCCTTGAATTGAGAGAAGAATAAATCGACAGATGCTGTGGTCCACTATGTCCTAGGTTGGTTCGATGGCCGGATGGGCTGACGGGGGACCGTATATAGCAGCCCGTCTTTATTGGCAAGGTGAGAGAGGTATACCAAGGGCAGCATAAGCATCATAGCCGCTTTACAAGCCTGCATGAACGGCCAGCCGCAGTCTCACGCGGGGCAAAGATAGGCATAACAAAGCCAGCCCAGGGCATGGCAACGGCGTCGTCCGAGTCGGTGATAGGACATGAGTCTAATTCCCCCCAGATGCACATTGTAATTTTGAAATTCGAATGCACCGTGTTCTCGCAAGGGCGCAGCAGTAGTTCGCCCACCGCGTTTAGATTTGTAGTGTGCCCATCACAACACGCTGAGAAAAAAGCAAACAAAATGCAGCTCTGGCAGCATGGCTCAACGGGCGTTATTTCCTCTGCGCCCATTTTCAGCTGCATAGCCCCAGTGTCAAATGAAAGAAACGTTAGCAAGAGCAAATAAAAAAAGAAAATAAACAAGTGACATGCTCGGCGAGAGGCAGGTGAGTGAAAAAGCCACAGGGCATGCCGCTCAGCCAGCAAGTAAGCCACCCGAGGCAACAAGCGTTACTCCTCACTAGTGGGCTGTCTTGAATAAAATAATAATATTTTTACTATTGAGCACATGTAATCATCCGGGTACAATTTTTTTTAAACACAAAAAATAATGAAGCTCATCCCGGGTGAAAGGCCGTTTTGTTCTTGTCTCTTTTCCCCCCTATTTGCCCGTTGGGACTGAAGAGATTGTTCGTCGCAAGGGAGGAAAAAGGGACTATTTCGCAGGCACAATAGGGCATACAGTATAGAGTATCGTATTTTCTTCTTTTGCTAAATATAGGTTTGGCCAAATGTCTAGCAAACATTGCTTCTGCGAGGAAAGGGGGGGCCTTGAGCGGTGGGTGTAATTTGCGAGGGCGCAACCGTAGCGAGGGTTTCAGTTGCAACGAACTGAGGCAGCGGGGCAATTAACTGGCACTGATGAGAAGCACTGAAACCTATATAATTTTGAAACAGTATGATTTTGCGTGCGGGCGCAGCAGGCTAGCGCAGAAGCAAACAGGGCCACGGCGTCTACGCCACCGCTCGGCATTGCATCGAGCTGGGCCAAGGCGATAGGCTCCGCATTATAGGTGTAATTTCCACTTAGACCGTCGCCCAAGCCACTAATAGTAGCCGCAGGATCTGTCAATTATCGGGGACATGTGCAAGGTACCCGTAGCCCTGTTCCCTGTCCTTGTGCCCCCCTTGCCGCCTAACCGAGTGACTCCAGCTGTTGTATCTAACTAACTGAACTGGGCTGGCTGGCTCGTTCGTTCGTTCGGCCGCTCGCCGCGTGCGTGTGTCTTGCGAGAGTTATAAAGGATGCCGTTCGCCCGCTGGTTCATCAACATCTCTCTCTTAGTTCCTCATCAGTTCACTCGTCTCTTTTCTTCTTCTTTTTGCTTCTTTACAGCCTAGCTCTCTCTTTGAGCAGTTCTTTCTTTTACCAACAAACACACTCGTTTCTACAACCACTTAATACTTGCTTGTTATAACTCGCTTTTCGTTTAGCACAACACCATCAAGATGAAGTTCACTGCTGGATACGCCGCTGGCATTGCCACCCTCGCCCAGGTCGCTGTAAGTGGACTCACTCTACAGCAAAGACACACAAGCATATACTAACCTACCCTCAAACAGGCTGCCTCTCCTCAGCTCGTCAGCGTCCCCCTCAACCTCTGCCTCGGCATCCTCGGCGATGTCGACTGCAAGCAAAAGGCCTCTTCCAACGGCCTTGTCAACGTCCCCATCGATCTCTGCCTCAGCGTTCTGGGCCACGCCCACTGCCAGCAGGAGGTCGACAACAAGGGCAGCAAGGGCGGCCTCATCAGCCTTCCCATCAACCTCTGCGCCGGTGTCCTCGGCGATGCTGAGTGCAAGCAAAAGGCCGGCTCTGACGGCCTCGTCTCTGTCCCTGTCAATGCTTGCGTCGCCGCTCTTGGCGAGGCCAAGTGCAACCAGAAGGCTGGTGGCGACGGCAAGTCTGATAGCCTGATCAGCATCCCCGTCAACCTGTGCGCCGGTGTCCTTGGCGAGGCCGAGTGCAAGCAAAAGGCTACTTCCGACGGCCTTGTCTCCGTCCCTGTCAACGCCTGTGTTGCTGCCCTCGGTGAGGCCAAGTGCAACCAGAAGGCCGGCGGTGACGGCAACGGTGGTCTGATCAGCATTCCCGTCAATGTCTGCGCTGGCATCCTCGGCGAGGCTGAGTGCAAGCAGAAGGCTACCTCTGATGGTCTCGTTTCTGTCCCCGTCAACGCTTGCGCCGCTGTCCTCGGTGAGGCCAAGTGCAAGCAGCAGGCTGGCGGCAACGGCGGTGGCCTCATCAGCGTTCCTGTCAACGTCTGCGCTGCTGTTCTCGGCAAGGCTGTCTGCGACCAGAAGACTCCCGGCTCTGGTGGTCTGATTGACATTCCCATCACTGCCTGCATTGCTGTTCTCGGCGAGGTTAAGTGCAAGACCAACCCCCCTGCTGGCAACCACTCTACCACTGGCCCTGCTGGCTCTGCTTCCACCACTGGTCCCTCTGGTGCTTCTTCTACTGGCCCTGCTGGTTCTGCTTCTACTGGCCCTGCTGGTTCTGCTTCCACTACTGGCCCTGCTGGTTCTGCTTCCACCACTGGCCCCGTCACCACTGGTCCTTCTTCCGACTCTTGGGTTACTTCCACCATCTACACCAGCAAGACCATCACCATCACCAGCTGCGCTCCCACCGTCACCAGCTGCCCTGCTAGATCTACCATCACCACCGTTGTCACTGTCCCCGTCACCACCATTGTCTGCCCTGCCTCCGCCGTTCCCTCTGGCGGCTTCCAGACCACTGTTACTCCTGCTAAGCCCACCGGCCCTGCTGGTAACCCCGGATCTAACCCCGGTGGCAACATCCCCGGAACTGGCGCTGTTCCTGGAACTCCTGTTCCTTCTACTCCCGTCGTTGCCGGCGCTGGACGCATGGAGCTCTCGGCCCTTGCCATTGCTGCCGTCGTCATCTCTGCCCTTCTGTAAACTCCTTTTTTTAAAAACCACTTTTTCAACGCATATAGCAATGTTGATATATTTTGAGCTGTAACTAGAGCATACTTAATGATAATTTATGAAACTTTTCTTTTTTACATGTTGTCCATCGCCATACGCTCTTCTCTGTCGATGCATTTTCAAATCGGTCTAGCAAGGTCTGCTAGCGTAAGCCATGTCTCTGTACGAACTAACTTAGGCTGTTTCGATAAAGGGCCTCGCTCAATGTATCAGAAACAAGGCAAAACAGGCGCAAACAAAATTGACCAGGGGCCAATTTATCGGAAGGGGCTGCCGAGACAACCATCCAAGAAACAGGATCATTAGCGTGTTTGCGCTAGCGTCACTTAGGCGAGGCGTTGACACGCGAATGAGTACCCAATGCAACCTTGGGGGATCCTCTGGGAAGCTTCCGATATTAAGGATGGTGTCATTCACCAATGGCCCATGCATCTGCAGTAGCGTCGTGGGCCTTTCTGCCCGCTGTTATCAGACGCACAGACATGCCGTCGCGTGGCTAATCCCAGCAGACACTTGATTGATTTTTCGGACCGGTTTCTTGGTTTTGTCTCCGTTCTCCGATAATATGGAGCCCAGCGTCGCAAGAGTCATGGTTTCCACGGTGTGGTGTTGCATTGCCTAGCCAAAGCCTCGTTTGAGAACTGAGAGCGCCGGGGTGAGTTCGTAGCGTTGAACGAACCTAGGTAGTACTTGCAAGTTGTGAAAAGTGAGGCTGACATAAAGTCCGTTGATACACCTTGGATAGAGCAAAGCGTGCAAGACCACATGTGCGTCGGTTATGTTCATTGTACAACTGCTACAATGAGTTAATAACTTACCTCATAGTGGTTATTATTCTCATTTAACTTGCGTACTATTCCAAATAATTTGGAATTCACGCTGGACCAAACTCCGCTACCAAAAATATAGCCCTAGGGCGAAGGATTCCTTAGCACGGTGGTGTTTCCACAACGTAGACCCTTAGATCCCTCAGACAAACCAATAGCTACTGTTGCAGAGTTTATTCGACCTTTTTAATTGCAAACTCAAACTCTTCAAGCTAAAGCTGAAAGTACGGCGCGCATTTGGTAGTCGGGACACTACATCGTCCCTCGGGATAAACCATGGAGCCTCTAGGCTACCCCTGAATTACACCGAGCCATACGCTTATGCCGAGCTGAGGTGAAAAGAATCATTGCAAGGTGACAGTAGAGGTATTCAACAATAAATAAATGCAATTATTGTAAACCATCCATAGGTCGTAGAGGATAGAAGAATACCGTGTGGGCAAACGCATCACCAACAAAGCTGTCATGCGCCTGCCATGCCCTGTTGCGCCGATCGCGGGTCTGGCGGTAGCAAGCCAGTGGACTCCAGTGCTTTAAAGAGCGCAGATCGTCGATCCAGGACGCAGGTTCATCCATACAGTGGACATTGACAACTTTCCCGATGCTGAAACCTCTGAATAAGGTGTAGCCTGGATACCCTACGTACCAGACGATTAGTATACACAGCCCGCATAGTGCTAAGCATGCCTATATGGACATGGATGTTGTTGTAAGCCATGGGCAAGTATGTACAGCCCATAATACTCATATCTTTTATGAATAGAAACTGCAACATGTACACTAGATAAAACTCCGAGTATGGCTGACTGACACAACGAAGCACCTCCGCTATCACCACATAGATCATCCTCTGTTCCCTTTCCAATGTATGTAAATATACTAACTAGAATATATTTACTTAAAAGATTTAAATAGAATTAATTAGCGTCTGGTTCAAATTCACGCCTAGCGTTCTCTCACATCTCCTTGCGCCTCATTCTTCCAAAGCGGCGTCACTATCACCACTTTAGCCGCACCGAAACTAACGGTGCTCACCCCGCACTCACTGGCCGCTCTATCCGGCATCAACTACAGACTACCAACCAACTCCTCGCCATGGAAACATTTCCATTGTTTACAAAGCTCCCCGTAGACCTGCGCCGCTACATCTGGTGCATGACCGCGCGCCCAGCCACCATCCGCCTCTCGCGCGAACCCCTCCCCGACGACGCCTATCCCAACCTCGGCACCTTTTTAACAATCGAGGAACGCGAGGCCACAAACTACGCCCTGCGCATCCGCGAGGACCAAAGCCCCTTACAGTATCGCGTTCTCGCCGTGCCATCGCTGCTCGCCTGCCGCGAGGCATACGAGTTCCTGCACTTCTTCTTCCCGCCACTACAGCGTCTCGAAACGCTGCCCAGCTGGTTCCAATTCAACATCGACACAATCCGGTGCCGATCGTACTGTCTACCGCAGCTCTCTAAGTCCGCCTGGTGCAGCTCGATAGAGACGCTGGTGGTGGACAATGTTCACGAATGCGCCGAGATCTTCCAGGATCCAAGGGACGGCACGCCAATCAAGTACAACTACATTGCGCAGAACTTTATGTCGCTCAAGCATCTAACGCTCGAGCTTGACCATAAGTATGTGGAGGAGAAGGCCAATGATGACCACTGGCTGACGGATAGCTGGATGTGGTACATGGAGGACCTGTACAATAGCGACACGGGACGGCCGCCGGTGCCGTTCTACGTGCATGTGGTTAGTCCGAGCTATCCGTCGGAGGAGTGGCTGACGCCGACAAATTATCTGCGAGTCGGGCATGAGTGGCAGAAGAAGCGGAATGTGTATCGCAATGAGACGCGCGAAGAGTGGGAGAGCGAGATTGTGCTGGATCCAACGGTCCAGCATCATGCTATGGCAGAGTCTGACGATGACTTGGATGACCCGGCGGCTTGGTTTGCAAAGAGAAGGCCGTTTCGGTATTAATGATATGGATGAGGAATGTGTATAACAAGAAAAGATGATAGTGATATACGGACGTGCAGAGTTCGCTGTGTAGTATGATTCAAATTCGGGAAACCACCTGCGAGGTGGTTCCATGCCATATTATATAATGCTTATGATCTATATCCCAGAAAAACAAAAAGAATTACAGACTCGCTGTCTAAAATACAAAACCAAACGCTCGCTGCAACATGATTATGCAAACCCAAATCCCTGAGCATTCTCCAGCGCCATGGACAATCTCTCCCGAAGGACCTCCTTGTCCGGATACTCGGGAAGCAGCAGCGTGCCGTAGCATGTATACGCTGTTGGTAAGTGGCCCGATGAGCCCTCCTCCTCTCCATTCTTCTGCACCACAAACTGCAGATTGCGAAGTCCGCCGACGGGCACACGGTCCGACGCCGTGACAAACTCTAATAGCTTGCGCTTCATGCGGTCGTCGTAGCGCTTAACAATAGACCAAAAGTCGCGGATAGTACGGTGCGATGAGTCCCAGCCCACATACCGAGTCTGGCGGCGCAGCTCCGAAATGTCAATCTCCTGGATACCTTCCACAATGGACTGCAAGATGGGCGGTGTCAGCAGCGTTAGAGACTTGGGCTCTAAGCATGTGCGGAAGCCCTTCTGGAAAGCCTCAAACTGCGGGCGCGTTGACACGTCCGTCAGATACCGGATATAGTCGCTGACGTAGTCGTCACGGTTATCGTTGGTCACGAGCGGTGCGTCGTCGTTCGCTGTGGGCGCTGGCTGGATACCTTGCGGCCAAGAAAAGTCCTTCTTGGTCATTTCGTACGTCACATTTTGACCTAGTCCGGGCACAGAGAATTCATAGGTGCGTGCAAAGATGTCTTCAACGAGCCCATCCTTCTCGTCCCATTCCAGGAGAGTCGTCAAGCCGGCAGCAAGCTCTGGCCACCCATCCGCAATATGGTACAGTTCGCGAACAGGCTCGCCAAGAAGCTTTCGATAGAGAGCCTTGGGGAATGTAACTGGTAGAGTAAGGCCGTTGTAGATCGCTAGCGACATGAGAAGCCCAATAAGTTCAAACTTCCATTCTTCAACAATAGACCCAGGAACAAACCAGGCCATTCTCGTGCGGTCGTCAACGGTGAATGCGCCATAGCTGGGGTCGAAGCACTCAGCAATAGCCATGCGGAAGAATTCTTGTTGTACACCACCAGAGTCAAAGCCTTCCTCTCCGCCATCTTCACCAAGGTGCACCTTGAGCGGACGGAGCAGCTCACGCGTCTGTCGTCGCCAGAGTTGGTCGAAAGCGTCGCGAAGAACATTGGATCGTCCGATGTCCAGAACCAAGTAAGACGACGATGCGGTTCTGAGCATATCTTGCAGGATGACTCTGTGGTGTGGGTGTGTAATTAAGCTTCCCTGTTCGACAATGGCAGCCATGCGGCGTTTAAGTGATGTTGCTTCCTCGTAGTTTCGGCTCATTCTCGAGAAATTGATGGCACGGAAGAATGTGACGAGGGTTTCGGGTCGGAAGAGAAATGGGTAGTCCAGGATGTGATGCTTGTCGTGTGTAGATTGGAATGAAAGCCATGATACAGGTACCTGCGTCGTATCAAGGCGATCTGAGAAGCTGTCGACGCGGAACTGGATGTCTCCAAGCAACAGGATGTTTCGATTGCGGTACATAGTATCCATAAATGATAGTGCACCGTGGAATGGACCATCATTGCAGAAAACAGGACACTCATCCCACTCCTCTAGGAGCACCGCTCGGGCCCAATCCAACAACAAGGTTGGAACTCTAGTTTCGTGCAGCAGCCTCTCGGCCTCATCAAACTCTAGAATGCGAGCAGGTCCTGTATTCAGCAGATCCAGCTGGTTCAGCAGGAGATGCAAAACATCATCCTCATCCTTGGCTTTGCCGTTTGGGCTGGTGAGCTCGGTGAAATAACGCTGGGCAGTCAAGGCGCGGAACAATCGACAGGCCAGCCGCATAGCTAGTGGATTCGAAAAGCAGTCGTCGTACTGTAGAGTAACATTGGCCGAGTATCGCGAGAACGGGGTTGTATTTGTGAATGCAAGTCCGTTGGATCGGATCCGCGACATATCATACAGCGCCCTAGAGCCAGAGACGACAGGCGCCAACGACACTAGAGCATGAAAACCAGCCGCCATGATGCATCCGGCCTGGTGTGGTGTCAGTGGCTTTTGGCGGAGAGATTTCGTCGACGAAGCGTTCATCTTTAGTGAAGTGGGTGGGACAAACAAGCTGCTAGCTGCAATCCAAAGGCTGTGCAGTACGATGGATGGCGCTGCACGGTTGAGACGGACCATGCAATACCAGAGGGTTTGTGAGTCGTATACCTGACTGTTCTTCGTAAAAGACGACACCAACGACTCTGGGGCACTTAGCAAGTCAAACAAGACTTGGTCATTGAATGCCTTCCACTGCTTCGCGGATTCAGCACTCGGTGATCCTCGTCGTCGGAGTCGCGCTGGAGCGTTCTCAGGAGTTGGGAAGCCATCCGAATGTTCAACGTTATCAAACATGGGCTCATTGGTTCTATCGTCGCGGTATACATCGCAAATAAAGTTGATGATTTCCACGTTGAGCTCACGCAAGGACTGGGGCAGAGGGCAATCATCGACGGACACCTCTTCCTCCAGAGTCTTGGCCGAAGCTAGAGGTTTTGACGTAGGAACAACTTCCTTGGGCTCACGCGGTTGATCAGAGAGTCGCTTTTCGGGTAATGGGAAGGGTAGTTCGGCCTTTCGTATCGGGGGGGAAACGTTTTCGAAGAACGGTGGACCATGTGGGATATCAGTTATCGTCAGAGTCGATGTTTCCGGTCGCGTCTTTCGCCCGAGCTTATCGTGGAGGCTCGTCGGTGATTTGAAAGGAACAGCTAACTCATCAATGTCGGCAGAATTTCGCTTTGATTCCATGGATTCCCGCCTAGAGGATCGCGTGATGGGAGACGCGTGAATCTTCCCGTCGGCAGACTTCTTAACTCGTATATCGTCCAGCGTACCATTTTGGTGTTTCATGGAGGCCTCTCCTGGTATTGTTGGTTTAGGAATATCTAACGGTGGTGTAGCTTGTGGGGTATATGGCGATGGAGTGCTGAGTTTCGATGATTTGGAGGATATGGGTCGCGGGCTTTCGATGGCTGGTGCAGCCTGCGTCGTAGGGGAGGCAACTTGAGAAATTTTATTTGAAAGGGTGTTCACAGACTGCGGTGTCAACCATTCTAGCATCTTGAATGCCACAGAACCAAATGTTACGGCGGCAAAGGACCGGTGGTCATGGCTGGTTGGCTTCTCTACCATTGACACTGTTGCTGCCCGTGTACGTATCGGTGTTTCGGCATCTTCCGTAGAGAGGCGTCCTGTGATATTGCTTCGATTCGGTGCGCTCAGCTTAGAAGACTCGCTGTTGTTGGTGCGGTGCCTCTTGTGACGACTTCTCGAATGGTCGTTGGGGGCTTTGGCCGAGAAGATGAGGTTGTTGGCGGCGGTGGCACCATCTGGGGTTTGTTTCGACTGCTTGCACAGCCCTCGTTCGGGGTTATCTTTACTCGCTAGATACACGGCTAATATCCGAGCACTAGTCGAATTATATCTTCGAAGGGGTGTGTGGCCTGCGAGGCGCTTGCGGCAAGTCAGACAGGTCGGGGCGTGGCATGTCGGGCTCCCACAGCCAGTGCGAAGCTGGAATATATATCTAGATGCGGCATCAGTGTCTCTGTTCCACGTAATCCATATCAACAAGACGAAATGGCGTACCTATCAACCAAATTCTGAAAATCGTGACGTCTCGTGGCCCGGTGGATGGCGTAGACGCGCCGCGGGTTTTCAATGTCGCGAACGTAGGCCCGGACCTCGGGAGGGGCATCGTCTGGTAGTTGAGCAAACAGGGCCTCCTGCCAGAGTCCTGGAAGCAGATTGTTTTCGATATGCATGCTCGAAAGGGTCGGCTTGGGAGAAAGACTGGAGTCGCCTGCCGTCGTCGAGGCGGGCGGGAGCGCGGGAGCTGTGCTCATTGTGGCGGCTGCATACAGCTCTAGCAGTGATTTACGCTAGCGCGTCATGCTTTTAGGGTATAATATCGGTATATAGCGATGGTGGAATCGATGAAGAGAGCGTTGTTGGGATAACAAAAGGATAGCGTAGATGGGATGGTTAACGGCTTGGGGAGGCAGGCCGGCCGGCGTAAGTACTAGAGAAACTGGGGCAATGGGATACTTCAGTACATGCGAAAGGTGGAAGATTACGTGGTGGTAGAAGTATCTTTTTAGCAGTGGGTCGGCTGCCCCAGGTACCGGGCTGCTGCACGTGCGACATGCATCTGGCGGTTGGAGGAGTTCCAGGATTGGTGACGTCGCTCGGCTCGGCGCGTAGATGGATGGAAATGTGCAATATGCAATATTAAGTTTTTTTAAATTTGATAGTTTAGTTTTAGTGTTATTTAGTTTAATTTATTTTTCTTAAAATTTATCGTCTTGTGTTGTATGTTGCGTCTTAACAGAGCTGGACAGTATGACACTTAGGCTTTGGGGTATATATGTCTTACGTTTCACCGCTAAACATGATAAGCTCCCAGAAATTTTAAATTTTCATCTAGCATATATTCAGTGACGAAACTAACTTTTCTTTCTGATATTGCTTATATATATATATACCACTGTACACACTGTTCCTCGCCTTCAGGCGCCAACCCAACCCAACTCGTCCCTCTTTACTCACTAAGTTAGCCCAACCGTGGAGCCGCAGCAGCCCCCTACAGCAAAACTTCCAGGGCCCTGTCTCCACTGTGACGCATTTCTCAGCAGCCCTTTCCAGCGCTGGACCACCTTTCCTCTTTTGGTGCTGGGGCGTACGGCATCCCGTCATTGGCATCCCACCTTTCCATCTTGACCCCGCTACTGCAGAAGTAATTTTTTTTCCTGCCCGTCGCCACAAGAAAAAAATACAGGTGCAGCAGCATTAATAATATTCTGCGTCTCCAACCCAGCCCTGCCTTCACGTCACTCGAGACGGTCACGAGCGACATTCTTTTCATCTTTACCTGCTCCGATTTACATTCTTCTTGCTCCATCCTCACCTTTTCACCATCTGACTGCGAAAACCGCCACAGCTCTTACTTTCTTTCGACATCATCGTCACCATGGCAAGCGTCCAGGCTCCCGTTGCCGGCGCTCCCGCCTCGCACCCATACACATGCAACTCGTGCCAGGTTGCGTACCGAAACATCGACCTGCAAAAGACACATATGAAGAGTGACTGGCAGTAAGTAGAATAAGCCGCCTCCCCCGCCTCGAGATGATCACCACCTCCTAACATGTCCGCTCTAGCCGATACAACCTCAAGCGTAGAGTTGCCTCGCTTCCCCCCATCTCGGCCGAAGTATTCACAGACAAGGTCCTCCAGGCCAGAGCCGCCACCACCGCCGAAGCCGACAAGGCCTACTTTGAGAAGTCGTGCGAGGCCTGCACCAAGACATACTACAGCGAGAACGCCTACCGCAACCACATCTCCAGCCAGAAGCACAAGCTCAACGAGCTCGCCGCCTCCCAGCGAAATGAAGAGGAGACCAAGTCTGTCGTCAGCTCTACCTTCTCCCTGGGCGAGCCCACGTCCGTGGCCAAGAAGGATGTCGACTCGGATGCCGAGGACGAGTTCAACCAGGTCATCGAGGGTCTCCAGCAGGCCAAGATTGCCAACCAGCAGCAGCCTTCGCCCTTTAAGCGTCCCAGCAACCCCCAGGCCGATGCTGATGAGGAGGATGCCGAAGAAAAGACTGAGGGTGGCGATAGCCAGGCACCCTCTAACGCCTCTGGTTCTAAGTGGACTGTTGGTTCGTGCCTCTTCTGCAACTTTGAGTCGACAACAGCGGAGCTCAACGCCCAGCACATGGAGAGATTCCACGCCATGTTTATTCCCGAAAAGGCTTACCTGGTAGACTTGGACGGCTTGATCCAACAGCTGCAGTACAAGGTCCGTGAGGGCAACGAGTGCATCTTTTGCGATAAGATCAAGGCCAACGTCTGGGCTGTTCAAACACACATGAAGGATATCGGCCACTGCAAGATTCCTTATACTACCGAGGACGAGCAGCTGGCTATTGGTGAATTCTACGACTTCCGTGGCACCTACTCTGACGGTGAGGATGATTCCGAAAGCGACTCTGAAGGAGACGAACCCCGTGGTGCTCGTGTTGCCAAGGACGGCGCCGAGGGTGACGACAAGGACGAGGCAGAGGAGGGAGACGGCTGGGAGACGGACAGCTCTGCTTCCTCACTCGACTCGGACGATCTTACTGCTGTCCCTGCGGAGGGCCACTACCACCAGTTCGAGAGACTCAGCAAGCACCCGCACCACGCCAGAGACGATGCTCGTCCCCGCCACCAGGCCGACGGCTTCCACTCCCGCGCCCACAAGCACACACACGCAGTCTTTTACGACGACTACGAGCTTCACCTGCCGTCTGGCAAGTCGGTCGGTCACCGCCAGCACAACAAGTACTACCGCCAAAACCTGCACAACTACCCTACGCCAGAGGAGCGAGCCGAGCGTCTTGCCATCGAGGCCGCCGAAGACAGCGAGGGTGGTGGCAGCGACAGAGAAGCCAGAAGAAAGGCACACCGCACACGTGCCGTGGTTCCTCGTGGTACTCTGGGTCTCATTGGTGCTTCGGACCAGACGAAGCTCGAGGCCACCAAGATGATGCGTCGTGGCCGCAAGCAAGGCGAGGATGCGGAGAAGAGACACGCTCTGGCCAATGGCATTACCAACAACAACCAAAAGCACTTTGCGTTCCGCTACGACCGTGGTGGTTAGACACGGGGAAACATGCGTGGACGACTTTCTTTTTGTGTTTTGGTTTTGCAACGACAGCGGGTTTTGGAGTTTGCATCGGTTTATGAGTATTTCTTTTTTGGGGCATTAGAGTTAGTGACTAATGACCTTGCATATCATATATTTGTCTTTTCACCCGTGACTGTACTATTTCTCCGTCAAGCATCCGCCGATCTCGATACGCTACACACGCAATGAAGCTGTATTATTTCCAAGGCAGACTGATGTGCATGAGGCTCAGGCCGTAATCAAAGACAGTGTTGCTAGGTCTCGGCGACTTGCCCTATTTCTGCAGTGGTGAGCCAAGCCGGGTCTTGGTCCCAAAGCCAAGCAAGGCCGTATCTGAGCATTATTCACTTTTCGAACCAGTCCTGTGCAAGGACGCTCGTGGACACGCCAAGCTGGCCTTGAGCCATGGGAAAAGACAGATCGTCGGGAGCAAGGGTAACCCAAGAAGAGGGTAGGCTGGGCTCTAGATTGGTGCAACGCGCCTCGGTAGTACAGTAACTAGCGGCAGGGGATGCTTGAGAACGCGTTTACCGAGAGCAAGGGGTGTCCTTTTGACAGGTGGTTTTTACACATGGAAAGTAAAGAATACAGCATCTGCAGCGGTGGGTTGGAAGAAGCGAGCGCGGCACTGTATCGTTCGGCTCTCTATCTCCTTCGATGTCAATACCTTGGCGGAGAGACACTATAAAACAATGTTTGTTTGTATAGACAAAAACATTGTTATATTTTAGAATGTTTGAGATAATCACACGTACTCTACAAGATTATTTGTTTTTTCTTTGTAGCATAGTAAATACATACGTTTTTACGAGTGCGTCTGGGCTGTTGGAAAAACCAGACACTTTCTGCTAAGGTATAGTGGTCCTTCAAGTAGATCGGCCTACAAGAAAATCAGCGGCAAAGGCAAAGACAGTATAATTGCCTTTTGATTGGTCTTGTTTAGACTGTTGTGAGGTGTGTTTTGGAGGAAACCCGGATTTAGCAGAGACAGTGCACGTCGTGTACATGACGATCTGCGGGGGACTGGTGGTGAAGAGATAGACATGGGAGCATCCTGGGGGAGACAGAGAAATACACAGATACTTGCATGTTGCTAGATCTGTTCAGTTTGGTAGCTTTTGTGCTAGTCCTTTTCTTCAAGTCGTATGCCAGGCAGTTGACCAGCCCGGTGCATGGAAGCAAACATGTGCAGAGGGCCTGCGCAAGATTTTACAATCAACAGACGATTACTTGAAAAGAAGACGCTATGGTGCGCGCTATTGGCCAGTCGCAAGGGAGGCTGTGGAAGAATGTATTTTTGGATATCGTGGCCACTGTAACGCCAAAATGGCTGGTGTCGTGGTGCTGCTGATGCTACAGGCCGGATGGCGCTGAAGCTCGCGCTGTAATACAGCGGGCGCAGAGGACAGACAGGCAGCGCAGTGTCAGTGCCACACAAAGCTCACCTAGCAACAGCAAAATAAAACATTAAAAAAAACGATAGCGATAGAATCCGCGACAAAGGAAGAAGAATAAGCAATGGAATACTGCTAAATCCAAAAACGACTCTCCCTTTCTTCCGCTACGTCACGCTTGGAACGCACGCTCTCTATTGTCCGCCGCATGTTCCAGATGACCACACATCCCTTTGTCTCGCCCTCAGCCGGTCCCCTAAGACTACTAGCGACAAGGCCCGTACAGGTCTCTCTGCTCTATCTGGCGTCACGCACTGCTAACAAAGGTTCAGTAGTACCCAGGAATAGCATGCCTTTGCGTACTCCAACCGTTGCAAACACCATGTAACGCTACCTACCTACCTGCCGCAGCAACGGCCAAGGCTAGCCTGCCACTGGCCACCTGTTTATCCAGAGACAAAGGCGAAACCAAACCAAGACCGTTTTTAGCAGAGATTTTGTCTGGGCCAGCGTGTATTTGCATTGCATTTGCTAGCTAGCGTTAGCTTTGGGCTGGGCTGGGCTGGGGGCGTGTGTGGCACCACACATTTTCGACTATTGGTTAGCGCATATCTCACACAGGTTACCTACCATCACCAACTACCACCGCAACGAAAAGAAAATTTCAGAGGCCATCTGTTTCTCCTGTTCGTCATCATTGTATTGCATTGTCTTCTTCGTCTTCCCGCCCCCCCTGTGGCAACGTCGCATCGCACTCCCTCCCCGCCACACACACGGTACAACTCCCATCAAACGTAATGTCTATATAAGTCCTCATGCTCCCGTCATGCGGCCTCTTTCTTCTTTACTCAACTCACTACCACCACCACCATAATATAAGCCTAGCTTCAGCTCATCTCTACCTCCTTCTACCACCAACTTCACCAAATACATACCGCCCACAATGAAGACTGCTGCTCTCTTCCTCGCCGCCGCCGCTGCCACCCTCGCCGCCGCTGAGCCCCAGAAGGCCATGCCCTCCGGCACCAAGATCAACTGCGCCCGCCCCAACGGCTCCTACTGCATGGGCGACGACACCATCCTCAAGTGTGATGGCAACGCTGAGGGCATGCCCATGAAGTGCGCCGACGACATCATGGCTATGAGCCCCTCTGCCAAGGGCGGTGCCGCTACCTGCCGCGAGAGCTCCAAGGAGGCCGGTGATGCCGCCTGCATGAAGAACGTGAGTATTTCTCTTGCATCTTTTCTAACCAGTAACTAACGATCACAGTGCGTCGTCTACGCCAGCCCCTCCAAGTACACTCTCGGCCCTGACCAGTGCACTCCCAGCTCTCCTGCCAGCTCCGCCCCCGGTGCCAGCTCTGCTCCCGCTAGCTCTCCCACCTCGCCCAACGGCTGCCCTGCTCCCAGCAAGCCCGCTAGCTCTGCTCCCATGAGCTCTGCCCCCCAGAGCTCCATCCCCGTCACCAGCCCTTACAGCAGCTCTCCCAAGTCTAACATGCCTTCTTCCACCGGCCCCGTCACCGTCCCTACCGGTGCTGCTGCCTCCAACAACGCTGCTGGCGGTCTTGCTTTCGCCGGCATGATTGCTGCTTACTTCCTCTAAGCGAAGCTGCAGGCAGCTTTCCAACGGACAGGACGTGGCGAGCTTTCTTCTAGATGAAGAAATCCCCTGCCTGTAACCAACGATTACGGTCACGATATACGATTATATCTTTACCACTCTCAACTCTTTCTTTGCTTTCTGCGCAGCTCGGTCGACAATCGACAAACCACAATCCTTACAATCTACAGGAAACTATAAAAGCAAAGAAAAAAAATTGAAAATACAACTTGTCGCTCGAGTCGCTCATGAAGGGAGAAGAAAAAAGACAAAACCTGAAGGAAGCGCCGTTGCTTGCCTTTGTGTACAACTTTTTTTTTTTTTTAGCTGAAGATAGTCTACCGCTTTTTTAACTCTAATAGAAACAAAGCCCTGTGCTTTATTATACCTTGAAACTTTGAATCTCTTCGGCCCGTTTTGTAGAGCTCGGTGTAAATCGATCAACTTCGCTTAGGCTAGTTCCCGTGCAGGCGTCACGCGATGCGCAGGGTCCGCGCCACGTGCCGCTGAGAAGCTCAGGCACCGCGACCACAAGATACCAGCAGAAAAAGACAAAAGAGGGATTTTTGCAAGCGATTTCTATTTTTACTTATACGAAATTGCTATACCGTCGCGGGCGAAGGCTTGTGTGGCTTAGCTTGTACCTTACAGGTGCAAGTACGTACTCTAAGAAAATTGATGCTGCACTGCCGGGTAGCCACAGTTTACACTTGTAACAAGATACTTTGACAATAGATATGCAATCTAATTCAACCATCTTGTATAATTCAACTTTTTTGTATAATATAAGGTGGCGCGACCTTCAACGACGCAACAAAACCAACATCAACAGCATATATAACTAGTGACACTTCGGTCGCTAAAGATAGAACTCCGAATACTTGGGGAATAGCCCTCAAGCTAGCTAATTATTGATATTAAATAATGCTGGATATGAACATTGGGTAGAGGAGAGGCAGACACGAGCAAGAAGAAGACATGACGGAAGATAGCTAGAATTGTACTTGAAGCATAGCTAGTGAGTTCTATTGGCTGGGAGCCACCGGGCGTAATAAACAATGAATGAATGAATGAATATTATAGGCGTAAATTATGTTGGTGTAGGCTTCCGGGGCTTCGCTCTAAGGTCATGCATAAATAAGCTCCCTTTGAATTTCTGGATGTGCCTTCTACACACGGTTCTCATCTGTTAACCGCTTTTCTGTCAGTCATTACTGTTGGAAAGTATATTGCTTGACATGAGTCGTGATTATTGGATTACAGTTTCGTTTTTGACTAGTTACTTATTAGTTCATCCATCAGTCCGTTGAATAAGGTATCCACGTAAGCGATTGTTAGTGTTAGCGCACAAGCCGACGCCTGCCTTGGAAGAGAAGGCCCATGCAAGGCGTGCGGCGCATCATCAGGCTGCGAGTGCGAGACCCGCTATTATGCAGTAACTTACAAGAGATGGCCATGATGCTAAAAGTATAAATTACGCTTGCTTATTACGGAACGAGGCTTTCCGCGCGCTCTCGTTGTGCTGCAAGGCTCGGCGTTGTGGGCGATGAGTGAGCGGCTTCCCCACCGCCGCAGTGGTTCGCGGACAGCCAGCTGTAGCCTCGAAGGAGCTTAGAGCCGAAGCCGAAGCTGGTGAAGAAACATGCTGTACCGGTTTGCACGCCAGTATGTATCTGCAGCGCCTAAGATTGGCTAGTCTGACGATAGACCCAGCTTAATCCAATCACACTAACATCCCATGTAGAGCCTGGCTGCTAGTGCCTATAGAAGACTGGGCTACCTTGGCTATTGTATTTAACACTGCGCATCCCCAGTCGTGTTTCTGTTCAGCTCCTCAAGCTGCATTACGTCGCTCAATCAAACCAAACGTCACTATGCATGTCTCAATTGCCGCCGCTTTGGCGTGCGCTGCCGCCGCCGCTGCGGATGACCACAAGGATTTCGATTCCATCTACCAGCCTTCTAGAGGTGACGTAGTCCAGGTCGGCTCTACGGTTGAGATCAAATGGACCGTGTTGACCAAAGTCGACGGCCCGGTCAACATTACTCTCACCGCCGGCGCGGATGCTGGTACCCTTGTTCCTGTCGACACTCTTGCCTGTAAGTAGATGGACGGCTCCTACACATGTCCATTGGAGGCCGTCGCTAACATCATCACAGCTGGCTATGACAACTCGAAGCTGACGTATTCCTGGACGGTCAAATCCCCCGCAAAGCCGCAGAAGGCTTACGGCATCAATATCATGCTCGCCTCCAACGCGACAGTATATTCCTGGTCTCCGCTCTTTGCCATCAAGGATGAGGCAGCGTTATCTTCCACCTCTAGCATCAAGTCTGGAGACACGACGTCTTCTCTCTTGACCAGCACCACAACTCGCAGTCTTGCTTCACATTCCTCCTCCAGTAGCACGGCTACGTATAGCACCATCTCTGCGCCGACCACCGCGTCACCTACCGAACAAGCCTCAGCCACCTCCGACACCAACTCTGCGGCCAAGAGTACCTCGTCTGCTGGCGCTTCTGCCCTTGGCGCCGGTTCTTTTGCCGCCGTCGGTGGTCTCGTCGCGGCTCTCCTTGCCGTATAAAGTATGTTGCCCATAGTTTTCTTTCCGATATGATATTTATTATAAATAGAAGATTACAAGGTAAATTTTATGGACTAAATACAAATGATAACTATAGTTATATTGGATAACAACTGGCTAGTAAGCAAAACATGTAGCCAACTCCCTGCAACTAACTTATACCTTGTAGAGCCGTATTCTATGTAGCAATATATTATAGAATTAAATCCAACTGTAATATTCTGTCCCTCGACTTTTGCAATTAATGCATTGTACTCCTTTTTTCTTTTTTCTTTTCGCATTTCGGCATTTTTGTTGCCGCGAGTGCGCAGATGTGCCACTTGCCTCGCTACACGGTGGGGGTGTGATAGTCGTCACTTGCGCTTACTGAGCACATCTCGGCGCTGACTCTATTGTACAGTACCTACGCCCGAGGCAACTGTATCATTTGTGGAGGTAAACTGCTCAATTTTATGAGTTTTGCTCCATCTTCGGCTCGTTTGTTATATTCTATATTCGCGGATATGATGTGTCAACTCACTAGACCGAAAGCTCAAAAGCATCTATCTATACATTGGCGTAATGCATGCCCTACAACACATTCAACATGTCATGCCGAAACACATATGAAAGCTCCTCATCTAGTTAGTCCCACATACATTGCAGCAATAATCAGGCTCTGCCCGTCTGCTCGAGGGCCCCCCTTTGTGTCTCGCAGCCTGACGGCTTGATACAGCCAGAGCTCGCGTATATCTTGCTACCCTCCCCCTCGACTCCTTTGCGTAGGTTTCTACATTCTGCCAAGTACTCCAATCATCTCGACTAAAGATGAAGATTTCTTACCTTGCTCTTACCAGCCTTGCTGCAGCTGCCACCTCTGACAGTGACAATCGGCCGCACATCCTCAACAGCGACGTCCAAATCACCGAAGGCAAGGAATTTACACTCCAGTTTGACAACTGCCCCAGCGGCTGCACTATTATTCTCCGCAAATATATTAGCGATCAGAAGCAAACTGATTTCAAAACCCTAACGAGTAGATTACTTCTGTTGATTTCCTAGTCGTCTAGCCCCTAGCTAACCTAATCCCCACAGCCAAGACAACTGGCGATTCCTTCTCCTTCACGCCAAAAGACATCCCCTCGGACACGTACAACTTTTACATTGTCAACAACGCGAATAAGACGCTGGAGAACTTCAGCGACCACTTTCCATACAAGGGCACCGCCACCTCCACCACTACGGATGCCTCCAGCTCGGCGGCTACACCTATACCATCCACGACCGATTTAGGAGATGTTTCCATCACAATGACGTCGACCAGGGCCACAAACACGGGTGTAGGCTCAAGCAAGGGCTCTCCAACCGCTAGTGCTACAGCTCCTGGAAACGGCATTAGCATTGTCGGCGTCTCGCCTCTGGTGGTCGTCGCTGGCGCTGCTGCTGCTGCTGCTGCTGCCTTTGCACTGTTTTAGTCAAGACGTCTTCTATGAAATAGCACGAATATGTCACCCTACATAATAATAATGATAATGTATATGAGTCTATATACTGTAATCTTTTATTTATTTTGGTTTTAAAATACATTAAATTGTGCGAATACGAATAGTCTTTTATGAGTATCTTGAGAGCTAGCTCAGCGACTAACTACTACAGATATTCAAAGACGGAAGGACGGAAGGACGGAAACTAAGATGAGCTCGAAAAGCTTGTCATGCTTTACGGACCTTGATTAAGTGCCCATTCACTCGCCATTTGATCATGTATTTGCGCCTTAGCAGTACCGAAAGTCGCAGCTAAGCCACAGTCCGGCCAAAAATGGCCGGACACTATTAGCCTTATGTAGCAAAAGCGAGACAGTCAATTCGCCGGTGACTGTATCTGTGGCTTTTGTAAGCGAATTATAGTGGCTGTAACTGTGCTGTGTAGCACCGTGTGCCTTCAAGGTGTGTGTAGATGCAACAGCCACATTCGCCGCGGATGTAGCCAGATACTAGCGCTAAATTATCTACGCATTTCATAGAGATACGCTTACGTATGAATTTTCTTGGTCAGTTTTGCTAAAAATAGAAAAACAGAAGAGGGATACTTCAATAATATTGGCACAGGTACAAATAGTCTGCCCTGAAGTGACGTCACAGCCTCCCTTGCTAGTGATAGCGCCTCGATGGAATGCACCGCTCAATTTACTTACATGTCTGCACTTTAGCCCGGCGCGTGCACTATTCGCCGAAATTACCCTTCTCGTCACTTTTACTTACGCATCGGGATTTCAAAGGAGCCGCATGAGCCTTGGCGGCGACGGTGTTGTCGACGGCTTTCAAACCCGGGAATGACACGCGCTCGTATGTCCGTGGCAATCCCCAATCGTATTAGTTAGTCCATCCTAATAGTCCGACGGCATTCCCATTCTGGCAGTAGTGGCAGCAAATCGTTCGTACTAGGCGTCGTGGTTTCGGGTTGTCGGCGACAGGAATCGAACCACCACCATTTGTTCATTGCTGCGCTCACTGCTGAACCTCCTTCACCCTGATCATGTGTCTTGAACACGCGGCTATTTGACTACTGTCTTATTCAATCTGCACAACTCTCCCTTAATAGACTTTTTTTTTTCGTTGTTGCTCTCTTTAAACTGCTAAAGGCGACTCACGCGCCAATATATCCTCCAATATATCCATGGCAAGGGCCGTCTCCATTCCAGCCTCGTATCCAGACGCCCTAGCCCGTTTTGGCTACCGTTTGCTTTCTCCCTTTCCCCCTTTGGAGCAAACCATGCGAGATTCGCTGCAGATCGAAATAAAGGTACGAATTTAACCACCCAGAAACACGGTCCGTGTTTCCAGACTCATCCACACGGCCCATAGAGGTGGTTCGTCCCAATATTTCTCCTCGTGTCTTGGTGCGTCGCGCTTACACCAGCGTGCATATAAACCACCCATCCTAGCCACCAACAATCTCGTCACTCTCTGATTTTTCGTTATCAGTCCTTACCTCTTTACCAAATTTTCCTACAAGTTTGCCATTTAGACACTTTTAATCATCCATCACCATGAAGTCCTTCGCTTTCGCCGCTGTCGCCGTTGCCGCACTCGTTGCCGCTGAGGATTCTGCCGCCGACCTCTGCAAGTCTGACGGCCAGACCTTCTGCATTGCCAGCGACATCATCCTCCGCTGCAGTGGCCCTGGTGTCGGCCAGCCCGGCCGCTGCACTCCCAACCTCTCTGGTAGCTTCCCTCCTGGCGGCCTAGCTTCTTGCTACGAGGCTGCCAAGGGCGATGGCAAGGCTGCCTGCGAGAAGAACGTGAGTAGCACCCAATGTATACAACACAAGAATATTCCAACTAACTCGAGCAGTGCATCGTCCACGCTGACCCCGTCTTCACCCTTCCTGCTGACAAGTGCACTCCTTCTGCTACTCAGTCTGCCACTCCATCATCTACTGGTACTGGCAACAGCACCACCACCGCACAGAAGCCTCCCGCCTCAACAGAGGCTGAGGAGGAGCCTTGCCCTACCGAGTGGCCTACTCCCAATGGCAACGACACTGCTGTTGTTCCTCCTACCAACGCCGGTTCTAAGAACGCTCTGAGCGGTGCTGCCATTGCTGGTCTCGTCGCTGCCTACTTCCTTTGAACGTTTCTCTTTAGACGGGGTTAATTATCGGCGCATATTTTTGTTTTTACTACTTTCATGAAATTAGATGAGAAAAAAATAGAATAATACTTGAAAAGAAAAAACTAGTTCTATGGCGTAAATCGTGTACGTATCGTAAGGGGTATCGTTATACATGCTTGTTCCACTCCCTCGTGTGTAGCACCCACGTCTGTGGTGCCTCGCCTTCCCCGTTGTATCGATAGCTCAGAAAAAGAGCATATCTAAACATTATCTCGCGGAGTGTATCCTCGGACAAGTCTGGTCTACCAGCCATTGCCAACGCCTCTGCCGCTGTGACACTATCTGTATCTGCACACGATTCCTCCTCGTCACTGCTGTATTCGCTCCCCGAGGAGTCGCTTTCCCAGTACAGTTTCTTCTTATAGGATTGTCTCGATTCAGTGGATAATGATCGGCCTTGCAGAGCGGCGTACATGGCCAGGATGAAGCTCCGCGATATTGGCAAGCCGTGGGGTACGCTGCAATGCGGCGACCAGATAGGGCGGCAGCGCACAGGAATATCCTTTGCAGCTTGCTGCAGCTCGTCTAATGTGTTTTCAGGACTACTAAGAAATCTTCGAAGAGTCGGGTACGAGTCTCTTGTCAGAAGAGCGTTGAAGGAGCGGCATGTAAGGCGGGCCGATGTCGGCAGATCGGTCGACGTGAGAATCTGGTGCAGAAGCTCTGTTGGAAGGGCCGTTAATGACATTGCTAGACGAGTTTTCAGAAAATATAGATTTATGTTATATTTTACATTTTTGCCAAAAGGGCGGCTTATGCTTGTCTTTATGGCGTGGCTACGCCAGCGAGAGGCTGTGTCCGTCAAGGTTCTCAGAAGTCTCCGAAAGGTCACAGCACACCTTGCTGAGAACAGGTGCATGAATGTAAGGGAAAATACGGGAAGCGCCCTGTAACGGGCGTCATAAGGCGGAAAGTTAGATTAAATCGGGCTGTCGTGGCGTCTTGGCTTTGTGCATCACTCAGCCGGTGAGAACAGGACATTCCAGCCACGAGGCTACACCACGGCGATCCAAGGTGTACACTGTGCACCGAGTCTTGGCCTGTCATAGGCATAATTAAGCAAATTAATATATATGCAATACACTTCAGCACGCAATACATTTCAGCACGCAATAAAATCCCCCAACAGAATCTGAAGCCTTATCGCCCGGGGGGGTTCCTATTTGGGAACATTGCAGCGACAAGGCTGACGTAGAGTGTGGCGTTCATACGAATGTAAACGAGGCTATCGGCTGCGGGTGAACGAGCTGCCTCCACAACATATAACTTTAATGTGATTATTCAAAATTAAAACGCCAATCTATGCTCCTTTTCTACTTTTGTCTATGCGTTGTTGCGCCCCTAGCCTTCTATACTTTGGGGCTGTCTAAGCCTCGCCAGTCTCCTCTTTCCACCACTTCTGCATCGTCAGGATTCTCTCGGTACGCTCTCTTGCCAGCTTCTTGCCCTCTTCCGTCTTCATCATGCTTTCCAACTTGATGAGCTTGTCATCAAAGTGCTCAAGCGTGTCGCCTAGCGTACGTCCCTTGGCGCCACCAAAGGCAAACGTTCTGCCAATGCCGACAGCGCCAATGGCATCCAGGCGGTCGGCATCCTGAACGGCTGCAAGCTCAGGGTATTGCGCAATCAGATTGACAACATGGGCAGGATCCTTAATCTCGGATGAGTAGCTCACACCCAAGCAGATGGCTTGTACCCTTTCCGCGAGGGCGGCCTCGGCGCCATATGAAAGCAATGTGTCATAGACGAGGCGCGACGAGTCTTGGCCGGGAAGTAGGTACTTCTTGTCGCCGACGTCGTGTAGGAGCGCCGACAGAGTGACAATATCGCGATCGGTATTGGGAAGAGTGGCCTGAATGCGGTGCGCGAGGGCAAGGACACGCTTAATGTGGTGAAAGTCGTGCGAGCCGTCGTAGTGCGACATGTATTCCTCGACAAAGGCCGTGACCTTTTCGATGATGGTGGGATCGACAGTAGAAGAAGTCGTCATTTTGTCTAGATTTTTCAGAATTTGTATTCGAAAGAAGCAGCAAGGGTAAGCAGATGTATTGCTGTCACGGACTGGGTTGCTTGAAAATGTCCGAGGCGGGATTGGCCAACGCGCCCCGTCACGCGAAGTGAGGGGCAGATCGGACGCGGGCCCACGTGATTTGACAGCCGTCAATTAGACGGACACTTGTCACTTGCACCATCGTTTTTCCAGAGGATTTATTTGCAACTGCAATAATTCATCCAACCAGTCCAGAGGTATCATCTGGTCAACATTGAGACAGTGTGTGCAAAGAATGCAGGCCGTCCACGTGTTGCTCAGTGTTAGTCTGTGAGCCTCGACGCTGAAGCAGTATGCAGGAGAGGTGTTTCTCTCAGTGTTTCCAACACGGAATTCTTTTCCGCTTTGATTTTCTTCTTCAAGCTACTCCGCCTCATTCTAATCACTCAGCTGATGGATTTTTCTCCAATAGTCATCTGTGAACCGACGAAAAGGAGACCGTCGGCGATGATCAGTGATAGCACCAGCTTACAACGGAAAAGATTGGCATGCAACGCTATAAGCCTGCTCCAGCGCATGAACGGTCGCCGCCAAGAAAGGGGACCGAAGATAAAGTAGCAGTCGCGTATGGTACAACGTTTTGAACGGTGCGCAAATTACTGCCCAGCAAAACAAACCTTGCGCAAGCCCATCGTTCGTCCGGCATCTCTGCGCAGTACGAGGCCTGTCGCCGGCATCTAGAGGCTCGAATACGCGGCTGGGAATCGGCAGATTTCAAACAATGCCACTGCCGTACTTGTGAAACCACGCTAACAGCGTGTGCAAAGTAAATAGTCACGCCGCCGGCGGTACTTCCCCATTTGCTGACCCTGTCTCTTGATTGGAAATTCACTCGGGTTAGCTCTCTGCGACCTGGAAGAATAGTAAAAATCGGCCTTTATGCCCTTTTTGGAACAAGCTTTGTTGTATTTCGCCGACACGTGTATAGCACCACTGATAGCGAAACACTGGCGCTCCGCCTCGGTAGTTATGCAAAGCCGTCTACCTTCCTGTTTGGTACTGGCTAGACACCGTTATTGGCCAATGGCGATGCAGACTCCGCAGAACAAAGTCTGGGCATTACTAAAACAATTGATGGCTTATCGATGTTAATCTACAGCCCATCGGAGGCTAATTATTTTTGGGAGGCGGGCTTTTCTAGACGTTTACGCGGAACAGGAGTGTCCGATATCATCGCCCCAACAACAGAGGATGTTAGCTTGCGGGATGTGATGCCGTACGGGAGTCAGACTTGGCAGCATGTATAGGCTGGACCCTTATCCAAGTGCCATGGTACAGCAAAGGGTCTTCAAGTAGCATCCCAGGATCCAGCCCACAACGGATGATGATTAACCGTCTGGCAGCTGCCGGAGTTGCATGGCTAGTCTGTTAGGGGGGCCGGCCGGAGACCGAAGCCTACGCCCGGCAGTGTGTCCGATACCACCTAGTGACAGAAACGCATTGATCGTCCATGGCATGGGTTGGTATCGTATATCCGTCCGCCTTCCTAACAAGGCATGTGGGAAAAAGGAGAGAAAAAAGGTTCCCTCCGCACCGACAATGCATTGATGGATTAAGGTTGCCAGGTAAGCATGGCGGACATGGCGCCGCATTGCGCATGGCGTGAATGCGGGGGTGGAGACTGGACGAGATGCAGTTGTCGCCGCCATTTCTGTGTTGTTCTGAAACGCCATATTAAATCCGGGTGAGTGACGATCCCATGGCCTGGGCGTGGCTGGCTAGGGCCGATTAGGAAGGACAACACTAAACATATTAAGCCCCTCAACCATTTGTTTTATCGGCTCAAGCGGATATTTAGCATTTGCCGGATGATATGCCTCCCAACGAGCTATTGTTCCTTTCATTTTCATTACCAAACAGACTGCAGCTGAGCAAGATGCCAAGAAACTAAGCTAGCATGCAGCACAGGGGCAGGATAGAGAAACCTTATCCGGGTTTGCAGACATGCTTGCACGATACAGAAAGATGTCTATATAAGGCCGCTCTGATCCTGCCCATCGAGCATTGAAAAGAAGCTCTCCAGACTCATCCCAACGAGCCCCAAGAAACACACACAGCCTCTCTCCAACTCTTCCATCCTTCTTCTATACCTTCATCATGGAGCTTACTAAATTTGTTGCCTTCCTCGCCGCCGTGCTCCCTGTTGCCTACGGTGCGCCCGCCCAGGCCGCCAGCAACCTGCACCCCGAGATCCTCGCCGCCATGAAGCGCGACCTTGGCCTCAACGCCGAGCAGGCCACTGCCCGCGTTGCCCGTGACCTCCAGGCCACCAACATCATCGACCAGGTCCGCGGCTCTGTTGGCCAGTCCTTTGCCGGTGCCTGGATCGACGGCGACAACGTCTTTGTCGGTGTCACCGACCACGCCCTCAAGGACGGTGTTGCTGCTGCCGGCGCCACCCCCGTCGTCATGAACAACAGCCTCGACAAGCTCAACGGGGCCAAGTCTGCTCTTGACGGCATCTTTGTCAAGAAGGGCAACGCCGCCCGTGCTGTCAGCGACAACGCCAGCATCGCCTCCTACTTTGTCGATGTCACCTCCAACAAGCTCATCATTGAGGCCCTTGCCGACGGCCATGCCCGCGCCCAGGAGCTCGCTTCCCAGGCTGGCCTTGCTGCTGGCGAGTACGAGGTCCACACCGTCGATGCCCTCCCCAAGCCCCTTGCTACCGTCCGCGGCGGTGATGCCTACTGGATCAACAACCAGTTTGTCTGCTCCGTCGGCTTCTCTGTCAACGGTGGTTTCGTCTCCGCTGGCCACTGCGGTGCCCAGGGTGCCTCTGTCACCGTCCCCAACGGCCCTGCTCTGGGCACGTTTGCCGGCTCTACCTTCCCCGGCGATGCTGATATGAGCTACATCAAGACCGTCAGCGGTACCACTCTCAAGGGCACCATCAACGGCTACGGCTCCAGCGATCTGCCCGTCTCTGGCAGCACTGAGGCCGCCATTGGCGCCAGCATCTGCCGCTCTGGCCAGACCACTGGTGTCCACTGTGGCAAGGTCAGCTCCAAGAATGCCACTGTCAACTACGGTGCCGACGGCTCCGTCACTGGCCTCACCAAGACCACTGTTTGCGCTGAGCACGGTGACTCTGGCGGTTCTTTCTACTCTGGTGCCCAGGCCCAGGGTGTCACCTCTGGTGGCTCTGGTGACTGCACCAGCGGCGGTACCACCTACTTCCAGCCGGTCAACGAGATTCTCTCTGCTTACGGCCTTACTCTTGTCAAGTCCTAAATGGGCAGACCACGTGGCCAAAATGGAAAGAATATAAAAAAGAATATAAAACGAAGTCATGTCTATCAGTATATAGTTACGATTTGTCTATAGTTACCATGTATATACAACTGTTTACAGTGCATCTATTGTCTCTTAACATGTGATGGCCCGTATCTCAGCAGGCACATTGAATGGCCTCCATGGTATCCACATTATGAACCATCGCTTTACACGTATTGAATCAAGAATGTGAGTTTCGGTATGTATAGACTTGTGTTGTGGGTTCAGGTATACAGCCCCAGTCAACTCCAACACAACAGCACCTACATATCCATATAAAATACTATATACATCTTTAGTCATTAATAGTTATTGTCTTATATATATATGATGGTATTAGTACAAATGGCAATATGTATAGGGCATCAAAACTCAACCCCGTCAATCACTCGAATCATCGCTACGCTCATCCTCGTCGTCCTCATCCTTTCGACGCCGTCTGTCCTCCAAATCTTCTTGCGTAAATAACCCACTAGGTCCAAATGTGGACCCATGTCTCCTCATGCGTCGACTATTGCTCCCTGTCCTCAAGGGCCGAAGTGGTTCCACCTCGGTAGGCAAACCTAGCATCGTCTCGTTGTCTCTATCTTTGCCCTGAGGATCTCGACTTATGCTGCTGTCCACCGGAGAGCTAGGAGACCCAAAATTCCCTTCCGGGGGACTTATAATACGTACGTCAGGACTCGGTAGCACATCAGGCGGTGTGCCCTCAACAGGTACTCCATGGCCATGATCACGCACCCAAGCTGCGTACCTTGGTGTGGGTGATGTCGGTCGGCGTAGTGGCATCCATCTTGTTGGCCTGCTTCTTTCAGAGTATTGTGTCCCATCAGATGCAGAACTCGTATTCGAAGACCAAGTTCTGGAAGACACTGCGGAAGCGTCACGTGGCATAAATTTAGATCTTCTAGATCTTCTAGATGTTTCGCTTGGTGGGTACTGGTCGCTGCCCGACCGAGATGATGAGGATGGAGTGGCGGATGTCCATTCAAAATAGACATCAGGCCGTTTATTCCGACGCATGGGTGATCGCTTTCTTTGCGCTTGCCCCTCAGGTCTGTGTGCAGCAGCCCTGTATTTGCGGGACTCGTCCATGCACTGCTCAGCCTCCGTTTGTATCTTCCTGCTTGTGCTTTCCCATGCCGTTATCTGCTTGCTTCGCAATCCTACATTACGTAAAACTTCGCGGTCCATGGATTTTATCTTTTTAATTGCTTCGTTCGCAACGCGCTGTTCTCGTCTAATCTCCTCTGTAGCGCTGACACTGTAAATTCCACTATTAGCAATAGTTGTAGAGTTCGGTCTTATCGCGTACTTACATCTTCAGCAGCAGTGTTAGTGGCACCTCGTTATTGCCTCTCTCCAGCTGTTTAATCCTTTTCACAAGATAATGCATTGTAACAGAATTGGAAAACATATTGGCGTGAGAAGTTAGGTACTCGATGGTTATGCAAACCGATTCAATATGCGATGCGCGTCTTTGCCACTTCAAGAGGTTTAGTAGTCGATTCAAAATTCCGGATTCTTGAGCAAACTTGTTTGCTAGCTTCTTGTGTTCACTAATCTTTCCAATGACGTGTTCAAAGTCCTCGAAAAGAGCCGTACTGATGTCGCAGAGCTGCTGCTTCAGCTTGCCCTCTGGGATCTCTGTCAAGGCTGTCTCGCATGCGTCTTGGAATATTAAAAGGACTCTACCGAGGGATTTCATCTCTCTGACAAAATCTTCCATTTCCTTAGACCCATTGTATAAGTCGTGGACGGTGCGTGCGGTTTTAAAAACACTCTGCGACAGCAGGTGTATGCTCGCGACCATGACACCGTATCCAGCCATTTGGAAATGAAGAAAGTTCGCGTTTTGTTATTAATTGAATTATATGTATGTAGACTATTATAGACGCATGTACAACCTGAATATCTATGGATCCGAAAACAGACGTATATATAACCAGCCTTCGCTGTCCATCATCAAGATGCAGAATTCGGTGAGGCGTCGCAAGGTCGTCTGTGGGCAGACTGACAACGCCCGGAAGACGTGGTTTGCCACTGTAAAGACAACGGCAGCAGTCGTCAAGATGCAGCCACAGTTCAGTTGGTGGTTCGCAATGCAGCTCGCACGAGACTCCTAGGCCCCTGCGCATTTGATGGTGTTCAGAGAGCAGCCATGTCGACGGAATCACACCTCTTTGGTGTTTTTCCAATGGTGGAAACATATTTATGAAAGAGGATATATTTATGCATACACTATTCGTGTCCATCAATGTCTCCCCTGTGTGCGCGGTTGCCAGCCGCCCCTCTCCGCGGCAGTTGCATCAGCGCCACCAACACTCCGACTTATACCGCCTCCTACACGAGCAAAGCGAAGATCTTACTCTTCTTTTTACCCGCTGCCCTGTCCTTTGGCGACTTGACTCGCAAATGATGGTCATTTCTTGTTTTTTCCCGGAGATATTACACGCCTTTTGCGGCGTTTAGCATTACATTGCATACCCGCCCGCAGCCAGACCAAGACGACGTTGCAGTGGGTGCAGTGCAGCTGACATGACTTGCAGCTTTGACTATTATAGTCTCCGGCCAAATCGGACCGTAGAATCGCTAGTTCTAGACTGGTGAGCGAGAGCAAAACGATAAGCAGGGAGGAAAAGGAAAAACAGGGTAATAGTGGGTGGGTGGTATGGGACCAGCAGAGTTCACGGGAGGGGCCACGAGGACGGGCCGCAGCGGGACAGAAGACTGGGTGGAGGCCAAAGATACAAGCAAGTATCCATGCCGAGCGTGAACAATGGGAAAACGGGGGCGTTGGTCCGTGGCGTCCCGGGATGGAGATGGGTTCGTCCACTGTGGTGGTGCTGGTGCTGGCTACTGCATGTCATGTGTGATATCTCGGCATTTGCCAGGAGAAAGATGCATGTCAATTATTCCAGAGTCAGCCCAGTTTTGCGAGTGTCCTGCATGAGGATGGGATGTGATGGGGTCCGTCTAGCGGCTGCACGGCGTATCCCATCGAGAAAGGCCGTGCGTTGCATAGGGACGACAGACTGGCTGGTGTTGGCGGCAGCGGGAATCGCAGGTCTTATCCTAGTAAATGAGACTTATACAGCGCATACATGCACCTACCTATCACCGCAGCAGCAGCAGTACAGTATAACACAGCACCAGCCAGTCCACCGCCCGTTATATTGAATACTGTGTAAAAGACAACACAGCACACATATTTTCTTATTTGCCCGCACACAGCAACAAAGCAACAGGGGAAAGAAAATAGCAGGCAGCCAATCACGGCGCCGAAGCGTCCAAGTAGCGGTGCCGTGTGATGACGCTAACAGCAACCAGCCAATCACAGGGCCGGATTAGACGCCCAGAGTGCCCAAAGCAGCAAAGAAGGTGTGGTGGAGTCCCCCGCCCGCCCTGTGCCGTAGCCGCCCAATATTCAAGGACACGAAAAAAATGACAGAAAAATTCCCAATATTATTTGCAAAGCGTCGTATTGATGCAAAGAGAGGAACAAAAGACTCCGGATGTCGACTCCCGTATGCAAGTCATGGGCGGAAAGGAAAGTAGGGAGATCCCCTCGTCGTGCCTCTCAGCTGAGTGCTTTTGTCGGGTGGTTTCTTCAGCTGTGGACGGGTACAGAATGCGACGTTGGCTGTGGAGGAGAGGGAGGGAGGGGCCAGTTGAGTCAAAAATAGAGCATTTTGTAGTTGACGAGCTTTGTCCTGCTTTGATGCGTGATGTTGCTCGACTTACACGAAGGAAAGGGAGCAACAAACACCAGATGGGAACTTGGTATTACGCTTCTACCGCAATCTGTTTACTTTAGACTGAATACACAATACTGCAATGTACTGTACAACACCCTCTCGCAAAGAAATTCACAATGCAGCCCCCCCTCCCACCACCCCCAGCCACGGCGCTAACGGCCCCCTCTCTGCCCACCGCGCCTCGTAGCCGCTACGCTCGTCCATTGGCTGCTTGCTTGCTCATGACCCGGCATTTTTTGTGATGTTGAGGGTTCCACCATCCTGCATGCATACCTGCAGCAATAGCGCTGCTCATCCTCGCCACTGCTACCGTCTAGTTTTGCCTGCGGTGGTGGTGCCTGTCCCCCCGTCCACCACCACCACGATGCGTTTGTATATCTACTAGCCGCTAGCCTTTCTCTTCTCCTCTTCTCTTCTTCTTTTCTTCTTCAGCAAGTTTATCTTTGTCCAATCTAAACTTCCGGGTTTTTTTGTTGTTTGTTTCGCATTTTCTTTTTCCAGAGCTGGTCTCTACTTCGCATTCCATCACATTAATTATTCGCATCTTTTTGCATACACACATCTTCCTCATCGCTTTTTTTTAACAAACCAAAAACTTCATCAAAATCCCTCTCAAGTTGCCGGTCAGCTTAAGAGTTCTTTGCATACAATTCAATACCCGGAATTTCCCCCATCTAAACTTGTTCGCTTTATTTTTTGAACGGCTCTCTTTGTTCAAGAACTACCAACGTTTTTTAATACCGTCATTTTATTACTTCGCATAGCATTTTTCTTCTTCGCTCTTCACGATATATACTACTTCAACATGTCTGCTATCCAGCTTTCGTTCTCTCTTCGCGTCTCTTCTGGCGTCAAGTCCGTCCACCTCCTCGGCTCCTGGGACAACTACACCGGCCAGCTCCCTCTCTCCAAGGACAAGTCTTCGTCCAAGTCTGGCTCCTGGAAGGGCACTTTCCGCTTCCAAAACTCCACACTTGAGGCCGGCCAGCGCTACTGGTACTACTACATCATCGACGGCTACCACGTCGCCCACAACCCCAGCGTCACCTTCACCACCGAGCCCACCACTGGCCGCCAGCTCAACATCCTCGACGTCTCTGTCGATGGCGAGAAGTCTTCTTCTTCGTCCCGCAAGTCTTCGTCTTCGTCCAAGTCTTCTTCCAAGGACAAGTCTTCCTCTAAGTCCTCCAGCCGCTCTTCCTCGTCCAAGGACAAGCACTCTTCCTCCAAGTCTTCGTCTTCTTCCAAGGACAAGTCTTCTTCCAAGGACAAGTCTTCTTCCAAGAGCAGCCGCCGCTCGCTGACCGTCGACATCCCCAAGGGTCGCCCCCTGTCCATCTCCCAGATCAAGGCCCCCAAGCCCATGTCTCCCCACGCCACCAAGCACATCCTCGACTTTGACACCACCGAGGAGATGGACGAGCTCACTGCCCGCTTTGGCAGCGCCGGCATCGACGACGAGATCATCACCAACTTCTCCACCTCGCCCGTCTCTTCCGTCGCCTCGTCCTTTTCCTACCGCTCCGACAGCTCCTCGCCCAACTCGTCCCTCTCGGGCTACAGCACCCCCGGCTCCGACTGCAGCACCTGCACTTGCGAGCGCTACGGCATCACCCGCAAGGGCGAGCGTGTCAAGCTCGACTGCGGCGGCTCTCGCTGCGGCTTCGACTCCGAGTCTGAGTGCGGCTCCGACGTCAGTGACTCCGAGTTTGAGGAGGATGAGGAGGAGGTCGTCCAGTACTCTTCCCGCCGCAACGCCATCATTGTTTCTTGAGCAATGGCTCCTCTTGGCAAACGGCGAGCGTCGGGGAGGTGTAAGTAGTGGTCATCAGGCTAGACCCCCGAAAAAAGAGACCCATGCTGTTCTTTGTTCGTCTTGGAAAGCGGGTGACTCTGCGGCTGTTGCGCGTTGGCGCCGAGCTAGCACATCCCCCCATTCTTGTTGTTTTGTGTTTTTGGTATGTATTTCAATGCATTTTCTTCTTTTTCTCTGCTATACACAGAGGAAGGATGAAAAAAAGAAAGGAAAGAATTTCACTTTTCCACATCCACTCCCCATGTGGCATTCCTCAGGCTTCCGCTTCGGAGCAGCTCTCCCTGCGAGCGCCGCCTTTGCTGGCCTCTGGCGTCGCTTCGCGTCTGCGCCCGCTCCGAGCAAGCTTGAAATTTGGCACATGATGACCAGTGGGTCGATGCTGCGGCCCCTCGCGTGAAGATTGTTTGACTCTTCCGCGAGCATCAGTTATTATTTTCTTTGTTGGTTCTTGAGCGACTCTAGCGTTGGCGGTGCAAGTGCTCGGGGGTTGATCTCCCGAGCGACTGCCCTCCAACATTAGACGACAAGTCGAGGATAGCCTTTTACGTAGGGCTTCACTACCTCTTTGTGCCTCTAGAGCACTCTCAGTCAATTGCTTGGATTGGTTTCTCTTGTCATGGAGGAGCTAGCAGCGGCAGATCCAAAAGACAAGCAGTTCATCTGCCCCTTGGATAGACTACGATATGAAATCTATTCATTGAATTATACAGCGTGCTTGACCCATGTGATGTCTCTAATTCGCAAAATAAAAATAAAAATAAAAATGTAGCTTACATGTAGTTGTCAATCTCATGTAGGGTATTGGTCCGGCAGATTAAAAATACCCGTCGCCTAATTTATCGCCCCGCACCGGCAATCGGTACCCGCCATTTACCTACAAACAGCTGAGGGGCAGCTCTCCAAAGCTCCCCTCACTTTTTCTTTTTTTCTTCATTTTCATCTTCATCTGTCAAATTCATCATCATTGCGTTTCACTTTGTATTCTATACTCACTGCATAACTATATCCTCATCATCGCCATCACCACAGCATCTCTTTAACGAATTCCCAAACCAGTCAACCACATAGCCACCCTACACCTCCATCGCAACCTCAACCTCAACCACCACACATACGCCTTACCTTTTCCTCTCTTTCTCCCTCACCGTCTTCTCAACATGTCCCAAGACAATCAACTCCTCCTCCCCATCATCGACTCCCACATCCACCTCTACCCCCAAGACGAAGTCGACAACCTCGCCTGGTGCACCCCCGACCACCCGCTCTACGGCCAGCGCTCCATCGAACAATACAAAGCAGCAGCCGCTTCCGCCCCCTCGCTCCTCGGCTTCATCTTTGTCGAGACAGACCGCAAGAATGATGTGGCCGCCGGCGAAAAGGACGGCTCGGGCTGGGACGGCCCCCTCCGCGAAGTCGCATGGATGAAGCGCCTCGTCACAGGCGAACCCAAAGACGGCCAAGGCCACACCGCCGCCGACGCAAAGCTTTGCTTAGGCATGGTCCCGTGGGCGCCAATCCCCAGCGGACCTGAGATTCTCGCCAAGTACATTGACAAAGTCAAGGAGACGGCCGGTGACGCATGGCCTAAGATCAAGGGCTTCCGGTACCTGCTGCAGGACAAGCCGCATGGCACGATGCTCGAGCCCGCCTTTATTGAGAGCCTCAAGCTGCTGGGCCGGCGCGGGCTGACGTTTGAAGTCGGCATCGACCAGCACCGGCGCGGCAAGAAGCAGCTCGATGAGGCGCTGGAGATGATTGGCCGCGCGCACGACGATGTGCCCAAGGACGAGCAAGTCACCTTTATCCTGAGTGCGTTTTTTTCTCTCCCCCATCTATACATGCATGCATATCTGTACGTGTATATACTAACAACCCATTTGTGAATAGACCACCTCTGCAAACCAGACCTCTCTCTCTACAACACCACAACAGACCCCTCCTTCACAGCATGGCGCACCGCGCTCTACGCCCTCGGCAAGCACGACAACGTCTACATGAAACTATCCGGCTGCTTCTCCGAGATGCCCGAGACACTCGTCGCGCAGTCCGACAACGCCTCGCACGTCTTCAAGTCCATTGTCGAGTGGCTCGGCGTCGTGCTCGCCACCTTTGGGCCCGACCGCATCATGTTTGGCAGCGACTGGCCCGTGTGCACGGTCGGTATTGGCGAGGAGGCATGGCCGCGATGGAAGGAGATTGTCGACAAGACGTGCTGGATGGCGTCGCTGTCGGATATCGATCGGGCCATGGTGTACGGCGGGACAGCGAAGAAGGCATACAACTTGTAGAGTAACATATCAAGTAAAATCAAAGAAGGCATACAACTTGTAGGGTAACATATCAAGTAAAATCAAAAAAATGCAGTAATCATTCTAGAATGCTATGCCACGCAGAAATAAAAAAAAAGCGCCATCCGGTTCATAAAATGCTGCGAGTGCGCCGTGCTCTCAAGCATACACAAAAAAAGGTATATCTGCTGTGCTTGAAATGAAGAATAAAAAAGAAGAAAAAAGTAACATCGCAAACCGTACCATCCCATCCTGTCCGTTCCCCTAAACCCTTCGTGTCAATCTTGATCATAATAATACCATGTACTCGTTCCCGTCATGTCTGTCGTCTTCGTCATCAGACTGTCTCTCTGTCATTCATCAGACACCTCTTCTCATCCTTCTCATTTCATTCAAATCTGATCCCGTCGGTGCGCCATCCTCTCAATATTCGCCATCACCCCAGCCCTCGCAGAAGAACCCCCAAGACTAGCACGGCTTCCTCCTAGACTCTGCCTGGCCGGCGGCGCACTCGCCCGCATTCTATCCTGCGGCTGGCGCAGCGACGACCCCGGCGTCCTCAAACCCGAAGCTCGTCCCATGCTCGCCCGTACATCCGACCGACGCGGCGTCTTAGCCGGCGTCTTTGCGGGCATCACAGGCTCCGCCACAGTACGCGGGACACTGCGGTCAGCGCGGGCCGGGATCTGAGGAGGCGGCGCGTTCTGGATAGACATGAGCTCCTCGGCAAGCTGGACAAGCTCGCCCTTTTCCACGCGCTCCCTCTCGAGCATCAGATGCAGCTCCTCGTTGTCTTTTCTTGTGGATGCCGCTACGGCCTCGAGACGCTGCACATCGGCATGGAGCTCCTTGATGGTCGCGCTGTCTCGCACAGTCTGTGCCTTGAGCTCGTCGCTAGCATTGCTGTTCGTATGGATCGGTGAGTGGACGTTGGCTTCGAGAAGCTGGTTCTCCTCGGTGAGCTGGCCGATGCGGGCCTCGAGCTCGCGAATCTTCTTCTCCCAGCGGGCCTCATACGACTTCTTGAGCGCGGCAACCTTGGTCTCATGTTTACCCTTGTACAGCGCATGCAGCTCGCGAGCAACACGCTCCACGGCAACCTCCACCTCCTTGTTAGTCGAGGCCGGATCGTGCCGGTTGTTGTTGTTGCTGTTATTGTCCAGCGAGGTTCGCTCCGAGGACTTGCCGGCGCGCATGCCCGCAATCTTGCTTTCGGCTTCTTGGTGCAGTGTTTCCGCGGCTTCGCGACGCTTCTCGCTCTCGTCCAGCTTCTGCTCAAGGTCCTCTCGCTCCTGGTGACTAGCCTCGATGTCGTTTCTGGCTTGGCTCAGCACACGCTCCAGCTCACGGCTGCGGTTCTCCCAGTCCTCCTTCTCGTGGCTCAGCTGCTCCTTGAGGGCTTGTTCGTCGCGGAACTGCTCCATGGTTTCGCCGACGCGCTTCTCGGCATCGCCAACGGCAGACTTGAGCGAGCGTACTTCGGCCTCCTTGCCGCTTAGCGACGCCTTGAGCGAGCTAATCTCTGACATGAAGCTGGACTTGAGCGACTCGACCTCTCTGGCCGAGATGCTGGGCACGCTTCGGGGCGTAGGCATAGGCGGGATGTCAAAGTCCATCAAGGTCTTTCGGTTTGGTGTGGATTCATTGTGATTTGTCGAAAAGGATGCAGGCAAGGTGCCACGTTTATCTGGTGATCGTCTAGGGTTTCTCAGCGAATCAGTATAGTCCATCAACAAGTTGGACGAGTTGGCCTCGTCTCTTGTGGACGGTCGAGAACCCGTTGCAGACGGCACGCGAGGAGGGATCCCCCTCAAGCCTGATAGTTTTGCCGGACTGTGTCCTAGTTTGGAGAGGGTTGCCAGGTCTGGCATTGCTGAAAAGGTGCTAAAGGTGCTCATCATAGTCTCATCTGCCGCTAGGGCGTCATTGTCATTATCGTTATCTCCAGCTGAGAGCTCGTCTTCAAAGATATCAATAGCCTGCTTAAGAGCATCGTTACCTTGCAGCAAGCTCTCCAAGCTGACTTTGCGCTGGTGCTCTGCCAGGGCCGCAAAGCTGTCCCCGGAGCCGCTAACTTTGACGGGAAATCTCTTCTCTGGCGAGACCCTGCGCACGCAACGCAGCGGTGGAGGAGGCATAGCCCCCAAATCTGCGAGGCCGCTGTCCGGGCTACTTCTCTTCCTATTGAGAATCTTCAGCGGGGACAGCTCGGTGCCTGAGATGACGCGGCTGTGGCTTCTGCGGGACGGTTGGAGGTTTTCTTGATCAGACATGTTGAGCACGTCGGTGGTTTCGAGGTTTATCGGGGAGGATGCTTCGTCGATTGAGTCCATGTCTACAGACAACTTGCGGAAGCTTTGGACTTCGTACTGGCCGCCGTAGCGCTTAGAGGATGCTGGTGTAGGGCAGTTTAAAGCTTCGTCGGCGCTGGGAGACAATGGAGTAGTGGCCATGTTGGTGCAAGAGAGAGGATCGAATCATCCAAGGAATTATCCAAATATAGGTTTTCCCTTGCTCGTTGGCCCGAGTGAATGAATTTGTGGGATTCTTTCCCCTGCATGACATTCCAAACGCACGTTGAGATGTCGTTTGTTGTGTAGGCGCGTTGTTGGCAGAGCAACCCACACGTGATGCCTGTCTACAAGGGCTTCTTCGCCTATAAGCGACAGCAGTATAATGCAAGGGTACTAAAAAAACATGCATGCCAAAAGGCTAAAAATAAAATTAACATGTGCATTGTTTGTCCTTGCATAACCCAATATACGCGCTGCAGGTAGGTAAGCAGGTGTATTGTGTACGTGGTACACACAGTACCGTGTACTTCCTACGCCGTGTACAATACATAACACACAAAGGTCACGGCGACACAATCACCGTGGTGTACTTTGTTGTACACCAAAACATACACGCATGCACAACGCGACGGAGACACATAGAGTTTTTTCTTTGGAAATAGCTTTTGTCATTCATAAATCGTAACCTAGCAAGGAAATAGGCAGGCCAACACGTCACCGTGTTCTGGGTGCTATCCAAAGAATGAGCGGATTATAAAAATCGGACAGAGTAAAACAGCAACAAGTCGTAAAAGTCGTCATTAGGACTCAGCCTTCGTTTCCTCGTTTGCAAGTACATTGCTCAAGCTCCAAGGAGCAGCATTAATAATTCAACTCAAGGAAACGCAAGGGGCTCCTTGGCAAGGTGCGCGGAGAGTCGTCTGCGGCATCTGTCCATGAATCGTAGAAAAAAGTTTTTGGTGTTCGCCTGGAGATCGTAACAGGCAGAATGCATTTCTTCCCCTTTCTCAACCTCTTCATGTGGAAAAAAAAAACAAAAAATAAACAATAAAGATACCCCATAAAAGTAACCGGAAAGTAAGGAAAAGACAAGGAAGAGTTTCACACAATGAAACAATACAAAAAAGGTTTGTAGATGCGTCAAAGAGCGAGGGCTTTCCGAAATTAAGCCTCGGGTGCAAAAGCGTTATTCGTCAGACATGTATCTTCTAATGGCGATGTAAAGATGTCGTAATTCAATCATTGCGTGATTTCACCAAAACAACGGGGACGGGGCTTCTGCTGTTTGACAGCACAGAAGAATGAAACAGTGAAGAAAAAAATTCGGACTCAGAGTGCTCATCAGTCTGCCGTTATACGCGGCGGGGAGCAGCCACTGGCGGAGCAGAGCGGTTCATAGCATCATAGATGGGAGCGGGGACGGCCGTCTCCATCATACGGCGTCTCTTGAGGTCCATGTCACCGCCGTTACGCGACATGTCATCCTCATCGTCACGTCCACGCTTCACAGAACCGTTAAGACTGGGCTGCTGGGAGGCGTAGCCGTTGGTCATAGATCCGTTCATGTCCGCAGCAGGAGCATAGCCGTCGGCCGAAGCAACTCCATTGGTAGGAGCACGGTTGTCGCTGACAACATTGTAGAGGTTGCCCGACTGCTGGACACGGGGTGGCGTGTTGTAACCAGGGTTCTGGTAGTACGGCTGAGTAGGAGGCGCGGTTCGGGGGGTAGCACGGCCAGATGTTGAGGTGTGGTTGGGAGAGCCGGTCATCTCAGGGGGAATGTTGCCCTCGTGGGGCATGCCAGCAACAGGAGGAGCAGCATAGTTGTACTGCGTGCGGGCAGCGTCGTAGGAACCGCTGTCGTGAGTGTACTCGGCCTCGTGCTCCTGCTCACCTTCCTCTTCGCCGTTATGAGGCTGAGAGGAGTGCTCCTGGGACATGATGGGCTTAGTATCCTGCTCCTGTCCCTGTGCAGAAATAGATGGGCGGCCCGAGGGAGGGGCCATCTCGTTCTTGGGATACTGGCCAGGCTGACCGTACATGCGGTCCTGGTTGCCATTTTGATACGGCGAGGGCTGCGACGAGGGGTTGCCGTACATCTGGCGCTGGCCATCGTAGCCAGAGGCGTTGGAGCCGTAAGGTGGCATGTTCTGCATGGAGGCACTGGGAGGAGTGGTTGCCTGCTGGCCGTTCATGCCCTGACCCTGCCAGTTAAAGTTATCCGAAGCAGGCATACCAGATCCCATGACGCTAGAAGCGCTGGTGGGAGGAGTAGGGAAGGTGTGAGCACGTTCCAAGCTAGGGCGACCAAGCGGGCTGTGAGAGGGCAGAGTAGCCATGGCATGCTGAGGCTGCTGCTGCATGGAGGGTAGGCCAGTCACTGGGTGAGGGCGAACCTGAGTCTGGCCGCCCTGCTGCTCCTGCTTTCTGCGGTCAGCGGCTGCCATGACCTGGTTGGTACGGGTCTGGTTGGCGGGATGGTAGAGCATGGCGCCAATGTTGTTCACAAAGAGAGGATACAGAAGCTCTGTAATCTTTTCCTTGTTGGCAAACTCCAAAGCGCGATCGTAGGGAATCCTAACCGAAATGTCTTAGTAAGTTGCGATCGAATGTCTCAAAAACCAAGTATCCACATACCAAACACCCTTCAAGTGCATCGGACCTATTTTTACGACGTGGCGGACCTTCTCGCTCTTCAAGATGCCGTCACGGCGGCCACGGGTCATACCTGCGACGTTGAGCAGCTTGGTGCCGTTAATCATGTGGTTATCTGGACATTGTTAGCAGGCGTGGACAAGTTTGTATACTTGATGATGTGGGATTAGTTTTTACCTTCACGGCGGGCAACACAGATGCCGCGAGCCTCGACCTGGAAGCAGAGACTGCCTTCATCTTCCCACAGAGTAGCAGTAACGCGGGGCTTAGCACCCACGGGAGGCTGTTGGCCAGTAGTGTCAAAACCAGTGGCGTAGGCCTGGGACAGAGGACCCTGGCTACCAGGAAGGGGCAGGACATTTTGGGGGATTCCGTTGGAAACTGGAGGAGCAGCAGCGCCAGGGGATGTCAGGCCATTGTTGTAACCGTAGTGGTAAGGAGCGTTATATTGGGTGTGAGCCGACGGCAGCATGGGGGGCTGATGCTGCTGGTAGTGACCGAGGCCAGAGGTGACAGTCTGGGGAGGCTGCGGTTGCCCAGCAGACATGTGCTGGGGGTAGTACATGTCGCCCTGATTCATGGCGTCGTAGCTGATAATGGATGTGGCCGGCGCTGTGATTGCGTTACCGGGCAGGGGAGGGGAGGGAGTCTTTGGGCCGACGGATGAAGCGACGGACGTGTAAGAAGACTGTGACCCAGCAAAAGAGGCAGTGGAACCGACTCTAGGCGAGGAGCTGGCCGAAGAGTAGGCGTTGCCTATCGGAGGTAATGGGTAATATGACTGTCTCTCGACGTTCATAAACTGCGAGGGCTAGATGTGGACTTCGAAGTCGGAGCGAATTCGAAGAAGCACAGACGGTTGGGTAGCTTGGGATCGAGATGGCGGTGCAGGAACAAGTGCGTCGTGGGTGGCAGCGTCGAAATAATGCGGGGAAAATCTTGATGCTGAGCGTGCTGCGTGAATCTGGACGTGTCTTTTTATGAATGCAGAAAAACAAGGTTTGCTGATCGTAAAAGCTTCGTAAAGAAAAGTCGTCTCAATCGTAAAATGCAAACAAAAAATGCCCTATAAAGACATTCGTGGGAAGTGACGATATCGCAACGCTGATGATAAAAAAATGCAACGGGAAGCGCAGGTTGAGCGGAGACTAGTCGAACAAGACTCAGTTTTTTGCGTTCCAAAGTTCAAAGCCTTTTTTAATACAGGAAGTGTTCAGCAGGCCCGTAATGGTTGATTTTCAACAACTTGCAGAGTCAAGAATCCGAAGTTGTGTGTGCAAACAGAAACTCGTCAAGCGTGGGTTGCGGGTGTTGTGGTAGCCGTCGATGGTGCTGCAGGGTTTCAGTGGTTAGCTGCAAGGTCTTTCTGGAGGTGCAGGTTGCAGGAAGACGACAAGATATGTTGCATTGAGAAGATGTCAAGGAAGAAAAGAAGAAAACGCAATGCGATGTAGAGGAAACCGGGGGTATAGAAGCAGCTGGATGGCAGAAAGTGCGTTGGCGGGCAGCGGATGGCTGGTGGCCGGGCAGGGCGGCGATTGTGACAAACGCAGCACCGGCGAGACGAGGGGATCGCAAGTCTTACCTTTTGGCAGCGCTTACACGGGCGAAGAGTGAAAGCAGAGAGAGAGTTGTAGAGAAGAAAAGAGGAAGAGGTCGGTCGAGACAGGAGAAAGGGAGAAAGAAGAATCGAGGTGGTAGCGGGTGCAAGTATGTGCCACTCTGATAAGAAGGACGAGAAAGACAAAAGAATGCAAAGAAAGAGAACGAGAGAGGTGGGCAAGCGGAGGAAGAAAAAGAAGAGGCGCGCGAAAAGCGTCAGGGCCTGGGATGGGCGGGTGGGTGGTGGTCAAAGGTGGACTCTGGGGGCGTGTGGGAGCGAGAGGGGAGCAGGAGGAGGAGGGTGTAGTGTAGGTGGTGTGGATGTTGGGATTGTGGATGGGATGGTGGATTATTCCTGCTCCGGCGGCTGGCTGGCTCTGCGCGGGCGGCACAGCAAGCGGCCAGCGGTACAGCGGCCATGGAGGAGTGTCTACAGCGGGAGCCCGCCCACTGTCGGTTCACTTGAGTGCGTTGGCGTCTCTTAGTGAGAGGAGATATCCCCTAATTGGGCCAGCGGGGGAGGGGGGCACAGGCCAGGCCGTGATAGCGTACAGGGGGGGCTGGTTTTGGCCCCATGGCAAGGTTTTTTTTTCCCTCGCTCCCCGTAGCTGGACCTTGCCCCCTCCCCAGCGGCCGGTCTGGCTGCTACCACCTCCACTACCGCTCTGAGAAAGAAGTGTGTGTTGTTGTCTGTGTGTGTGTGTGTGTGTGTGTGTGTCGTGCTTAGTGGCAGCAAGCTTCTAGCGTAGTGGGATATGGGCTTGTGTGTGTGGGCTGGGGGTTCAAGCAAAGACCAGGTCCTTTTTTGGCTGGCAAGGACTGGGGCGGGAAGGCTTTCAAGACGTGCCCGAATAGGAAATGGACGAGCAATTTGCGCCAGGGATTCACAATACAAAAGACAAGAGTGAAAAAGGAAAAAAAGAACAAGTCGTCGATGAGAGATGCTCTTCATACTGTGCTGGACAGAGGCTGGCAAGGGCATCTGGTGTCTAGCGGGCAGCATCAACCACCAGCGATTCACCAGGCCGAGTGGAAGGGGGGGAGGGTGAAAGCTGGCTGGCTGGGTGTGTGTGAGGTGCTGGTGCTGAGCGGGGGGAGGCCTGAAGCAGGCTGGGCTGGATGGGACAAGCAAGCTGTGACCGGTCTCGCGGCGGACTCGGGTTCTATCTGGTCTCCTCTGTGCTGTGTGTGTCGTTTTTTACTTTACCTCGTTCCCTGTCCGCCGCCAGCTTGCCCCCCGTCAGCGGTTAGAGAGCGTGATGACCTGGTGTGAGACAATGACGACGGCCATTGGGGGTGGCTCTACTCTAGCTGGTGCGCTATCACAGTTTCGGCCTGGTCTTCCTTCCTCGGTGCGCACTTTTTGTCGTATATCCTTTTTCTTAGTCTTCATGGCATGGGACGGCCATGAATCGAGCCTGGCATATAAGCAGCCCTAGCTTTTGTCCCAACAAGGTCGTTGTCCGTATCATTCTCTTAATAGAGGTAGGAACAAAAGCAAAAACCACCCGTAAGAGGGGGGCGTAAAAAAAGGAAATCCAGCAGAGCTTGATATTGGGACCTGCTTTTCGGGTGCCTCGTCCATCGAAACCACCCACGCTGACACGGGGCCGTGCTGGGCCCCCCCATACTTTTCTTGTTCGTGCCGCTGCAGCGAAGGGGGGTCCCCAAAAAGCCTGACTTTCAAAGCGCATGGCCCCGAGAAAATCATGCTGCAGTTCGAGATGCCCTGATCGATCGCAACCTGCTGCTGCTGCTGCTACCGCTGGTCCTGCTGGTCCTGCTGGCGGGAATGTCTTGCCGGCCAGCCTCTTTCTACCAAGTGTGTGTGAATGTAGGCGTGTAATGCAGCTATCCGTCCTTATCCCAACCATCTCATCCCGTCATCCACCCGTCGTCTTCTTCCTTCTTGCCTCACCCATCGCCTCGGCCAAGTCCGCCCTTGGCCGACCAGAGTTAAGCTTTCGCAGGAAGCGGCTCGGGATTTCTTCAGAGCACCTCGCAACGAGCCCGAGCTGGCGCAGAGCCAATATGGATGGAGCCCCTCTGCCACATCACCCATCCACTAACACACGACCATCGGTAGCGAGTGGGGACCGTGGAAGCCAAAAGGTAGCAATGGCGATTCAAACAACGAACGAGAGACGGAGAAAGAGAGGAGCCCGGACACGCAAAGGCTTCCGGTGAGTGGAGGGGCGTGGCATCAGAAGCCGTGGCACGGCACGGCCAAAAAAACATTCGACCCAGTGCTCGTACGCGCCATTTACCCAATTCAGCGAGTTCCTTTTGGCGGGTATCAAAACAAAAACAACGTCCCTTTGTATAATGCTTTTATGTAAGTGTCCTTTGTGCATTAGTCGTTCGTTAGCACCGGCTCGGCCCACGAGCATAAACCTCGCAAAACCATCGGGCACGCAGAAACATAGCCGAAGCAAAGACGTATGCCCCCGGCGCATGCTGTGTGTAGCTAGAAAGCAAGCCAAGAAGCAAAGGAAACCCAAAAAGTAACCCTGGTTCCATGCCTGCCTCGTGGTAGTGGCAGCCGGTGGTCTTGAAACTCGTGGCCGTGCGCGGTTTTGCTTTGTAGTATTGCCTGCTTCACCGGTCCTCGTCTCCTATCCCAGCCTAGCCTCCGTATCTCCGCGAGACTTGGGTCGCCATTTTTTGCTTTTCGAGCCCATTGTTCCTTGGTTTAGCTTTCGGGTGGACCTATTGTCCTGTCGTCTAGTGCCTCGCCGCAAAAGCACTTTTTCGCGTATAAGATTTTCTAGCGTGCTTCATTGTTCTTCCCTGTTCGGTTCCGCGTCGACGCGATATGAATTAGCTCTTGGTACCTTTTTTTTTGTACTTCTGTTGTTGGCTTTGCAGCGCGGAAATGCCTCTAGCCTTCCCGCTGTAGCTAGGGTCGTGGGCTGTCCCTTTGCAGCTGGCACAGGTGTCGCCAGCTGTTAGCCTATTTTTTTAGGGGGTGGCCACTACACTGGGCGATCTGGCTTTCCAGCCGTTCCTTGCCTGCACATATCATCCTTCTTCTTTTCTTTTGTGTGAGTGGCTGTTGGCGTTTCAACTCATCAGAGCCAATGGCAATTGCTATCTATCCAACTATGATTCTGCTATCTTTTGGCCACTGAGCACCGTAAAGCGGTTGCAATCGATGCTCGGGTACCGTTCTCTTAGTAGTTCGTCCCCCAGCACAACACCGGCGGCAGAATGCAACCTCTACAGGCAATGCAACAGGCGTTGAAAAAGCAACAATGGATGCATCCGCAGTCCCCTTTTTGCGCTTTTAATCTTTTGATGTTCAGTATCGGCGCCTTCGCGTTCCTGCTTCCACGGTGCATTGCGTATGCCAGATCCGCGGCGAACCCCGTTTTGCAGCCAGGTGGGCTGCGCGAACCAAAGCAGCAAGATACCCGAAGCTCAGGAGATAGTAAAGCCAGTGGCTGGGATCCTACCAGATCAAACTGCTCCGCTGCTCCTTCGCTGCCCGCCCGCTATTGTTTTACCCATGGCGAGTGGGTTTTCGGCCGGGCTTCGCCAGCCAAAGTCTTCCCTGCTGCCCCAGCCTCCTCCGCTCAGAGGGGTGTGGGTTGACCTGATACAGCTAGCCGCCGTCAGCAACACCATCGAGCCTAGCCTAGTCGAGCTTGGTATCAACAACCCATGTCTGCTCCTCCAGGGTCAGCAAACGGCGTCTCGCCTCTGTTGAGTAACTCGCCGGCTCAGACGGCAACAAGGAGCTGAGGATCGAGTAATCGACGACTTCACCAAAATAGCAGAGTCATGGGCAATGCATCGGCCCAGAATATGAGCTTACCATTTTATGCATGTAGATCACCCGCACCGGAGCACTGCCACTCCCTGGCGGGATCCGATAACTGCTACAGAGCGAATGTCGTCTCTTGTGCCGCACGTCTTATCGTACGCATCATAACCGACATCAAACTTTGCACTATACACCCAACCCTTGTGGTATTACCGGATAGTCATAAGTGGCCGACTGCGACAAATATCTGCCCACATTCATATATGCAGTCAAGCCTGCGCAAGGATTAGTGGTGCGCCAGGCACGGCATAACGGCCTCGAGCATGCAAGATCCCGCTCAGCCTCCAGCACAATCAGCCGTTTTAAAAAAGCGCAAGGTGCTAACCTATATGCGGGAGTGATTAATGCAGCTTGGCCGTCCCCCAATTCTATAGCCATTCAAATCGCTGGGTATTAGGCGACAACAAGCCAAAGTTAGACAGGGTTCTACGGAGAGGAAAGGCGCTAGAAAATCTTTGTTGTCTTACTTGACACACCTCCGCGAAACATTATGTCTATTTTCAGATGATGCCCCAAAAGCCCTTCTCCACTACACCTCCGGGACGTCCGCGTGCCTGCAGGTCTCTGTACAGGATAATGAATCGCAAACAATCACATTATTTTGCCACAGGCGGAAAATGGCTCTCTGGCAGGCAGAAGTTCCAGGCTGACCGGACAGGCAACTCGGTCTCGGCCGCATGATCAGCAAAGGCAGCTTGTGCAAGCTCGTCGGTCGAAAGACTGATGCTGCTTCCGCTGCGAAGCGGGCTACACAGCCTTCTCTTCATGCACGACATTCAGGATGCATCCGAATCTCACATTGCGGGAATCTTGTGCACATGTGCCCCACGACGTCGCTATTACAAAAAGTGGTCATATGGGTGGTGTTAACAACCCAGCAAGCCACACTCATCCTTCTTGGTCAAGCCGGGCGGGGGAGCTGGCAGCTTGAAACCGTGTGTGGGAGCATTGCGCAGGCATTCTACCAATCGCTTTGCAGCCCCTCTCACACTCAAAACCAATCGCGGCGTTCTTTGGCCGGGTCACAAAAGTCTAGAGCGGGGCGTTGTGAACGGGCACAATTCTAATTTCAGTAATATCGGAGAGCATCACTCGACCTTTAACCAATGGCTGCCTCTTTGGCGGCGCTTTCCTAATCACTCAATTTTTATCCAACTCCGTGGGCTTGCCAGCCTGATTTCGTCGGTCTTTGCCGTCCTGCTACGACCAATACACAATTTCGACAAATAGTTGTCAGGATAGACATGCTTTACTTTTCCGTCTTTGTTTTTTATACACCTTCGGACCCTTTACTGTGTTGTCTGAGAAAGACACTCATAGAACAACTTTAGAATGCGGGAGTCCCTGCAGCTGCATCTAGCCGGCCGGTGGACGTGCATCTCATGCAGAGCGGTTATGTACGTCAAGAACGTGGCCAATCAAGCCCCTCCTTCGTGCGGTGAGGATGTCTGGGCTTCCCATGTTGGTTAGCCGTTTTGGCCCGCCCAAGCCTCTTAGTCCGCCCACACCCTGCCTGTGAGTGACCATTCGCGGCGGAGTACAGTGGGAACATTTGGCCGAATGGTGCGCCATCTTTCCACGTCAGAGCGGGCAGCATCACATCACCAAACAAAATCCACTCTTCGTTGTGGCAGTTTCGGTAGGTGTGGGCGTCCTGGTTTGACGACGCATTTGGGGGGCGCTCCTTGTCTATATTGAATCACTCACCTATTGTGTCCGTCGGCTCCGGTGCGGTGTCCTTCGGGAAGCCAGTGAATGGAAATCTGAGCGAGATACAGGTGACGACGACTAACTGGAGTAGTGCTGTTCACAGCCCCAGGCCGTACGATGGACTTTACTTTAGCGCTCCCATATAGGTGTGCCGCACGGTTCGATGTGGCAAGCGTGGCACAGGATGTTTGAAGAGCTGGATGGCACCAAACGCACAAAGGCAGGCGGAGGCGGAAGCACGAGTTGCAGCCGGTGACGTCCCTGGCATATCCTGGGCGTCCTCGAGATCGGCTTAGCCGTCTGCTACTGCAAGCCCAGAGCCTCTGACAACCCAAAGAACATCGGGCCGTAACAGCAAAGCGCTAGATGGACCATGGTAGCAGGCGTTCTCCATGTGGCGGGCCACGACAAGCATGGTCAATCACAGACCTGTGCCGCAACCCAATGGCAGCCAACCACGTACTGCCACACGCCACACTCCACCGCTCCACCTCGTCTGGACGGGGCACGTCCGAACCCGATTGTGTCTGACAAGGACCTGTGCCGCCCGATAATCTCCAAGATTTCATGATTCGAGAGAGCAGAGAAGCCGAGACCGTGTGCAAAGTCTGGTGTAACACAACTCTTTGCACATATGTCGTATACGAAGACATGCCCGACGTCTCCGCCTTCAGCTCTTTCCGGGGTTTGATTGGGGCTTTGCGCCAGGCCAACAAGACTGCCAAACTGTTGACTACCTTGGCAATCCTTCTGTAAGACGGGTAACTTTTGCGTTGGCTACCTCGGCGTGCCGTGCCTTGGACATATCGCTTGGTAGGATTTGGAGCTAAAAAATGACCTTATTGACAGTGGCAAAGAACAGATACGACGCTAACTCCGTTTATTCAACTCCGCATCGTCAAAGCACATTTTTAAAACACCGGCTTATGCATGGAAGGCGGGCTACGACCTTTCGAGAAGGCTTGCCAACCTGTCCACTGGTCAGCGCCTCCCCGCGTTGTGTGGTTAAGTAATGTCTGTGCAACGGCTGTGGCTGTTACAGAGGGTAGCGTCGTCCGTCTGAGCGGGCGGGGTTATACAGGTGCGAAATGTCACGATGGGCTTGTCCGTCGGAGGATGATGTACCTTGAGTGCTTTTCTAACTGTGCTCTTTGAGCGAATCTGCCCTAAGAAGGATATCGACAAGTTGCAGTTCGCATTTGACGTGGTGGGTTCTCCCCGTTGCACACGCCATGCCGGCTCCACGAACACCGCGCATTGCATAATGCAGGCCGCGGCATTGATCAGAGGAATCTGTGGCTTTATGCACAAGCTGGGGATCTCACCACCACTTCAACCGAACAAAAAAAACAAGCAGATGTTGCTGCAAGAACAGACAGAGCTTGTGCAATGCAAATGTTTCTAATGAATTATACATACATATCGGCATGCGATGCAGAGTCTGGGGGAGAAGCAGGTGTGCGGCGCAGACGCCCGCCGCCATGCCTTGCTGCAGACTATTGTTTTCAACTCGACGACCGTGCTCAAAAAGATGGCGACGACACTATCAAGTGCTCGCCGCCACACAATTACTCTATAGGAAAGAACTCCGTGGCTCGAGCTTGTCGATGTGCAGCTGTAAAGGCGTCCGCGCGCCGGGCGTTGATCACTGCACCACTACGCAGGCTAGGCGAATCCCTCCCGTAAGCACGTGGGTAACAAGGCCAGGCTACAACGACAACATGGGTGGCCATTTTACCTCTTCTCTTCCCGCTAATGTGTTGGTTTTACTTCTTTTCCTTTCCGTAAATGGAAGTACAGCTGCATATGGTTACTTGGCCGGGAGAAGCCCTTTTTTCCCTGCAATAAGCACATGGCCGTCGTCCGGGGGCAGCAGACGTTAGGCCAAAAGACGGCAGCTAAGCCTGAAAGCGATGTAGCACCCACAAAGGCGCATGGCTTGCCCACCAGGCCGCCCCTCTTCACCGCCTGTTGCGGGTATGGTCTCCGTTCAAAAGACTAGGGGCTTTGATGCACAGAGACGGGTTCAACAGCCCGCCGTCTCCTTGCATACCCGACTGTGCATATACAGATTGCATGTCCGGAAGCTTTTCGCTGCTACTATTGCTAATAGCGCTGAGCCCCTGCTACAGCTGTCTTGACCCTTTGATATCGCTTACCAGGAGGGGCAGGATCTTGGGTTGACTAGACACCTGCCTGGCGCAGAAGTGGACGTGGCGATGCGAAAAGGTTCCTTGCTCGAACCCCAGCTACTACTCGGCGCACGCCTCTCAGGCTCTTCGTTTCAGATTTCTCTTTTTAGAAGTTGGTAATGGAGCCCATCTTTATTTCCACCAGGTGCATAATGGCGGCCGAGAGCGAGGTATCCTGCAGTTCCCTTGCTTTCTTTTTTGAGAGGGGATTCCGATAGCCCATTGTGCATGATGCCGTGTCCCCGTTTTGGAAAGCAAGGCACCAGGAATCCGGAAGAAGGTCCCGCCTGGATCCAGCAAATCGCCTTTCACCACGAATCCGACTCGGTTTGGGCTGTGGCAGTCCAGCGGTTAACGCGCAGCAGCAGGGCATCGCGCGGGAAACGCCGGCCAATGTACCGTTCAGGTGCCGACAAAGTAGTTTATTCACGCGCTACAAAGGCTTCCTTGGTCCTATCGGAATAACTGTCTACTCATATGCCCTCCATAGGGCTCTCATCTAGGCAAATCTCTTGGATGCATATAATCACTGCACGAGAATCGGGTTGCTGGCCCTATAATGTGGCAGGCGCATATTGCATGAAACCCGTCAGCATCGTGGTGCAGACAACTTCGCAAAGTGCACATCCTTTGCTCGCAGACTACTTTGGAGAAAAGCCCAATTCAATCCCCCAAGGCTATATGCCTGTCATGGGGGCTATGCAAGCGAAAGGGGAGAAGGGGTGTGAGACTTTGGAGGTTGCAATGACTCTGTCATCGTCCCGTGTAGAACGTACCACTCCTGTTACCTTCCTCATACATTGGGCTTCTCCTTATGCACGCATATGTACGATAAGATGAAGCACCCAGCATTCGAGAGACAAAAAGCAAGCACATATGGTCTGCGCGCGCAGATGGACGCATGGGAGCTGTCTCGCTAGACCTTGCTAGCCGGCCGGGACCAGGGCTTAAACCACCTCACATCATGGAGGAGACCCTTTTTGAGAATCCCAGACGTCGCCTTTTGCTGTGGTGTCCGCCCAGACTCGGGGATACAAGAAAGCGGGCGGCGCGCGATGTGAGAGTCAGGGGCCACAAGAACAGGGGTGAAGATTTCTTGACCGCCAACTCTCCAGCATAGGAGACAACATAGAAACTTACGATGGCGACTACAGAGAAATCCGAAGGAGTAATTTTGGGTATTGGAGGTTCCGATGTATCTCGCAGGAGGTGCGTGGGCACATTTGCGATCTTGGGAGCTCAAGCCAAACATTTGTACATGCGGACCCCTGGATATCGGTGCGTCGAACGTACCGATGGCCCACGCAAAGGGTTTGTTACAGAGAGGAGCGCATAGCAGGTGATGCACCCTAAACCTCTGGGTACCTCGCTATGGCATGCCAGCGCAGTGGCTTGCTGTCGCTTCCCGAGTCCACTGCATGACCATGCAGCCTGTCATGCGTCTCGAGCGAGCGCAAGAGTGGCCGCTTCCGCCTTCCGACATGCAGGCAACCGTGGTGGCGCCGTACTCCCACTATCTGGACTCAGGGCCTGGCGCCTACGGGGGATGAACTGAATGGATTTGGCTTCTGTGATAGTGGTGTGATAGTGGTGTGGTGATCCTACAGAGTTGGTGGGTTCTTGGTCATTATTGTGTGCGCCGGCCGCCTGCATATGTGGCGTTGGAGGCGAACTGCCGGGGGACTCTGGAAGAGGGGGACGAGTGCGAGCGCCAGGCAGATTCGCGCACTGGGGGCTGCATTACACAAAAACTTTAGATGAGTTGCGTTGCACATGGTTGACGGAGGAGGGGGGAGTGAGCTACGCAGTACGGAGGCAGAGAAAGTGTGTGTTCAGGTCAGGCAGACTGGGGGTGGTTAGACGACAGCCGCAGGCTGGAGAGCAGCCTATCCAGCGTGAGGACGGCCTTGAGAACATGAACTTGAGAGGGATGAATGCGTTGCACGGTATTACAACTGACAGACTATAGGTGGTCACGCCATGCCGCCGCCGGGCCGCCCCTAGTTTGTCGAGGCTGGGAGGTTTTGGATCCGGCACTCGTCACAAGGCTTCGAGCAAAATGGGGGATTGACTGGAGAAACTAGGAGCTGAGAAATATGGGCATCCTGAATATATTGGTGGAGAACCAATGGCGGGCAGGAGATGTTGTGTGTGTGTGTGGTGCGTGTCCTGTGAGTTGTCTGTACCAGGAGACATTATTCACCGTGGAGGGGTATGCTTGCGAAACCGACTATCGATTGGGTTCAGGTAGAGTGATCTACCTTGTTTGCACGGTTTGATGGCCCGGCCGAGGAATGACGGCGCTTATGGCAATCTATTTGTTATTAATTTGGGAGACAGGGAAACGCAATCAACGAGCTGGTATAGGCACGGCCCAGACAGGCCTCGGGCCTGCATCGGGATCTGGGCAAAGAGGGGGATTGCGGCCGCGCCCATCCAAGTGGAAAAAGTACTACTTGGTGCTTCTTACTCTTTGTTTATGAGCAGGTATTCAGTTTTGGACGGTGGCGGCGGGCGAGCGAGCAGCAGCTGGGCCCTCTTTGATCGTGAGGAGAGAGACACGGCGGCAACGGCGTGGCGTCCTGCGCATGATGCCTGCGTGACATTGCCTTGCAGGCTTCTTCATCGGCCTGCTCCTACGCGCTGTGCTGTGAAGCAAGAGGGCAACGATTTGGGGTATAATACGGTTACGTTTCAGGCCAGCGGCCGACGGGTTTTTGTGATATTGGGGTGGGCCAGTGCCGAGGGATTCGATGGTGATGGATATTGCCATGGGGTGATGTTGACGGATTGTAAGACTACTCTTGCATATTGCTTTTACAGGCGTAGCGGGAGAAGGGAAAAGAAGAGAGGATGTGTGAATATGTCCGCGATGTCGTAGACGTCCAAACGCTGTATGCACACGTAGACTGTCAGTATGTTGGCCGTAGGATGTGTCAATGTCGATGGTATATGTCATCTCACCAACTCGTAGAAGTGACTATTACACACTCCCATTTTCTTTATAATCCATTGCACAATTTTACTGGTCACTCGTGTATAGACATACGGTTATGTCGTTGTGCACATGCCGGTCCATCACAGCATACATCACTGACGTTACAACCTCTTTGATTCACATTATTTACATTTTACATTTTCGTCACATCTATTACCCAATGCATCACATTTTCATTAGCAAACACTCTGTCGCACCTTCTCACTCACTTCGCTGTCTGTGCCTTTTTTGGTGATAAAGTTGGTCCCGTGACATCGCGACAAAAAAGCGTCGCACATTCACGATACCTGTGGATCTCGCACCAGTCACCGCGTCGCACGGCTACCAAACCACGCGCCATCCATCCATCCCTCTAGGCAACAGGCCGCCATTTTACTACTTTGTGCGCACATGAAATTTCCTAGGTCCTCGACGCAGCACAGCGACCCAATTCACTCACACAAACACAAACACGAGATCACTTGAAGAGATTATATTTGACAACGATAACCGCAGAGGATGCCACTCACACCGCATCCCACGCTCCCCAAGGCCGCCAAACCACGCCACGCCGCATCCTTCGACATCTGGAACTCCTCTGCCACCGGCCACCAGCGCGCCGAAGCCCAGCCCGGCAAAGGATGGCGCGCGGTCCGCGACATCAAACTGCACAGCCAATTCAAAGCTGTCGACGGCGGCGGCGGTGCGCGGCTCCAGCACCCCCATTCGTTCTTTAAGAATGCGTACGGCGATGAAGATGAGGATGTGCTGCAGACAAAGAGCGTGGTAGATATGTTACGGAAGCCAGGGACCATGGATACTCCAAAACAGACGCAGCAGGAGGTGCAGACGAAAAAGGGCATCTTTGACGGGTTGACTGTTTATGTGAATGGCAGCACGTACCCGCTCATCTCGGATCATAAGTTGAAGAGGGTGCTCTTGGAGAATGGGGCATCGATGGCAATGCATTTGGGGAGACGGCGTGTGACGCATGTCGTGCTGGGAAGGCCGAGTGGGAAGGGCGATGGCGGTGCAGAAGGAGGACTTGCGGGTGGGAAGATGGAGAAGGAGATTCGAAGGGGCGGCGGTGGTGGGATCAAGTATGTGGGTGTTGAGTGGTAAGTTGAATTCATTGTGAGGGAAGATACAAAGAAGAAAGCTAATAGGTGGTGATGTAGGGTGCTGGAGAGCGTCAAGGCGGGCGTGAGGCTGTCTGAAGCACGGTTTGCGAATGTGAAGGTGGCGGCAAAGGCACAGCCGAGTGTCTTGAGTATGGCGAGGAAGGGGAACAATTAAATTATACGTTTGTGAATGGCTTGATTTGGCGTAGGATAGGAATGATTACGTTTTCAGGTTTGGTTGGTGGTATAGATTAGACGGGAAGCATCACTGCTTATGAGTTATGGAATAGACTACAGAATACGTGTATGAATAAAATGGACATGGTACCATGTGTGACAATGCAGTCTTGTTGCTAAGGATGGGAGTGGTATAGTAGTTATAGCCTGTGTGGTGTATATAGTTATGGCCAGTGTGGTGTATAGACAATTTGAGACGGAAGTGTGGCATACGCTATTAACCTGCTATTAGATTGAACACTAGAAAACATCATGTATATATAACTCGCTGTACTTGTTTAACAATTTGGTATCCAAAACGCAACACACACACACACAGAGTAGACAAATAACCACCGCCAACCACGCCCATTTACAGCTTGGCCCGCGCTTCAATGGCTCGGTGCTTACCACCGCTCTGCTCAAAGTACTCCTTTACTTTAGCACGCGCAACATCAACAACCGCCGCATCCTCCACCGTGCTCGGCACCGCAACCGCCTTGTCAAACTCGCCATGCACGCCATTCTCCACCAACTCCCGCAGCACTCGCCGCAGCGTCTTGCCCGAGCGCGTCTTGGGAATCATGCCTTTGCCCTGGATGATGCCGCCCAGCGTCGCAATAGCACCGACCTGTTTCCGCACAAGGTTCTGGATCTCGGCTGAAAGCTGTGCCGAAGGAACCGCCGACGTTGGGTGGTCTGCCACTGAAAGTGTGACAAAGGCAAACGGGAGCTGGCCCTTGATATCGTCTGGGATGCCGACGATACAAGACTCGGCAACAAGAGGGTGTGAGGATATGGCTTGCTCGATGCCGCCTGTAACAAAGTTAGCGTGTGTTCTCGAATCAAGACTGTAAAAAACGTACCGCTGGATAATCTGTGCGCGCTCACGTTGAGCACGTCGTCGTTTCTACTCATAACGTGGACATATCCATCTTCATCGATCCATCCGGCGTCACCTGTATCCAGCCACTTGCCGTCAAACCGCTTCAGATAGCTCTTATAGAAGCGGTCTTCGTCGCCCCAGAGTGTACGGAAGGCTGTCGGTGCAAGCGGCAGACCAAGTACAATGTTGCCCATGGACCCACGGGCAGTCTCGGTTCCCTGCTCGTCCACAACGCGAATGTCAAACCCGGGCATCGGCTTGCCAGCGCTTCCGGGTTTAATGACGGGCGGTGCGTGGTTGCGGACCTTGCTTCGCCGGTGGTGGGCAACATGAGGAGTGAGTGCTCGACCCGTCATGGGCGAGCCAACCTCGGTTGACCACCAGTTGTCGATAACATGGGCGTCCGCTGCGCCGTACTTGTCCAAGAGGCCCTGGTACATGGAAATAAGCGTCGGCTCGGACCGCTCACCAGCCAGGAACAGTGCCTTGAGCGACTTGAGGCCGCCGCGCTCGCCAGCCGCCGAGAAGAACTTGTTCTGGGGATCATCTCGCTTGATGGCGCGCAGGGCAGTCGGTGCAGTAAACATGGTGTTAACTTTGTACTCTTCCACCACACGCCAGAATGCAGAAGCATCGGGTGTGCCGACGGGTTTGCCTTCGTAGAGTACCGTCGAGGCACCCACCAGCAGGGGCGCATAAATGATGTATGAGTGGCCAACCACCCAGCCAATATCAGACGCAGTAAATGTCACATCTCCGGGGCCGTGGATGTTGAACAGGTATCCCATCGTCAGACTTAATCCAACCGCATGCCCGCCCGCATCACGAAGCACACCTTTCGGGGCACCAGTCGTGCCAGACGTATGAATAATATAGATGGGATCGTCGCTCTTGACCGGAACACACTCTGCCTTCATGCCTCTGGCGGCCGCACTTCGCACCCACTTCTGCCACGAAGACTGGTCCAGGCGGTTTGTCTTGCCCCATCGGAGCTGCTCACGCTGCCAGATAATTGTCCGCTTCGGCTTATTCACAGCCAAGTTAATCGCCTCCTCCACAAGCGGCCGGTACGCAATAGGCGGTTTCGCGCCATCAATGCCGCACGAGGCCGTCAACAACATGACTGGTTTGCAGGCGTCAATCCTCTGTGCCAAAGCATTCGAAGCAAACCCGCCAAAGACGACCGAGTGAATGGCTCCCAGTCGGTTCACAGCCAAAATACCAATCAGGGCCGCCGGGATCATGGGCACTACACCAAGTCAGTTAGCATATCCAATTTTCTGTCAACAAAATAGACTCACTGTATAGCATAACCACATCGCCCTTCTTGACGCCATCCTGCCTCAGCGCTCCCGCCAGCATCTCCACCTGCTCCTGAAGCTGTCTGTACGTATACTTCTCCTTGGTCTGCGTGACAGGGCTGTCATAGTAAATAGCCACATTGTCGCCGTTGCCAGCCTCCACGTGCCTATCAACACAATTGTAGCATGTCGAGATCTCGCCGCCCGGGAACCACTCCCAGGTGGGATGCTCCACGCCGCTCTTGAGCTTCTTGGTGCCTCTGCGCAGCGTGGCCTCGGGCTTCTTGTGCCAGTGCAGTTCGTCTGCCTGGCGGCCCCAGAAGATTTCAGGATCCTGCAGACTCTGCTGGAGAACCTGGTCTTGTAGATCGGGAGCCATGCTCTTTTCTTTTGGTAGATGGGGTATATGCGGTCGCTAGCGTATAGCCGAACTGAAGCTAAGACGTTCTGTCGATTTGAGCAGCAGCAGCAGTAGTCAGCGCGCTACAAGGCAATCAGACGTGAAATGTATGTCGCTGTATAATTCGACTCAATTAATTCACCGCAATTCAACAACGTAGAGCGGATGAATGGAGATGTGAGGTGAATGGTGAGAAGAAGAAGAAGTTCTGGGCGGATCTGGGGAGAGCTTAAGCTAACTACTGCCAGGTGCCAGCCACTGCCGAACTGGTGCTGAGTGGCCCGTCTCCGCTTCCGTTCCGCCGAAGGCCTGTCTACCAGCCAAACACCAACAACACAGCTCAAAGATACAGATAAAAAGACTGCTTAAAATATTTACAATGCCTGTATAAATCATAAAATGGGTAAGTTTACCGACATATTAACCATGCAAACTTAGAAAAAATCTCTCCCGCCCTGCAAGCACAGAATCATCCGGCGTGCCCTCAACACCAAGTCAGACATCACCGTCATCATCTTCGCCATCATCCAACGCTTTCACCCCTCAAACGTCTCTGACCAAAACCCCCCCTCGAACCAGTTTCTAGCAATCTTCTAGCTGGGCCCCCTTGACCAAGCACCACGCGACCGTCTGCCCGGCGGTGCAAAGGGCACCGCCACCACTTTCTTCGCTGCCCTCCCTTGGCACAGAACTGCATCTAAGACACGGGGAGAAGAAGAAATCGATAGTTTTGTAACACCACGCTCAAGCACACCCATAATAGAAACGCCCCTCAGACTCCCCAGTCAATAGTTCCCAAGGTTGTCGTAGACCCCACGCATCGATCGTAACAACCTCGCCCTAGCGATGCGACGACACACATCGGGCATCTCGCACATTCACTCGCCTTACAACGGGTATCGCACCTACGAGAGTTTGAGCACAGGCCAGAGCGGGTACGGGACCGATTACCGTTATACATTACTAGACTACGCCATCTACGCGGGTAAAAAGTATAAAAAGTGATGAACTTGGGCCAAAAATGGCTCCTGTATTGCTTACGCTACCCGCACTATATACTAAGCATAATGTACAATGCTTGGGCACAGGAAACCATAAAAACTCCCAAGTCCACCTGTTTTCAGAGGTGACACAAGGAAAACGAACCAAGTCAAATGCCGCACAAGACGTACAACAAGAGAAACGAAGCGAATCCCCGCGACGAAGAAAGCAAAAACAGGCCTAATCGCCTCGAGGTCCCGAGGAAGAAAGCATCCCTCTTTTAAAAGCCAGCCATAGGCAAGCCAGACAATCGCGTGAAACAGTAGACCAATAAATGAATCCCAATTGCAAAAAAGAAAAACCAATTATATTTTTCTTCCTCGACGGAAGAGCGAACACAGGTCTATGGATATCCTCCTGTGAGCGAACTCCCAATTTTCTAATACCGTGTTGAAGAAATATACAACGAAGTATATGTACCGGTTCGGCCTGAGCGATCAACCCAAGACCATTGTTTTTTGTCTTTTTCAACTTTTCTTAACAACGTAAAACACTCAACTCTCCCACAACGCTAGTCCAGTCTTTATTGGCTGGTAAGAGCTTCCCACGAAATCAAAGTTAACAAACAAAGGAAACGTAGGTGGGACGTGGATGGCGAGGCGAAATAGTGGTTGCTTTACAGAGCAAGAGCAGCGACACCGAGGACACCAGCGAGACCAGCGGCGACCTTGCCGGCACCAGCGGTGGGGACGACAGCAGGGCCAGTGGGCTTGGCGGGGGTGACGGTGCCGTTCTGGTGGCAGCTGTGGCAGACAACAGCGGAAGTGACCTGGACGGGGCGGGTGACGGTGCAAGGGCAGTCAGAGATGGTCAGGGTGGTGGGCTAGAGAAAACGAGTTAGCTTGAATGTTCTAAAAGGAAGCCACAGAGAACGTGGTAGTGATGGATGGCGGCATCGTCAGATCAGATCTTCAGAGTGATGCTGATCCTACGATGCCATCGAGTCCACCCCCACGCCTGTTCTTCTGCCTCTCATGGAGGGAGTAAACATACGGCAGTGACGGTCCAGGTCTTGGTGCCGTGGGTGATCTGGGTGGCAGCAGGGCAGTAGGTGGTGTAAACATCGACAACCTCAGTAACGTAGGTAACGTTCTTGTTGGCAGCGACACCGGCAGCAGCGGCGAGAACAACGGTGGAGAACTTCATTTTGATGGTATTAAAAGGTGACGAAGAGTCGATTAGGTGATAAGTGGTGTTGGTTAACGAGTGTAATTGACGCGAAGTCAGGAATTATATGCAGGTAGCGAGTGTGGATGGAGAGAAGGGAAAAAGAAGAGATGGGGCAAGATTGGAAAAGCGGCTTTCTTTATACGGATGGCTCGTGGGTGGGAGCACGCAGGGACATTAGGGGGGGAATGGAAATGGGTCGCGACTGGCAAGGCACCCCGGCAAGGAGTGCCCGGAGGTTCCAAGCAAGGAGAGGGAAAAAAAAACAGGCGATTTTGGGTGGCTCCACCTTTGAGTGGGAAAGAAATAGGAGCTAAGCCAGGGGTGGGAAGGTGGAGTGGGGCCTGTGTTGGGTTCCTGCGTCTTGGGCGATGATAGCGATAGCGCGTCTTTTTTGTGTGGCAGTCAGCACACCACTGTAAGCAGTACGAAAAAAAGAGATTACAGCGCTCTTGATACGCCAAAAGCTGGCTGTCCGGCTAGCCGTAATTTTAACGCCTCTCTACATGCATCTTGCATAGGGCACTTTTATCACTGCACTGTGCCTTAACTGCGCTGCACTGCACTGCCCAACACAGCCAGTTAGCGGCGAGGTGGGCGGCGCGGCGCACGTCCTCACGCACAGCCCTCTCTGCCATACAATATTCTCTTTTTTTTTGCATAACCCAAATTAATTCCTCTTTTGGACAGTAATTTCACTCAGTGCCTTGCCTTTTTTTGTTATTTTGTTACTCACTCACAGCCTCGTCAGATATGCCAGTAAAGGAGGATTCGCAGCGCAGGTCTTGGGTTTGTTATGCCCAGCACCTCTTTTCGTGTAGATAACGAATGTACCATCCATGCCAGCAAGCCCACGCCACAACAAGCAAAGGAAACCGCCTCTAGCGCCAACACGCTACTAAGAAGACGCGTCCGTCATTCAGGCAATTACAATAGGAGGGAACAATGACGGCCAGCGGACGGCTCACGGCATAACACGCCGTGGCAGCATGCCAGCCCAGGTGCCGCTGCTATGCTGCCGGTGCCCACTTGGGCTTGGAGGAAAGGCAAGCTGAGCGCGCTGCTCTCGCCCAATTTACGCATAGCAAAGCAACTTGCTCTGTATGTTTGTTTTTCTTGCTTGCTCTGCTGCAACCAGGCTCCCGGGGGGACAACTCCGGGACCACCTTCCGGCGCATGAAATGATACGTGAACAAGGCAGAAGAGAAGAAAAATCCCGGGATACCTAAAGGGGGTAACCTCCTGACGGACGGTGTAGGGGAACAGACATGCATGTAGCGAGCCGCCCAGTCACACAGTGTTTAGCGGTTGAAGGTGCCTGTATCTGGGCGTCTTTAGGGGCGGCGCTTTTTCAGTGGTGTGCCCCTGCCCGCTAATGCAGGTACAGAGTCACGCTCTTTGTGTTTGGGCGGGTAGCGAAACGGGGGGCGCCGCCCAGGTCCTTCTGGTTGGCGCCCCCCAAAGAAAGGAAAAAATGCCAGCGCGCCACGCCAATTGCCACTCGTCTTTTGGGGGGCAGAGCCTAGCACAGGCAGCAACAGTACAGTGCTAGCACCAACTGAGTGACTTTTGTTTTTTAGCGGGTACCTGTCTACCTTGACGAGCTGCTGCTCATTTCACAGCTCTTCGTGTTTGTGGACATCAAATCCAGAATGCGCAGACGCAGGCTGTGTGATTTGGTCCGCCCCCAAGAATGCAGCCAATGCGCGGCGCACGCATAACGCCAGAAACAGCCGCCCGAGTATATGCCGACGACCCTGTCTTTAGCTGGCGAATGCACTTTACCAGGTAAAACACTAGGGAAAACGTGCCAAAGCTAATTCTTTGACAATCTGCTTGGCATGAGGCAGCATCAGCTCGACTCGGTGACGTCTTCGTATTCCTACGGATATCTAACTCCGCCCACCACAGCCTGGTTTGGCATCGCTGACTAGAGTCTAAAGCGGCGGCCCATTCTCCTGCATGCCACCCGCCCATTGGCCACATGGGAAATTAGATGGGCTTTTTGCACCTTGACCACTGCTCGCCGCTTTTGAGTTACCTCTCCACTGTTTTACTGTGCCGGTCACCGTAGCCGTTATCCACCTTGTTTTTAACTTTTTTTTTTTGTTTTGGGAAAATTCTTTTTTTTTCTGGTACCATGCCAAGCATGTACAAGAAATGGATTCGCCTGAGGGAATGAAAAATGGCACCACTAGGCTCCTTTCTTACCATAACAGCGAGCGCGCGAATGAGCAGTCACCGGCGTGATGGATAGGGGAGGGGGCTTCTGGTCATTGGTCATGGCAAAAGCTGATAGGCTTACAGTAGCTTAGCTACGTTAGTATTACCTACGGAGCACTGGACTGGGCTGAGCATCTCCGACTCAGGCAAGCCCATCCCATTACCACTTTTAATTGATGGCACTATTGACTGCTGGTGCATGAGAAGGCGTCATCGCCTAGCTGCTAGGGATCGGACACACTAGCCGGCATCAGCCTTTTTTCGGCGGTCGTTGAGGCGTCACAGCCTGCATGACATGGTCGGCCTAGAACATACTTTTGTAAATTACCTCCAGTGGCACTCTAGTACTGTAGTGAGTGGCACAGAGTAGAGACGGGCGGGCGAGCGTGCGTGCGTGCGTACACCGGGCTGTGCCTCTTTGTTCGCCGCTCCTAGCCTCCCTCACCTCACGCACGTTTGCCTTTCTGTGATAACAATCCCTGCTCATGTTGGCTGGATTTGTACAATGTACGTGCTCGGTCTGACGCTAGCGGAATTGACTTTCCATATTTGTCGTGAGGCGCATCTTGGTCTGGTCCCAATTAGACGCTGAGAGCATGATGCTGTGACGACGGAACGCGTCTTGCACACAGCCTTGTTCGCTTTCTGCGCCCGGTGAGAGAATTAAAGACAAAAGAAGCCTGGTCTAAGCGAACCTTTAGATTGGTAATACGAGGCGCCCGGAATATGAGGTTGTTGAGATCGGAGCTGCCCATAGCGCGAGATGACAGCCGTTGTACGCACGTTGTTCTGCGGTTGGCCTCGTGTCTACCCTAGATGTGCTCGTCAACACCGAGTTGTCTGTGTTACGCCGTTGTTTCTAGTATATTCGTGTTCTTTTTTATATTTATTACCCTCTTGGTGTAATCGTACTATCTTGCGATTCTTAATAGCCGGTTATACGTATGTTTTGTGGCTGTTTGTTGCTCGCCATAGTAAACATTCGACTTGCGGTGAAGCTCGAGCTATAGCTTGTCAAGCTTGGCTGCCAGCTGTCAAGCGCACTGCCACAGAAACAAACACCACACAAAACACATGAATCGTACACAATTCAATATTTCAGTGGCCCCTCGTCCAATAGCTGGTACCCATATACAGCTCTACACACAGCTCTACAATTATCGCCAGTCACCTCAATTGCACGTGCGTGTGTCCATCTGAGCTCCGTCGGAAACTAGCCTAATCGCCACAGCTATATCGCGGCCGACATATTGCAGCGATCTACGCCGCCCTAAATCGCGCCCAGATTCCATTCATAGCACATTCATAAGGCAGCGAGCGGCATCGTGGTCCAGGCCCCTCGCCTCCCGCTACTGTACCGGAATTACCGAGCTAAACTAGGGAAAAAAAAATCCTGGACCCAAAGCCAAGCGCTGCCTTTGGGTCCATCCGGCAGCGGCGATCACAATCACGACCACACCGTACGGGTAGCGTGCTTTAGCGTATCCGCGAATGGCGAGCAAAGAACCACTTGGACGAGCAAAAAAAGACGCGTCGCGATGCTACCTTAAAGGCGACTATTACCGAATCGGGTTAACCGGTCGTAGATTTTTGCATATCGGAGGGTTTGCTGAGACACCAAAGTCACTGTGAGACAGAAGCGAGCTCTGTTTGCTGTGAGATCTGCCTGTCTTTTGATTGCGGAGAAGACAGACAACACGGCATGATAGATTGAAGGGCACTTTACGGATTTAACTTGGCTGTGCGTTGAAACATGCATGCATTTAGAAATAAAACAGCATGCCGGCCTAGCGTCAGTGGAGAGTGAGCAGCATGCGGCTCTGTTATCACAGACATGCATCTTGACGTGCTGGCCTGCCTGTCGCGTCGACGCGAAATACCCGATCTTTCGTAGGCTGTCTGTTTGCCTGCCTGTTTGTCTGTCTGCAGCTAGTCATAGTCCTCCAGGGATTTCTCCGCGACAGGCATATTCCATGGTGACGTCTCGGCGCGCGGCGCTGCCCCTTGCTTGCCCACTAAGCAAAAAGGCAGCTTTCAAATTTCCGAAGATTGCTGGGGCCGGCGGCCGGACGCGCACGACGGGGATGAGCTAGCAGGGAAGGAGAATGAAAAGTTCGTATTCAGACCTGCCTGAAAGTGAAATTAGAATTAATACTAATAGTGCGTAGTGGACCGGCCCTGCGTGCAGACAGCGACGGTGGAAAGAAGGATTGCGATGGCAGGCCGATGGTGAGTGGCAGCCGTATTCTATCACATCCTGGCTGCGTGCTTCGTATCACAATGTTGCTGCTACTGCTGCTGCCGACGCAGGGCCCTGGACGACTTTGATGTCGTTTGTGTCGCACTTTTGGATCAAACATGGCACCAGCCGCTTGATGTATGGTGACAGTTGCGGTTGCATGCTGGCGGCGGGACAAGGTCGGCGTCTACTCATGCTGAGTATGACAGCCACTGAGCTAGGTTCTTATATCGATGACAGCGGCTGGCAATATGCACAGGCTGCTCAAGCTGACAAGAGACATGACAGGACCGACTGCAATCGAATAAAACGACCCCCGAGCGAGGATTATTACTAGCAAGCACCCAGTGACATTTCGACGAGACATGCAGCGGGAGGCGCCGACCGTGATGAGTATCGTATAACGGCTTAGGATAGAGAGAAGTTCAACGGCTTCTCTGTCGCTCGACTTCGTCGCTGTTCTACGTAATCCTGACGACAGACACTCCAACACGTTGGCCGCCCGCTGCTGTGGCTGCTCTAGCTGGCGATGCCCGAGACCCCGACGATATGTCGACACCGTCCATCTCTCCGGCTGCCCGCCCACCAATAGCAGAATCAAAAGGTGTGCCTCAGCGGTAACTTGTTGGACCCCGACCGACCATACTGCGCGCTGTATGGCTGTATCATCAGTGTGTTGGCCCAAGTGGCTGCTGTGGCTTGCCTCCCAAGCGGTTAGATGTCGGGGCTGGCCTCAGTCCGGCACCCCGCACTATGCAACCTCTTAGTTTAAGTTATGTAAAACGGTAAATCGTACGAACCCGACAAGTAGAGCCTCGTCTGGAGTTGTCGATGAGCGATGCGCTTATCTCGAGTATATAAGTCTGGATCGAGAGCCTTGTAAATCATCTGTAGATCATCAGCAGCACCACTTACTACAATATCCACTACAAACCAAAGAACACTGCTCTTTGAGACTCTCTAATCCTTATACTCTTTATTAAACACACATAATCCATTTAAAATGACCTCCTTTGACCAACCACCACCACCTTATGCTGCTGCTCCTGCTGCACAGACAGAGCCTCTTCTACCAGATGAGAAGCCTGCCAGCACAAGCACTGAAGAGCATGCACCACAAACAAAAGCCACCACTCAGCATCAAGGCTACGGAATCAAACTTGGAAACAATTCGTTTCTAGGTCTCTCCTTGCCACCACATTCAAACGGCTACGGCATCCGCATTGGCGGCGTGCTTCTCGGAGTGAGCACCTCCGCAGCGCCGGAAGACGCGGCAACTACAAAGCCATCGGCCGAATAGACACCAATCAACTCTTTGCATTTCTTTTATTAGATTACCCACGCAAGCATGTACTCTTTTATTCTATATTAAACCCCTATTAATAATATAATTCTCATTACCAACCCATCGCCCCGTGCTGCCGTCCAAACCGTCCACCAGTAGTCGATGACTAATGCATCAATAGCTCTAGTGGTCCGCTAACCACTGATTCAAACAACCTTGATTAGCCAGCAAAGGAGCAGCAGGCCGGGCTTTTGCGTTATAATCACTCGTATCCGTCTCCTTCTTCATTTTCTCTCATCATCACCTTCAAGATACCAATTTTAGTGAACCAATCTCTCGATCCGCACAAAATGGCCACCATGCGAGCTGTTGGTATGTCGTCACCGTCCTCCCCCGCATAACCCCGCGCCATGACATCAATTTCTTTATTCTCCCGCGCTAACACACGCTATTACAGATATCAAGGGCGGCACCGGCGAGCGCGATGCCCTCTTCATCAATGCCGAAACACCCAAGCCCGTCCCTACTGATGGCCAGGCCCTCGTCAAGATCAAGGCCTTTGGCATCAACCGCATGGACATTATCCAGCGCCGCGGCTTCTACCCGCTTCCCCCACAGGCACCCAAGACACTGGGTGTTGAGTTCAGTGGTGTAATTGAGTCGTTTGGTCCTGGCGACCACGAGCCCTTCAAGCTCGGTGACGAGGTGCTGGGTCTTGCCTACGGCGGCGCATACGCTGAGTACATCCAAGTCAGCAGCAAGATGCTGATCCACAAGCCCAAGAACCTGAGCTTTGAGCAGTGCGCCGCTGTCCCGGAGGCCTGGATCACCGCCACACAGGCGCTGCACCTGGTGCTTGAGTTTGCCAAGGGCAAGTCGATCCTGTGGCACGCCGGCGCCTCGGGCGTTTCGATTGCAGGTATCCAGCTGTCTAAGCTGGCAGGCGCTTCTGAGATTTACGCAACGGCCGGCACAGACGCCAAGTGCGAGTTTGTGACGAGCAAGATTGGCGCGACGGCCGCGTTCAACTACAAGACGCAGGACTGGGCTGCCGAGATCAAGGAGAAGACGGGCGGCAAGGGCGTCGACTACATTGTGGACTTTGTGGGCGGCACGTACTTCCAGAAGAACTTGGATGTTGCGGCGCGCGACTGCAGAATTGTGATGCTGGGTACGCTGGGTGGTGCGCAGGTGCCTGATGCCAACATTGGTCCCATCCTGTACAAGCGTATCCGTATTGAGGGAAGTACCTTGCGCAGCCGTGACGAAGATTACCAGGGCAAGCTGCGCGACAGACTTGAGCAGTATCTGCCCGAGTTTGAGTCGGGCAAGCTGCAGATTATCGTGGATACTGTGCTGCCGTGGGAGCAGATCCAGGAGGCGCACAAGTACATGGAGGATGCGAAGAACTCGGGCAAGATTGTGTGCACGATTTAAGAACGAGAATGAAGATATAAAAATAGCAATGTCATGATTATCGTAGAGAGCTGAACTGATGCGTTTAAGAGAATAAGAGCAAAACATGGGGATATCCATTATGTTTAGTGAGTCTTGAGCCAGCCAAGGAGCTGCTCGTAGGCTGTGGCTTGTGCGTCTTGAATAGCAGGGTCTTGGTATTCGCCTACGACAGCAAAGCCGTGAGGGACGCCAGGATAGACTTGGACTTCGTGCTCCAAGTTGGCAGACGACATGTAGTCTTCACCAGCAGTGCGAACTTCTTCCGAGAAGAGAGGATCGTCCTCTACACAGACGAGGCTGAGAGGAACGACAACGTCGGTGAAGTCGTTGGGGGTGACTGAGGCAGCGTGAGCAATGGCACCAGCCTTGATGAACGGGCCAGTCTTGACAGCACCAGCCTCCTCGTCTGCATTTTCGGCAGCGGCAGCTTCTTTGCCGAGCAAAAGCACAAATCTGCCACCAACGCAGTAGCCTACAGCGTAGATGCCGTCGCCAGCCTTGATCGAGTCGGCGTACTGCTCCTTGGCAGCGTCAATCACCTTGTGCAGGATGGGCATGACCTTGTCGGGCGTGATCTTGGCCAGCCACATATCGATGAGGAACGACTTGGTGACTTCGGCCGCCTTTATCTTGAGCTGTTCAATAACTGAGTTGGTTTCCTGCGGGATGGCCACGCCGGCGCCGGGGGCTGTGTCGCCGCCAAACAGGTCGGGCATCAGCGTCAGGAAGCCTTCCGCGGCGAACTTGTCGGCTTGGATCTGGTTGTTGACGGAGCTGATGCCAGTGCCGCCTGTAAGGAGGAGTAGAAGTCGTGAAGGGGCGTGAGGGTAGTCGGTGGGCTTGGAGATGTAGACCTGTAGTGGCAGCTGTTAGCAAGACAAGAGTGGGATGGTGTAATCAAGTTGGAGCAGCATACGTCGATATCGTTGAGCTTGATGATTTCACCGGTGGAGGCCAGGCCGCTAGCTATAGAGTATTAGTGGTATATACGAAGAAGAAGCAACTGGCGTATAAAACGAACGAGTAGGTCTGTCTGTTACGCAGTGCTCGCCAACAGCGTGGGCAGCAGCTGTGGCGGGGGGAGCATCACCGGCAACAGGGGCCTTGTCTTCTTGGGCATCGCTCTCCGGAGCCCGTGTAGCATTTTGGTCATCTGCCATTTTGGACAACCGTGGGATGTTTGAGGTTTGCGGGAATAGGGCGAGCTTGGAGCTGTTTTGGGAGCGGCAAGTAAAGCCTGGCAGCTTGGGCAGCTGTTGGTTGGCTGGGTTGAGGACGATACGTCATTGGTCAAGCCTGCGTGGGATGCACAGTCAGCCAGCGCTACATAGCAGGCAAATGAATAAAAAAAAGAAGATAAATAGGAAATATGATTGTAAAGCTCTCTTAGTTACATATGTCAATTTTATTGAATACTTTTTTACCGTTCACTGCGTCGCATCATCGCCATGTGTCGGCTGCTGTGCCGTTACATAATCACACTGTAGCAACTGAACCACCCCCGCCATAACGTGCGTGCGGGGCGACTTTTTCCATTAAACGCGCTGGGACGCGTCGCGGTTCCCTGGTGAATCTTGCCTCTGCGCTTGACTGTCTGCGTTCACGGGCAACAAAAAAAGACAATACTTTGTCCAACACAACACCACCACTTTCCCAAGCTTTCCCTTTTCCCTTTCCATCTACAAATAAAAAAAGAATCATAGAGAATACGCCTACTTCACACACACACACAGCTTTCATCATGGCATCACCTGCTGAGGCGTTGTCGCGAGGTTTCCTCGAGTAAGTCCTTCATCTGTCTTTCACGCCACCATGCTCATCTGAATTTCGCAGCGCCATCTTCACCGACAAGGACAAGGCAGAGGCTCTTTACCCCGTCCCTGTTATGCAATGTCTGCAAATCAAGCCCATGGCCCAGTCCGCTGCCCAGGGTGGCGAAAGATACCGCCTTGTCATGAGCGATGGTGACAACTACGTCCAGGCCGTCCTCGCTGCCGCAGCCAATGCTGCTGTGCGTGATGATATTCTCAAGCGCGGCAGTCTTGTTCGCATCCACGGATACACCACCAACACCACCAACAACAAGCAGTTAGTGTGACATTGCCGCCTGCCTGGATTTTGTAGTCCGCCCTACTAACCTGCCACACAGCATTATCCTCATCCTGACGCTCGATGTCATCACACAATTCGGCGAAGTCGAGAAGATTGGCGACCCTAGCCCCCTCAACAAAATCGCCCCCGAAGCGACTACAATCTCTGGCAACGACTTCTACGGAGCCAAGAAGGAGACCAGCGCCGCGCCACAGTCGATGCCCTCACGCCCAGCCCCTAGCAACAACGCGGCCATGGGCAACATTCACCCTATTGAGGGCCTCTCTCCTTACTCTCACAAGTGGACCATCAAGGCCCGTGTTACCTCCAAGTCCGACATTAAGCGCTGGCACAAGGCGTCTGGCGAGGGCAAGCTCTTCAGTGTGAACCTTTTGGACGAGAGTGGCGAGATCAAGGCCACTGGCTTCAACGACCAATGCGACATGTTCTTCGATATGCTGCAGGAAGGCTCTGTCTACTACATCTCCGCGCCATGCAGAGTGCAAATAGCCAAGAAGCAGTTCTCCAACCTTTCCCACGACTATGAGATGACCTTTGAGAATGGTACCTCGATTGTCAAGGCTGAGGACCAGTCGAGCGTCCCCCAGATGCGTTTCAATTTCTGCAACATTCAAGATTTGCAAAACGTGGAAAAGGACAACACTGTCGACATTATCGGTGTCCTGAAGGAGGTTGGCGAGGAGTCCCAGATCACGTCCAAGAAGACTGGCCAGCCCTTCTCCAAGCGTGATTTGACTATTGTCGACGACACGGGATACTCTGTACGCGTAACAGTCTGGGGTGCCATGGCCAGCTCCTTTGAGGCTCCCACCGAGTCTGTCCTGGCTTTCAAGGGCACCAAGGTGTCCGACTTCAACGGCAAAAGTCTAAGCCTGCTTTCATCCGGCACCATGTCTGTCGACCCTGATATTAGTGACGCCCACCGCCTCAAGGGCTGGTACGACTCAACTGGCCGCACGGACTCGTTTGCCACTCACCAGAACACGTCTGGCATGGGAACTGCCGGTGGCCGCAAGGACGAGCTCAAGACCATTGCCCAGGTCAAGGAAGAGAACATTGGTGTTGACGACCAGCAGTACTACTCGATCAAGGCCACGATTGTCTTTATTCGCAATGAAAACTTTGCCTATCCCGCTTGCCCCCGCGAGGAATGCAAAAACAAGAAGGTGGTTTCCATGGGCGATGGCACATGGCGCTGTGAGAGCTGCGACTCGACACACGACCGTGCCGAGTACCGCTACATCATGTCGATCAATGTTGCCGACCACACAAATCACCAGTGGCTCAGCTGCTTTGACGAGACTGGCCGCACTATTATGGGCATGTCGGCCACGGAGCTCACCGAGATCCAGCAGACAGACGACGCCCGCTTCAAGAGCATTTTTGAGTCTGTCAACTGCCAGACTCTCAAGTTCCGCTGCCGCGCAAAGATGGACACCTATGGTGGCGCTCAAAAGTACGTTCACATTTATATCATGAACCATATACAGCATTACTAACAAAGTATCACTAGGATGCGTTACCAAGTGTTTAGCGCCACACCTGTGGACTACACCAGCGAGAGCAAGAGACTGCTAGATCTCATTAAGCAATACGACTAAAATAAGCAAATTTTGTAGAAACGAAGCGGGGTGGGCAACGGGGAGTGAGAAAAAAAGTTGTTTTTGTCAACAAGGGCATACTCTTGTGCCATATGTTTAATGAGATGTATTGATGTTGGGACAGGTGGCTGCTGCATGTAATTGGCACGTGGAAAGCCGAAAACCATGACATTGTACGAGCTTTACATTTTATTTTAACGAGTCTGATTCTATGTACCGTATACCTCGTGGGATATCATGAATACCGTGTGGATGCCAAAAAAACAAGCCCAATTCAATAAGCAACAAATGCGTAATAATCGTCATCGCTAGTCCTCTTTTTTGTTTGTTTAGATGCCCATGGGCTCATGCTTCCAGGGCTTTTGGCCCTCGCCAGAGCCGTACTGCGCAGTAGGCTGATAATCGCCGCGAATCTTGTATTTGTAGATTGTCAGGCCCTCGAGGCCAACAGGGCCACGCGAGTGAATCTTGTTGGTGCTGATGCCGACCTCGGTGCCGAAGCCGTAGCGCATGCCGTCCGCCAGACGAGTCGAAGCGTTCCAGTACGCACCCGCGGTGTCGACCTGGTTCATGAAGCGCTCAGCCTCGTCCTTGTCCGAGGTCAAGATGCAGTCTGTGTGGTGCGAGCCGTGGGTGTTGATATGTGCCACGGCAGCATCGACGTTAGGAACCGCCTTGACAGACATAGTCAGCGAGAGATGCTCCGTGTCATAATCCTCGGGGACAGCATCTGTAATGTTAGGCAAGTTGAGGGACGCAAGAGCCGCCTTTGTCGCAGCGTCGCAGCGCAACGCGACGCCCTTGGCCGAAAGACCCGCCGCAACAGCAGGGAAGACCGTCTGCAGCGCGGCCTCCTGGACAAGCAGCGTCTCGGCACTGTTACATGCGGCGGGGTAGCTCGTCTTGGAGTCGACGACGAGGCCGACAGCCTTTTCGGTGTCGGCCGAAGCAGTGAGGTAGATGGAGCAGATGCCGTCAGCGTGGCCGAGGACGGGGATCTTGGTGGACTCCTTGATGTAGCGGACGAGCTCGTTGGAGCCGCGGGGGATGACGAGGTCGATGTAGCGGTCCTGGGCGAGCAGACTGGCAATGGCGTCGCGGGTGGTGACGAGCTGGATGGCGCCGTTGGGGACCTGTGTGTTTTGCAGGGCGGCCGAGATGACGCTCGAGATGGCGACAAAGGACTCGGTGGATTCTTTGCCGCCCTTGAGGATTGCGGCGTTGCCGGACTTGATGGCTAAGCTGGCAATGTTGGCAATGACTTCGGGGCGGGCTTCGAAGATGATGAGGAGCACGCCGATGGGGCATGAGACGCGCTCCATGATGAGGTTGTCGTCGAGCTTGGTGCGCATCTGGATCTTGCCGACTGCGTCACATGTTAGCATCATGTGCGTTTGTTATAGGAACGGGGGATGGATGGGGTTTGAGCCGAGCACACGCACCTGGGTCTTCGAGGCTGCGGACATCAAGGATGCCCTTGAGCATGTCTTCCCATTTGCCCTTTTTGCCGAGATCGAGTCTGCTCACGAGGGCTTCACTCAGTGAGCCGTCGGCAGCGGCTTTGCGCGCGAGCTCGAGATCGCGAGCATTGGCGGCGAGGATGGTGTCTTTTGCGGCGGCGAGAGCGTCGTGGATGGATTGGAGGGCGTCGTTGCGGGCAGAGTCGGGAAGAGAGGCGAGGGCAAAGGACGCTGATTTTGCTTCGCGGGCTGCGGCTTCGGGGGTTGCGTTTGTGAGAGACATGGTGGTGATGTTGGTAGGGATTGAGTCAAAGAGAAAGAGAGAGGGTGGAGAGGAAGGAACTTGATTGTTGTTAAAAGAGAAGAATGGAAAATCTCTTTAAAATTGGCGAATTGCCGTGGTGCACATGTCAAGGCTGCGTGCAGGTTGGCAGATAGCGATGCGTCATTGGCAGTTTTCGTGATGGCGTCGGCCCGGTCTTTTGGCGGGGGAGGAGGGGTGTTAATGCACGCTGGGCTGGGCTGACGTGATAGCAGGTACTTGTGCTTTGGTGCGGGTTTGGTGGAGGATGCAAGTACTGTAAAACGTTTTATTTTTTTCTGTTAGTGGCGGTTCCACAGTGGGTTGACAGGCGGGCACAGTGACGTCGTAGTGCAGAAACGGACAAATGGGAAATTTTATAGCTCATTTTGCAGATTTGTGATAAGAAGATGGCTTGGTTGGGAGGTAGGAGGATTTGAGGCAGAAATAAGTGCAATTATTATCGTTGAGTGAAGTACTGGTTGAGGTAATGATATGAGCGTAAGTAAGTCAGTAAGCGAGAATGTAAGCGAGTGAGACGCAGAGATACAACCACGATAACACGCCGAAGCTTACTAGAGTACAAACGGCGTGGATATAGCTACCATAGCGGTAAAAGGCTACTATTGAATAACTGTCGCCATATTGGTAGATTGTCGTCTGGCTGACACTGACACACAGCGACCATGTCTTTGGGGAAGTTGAATCTAAAGGGCCGCTTGAGGAGAGAATAGTGGCACCGAAATTAATGTAGCAACTGTTTAACCATGTATAAGCTGATATATTGTGTACCTGGTTCTTCATATGCCAGGTCTCGTGCCGTCTAATTGGTGCGCCCTTATCTTTGACATATCGAGGCGGCACACTCTCACAACAGGCTATAAACCGCCGCAGATTGACTGTGAATGGTCTTAACCTGATTAATACACCTTTTTGTATCCCCAGATATAGATAATCTTGCGAGATGATAAATAATTGGGGTAGATGGGTCTGGGAAGATTGGCGACATGCAGTCTATCGTCTCCAAACCCTTGTGGCACATTTGTTTTCATTTATTTTGGTAGATTGACAACTATAACGGCGTAGAAATAAGGCACAGTTGTCTTTCTATACACTATACCCTGTGGCTTGAATATATCCTTCCTAGATGGTCAGCATCATGTATTTATGCTGTTGTGTATGGTGTGTTATGCCTCGCGTGCCTCAGAGACGACACTGTCTTGAAGCGAGAGTGTACCTGAGAAGTGGTAACAACAAACAGCCCTTACCTCATTGGAAATATAGCTGTTACTTGCTGTAAAAACCACGGTGACATCGCGGAATACATCGTACAGCCTCGCTTTGCACCGGAAGCGAACCCGAGAGCCTCATCGGCGCGGGTTCTCAGAAAATAGGTGGCGCCTGTTTCAGGCTGACTCGCCATCTGCAGAGCTCGCAGCTGGTGCAGCTGGCAGCAAGCAGCTGTTGGCAGTGCTAACGCATGACGGCAGCACCCGGCGCCACCTGGCATCCCGCTTTTCTTTTTGTAACTCTCGTCCACCACAGTTTATCCCATTTCCAACATCACCAGCTGAACAAAAAAGGAGAATCTGCCGTTTTTATGCGTCAAGCCCAAAAGACTCATCACCTCAGCTACAACAGCCATAGCCCTATTCATCCTGACGCCGTCCACCAGCCAACGCCTCCTGACAAAAACCCTGCGCCAATCCTCATCCTATGCAGGACCGCCACCAACCAGCGCGCGGCCCCATGCCTTGGAGCTAGCCTTAATTGCCCCATTGGTGGCGCTACCACTACCACTATAGGAGGCACACTCACCGTCGGACCGTCGGCGCTCCAAGGAAGGGGAGCCTCAACTCCACGGCCAATATCCGCTTAGTGCCCCCTCCAAAGGTCGTGCTTCGGGAATGAAAATCACCGACATCTAATTTGGCTTGCTCCGATGCTTCCGGCCCTCCCCAGATTAGACGGCATCTGGTGACATGCCATATTACTCTTTGCCGTTAGAGATGATCTCTCTTCCCAAACCGAGCAAGTCGGCCCTTGTCCCCGGGCCTCCGCCTGGAGACTTACGCGGGTTTAATCACACTAAGGATGCATTCTCCATCGCCCTACCCAGCCAGCGGTTCGCGCGGCCAACCCCCCGCCACGTCCCGAGACCATGTTCGTGGTGTTGCATGGAGGTAACGTCGGACATCGGCACGTAATATTACGCGAGCCACGAACCCCAAACCCCAAATCATTAAGCATGTCTGCAGTCCCCAACTGTCAACATGCAGCGAAAAGAGGTGCTGTGCATACCTTTTACTGGATGCTCAATTTATCCCACGCCACTGCCAGACCGGCAGTTGGTGCATCCATCAAGTAGCAGCATTGCAGGAGGTCTGGCTTGTGCGAGCTGAGACGTCAGATGCGAGCCTATGAACACAGTCTGAGCGCTGCCTTTTACTTCTCGGAATCCGATGCCCTCCGAAGCAGTTTATTTTTAGGCAGCATGCCCGAGAAACTGGCTTAGAAGCCCGCTTTTGTATATGCAATGTCCAACAATTGGTAGCGAATGGGCCTAGTTGGTGCATGGAACCATGCCATTCGAGTGGATCGTCCTATCAATACTGGGCACTTGCGGCGCCACCACTTTACCAAAATGTGACAGTATAAGAGGATGATGGTTTCCCCTTGCGCGGTCTTTGGGCAAGTGTACAATACTGCCTTGTAGCACCTCCTTATACCACACTTGACAATGACACAAACTCGTAATCCCAACGTGCTTCTCCTCAGCCATGGACGTACACTGTCCAACCTCTTCGTCAAGCTCATGTCGAAGCAGGATGACTTTGAGCAAGCAGAGTACCATTTTCATGCCGCCTTTATGTACTTGAGAAAGGAAATAGGCGAAAAGCCCCTCATTGAGCAGCCTGAAGGCCGCGAGACCTTCTACAAGATGATCAAGGAAGGCTACGACAAGTTCTTCCAAGACGTCGAGAACGCCTACAGCAAGGTCCGTCGCCTACCACCACGTCAGCCCCATTCCACTACTAACATTCTCGCTATAGAACAAGCCCGTCTTCTTCAAAGACCACGTCTTCCAGACCTGGCAGCCGTCCGTCATTGACCAGGACATCTGGGGCGCCGACCCAGCTCCCTCATTGCATCTGACCGGCGACCAGAAGCACACCAGCCCGACTCTGCTGCCCGACAGCTTCCTCCTCTCGGCCGTTCCCATCTTCATTATCCGCCACCCTCTGATGCAGACCGAATCGTGGTACCGCGCCAACCTGCGCATCTACCCTGTCGACCTAAAGGACCCCTTCTGCAAGTTGTCTGCCAACACAGGCTACTGCCGTCAACTGTTTGACTGGTACAAGACCCAAGTCCCCGCTGACGTCTACACGGGCCCGAACCCCAAAGGCCCTGGCCCATTCATGCCCATTATTGTGGATGCCGACGACCTGTTGGAGGGCACAGATGTCATTGAGCGTGTCTGCGAGCGCGTCAACTTCTCCAAGGACAAGGTGCTGTACTCGTGGGACACAGTGTCAGGCGAGAACAGAACGGCGATTGAGCGCAGCTACCTCAAGGGCCTGTGGGAGTCGACGGGCGTGGACAAGTCCAAGAGCTCCAAGGGCGTGACGGCCGAGGCCAAGCATGCTGCGTGGAAGGAGGAGTTTGGCCAGGAGGTGGCTGATTTCCTGCTCGCCTCGGCAAACAAGCACATGCCCGACTATGAGTACATGTTGGCCCAGAAGATTTAAGAGTACTCTCTTATGAAGCGAGCGGGGAAAAACCCTTTTGTATTATTTACTAGAATAAGCGACGTTATGAACCAAACACAGCAAAGAATGGACCTAATGAACTCAACTCTACATCATGTTTATACCTCTTGTAACGGACTATTTCCAAGTGATCTTGTTTGTAATTACAACTATTCAAAAGATAGATTGACTATACTGCTTCTTCTCATTCACATTACGCCACTTCCCAATGCTCGCTCCCCGTCCCGGTAACAAAAGCTCCAACTATAACTACACCGTACTCCTTATACACAAAACTACTACTACTACAACTACAACCGTACATAAACAGCTTATATATACAACATTAGCTATTATACAACAAGGGCGCCACCAACGGCAGCAGCCACGGCAGCAGCAGCAGCAGCAAAGCCATGTAATCCAGTAGCTTCGGCCGCGCTGCTCTTGGTAGCACTAGCGCCTCCCGCATGGGTAGTAGACACACAGGCATCCGCATCGTCTGTTGGAGTCGGGCTGGCCACCGCCGACTCAGCGGGCACAGGGCTTCGGCGCACAACAGGCTCGACAACAGCGCCCTCTGCGACGAATCGCTTCTGAAGCATCTCGAGCAGGTCGGTGCGGCGGGCCAGCGCGTGGAAGACGTCCCGGATGACAGGGGCGCCGCAGTCGTCGTGCTCGCCGTGCTTCTGCGCAGCAAGCGACATGTCACGCTTGGAAAAGTGCACACCGGGGGTCGGAACCTGGCAGTTATCCTGGGACCGGCCGGCGCGGAGCTGGCAGATCTCGGTATCGCGGCAGGAGTCGCGGCAGGGCTTGTCGACGTTCCAGCCGCGGCTCTTGCGGGCCATGTACTCGTCAAAGAGGGTGCTGTTGGCCTCAAAGGCGGCAGTGACATTATGCCAAAAGGCAGGCGTCAGCTCGGCAGCAGGGTCCGTGACGGCGGGCTTCAGAGCGGCGCCGTAGGCCTCTTTGGCCGAGTAGTACTTTTTCCAGACGGGTCCCGAGGTCTGGAACGCCGAGTCGCCCATGTCGGCGTAGTATGTGGTGGCGTCGAGGACGGCAAAGGTGTCCGGGTCGACGTCGTAGACGCGGAACGAGGGCATGCCGGAGGTCGGGGTGAGGGAGGGGCAGATGTAGGACATGGCGAAGGCGTTGGCGGCGGAGCGCTTGGAGTAGTCGGCATACGAGACCTCGAAGTGATCGAGGTGGGTGTGGCCGAAGAACATGGCGCGGATGGTGGTGGCGTAGCGGCGGACGACTTGGTCGAGGTAGTTGGACTGGTCGCGCAGGGCGTCGGCCTCGCCAAAGGGCATGTGGCCGATGATGTAGACGTTCTCGCCGGCCTTTTCGGCGGCGTCGAGCTCCTTGGCGAGCCAGGCGATCTGGTCGTTGGGGTCGCGCTGCATGTCCTTTTGGTAGAGGGCAAAGTTGAAGCGGTAGTACATGTTTGTGTTGAGCGAGATGATGCGCAGGTTGCCCTTGGGGTACTTGGCGGAGTAGGCGCCGATGGATTTGGCGGACTGGGCCTCGGTCGAGGAGATCCAGTGCGACCATTCGGAGCTGAGGGAGTCGTAGACCCATTGGGTCTTGTTGTTCTGCGAGTTGGGGTAGAAGATGTTGGCGGGGTCGGACTCGTGGTTGCCGGCGGTGCCGTAGACGGTCTTGAAGCTGTTGTTCATCTTGGAGTATGCGTCGGTGACTGGAGAGAGGGAGATTGTGTTAGTACGGGAGGGGTGGACGAGGCTGTAAGAGGACGGAAGAAGAAAAACTCACTCTCTTGTTGGTTGTAGGGCTTGCTGGTATTGAAGAGACCGTGGTCGACAATGTCGCCGGTAAAGATGGTAAAGGCCTGGTCGGGGAACATGTCGTGGATGGCCTTGTACATGCTGTCCTCGAGGGTGACGGGGGAATCGCAGTTGTGATCGCCGTTGGGACCTGCAGGACTCTTGGACTTGCCGGGCTCATCGTCCTCAGTAAAGGGTCTGCAGCAGGTGGGCTTCTTGCACTGGGTGCTGGAGCCGGCGACGTACAGAGGATCAATGTGGATGTCGGAGTAGTGGATGACCTTGAGAGGCTTCTTGCCGCTGACGGCGGGGGCCTTGTCGTTGCAAGCCTTCTTTGAGGGGATGGGTACAGTCCAGGGCGCCACGTCGGGATACTTGCAGACACCGAGAAAGGTGATGCAGAATTGGGTCGAGGACGTGGAGTTGATGTCGATGGAGCGGATGAGCTCGGCGATGACGGGGGCCTCACGGGCTACAGTGCCGTTGCAGAATTGGGAGTCGTAGGGCTGTGGGACGAAGGATTAGCAAAATTATTTTCAATTATAAAGAGAAAAAGATGCAACTTGCCGTGCCAATGGTGCAGAGTTGGGTTCCAAGGCCAGTCAGGGCGCTATCGCTCGACTTGACCAAGCCCTTGAGAAGGCTAAGGATGTTCTGTCCAATTGGTTAGTACCGAGATGATAACATGGAGTAAGATGAGAATACGTACCTCGCAACCGCCGCAGGTGCCAAAGTCATCGAGCAGGCTGCGAGTCTCGAGGGCCCAGGAGCCATCGTGCACAGAGCGCTGGAGCAGCTCGTGATGGGTGAGGGAGATATCAGGCTCCGCTGCGGCAAGAGATGCCAGAGTAGCGGCAGCAGCAGCAACTACAAAAGGAGAGGGTGACAGCATTGTTTTCTGCGTGTCAGAAGAAAGTGAATACGGATGCAGACGGAATCGTTTTGTGCTAGAGGCGGACGTTGCCGTTTTTACATGGCGGTTGGCAGCGGCTGGTGGAGCAAAGCAAGTATATTCGGCTAGGCGATATTAATATAGGAGCGCGGCAAAGCAAGGAGGAAATGAGGAAAATGCGGAGAAGAGGAGAACGCAGCTGGGGCGGTGGCGGCGCCGCTTTCTGGTGAATCGTGTAGCTGGAGTTTTTTTGAAAGCGGCGGAGTAGAAAGGCAGCAGTGGGTGTGAGGCTGAAAGGACGGAGGGACGGATTATAGTTGAAGAGTAGTGTCGCGTGAGCATTGCTGCGGCGGGCTGCTACACTGCGCTGCACTGCACTGCACTGGCCACTGTAATTTAGGTGATTATAGTGGATTCGGCGGCCGACAGCCGTTGCAAAACGGGGCCGAGCCGCCCCCAAAAAGCATGTGGGAAGCCGTCCACTGACAGCCCGCTAAAAGAAATACACTAACAGATTGGTTGGTTGACTGGCAGACGGGACAGCAGTAGAATTGTTGCCGCAATGGGGGTGAAAAAAATAAAAATAAAAATGGATTAGTACCAAAACAACGGTGTCAATATGCTACAATACTTAATTTGGAATATTCTGTCCCACACAGCTGGAAGACATGCCCTTTGCCATGGACAATATACATCATGGCCTTGTCTAACCACAACCACGCTATATCTAAAGGAAGCCATGTTTTATAGCATAATCCTCAAATGACGATTTCTCCCATCTGCATTCCATCTCTTTTGCTCTTGTTGAGTCGGAGAGTGTAACAATTGGCTCGTGTTCCACACGACAGAGCTGAACATGTACTCGTTCGCCCAGCACAAGACCAATATGCGGCAATTCGACCATATTGGCGAGTTTTCCTTCCAATTGGACTGGATTGTGCATCATATTGTCGCTGCTTCCAAGGTTTTCCATCTTTACAAAATCAGCTCGAGAGATTTCCACCCATACGCCAATGCGCCAAAAGCCATAGGTCTCCACTGGAATAGACAGCGCACCTCGGATACAGTAGCAATCACTGCCATCGTGAAACAAAATGTTGCAAACCCATGTGCCCTCCCGGTGTGCTTTAGGCCACTCTAATCCGTCAGGCGCACCAAATATTTTGGGAAGCGGGACAGAGGCACTATTGCAATGCACACGACGCAGGAACCCCAATAGAGATGGATCAGACATGAAAGCATAGTCCACTATCTCGAAAACAAGATTCTTCAATGGGTGCATAAGAGCAGCAGCTCTGGAAAGCTTTCTCTCAGTAATGTCTTCTGTATAAGATGATTCATCGGCATCTCCAAGCATTACTTGATAGGAGTTGCTTGTTGGTCGAATATGGCAAAGAAATGCCACCCGTTCGATGGCTGGATCCTGGTTTTCGGATTCCGCCAGCGAAAGAAGTAAGGTTACATCGTTGTCTGGATGATTATTCGAATAGATTGCAAAGTATACGGCAAGCGCATTTTGATTCCGATACACGTGTCGAGTTAGGCGGATAGTCAAGCCATTGCAGCAACTACACTCGGAATGAGTAGCTGGAAGTAGTTTAAGAGAGTATTTTCCAGTCATATTTATGAATTTGTTTTGTGGCAGACGTCTACAATGTTGGAATCTGGTAATCTCGTTCAAATGTTTACGAGCTGCTGTAGCCGGAACAATATAATTACGAACCGTGAAAGTTACGAGGATGCTATGGCTACTGTAAGTGGCATAGATGACAAGCCCCCGCAATCGATCTGGATATCGACGCATTAGACTTTACCAAATAAATTACACACAAAATCAATTTCACTTTTAGCTTCTTCTTTCCTCTTTGGGTATATTCTCTTCAGTGTGGCCAAACTTGTCAATATTCGGCGCCCTCCGCACATCGGCGGTTCGGCCAGCGAGTGCCGACATGGCTGTGGTGGTGAGTGAGTAATGCGGGCGTAATACCGCCCATCCAGGTTGATTTCCAGGGTGCACACACACAGCGCACTGCAGTAGCATAATGACGTACAGTGACCAATGACCACTAACAGCGTCTGCTTACAGCACTAATCACTCACTACACGATGCGCTGCGTGGAGACACAGGGTGGACAGTGACAACCATATAGGCGACAAGACGAAATAGAACTATCACTCCAACTCCTTCAAACCAGGCCGTAAAAATACATACAAAAGTTTATAGTGCATATATAATACTTTAAAACACTCTTATTGCTTTTTATCGTTCTATCTCGCCTCATCTTTCCGTCCATCGTCCATCGAACCACGCAAACAAAACAGACACACGCAGGTTCCGGCAACGGTGCCGCTTAGCCGAGGTGTGCCACTACACACCCACTAAAACCCTTCCTTGCCTACAAAGGGGGGGGCCTGGAAGGGGAAATCCTCCACCAACTGGCAAATCACAGCGCAGCAAACTCGTCTTCACTGCAAAATCCGTGTTTCGGCCGTAAACAAACCCCCAGCGAACGAAGAAAAAAAGAGGGAAAGAGGAGCAGCCCACCTTGAAAGTCCTCCCCCGGCTTTTCTTCTCCGGTGCCCGCCGTTTGCTTCAATTCCGTTTTCTTTTTTTTTTCTTTTGCGTCATACTGCATCCTTTCTTCGTTTTTATTTATTTTTGTTATTTGTTACGTTTCTTCCACTGGCCATCCTTTTCGTCGATACTGCTTTTACTCTTGCGCAACACACCACCACCACCACTCCCACTGCTGCAGATCACGGGCTGACATCACCACCACCAGATCCCAGCAAAAAGACATCGTCTCCAATGGCAGCAGCAGCAATCTAGCCAAGACACGCCACACGCTCCCCCGCCATTAATATACCACTATACAACATCTAAATATATCCATCCACTATAAACCCTTCCCGGTTCCCTCATAATGGCAGCCTCACAAGACCCGGAAAAGGCATCGCCGCCGCCAGCAACTACGGAAGCAGCACCTACAACAACGAAAGCAGCGATCCCATTCGACCCAGAGCACCATGAGGAGCCGCACCCAACAGACATTCACTCCGTGTCCGACGGCTCTGAATCTCACGACAAGCACGAAGACGACATCGAGGCCCAGCGCGACGAGCACGATGACCCGACTCACCATGTAGAGGGCAACCTTGGCGGCGTCCTCTCTCGCTCTCAGTCCCGCGCCTCATCCACACGCTCCCGTCCTATTGTCATTGTCCCCCGCGACAAGAGACGCGGCTTATTTGGCCGCTTCGGTCTCATCCCCGAAGTCGAGCGTCCTGTCGATTACCTCCGATCTACCAAATGGACCATTACCCTTGTCGTTGCGGCCGCCACGGCTGCTGCCCCTCTCGGCTCATCCATCTTCTTCCGTACGTTCTCCTCTCTCTCTTTGTCTAGCATATATAACCTCACTCAACTAACATGAGACTCACAGCTGCCCTCAACTCCATCAAGAATGAGCTCCACGCAGACAAGACCGTCACCAACTTGTCCGTCGCCCTCTACATGCTGGCCATGGCCATCTTCCCACTCTGGTGGTCCGCACTCTCAGAACAGTTTGGCCGCCGCTCTATATACCTCGTCTCCTTTGCCCTGTTTACCGTCTTCTCCGTGCTCTGCGCCGTCAGCACCAACATCACCATGCTCGTCGTCTTCCGCATCTGCAGCGGCGGCGCCTCCGCGTCCGTCCAGTCCGTCGGCGCCGGAACCATTGCCGATCTCTGGGAGCCTGCTGAGCGCGGCCGCGCCATGAGCATCTACTATCTCGGTCCGCTGCTTGGACCGCTGCTCGCCCCCATCATCGGTGGTGCTCTAGCTCAGGCCTTTAACTGGCGAGCGACCATGTGGCTCCTGGCCATCTTTGGCCTCATTGTCTTTGTCATGCTTCTGTTTATGCTTCCCGAGACTCTCTTGCGCAAGCCCGAACCCGAGGCGACGGCCGCACCGCTGACGCGCACCACCACCGTCGAGAGCGTCAAGAAGAACTCCAAAAAGATCGTCGTCAACATCAAGCACTTTGTGTTTGACCCGCTCAAGGTCCTGGCCTTCCTGCGTTTTCCGCCTGTGCTCATGACCGTCATTATCGCCGCCATTGCCTTTGGCGCGCTCTACATTGTCAATGTCGCCATCCAGCAGCGCTACTCGGAGGAACCGTACCACTTTGCAACCATCATCATTGGCTGCATGTATCTGCCCTCGGGTGCTGGATACTTTATCTCGTCCGTCTTTGGAGGCCCGTGGATCGATAGAATCATGGCCCGCGAGGCCCGCAAAGCCAACCGCTACGACGAAAAGGGCAAACTCGTTCTTCTACCTGAGGACCGCATTCGCGAGAACATGTGGCTGGCCATTACGACCTATCCGCTGTCGCTACTGCTCTTTGGATGGACGCTGCAGCATGGCATCCTCTGGGTAGCCCCGGCTATTGGCGCATTCATCTTTGGTCTCTCCTCCATGCTCGTCTTTGTAAGTTCTCGTCTACCCGTTTTTGTGGTCGTTCACAAATGCTAACATGACCGTATAGTCCTGCTCAACAACCATGCTTACAGAATTCGTCCGCAAGCGAAGCTCGTCTGGTGTCGCCGTCAACAACTTTGTCCGCAACACCCTCAGCTGTATCGGTACCGTGGTCGCCTCGCCCTGGATCACCGCCTGGGGCTACGGCTGGGTGTTTACAGCAACGTGCATCTTTTGCATGCTCGTCAGCTACACTTGTGTCATCTTGCTTCTGCGAAATGCCACCAAGTGGCGCAAGAACATGGACATTAAGCTAGGGCAAATATAGATGTGCTTCCACAATGCTGGTGGACGAAACAACACCCATACACGTATATATCAAGGATCTACAAGTCGAGAGAAGGACGTATACAATCTGTCCAAACCCTCGACCTACCGCATATACCCTTTTACGACTCCTTTTTTACGCTTCAAAATTGCATATAGCCACATTTACATCATATAGAACCATAGCCATCGTTACTTAATAGCATTGATATTTGCGTTGTTTTGTTGATAAAACTGGTATTCAAACTCTCCAAAGAAAACGTGTATTATTGTACATGTAGCCGAATATTGTAGCGATATTGTTCGGCAGATTATTGACTAGTCTGAGCGCCCTTCATGTCGGGCTGATTCGTGATGGCGTTGCCGCCACCGCTTGCATTCATTCCCGGCAGAGCTGCGCCCTTGTCATGAATTCCTTCCGGCAAGTCTGCGACTTTGTGAGATTGATCGTTTTCCTTGGCCTAAATCTTGTTAAACTCGAGGGATTGTGGTGTGTATTTCAAGCTACCTTTTCGGTACCGTGGGCGATGTTGTGGCCAGCCTCTTCAAAAGGGCCGTTGTGAGAGGATCCGTCTCCGTTGCGAGGCATGTTGTAGATAGTAAAGTCAAAAATGGGGAAAGTAAACTACTGTTATGTATAAAGTAAATTTACGGTCAATGGTAATGAAGTCGCTTTTATAGTCCTCAGCCCGCTGGGCCGTTGAAATATATACGTCATCGAGTAGCGTATACCATCTAGAGCTGCGCCATCCCGTGTCAATCCCTTCTAAAAGCACACGACCATCTCCACCTCGCCTCCATCTATAAAAATAAAGCTGGTGAGTCTATGACAAGTCTACAAAAGCCACAGGTTTACTTGTTGTAAACGAAGCGAGGAGGGACGCATCATAGTCAATGGACCAAGTCTGTCACCATGGCTGCCCAATTAGGAAATATGGCCACTTAGTTGTTTGCCATACATCGAGCCGCAACTACTCACGGCTATCCTCTAGAATGTTTTCAAATGGTACTTTCATAACTGCTGTTGAAATAAGAGGCCGTGCTTTCGAACGATGCTCATGTTGCCTTGTAAGGATACTCCTGTTGCTTTCCATAATACCCTTGACATTCAGTCTTATTCCTCTTTCCTCACTCCTTCACTACCCCAAAATGCCTCCCCAACGCATCAGCACCTACATTACCTCCACTAAACACAATACCCAAATCCCATCCCTCCTCGCCCGCCTCCCGCTCCACCATCCGTCTAAAATCCTCGTCAAACAGCACCACCGCCAGCGGCACGCACGCACTCGGCTCAACCACCAGCTTCATACGCTCAAACACAAGCCTCATCGCCGCCACAATCTGCTCCTCCGTCACGCTATACATACCACTCACCAACTTCCTCTCAAAGATGACGCTCCACGGCGCCTTGCCCAGCGGCGTGCGCAGCCCATCCGCAATCGTCAGCGTCTTGACGCTCTCCACACGCTGTCCGCTCTCGTACCCGCGCTTCGCATCGTCTGCGCCTTCAAATGACGGCTCCGAGCCAAATACCTTGATTCCTGTGCCCTCGCAGCTCAGTGCTACGCCTGAGAGCATGCCGCCACCGCCGCACGGTGTGATGATGGCATTGAGGCCCTTTAGTGCAGTACCCGGCTTCGCAGCAGCTTGTAGCTCGCGCACCTGCTCCTGTAGCTCAAGACCCATGGTTCCCTGCCCGAGCATAATGTCTGGATGGTCATAGGGCGGGACAAGCCGCGCGCCCGTCTCAGCAATGACTTTGGCAGTTACAGCCTCCCGCTCCACGGAGGTACTCCCGCTAAAGATGACCTCTGCGCCATAGCCTTGCGTCGCGGCAATCTTTTGAGGCACCGAGATGGACGGCATCACTATGCGGGCTTTGATGTTGTGCTCCTTGGCAGCGAGGGCGAGTGCCTGTGCGTGGTTGCCGGAGGAGTGTGTGATGACGCCCTTTTCGGCGCCGCCGTTCTCGAGGAACCCGGGCTCAGCGAGGAGGCGTTTAACTGCGTGGAAGGCCCCGCGGGCTTTGAAGGCGCCGATGCGCTGGAGGTTTTCGCATTTAAAGAAGAGGCGCAACTTGGGGGCTGCTGCGCCTGGTGCGGTGGGTGTTGAGGCGAGGGCGTCGAGGGTGCTGTTGGTGAGGACGGGCGTGAGGTGGATGTGTGGTTTGATGAGGGCGTGGGCGGCTTCTACGGAGGATCGTGTAAGAGGGAGGGATGTTGCGGGATCCGCCATGTTGATGTTGAGAGTCAAAGATGATGGTGTTGGTGTGGAGGGTGTGTAGAGGTCGGGGTGAGGTCAGGTTCTGTATATGTAGTTAATTAGTTGCTACGTGCGGCTGGGGCATGTAGAATGCGCCCTTTCAGATGGTTGATTATGACAACGTCAAGACTCAGTATGATGCTGTTGCAGTTTGTGGAGTGCGGAGCATTCTAGAAGTTGGGGTGGAGAGCACAAGATCGCGGGGTGAAGGCCGACGTCGGCTCCTTACAAAGAGTCACGATAAGAGAGATTGGTACGATTCAACTTTTTTTTGAATTCATATGCTACACAGCAATGCCAGGTATTAGACTATAAAACAAATAAACAAAACAAAACAGTCCTGGTTTTTTGTGCCATGTTTGCGGCGAAACATGCGCCACTTCTCAAAACGAGAGCGGCTTTGTGTACAATGATGGTATATCCTTTTCCCATTTTTTTTTCTTCGTTATGCTTTTTGGTTGTTGTGCTCATCTGCTGTAATCAGCGTAGACTAGCTTATTTCTGGTTCTCGGGGCGGAGAGAGCGGACGGCCTTGCCGGCTCTCCAGATCTCGAGGTTGCGGATCTCCTCCATCTCGGCCTCGTAGCGCTGGCGGTAGTCGGGCTGGCTGTTGTACTCGAGGGAGCGCTTGGTCTCGGAGCCGTCCTTGACGGAGGTGTAGAGGTCGTCGAAGACAGGCTTAAGGGCGTCCTTGAAGCGGGGGGTCCAGTCGATGGCACCACGGCGGGCAGTGGTAGAGCAGGCCTCGAACATCCAGTCCATGCCGTTGGCACCAATCAGGGGGTACAAGCTCTGAGTGGCCTCCTCGACAGTCTCGTTGAAGGCTTCAGAGGGAGAGTGGCCGCGCTCACGGAGGACCTCGTACTGGGCAAGGAACATGCCGTGGATACCGCCCATGAGGCAGCCACGCTCGCCGTAGAGGTCAGAGTAGACCTCCTTCTCAAAGGTAGTCTCGTAGAGGTAACCAGAGCCAATAGCGACACCCATGGCAATGGCCTTCTCCTTGGCCTGGCCAGTGACGTCCTGGAAGACAGCGAAGGAGGAGTTAATGCCGCGGCCCTCGCGGAAGAGAGAGCGGACAGTGCGGCCAGAGCCCTTGGGGGCGCAGAGGATGACGTCAATGTCCGTGGGGACCTCGACCTTGGTAAGGTCCTTGAAGACGGGCGAGAAGCCGTGGGAGAAGTAGAGGGTCTTGCCCTTGACGAGCTGGGGCTTGATGGCGGGCCAGGTCTCGGACTGGGCGGCGTCAGAGAGAAGGTTCATGATAATGGTACCCTTGCCAATGGCCTCGTCGACCTCAAACAGGTTCTTGCCGGGGACCCAGCCGTCCTGGATGGCGTCCTGCCACGACTTGCCGTTCTTGCGGACACCAATGATGACGTTGAGGCCGTTGTCGCGGAGGTTCAGGCCCTGGCCGTGGCCCTGGGAGCCGTAGCCAATGAGGGCAAGAGTGTCGTTCTTGAAGTACTCGAGGAGCTTCTCCTGGGGCCAGTCGGCACGCTCGTAGACCTCCTCCTTGTGGCCGGCAAAGTCCATGGTCTTGACACCACGGACCTGCTGGCGCTGAGGACCGGCAGGGCGGGCGGTGACGGCAGCACGGAGAGCAGAGCGGGCGACCGAGTAGGCGGCGCGCTGCTGGACGGGGGCGACCAATTGGCGGGCCATGGAGGCGCGCATGGTCTTGGAGAAAGCTCTGGAAGCCATTGTGTATATGTGTGTGTATGTGTGAAGAGGAAGAGAGAAAAGGAAGAGTGGAGATGGGTCTTTCTTGTTCAATTAAGAAAAGAAGAAGATGGTGATGAGAGATGATGAGGAGAGTTCGAAAAAAGAAGTGAGGGGAAACAAAGCTTCTTTTAAACAGACAGACCACACACCGGCAACCGGGGGCGGACAGCCCAAAAAAAGTGAGACAGCTGGCAGCTGTGTTCCTGGAACCGGCGGCCACTCCACAGCGGCTTGGCTGCGAGCGGCGGAGGGCCCGATCTCGGGGACCAGCAAGTCTCCCCGGAGTGATTGGGCAGCAGATGTCTAGCCATTATTCACACTCCTAAAAAATAATTGAACCTCCTGGTAATTCATAATACATCTAATTGACTGCCCTCAAAATTTTCAAATATTTTATTATATGCTCTACCATTACGTTTGACGCTTCCATCATTCTTTACATTCCAGCCAAACTGCATGTGCTCTTCTGCAACCGCACCCATCTCCAAGTCTTCTTATCGCAGCCCTTGCTCCGGAGCTGCTCAACTCTCCCCGGAACCCCACTTTTCTGCCCTCCCACAACACGCTTTGCTGACCTTTACAGCGCCCCAGGCCCCCCTAAAGGCTCGCCTGGAACCCCACGCACAGCGGAGGCCAGTTTTTCCCCGCTACAGCAGGCTGGCTACCCCCCCCGGACCTGCGATAGCGGAAGAGCCGCATCACCGGGGTGCGGATCGGAGCCAAGCTGTCGTCGGCTTGTGAAAGGATGATTTAAATGCGGAGGGGGTGACTCAACGGCGATGTTTCGGGGCGGGGGAATTGGAGACGAGCGGAATGATTTGGAGATTTGTCGTTGTGCGCCGGCGCGGGACGGGTACTCGAGTTTGCCTCACAGGACGCTGTCAGTCCCGATCAAACTCTACAACGTTGATGACATGGTCCTCCAATCGCGAAAAACTCAATCGAATAGCGGGCATTTCAACCGTCCTCGACGACCGGCCGAACACTTTTACAGTTATACGTCAAAAGATGCTTTCTCGAGAGGACACCCTCAAGGTTCACCGCAGGGAAGACAAGCAGCACCAGCTTCACTACATGGTATGCCGTCGTATTGTAACGCTTACTAGAAAACAAAATCAACAAACTCTATAAGAAAAAAATAAAAAAAGACATAGCCTCGTCCCATCTGCCATACTCTCTGCAGTACTGCTCGTCGAACAAGGCGCCTAGGAGAACCCAGTAGATAGAGACCAGACCAGTACCACCCGTCCCTCATGCGCAGCGCTTCCCAAATGATTCTTTTTTTAGCGTCATCGTCGTCCATCGTTATGCTGTCTGTCTGTTCGCCGCTGACCACATCCCTCACGAGCCTCGTAGTCGGGTGTTATACGTCTCATATAAACGAAGCGTATCCTCTCGTAGCCGCCCATTTTTCGTCTTTTGCTGACCAATCTTTCCTTCTCTATTTCGTCACACGATCGTAGCTCTTCCCCTTGACCACACCGCCCGTCATAGCCGTCCTCACATTCCTCTTAAACGCCTCGCGGTTACTCCTCAGATCCTCCGCAGCCTCTTTATTGAGGGGATCCGAGGCATTCGGCTCCAGAAATAGAAACTGCAATCCCACAATCACCGCATTCAGGTTCAGCACGGGCTTCCAGTCCTCACGCAGGATGTTGAGGCAAATCTTGCCCTCGACGTCAATGTTGGGGTGGTAGATCTTCTCCTGGCACAGCACCTTGGGCGGCTCGTGCGGGAAGCTCTGGTTGATGGCAAAGTCGAAGGTGAAGCGGCCGCCGCGGTACATGCCCTCGTCGGGCTCAATCGTCAGGATAAAGTGCAGGATGTTGTCGGGGTCGGGGAACTCGGTCGACATGGTTGAGCCGAGCGACAGCTCAGACAGATCTGCGTGTGCGCCATCAGTTAGCAAACTGCTTCTTCTTTTTCCTCTTTTCTGCTAAAAGGCCTCAAGCCCAGTTCCATAAATACCTTTCTGAACGCGCAGCTGGGCTGCCGTGACTTTCTTCTTCTTGCCACCCGCCGCGGCACCCTCTGCATTCTCCGCCTCCTTTTGCTCTTTTTTCTAAAGCGCAACTGTTAGCGTGGCCGCACATACACAAAGGAAAGTATACTAGTAGATAGTAGCAACTAAATTGCCCTATCGACCCGGGGCGGTAGGACGTACCATGGACCAAATCTTCAACATCTTGTCCGTTGGGTGGCGCACGGCCCGTTGGTTTCCTCCTAGAACGGGTTAAGTTGGGTGCGTGTGTGCTCGTGCCGGAAGGGAATTCTGCAGGAGCAGCTTGTATCGCTAGAAATCCGCTGCTACTGCTGGAGCAAAAGTAAAGTCACCGAGGAGGTCGTTGTTTGTGCCAGAGTCACGATTGTCAGCGCTTGGCGATGCTCGTAGCTAAACTAGGCAGACTGACGCATGCCCTGGCCTCGTCGGTGTGGTGGCGGGGTGAATGCGCCCCGCGATAAGATAAGCCAGCCAGCCGTCTTCTGGGTCATCCGTCACGTCACTCACACCCAGCACCCGAGGTTTAGACGACGCCTACTGCACACTACAAGACAAAATTATAAGGGAAAGTTACAGTGTTCAAAATACCTGAGAATAGTACGTTACAATATGAGGTATCTGCAGTAAAGGGAATAAACGAGAAATTATAAAAAAAAAACACAACCAATCTGTTCCGCAATGTGCGTAGAATATAACGCTGGTGCGGAGCCGCTTTCCAAATGCAAATGTCGTTTCCAAGGGCCATCTTTTTCCTTCGACGCCATTCATTACTAGAAACGCTGCTCCTCTTTACACTTTTTGTTTTTTTTTTGTTTTTGTTCTTTCGCTGTGGTCCGATCATCTGCGGGCGAAGCAGCACATGAGACCAGTCTTGCCCAAGAACCAGAGGAAACCAAAGAATCGGACAAGAGACAAGACAGCCGTGGCGTACAGCAGGAACTTGAAGAAGTTGGCGGTACGGACCGACGAGGAGTGCTGTACAAGAAGAGTTAGTCAGGAAAGAGTTCAAAAAGAGTAGATAAGACAAAAAAAAACTTACGCCGATGCCGAATGCGTTAAAGTTGTCGCTGGTGATGACAACGACAAGGAACATGTTGGAGAACAACCACGAGACGACGAGGCCGGTACGGAAAGACTTGTACGAGTCTTCGACGTCCTTGGCCTCAACCTCCTCCGTCTCCTTAAACGGAGCAAGAGCACGGCGCACAGTTTGCTCAAACTGGCTATCGATATCTTCTTGCTCCTTTTCGATTTCTTCTACAACCACCTCGTTCTTCTCGCCCTTGGTAATGTTGGCAGAAGGCAGAGCCTCGGCCTTGTCCGAACCCTTTGTACCCCACGACACATCGTGCCAGTTGTTGAAGGCGTAGACCATGAGGATGTTTATGTAGGTGGACATGAGCAACAGGTAGTACGGGAACGAGTGGAACATGTGCCACGGGTCGAGGTACAGGAACGAGGCGATAAAGTAGAGACCGTAAATGGTGACCAGGGCGACCAGGATAACACCAGCAGCGCTAGAGCCGGAAAAGAAGCTTCTCACAAAGTCGGCACCAGTGTCAATGTTAATTTGCTGGGAAATTGGCGTTGAGAAGGCTTGACCAATGAGGTAACCAGAAAGAACCAAGATGTAGGCCTGGATGAGCGAGAAGACCATAAAGGAAGCAAGATAGGTGAACTTGGAACCCTTGGGTCTGTTACCCAAAGCAAGGATGAACTGCAGGATGACAAAGGCGAGGTATAGGTACTTGAGCAAGGCGTTGACAATGGGCGTAGCAGTGTCACCAAACGGCCAGCCGTGATGCTCGCTGGCAGTGCTAGAGCCAACAACGGGGTTTCCGACAAGGTCCATGATGACGGTGGTGGTAAGGTAGTACGAAGAAAGCGAGAACCAGGTGAAGATGACGTTGAGAATGTTGTAAATCAGCTGAATGTGGAAAAAGAACATGCGAATCAGGTTGTGGCCACTCTTGTACATGCGGCCAAAGTGCATGAGCGAGTAGAGCGAGGCAGCAAACGAACCGTTGAGCCAACGACGACGCTGGCTGATGAACTCGGCAGCGCCTTCAGGCACATCAGTCTCACCCTTGGCGGCCTTGATGTAGGACAAGTGCCACTTTTGGCCGGCCTTGGCGACCAGCTCGAAACAGAGGATACGATCCTCGGCCAAGAACATGTTCTTTTTGAAAATGTTCATGCCATCAATACCCTTCTTACCAAGCATCTTGGAAAGCGTGTGGTCACCATGGAAGTACTGCTCCAGAGGGCGACCCATGATGGCACGGAAGCGGTAGGCCGAGAAGGCACCGGGCAACACACTGACGTAACCAAACGAGGACTCGAGAGGCTTGTCAAGAATGTTGGAAATCTTGTACTCAAAGTTCTGGACGGCAACAAGGGGGTTGAGCAGCTTTTTGCCGCCCTTGCCCAACATGGCGTGGATTTCACCACAGGCACCGCCGAGATCCTTGTCGTTGTAGAAGCCCTCCCACAAGGCGAGGAGCGAGCGGGGGCTGGGCTTGGTACCAGCATCGAGCAAGATGCACACCTCTGGGTTGAGGATGCGGCCAAAAGCGTTGAAGAGCCATCTATGGGAGTTGATCTTCTTGCTGTTCTTTTGCTTCAAACAGAAGATAAACTGCACAGGGGGCAGGTTCTGGGGGCTGTCACCCGTGGGGCGGATCAGCTGCTGGCTAGGGGTGACGGAGAGCTGCGAGGTGTACTCGAAGATGTGAGCAACAGTCTCCTTGCCGTCAACGTCCTTCTTGACGACACCATCCTGGTAGATACCGAGGGTGGCGAGCACGTCAAGGGTGTTCTTGTCGGCCTTTTCGATACCGTCAAAAACCAAGCAGACGACAATCTTTTGCCAGGCAGGGCCGCCCTTGTTCCAGAAAGTAGACTTCTTGAGGTTGACAATGTCGCGGATGTTTTGCATGACACCGTGGAGGGTTCTCGACAAGAGAACCTTGTCTTCGTTGTAGTAGGTAATAGCGATGAGCAACTCAGTGTGTCTGTTATACATGCGAGGGCGCAAATCGTAACCGTTCTTGAGCGTAAAGTCGTTGGGGTCGCAGGTGGCGGCAGTGTATCTCATCTTCATGAATTCCTCGTTGCCGCCCTCGACATCGCGGTACTGTGGCTGAACAGCATGCTTGATAGCACTAGGAACGGGGTAGTCGATGCTCAGGACGGAACCTTGGACAAGCTTGACTTTACGGGTGTTGAAGCGCTTCAGGCCACCGCCGCGGCCAACATTGTTGGGCTGCTGCTGACGCTGGACCCAGCTGTCGTGGTCATCCTCGACGTCAATTGTGGACATGGGGCGACCATAGGGGAAACCGCCCTGGTCTTGGCCGTACTGGCCAAATTGGCCCTCGCCGCCAAAGTCACCACCGGGATGGTTGATGACGGGGACGGGGGGGCCGCCGTGGGCACCAGCACTGGGAGCGTACGACTCGGACAGTGTGTATGCCGACACGGGGCGGTTGTGGTGGCCAATGTCCTCAGCGCCCAGGCGGTCGTGGTCGTAGCCGTGGGTGGGAGGCTCATTGAGAAGGTAGCGTTCAGCCTCCTCGTCGTGCTCCTGGGGAGGCATATGATACTAGAAAAAAACAAAACAAGGCTGCGGTCAGCTGTGGCTCAACCAGCAAGGTGTGTATGTACGTGCGTGCGTGCGTTTGCGTGTGCAGCCAGCCGCACACACTACTAGGGCTGACACTGGGGAGAGTGGACTTACGCTGCCTCCAGGGGGGAGATCGTGAAGCTGATGACCATTGTCATAGTCGTGGCCGTGGCCCTGCTGGCCGTGGCCGGCGCCGTTGTACGCCATGACTGCTGCTGCTGCGGCTTGAGGAGAACAAGTCGGACAAGGCGCTGGTGATGCGCTGGTGAAGGGTGGTAGTGGTGGTAGTGGCCGCCGATAAATTTAGAGCGAGGGCAAAGGGGACCCGGAGAATAAGCTCTGGCGGACGAAGCAAGATGAGCGAGCGAGCCTAAGGGTCTCTCGGACGTTGCCCAGTGGATGTGTGGGCAAATAGGAGGAGTCTTGATGGTGAGGAATGTTGAATCAGGAGAGGCAATCGGGATTCTGGAACAGCGAGCTGTGCGTGCCGGTGTCGTTGTCGTGCGTTGTTGTCGTTAGCTAAAAGGATGGATTAGGTATAGCGAGACGGCAACAAGGAAATAAAAGATGCACAAAGAAACAAAAAAGGGATAAAATGAAGAGGATAGGATCGGGAGGAGTGAAGATGGTGGGTGTGCTGATGGTTTTGTGAAAGAAAAAAAGAGATGCAGCAGCAAACAAGGTGGCAAGGAAACAAGAGATGACAGCTGCGGCGCTTGGGGAGAGAGCTGTGCTGTGCCTCGTTTGGTTCCCACTCTCCATAACCGGCCTTAGCGCAGGCACACAGCGCAATCGCGAGGCTAAGGGAGCGGCCGCACCCAAGAATAGGGGACGGCAGCCCACTGAACAGCGCTGCTGAGCCACGCTGGCCTCCCCCCCAGCCCGCCATGAGCTCCACTGACCAGGGGGCCAGTGACGCGCGGGCGTGTTGGGTGGTGCTGTGCGCTCTCGCGACGACGTCAGTCCGCCCTTTACGAGGAGGGATGAAGAAAAGGAAGAGAATAGACAAAGGGCAGATCAATTCAATTTGCTTATTGCTTTTTATTTTTACTGAACGATTGAATCTGTAGGTTTTTATTCCCTAGCAAAAAAAAAGAGAGATGCGCTGGGGAGTATTGATGGCTGCTGCCGTTGCATTTACACGAGAGAAAATAGTACCAGTCGTACACTCTCTTTTACGACAATGGTAACAGCAGCACATCCGACTTACCATTGACTCGAGCATCTCTACTTTCGTGGCAAAAATATAAGCTCCTATACAGATGGGACTATTTTGTTGACTCTAAAGTTTCGTTTCGCCCGCGGTGAACATCGAATGGCAACATAGGGGATCGCAGGGAGGCAGTTTGATAGAGCTTCCAGGGAGCATGTGCCTAGCCTGGCTGACAGCCGCGTCCATCCAACAGCGCCAAACAACAACAAGCTGTGCTCATCTATCTGCTTGATTCATCTACTATTTTTTTCTTCTTTGACTTTATTTCGTACTAGACTCTTCACTAGATGATCAATTCGCCACTCTTTTAAAAAAAAATTAATATACATCCTCGCACTGCCAAGTGATCGCTGCTCGCATCCGCTGAACCAAAAAAAAAACCTGCCTGGGCCCCTGCTCCCCACATGCGAAACAACATGGTACCTGACGTATGTGCAATCTCCCCATACTGCCGCATGTACCTTAATTATTCCGCTCGCACCTCGTAAGACATCAACCCGGAACGCGCAACCCTTTTTTTGGCGAGTTCTCCTTTCTCAATTTCTTTTAGGGCTTCTTTTCTACTGTGACAGTGCCAATTGACTGCTCTTTACATACCAGCTTTTTTTCTTCCGGCCTCTCTAATCATCTATAGCCGAACAATATCTTTGTGCATCTGACTGCTAACGTATGCCTCGCTCTGCCCGTGGCGGCACAGCCCGCAGACGTTTTCGCAGCCGTATTCCAAAAATAGCAACACAGAACCGTTGTTCTCTTTGGGGCGGTGCACCACAGCATACATGGTCAGGATCTATTCACGGCTACAGCACCTGTGCATATTACCGCCCTGGCTGATTCCTTTTTGTTTTCTTTCCGTGAACCCGGCTGATGCGCTTGTTGCCACCGATCGGATACATTGCATCCGCCTTTTTCGCTTCGTCGATTGGCTTTTCCGCACGTCGTATCGACTGCTTCCTACTGTTGGCCCCGGCTATAGGTGCCATCGGCAGCGATGCAACGCGTTTGCTCTACCATCCCGCCACCAACTTACAATTCACGGTAAACCAATCTAGGTCAACACCGGGAGACGGCTAGCACCTGTAGTACTGTAATTAGCTTGTGCTGCGACTGCCACCGCTGCTGCGGCTAGGATTGGCCCATGATGCCAGGCTGTCGCGTAAGGCTCCCGTCAGGCTGCTGGGATTGTCAACCACACAGACGTGTCTGAGCGACATCGCCTAATGCAGCCGCAAAGACAATTTTGGGTTCATTTTAGCATGCAGTAGTGTTGTTTTCTATATCGGGCACACTCCTTGTCTGATAATCCTACAATCATTGGATATCTTAGTCGTAGCACCCTTGTACCCTTTTAGCCAGCGCCTAACTTCGAGGCTGGTTGGCTGGTTGGCTGGCTTGCTTGCTGGCTGGCTTTGCTGGCTGGGCTCACTGTCTGTGCGGACTGGGTCAGTCGACAGAAGACCACTTCGATATGGGGACAAGACTGACCTCTCCACACAGTGACAGACAGCAAGCGGCTAAAGTAAGTGGAGGGAGGTGGTGAACAAAGTGCGTGGATTCCTTTTGCCTACGCCTGGAACGGCATGATGTGGCAGGTGAAGAGCCTGAGGTAGTGGTTTTAGGATGAAGCAGCAGCGGGCATGAGTAGCAGCTTTCGTGTACACAGACCACATCTTTATGCAGCACCCGCAAGCAGCTGTGCTGGGCCTTTTGTGGCCAGTCTGTTTTGGATGGCGGGCATCTCCACCAACCAGCGCAACCCTAGAGTTGCCAGCAACGCGACATGTTTGCAGAGTTTGCACCCCAGGTAGCATTTTTCGGCCAACTGTAAAATATCATTGTGAATTTATTTATTTGGGCAATGTGCTAAACCCAAAAATTGTTGACATTTCTGTCGCGGCGGATGAACAACCCCCTTTTCCATTCTGCGGCTTTATCGAAAGATGCATCAGGCGATGCTGACGGAGGCGGACCCAGATCCAATTGGCCCTAGTTGGCCGATCACGGTTTCACGTTACAGCGTGGCATTCTACCGAGCTTCCGCGGGAGATGGGGAGGTTGATTCCAAAAAATGGACACAGTGCCGCTCAGAGACCAGTTGCTCGCTAGCAGCAGTATTGGTATTAGCAGTGCTACCAGCAGTAGTAGAACTCTGCGGCAGAGACACGAGTTGCGATTGCTATGTGGACATTGAGCCACCGGAACCTGTTGCCGACAGGTGTATCATACATTGCAATACTAGGCATTCATTCCGCCATAGCCAAAAAGCAACGAGCAGCTGCCGGATACGCGGCCCTGGGACAAGGGGGCAGAATACGGGCTTGGCTGGGCAATAATGACGAAAGCTGAGGCCAGATAGGAACTCTAGAGCTGCAATTGTCTCTGCCAAACTACAAGTCTCAGTACACAGTCAGTAGGAGCAGCACCGTAGTGCCCGCTCAGCGTCAAAGACAAACAATAGGGGCGGATAAGAAAGACAGCGTCGGCCGTCCGTTTCGTACTGTACACACACCGTTGAACGTGCGCAGGTTATCAGGCTAAGCACGCAGACAGGCTGGTTAGCTGGCTGGCATCAGACCTAAACCGGGCCAACTGGAATGCAATCAACGTGGACTTTGGTTAGGTACGCGACGCGGCCAAGTAAAGAGGTTTCACCCTGACGTAGGCCAAAATCCGCAAGTCGAATCGCGATAACGGCACTGTACTGTACAACAACACTCGCTAACAAAATGAAAGGAACAAAAAAAGGAAACTGAACGCCTGCTTACAAAGTTGATGGCTCGCTAAAATGGAGTCGACCACGGGGGCCCTGGTGGTCTAGACACGGCAGCTTCATGCAAGCTTTGGTTGCGCAGCGCAGCGCATGGCTAGCGTCGAGCGTGCAGAAAAAGCCACTGTGCAGGGAAGCGCTGGTGACACAGTGCGTCACGGCAGCCTGCTCGGCACTGTGCATCATTTGGATTGCAATTAATGGGCTCCAGCGTGCCACAGCCAATGAGAGCCGCTGCAGCGCCCTTGCTATCTTGGGCGGAGACCTCCATTACGCGAGCCTTGCACGGCCAGGAACCACACTGTGCCACACCAGAAGGGCAGCCAGCCAGCACGCACCCGCCTGAAAGGCTCCGAACTACAGTACAGTGCGGACAGCGCTCGGGGCCTCTCTCTCTACAGTAATACCCACCCAACCCACCCACACAACGTGCGTGGTTTCTGCGTGGCGTTTTTCTCTTTGCTTGTCTTTCCCTTCAGGGCCGGCCCCTCCCCTGGGCGCTTGGGCCTCCCCTGTACTGCTCGCACTGTCCTGCTACAGTGGTCTGCTTCCTCCCACCTGCGCCTGAAGGGGACCGGACGGGCTGGGTTTGCGCTGAAACTGCTGGGCTCCCCTTTGGCCTCGCATTTGCTTTTTGAACCTCGCACCCCCGGTCGCCTTGCTTAGTTTCTCAAACTCTCGCCGTTTCGCAAAATCATTAGCCCCGGCTGATTATCCATCGAAACTGCGTTGTTTTGCTGCTGATCACCACTGCGTTTTCGCCTGTTGCGCAGCCCCCAGCGCCCTTTAGCTCCCCGTGGATCGTCCCAAAATCAAAACGTTCTTCTAGCAACATACTTGCTCTCTTGTGCTGGAACGGTTCGTTTTCGGTTTGTTCGGGTGACCATCTAGAATTCCAACTATTATACATTCATTCATTTCCTTGTTTTCGATTTCTTTCTTCTTCAAGAGCTAGGCCTCTTGCTTTTGTTTCTTTGCCCCTTTGGAACCGCCAACGACCAACGAGCCTTTGTCGACGGACCACAACAACAATAAAACCCCGTTCACTACTACCGAACCCGAGACGAAAAAGCACCTTTCGACAACATGGCTGGTGTAAGAATGAGATTCGAAAGAGACGCTGTTGCGCGTAAGCCCATATCCTATTCACCCGACAACGCTTAGAACATTGTCAACTAACAGTGGCTCTTCCAGAACTCTTTGTGAGAGACGAGCAGTGCCCTCCGCTTGTCTGCCCGCCGTGCAAGAGCGGCGAGTCGTGTACATTCATCGCCAAGTCTGCCACACAATGCTCCAAGGCCATCTGCGTTGCCGACGACGCGAGCAGCGGTGGCAGTAAAGGCCCCGGCGCTGGCGCCATTGCCGGCGGTGTCATTGGCGGCATCGTTGCCGTCGCCATCCTAACATACCTTGTCTGGAAGTTCCTCATCAAGCCCAAGCGCTCCTCCGACACGGCGACCACGCTGCACTCGTCCGTCTTTGAAGCCGACAACAGCACCATTGGCCGCGAAGAAAAGGCCGAGAGTGTGCCTCTGCAGCGCCGCAACTCCACGACCACTGTGCACTCCATTGCGTCCACCGTCCTCACACGCGCCTCCAACATCATCCAGATTGCCTACATCCCCGGCGTCACCGGCAGACCCAACACCGGCAGTAACAACAGCCACCCGTCCGACGTGCTCGTGCCCCCCGTGCCTCCCATGCCAGGCAGCAACCACGGCGAATACCCCTACTACGCCGGCGCCAGCGAGGCCCGCAACTCGACATACTCTGGTTTCTCAGGATACTCGGAAGCCCCCTCGCACAGCGTTGCCGGCAACCGCTCGAGCATTGCATCCACCATCTACGGCCGCCAGGCTCAGGTCCAGAACCCAGCGCAGGCCGGCGTGCGCGCCAAGCCCACCGTCGTGAGCGTCAAGGGCAGCGGCAACACGCCGCCCATGAACCAGGACGCCGAGCGCTTCGCCGACCGCCCCGAGAGCACGTTCAGCTCCGTCAGCCTGACCTCGACAATGCTCAACAGCGCCAACACGGCCATGCCGGGCCGCGCCCAGGTCGTCAAGGTCGGCATCAAGAAGACGAGCCCCAGCCAGCGCTCCGATGCCACCTCGTCCACTACTTCCATTGCCATCTCGTCGGTCGAGAGCGAAAAGGAGGTCGTCACCCCCGAGATCCTCCAGACCATGACCCTGCCCTCCATTGCCTACTCGCCTCCCACAGACCCTAGCCCCTTTGCCGACCCGCCATCCAATGTCGCCCAGCGCCCCTCGCTGGCCGATATCAAGGAGGAGAGCTCGAGCAGCCTACCAAAAAATGCTAGAAGCCCTTTTAGCGACGAGCACGCCACTAAGTAGGGCTTTCTAGTTGTTTTGTTGTTTTGGTGTCTCTACCATACAGGAGTAGAAGCGTTGAAGGCGTGTGCATTTCCTGGGTTGTCTCATTTTGGGGTTTGATTTTTTTTCGGCACAAAGGAAGCGAGTACGTACATGTTGGATCTACGAAGTTTACGGAGTCTTTTTTTTGTTATTTCATTGCGGAGTACAACTGTTGGGGAATCTATTTTTCTTATCTTCATTAGACGACTGCCATTGTCGTCCAGGGCTTCGCTCCCATCATCCCTTTTTTTTTTATTATATATATCTTGCCCTCCTTTTTCACTGGACTTGCGCAGACGCAACCATTTCTTTACCTGTTACATAAAAAATATACACACTTTTTTTTTGTTATCATCACACTGCGCCTGGTATACCGTGGTCTTATAAGACACCAACCCATGCTATAAGAGTAAGCACGAAGCCAGCCGGCATCGTGAATCGCCACGCCGCAGAATCAAGTGCCGTGGCCTAGCTGCATGTGACCACTATATCGACAAAAGCAAGCTATTCCCGCGCGCGACAGAACAGACCATGGCGCCGCCACCAGGTGAGGTTCTGTCAAAGTTGACTCGTCAACACCCGTGACGCCGGCGGAGGTGCAAAGCTCCAGCTGCGGCGTCAAGCTTTCTTCTTCGAGACAACAGCAAAACAAGATTAGAGGAGAAAGAAAACATAAAATGGTCTTTTAATATGAGTTAAAGTTGCCTCCTAAGCCCCCCCTTTGTAGACTTTCCCGTGGAGACTCCCACGAAACCTAGTCTATCATCCCAAATCATCTCTGCGTCGTTTTGTTCTTGTATATAAAAAAAGGGTTTTCTTTTCAGTTTTCAAAAAAGGTAAAATAAAGAAGAGGCGAAGACAAGGATTTCCACACAAAAAATAGATTTAGGCCGCCCTGAGATAGAAAAAACAAGAATCGCAAGCAGGTGTCCAAAAAACGCGGGGAGGGAGAAACGGATGCGCGAGCTGCTGCTGGATGTTGCGAGCGTTCGCGCTGCTCTATAAATTGCAAAGGAGGAAGAGGAGGATATGGTGGTAGTGGTGGTGGTGATGGTGACTTGTTTGTGGTTATATGCCCATGGGGGAGAAGCTGTTCTGACAATATCAACGAGAGGCATTCGGTCTTTTTTGATACGCAGACAGTCCGGCTCTCTCCCAGTAGACGCTGCTCCACGGTTGTATTTATTTCGGTTTTTAGTAGGAAGAGAGGGGGGGAAAATGAGGAAGAAAAAAACGATTCGTTCGTAGCCATTGCGTTAAATAGTCGTAAAACCTAACACCCGTGAAGTAGAAGAAGAAAAGAGGAGCGAAGAAAGCAGACGAGCTTTTTCTTTGGATTCCATTCTTTTGATGCGCCATTCGCCGATTCGAGTAATTGGGGGGGGGTTGTGCTGTCCGGTGTAAAAGCCATTACCATGCGCCGCTGAGGGCTGATAATGTCCGTGCGGCACATGCGATTATCACAATACCGGGTTGGGTAGTGAGATAAAAATGAGGAGGAGTAAGAACGGTGTCGGGGTTGGGTAGTGTTTTGGGTTTATAAAATAGTGCATCTTGAGCGACGCTCGCCATCCTTGCCACGTCTGGGCTTGCCAAACTGGCTATCACGGCCCAAATCGCCATTGCCGGTGCGAGTGCGGCCGCCAGCAGCGCCAGAGCGGCGAGTTGTCTGTTGACGTTGGCGGCGGAGGATGCGGACCACGTCGTAAAAGGCCTTTTCCACATGGACACGGTTCTTTGCTGACGTCTCGACAAACTCACAGCCGAGCTCACGGGCGAGGGCATGACCTTCTTGCGTCGACACCTCGCGCTCCGTGACCCTGTCACTCTTGTTACCGACGAGCATGATGGGGGCTGGCAGCTGCGGGTTGGCTGTGGAGATGGGCGATCCTGGGTACGAGGGCGACGAGGCGCACGACTCCTTGACTCGCTGGATCTGGTGGTGGAAGCGCTTGATTCGCGAAAAGGAGGACCGGGAGGTGATGCTATACACGAGGACGAAGCCTTCGCCGTCGCGGATCCATTGGTCGCGGAGGGCTGTATATTCTTCTTGGCCGGCGGTATCAAGAACCTCGAGCATGCAAGGATGGTCATCGATGACCACTTGCTTTCGGTATTGGTCTTCAATGGTCGGGTCGTACTGCAGAGAGAGCGTTTGCGATTAGCCATCGGCTTCAATGTGCGGAGCAAGTCGTACAAGAACAACAACGACAATAACAGTGAGTGCGCAGCAGCTCGGAGCGGCTTGACGGAAGCTATTCCCCGCGTGCGTTGGTCGCCTGCCACAAAACGACAAGAGCACAATCAGAGATGCATCATCTCCAACGTGCAGCGGTAAAGGCATGTGCCGAGGAGGTAGGCTTTGGGAAGAAAAAAGGCCTTGTGACGGGGGAGGAGCTGGAGCTTACCGTTTCTACAAAGTGTTCCAAGCAGAGCTGGATTGTCAAGGCAGTCTTGCCGACACCGCCATCGCCGAGGACGACAAGCTTATAAAGCACCGTGCGGCCGGGCATGATTGTATGATTCTGTATCGCTAGGAAGCTATCGTGGGCGAGACCGTGGGGGTGGACAGGAGCGGCGATGGAGAGCAATGTCCACGAGGTCGAAAGCTGCGAAGACGGGGAGGAGATCGGATGAGGGGGTGTGTAGCGGGCGGCGGACCAGTGCTTGGTGCTGCTGCTGCAGAAGGGGAGTGGCGAAGCGACGAGAAGCAAGGCGGATAAGAGATCGAGGAGAGGAAGAGGGAGTAGGAGCTGGTTTGGCGGGCGGAAGATTGGGCGGCGTTGTCGAGAGACGAAGCAGAGTAAGAAGGTGTTAGGAAAAAAAATATGCAGGCCGCTGGCGGGCGGAGAGGAGGAAGATGTGCGTGGGCGTTTGTGTGGTGGGCGTCGGCGTGTGGTTGGTGGTGGTTTATGGTGGTGGTGTGTGTGGGCTACAGGCTTTCCCGGCTGTGGAGGCCCGCTGGAAGGGAGGGGGGAGGGGGCGAGTGAGCGACGACGGCGAGAGAGAGAGAGAGCGAAAGAGGGGGAAGGGGCTAGGCCAGAGTCTACTGTAGGTGGTGCTGTACGGCAGTCTACAGTACAGTGCTGTGCTGTGTTGGCGTTAGCTGTTGCTACTGGTGGTGGTTGTGGTGGTGCTTGCTGGAGCGAGCCCACCACAAACTGGAGAAAAGGGCGCTGGAGCAGGAAGGGAACAGGCAGATCCAAAGAGTGGAGACGGGCACAAGCGCGGGAGAGACATGGGCAGGCGAACGAGCGCCAAACTGCATTGGGAACTGCTGCAGCTGGCTAAAAAGCTCCCCAAGAGCCACAGCGGGCAGTTAGCGCTAACCAGGCCCCCCCGGTGGGCAGGCGCCACTGAAAAAAAAAGACCACCAGTGGATCAGTGGCTCTGGGTCCCCCCTCAGGGCTTGTGCTTCTTCCACTTCCAGTGCTGCTGCTGCTACGCGATTGCTCTCGGTAGCTAGAGGGTCCCCCGCTTCGCTGTTTAGCTGGCGGACACAGCGCTGAGTGGGGGCAATCTGTTTTTCTTCTTCCTTGCTCCAGTGAGAGACACAGGGCACTGTCCACTGGAAGAAGCAGCGGGTGGCTGGCTAAATCTGAGGGTGGGTTAGGCGGCCCTTCGCTTGGTTATTATGGTGTTTTTGTTGAGCGAAGGTATATTAAAAAAAAACCAGAAAGACTTGCCAGGTGCTGCCAGGTGTCAAACCTGTCTCTGTCAAGACCTGCGAAAAAAAGTGAAGAAAATTTTTGTTCTCTTCTTCCTCAACAGTAATGTACGGGTCTTAGAAATCTGTCTGCTGCAGCAGCAATCTCCAGTGACTAGCATTGCTTGGTGCTTGGCCAACCCAGCCCGGCCGCGGAAACAAGCTTGAATACAAGAAGTAAACCCAAAATCAGCACCTTAACCTTGGAAATTGATACGCTGCTACTGCGAGTACTGCACCACTGAAACCACCAACCCTAGCACCCCCCCCCTCGGAGATACCTGTTTTTAGAATACTCGCCGCGAGGATGAACATCGTCTTGCTTTTTGGCCTGGGCATGATGATACATGGCCAAGACGAATTGCACGACAAAAGGTGACGCAGGGCTCCAATAGTGCTGTCAAAATATGGCTCGCCAAAGCAAACACGCAGACGCTCGCATGCAGCAGGCAGATGCACTGTCTACATACGGCATCAGCAGCAGCAGTTGCAGCAAGGCTTTATCCTTAGCGGGCCAGCCGCAGCCCGTAACAAAGAAGCAATGTTGTTCGCCAAGGAAACAAAGGAAAAAGGAAATAATACACAAAGAGGCAAAAAAAAAGAGACAGCGGGCGTTGCCACACCAGACACACCGGCCCGCCGCGTGACTAGACTACAAGTCTCGATCGATACTCCCTACACACGGTTCGTTCCCGAGTCGTGACCTCCAGCTGAAGCCGATTCTGGCGGCTCTCGCATACGCTCACTCACTCCCATCTATCTACAAGATGCCTGGCTGTCTGCCTGCCTGCCGCCTGGGCATGCTGTACCCGCGTGGATACCAGCAGCAGCAGTGTCCTGCGCATCAGACGCCCAGTCGACACATCAGCGTTGCATCTTGCGATAGAGGCATTCTGTGCCCCGAGCTTTGAGCGCTCAGCAGGCGAGAATAGGCAAAAGATGCACTCCGAGCTATTCGCCAGCCCCGTTACGCAGACGAGCGTTGTTGGCGACCCGCTCTACTAATCCAGCAGAGGAACTAAACCAACACTAGACTGGGATAGGAAGCGCTAGGTAGGCGGCTTTGTTTGGCTTTGATTTGCTGATAAGGCAAGGAGTCGCTTGACCACGAAAAGAAATAAAAATATAGACGAGGCGTTCCATGCTGATATATTGGCACCAGAAATATTGACCTTCTTCTACATTGACTCCATCGCAGACACTATGGCCCTGGCGGCCTCTTCAGGCGCCATGTTCGTCACCTCAAGCTCCAACCCGATACCACCTGGGAACTTGTATATTGTCGAGTCGTCGAGAAATTCATTGACGAGCTTGGCATCCTTGAGCTTGAGCTTGGTAGTGGTCCCCGCTTGCCGGTCAGGGCTTGCCAGTCGAGCCATGAGCTCGTCTCTCGAGCACGATAGATAGACGGGCAGAAACGGTCGACCGGCCTTTTCTGCTGCCGTCTTTTGCGCCGCCGACACCTCTTCACCTATTTTGCCAACGGTCAAGAAATCTACACGTGTGGATGCCTGTTAGTTAGGGTCTGTATTACCGCTCTGCATAGGCGTCGATTCCTGATTCGCCCAAGAAATGCAATGCCCGTACCGGTGAAAATGACTACATGGTTGAGCTGATCCTGCTTGCTGCCGCAGTCGCTCTCGTCGTCGGTCGCCGGATGCACCCACTTGGTAAATGCGGCGCTGCGCACCTTGGCCCGCTCTGCGTTGTAGTCGGGGTGATCTCTCGCCAGCGTGACCTGGTCAATAAGGGAGTGGTTGTCGATGAGCACCGACCCAGGGACCAGACGATGCACCTCCTTGGCTATCGTGAGCTTGCCCGTGGCCGGGAACCCGTTGATCCAGATGTGCGGTGCTGCTCCTGGTGCCATGGCTCCGGATAAAGTTGCCAAGGGTCGCCAATTGCCACGGAATCTATAAACGACGGTCGTTTTTTTCGTGAATCTGTACAAGTTTTGTTCGTAGTGCAACAGCACGCACTGGTGGTTTTCTATTCAAGGCTATGAGCACCCATCACCGAGTGACTCAACCACAGCCTCGGCCGATATCGTGTCTGGCTTAGCCAAATCTCACACTTCTAGTAGATGGATGCTATCTGCTGCTGCTAGGGACCCCCTTTGTCAACTTTACATATGGTCTCATGCACAACATGCGCTCGTTCCAAAGCTTTGGTAAAACCAGCCGCCAACCCCGCCACCAAAATGCTGTTCGCATGCCACGCCCCGACTCATGACCCTTGCCCAGCGCATATCCGCAATAGCTAGCCTGCTCTTTTCTCCAAGATGTTCGTGGATCCAAAGCAAACGGTCCCACTGCGGGACGTTGGGTTGCAAGTACCGCCCGCCCGCTTTCCGTCTCTCTCCAAGACGGACGTGTGTGTCTCTACCAATCGAGCTTGACGAGGAGTAAAAAGCATGAAATCCTTCGGGCTGCCGGTCAATGTCCAGTTACGAGCACGGGGGACAACGTCACTTAGCAATGTCGATGTGCTATTCGCTGGTTTGCGACTGCCTATATGCAACTAGCCAGCCTGGTTACCTGCTTCTATTCGTGGAATATACGGCTTGCAGCCGAACTCCCATGAACCCTCATTCTTGCTAGCTAGCTAGCGCTAATGTATCGTGCTGGATGCACAAGCCAAGGAAGGCCCCAACCTCTCTTCTCTCCAGCTACTGTAGCTAGCTTCATCACTTGACGAGGGTCGCCAGCGAATCAAGAGCAGCTGATGAGCTCTCCTGGCTTCTATATGGACCCTGAATTGCATGAACCGGGTCTAGCCAGCCAGCGTCCCGATCGTTGGCGTCATCACATGTGCAAGCCTCAGAGCCAACCAGCACCACGTACCAAAGCCCAGCTCCAACCGTAGTGGATTACAGGCGGGTACCAAAATATTAGCGTGTACTTGCTGTGTTTCCTTTGTCTTTAAAACCCCACGGATAAAATACATCATAAAATATTTTTTTTTTAATTTATAAATGGTTTCTAATATGGATAAACTGTATAGGTACACACAAGCAAGTATCCCCTTTTGCACTATATACTCTGTAAATGGTTGTATTTGTATGGTAGTTTTAGTGGACTCGTGTGTACCTGTAGCGGCGACATGCCGCTGTCACAGCTACATTCATGAAACAGCTGTCGAGAATATGTATACTTACAAAGGGTAGCTTAAATTCTATGAAAACCTTGCTCGTCAAGAACCAATACATATAAGGATGTATTATTTACCAGTTCCATACTCAATATCTATGTCTAGTAAATACATTGTACTGATATAATGGCTACTCTTCCAAAATATAGTGAAACGAAGTGGCCAATGAGCACAATTAAAGCCACTTCCGACATTGAAGCTAACACAGTAATCCCTACAAATCAAGCATGGTTTTCGACGACAATAATGATAATCCTTGGCATTATATTCGTAGCTATGATATGTTCTAGCGTGACGGCTTGTATCTATTTTGTATGAGACATGTTAACAAACTAATAAGCAGTAATTATGCTAATATAACTGTTATAGGTATACCACTACTAGGTCAGGTTTTTAGGACACGGCATGTCACCCACTCAGATGCTCCTTGGTGAGACATGGCGGCTAAAAATGGCTTCGTTTGGCAATTGCGTGCGCAGCATGTCTCGAACACATCCCGCTTCGCATGTTTTCCCACTTCTAGCCGTTCCACTGGCCTGGCACTCGACCACCCAGCGGCCATGCGATCTGATATGTCAAGAGCAGCGGAGTTGAGTGATTGGCGGCGCACGGTTTGCTTTGGTGGCGCTGCAGACGTGGTGGGTGGTGGTAACGTCGTTTTTTCTTTGACTTCGCGATGACGGAATGGCCGGCGGCTTGCAGGACTGAACGAGGCTTCCTAGTCAAACGTAAACCCTCTTGCGGAGGCGTAAACCCGATTCCTTCGGGCTGCTGCCATTGGTGCAGTCGTATGCCTCGCTGGCGATGGCATCCGAAGTTCCGAGGAACAGTTGTCGCCTAGAAAATTGATAGAAACGCAATTAATACGACTGATTTGTTAACAAGGCTATGAGCAACTGCCGGTTGGTCTTTTGCTTAGTTGGGCTGCGTTAATCATCAGAGGATTGTCTTAGAAGCGATAACCGTTATGTTCCTGTCGGGTAGCGATGCATGACAGGGGCAAGGAGAGGCCAAAATGCTTATTTATGGATAAATGCGTACTGTAAGTAGTGTAGTATTATACAGGATGATGTAGCGCTGGTTCTTCTTCTACGACCGGATTTCCTTGAGCTTTGCTGCCATGGTTCTGAAGCCATCTTCGTTCTCGCCGACCCAGAGGTCCAGCGCCGCCTTTGTCGCTTGGTATCTCTCGTCATCTTCACTCCACGCTTCTTCTTGAGGCCGTGCAATGTAAATGGTTCGTAGACCGAGAGCTCTTGCCGCGGCTAAATCCGTCATATGTGCAGCCACCATGGCGACTTCTCTTGGCTGCAGGCCCATCCGCTCTGCGGCTCCGAGATATGTTGACGGATCCGGCTTGTATGCCATGAACGTCTCGGCAGAGAAGAACTTGGCAAACCCCAAGTTGCCATAGTCATCGAGATCCTGGATCAGGCTCAAGTTGCCGTTGGACAATGTCGCCGTGGTCAGCGACATGGCAGCCAGCGCAGCGAGTCCATCAGCAGAGTCGTCCCAAGGCGTCAGGCGGTGCCATACCAAACTCAGCGACTCAATCTCTGACTCAGAGTAGACACCCTCTAGATCCCATTTGGCCAGCAGATCGCGGAGACTATCCCGGTGGTGATCGTCTATACTCTTCCATACCGAGGTTGCGCGGTCAAAGGTGTTTGTGAACACCCCATACGAATCACGCCACTCCTGCGCAAAACGTCTCCAATCGTCGTCTGTCAGGGCTGCCAACCGGCCGCGCAGCTCCGCCGTTAGGTTACTTCCGTTTTGAGGCAGACCGCTAGCTTGCTGTGGGAATGTCGGGGCCGTTGGCGATAGCTTGCGGTGCGCACGGAGGATCAGCTCGTCGGTGACCGATGAGCGCCAGTCCACAGTTGTGCCGAAGACATCAAAGGTCAGAGCTTTGATGCCGGCCAACGGTGATGCTCCTGATTGGGACATTATTGGCTTGGGTGCGCGCGTGTGCGAGGGTGATGTGATGAAGCAATGTATTGGATGCTTGGATGCGGCCGGGTACAAGTCCGAACAACCCGGCGGCGCTGGCGGGGTTGCGGGGTCGGTGCCATCGGAGTGTTGGATTAGGGTGCGCGCTTTACACCGCAGTCAATTGGGCATCAATTGGCAAAGTACAACAGTAGTACACTTGATATCAACGGATTACGTGTACTATTGACAACCTCTCGGTCTGTTAATGTTTGCCAACTTATAGAAACCCAACGGCGGCATGGGTGGTGTTTGTGTCGAGTACCATACTCTCTAGTTTGCCTTCTTACCTGATATTGATCAAGCTGCCCTCCCTTGACACTGGCCAGAGATTATATTTAATTCGAATTAGAGCCTCTGTAAATACGGAATAAATGTCACCACTGCAGCCGGAAATGCACCCAAACGATACGCTAGGGCGCGGATGCTGCAAATCCTCTCCGTTGCTTGCTAAGCCTAGACCTCTGCAGCAATTGTACATGGGCACTGCAGAATGTGTACATGACGCCGCATAGTGGCGCTCGGCCATGCAGGAAGGACCTCTCGCTTCTGGAGATAGTTGCCTTGGCCAGCTGCTGGTTGTGCTCTTAGTCGGGTTGTTTGCGTCCGTTCGCGCATGCACAGTACTATATATTAGCCATTGCTCCATGAAGATCCACGGATGTGCTTGAGTTGAGCCAAATTGAGGCTTTGTAAGACTGTTTTTGAACAGTGGTTTGCCCAACCACATAATCAACAGCTACTTCGGCAAATAGCTGAACGGAAAGGGTCGAATGGTAGTATTCAGGGTTGTTGCGCGCGCCGCGGAAGGATCCGAAAAGCGCACTGAACCTAATACTTTGCGTCTTATTCCGCCTTCCCCTCTGCTACCCCCGCGGCAGTTGTGTCAATACCGACGCTACTATTGCGCGGCCTCAACACATGGAAAAACCCACGCCAGCCAAGCGACCCTTGAAGAGTTTTGTGGGCTTACCGCAATCGCCGCGTGGAAATGAGAGGGGTCGCCGAGGCTGATCAACAGTTTGTGGCAAGCAAACAAACACAAACCAACTTTTTCTTCAGTCGTGAGCATGCGGGACAGGTCCCCCCCCTCGCTTGAGCCTGCAGCCTTCACAGGACAAGACCTGCAATCCTGCTACCCATATTCAGATCCTCGCCGGCGCTAAGGCAAACCACTGCACACACTAATTGCCCGTAGCTGCCATCTGTCTTGCACTTGTACCTTGCAAGGGTGCGAAGGCCGCTTTCTCTGTGGGCCCAAACCGTCCCGCTGGAACTGCGCCGCTGGGGCGGACTCCAAACCAACAAGCCGTTTTATCGCTCATAGCCGTTTTGGTAGGCATTGCCGCTTCTATTGTATCGTCAGAGATAACATGATATTGGGCGGCATATATACCGTCACAGCGAGCGCATTTGTCGGCTCGCTGGTTGAAGACAAAAGGCTCTGGAGACGGCCCCCCTCTTCTTCAAGAAGGAAGCCACACTAAAGATTTGCTTTTTCCCACGCGCGGGCCGACCCCTAGCTTGAGAGCTATGCGGAGGAGCCGCTCCAGTTTAATTTCCACTTTCGGTCTTCGTGAAGGTTTTGCAATGCGTGAATCTTGGTAGAGGAAGAGCTGCTTTGGCCACACTTTCTGTGTCCGGCTAGACTGTTGCCCAAGAATTCCGCACTAGAGTCGAATAGATTTCAACGCTACGGATATTAGCCGCGATGCCGTGACCATTGTACTCTGCGGTTTGTACAGTACTCATTGGGATAATTGCCCAGCGTATTGACGACGACTGGCAAGGGCGGAAATGACACGGACAGCCTAATTGTGGCCCAGAGCAAGCAAACATCAGCATCACTTTCCCAATGACATCTCCTAATACAGAAGGTAACCCATTCTAAGCCAAGGCTGCTCCAGCTGGGGACGAGGGGGGGGCCTGTGCTGCCGGCTGGTAGAGGCCGAAGGCATGCCAGTGTCAATGCTCAGGCTTGATTAGGTTGCATGCACATGCAGAGGCCATCACATCGACTCGCCTCGTAATTGGATCTCGCAAGTGGCGTGATGCCGTGTGCTGGGCGAGTAGCGGCCGCTACCCACAGCTGTTGACCGAGTTTGTTAGCGCTGGTGCAGAAGTGCAGAAGCGCAGAGAGCATTCATGCACTCGTCGGAGGTGATGTTCGTTTTAGGCTGTACGTGCGTGTGTAGCTGAACAGCACCCGCGATGTCAGCGGAGAAGCTCTGCCAGTCTGCCAGTTGGCCCAGCTGGCCCAGCTGGCAAATATGTCAACTACCGATGGCCGTCACGTTATCTTGCAATTAAAGATTAAAAAAAACCCCAAACCTTCAACGACTGCCGTCCACGCACGGAGCAATAGCTTCATGTTTGGCACCATCGCTGCAATAACAGCCGACCGCTGTGGACACAAGAGGAGTCTGGCGTCGCAGATCCAACGCCTCTCGAGCGAATTTTTTCTTCCAGAGACTGGTTCTCTGCCCGCAGTTGGTGGCTTGTAGCCCCTGGACCGGGGTCTCCAGCGTAGGACGGCGGGTGGCTTCCGAGAGGCCCATTGTTGATGAACAATGCTAGCGCAAGCTGGGCCACCAGACTATCGCCTCGCATGTGGGCGTCAGGCCCTTGCTAGCACCACAGCCCGTTCCCCCATTGGCCTGTCCGGCAACAGCACAAGTCCAGAAGCTGCCGGGCCTGAAGCAGCGACCTGGAATGGTTGGTTGGCCCCTTTTCTGTGCTGTCCAAAGTACGGCCGAAACTACTGCACCTGTGCCGTGCCCATCCCACGTTTTCTCGGTGTGTTGGGACGCATCTGGTGCAAGCTGTCTGCGATTGTCAACCAATGCTTGTCGACAAATAGGAGTCGCCTTCAAGCCACCAACAGACTCAGGAGCAAGGGATGGTAAAGGGTTGCAATATTAAAACTGTTGCGACTACCGACAGGCATAGCGAAAAGAAGACCTTTGGTGGAGACAGAACGCCGACAACTTCTCTTCTCTTCATTGGCATAACCGGGTTCCTGGCCGGACAGGGATGCCATTGTCATCTCCCACCCCACCATAGTAGTCGCGCATGCTCGCGCGGTCGCCATCGAGAGAAGCCCTTCTCTTTGCGAATTCTTTCTTTCATCTTGCAACCATTGCTTCTGCTGCTGTGTATTCAGCAAAGGACTGGGCGTTGCACTTGATATACACCACTTGGCAGTTGCGTTGTCGCATTTGCATTTGCTTTTTGACTTGTCGTCACCGCACCTCTCAATGTAAGTCACTGAGCGCAGAAAAAGGAACTTGTGCTGCATCGCGAGCTCTGGGTGACGCTTGGAGCCGGTACGCTAACATGAGCTATCACAGACCCTTTTCACTTGTCGACGACTGTACGCTCCCTTCAGTCCAAGCAAATTTCGTTCTTTGGTACTCTTCTCTGCATATTCTATACCTCAACAACGCCGACCATTCTTTTCTTTCTTGTCTCAGTCTGATTTTCGCACATCCACCCAAACGCATCAGCACGACTCGCTGCACCACTAACCCATCCATTCCACGACAACTCCTTGCTCGTTTTTACCGGCGAACCAACAACGAATTCGGCCACCATTCCAAAAACGCCAGAGTCTCTGTTCACATATCCGTATCTGTTGGCTTCCACGCGCAAACTAAGACCAACCATTATCTGAGACCTTGGCCCAGCTGTGCTTTTTTTTCTGACCCAGCGGAAAGGTACGTGCGAGACCCAGCTACGGCTGCGTAGGCAGCGCTCCCGCCGATCTCCCGCAGCTGGTTCCCGAAATCTGACTGGTTTTCACAGTTTTAAATGGAAAACGTTGGTTTTCTCTTTTCGCAAAGCTAGAAGTTGCTTTTTTGAGTGACATCTTCCTTGTAAGTTGCTGCTTTCTGCAGAGCCTTCCAAGTTGGGCCGCCCCCGCCAGATGGCTGGATATTTGCTTTTTGGAGCTGCGCCTTACTGACCACGAACCCCGTAGATGGTTTAGCAGCGAAAAGGAAGACTTTCTTTTTTCCCTTTGACGGCATTCTGTAGGTTCATAGTGGATCACTGTCTTGCCCCGAAACTGCAGTGGCTCGTGCCACCATCAGCCATAGAACGTGCACGCTGCCATCCTTTCTTTAATCTGCTTGCTTCATCCCAATCAGTTGCTCCTCTACAACACCAGCAACAATGGTGAATTGGGACAGCACAAAGGAGCCAATTGGCCGTGTGGGCCAAGGAGTAATGCCTCCAGCCCTTGGCGATCGCATGGACAAATTGGCAAAGCGCTCGTCTAGAGACATCACGATCGATGAGAATATCAGCATCCTCGACCCTCGACGATTCACACCAACACTTCATGCAAACCTCGTATCCGAAATCCTCTCCTTGCGAAGAGATCAAGATGAAAAGCTTCGCGTCATCGAAAGCTTGGAGACAACTCTCCATGCAACAAAGGAAGAGCATAAATCGCTCCAGCAAAATTTCGCCACTGTTTCAAAGGAGAGCCGATCCATGCAGCGCCAAATGTCGTTGCTAGAGGGAGGCACTTCGTCTGCGCTAGGAGAACTGGCCAGAGAACGTGACGAAGCTGTCGATTCTACTTTTGAGACGAAGAAACGCCTTGACGCGGCGCAAAAGAAGATCCGAACTCAGGAGGACGACTCCCAGCGTGTACATGATATGTGGGAGAAGGAAAAGCTGAGTTGGGAAAACGAAAAACGAAACTACGAGCGCAAGCTCCATGTTGCAGAGAGCCGTTTAAAGGGCGTCTTGGAAGAGGTTACTGCTTTTCAAACTGCCCATGCAGAGGACCTGGAAGCACAGGCAGCACAAAAGCGCGAAAGAGATGGAGAGGAGAATATAAAAGACGATGGCGCCAGCATCAGAACTATGAGTTTGACAAACAGCCTTCGATTTTCCGTTCTCAGCAGCCCAACCGGCCAACCGATCGGAAACTCTCTTGCCGACGAACTTGGATTCGATGCAGACGACGATGAGCACACTGATGATGCCCATGACGAGCCGTTCTCCAGCCCTGAGCCTCAACCTACACCAAGCTTTCGAAACAGTTCCCCTGTTCGTCGCAACATCCTACAGAGCATCGATAGCGCAGCACAGGCCAACATGACACCCAAAGCCGATGCTGTTGTCGAAGCCAGCAAGGACTTGCCTCGACCAATTTATGTGGAAACTGGAGTGCAATACTCTCCTCCGTCATCCCCAGTTCCAGCACACGAAAGGCTTGTAGAGCGGGACTCGGCTGTTATGCGCCTTGTCAAGACACTTGAGTCTGGAAATGCTTCACGTAACGATGTCGACATTGAAGCCAACCAGCGGCGCAAGAGAACACAGGTACACAGGATTTCTAACCCTGGCATGCCTTTGATGACCTCCAGTGCAGCTCAAACCGCAACACTGCCACTTAGCCCGCCATGGACACCAAAGCTTGATGAAGAGGAGGCGGCGGCTGTTTTCTCTGGATTCCCACCCAAGCTTGGTATGGTTTCCAGCTGCACCCAGACTGAGCTTCCAATTGTCCCAGTGGAAGTTGTTGTTTCTCCTCCTGCTCCAGCGCCAGCTGTTTCCGAAATTGTGTCGCCAACCGCTATGCCTATCCCTTCCATCAGTATCCAACCTCCCACCAGCCGCCCGGCGAGCCCCAGAATACCGCGACTACCTCAGCACTTTAAGGATTTTGGTTGCCAAGTAAATATTTCCTACAAGGCACCAACGTCTGACAGCTCTGTTCAAACCGAAGGAATCAAGGTCGACCAGAGACTTGCCAAGCTTCCACCACACCTGCAGCCTTCGTCCATCACGTCTCGTCCCAGCTCACCAGTGGAATCCAGACCTGGACCTGAAACCAACTTTACTCCAGTTCCCGGTAACCGTTTGCCCCTTCGCATCCCCACACTTCGAGGCGATGAGGCTTCGCAACTTAGTGGTGCTCTCAAGGACAGCCATGCGGATATTTACCCCGGGAATGACGACGGACCTCTCTCAGGTCTACAAGAATCTGCTATTCGTCGTCCGCGACGCATTAGCAGCTTGTTTGCTGGCTTTGAATCCGCCACCTCAGATGATGGCGAAGAGTTTGGTGAGGCAGATGTCAGCGATTCTGAATACCGTACCGCCCTCTCTGCCCCAAGACCGTTTTCTCTTAACAAGAACACCCGCCGTCAGTCGTCGGCGACTGGAACTACCTCTCCTGATGCATCGATCCATCAACGCATGTCATCGAGGCCTTCCAAGCCATACAACTCGATTGACCTTGTCAACTCATTTGGTATAATGGAATTGGATTCCCACCGAGACAGCATGCTCGTCAACCAAAAGCATAGTCGCATGTCAAGCAGAACATCGGATAAGTCTTCGGCCATGCTCTCCAGCCATTCCAACTACACGGGCATGCGGAAAGCTGCCATGATCAACAACCAGTACAATAGATCGCGCAGCCCCAGCTTGCCAGAGAACAAGAACCCTCCGTACCCAATCCCTCAGCGTGACAGCTCCAAGCGCGTACCGAGCAACCCTTACACATCTAGCGATGGCCGCAGCAGCCCTATCAGAGGAGATGCCTGGGTAACACGAAGCAACTCTCGTGACCAGTACAGCGCTACCAATGTTCGCCGAGTTCGCTCCGCTGCCGCCTTACCAAAGTCGCAAAGACAGCGACGCGCTCGCAGCCGGTCACCGCCACCACTGTCCGTTTCCACAGAGGCGCCCGAAAGCCCTGGCCTGCCGCCTCTGCCACAGAACGACCTCACTTCGTCGTACAGCAGGGATCGCAGCGGCAGCTACTACCACCGCCACCGTGCTGATTTGTCTACCAATACTGCACACACTCATCACACTTATAACACTGATCCCATGTCGGTTTCGCAAGACAGCGGCTCACAGACTAGTGGTGTTGTGGATGCTATTGCGCAGACCATGGTTGGCGAATGGATGTTCAAGTATGTCCGCAAGAGAAAGTCCTTTAGCGTACCCGACAGCGTTGTCAAGGACGATGCTGGCAACGACAGACACAAGCGATGGGTTTGGTTGGCCCCCTATGAGCGCTCTATTCTTTGGAGCAGCCGACAGCCATCTTCTGGCAGCGCATTGATGGGCAAGAGTGGCAGAAAGCGTACGTTTTTACAACACCCAACGAAGCAAGTAACCCTGATACTAACATAACTCATAGTGACGATTCAATCGGTGTTGGATGTCAAGGATGACAACCCTGCTCCCAAAACATCTGGCCCTATTTTCAACCGATCTATCCTCATCCTCACCCCCCAGAGAGCACTGAAGTTTACAGCAACCTCGGCAGATAGACATTATGTCTGGCTGACAGCCCTGTCTTTCCTGGCCCATTCGACGCAAGCCATTCCTGAAATCATGGCCGCCCCTCAAGCACCCTTGCCTATCCAGCAACAGCCACTGCCTGAGTTTGAGTTGCCTCAGTCCAAGGTCCGTAGGGGTGGCATTAGAGACTCGATTCGCATTGCCAAGGGCCGCACGTCGACCAAGGGCCCCGGAAGCGCACCAAGCATTCCCAGCGCACCAACATCTCGTCGCGGCGAGGGTACTGCGTTCCCGATCCCGATGTCGTCGGGCACTGTCGCCAGCATGCACTTCCGAGAAGACTCGCGAGAGGCAGCTGTACCGCCCATGATTGCTCGTTTCAGTGACCGCACGGGCCCTGTGTCATCTCATGGACGCAAGAGAAGCAACACGGGCGGCCATGTGCCCCCTCCACTGTCCTTTAGAGGCTTCTCTGGCCCGGTTGGCAGCCCTGCGTTGACGGACAGCACAGCCAACAACAGCGTGGAAACTGGCGCATCAGACATGAACCATTCTCATGCGTCCAGCAACACAACCTGGGCAGGCGAATCCCAGCGAACATCCGAGGCGTCTTCCCGCCCCGGAAACTTCTTTGACGCTGTGGGCACAGTCCGCATGGAGGCCTTTATCAGCCCTCTGGCACCATTCAAGGCCAGTGAGGATGTCGACGAGCGAGACGATATGCGCCGTCGAGCCCGCCGAAGAAGCAAGGAGATCCGCCGCCGCAACAGCCGCAGTCGCCAGCGAGACAACTACTCTCGCGGTGGCAGAGGCTATGATGACTACTACGGAGGAAGCCGGACAGCCGGCGAAGAAGAATACTTTCGCGAGGATCCTTTCAAGGGATTCTAACGAAGAGTAGAGTACTATCAACATTTTGTATAAACTTACTGGAAGTTACCCAGCAACTACCGCTTAGACGCAACTATTTTCTTACTACTAGTATGGGCTACGACGAATCTGGCACGACATCGTCTTATATAACAGCATCTGGCTTGGCGTTTTACCTGGGCGTTTTTTTATTATTTGGTTCTTCTAGTCTGCACGACATGTCGATTCTATATATATTTTTAGTGACTGCTTTTTCAAAATTGAACGCATACTATCGTTCTTACCATCATGCACACAGTCGAGCGTCCCCTTATCTCTGCAGCAATACATGTCAGTACTCACATTTTGGACGTGCTGCACCTGCAGTGAAGAGTAGCATCGCATCCTTCACCATTTACAGCCATCCAGACGCACCAACATATGCAGGCAAGCTACCGTTACGCAGCTAGTGCATGGCGATAGCGGGCCACACCTCGCAAACCCCGCAGCGGGATCTGCTGTGCCGTGTCTGCATTTAGGATCAAAAGAAGGTCGGATGAATTGAAAGGTCCTAATGCCGATTCCAGCAGAAGATATAACGGCCATTTATTTGGCTGATCCCCCGTAGCTGGTTGGGTTGGAGGGCTGGTTGGACACAGTCAGCTTGAGTTACCTACTATGCTAAATCCTTGACTATGCGTTTCAACAATCTTTTTGCTCTTACTTTGGGCGCAGGCCTCTGTCTTGCTACTCTAGTATCCTCAAATCCAGCAGCCAGTTTGGATATCGACGACTATGATCCAGCAGACGTCATTTACCGCGACGTTGCCGTTATTGGCGGCGGCTCTGCCGGCACTTACACGGCGGTCCACCTGAAAGATCACGGCAAGAGTGTAATTCTCGTTGAGAAAAAGGAAAAGCTTGGCGGACATGCTGAGACGTATGTTGCCCCCAACGGCTATGCAATCACCATTGGTGTCATTGTTTGGGGCAACACCAAGTTCGTCCACGACTACTTTGGCCGCTTCAACATCACCCTCAAGCAGCTTCCCAGCGACCACAGCGGTGCGGGTGTCGGACAATACGCCGATTTCACCACGGGAAAACGCGTCAATCACACTGTACCTAGTGACGCAGAGCAAGCTGCCGCCTTTGAGGCCTACCGCAAGCAGCTGGCCAAGTACCCCAGCCTCCAGGACGGTTTCCGCATGAACTACCCTGTTGCCGAAGACCTACTGCTGCCCTTTGGCGAGTTTATGAAAAAGTACAAGCTCGAAGCCTTTCTTAGTACCGTTTTTATCATCAACCAAGGCTACTCGCCGCTACTGGAGATCCCAACACTCTACATGTTCAAGTACCTCAACGACATCCAGCTCGACAGCACAGCCAACGGGTACCTAATCACTGAGGCCCGCGACACGTACCTCCTGTACGAAGCTGCCGGAAAATACCTGGATCCTTCCAACGTCCTGACTTCTAGTTAGCGCATCGCCATGGACCGCAGCTGCAGCCCCATCAAGATTGCCGTCAAGACGTCCGAGGGATGTAAGCTGATTGTAGCGGACAAGGTTGTCTCTGCCATCCCCCCGACGCTCGAGAACTTGGGAGGTTACGACTTGTCAAGGGATGAGAAGCACCTGTTTAGCAAGTGGAAGAGCAATGGGTACTATACGGGCCTTATGAACAACACGGGGCTCCCCGCCGGCCTGTCTCTCCGATCGACTCAGCCCAGTCAGCCGTACTCGCTGCCCAAGCTGCCGAGTATTTACACGCTTGGCCGCACGACGCCGACAGAGCTTACGAGCGTGTACTACGGCTCGCCGACTGTGTTGAGCGTGGAGGAAGTCAAGGCGGATATTGAAACGGCGCTGGCGCGGTTGCAGAAGGAAAAGGGGTTCCCGGAGACGAAGCCTGATTGGGTAGTCATGTCGAGCCACGCGCCGTTTAACTTGGAGGTGAGCACGGAGGAGATTAAGAGGGGATTTTATGAGAGGCTATGGGAGTTGAATGGGGAGAGGAATACCTTTTACAATGGTGCTGCGTTTATGGCGCAGGATAGTACGGTGATTTGGCAGTATACGGAGAATGTGTTGCTGCCTATGATTCTGGAGTCGCTGGAATAAGTCTAGATGAAGGGAAACAACTTGTGAATCTTAACGGTAGTATTGTATACACCGAAGGATGCAACATTATATATACGCAGACATGTGCGATGGTCTTAAAGGTGGCATTTCAAAAACATATCTGTATGTGTATTTATATATACTTATATAAACCTATATATTTATATATGCATTCGTCTTGTTCTGACTGTCATTCTGTCAGGTTACAACATTAATTATCCTGGCTGGGCTGGTTGAACCACTGGCGAGTCGTGATACCTTCGCCAACCAACTTAGTGTCAGCTGTGGGCTCCAGCTCCAACAAGACAACCTCATTCTTTCCAGTCTTGAGCCACGCGCCGGGCACAAACAGGCTCTGTTGGGGACCAATGTGCCAGAGCTTGCCCAAGTTAATACCATTGACCCAGAGCTGGCCCTTGACGCCGGCTGGGAACGACAGATAGGTGTCAGCAGCCATGCCAATTTTGACGCCCTTGGGCACGTCAAAGCTGCCCGTGTAGAAGACGGGGCCATTTTGCTCCTTGATGTTGGGAGGGCCATTATCATCGGCAATGCTCTCGGCCGAGATGTCCTTGAGGGGCAGCGAGAACATGTCCCAGCCGGTGAGCGCCTTGTCGCCCACCTTGATAGCACCAACAATACCCTTGCGCTGCTCCTTCATCTCGTGTGTGTGGTCGACGCGGCCAATGTTCTCGACGAGCAGCTGCAGCACGTCACCCTGTTTGAGAGTGACATTGACAGTCTTGAGGGGAACCTGCGCCGTGTCCTGGATACCCGCGCGGACGCCATTGACCAGAATAATAATGCGGTCACGGGCATGGTCACCTGCGTGAACGGCTCCCGTCGCGTCTTCGGTAGCGGTGTGCTGGTACAAGATGAAGCCTGTGGCCTGGTCCAGGGCCTCCATGGTGACGGGTTGGTCGGCGTGAAGCGTGGGCTTGTCGACGCGGACATCAAAGAGGCTAGAGACGGGCTTGAGCTCAAACTTGGGAACCGCAAGCATGGGCGGCGTAGCGGGAACCTCGGGCACAGATCCAGCAGGCAAGTTGGCAACGAGCATCTTGCGAATAGCAGAGTAGAGTTCTGTCACGCGGCCGCTCTCGTCGAGAGGCGCGCCGTAGTCGTAGCTGGATGTCACGGAGCCCTGCTTGCCGCTGTTGGTCGAGCCACCCTCAAAGCCAAAGTTGGTGCCGCCGTGGAACATGTAGAGGCCAAACGAGTTGTTTCCCTTGACAACTTTATCCAGCGAGTCGACCATGGCGGGGATACCGCTCCACGCATACGTCGGCGTGCTGTGAGGATAGTCGCTGTCCCAGAGATCGAGCCAGCTCGTATAGAACTCGCCATGCATCAGCGGGCCGCCAACGGTAGGATCAGTCTTGAGATATTCCTGGCGCGCCTCAAACGCGGGGATAGGATCAAAGCCATCAACAGCAGCCAGGACACCGCTCAGCGTGCCGCCCTTGAGATAGTCCACGCCGCCACCGTCCGTAGTGTAGATGGGCGTGTCAAAGTTGTTGCGCAGCAGGCCTGCCTGGGCCTGGAGATACTTCTTGTCGCTGCCAAAGCTGCCATACTCGTTCTCGAGCTGTGTCATGATGATGGGTCCGCCATGGGAGATTTGGAAGCGGCGCAGCTCGTGGCCCAGACGGTCAATGTACGCCTTGGAGGCATTGTAAAAGGCCGCATTGTCCTGGCGAATAGCCATGTTGTCAATATTCGACAGCCACCAGGGAAGACCGCCCCATTCGTGCTCGCCGCAGATGTAGGGGCCGGGGCGGATCACCACCTTGAGCCCTTCCTTGTTGGCGAGGTCGAAGAAGTGCGCGAGGTCATTGCGCCCTTTAAAGTTGAACTGGCCGCGCACGGGCTCAATGCTGTCCCAGAAGATGTAGGAGAGGATGGTGTTGAGGCCCATGGCCTTGGCCATCTGCAGGCGCTGGCGCCAGTACTCGGGCGGGATGCGCTGGGGGTCCATCTGGCCGCCGAGGATCTGGTAGGGCTTGCCATTGAGCAGGAAGCTGTGCTCGTCGTAGGTGAAGGTTCCTTTGTTGGGGAGCGTGGCGGTGACGATGCCCGCGAGCAGCGATGATGCCGCGATGGCTGTGGGGAGGAGACGCATGGTGAACAAAGCGACAATAGCAGTTGTAGTTGGAAGAGAGAGAGAGGGTAAAAAGATATTATATAGAGAAAATGATAGACGGTTACATGGCCGGCAGCATCACCGCCAGCCAGCCGCGTGTAACGTTCTCTTTGGATCCGCGCTTCTCTAGCCGATGTGACGTCGGTTACAGATATTGGTGGGCCATTTTCATGTAATCACCGACATCTCTCTGCTCGTGTCGTATTTCTTTTTGCCGGCGCGAGAAGATCAGGGAAACAGCGCGGGGAAATAGGGAAGCGGGGGATGGTAGCCGAGATGATTAGCTTCCTAATTCGTCCAAGTGTGGCGTGGAGACGCTACAAACATTGCATGAAGACGCTAATCCGACGGGTGAAATGGGGGCAAGAGTATATTTATATTAGGTAATGCAGTGTGTGAAGGGCTGTTTATTTCTTTGTTGGGAGAAGCTCAATGGACAAGATGGGCTCTTATATCGAAGATGACAGATCCTACAACAAGATGCTGCTGGCGTATGATGGCGCAAGAGGCGTCTTGGATCGGCACTAGATTATGGACTTGCCGACGGCAAAGAAATATCGTATAAGTTATTGTCTGTCCGCTTGCGCCCCGCTTGTGGCTTGTCGTCGGACATATTTCGCCCGCTGAAGCGGCTAAGAGAGTCGAGGCCCTTTCTGAGGTTGTCCTCACCATGTTTTCATGGTGTACGATGATATATCTGTTGAAATAATAATAATAATAATAATAATAATCGTCTGCTGGAAAAGGAAGACATCCACCCGCCGGGCACCAGCCGCCGCCTGCTATCATTAGCAGTCACAACCCTATTCTTTTAAAACAAAAGCCTTAATTCCCACTTACTTAAACAACTGCAAATCATGTTGCCTTTTATTAAGACACATACTACTGCCACATTAATCTTGCTATTTGGCGAATCATGGGAAAATGAGCGATAGGACACGACGCGTGAGCCTTTTGTATCAAATCTAGAAGCATGTCCCGGTCTTCTTGCATTGCCGCATGTTTGCACGCTTCAAACAACGGGTAATAGAGGCAGATGGCGGGGTTTGGCTTCCTAGAGAGGTCCATGGCTGCTACATTGTCAATAATCCGCCGTACAGATGTCCTGATGGCTCGAGATAACGGCTTCTGAGCCGTGTGCATGCATGCGTGCAGTCGAAGAAGTCCCGCGTGGTGAAAAGTTTCGTTTAGTAGTCGTAGATTTTGTTTTTCTTGCGCGGAAAGGATAACACCAGGCCGAAACCGGGGGGTTGTTTGTACGGATAACATGAATTGTATCTTCTCATAGAGCCGAATGTACTTGTAGTATAAGCGGCTCTTGGGGTTATGCACTGCAGTAGGATCCGCATCATGTGCCCTGCAGAATTCTCGAACATCTTCGAGAACAGGGCCAAGCGAGGTAGAATAGCCAGCAATATCGCAAATATAGCTGTCTTGCATTGTCCACTCTTTTTCCTTGGTGGACCTTGCTGAAGAAGTACTCGCAGTGACTTGTCTAAGCGAGAGAGACATGCGCCTCATAAACGCTACTTCAGGTGTATTATTCGAGTTTCCGAGGGCACCTAGCACGGCACTCGCACCGCGAAGGAAGACGTTCCAATGTTGGTCGCTTATCGGCGAGATGATCTCCCCTAGAGCGAGTAATATACTTGTTGCCAAGGCAGCCACGAGCCGATTTTCATCTCCCGTATGTAACGTCTCGTTAAGTTGGCGAATAGCAATAACACGTAGATTGTTTGCAGTCTCCTTGTCTTGATCCAGTCCGGCCGACGTGCGGTATAATGATGTGAGGCAAAGAAGTGCGAGAAGCACATGCTCGTATTGGAGAGCAATGGGGATAATTACACGGCAGAACTCTACTCGGGAGCTGGCCGAGGTTGATATCCTTTCGACCGTCTCACACTCAAAGAAGCTCAGCAGTTGCCTTTGCGTAGGAGAAAGTTTGTCCAATCCTGGGAGGGAAAGTGTCGGCAGAGAGAGGATATTTTGGAAAGATCTTGTTTGTATTGATGCGTATAACGCGTCCTGTACCGTCGACAGGAAATCCGCCTCTTCCGATGGGGACAAGGCAATGTCGCTGGCTGTATTTCCGCGCATGGGATAAGCAGTTTGGTGCTGCAAGAGATTATGACCATGTTGGGTCGACCGGCTTCTCATTGTCCGGCGTATACTGTGATTCTTGCTAGGCAATGAATCCTCCCCAGTGCGCTTTTTTCGATAGGAGGGATTCTCCATTTGGTGAATAATTTGCATCATCTCGGGAATGGAGAGCATTTTACTGTTTGGGCGCAATCCGCGGGGTCTGTGAGATGTTGGTGTAGTAGACTGTGTATTATTACCACGGCTTTCATAGTGTCTTCGGACATGACGATTCGCAGCTTGCCTTTTCTACTTGTTAACCCGGCGGGTAAACGCATGAAACAAACTATGCTGGCTCACTCACCTCGTGGGAAGCTCCCAGACCCTGTATTGACCGTGGAACTTTTTGTTAGACCTGGCTGAAGACAAGTTAGTCAGAGCAGAATGGTAGTGTAGCCAGATTTCTAGATGTATTCCGCAGTTGCGGTCGTTTCATTCTAGTAAAGATATGTCGTCACTTCACTTACGGACAGCTTCACGGCGGCTCAGCTGGGAGTCGGTCTCGGACGGAAGATTCAGTTGCCCGAAATGAGCGACGGGCAGCGTTGTATCCACGGCATCATCACTAAGCGATTGATCCTCGGTCATGACGATTTCTTGCGGCGGTGACGATGCGTAGGCGGTGACGATATGTGTGTGTGGTGGGAGAAAGTCGACCGTTGAGAAAGCTGAGCTAGTGTCAGGGACAAGTGCCGTGGGGCAATGCACTGTATCGTGACTTGCGTAAGGCTGAGTGAGGCGCGCAATTCATGACACTACTCTTTCGGGCATACACATAGTTGCAAGCGGTAATAAAATGAAGATGGTACTATTTAAACCTGTATAATCAAATAATCAAATAATCATTAATTACAGAATAGTCGATAGACGAAGAAGAGTTGCTGCGGCTACCTGGCCGCTGTTTTACGTGGCGTCGGCAATGAGGACCCCTAAATTCGCCATTCCCGCCAACTCAGTTGAGGCCGCCCAGCTTATCCTGGTTATGGTAACTTAGCGGTATTAGCTGTTGAGACTTCGAGCCACATTCGGAATTCAGCTGATCCGAGAAGGTGAGTCGGCCTGTCTTCGGTGATATAAAACACGCTGGTTTCCCAGCAAAAAATGCACTGTAGGCCGCCTTAGTAGAACCGTATAAATAGAGTAGGGGTCCCACTATATAATAACGCTACGATACTGTAGCTTTTCAGAGGATGAAAAAGATAATCTGGAGGTATCCCGCTTGCAAGCACCGGTAGATGTAGCCTATAAAAAATGGAGGTATTATATATACCATCATCTTAATTAAGCTACTCCTCTAATTTGGATTATGTAGCTACTGTATTAAGATGGGCTCGGCAAGTGAAGTGGTTGGTAAACAACGCATTGCTGTGGTGCCATACACAATGGGAGTACAGTTGCATAATAAACTTGAAAAGCAAAAAAAGACAATGAAAAATATAGAATATTGCATGAATGTTAGTCACACAAAGCTCTACCATAAAATAGACTAGTAACTCTATCATACCATGCCATCATGCGTCGCTACACCTCTTCCCTAGCGCCACTACTGTATATGCCGCTGCTGCTGTGAATAATTTATCGGCAGATCTGAGAGCTGCTGCAAGTCAAACCAGCACAGCAAGGCACGCCGTTATTGCAAAACGAGCCGCTTCCATTGCATCCACGGCAAACCTGCGAGCTGCTGCAGTACGTTCCCGCGCAGCAAGGCACACCGTTGTTGCAAAACGATCCATTGCCATTACAGGCACGGCAAACTTGAGAACTGCTGCAGTACGTTCCCGCACAGCACGGAACGCCATTGTTGCAAAACGACCCATTTCCATTACAGGCGCGGCAGACCTGCGAACTGCTACAAAACGTGCCCGCGCAGCAGGGGACTCCGTTGTTGCAAAAGGACCCGTTGCCGTTGCATCCGCGGCACACTTGGGAGGAGCTGCAGTATGTTCCCGCACAGCAAGGTACGCCATTGTTGCAAAAGGCACCGTTGCCGTTGCATCGCTTCTCGACGTCCCTGTTGCTGAGAAGTTCAGGGACGGCTGGGGCTGGGCTGGCGAGGCCGGAGCCGAGGAGGATAGCTCCGAGAATGAGCTGGATCGTGAGCATTTTCTTGTGTCTTTATGTGAGTGATGATTCTGAAAAGGAGTAGAAGACGGACGAGCGAGGACGGCCTTTTTATGAGGCGGGCGTGGAGGAAAAGTGAGGCGGACAGGGTTGACTGACTTATACAGATGGGCTGTCGCCGCGTGTGCGATGGTCCGGTAAGGCGGCAGTGGTGTTGCTTGTTCTAGACTCTAAACAGGCTGAATCTTAATAGAGTGGCTTGCATAGAAGCTGGACAGAGGAATATGCAGTGCAAGGCGAGTAAGTAGAGGAGCTGAGGTGGTTTGTGCAACAAACTCAGCGTCTGCGATGTGATGTATATTATCTTCTATATAGATGAACTAGATGGCATATGTATAGTGTGTGAATGAAACCGAAGCAAACGAAAGTGATGGTTATTTGACCCAAAGTCAGTCCAAATCCCCCCTCCAGATCAATATCTTATATGAAATGCAGGGTACACGCAGCCACGCTCAGCTTCAGCCGCAGCACGCAGGCGGCCGGTGGCGCTGCCAATATCGACGGGGGCTAGACCGTTCCCGAATTTATATACATAGATTGGACCCTAAATCTCTCAGCATCTATGTTTTCTTACTGTGGTTGCTTCGTGCCGTGTGCCGCCGCCACTTCTCTGGTGGTGATCATCACGGGGGCGTAGTATGGGCGGGCTTGGCGTCCAGGACCGAAGACGGTGGTTGTTTTTTTATTACTTAAATAGCCTATACTGCTATACTGTGCTAGCACTATTTATCTTCTTTAGACAATGTTTGAGAAACACATCCTGGTCTATCGCCAAAGTCCAGCACAACCATGGTTTTGTCAGCCAAAGTTTCCAACTCGCGCGGGTGAGCCAATGATGGAACCTCTTGCTCCTCCGTTACCAAGCCATAAAATAAAAAGGGCAAAACGGAGTTTTTCCAAACCGGTGCTTGTAAGTTCCGTCTGCTGGTGGTGATGATACCCCAGGAAAGTAAAACTATTGCCGTTATCACAAGAAAACAGGGGAAAAGAAGCCAGCGCCACTCCATCCGCACACCGGAAAACCACCTCTGGACAGTCCCGTATACTAGTTGATGATCCAAGGCGGAGGTGGTGGAGCTTCCAGCCGTGCGTACATAGTTTGTCAAAGTCGCGGCCAAGTGCTCAATATCTGATTGTAGCGTGTCAAACGACGCATTGCCTGATCTGTAGAGTGGTCGTAGCCACCAAGAATCAACATACTGATCAGACTGAAAACACTTCACCAAACCTTGGTCCACTGCTGCTGTCGTACATTTGCCGTTGAGGAGCGGCGACAACCCCTCTCCTATTGTATAGCTGTATCGCCGCGAAAATAAATACAGACACTCAGCTGGTAGCATACCCGGTTCCTGATATGTTGCAGAGTGGTGTCCCCATATTACAGAGTCTCGGCCAGGCTTGCGCTCGACGGCAGAAATATTGGCGGCTGTATAGATCTTGCCGTCCAACAAAAAATTCCCAAAGTTGCCTCCTTGTGGCCTTTGCGCATGGCGACCGGTATCATCAAAAAGATCTGTAGACAGCCAATTTAATCGTGATGTGGACACGACTCTCTCCGTCAGAATGCCATTGTTGATATTCGCATGATATCGGTTCACGCATGGGTACAGCTGGCAACTTGCCCCAACGACGCCATCGACCAATCCGGTCTCATTGTTACTGTTATTAACACTGATATTATATTGCTTTATGCGCGCGAGAATATTAATGATGAGGAAATCGCTGTCTCCACTAATAACCGCGTCTCCAGACAACAACCGAAGAGCATGGGTAGCATTAATACTCAGCCGAGTATCATAGTCCAAACTATTATGGCTGTTGAAGAAGCCGATATCCATGATATCCGGTGAAGATTGATTCTTGGTAGCTTGTGCCGTGGAAACAACACATGAGCTGCACATGGCAATGGATGAATGCGTTACACCAGCGCTGTCGGCGCCGAAGGTGCAGTTGCCTGTCGGCAGTTTACTGTGATTTTCTTTTTGCGGTTCATATTGCCCAAGCCATTGTAAAAGACACCATACAAGTCAGAGTCCATCACTCCCGTTGCCAGCCAAGCTGATGCCCCAAAATACTGGGCTACCGGTAGAGATGCTGTGCTTGACGACTCATTCTTCACACATTCTCCTGTCTGTGCAGCTTGCTGAATAAATGGACCTGTTGCAACTGCCAGCAACGTAAGGAGACATGCTATTAGCGTTGGGATGTGAGCAGCGCGACGGATAGTAACGACAGGGAGCCTAGCAAGCTGCGACTAGCATCCTCGAAGCGCTGTAGATGGCTCAACGGCCTCGCTTGCTGGCGAAACCAGTTCCATTTAGACTGGCTGATGATCGTAGCGGCAATAATCAACAGTGCTGCTTTAAAAAGGTCGGAGAGGATAGCTATTGCTGCGTTTGGGCTAATTCGTAGCGGCCACTCGAGCAGAGCTCTATTATTCCAGCTGAAGAGTATAGCAGCAATAGCGACGAGAACAAGAACACAGAACACCATTGCCGTTATCTCCCATGCCCAAAGTCGCACCACCTGTCGCCATTGGAGAGGCTGTAAGGAATCGCGAGCATTCGCTTGCTCATCCTCGATAAGTCGTTCGGTAGTCTTTATGTCAACTGTATCGGGGCTCTTTGTGCTGTCATCGTGTACAATGACGTTATAGTTGGCCTTCGAGGCACTAGCAGGCACGGGTTTACGTCGAATGTGTGACATACCGAGTGTACACAGGTAGCAGCAAGGTGTCAATTTCCCAACTTCAACCAAGTAACCTGGGGATACTGGTTTCTAAAGCAATAGAGAGTCAACTGGCCACAGGAATGCCCAGCCACGTAACTGTACTCTGAAGGCTGCATGATGTACCAACATGCATGCAGTCTATTTTTAGAGTGAAGCAGAGAGTTAACATCGTTTCTCTTTTAAGAAAAGTGAAGAAGTCTTTTGATTAGTATTGGTAGGCGATAGCAGGAGATTGCTTAAACTATAAGAGTGCCAGAAATCATCGTGGGTCATACAGTGTACTATAGTTCCAGGTAGAAATAAAAGTGTACCGCTGTACACAATGGTGTATGCTGTAAGCCGAAAGTTAATTTTCAGACACTCCCATATAATCATTCTTCGCACTTCAAACTTGCGCCAGAGAAAACATGGTTCTAGCTGCGCCGACATTCGGAGCGGCCTTCTGAGAAGAGATCTACAGGCAACAATCCATTTGCCTATCCGGTACTCGGCAGTGGCTGCTATTATCTGGGTTATTGCTAAGTCTCGGTTAGAGCCTCGATGCTTAGCAAAAGAGGAGCCCGGAGATGTTTCTCCCTTACACCAAACAGGGAATATCCCCAGAAAGAGTCGCCGAGGCTTGGAGAATATCCCGGCAGTTGCAATGGTACCCGAAAACAATAAGCGCACGGCTATCCAACGCGCTAGACAATAACTAGTAGAAAGGTAAAGGGGCGGCGGCGGGGCGCTACAATAGCGCTTTCTTTCAAGCTTCCAAGCTAAGCCAAAGGCTGTTAGTTTAGGGCGTAGCTGAAACGGCGCTTTTTCGGCATTTACCGCAAAATACAGTAAGCGAGATGGCTTGCGCCGTAAAATAAGGCTTGTCGGTGCCCCAGAACTAAGAGCTATCGCCTGTCAACTTCTTAATCCAGTATGGTGGCTGGCCCCTGGCGTCTGGAGAACGGTGCCGACACCAAGCCTATAAGAGAAGGTCCAGGAGAACCTTTCTGGAAAGTCGCGAGGCTAACTGCTTCCTTTTCAGACAACTCCGTTGGCAACAATTGGCAATGGCCTGTTCTAGAAGGTCGCCAGTATGTTCTGCAGATCCCCCACAAGTTATGATTACGTCGCTTAGAGTATTTGTCTACTTTGTAATACCTAATTGAGCAAGTGGTGGAAAGAATCATGGGCTAATATTGTATAAGCCGTAGCCTTCGAAATGGGGGAAGGGCTGATACCGACAACGGAGGAGGGAAGAGAAACGCCGCCATAGTCTCTCTTGTATAAAAGGCTATCATATCTCTTTCTCTACATGATTGATTGAATTACTCATTCCATCTCTCAATCCCTTTTCTTACAAGATATTTTCCAATATGCCCTCTTTTGCCGCGCTTCTCACGCTGGCCACGGCAGCCAGTGCTGTTGCCCTGCCCGGCCAACCACAAGGCAAGAAGAAGTTCACATTGAACGTCAAGTACAATGAAAACTACCGCTACACGCCCTCTGTCTCTTCCCATGTTAGAAGACAGGACGACGGCGACGGCAATGATGACCCTCCTACCACCGGCACCACGCCCGCATACAACAGCAAAGCCCGCCCTGATGCCGAGTACTACGTCCAGATGGACATTGGCAGTCCGGCTCAAACATTTAATATTCTCTTCGATACAGGCTCTAGTGACCTTTGGCTCTTTGGATCCGATGTCTCGGGTACCGTGAACAAGGGGCAGGCCAAGTGGAATGCCTCAGCTAGTGACACCTCGTCATATGTCAAGAAGTCGTCATGGGATATTACCTATGCAGATGGATCGGGAGCCAGTGGCGACGTCTGGAAGGACTCTGTGACCATCGCTGGACTGACTGTCGACAGTCAGGGCATCGAGTCGGCTGATACCGTCACAAAGCAGAAGAGCGGCGGCACGATTCTTGGAAACCCCGTCTCGGGCATTGTTGGATTTGCATTCGACGGTGGTAACACCGCCAAGCCCCGCCAAAAGACTCTCTTTTCCAACATGAAGGATTCATTGGACAAGCCCATCTTTACTGCCGATCTTCAGCACAAGGCTGGTAAGTCAACATATCCCCAACAAGCTACAGATACATGTAGTACGCTGCGTCTAGAGACAGACTAACATGTGTGTATGTCAGACGGTACATTTGGCTTTGGCTTCATTGACGACGACAAATACAGCGGCACCATGAACTGGGCTACGGTCGACACCTCGACCGACTTCTGGACCTTTACGTCCACCGGATACGCCATCGGCGACGGCAAGTTTGTCACGCTCGACATCACCGGCATCGCCGACACTGGCGGCTCTTCAGTCAGCATGCCTGCTGCTGTGAAAGATGCCTACTATGCCAAGATCCCAGATGCCAACGGCACCACCGTCCCCTGTGATGCTACCCTGCCCGATTTCTACTTTGGCGTCGGCACAGGCAAGATTAAGGTCGCTGGAAAGTACCTGATGCGTACGCTCGACGATGGAACCTGCACAACCAAGATTGTCAAGGCAAAGAAGGACAATGACTGTACCTTTGGGTCTCCTACTATGCTTGGCGCGTATGTTGTCTTTGATGATGGCAGCACCAAGAGCGGCACCCGTATCGGTTGGGCGAATTCTTAAGCGTGGATGCGGTTCAGTGTTAGTGCTATCAAAGGAATTTAATATGTGACTATTGTTTTATGAATGATCTTATATCCTGTAAATTTACTTATAATATGGTAGTATGTTGTAGGGGATGTAAATGGTGAATACATTACTATATACGACACTTGACACTCTTCATCATATCTATACTCATTTGCACAAGGTAAAGTCTTTCAGACCCGCGTCGGGCAGCTTCTGTGACGGCAGGCAAAGTTTCACATTTTCTCCCTTGAGGCTTGGAAAGACGCGCGAGTATTCTCGCTGTAGTCGTGGTCAGCACTGTATCTAGATATATCTGGGGTAGAACATACCTGTGCAATGTTGATAAAATCGCGATAGATACCGTCGGCCTTCATTTTGGGGCGGACCAAGTCACTCACACCACCAAGTAGGCCCATGACAGTGGTAACTTTGCTGTCCCAGGTAACGAGAGCCGAGACGAGCTTGCCGTCCACGCGGGAGGACTCTGTGCTTCCATAAGGATCTACGGAAAAATACAGTTAACGAAATACATCTTGAATAGGAATGAAAACTTACTCTGCATCTTCTTGCCTTGGACCATGCTGTTCCACCAGGCAAGCCCGACAGACTTGTCAAACATCATGACGGGCCACGCGCCGTACGGGGTGATGACATCGTGGTACTGGTCTTTTTGGCTGGCAATAGATACGATGCCGGCTGGAGAGATGTAGCCGATGATTTCATCAGTGGCTGGATCTGTTGAGTTGTTGACTGATGCAAACAGTCCAGGTGTCTTGGTCACGGCCGAGTTGCATGTTCGTGCTCTCTCCATGTTGTGGTGAATACGCCTACTTGATTAGTGAAAACCATAAAAGAACAGACTAGCTAAACTTACTTAATAATGTCGACGTCAAAGTAAGGAAGCTCCAGCACCTTCCAGGGCTCATGGGCAGAAAACCAGTATCCTGTCTTTTCGTTAGCACCAAAACTTTATGCATGTAAGAGGATATTCTTCTCTTACCTTGCTCCACGGTGATAGGACCGACTCCGTCCATCTCGTACTCAACACTGACAAGCTTGGCTCTCTTGGCAGTCCAAAGCTTTGCTTTTTCTTGAGAAGATAGTTTTCCAAAGAACTGGATAAAGTACGTAAACAGCTCGCCCTCGTATGGGTCGTCGAGATATGCAGGGCTCTCGCAGCCATATGTCTGCTTGGGGTCATTGACAGGCAGGCTCTGGTTTGCAATCTTGGTAACTGCGCAAACATGTCCGTCGCCTATGTAAAAGACTTTGGCTACGGTGGTTTTGGCATAGTCGAACCACTTTTGCCAGTCGGCAGCGAGCTGGTGGTTGGAACGGCTGGAGCTTTGTTCCAGGGCGCTGATGCAGGCATATACAGCCCAGAGAAGCTCACTATATTTCGTTAGTATTCTACATCATACAACCTTCTATCAAGAGCCAAATCAGACTTACCCATTGTCCAAGCCAGGAACGCGATTGACCCAGTCCCATGTAGGCGTTACGTCCTGCCCACTGGTTGTCATCCAGGGCAGGAAGCCACCAAATCCAGGATAGGTCTGGTTAAATTGGAGGTATGTCTTGAGCTTTGTTTGCATAATTGACGCTGCAATAGCAGGGGCGTTAGCCGGCGCATCGGGCGAGAGGAATCGTGCTGCTTTGCGATCACCGGCAATGGCGTGTGCGTAGAGCATGATCTGGAGAGACTATCACACAAGCATCTGTGAGCACATGTCTTTTTTCTTCATGAATTTACTTACCTCCTTGCTAGCGGCGCTAAACGGGTGAACCTTAGTTCGCTCGCCCGTTGTCCAATTGAGTTGAGTGCCATCATAGGTCATGCCATTCTTGACATTGTAGCCGACATTGTCCTGATGAAAGCGCCCTTCCCAGTAGAGCATGTCCCATTCAAAGCGGTCCGCGTATTGAAGAACATCCTTCTGAGACCAATTATTCGCAAAGCGACACGGAGGACTTCGGCGAGAATCTGTCTCGCTGGGCAGGGCGTAGGCGAGGGCTATAAGCCCGGCAAAGGTGGATGAGAGCAACATGCGGAGAAAGTGAGTATAAGTTGAATACCACGTAAGTAGAGAAAAGATGGAGTAGATAGTAGACTCTAATACTAGTCCGATCAAGACAATGCTTTGCTGGGAATTCTGAGGCTATTAATACTTGTATGCAACGACAACACCACTACCCTCTCATCGATCGACACTACGAATATACTTTTCTCTTGGCTTTACCCCAGATTATAGCTGAGAAGGCGCCCCTCAATTTGTGTATTTCGCCGAGCGGCCAATTAGCTCCACGTGCCGACGGAGAAATTACGCAGGCGGCGTTAGCGCACCGCCGTGGCGCCTCATTTTCAATTTGCCCGCGCATATTCGGCAATTCACCGAAAGGGCGGCTTTACAGTTTGTATTTCAGCGACCGCTCCTGCAGCTGCAGGTCATTGTGCAGATTTCTCCGAACAGCGCCAAAACACCATGTCGGCCATCGTGACCCGATCACAGGAGCCATTGAGCCCTGCCTCGCCGTTGAATACAGCGGGGTTATCCCCAGATTCCCCCGCTGCAAAGAGTAATCGAGCCTGTGATAGGTGTCGTCGGCGAAAAGTCAAAGTGAGTTCGCGTCTTCCTCAATCTTGGTGACGACTTTCTAACTACCGTTCTTTCAGTGCCATCTTCCAGAAAACGGGTGTTGTACACAATGTCAAGGCGCAAGAACCGCGTGTACTTTTCATTTACCGGCGGGTAAGCGAGGGCCCAAGGCAAAACGGCGTATACATGAGAGCGGCAACGATACCATACCGACTACCGCTACCCATGACACGCTAGACTTGTACATGGACGATGAACCTTCTTTACCAGCAGCAGATATCTCGGTTCAAGAAGCAGTTTCACTATTAGGAAGTATTCGCCATCACCGTCCGGTTCCTCCAGCCGACATTTCTCTCTCAGAAGACCCTTCTACACTACCATCATGGCACCAGCTTGTCGATGAAATAGCCACCCTCGGCTTAGATCCTCACAATATACTGAACCGGTGTATAGACTTGTTCTTCGAGTATCTCTACCCATTAACGCCGCTACTTCACGAACCCAGTTTCCGCGACAGCCTTCAACACTTTATCCCAGACCAGCATCATCTACACCAGCGCCACTATTCCGCCTCTATAGTACCGGCCAACCTAAACGCCACATTTGCCCTTATTTCGGCCGTCTGCGCCGAAGCCGCATTTCTCCTCCCCAAAGATATTTTCCCCGACGGCGAAAAGGTCGCGGATCTTCTTCTCCAAGCTTCACGGGACTCGCTTGACAGCTACCGAGAAGCTGATCTCGAACAGCCCACGGCAAGTTCCATTACCATTCGGTACTTTCATTCGAATTGTATTCATGCTGCCGGTCGACCAAAGTATTCATGGCACATCTTTGGCGAAGCTACGCGGCTAGCACAGGCAATGCGCTTACACGATGAATCTACGTATCAGCATTTAGATGCCATCGAGGCAGAGCTGCGCCGCCGTGTCTTTTGGATTGTCTACATGGGAGACAAATCTGCTGCTATTCTAAATGACCAGCCCATCACTATGCACAAGTATTCGTTTGAATCAGGCATTACTGCCGCATATCCAACGGGCTTAGATGATGATGACTGCTACCGAAATACCATCTCATCTCCGACGACAAGCCCCGTGGCAAATGAGGTACTACCCCAAGGGGCATCCATCATGGTGGGCTTCAACGCCAATATACGCCTCTGGCAAGTCGCTTCGGATCTTTTGCTTGCCGTTCGAGTGATTCGAGAGCAGCGGCGGAATGGAAACGAAATAAGTGTTGCCGGCACTGGTGCGGATGGAACTGCTCAGCCTACTTTTAGTCTAACGCCAGCTGAGAGGTATGCTCTGGACCCTCTCTATGTCGCATTTATTACGTGTCTGGATGAATTGCCTGGGTTTCTGCAACCTGGCGTCTTTACAATACCCAATGCTGTAGATGAGACTAGTGGTGTTGCACGCAAGTCGACGCAGTTTCTTGTGCAGTGTGCCAACTTGCAAATCTCACAGCACTGTCTGAGAATGGTCATGACGCAAAAATTTGAAGAGTTGTCGTATTTAACGTCTGGCTCGCAGCAAGCCGATCTCCAAAAGACAGAGATTGTGAGAGAGATGCTGCAGTTTATACGACGGGTGCCGTTTTGGGCCTTGCAAGTGAATGGTGAGCCATATGTAAGTGGACATCGACTGACTTAGTTAGCTATTCCGTTGTTTTACTGACATTACTTTGTAGGTGGAAAAGATTCGTCTGGTTGGTGTAAGCTTGATGGAGATTATTCACCGGAATTCCAATTCTCTCATTACAGCGAGAGCGAGAGACGACTTTGGGATACTTTTGGATATCTTGGCGCGCTTGGATTCCAAGGCGTCTGACGCGTTGCGAAGCACATCTACAAACATGGTGTGAAAATATGTAATTATAATTGTAGAAACGTGTATCAACTAAGTAATGACATTTAATGGGTGCCGTTGGACAAAGGGCCTTGTCTCTTAGCAATGATATCCTTTAATAGCAGCGCCGACTTCTTTGGTGTGCGTTCTAGTGTGACATAGTCTGTATAGGTAACTCCAAATCTAGGACCAAATCCGTCCGACCATTCTATGCGCTGTTAGCAAAGCAATTATAAGATTGAAAATAAGAATAGGCTTACCCAAGTTGTCCAGCAGAGACCACGCAAAGTATCCCTTGATGACGCTGCCATCCTCGATGGACTTGCAGATGGCGTCCAGATGATCCTGAAAGTACTGGATACGGTATGGGTCGTTCACAGCTTCTTCCTTCACCATCTTATCCTCTCCAGGGCACGGACATCCATTCTCCGTAATGTAGATGGGCTTCCCGTACAACTTGTAAATTCGCGTAAGGTGCTTGCGGAACAGATCAGGACACGATCGCAGCCAATGCAATCCGCTCTCTTTACCAACAGGAGTACCCTGTTTATCGTGCTGGAGTTCTTCCACATTCCCCAGTACGTCTGTCAAAGGCGCCTCACCAGTGCCATGCTTGGCAAATTGCGCTGTGTAGTAGTTCATTCCGTAAAAGTCGCACTCGGCCTGGGCGAGCAGAGAGAAGTCGTCTGGCGTAAATTCGGGCAAACGGTCTCCCAGCTGTTTTCGCATACAAGTCGGATAGTCTTTTGCAAGGCTAAAGCAACCTCTGCGTTAGAAATGAGAGTACAATAGCAAGAGAGGGAAACTTACAAGATGGGATTGGCAAACCAGCCAATGTGGAATTCCATGCGGCGCTCACTGGCTTCAGCGTCTTGAGGGTCCTCTGCATCCCACGGTTCAAAGTAGTCGCCGTTGAGCGACACGCCAATGACGCCCCGCTGAGTATGACGAAATTCCTTATTATACAAAGCGACCGCTCGCGCATGGCTCATAATCAGAGCTTTACCAACAATCCACGGCTCAGTCGTAGTATCGCCATCAGTGCTCTGCTTATTGGTGCTGCTTCGTCCAGGTGCATTTCCACCCGTCGCATAGCCCTAAAATGCACGATTAGCTGTGCCCAAGGCGATTAACACAGATAAACTTACATAGACAGCTTGGATCCAGGGCTCATTAAGAGTAATCCAATTGCACACTCTATCGCCAAATCGCTCAAAGCACACTCTCGCATAATGCTCAAAGTCCTTCTGCACTTCATCCACATCTAACCAACCACCATACCGATCATGCAGCGCCTGGGGCAAATCCCAATGGTACAAGGTAACCCAGGGTGTAATACCTCGCGCAAGCAACGAGTCAATAAGCTGATTATAGAACCGAATGCCTTCTTCATTGACAGGGTCGTTTCTGCCACCCAAAGGAATGATTCGCGACCAAGCAATCGAGAAGCGATACGCACCCGCTCCATACTGCCCAAGCAAGTCAAAGTCCTGCTCAAACCGATGGTAGTGGTCGCATGCAACATCGCCATTCGCATTCTTGGTCCGCGACGGCTCCAAATGACAAAACGTATCCCAGATACTCTTGCCGCGGCCACCCTCATTGACGCCGCCTTCAATCTGGTACGCGGCCGTAGCGAATCCCCATTCAAAGTCGCGGGGTAGAAGAGCTGAAGCTGAAGCCATTGTCGGTTGCGAGAAGGATGAAAATTGAACAGGCGCCAACAAGCGGCACTTCTTTTTTATGTATACGGATTCAACCGTTTTGAAATAGATTGCACATGGCTGATACGGGTTCTCTTTTATTCACGGGGAATTTCAGGTGACGTATGTGGTGAGGGTTTGTATTTCGCCGATTCCCCGATTCTCCGCGTGGCTTACACTAGCTCGGGTTTCCCCAACACCAAAATGCAAACCCCCATGGGGAAAAGCCAGGGACGGGTATTAGCCACGCGAGGGCTGAAGGAACCGCTTGTTTGTCTGCTTCAAGTTCGTGAGAAAAGCCGAGCGGCTGCAAGTGCATATATTTAGACCGTGTTCGCCCCTCCAAGTCACCAAGATGCTTCAAGCTTGACTCAAGCGATCTGGCATCGAGATAGTTTGCTAACTTCTGCACTCATCATGTCTCCCTCAGTCGACAACATGGTCCCGCTTATGGACTTGGATGCCGTGCCGCCGTTTTGGCGCAGAAAGAATGGCATCCTCCTCTACTTCTTGCTCACCTCTTCGCTCCTGGCCAGCGCTGCGCTAGGTATCGATGGTGTAGGTCCTCGTGTTCACATCCAAGCACAACTATTTGCTAATAAGACTACAGTCCATGACCAACGGTATGCAGGTCTTGCCCTCGTGGCAGGACCGTTTTGGACACCCAGAAGGCTCGACGCTGGGCTTCTTTGGCGCCTCAAGCGCTATTGGCGGCGTTGTGCCGTTCATCTTCCTCAGCTGGATTGGCGACAAGTTCGGCAGACGTGTGCCTACGGCGCTGGGCTCCATCATCATCATCACAGGCGTCTTGGTTGAATTCTTTGCCACATCGCTCAACATGTACATTGGCGGCAAGATTGTACTGGGATTTGGCTCGTCGCTTATCCAAATGGGTGCTCCGGTGCTTGTTACCGAGCTGAGTCACCCCAAAGAACGTGTTCGAGTGACAACCTTTTACAACACGTCCATTGTGCTGGGCTATGTCATTGGCGCATGGGCCACGTACGGCTGCTTCCAGATTCCCAACTCGTGGTCCTGGCGACTGCCCACGCTGATTCAGATCGTCCCCTCGGCGTACCAACTGCTTCTCATCTTCTTCTGTCCCGAATCCCCTCGATGGCTCGTTGCCAAGGGACGCCCTGAAAAGGCCAGGGACATCTTGATCAAGTACCACGGAGAGTGTGACCCCCAGTCTACTCTAGTTGAGTTGGAGTTTCAGGAAATCACAGTCGCCATTGCCAAGGAAAAGGAACAGAATATCACTTGGAAAGCATTCTTTTCGTCTGCGGCAAACCAGAAGCGCATTGCTCTCTGCTTTGCTACAGCACTCTTCAGTCAAAGTTCCGGTAACCTGCTAGTCTCCAACTATCTCACAGAGATTCTCAAGAACACGGGCGTCAACGATGACAAGGACATCACACTTGTGAACGGCATGGTCACACTATGGCAGTACATTGTCGCACTGAGTGTCACTGCCCTCATTGACCGATTCAAGCGCCGAACGTTCTTCGTGATCGGATCAGGTGGTGTGGTGGTCACGTTTATTGCGTGGACCATCGCCGCACAGCAGTACGTTGACAAGGGCTCCCTCCCCGCTGGAAAGGTGGTGCTTGCATGCATCTTCATCTTCCAGGCCTTTTATACATTTGCCTGGACCAACCTTGTCGTCACCTATCCGCTGGAAGTGGTGACGTATCAGATGCGTGCCAAGGCCTGGGCCTTTGTATTGCTGACGATCCAAGTGTCTTCCATCTTTGGCAGCTATGTGAACCCTATTGCACTGCAAAACATTAGCTGGAAGTTCTACATTTACTACTGTGTCTGGGTTACAGCCATTTTCTTGATTGTATACTTCTTCTTTGTGGAAACTGCAGGTCCTACGCTCGAAGAGTTGAGCTATCTGTTTGAGGGCGAGAGTGGTCAGAAAGATTTTGCGGAAAAGGCCTTGAAGCTGGACGATGACCAGGCCATGGTGGAGGAAAGATCAACAGTATAGAGTTTGCGATGTCTTCGGTCAAAATGCAGAATAAATAACATGAAAATTTAGTTTATGTACACTGGATGCTCAATGTCGTCGGGCTATTTTCCTTCCGTACGTATGCCCCGTAGAGACACTTAGGCGGTATTCCACTTCCATGTGGATAGTTCCAAATCTCCATAACCTTCATGGAACTCTCTTGGAGGGTCGGGAGAGTATTCTGTTATATTAGCTGGCGGCTCCGAGGCCAAGTACATGCATTCGGACAACAAACTGAGGGCATGTCCCATCTCTGGTCCTCGATACCACACCCCCATGACACAGAATCTTCGTCTAGAAAGGCGATCCCAGCCGTCATTAACACGGAATCCATCATCACCATTCATGCTTATAGTAATTTTGCGTCGTATTGGACAGAAGAAGATGACGGTTGTCTCTATGGGCTGATTGGCAATGGCCTGCTCCATAGAATGTACCGAAACAGCACTCAGATGTCCAAATGATCCCTTCAAATATTCAAATACTTCCTTTGCTGATCCATTTAGCTTTAGATATTGAAGTGAGAGATGTGTAAGAGTGTTTGTTACTCGGTCCAGTAGCGCAATCAGTGATGCCGGACTGAGATAGCTGATGCCGTCCAATTTCAGATGGGTAAGACTCGGGAAGCTCGCAGCCTGCTTGATACATTGAAACACGCAGATTCTATTAACTGTTCCGTGTGTATCGCGCATCTGCAGCCTTGTGAGGCTCTTGGCTCTGCATACCAAATCAGCAGCAATCTGCGCATCATCGCCATTTGCTCGTAGGCGGATCGCCAATTGAAGTGTTTTGATCTTTGCCCACGCCTCCCAGAACGACGGTGAGGAGTATGACGATGGAAGGATTCGGCAGAGATCCATCTCAGCAGGGACAGTCTCTAAGCTGATAAAGAAGTGGTCGATGGGCGGCATGCCAAGCCCCATGGCGTGGAAGATGATGGACAGCACATCTGCTGCTGAGAGGCTCGTCTCGTCCCGCACCGCCCCATGATGGTAGTCTCGCAGAACTTCCACGGTTGTACAGTTTGGAAATGACTTTGTGAGAATGCGGACAATGCGAGCGACATTTTCCGAGTCCAGACGGGCAAATCCGTCGGCGTCGCGCGGCCAGTGCAGATGCGCACCAAACGCCTCACTGCTGAGAAACCATATGCGGCGAACCTCTTCTCTTCCCGTCGCTAGCTGGATAATACTTTCAAGCTCGTCGATATTTGTCTCGGAGAGCGTAAAATTGAGTGTGTCAAAGACGCGAGCTTCCCAGCGCGGTTGGCATGCCTTGTGGAGGTGGCGGCAAACTAGCCTGACAGAGGGGATGTCTTTTCGGTCCAAGAAGTATATAACAGAATCTACAAGCTCGTTGGAGAGGCTGAGCAGCATTATCTATGCGTGTACCGATAGTTGTTGGGAGAGCGAAGCATGTTTGATGTTGACGAATGCGGGATGGAGAATACGAGTGCAGGGCGTGACGCATCTACTCTAAAAAGGATGAGGAGGAGAAGGGGATCTGCACGTGCTCAGCTGTGCCAACTGGCGGGCAGCTGGCGGCTGGCTACAGACTTTTAAATTCTGTTATAGTGTAATAAAATGAAAATATCACCTACTACTGTTGAAATTATTGTGATGATTGCAATAATGTGAATATGCCTGTTTTACCGGGTAGCCACTATCGTCACCGCGATAGCACCCCGCGCTAAAGTCAGTGGCTCCAGCGTATATGGCGGGGCTCCGTCGCTGGTGCCCCTCTACCTAAAAAAGTTGCTACTCCAGCTTCCGCAAAATCTCATTGACGGCATTCGATTGCATTGGCATTTGCGAGCCCCCGGTGAAATTTGCCGTTGAATATTGTACGAAGATCCTACCATAAAGCATGGAGGCGGAAACATTAGAGCAAGCGCAGGCGCGCCATCGCAAAGAGCTCAAAGACTTGCAGGGTCGCATCACGAGCAAGAAGAAGAACGCGACAAAAAAGACACGAAAAGGCGTCAATGACGAGTGCACCGAGCTAGAGCGACAATTAAAAGAAAAGCAAGCAACTGAAATAGCGGCAATCAACGGCGAAACGACAGCACCAGACGCAGAAGATGACGGCGACAACGCGGACGACGTACCACAGCCATCAGAACCCGACAAGACTCTAGCACAGAGCGCACAAAAGTTGACGATATCCGAACCACAGACCGAGACAACATCCGAGCAAGGGCAAGGGCTTGGAAAGAAGCGCAACCGCCAAAAGGAACGTCTTGCCCGTCGCGCAGCAGAGCTAGAGGCCGAAGCTGTCAAGGCCGAAGAAGAGGCTGCCAACATGACTGACTTCCGCGCTAAAGAGAGCGAATACATGAAGACAGAGTTTGAAAAGAACGGCCTCGTGGAGCAAGAAATTGCACCTGACGGACACTGCCTTTTCTCTGCGGTGGCCGACCAGCTCTCGCAACACGATATTCCCATCGAAGGCGCCGGCTTACCGTACAAGAAGATCCGAGCTGCCGCTTCATCATTCATGGCCGACAATGCGGATGATTTTGCGCCGTTTCTCGAGGAGGACTTTGACTCATACGTGGCCAAGATGCGCGACACAGCGGAATGGGGTGGCCAGCTAGAGCTGACAGCTCTGGCGAGGAAATACAACGTGGGCATCAAGGTGGTACAAGACGGCCGAACGGAAGTCATTGGCGAGGGCGACAAGACACTGTGGCTGGCATACTACAGACACGGCTACGGGTTGGGCGAGCACTATAATTCGCTGCGGAAAAAGTAGAACAGAGAGTGATCCCTAGACTGGGATGGTTATATTCAAATTTGCATTGGCAGGAGTTACTTTGTGGTTATGAGGGGTGTCAAAATATAAAACAATAGAAGCGTGTTTTCACCATGTATCCCGAAAATGTGCTCGTTTCTCTTCACTTCACGCTCCGCTGGCACTCTAATGGCTCCATACGGATATAAAGTCTCTCACGGTGCCGTCCTCATTCGTGCCGGCCTTATGTGTTCGCGTCGGCTTGACCAGACACAATCTATGCAGCGCGCCGTCCTGGGGTTTCGGGCTCGGCGGGTCAATCACGGAGCCGTCATCATTGTACTTGAGCTCCTCGCCGGGATGCGCCAAAAGTGCCTCGTACACTTCGGGACTCAGACCCCATGGGGGACCGCGATCCGAGAGGGGCTTGCCGATGGGGAACTCGAGACAGATTAAGCGGCCGCTTGGGGAGAGCAGCTGGCTCATCTGCTTGGCCCATTTCGGGCGGATATCGGGAGGCAGCGCACACAAGAACTATCAATCCAAAATGTTAGAGTCAATTGCAACCGAGAACCAGAGAGATCAACGCACCGTATAATCAAAGATGAGATCAAACTTTCCTGAGCCTTCCGTTCCAAGGCCCTCTGTCCAGTCGAGCGCGAAGAAGTCGGCCACAACAAACTTGGCATCACCGAGCTCAACACCGTCTATCGGCTTAATGGCCCCGCGAGCATGGTACTCCTCGACATTTTGCTTGGCGCGCTTGATGCCGTCTGCAGACACATCGAGGCCCCAGACATCGTAGCCGTAGGACTGCAGAAGAAGCACATCGTGGCCACGGCCACAACCGGGCACGAGGGCCGTTCTGCGTTTTGTCGGCTCGCCCTGTTGCGCCGACGGGACGAGATCGGTGCGCTGCGAGAGGAGGTCGGCTAGGGCGAGCGAAGGGCCGCCGCGGTCCCAGGGGTGGAAGTCATGCTGGTACAGCGAGTCCCAGGCGGACGAGTGGTTGGCAAAGTCGGTGGAAAATGTGTCGCGGAGGATGTTGGGGTTGGAAGCGTCGGGGGGCGGGCCGGCCATGGTTTGCTTGCTTGCGATTGATGGATAAGTTGCGATTGGAGGTGGGATACTGAGGATATTCGTCTTTGGCTTCTTAGGATTTTTAGGCGGTAGATATAGATTGACGATGAGAATAAAATAGATGACAGCAGAAGAAACTGACAAACAAGAGTTGAGCTGATCAGACGATGGCGGGGTTAAACTCTCGAACCACCCACGAGCCACTTTTCCACAACCGGCATCGCCCGTTGCGGTCGCAGAGCCGCTAGTGAGGCCAACCCACGGCTTAGCGGGATTCACAGGAAGACAGAGTGGGATGATGGGGACGCGGGGCAGACTCGTAGGCCCTATAGAGATGTATGCGCCCTATGAATGCCAAATGAGTCGTTGAGGTTGTCGGTTTCTGGAAGCATCTACAACGACTGCTTGCTGCGGCATGTAGGGAACTAGCTGCCTGCACCTTTATTCCCGACCAGAGACATTGCCTGCATTGACATTGCATAATTCCATGTTGTAGACAGGGCGACCCCACAGTCAAGCCCGGCTTGTCTTGGAAATGCGGTTGCCTTGTTACCGTAGCATCATTTGCTCTAGGCACGAGTATTTCGTACAAGTTAAAATAGTCTCCTTGTTCCTGTTGCTCATGTCGATTCATCTTTCTTATAGTTTACAACCATTGTACCTAACCTCGATATTGATAATGTCTTCGCCTGCTTCCCCAGTCAGGGCCACCTTTGCGGACAAGCAAGACACCTTTGCTGCAGCCCTTGGCAGTCTATTCTCAGGAACACCAGAAGACACAGAAGCCGATCTATCGCGGCTGTTAATACCGACCTCTACTCTTCGCGAAGGCACAGAAGTGCTCAATTTTGAAACATTTGTGTCCCATATTCGTCACCTTCGGACCATCCTTCCCAGCGTCGAGCTGACAAGTATCCAATTCATGCGGGACGGCAGCCAGCTCGCCGAGAGGCATATTGGCGTCACTACGATGTCGGATGGGAGCAAGGCTAGGAGCGAGACGTTTTTGTTTGCTGAGATTGCGCCAGATGGTCGGCTTGCTTGGATTGTCGAGTCGGTTGTGAGAGATGCTGTGATCCCCGATGACCCAAAGGGCGCATGAATGCCATGTATTTAGCCATATAGAGATGATAGAGCTGGATCGTATGATATCTTCTTTCATTGGCATATAGTGATTTGTTACCCTATTTGTCGGTGGTTGGCGACAAGGGTGCGTGCTTACGCCGAAAATGTGGCGAGCAGTGCGCGAGAATATGCCGAGACCCATGATACTGTATAAGCAACCTCAAAAAACCGAAAACTGCGCGAGAAATTCGTCGGAGATTGGAGATATAGCGCTTGCTATTCGACCGAGAAATGAAGATAGACACAACAATTGACGTATGCTTCCCATTGTCCGCTGTGAGATCCGCGACTGCAAAGTCCGCCGAGACGAGTATATAATAGCGTCTCTCCACCACATAAAAATTGAAAGTTACAATCACCATCACTTCAATTGTCAATTCAATTTCTCCTCAATACCATTTCAAAGAAAACTCGCTACGAAAAGAAATCTTATCAAAATGCTCCCCTCGTACCTTCTCACTCTCATCGCTATGCCTCTGGCGCTAGCTGCCCCAACCAAATGCTGCAACAAGGCCATCACATCGCGCGCATACCACGAAAAGATTATGAACAACTATCTCAATGTCTGGGCAGGAGACCTGTCTCTTGTTGACACTACCTTTGCACCGGCCTTGATCTTGCACGGTGATCGATTCCCGACTGGAGCCCACGGATCGGTCCAATTGGCGCCATTCGTAAACAGCTCCGCGGCATTTGCTGCGTTTGTGCAGTCTACACGCTCCGGATTTGATAGATACGAGTTTGCCGTGGATAGATGGGCTGGCGACGGTCTCAATGTGGCCATTCGCTGGATCTTGAAGGGCGTGATTGGTCCCAAGTTCAAGGTTGTGCCTACGTTAGTTGACTTTACATTTCCCACATTGGATTAAATACTAACAATTAAAGCAGAATGCTGAAGGAGGGATCGGCTGTCACATATAACGGTACGGAATTTCTTACATTGGATCCGTGTACTGGTCTCATCGTGGACGTGAGCAGTGCGCAAGACTTGATTGATTTTATGCACAATCTTGGTAACGACATCAACTTGACACCCATCCAAGGGTAATAGCCCTTGATAACTATTTTCCTTTTTTTTTTTATGTACGATATGTCACTGTATAGGTGTTAGTCTTACATCATGGGCGTCGTCTATATCGAGTGACATACACAGCCGGATGATGCGGCTTGTAGCTACAAATCACCAAAATTACTCGTAAATAAATTACCAAGAATATTTTCCGCCCTATAATTCGTCTTATAAGTGTATTAAAATTAAACTAGATTTTAGACGATATATCTAGACCATAGACCAAATGGCTTGCCGCGCCGTCGGCCTCTCGCTGCCCCATTCGGAAGGCTTGCCGCCGTGCGAACCTCGGTACGGAGATTGAGTCGGACTTCTCCAGCGCCGCAGGCCGCAACGCAACTCCCTCTGTGTCAGACAACCAAACTCCCCCACGTTTTCACAGCAACCGACATCTTTGCCTTGTTCAATTATACTCACCTTCCTCACATATACATCTCATCACATTACCAGTATAATGGATTCCTGCTCCCTCTTCAGCGTCAAGGTATGCCACCCCCAGCGCCCTCTCCATCCCCATAGCTAACCAATTCGTCCAGGGCAAAGTCGTCCTCATTACCGGCGGTACGCTCGCTCCCCTAACCCAGTCGCCCGTTTTTTTATTGTCATAGCTAACTCAAACCCCCACCAGGAGCCAAAGGCATTGGTCGTATGATCGCCGAGGGCTTCGTCGCCTCGGGCGCCAAAGTGTACATTTCCGGCCGCGACGCAAAGGCCTGCACAGAGACTGCTGCAGCACTCGGCCCGTCAGCGGTAGCCGTCCCAGCTAATCTGCAAAAGTACGAGGAGTGCCAGCGTCTCGTGGACGAGATTACCCGCCTGGAGCCCGGTGGCTTGCACGTTCTTATCAACAATGCCGCGGCCAACTGGGGCGAGGGCATCGACACGTACCCCGACGCTGCATGGGACAAGGTGATGACGCTGAATGTGCAGCGTGTGTTTACCCTGTCGCAGATGAGCTTGCCGCTGCTGGAGAAGGCCGGCTCGCGCGAGGACCCTGCGCGCATCATTCACATTGGTAGCATTGACGGCATTCGCACGCCGGTGCTGTCCAACTACGCCTACTCGGCGAGTAAGGCGGCCCTGCACCACTTGTCGCGCGCTATGGCGAGAGAGCTGGGCCCTAGAAACATTACGAGCAATACTGTTGCGTACGGCCCGTTTCCTACGAAAATGATGAAACATGTCATGGAGACGTCGGGCGATGTCATCCGTGAAGAGGTGCCTCTTCGCCGCGTGGGCCGTCCTGAGGATGCCGCGGGAACGTGCATGTTCCTTGCTAGCAAGGCCGGGTAAGTTCTTACAAGATTGATGTCGAGGGGCTGTGCTAATGGATTATCGGTAGATCTTACTGCAACGGTGCGCTGCTGACTTGCGACGGTGGTTCGGCTTTGTTGTCTAAGATGTAAAAGGATTTAGTTTGTATAATTACTGAAAGAGGCTGCATCGTTTTACGTAAAGCGCAGTACATCACTTGCATAGATGACGACAAAAAATTGTAGAGGGCCATATGGCCAAAAGAATCTATTAAAAGCAAAGTGCCAGAACTCCTAACCGGGGTATACTCGCTGTATATGTATATACTGTATGTGTGTTGTGTAGTGTTGTGTAGAGCCTTTCATAGGTGAGAGTGGTGTGTGAGGCGAGCGTGTGAAGCTCGCCACCGAGCAAAGAGCAACGCGCGCTGATGCAACAAACGAAATCAAAAACGCAAACAAAAGTCTCGAAATCCTTTCCGTCTCTCGGTTAGACTTGACCGCTAGTCAAGCCACTGTAGTCTATCGCATGTATGTGTCTGTGCCTGTGTGTTCCGAAGCATGCCGACCGTGAGAGCCGGCCAGCAAAAAGACGGCCAACCAACGCCAGCAGAGAAGAAGCGTACTCTGCTCAACCGAAATAAAAAATACTGCTTCAACAGTAGACAGCGATCGTATTTTATAGGCCGCAATTTTCGAAATCACGGACCATGACGGCGACCTGCGCCCGCTTCGCCGCCTCGGCCACCAGTGTAAAGTCCTTGAGGAAGAGATCCGTCGACGGCTGTTTCGTCTGCGCAGGTTGCGGCATGGTCATCGGCGTAGCAGCAGATTTAGGGCCCGACATGGCCGACGAGCCCTTTGTGCTTGGTGATGAGATGGGAGCGTTCATTGTGAAAAGATCGGTGCGGTATGGTACGGTAGAGAGTGTGTTGGTCGTGTGTGTGTATGTCAGATTTGGAGAAGCAAGCCGTGTCGTATGCTGACGAGCGTGCGTAATCTGTGAAAATGACGAGAGTTTTGTGCGTGGCCAAGTTGCACGAGACTGAAAAGTATGATGCAGGGTCCGGAGTAGACTTGAGACGGCGCAAAATTAAGTCTTTGTTGGATGCAGTACAGTCGATCACAAGCTAGTCTCGGAAGTTGGGGTCGGTCGGCGGTGGTGCAGCAGTTGGCTGTTTGCGGGGGTGGGTGTGTGTCGCTGCAAAAAAAAACCCTGAAAGCGAAAACGCTTGCAGATGGTCGTAACGGCTGCACTATTGCTGCTGTGAATCGAAAAAGCACAGTAGAGAAGATTGAGGAGAAGAACGGAAGAGACTGAGAAGAGTTTTTGTGGTGACAAGATGAGAAAGACGAGGCAAACAGAGTTTCACGAGTCAAAAAGGGAAAAGCCGGACTTTTCCTTGTGGTGGTGTGAGCCCGTACAGCAGGCAGGACACTGCAGAACAGTGGTTGGCCGGCGGTGGTGGGGGTACCAAATCCAACTCCACTGGAAAAGGCAAAGGAAGCGCTGGGGGCCTACGCTAAAATGACGGTACGTTTGGGGCTTAGCGCCGGAAAAAAAAAAAGACGAAAAAAGAGGCACGGACTTGGCTCGGCAAAAACAGTGGCGGCCTGAACAATGGGCCTCGGGGTTGGTCACTGAATGAACGCCTTATAGTTTAGTTGGTGGGCGAGCCTTGTGTTTTGCGGGCGATGAGGAGATGCAGGGCTGTTAACGTGGTGGTTGTCGTGGTTGTGTACTGTACCTGCATACACTGGAACAAAGTAGGGTGCGCCGAGCAGCGCCGAGCGTTATATACGCTACAGCACAGTGAGATGGGAAGCTAACATGGGCAGCCACACGCAGATTGCACTAGTAGGCCAACTATTGGTTTCTGCCGCCTTGGTAAACTGGTGGACGGATATGATGGTTCTTGTCATGGATGCAGAGTTTTCTCCTTTTTTTTTTTTTTTTTATTTATTTGCATAAAATCATCCCCAGGGCTATTCAATATTATGGCTCTTTCATGCACGTTTGTCGGTGTACAGACGGGGAACTGACGCTGGGTTACTGAAAGAAGCAGGTGGGCACAGGCGGGCTAAGCCGAGATCCGTGCTGTGCCTACTATGTTACTGCAACAGGGCTAGACAATGTGTGGGCACAACACCAAGAATGGCCCATCGAACAAGTGTATACTGAAGAACAGGTCTGAATAGTGTAAACAGAGAACAATACAGCTGTTCTGTTTTGTAACAATCTACACAGATGATTTGTCCGCTTGGTAATGCATCACGTGCCGCCAGGTTAATATAGAGAAAAGACGTCACATCATGCACGCCCAGCTGAAATATATAGTACTTCGTATTCACGGTAATAATATCTCATCCAAAACATATCAAATTTCATCAATGCAAATTCTATGTAAATAATCCACAAGTTTGCCCCATCGTGTTAGATTTGAGCCATATAATCCTTGCTGCTGCTGTTGCCGGTGCTGCCACTGTTCGTGCTCCATGTACGCCCTACGGCCAAGTACAACCACCACCGTCACCCAATGGCCACCCGCCAACATCAAAACTCGGACAAAACGATTTGCCCCCAGAAGCAGAGCAGGCTGTCTCACTTGCCGGTACCATTCATATACGATCCGAATTGGCTCATCAACAGTAAAGAAAACTAATGTAGGATGTGATTAGACGACGCCGACTCAAATGTGACGAAGGCCAGCCTGCGTGTCGACGCTGCATACTGTCCGCCTCCGAATGCAAATATCCTACTACAACTAAATCCAGGACCAATGTGCACATCATCTTACAGCAACCGTCGGCCTTTACAGCCCCTGCTGGAACAAGGCCCCCATCGGCGTACGAAATCGACGTATTTGGGTCCTTTTGCAGCTCCATCGTCAAACTCGTCAGCGGCAGCTTCAACAATACCTTCTGGCAGATTGAGGTTCCGACAGCGGCCCAAACATATCCTTCACTATGGCACGCCGTCATAGCTCTGAGTGCCATCATCACTGTGCCAAGATGGAGAAGACAAGAATCCGGCAGTCTCCTGTAGACGGGCCCCAGGCGCAGTTTACACGCAACCATCACTACAGACAAGCCCTAGTGCATTTCAACAAGTCGATCCAACACTTGATAACAGCCCTCCCATCGCGCAAGAGCGAAATGACGTATATGCAAAAAGAAATGGTGATTATGACGAATATAATCTACATTGGCATCTGTGGCATGCTCGAAGACGATGCGCAGATTCACTCCCACCGCATCAATTTCGTCAATCTCCTAGAGCAGCTGCATTTTGGCGACGAAGACCCTTCCTCACGGCGCGGAATCATGAGATTCGACGACCTGCTTTCCATTGTTCTCGCCATTGATGGAAACATAGACGCCAAAGGTGCCCTGCGCATCCGATGGGATCGGAACTGGGTAGTCCAGGTGCCCGAGTGCCCCAAGTTTACATCTATAACCCAGACCTACACGCAGCTTTTGCCCTTTCTCTATCGATCATTGGATGCAAAAAAGGCCACATTTGGGTCAGGCTTAGACGGGCCAGACCGATACAAAGCACGGCGGCTGCTTCTTGAAGCGTATAAAGTCAAGCTCGATGCGTTTGAAGCAACACGGACCCCCTCGATAAACACAACACACGACGACAACGCACTAAAAGTCATAAATCTATTCTTCCGCGCATTTTCCCTCAAAGAATCTGTCGCTTCACAGCCAACACGAAGCGACGTCATTCGGGAAGAAGAGCGGATATTCCCCCTTCTTGATGAGCTAGACGATATTCTGTCGCAAGGGTCGTCGTCACGCATAGAAGCATATTCAGAGGAATCGCCGCCCATGACGTTTTCACTAACGCCATGCGCTTTGCTCGATATTATTTTGATATTCTGCAGTAGCGCTGCAGCTCGGCGCAAAGGCATTCATCTCTTGAAAAAGTGGCCGCACAACAACAACGGGGAGTCGAGCCACGATCTGGTAACACTGTACTCGGCACATCTGGCTCATGAGCTGGATGCGCCAAGACGGACATTGGAGGCACAGAGAACCGGCGAAGCCATGAAACCGTCCTTCGCCAACGGAGGTCTCCCAGAGGGCGTGTTTGATGGTCATAACAGCTGCGAGTGTATTACCGAGTTGTATGTGTGTAGGGGCCATCGTATGGCAGACGTTATTATGCAAAATAAGGGGTCACAGCGGTATGTTGGCTTTCGCACGCACTATGAGATTCGGCATAAGCTTCCGTATACGTTTTACCCGCTGGATTAGATGTGCGCTGTGGTACTTTAGCAGAAACTGTTTGATCTTTTTTCGGACGCCGTAAATACAGTCAAAATACACACTTACAAACGTATTTATTTATTAAGATATGTTCTTTGCTACGTAAAAAATGTATAATCTTGTAGAGTACGTCTGATTATCTCCAACATTCTATAAAGTTGCGATGTTTTTGTCTATACAAACAAACGTTGTTTTAGCTTTGGACGTCCGGAAAATTAGTATCTCTCTGCTGAGGTATGTCAGTATTCACGAATATATAATGCAGGCTGTCTTAGTCGTATTGTATTGTCTAGTAGTGTATAATCCTCGTCCAAAACACCTCTTCACCAATGTTATGATAAATTCATCTCTTCCAATTGAATACTGTAATTCGTAATTCAACTAAAACCCACCCATTTTTTAACTAATCCCATCGCATTAGTTTCGTGTCTGTACCCCAACTTGTACACTATCAGTCGCTGGTACCTGGGCGTCACCACCACCAGACCCACCACCCCCAAATCTTCCACCCCCCATTTCGAACCTCAACCTCCAACAACCACCCTCCACGCCAACCGTCACCAACTACCACCATGACGACGACAACAACACCCCGTCCTTCACGGGGCATCTTCACCGCACCCTCCCACATCCGCGCCCTCTTCAAGTCCTTCCCCCTCCAGACCCTCCCCGCCAACACCCTCCCCTCGCGCGCCGCAACCTCGACGACAACCACCCTCCCACGCCTCTTCATATTTGCGCGCGACGACGCCGCCGCCGACTCCGGCACCCCGAGCTTCAACCCCTCATGCCTCAAATACCAAACCCTCCTGCGCATCGCTGGCGTCCCTGTCTCCCTCGTCCCGTCATCCAACCACGCTTCGCCGTCCGGCTCGCTCCCCTTTCTCATCCCGACGTCTTCTTCCTCAACAACTCCCCTCACAGGCACCAAGATTGCCGACTTCGCCAACATCGCACCCGACCACCCCAAAGTCGCACTCTACCAGTCCGTCATTGCGCACAAGATCCGCCCAGCTTGGCTGCATACACTCTACCTCGCGCCCGCCAACGACGCCGTCCTCACAGCCCTCTATCTACCTAGTGCGGCGCTCCTACGGGCGACGCAGCGCGCGGGGCTGCATGAGGCAGCAACAGCCGAGATTCTCAAGATTACACGACGCACGGGGGGCATTGATGCTGCTGTCTTGCGTGAGAATTTGGTAGATGCGCTGGAGACGTTGTCGGAGTTGCTGGGCCAGGATAACTGGTTCTTTGGCGCCGATGAGCCAGGGATGCTGGATGCAGAGCTCTTCTCGTATACGTATTTGATTCTGGACGATGCTATGCAGTGGAAGGATCTGGTGCTGGCCGAGGCTGTTCTGCAGTTTGAGAATATTGTTCGCCATAGGGACCGCTTGTACGCGCGCTGCTGGGGAAAGGAGTACTAGGCTAACCAGCGGGCGAATTGGACGAGAACCTGTAACAACACCACTATAGAATGTACAATAGAATGATACCACTAAAAGAAAATATAATTGGAAAATATTCAATTCATGCGCTAGCATGTCCTATGTCATGTCCTATGTCATGTCCACGTAATGCTTATACAATGTCCGCTCATTACTCGACGCGGGAACTCAGCCCATCACGTACGACCCTCCACACAAAAAAGTATACAAACATTCCGAAACGCTACTACTGCTACTCCTCCGCCCTGCGCTGCACGGCACTGCTGCGTCATTGAAATCCTGATCTGGATGTCGTGGTATCGACAAGGGAGGTCTTTTAGGTCGGCACGTCAACCATGAACCAAGATTCGCAGTACTACTCCGAGCTCTCGGTCTGAGAAACGCCTTCCAGCACGTCCTTGATCGATAAAAATGCCCCCTCGCCGCCATCCGTGCGAAGCTCTTCTAACAGTACCGTCGTCTGTGCATAAATCTTTTCAAGGGCGGCTTGTGACGATTTGCCTAGAGATGCTGTGAAGTTTGTTGTTAGCAAAGCGTCCATTGTATTCTTGCATTATTCCAGAGCAAAAGCTTACAGAGAATGGCAGCGTTGAGCTCTTCGGCCACAGCTTGACGTCCCTTACGGTCAAGCAAATGCGCCACCTCGGGCTCCTTAAGCGGGTTGGGGTATGCGACCAGCGCCCATATTTGCTCCAGTGCTGTTGTAATTTCCTTTCGCGAATCCCCGGCGTATTCGCGCTGCAACTCTTGGCCGTAAACAAGCATATTGATTTCCAGCTCCTGTAGTTCTGTCTGCTCGAATCCATTGGTACCATTCGCGTCGATATCCATGGCGGCGTCACCGTTGCTGTTGCCATTGCGTCGGCGACCCTCGGCTTCCATATTTATGTGGGCTGCCTTGCGAACCAGCTCTATGAATTTGCGGCACCTCAGCTTGAATACAACCGTTTGATTTTCTTGCAAAACCTGTGGATAATACTTCTCCATGTACTCCAATGCTTGGTCAATGTCACCGTCCAACACCGCCCGTCGTATGCGTTGTCTATTGTTAGCGTCCTCGTCGTCTCGTAGGCTGATGGTGGACTTGGCGTTGTTGGATGTCGAACGCAACGCTTCATTCTGAATGCGCAAGTCCTCTGCAAATGCTCGCGCAGTTTCAACGTAGCCGTCATGCTGAAGAAACTGCATAACCAAATTATGTATAAGATCGGTTTCCCCCATGCCATGCTCCAGTGATGAAGTGTCTGCTTCCATGATTTGCTGTTGAATATTCTTCTTTTGCTCCCTCACAACGTCGTCGATATTAAAAACAAACGGTGTTTGGCCAAAGTTGACAGATATTTGCTCGCCCGGCTTCTTCAAGCTGACAGACGGGTACAGCTTGCCTCGTAGAACCTCTTGAAACGCGGTACCAAGCTTGACGCCGTTTCGGGTATAAAATGCTGTGCGATCCCGGAAGTTGATACCGCAGCCAATAACATCGCCGGTTCCAAATGTCGGGCCAAACGGGCGGCCAATCTTTTGGCCTGTGAAGCAGCGGCCGTCATCGCAGTGGTAGCCCCAGGATTCGGGCTCCCAGCCAACGGGTCGATCTATCGAAGCAGTTTTTGTCGAGAAACCAATAGCAATATAAGTACTAAACCATGTTAGCAATCCATCCCATCCTCTTTTTCAGGTTAACATACTCGTCGCGCTTGCCAGAGAGAATCTGGACCTCGAAATAATAGATGCCACATTGCGGCGGGATATGGTGATCAGTTCGAACTGCGCAGGCCTCGTGCTCGCGCTCGTGATGAGATTTAGAATCGGGAAACTTTAAGCCCAGGCCGTCAGTTTGGATATCCAGGCCAGCAGCCACGTCGTCTCGGCTCCATTGCGTCGGCAGCGGGAGCAAGACATCTTCGTCGTCATCCTTGGGCGTCGGGCGCTCGATAACCACGTGTGACATGCCCCGGTGCGAGCCGGTTGGTAGGGACGCCGAACGCAAATGCATTCCGCCTGTGCTTGGCGAGACTGCTGAGGTTCGCTTAGCCTCCTTACGGGCGATTAGCTTCGCTCGGTGGGCCTCTCTCAGGCGCTGCATATATGTCGATGATTCTAGATATGTCGGAACGAAGAACTTATCTTCGGGCTCCTGGGAGGCATTATCCATATCTTCGACGGGCATGAACATATCAAACGCCCTAGAAAAGGAGGGCAAGCTGCCCGAGGGTCGCCATGAGCTGGTCGTCTCCACGCCGCCACTGTCGTCCATGGTCGGGGCAGCGCTCCTGGAAAGCTCGGCAGCGGTACTTGGAGCGTCGAGCAGCAAGTCTGCAGACGAGAAGATCGATGTTCGTGAGGGATGCGTATAAAAGTTGAAGGAGTCGCCTCGGGGGTCGGTGGGCGGCCAGTCGTCGTTGAGGGCGTCGTTACGGTCGGCTAATCGACCCGGTGTAGGCGCTGGGAAGTCTGAGGAGCCTGCAGCAGAGCCAGATGAGCCTCGGAGCCAGTGGTTGGACATTTGCGTCCAGAATGGGCAGCGGTTGGGATGGGCAGAGGCAGCAAGGGAGGGGGAAGACAACGTGATGGTGTCCTACCTGCGTGATGTTGTTGCTACTGCTACTTGTTACTGGCACTCTGCGGCTAGCTTCCCAGGGCCGGAGTCAAGGGCGGGCGTGTTGCGTGTGCGTGTGGTCGGTGATGTGCGAGTGATTGACTCTGTGCACGAGGCTGGTGTGTGCTTAAAATGCAAGATAGAGTTTAAGAGCGGCGTGGTGGACGGCGGCAGTGACTGGTTGATGCGGCATCTACGAGCTGAGCGGGACGGAGAGGTTGGAGGTGGTGGTGGTGCTGTGACCAGGTGCCAGTTGGGTGGTGGTTCCCCATACAAAATAGCAGGACCCGCTTAGAAGCAGCGTTAAGCAGCACCACCAGTACCAGTACCCGTAGCGCCGCCAGTGACGAAACAGTGACTCGAATGTAAGGCAGAGGATGTTAAAAGAGGTTCTGAGAGAAAAGAATTAATTGAAATCACTGGCAAAAAATAGAACAGCTGCATTCAATTCGGAGATATGGGAAAATAGCCACAAACGGATCGCGGGGTGCTTCACTGGCCACGCATCACGACATTACGTTTTGCTTGCTTGATCTACCGAAAGCGTGACCCAATAACGGCACCAGCAAGCCGTAGATGGCGTCGCCAGCCCAGGTGGGGAAGCACCGATTCGATGGCCGGCACTCACTCACGCACTCAACGGCGTCTCCATGTCCTCAGCATTTTCGAAATAAATATTGTGAAAAATATTTCGTGGACGGATTAATGTCGAGGGATCCATGTCACTACCGAGTCAAACACAAATGCACGCAAATGTCACCACTACCTCCACCACAGGTAAAGGTAAAATGCACGCTTTCATTCAATGGGACATCATCCCCAGCTACCTCCTCTGCTACGCCCTGCTCTGCTTTTTGCATACTAATCCTACATGCCATACCCTTCTATCAAACAGCCCATATTAAATAGAAAAAAATAGAAAAACACACGCAATTCCAAACGCCGCAAACTGTCCATGGTGCCGATGCTACAACTGCTGCTGACCCATGGCACACTCGAAACCCAAACGCCACCATTGGTTGTACAAGAGCAATGTAAGAAACAAAACGAAAAAAAAGTCAAAGAGAGGAAAGGCGATGATATCGTCCCCCCAAGGTTTGCTTTTGCGGCGTTGTATCCCGGCTGCGTCAACGCATGCAATACAGGACACTGTGCCTACTTAAGGGCAATCATGCAGCAGCAACAGACACCGGCGCCGGCGAGGAAGCATGTGCGCTCTGCATCTCCAAATCGCCGCCAGCATTGCTTGCGCTGGCGCTGTTTTCGTCCTTGATGTCATCCTTGTTCTCCTTGTTGCTGCCGTCAGCAGAGCCGCCGTTATTGGACTCGCCCTCGTCGCCGTCGCTCTTCTTAGGCGGTGCTGTCCAGCGCGGAATCTCCCAGACGACGCCCGTAAACGTCTTGAGCGTGAATCCGCCCTTTGTCCACTTGCGGCACGGTTTTCCCGATCGGTCGAGGGCGCGAAGGCCTGCATTGATGGCGCCCTGGTTGGCTCTAGGGCCAGGTTTGGCTGCCGCAGCGGCTCTGACAGCAGCGTGATCAATGGTTCCATCCTCTCTGTAAACGGCAGTGTTAGCCAATCATCCAGACACACAATTTCACGTAAAAAAACTTACAGTCTGGGCTTCTTCTTAGGACCAGGCTTGCCTCTGGGCTTAGGCAGACCATCGGGCCCGAGGGCAGCGGCCGCAGTGCGCTTAACGCCCTTCTTTCGTCCATCGGGAGGTCCCATGGCTGATGGGCCAGGTGTTCCGTCGCCTCCTGGTGTTGCTGCGTTGGAATCTGATGCCTGCTCAGCCGTCGAATTGGGGGCAGCGACAGAGGCAGCGGGCGACGCCTTGATGTCGTCCTTGGTCGAGTCGTCGGGGGTTTCGCTACTCGTTTGCGGGAAGATATCGCGGAGTTTGGTAGGGGATATTTTCAGAGTAACGAGGCCCTTGGAGGATGAGGTCTTGGCCGAAGGGGCCATTGCTGTGTGGTTCGGTCGGGGAGTTGTGGTATGTGGAGGGAAATGGGTTCGGTCGGAAAGACGCGTTGCGAAGCGAAAAACGCAGGGAGAGAGATGGCCTGTCGCAGCCTTGCGGGAAGAAGAGATTTTGGAGAGCCGGCGATTTGGCAGTTGGATGGTGGTGATGGTGGAGGAATGGAAAAGAAAATGGCTCGTGGTCGGGCTGGTGGCGACCGTGGCAAAGCACCGCAAAATGCCTTGGTGGATTTAGTGGTGGTAAATGCGTTGCAGCAAGGGGAGGTTAGCACTTGCGGCGCGTGGGGCTGCGCCAGCACCCGTAGTCAGAGTTGGCGATGGCAGTGGCCGGTGGTGTGGTTTTTGCGACAGGACGCGCTGGTGCGAGAGCCGATGTGATGCCGATGTGGTGAGATATTGTGAAAGGGGCAAAAATTACAAGAATAAATTGGCGGTACTTGGTAAATCAAGACGTCGTTGTGATTTTTTTTTTACTATTTGCTTTGCCTTGACCGTCGGCTGTTTTAACACAACCTTTTGGTCATCCTTTTCCCGTTTGGTGTGATGGATGTATAAATTGCACCTCTTGACTCAAAAAAATTGAGCCACATTTGCTCCAGCCACAAATAGCAAGCCACAAACGCCGAACCGGAGCCGTAGGGTAGCACATTTTACATGCTGGTGTTTACATTTTTATGGGAATTATATACTATGAGAATTCTAATAAAATGCTTTGTTCATTGTTAATCTCTACATAAACCTAACATGTTTTTCAGTTTCTTTGCTTCCCGACTTCCGGGGCTGTGGTGGACTGCTTTCCCAATGGCTCCTCATCATACTCTTTCACTCACTGTTAGCGCCGACAAATTCTCGCGATTCACACCGCTATTGTGGGACGTTGATATCTTCATCAAAATGAGGGCCATCAAGCTCGAGAGAGTCTTCGTAAATGTCAAGATCACTGTCTGTGTCCTCGGTAGTAAAAATCGGTGTACGTGGACGCGATTCACCAGGGTCGACCAACTCATCAGGATCAACGCCACCTGCCATTGTCCAAATAGTGATACAGCGATGCGCAAGATCGAGCATTAGTCGCAAATTTTCAATTTCCTCTTCTAGGACGTTGGGATAGCGAACAATTTGGCCGTTAATGACTGGTCGACAAGTCTTACAATCAATGTTACCCATGCTTAAAGATGGATGACTTGACACGTCTTTATTGTAGATGGAAAAAGGGAGTTAATATCTTCCTCCGACTCCAAGTCAAGAGGGCGCTCAAATATCTTGCCCTTTGGATCTTGGTTTGTAGCAGCTGCCTGTTGTAGAGGAGGGCTAGCAACAGGAAAGATCTGGAGCTGAAGCTTGATAGTATGGAGCCCATCACCCTGAGGTTCATGCCCAGCCCAAATCAAGGTAAACTTGGCTTGTCGCCAACATGCCTGCATTTGTTTGCACAGTGGAAGAATATTCCAGGAATAGTCCAAATGAGCATGGATACCATTGAATTCGTTAGGCGTAAGTAGATTCTGAAGTTGACGGGCAACTTCAGGAGAAAACCAAATTCGTAAGGCTTGAATATAGAGTAACAGGCGCTGGGACTGGTCGACATTAGATGTTCCTGAGAATGGAAAGGTGGCCAAACTCAGAAACTGCCATAACAGTAATAATACACCAGCAGTTGGTTCGCTTGCGTACCTATTCAAGAACCATTAATACAAATGGAAATAGTATAGCGGAGAATCAAGTACTTACTGCCTCTTCGGCGACCATGTCTCGTGGTACCAGCTGATCAGTTGATAGTAGGGGCTGTTGATATCTAGGAGGCCGCTTGCTTCTGTTGCAACCGCTTCTGGGCTAATAGGCAGCCGTTTCATGAGTGTTTTGGTTTTAAGAGCTTGTAAATCAAGAATATCGTATCTCATAGGCTTTTCAAAGACTATGTATACTGCCAGTATATCTCATAGTAATTTTATTTATTTGGAAACACATACAAATTCGCAAAAGGTCATGCCATTGCCAAGAAACTTCGTCATTAAGCCAAATCCGCGGGACCATCTCTTCTGGTGTTCCAGTGAAGAGCAACGCAGCGACGAAAATAGCGGGAGGATTTTCAATCCCGTAGGTCTTCCACAGTGCGTTTGTCTTTGAGACGGCACGAAGCCGATCAATCATGGATAGTTCATGTCTCGGGTTTTATATAAGTTGCCTTTCGGGTCGGGAATCTAGAAAAGCCTCTAACATGATACGATCCGCGGGTATAGTGTAAGGGCTTGATAGAAACTGCTCGAGTTTCTCGCGTAGCTCGGCGTGGGATGACCTCTTGAGAACGCTACGCTCAATGAAGAAGAGAAGAAAATTAATAATCAAGTTAAAGAGAAGAGTGACTTTAAATAGGCAAAACAAACGCAAGAATTTCGAGAAGATTCCGCATAGCCTTTGTTTTCGTTTCAACGTGCGTCACTTACACTTTTTGCCAGCTGGTGCACCTGGCAGAGCTGCGTTAGAATAAAGTTTTGCATTAGTTATACAGTCAGGATCATATGAGAATTAGGAATTTATTTGTGCGAGAATACATTTACAGTAAAATTACTTGTAATTAAATACTTTACAAGAGAATAGTTTACAAGAACCCAGTATATTAAAACGAAAGTATACACAACGAAGCAGTGTACAATGAAACGGTGAATAATCAAGCGTAGTTACAAACGGGCTATTCCCCACATATTTCTGTAGTAGGGCTTCTCGGCCAAAATGCTTATTTGTTCAACGCTCATTCACTTCTGTCCAGTTCTAAACCAGTAATAATCATCAGCGGTGCGGTGTCTCCGGCGGGCGGCGGCTGTTTGGTTGTTCATTTTTTTTGTTGCCCCTCCTTCCCCCGATCCCCGGAGTGGGTGGCGGGTTTAGGCAGCAATATAACAAGAAGCGGTCCCCTTGGGCTTACGGGGGGGATTGACGGGTGGTGGCAGTGCCGGCCAGTAAGAAACGTCGAAAAAATAAGAAAATACGAAGAATGAAAAATAAAATAAAAATAAAAATGGGAGGGCTTTTGCAGGTCTGCAGCGGTCTCGGTCCTCTTATCTGCGCAAAAACCAAGAGAAGTTGTTCCTAATGGAGTAATTGTCCCTCTTATTCTCCCCTCATCTGGACCGGGCGGTGAAAAAGGCGCTAAGGCAGCCGGCGGGGATCGGAGAGTGGAGCAACGCCATCTGTTAGTGCAACACAAAGAGGTGCCAATTCTAGAAAAAAAGTTAGTGGCGGACATTTCCCCTCGCCTGGACCGGCCGGGACAGGACACAGCTTGTCAGGTCAGGTCAGGTCAGCTTTTTCTTGTCCCCCTCTCTCTCCCCTCCTCCCTCTCACTTTTTCTTTCCTCTTCTTCTTCTTCATCTTCTTCAGCATCACACTCATCCTCATTCACACATCCATTTCATCCCACCCAATCAATGGCTGTCCCTACCAAGCTCAACAACGCCAACTTGGCTTCCATCGCCACCCCCGCCAACCAGCAGAGCTCCTCCTCCTCCAAGCCTGTCCAGACGCCCACCTACAACCGCAATGGCGTTACTGAGGGCATCGTGCACATTGGTGTCGGTGGCTTCCACAGAGCTCACTTGGCCGTCTACATTGACAGCTTGATGGAGAAGCATGCTGTCCGCGACTGGGCCATTTGCGGTGTCGGTCTGCAGCCCTTTGACGCCGCCATGCGCGATGCCCTCGTCCCCCAGGACTGCCTCTACACCGTCATTGAGCGCTCCGAAGCTGGCAGCAGTGCCCGCGTCGTCGGCAGCATCAACTCCTTCCTCTTTGCTCCCGACAGCCCCGAGGCCGTCATTGCCAAGCTGGCCAACCCCGACACCCGCATCGTCTCCATGACCATCACCGAGAGCGGCTACCACTACAACGAAAACACCCACCAGCTTGAGGCTCACAACCCCGACATTGCCGCCGATGTTGCCGCCAGCGACCTGTCCTCCCCCCGCACCACCTACGGCTACCTCTACGCCGGTCTTGAGAGACGCCGCAAGGCCGGTCTCAAGCCCTTCACCGTCCTTTCATGCGACAACATGCAGAAGAACGGAACCATTACCCGCAACATGCTCATCTCCTTTGCCCGCCTCCGTGACGCCGACATGGCCGACTGGATCGAGAAGAACGGCGCCTTCCCCAACTCCATGGTGGACAGAATCACCCCCCGAACCACCGACGCCGACAAGGTCAGCCTCGCCGACGAGTTTGCCGTCGAGGATGCCTGGCCCGTCGTCACTGAGCCCTTTATGCAGTGGGTTGTGGAGGATGTCTTTGCCAACGGCCGTCCCGACTTTGACAAGGTCGGCGTCCAGGTTGTCGGCAGCGTCCACGAAGTCGAGAAGTTTGAGTGCCACAAGCTGCGTCTGCTCAACGCCAGTCACACCGCCGTCTCCTACGCTGCCTACCTCGGCGGCTTCGAGTACGTCCACGAAGTCTTTGCCAACCCCCTCTTCCACAAGTACATCTACAACATGATGCACCTCGAGGTCAAGCCTCTGCTGCCTGCCATCCCCGGCGTCGACATTGACAAGTACTGCGACAAGCTTCTCGAGCGCTTCTCCAACCCTACCATCATGGACCAGATTACCCGCCTGACCCTCAATGGCTCTGGCAAGCTTCCCCAGTTCATCATGCCCTCGGTCGCCGAGCAGATCATGGCTGGCACACACAACTTCCGCCGCCTTGTGTTCTGCGTTGCCAGTTGGTTCCGCTACCTCAACGGCACCGACGAACACGGCAAGGCCTACGAGATTGACGACCCCATGGCCGACGATCTCAAGGCTCGTGCCCTCAAGGGTGGCAAGAGCCCCTTCCCTCTCTTCGACGTCAAGTCGCTCTTTGGTGACGATCTTCGCGGCGACAAGAAGCTCGTTGACGAACTCACCGCCTGCCTGGAGAGCTTCTACAACGAGGGTGCCATGGCCACTCTGGCCAAGTATGTCGATTAAAATAATGCAATGGAAAAACGAAACGATGTAATAGAAAGTATGGAGTAATGGGTAATGCCTCACGGTTTCATTTTAATTATAATTTGAAAAACACAACATCTATATAGTATCGCTAGCATGAAATACAGCTTTAATATCATGACGACCTTCATTCTGCTCTGTGTCTACCATCATATGCTAATGCTGCCAAAGTCATCACACCGCTGTTGTAGGCGTTTGGCCTTCACCATTTGCGTTTTGTACCGCTTCTCTTTCCGCAACCGGAGCGGTAGTTGCGTCGGCCTGCTTGAGGAACTTGACGCTAAAGGAAATCGTGAACTCTCCCGTCGGCATTGAGGTGCGCATATACGGCTTGAACAACGCTGTAAGTCGCACCAAACATACAGTCAACTGTGCCAGCCTATTAAAACGACCCGTTAGTATCTATCTCGAAAACGCCGCTGGTATTGAAAGGTGGACGAATGACGTACCATGTGACTACGCCGAAGATGAGGCAGACTGTTACAATGCACTGAAGAATGACCAACCTGGTCTCGCAGTCTGGGTCTCTAGACGAGCACCACCAACTCGGCGGCATGAAATAGTCCCTTTGATTGTCCAAGACAAAAGGGCTGAAATACAGCAGCCCAAAGTCAATGAAGGCGTTGACTATAGTAGGCAGGGTGCGAGGGAGATTCAAGATGGCAAAGATGATCGCCACAAATGGCTATGGGATGGCGTAAGCTGGTTTTCTAATTGTGCCTGGGGCTTGGCTAACTTACTGGGATCATAGCGACTGTCCTGCTTTCATTGTAGCCAAAGCCGAAGTGGCTACCGACCACCTCGGATACGATGAGGAGAAAGATGGTTGCGGTGCTGGAAATGATGATTCGGATGAGCAGCCATCGCGTCAGGCGCGCATAGCTGTTTGGTGTTTGCACGTCTTGCTCGTCGATGGGTGAAGTTTGGGTGCGGTTGCCCAAGAGGGGCGCTGTTTCCGAAGCGTTTGTATCCGCCATTGTGAATTGATTTGGCTGTTGATGCAGATTACAGTAGCATCTGTTTTGAAGCCTTTTTTTGTGTATTCTTTCTTGGATTGAACATGACAGCCTGGCCTAGGGGCAGTGAATAGCTGTTCAGATGTCAGAGGCCACGTGGGCCTAGTTTGGTAGTGATCAGCAATGAGGCTGTGGCTTCCTTTTTCACAATTTTATTTTTTTCTTCGTATCAGCCTTAGGCGTCTGTCAACAGCTCTCTTTGTAAATGCCATACTTTGGTGCCGCTTTTTTTGTAACGAACAAGGTTACAATATCAGTATCAACACTGGAGATGATTACTGTAACGATGAAAAAAGCTTGCTCAACTACCGTTCGTCCCCTACTGCTACTTTGCGTCACACTACGACTACATGTCCGCAGCGGTCCCATTATGGGCATTATGGAGGTCATTGTCTCACCTACATGGAGCAGTAGACGCAAAACAAACCAATAGTGTTGACGCTAGCTGGAAGATGACCTTGTCATCCCCTTAGCGTAGCGTCTTTCCGGAGAGAATGGACGGCCGCGTGTAATGGGCTGTCTCCTTTTATCAACTTGTGTAGAAGCGTCTACCAACCAGCGGAAGTCGTCCAACAGACAATCTCCATATCTGTATGCTTGTCAAACAACTAAGTTTCCATCTGCAGCAAAAAGATATTATATACAGTCCTGCAAATTTAGCAAACCCTGCACCGAGGCCCAGGCTCCTCGTGGCACCTGCTGGGTTACAGCGTTAGTGGCGCCCAGATCCTTAACAACGTCAGGGCATTGGCAGCGGCAACAGCGGAGATGGACTGTCAAATATAGACAAGTCAAATGTCCTCATTGACTGCATAGGGCTAGCCTGGGCCAAATAGAACCGGAGTTGATTCAGATACTGTAGATGCTGGCGATGTGTGGAGCAATATTGGACAGGTCGTGACCAATAAGGGGTCATATCTTACACGTAGGGAGCCGTGGAGGCTAGGGTTGACTTTCTGGCGTACTAGAACGTCTAGAAGCGCTGGAGGTGTATGGGGGTGTAGTATTCCCATGCTAGATGTATGGAAATTGTATGGATACCTTCCCAATAGGGGCATAGGAGGTCCCATAGCATCTCCTATTGTAAGACATGGGACGAAACAGTCCTACTGTGTAGAAGCACCATGTTGACGACAGATCTAGATCGCGCCTGATTAGAATACAGCATACCATGGGACTAAGCAAAAGGGTATAAGAGGAGGAGGGGCGGTCTTCTGTGGGATACCTGGAGATTTGTTTGGACAAGTCGCTCTCTCTCCTTTCTCTGATACCCTCTATTCTTCTACAGTAGTAGTATCTTTTAGGATACCTTACTCTTCTTCTCTAGGCATCTTTTAGGATGCGTTTCTTTACTCTTCTCCTCGCCGGTTTCGCGGCGCACGTCGGTGCGGCTAGCCCGCCCGCAGCCAAAGCCAACAGCCAGTCCAAGGTTTGGTGCGGAGCCATTGCTTCGGGCCCCAAGAATGAGAACATCAAGTCTGTCGATGGTACGTGGACTGTTCCCAGCGTGTCTCCTCCTGCTGGAGCTAACAAGACTGGTGACTACTGGGTCTACCACTAGGTTGGTATTGACGGCAGCAGCTGCAATACCATCCTCCAAGCCGGTACCAGTGTCAACGTGGGTTCTCTACTTACTCTCTACTGGAGATATACGTGTTATGTTTGCTAATCAAAGCTCGTTATATTCTCATAGATCAAGAATGGCACGTCTTACTACCAGGTGTGGTACGAGTTCTACCCTGATGCTCCCGTTTATCTCAAGAACATTCACGACCTCAAGAGTAAGTACATATATCTACCAATAAGCCAGCCTTCTCTAACCACCATGTCAAAAGTTACTGCTGGAAACAACTTCTATGCCAAGGTAACTGCTACCGATGCCAAGAGCGATACCATGTAAGTTGCCAGTTATCTAAAAGGGCCTACAACCACGCTAATGCATATGACGGCAGTTATCTCCAGAATAAGTTGACCGGCAAGTCCAAATCTATTGATGTAAAGACGACCAGTGGCAGCCTCTGCTTCAAGGATGCCATCTTTGTGGCTGAGGCCCCCCATAGCAGCATGACCAACATCACACCTCTTGCCAAGTTTGGTAATACACAGATTGGCGACATCAAGGCCAGCACTTTCAACGGGACCGCGTTCAACATCACTGGCGCTGATTTCAGAGACATGTACAACGGCACCACAAGGATTTGCACCTCCAAGTATGTTGATGCCAGCAATGTGAACATTTCCAACTAAGCAAGGTGCTTGCTGTTGCGACGGAGGTATGTATGGCGTTGGGCGACTATGATGCACGGGTGTATCTAGGCCACGCACATACGAGGAGAGAAAGAAACTAGAGAGATTGTATTACTAGATACAAGAATAAAAGGTGTAGGCTCGTACTATATACCCAAGATTCTGTGTCTTTATCGGCAAATTTGCTGGCTGCTGCAGGTCAGACCAGCACAGCACGGCACGCCATTGTTGCAAATTGCCCCGTTTCCATTGCAGCCACGGCAAACTTGTTGGTTACTGCAATAATATCCTGCACAGCATGGTACACCGTTATTGCAAATGGCTCCATTTCCGTTACAGCCGCGGCAGATTTGCTGATTGCTGCAGGTCAGGCCGGCACAGCAAGGCACACCGTTGTTGCAGATGGCGCCGTTGCCGTTGCAGCCGCGGCAAATTTGCTGGTTACTGCAAGTCAAGCCTGAGCAGCACGGCACGCCGTTATTGCAAATGGCTCCGTTTCCATTGCATCGTTTGTCGAGGTTGGAGGTGAGCTCGGCCGGCGCAGGGCCTGCTACGGCGAATGTAGCGAGCGAGGCGGCGATGAGCAGCGAATATGTCGACTTCATTTGGGCGGGTTATGATTATACTATGTGAAATAGATGAATATGTATGCTATAAATCAACTTGTAGAACTGAATCGCGTAAAGCCGGAGTTGGTCAGACGGAGGACCGGTGCAGGCTGGTACACTGATATATATTATATACAGACAGGTTATATACAACTAGACGGCAAGTGTAGTCTAGGCCTCATTTTCTCCACCGACGGGCCGTGGGAGTGCCGACCATCCTTGCTGAACAGTGCCGAGGACTGGGATCTATACGCGGGAGGCTTGCATGAGCTGAAATCTACACAAAGGTGCGCCCGTGCGCCCGCCCGAATGGTGAAGCGAGGCCTAGATCTGAGGGGTAGTGAGGCGGCGATATTACAACGCGTAGCTCCTCTTGTTGTTGATATTTTCTGCTTCGTTGCAGTGTGCCCCAGTATGAGAGAAGATCCAGAGCTGAGGTCGGCCTGGCAATCCTCTCATTATATCTTTTGGCGGTGAGAATAGAATATATATCGTTCGCCATGGATATTAGAGTGCCGATGCCAGAGCAGCGCGCGTGTCATGCATTTCCAGCCGCAATAAGCAGGTGGCGCTGCTACTATCGAAGGGCTGGAACAGTCATAAGGCAGCCTCTTGTGGTCAACATAACTGAGATGTTGCCGAATACGCGGATACCAGCGGCTCTGACAAAAAACGCCAAAATAAAAATAAAGACCATTGCCTAAGCATCATTCCGATCGGGGCCGCGTGATTCTGTTTCCCCACCGGCGAAGCACGATTTCCAGCACAATAAGAACAGCATAGACACCAGCCATGACGCTCACGTCCAGAATCTGGTCGCTCATGGGATATGCGGAGCCAGTACGGTCGTTTCCTTCGTAATGCAACCCGACGACCTTGACAATAGACATGACCATGGTTCCCAGCCATATAAAGACATTGAGACCGCGCCAGCCAACAACGAGGCCCTCAATACCTTCAGTAAAGTGAAGAAAGGCAGCAAGCAGTAGACCGACAAACATGAAGGGCAGAAGCCCAATGCCATAGTCGAGTTTGGCCAAGCGCGCAATCTCAAGCGCCTGCATGGCAACGAGGCATACAATGAGAAGGTAATAGATGGTGAGCGTGATCAGGTGCGGCCTTGCCATCTTTGGGCGTGGGATGCCATGGCGCTCGCGCTGGACATGTCCTGTTCCGCCTGGGAGACAGACAAACGTGATGACGATCGCGATGTAAATAGGCAAAGGGAGCAGCACGGTATCTACGAAGCAGGACGTAGGGATGGGCGCGGAGAGCGCCGAGTAGGGGCCCTGTAGCGCGACAGTCAGCAGGGGGAACGAGCATCATTGTGAAGAATGCGTTGGACGTACAAAGCCTTCTGGTCGGTTAATGCAGAGCCTGTCGGGCCCATTGCTGTGCGAGATGTATCGCCGCGGTTCCATCTTGTCTTGTTTATTCTTTGGTGAGTGTGAGCGGAGGATTTACGCGTCACGCAGTGTTGTGCGAACAGAGAAGTTTTAGCGTGGAAAGCTCCGGCTGCGTGGTGACGTTGAGAGAGCTGAGACAAGTGGTTTAGGCGGCGCCACGCTTCCTGGTGGTAAATTACATGGACCAGTTTGCACTGATACTGGCATATTTACAGGCAAAATAAATATAAACATAAATGCGAACACTATATAAACTTGTATAGGATTAAGAAGATGCCTCGTCGAGGCTGTACAAGGCCATGTCATGACAACTTCTAGTTCATGGGAATTCTCCCGCCTGGCCTCGGTTGGGTAAAAAAACTGCCTTGCCAAGCCGTGCTAGTTGCTTGTCCCCCTCTTATTTCCACGTATCCCAGAGCCTGAATTCTCAATTCGGACATGTATTCGACAGTCACGGTGCCGGTGGTTAGTAAGACACCGGCGAACCGTCCGTGCTATCTGATCGGGACGGTCTCGCGATGGATCGTCAGGTACAGTACGTACTGAGCCTTAAAACCCCCCGGGGCTTACAGGGAACAAACGAGACAGGAATAGGGCGCTCTAGACTTCGTTAGTCGCTGCAGGAACGGGCCCATGTAGCATCCGGCTGGCCTATAAAGTCGCCGGATCCATTAAACATGCTATGCGCAGAGCCGTATCTGAGTCAGATTTATCGAACACTAACCACTAACACTAACACCGACCACAACCACCACGGAGAGATTTTATGGGCTCGGTTCCGGGGACAATGGACAATGAGGGGTGACCAAGCTTACTATGGCTCGTTTATGCGCATGAGAATGGAGCAAACTATATAAAAGCAGTGATCTAATCCGCATCAGTTAAGATGAAAGAGAAGCATAGATTGTAGCTTATTTGCTCTTCTTTTTCTTGTCCTCAGTCACATTCACAATGGTTAGCTTCTCCGTCCTTCAACTCTTGGCTGCTAGCGCCACGCTGGTCGCCGCCCTTCCCGCTGCCCAGCCCACGGACATCAACGATTCGGATCGCGATGTTGCTGCTCGCGAGGCCCTTCAGCTTGGCACGGCCATCCACGGCGCCCTGGACTTGCCCACTACGATCCAGGAGATGGAGATGCCTGAGCCTACTCCTGGTCCTGAAATTGACGTGGCTGAAGCGGCTGTTGCTGCTGCCAAGCAGATGACTGTTGAGATCATTAACAAGCACGGCGCCGATATCAAGACTGTCCACACTGGCGGAGAAGCCGTTGGTAAGCCTGGCGCTGGCAAGATTGGCAAGGGAAAGACGGCGCGCTTTGTTGTCAACGCTGGCTGGCACGGTACTGTGGCCATTAACGACGCCAAGCAGTAAGTTCTCTATATTTTGCACTGTTTGTTGTGGTTGAGATGCTAACAAACACTGTAGCAGCGATACTACCGGCGATGAGTCCCTGATTGAGGGCTCGTTTGTCAACCAGGGCGCTGGTCATGCCCAGGGAGATGTCAACATTAGCTTCGTGTAAGTAACAGAATGTCGTTTGGCAGAAGTGCATACTAACACTGAGGAAATAGTGATGGCTTCTCTGTCCCCATTGTCTGCTGGTGTGACGAGAACAACGTCACCACTGGCTGCAACAAGGACCTCAACAAGCTCAACAAGTGCCCTGTAAGTTATCTTTTCACATGGAATGACCATCCAAGCGATATACTAACAAATCCATGTGTAGAACCCCAACGGCCAGGGCTCGTGCAAGAACCCCTTGCGCAACGACAACGGTGCCAAGTCCCCTACCAAGTACTTTTCTCCCTGCCATGCTGCTGGTGGCGCCTACACATTTCCCAGCGATGACAAGGCCAACAACCTCAACCAAAAGTGCCCCAAGGAGAAGTACACTTGCTGCGTTGGTACCTCGTGCCGCTCGCACCCTTAGAGGCAGGCAGCAGATATAAGTTGTGCTTGGAATGTCGGGAATGCCTGTTAGATTGTATATATTGTAAAGAAATACACGTATAAATGGAATTATGTATCTACTAATATTTTCATTCCTTCTGAAATGTTGTCATAATGAAGACAGTAGGTAGGATAGTGGCTACTGTCCCTTTCTGTCTTACGGGTGTCTCGACTTGCACCACGATGGCGATGCTAGTTGCTTTTGCTCGTGCCCCATCGTATCCCAAATAATCTTACGGCAAATACATATGGAGACTTCCTTTCTTTGCAGATTCGGACTCTTCCGGATTTTCCGCCTGCCCACGTTTTTCGCACGTTTTTCTCGTGGTCAGCTGCAGGAACCGTAAGCGCTTACTGCAGTTATCGACCAGGGGTACAGCGTAGCCTTACACCACTAAGTCTCCGTGCGAATTGCCCTCTCTTTTCAGTAGAGGCTCCGGAAGGTTTTATTAGCAAGGTTCGCATTTATGCGGAAATTTTCTTTGGTAGACCGAGTCAGATGCTGCGGGAATAAACCTTGTCGCGTCGAAAAAGAGTCTATGCCGCGCTGTAAGCCGTAGTAGAGATGTGAGGGTATATAGGAGCATTATACCCGCAGATGGGAGCCAATTGTAACCGAATATACCAAAAGGCATACTTTAGACTACTTGAGAAAAGATGAAGCTTCTTTCCCTGGTAACACCGCTACTTGCGGCTCTTCTGGCCGGTACGGCGCAAGCTGGAATTGCTGGCGCTGGTTCCCATGGCCTGTAAGAGCAAACCTCCAACCGCAACACCCCCAATTTGCAGATTCTAACGGTTCAATTACATAATAGTCTCCCTCGAAATGTCAGCGCTATCGAAGAATCCGACGCAGTAGCTGCCGGCATCAACTGTGATAAGCGCGTTGCCCGTCTGAACAAGGGTGACTGCAACTACATCAAGTCTAAAGGCTTCGGCAGCCAGGGTATCAATGCCGTCAAGGCCAACGGCAAAGCCTGGATTGGCACCGACGGTCCATACACATTTAAATTCACAAACCATGCTTCAAAGCCTCAACCTGCCGGCGTCGTGCTGGTGCTCTGGCTAATGAACAACGACAAGGACTACGGTGCGTCGTTTGTCAATGCTCGCCGACCATATATTACTGTCTCGCTGCCCAAACAAGGTGACAACGTTGTCATCTCCGTCGGTGCCAACCAAATCGGCGGCTTTGCAGCCATGACGAACCACGGCACGGGCCTATCGCAGTACGGACAAGTCTCCAACACGTGGGGCGAGTTCAACACTAAAAAGAAGGGTAACACGTTTGACATTTCACGTGAAGTCAATATGAAGGGCAATGCCATGAGCATCAAGGCAGGCAACGGGTGTGTAGCCAACATGGGTACCTGCGTGTTCAAGTGCACCAATGGTGCGCAGTCGTGCGGCAATGCCGGCGAGTACAAGATTTTCAACTGTGCCGCGCCGAACCCAGGAGCGCAGCATGCACCTGATGGTGCGAATGGAGGGTGCTCGGGGTGGGGAAATAGCGGGCGTGGGCATCTGGATGTGCAATTGATGCGCGGGTGATATGACCTGTTGCATGTAGTGTATATAAGGTATACCGAAGGAGTTGTGGTATCTAAATACGTATGTTTATATCTTGATGTTCCTCTACTTCTTCTCTTCTTCTTTTACCACCTTACTCTCCACAATGCCCTTCAAGTCAGGCCGCGAGTAGTTGGGCCCCTTGAGGATCTTGCCGTCTCCCTCACGGCGGATGGGCTTGCCGTCCGATCCCAACTTGGTCATATTGCTCCTGTGAATCTCGGCAAACACGTCCTCGATGATGTCCTGCATGCCGTGCGCAATGATGGTGCCGCACAGGATATACAGCTTGTCGCCTAGTGCGTCGGCCACTTCGACGAGGTCGCCTGCCTCAGCTGCGTCTAGATACTCTTGGTTCTCCTCGGCCATGAGCCTGTGGCACATGCGGATTCTCTCGAGACCAATGTTGACGGCAGGTGTAGTTATGATGGGATATCTGCTGAAGACGCTATAAAACTCCTCGACGCAGCGAATCTGCTTTCGGAGTCCCTCTCCAGACGAGGACCCCTCTTGAACTGGTGTTGTAGAGGACATGTTGCGTTGACTATGTAGAAAAAGAAGAGGAATGAAACCCGTGAGGTGGTGATGTAGCTTCTGTATTTATTGATTGACAAGCGAATATCGGTGTTTGTTGCGCTGTATTACTGTACACCTTTGCCTTGCCGTGCTTTACTAGCCCACGTGACTAAAATCATCACGTGAGTATTTCCTGCATAATGGACTGATATAAATTAAAGGTTCAATAATAATTAAATACTAAGAGTGGCTGAACATATACGATTTACTACTCTTTATGTTGTCTATACAGTTATATCAACGAGCTGGTTGCGTGGTATCTGTCATAGTAGAAGCGGCTCCACAAGCGTATCGTCAACTACACAATGTCTAACGTATATCCCTTTTGAGCCTCATTCTCCATACTAATATTTATCTTAATATTCCGTCCGTTTTACTGGCAGTACACGTCATATAATACTATCGGGAAAACAAAACCCTCGGGGTGCACGCCGAGCATGAGTCGTGCACAGGCGGGCCATTTGCCTAGAGTAGAAGGTTTACTGTCGTATGCCGGAGAAGAGCCAACCGCTTAGCTGCCTCTTAGAGTCTTAACGAGCAAGCATCAGCCGAGATTGTGGGGGTTTGTTAGTGGGATGGATAGTGTCTGGACAGAGCCGAGGCTGTCATTTTCCCTCTAACATTCTATATAGTATGTAGATATAGCTATATGATACTTATAGAAACACTAACAAATACATAGTATTACTCTTTTTGTCAGCGCCACCCTGCGATTCTATCCCGCAAATACATGCAGTAATACTACCCGTCCTTAGCAGAATAATAAGCGAGCATACTTTCATCCTAGGGCTACGCTAGCTAAAAAACGCCCCTAACCACGCTACAAGGCTCTCCCCAATTTTTTTTTAGCGTTCTAGAATCTCAATTACTACCCCTGAGCTAACTATATTTCATTACCCCATTGTCCCAGGCTCCCAAAGACCTTCCCAATCCAGGCTATACGAAGCAGTCCCCCCATAAACCCTTCTTGGCAGCCCTGAACAGGGGACCACGCCAATTTCTATCATGGCACATACCCCAAATTTCCCTCGCGGGGTAGGTCCCGTAATTGGAGTCTAGCCGCCCAGAGATAAGGCAGCCCAGCCCAGCTAGCTTCCTGAATAGGATGGAGGAATGACTGCGTAGAGCGAGTCAGCTCGGCCATGGAAACTATACTGAAATTGGTAAACCGGTAGACTATGCCGCGTTTCTGTAGACGAGGAATAAATATAAAGGACTGTCCCCATGTCAATTGAAGAGTAGTAGCAACTTGGAGAACGACATCGCACTCTCTAGGACACCATGAGATCCGACTTTTCTCTCTTTGCCACGGCATTGCTTGCTGTCGGCGCGGCTCAGGCTGCTGCCACTCCCAAGTGCAATGCAGACAACTGTCTCCGAGCATTGAGCGCTACCCAGATTCCGGGCCGTATTGAGTCAGCCAAGGCCTTCTGTGCCTCCTACACGGCACCTGGAGCAGCCAGTGTCACTATTCCTGCATACGCTGCTGACGGATGCAAGAACGGCGATACCAAGGCTCGCATCTCCAGTGCCTGTGCCTGTGTTGCGCCTGTCACTGCTAGCGCCTCGTCTGAGCCTACAGCAACTCCAACACCGACATCATCATCGGTTGGAAGTGACTCTGGTGGAAACCCTACTGCAAAGGATTCCTCCAGCTCTTCCTCCACCCCGGCGCCCAGCAGCACCGTGCACCCCTGTGCCGAGATTCGTTCTTCGTCTTCTAAGCAGGTCTCAGCCAATCCCAGTATGTATCTCGTTCCCTTACATAGTCCTTCTTCAGCTAACGACGTATTATAGCCGCCATTCCTGTTGTTGCGGCGTCTCTAGCTAAGCGCTGCCTGGATACAGTACCTGTGAACAAGACACAGGCGTTGGGCCTCTTGGACGATCTCGTCCCGTACCTTGAATGGCAGAGTGACACGGCATATCTCAAGAACCCGCCGTCCAACTACTACTCCGCCGGCTACGACTTCATGGCCAACCTGCAGAGCGTGCGAGACCGCGTCAACAGCGGCGACATCACGGGCCAGTATGAGTTTGAAAAGACGCTGCAGGAATCCGTCTTCTTCCCGGCCCGCGACGGCCACTTTTGGTTCATGTCCGACTTTACCGATGCCTTCTTCTTCACTTACCCCCGCGGTGTTGTTTCCTACAGTGTAGATGGCACCTCGGTACCAAGCCTCAAGCTTTACGGTACGTATTGTTTTCTTTTGATCCAGTATAACATCATGTTAACAATAATCATCAAACAGAGGACGTCATGAGCAGCCCTGACACAGCGTCCACTCTGACCACCATCAACGGCGTCGATGCCGCGCAGTTCGTCACCTCTCTCGCCGACAAGAACTGCTACGACCACGATGTCGACACCGGCTTCAACACCATGGCCTTTACCCCCACCAACCCCAGGCGCAAGGGAGACTTTGGCTCCGGTGGTCGCTACAGTGTATTCTACCAGGGCGCCAACACCACCTACGCCTTTGCAAATGGCACCGTAGCCACTTACCAAAACACTGCCCGCATCTACGGCAACTTGACGGGTGTCGTCGACGGCAAATCCTTCCGCAAGGCCTTTTGCGAGCCTGCTTCTGCTTCTGCTGGCGTCCCTGTCTCGCCCGTCGACAAGGCCGACACCTTTGACGTTTCTGCTCTCCCTCCTCCTGTCATTGGCACCACGGATGGTATTGTCGGCGGCTACTACCCTCCCGGCGCTGATGTTGCCGATGTTGCTATCCTTGCTGTCCGCAGTTTCCACCCTGATGTGTCGACTGCGCAGTTCCAGGCTGCCATTACCGACTTCATCAACCGGGCCAAGAGCGATGGTAAGACTAAGATGGTGATTGATCTTCAGGGCAACGGTGGCGGCCTCATCTTGTTGGGTTACGAGCTGTTCCATCAGTTCTTCCCGCACCTGCAGGAAGACGGCTTCTCGCGCTGGAAGGCTGGCAATGCGTTCCAGGAGATTGCTACCGTCTACAGTGACTATGCAGCCGACGTGAACCCAGCCACGTCCTCCAGTGTCGCCAAGGTCCGCGCGTACCAGTCCTTCCTTAACTGGCGCTTCGATCTCAACATGACGCACCAGAGCTTCCCGAGCTACAATGAAAAGTTCCTCCCGCATGTGTACAAAGATACCCCGTACACCAACCTCATGGCGTGGAACATCTCCGACCCCATCCTCACCAAGAACTCGTCGTTTGGTATGGGTATCGATATTACCGGCTACAACAGCCGTAAGGACTTTGTCCAGCCCTTTGCCGCGGAGAACATTGTCCTCCTCTACGATGGTGACTGCTCATCTACTTGCACTATTACTTCGGAGATGTTTCGTCTGCAGGCTGGCGTGAAGAGTGTTGTGCTTGGTGGCCGTCCCCAGGAAGGTCCTATGCAGGGTATCGGCGGTATCAAGGGCTCTCAGGTGCTCGGCACGAACAACATCTTGACCTATGCTAGACGTGCTGCTAGCTACACTACTGACACTGGTGTCAAGGCGTCATTGGCTCGCTATGCAGATCTTACGGGCAAGTACCGTGTTAGTGCGTCGGTGAACACGCGTGATCAGATCTTGCGCGACAACATCAACGATGGCACGCCCGCACAGTATGTCACGGAGAATGCTGACTGCAGACTCTACTGGACGCTGCCCATGATCAAGGACGTTCGTGAGGCGTGGGCTGCTACGGCTCGCTCTGCCTTTGGTGGCCAGAAGTGCAACTGGGGTGGCATCGAGGCGCCCAGCGGTGATGCCGCCTTGGGATTGACGCCTAGACCTGGTCCTCCTCCTCCTCCCACGCTGGATACCGTCGAGGCCAAGCCTGATCCTGTTACAAGGGATCCCGAGTGGCTCGCCGAGTACAACGTCAAGGCCAGATCATAGATGAGGGAATTTCCTGTACATATATTGTAGATTGGTTCAATGTAAATGTTTTCTTTACAATACAACTTGAATGCAAAATGCGCTACAAACTTGTTGGCGTGATATACAGTAAGTCAAGCGTTGACTCCAACACCATACTGCGAGGCTAGGACAAGCTATGCATCTATGCATCGTATGTCCTTATAATACGTATTATTTGGTTAACCGAATTTTATACAATGCACATATGTTCATAGACAAAAGGACCCTAATCCCCTTCCGACAGGTTCGAATTCTCGCTAAGCCGTTTAAATGCACAATCATTCTATTGGAATAGCTCAAAATAGTTCATCTACTCCATTTATCCAGGCCCGGTTGTACGAATAGGCTATCGTAACACCCTTTGGCCGAAACTCTTCATCTAGCTCATGAATCTGTTCCCAAGCATCATGGTCTTGATCTCCGCTCCTAGCAAGAGTTGTACTGAAGCTAATGTGTATTTCCTGCAGCGGTAAGCGCATCATTATAGCCCTTTCAGCTAAAGTTCTGATAAAACGCTTAACAGCACTATTAAGCGCTATCCACGAGCCATCGACATACTCATGCGAGATGAAGAGTACAAACTGTTCTAAACGTGGTGCCAGAAGGCGAATGGCATCTTCCATGTCTCCATCTGGTTCTCCGGTCATTTGCCGCATTGGTATTCGAAGGTATCTCAAATTGATAAATTCGGTAAAGTCGCAATGAATACCAGGTCGTTCAATAGCTAGATCTGTGACATGCAGATGCGTCAAACACTCCCTATGCTTCAAAAGGATGGTATGGAGACTCTTGAGACTGACCCAGTCGTAATCTGTTCTGGGAGGCCCGACTGCGAGTTTTTCCAAATGCCGAGGCCATTCAAGAAGCGCTTTTAGGCCTTGACATGTTAACGCTTCACCGATGAGAAGCGATTTCAACCCCATATTATCTCTAGCCTAAGAGTAAGAAAAGTCAGACAAACGATTAAGACGGAAGATGTTTTCTTCAAAGAAAGTCTTACTAGTATATTTTTAACAGGTTCGATGTCAATGTCTCTTGCACCACTAAACTTCAATTCTTGAAGAAAATGAAATTGCGAACAACTGTCAATTGTTAAGAGCGTCGGGCCACCGCCTTTCACTGCTTGCTGCAGTATCAGTGCGTGTATGTTCGGCATGTGCGCAGCGCAGTAGCGAAGAAGGCCCCTCAGTGCATCGTCCCGGAAGGCTAGACTATGTTCTATCCGGAGGCGCTGTACCTGCGGCAAGAATGCAATAAGTGGCTCAAAAGCATGTGGTGTTGCTAATGAAGCCTTGAATGACGGTTCGTTTGTGTAGATGTCCCGTCTGACAGAGAGGTTTAACGAGAGGCAGTAGTTTCCCAACGAAGGTTTGCTTTGAAGAGTATCAAGGATATTCTTCAATCGTTTTCCAGGCATGTAGGGCTGGCCGTCATCGTTACCGTAATCGTCACCCGTAAAACAGCTGAACGAGAGTGAACGATAGAGAAAACCGACTGCACTGTTATAGCAACGACGGCTAGTCAGGATAATTGCCTTAACTGTAGCGATGTCATAAGTATAATCAGGGTACTGTGAATGTGCTGGGCACTCTGGAAAAACTGCAGCTGCCAGGTTGAAGATGTCCCATAGAAGCTCATCTGGTAGCCTCCAAATGTATGCATTCTCCACGGTGAATTCAGCCATTATTATGAACAGGGAGGCTGATACGTAAGGGCAAAATGAAAGGTGATCGTAGTCTGTGTGACCGAGGGTTGCTTTAATGTGCTATTTGTGAGATGTAAGGAAACTAAAAGTGGTTGATGTGTTCATCAGAGTTCATCGTGGGTGATATTAACCGGGGGATCGGGTATGCCGGGGAAAGAGCGGGGGTCGGTTACTTATGAAGAAGTTCTGTAATTGCATGTCGGATACATATCTGTCCAGCGTGTCACGGCTTTCTCCCTCTCACGGTATTATGTTTATTGTCAAGATTAAAGTGCTTTACGGTAAGATTAAGTCACTTATATGTCATGAGTATACATGTATATATAGGCTCTAAATACTTTGCAAGGTTCCTGTAACCTCAAACCCAGTGTCATATCGCCATTTTCTATTCTCGACTATTTTACTTGGCATGGGGGTGCTCCTCGTAGAATTCAGCAACCCACTTGCGGAAGTGGCCAAGGGTAGCCTCAAAGATAGCCTTGCCCTCAACAGAACCAGCATTGGCAGCGACGTAATCGTTGCAGTGGCCAGCATTCTTGATGACATAGACGGGATGATCTTCCGTGCTCTCCAGAGCGCCACCAGGGCGGCCCTCCCAAGATACGGTAGCAGGTCTCCAGGGGTCAAACTCTCCGTTAATCCAGACAAGGCGCTTGGTGTCGACCTTGCGCCAGCCACCAGTGTGCTTGTTGACGCCATGGTAGGTGCGGCCAGCCTTGAGGCCATACTGGAAACCATTCTTGTCAGGGAAGTTTCTGTCGCACACGCCGTGAATATCGTCCTTCCAGCTCCAAAGGCGAGATTGGAAGCCAGTGTTGTCGAATCGGCTCCAGGATTGCCACCACTCGAAACTGTGATTAAAAAGTTAGACTGATTACATAGACAGAGACACGGGATTAGCTTACGGCTCGTTGCAAAGGAACCAGGTCCATGGGTTGATTTCGGTAGTGGCAATGTCGCTTCGTCCGTTGAGACTCCTCCAGTCAACACCGCTGCGAGCCTTGACACCGGCAAGGACCTTGTCGGTCGTGTTGGTGTAAACTCTAGCAAGGCCATCAAGAGCAAGCTCAAGGCCGACACCATCGGGACCAGGGACAGGGACCATTTTCGTCGGGCGTTGGTTCTAAGAAAACAAGAATTAGTGCAATCTAATAAAACTATTAAAGGAAAACTTACCTCGACAAAGTCACAGAGCAAAGTCAAATCGTTAACATGGCGATAGGCCTGGTGGCTCTGCTGAACGGTGATCCAGTTGGTGATGACGTTGGCGAATTCCTTGTCGGTGTAGTTTCCCAGGGCAAACTTGTCCTTGAGCGTCTTCTTGGCAGTGTCATTTCCGTGGATCAGCACGTCGTCGGTGTGCTTGATGATGCGCTGGAAATCAGCAGTGCAGTTCTTAGGCATGCTGTTCTTGATGGGAGCGTAGTACTCCCAGAACTGCTCGACAGTCTGGACAACAGCGCTACCAGCCTCATACGCCCAAAAGGTACCGGGTGCCAGAGACTGTGTCCAAGCAGAGAGAGCACCCGAGTAGGAGCAGCCGGACAGCAGCCATGGCGCCTGGTCGGGCTTGGTAGCCGTACCGTTGGTGGTGTCAAAGGGGAAGACAACGTTCTTGGCAAAGTAGATGAGATCCTGGACGGCATTGTCCAAGGTCATGTGCTGCAGAGTCTCGGTGTTGAGGTCCGTAAACGGGGTGCTGGGACCAAAGTATCGGTGCTCGATGATGATGTATGCACCCTGGTTATCTTGGGCCAGGAGGCCGGGTAGCGACGAGTTTCCCATGTTGCTAAGATCGCCATCTGTTCCAACAGCTGCCTCGCCGGGGGACTCGAGCACAATGGGGGAGTGAGGACCACCATAGTGATCGGTGTTCCACCAGTAGCGCTGCTTGAATGTACCGAGAGAAGGGTTCGAGTGGTCGATCAATTGGTCGAAGAATTCGAGCTTGCCGTGGCCCGCGGTGGACGTATCGCCGGGGAGGCGGGGAGTGACGGCCTGCTGGACAGGGTTGAAAGGTTGAATGTAGGCGCTGGCGACGCCAACAAACGACGTGAGAGCTGCCCAGTGCATTTTGGGGTAACGGGCAACGAAGTAATTCCTGCTAGAGTAAAAGCAATACTTGAGAAGCACTGCCTGTTCGGGGCAGCAGCAGTGGGCATTGCGCAAGTTATATGCTCGACTTTACCTTGCTTTTTTTCAAAAGTTCCATTACACTATCGTATCCGGCTTACCGGATTGTACTTTGGCCGGCATCTGTCGCGTCCTGTACCTGGCCGCATGTAACCATCCGTGCAGGTGAGGGTCTGACGACGGAGACTACTCGCGTAGACAAAAGTACTAATGTCGAAGTGGTAGCGATCTTCGGTGCTGACCCCAACTCGCGAGCAATTCTCCGCTTCCATGGCATTGATGAAATTGGGGAATCAGCGCAATCTAGGGCTGAAAAGACGGCCAATGTAACGAGAAATGCTACGATATATTTCTTTGGTTAAACTATTTATTAATCACAGCTCTCATTCCCAGTGTATGCCACAAAACCCGAAAAAACATAGCTCGTCTGCAGAAATAACGCTACAACCACATACAGTGCACTATAGACGAATGGGGGCCCAATACCTGGACCTGCCTAGTTAGGAAAGACGTCGTTCTTTTGCTCCATATGTTTTCAACAAAAGGGCTTCTATGACTCCGAAGATGATAAAACAATGGCAGCACGCCGTAGGGAAGCACCGGGAAAAAGAAAATGTGTATATTATAATAGTATCATAGATATTAATATACACTTGCGCTAGCTCCAGCATAAAAAAAAGCATAACTTTGCTTGGGGTGGTCAACAATATACTGCTAATGGTTTGGGGTGGCGTCTGTCATTGGCCACTCCGTAATAATAATATGGGTTGCGATGCGCCGAAATCCCGGAATTCCTTTGCTGCCGAAAGAAATCTCCGCTGTAAAGTCGCACTGGCTGCGTACTTGGTGAATGCCAAATAACGGCCGCTAACCACTGTTGTCCTCTAGATACCGCTCATAAAAGATGTAACATGTTTCTGGCAGATACTGATGGCGCTGTGTTATATTCTATAAGATGAAAGATGGGTTCCTAAAGTAACCATAACCAATGGCAGCTACCGAGTGGCCAATATGTATTGTACAAGTCATTCTTTAAACCAACCTATAATTATTTATAATTTTATACTCACAGTTAGCTGGTTCACGCTATTGCTTAAAGACTCAAATATCTGTATATTTTTCTCACTGCTACTGTGAACGGAAGTCTTCCGACGGTACACACTGGGGCTGTAGCCAATACAGCTAGCTGAGCTTCTCCTTTGCGCAGAATGTCGTTTTGCCAATGCAAGTGAGATCAGACACATCATATCTATTATTCCCGACTATTCCAGCGGCAGCACCGTTTTTAACACCTGCATATTCCAATAGCCAATCCTCGCCTCGTCACAGATTACACCGCACAGTATACTACCGGATAAGCCGTCCAATCAGACCACCAGCTTTTCTCGTTACCAACAAACATTAGGCCGAGATTCCCTCTTTTAGCGCAATTTGTGGGGAGACCAACGCTGCGATCCTCGGTAATGCGGGGGAACAGGGCGGAGAATATGAGACGTACGATCCCCCGGTATTTAGCAACCGGACTTTCCAAGTTGCAAAAAACGCATCATTTCTATTGCAACTTGTTCTCTATCGACTGACTGCTCTATATACTGAAACCATCCCAAGAAAAAAATGACGGATACTCACACCAACGGAAACAGCCACGCCAACAGCACCAACGGCACCAGCGCCGCCGACGACGTGGGCAAGGCCGCCATGGACTTTTCCATGTTCCCCAAGCCGCCCAAGTTTGACGACAAAAAGGAAGAGCGCGAGTACCTCAAGGGTCGCCTAGCTGCCGCCTTTCGCATCTTTGCCAAGTTTGGCTTTGACGAGGGCGTTGCCGGCCACATTACCTGCCGTGTATGTTTGCAACGAATCAGAGAGCAGCGTCGTGCATGTTTGCTAATTCTAGATACAATTCTAAGGATCCCATTGAGCCCGATACCTTTTGGGTCAACCCTTTTGGCGTGTCTTTTGGCCTCATGAAGCGATCGGACCTTGTCCGTATTAACCACGAGGGCAAAGTGATCGATGGTGGCCCATGCCGTTTAATCAACCGTGCTGCCGTCATGATCCACGCTGCTGGTACGTATAGCTGCGTTCTAGTTTGAAAAGCAAAATGCTAATGGTTGGTTCTAGTCCACCATGCGCGCCCAGATGTCCTCTGCGCCGCCCACAGCCACTCCATCTACGGCCGCACCTTTGCCTCGCTGGGCATGCCGCTGTCCATTTCCACACAGGACGCCTGTGCATTTTACGAGGATCTCGCGCTGTACAACCAGTTTGGCGGTGTTGTTCTAGACGAAGAAGAGGGTGGCCATATTGCCAAGGCTATTGGCTCCAAGAAGGCTGTCATTTTGCAGAACCACGGCCTGCTGACCACGGGCGAGACTATTGAATCGACAGTCTTTTGGTTCGTGTCCCTTGAGAAGCTGTGCCACTCGCAGCTCTTGGCTATGGCAGCGTGCGCATACCCGGGTGCGTCTATCAAGGAGATTGGCGAGGAGGAGGCCAAGTACACACATAAGACAGTGGGCAGCTCGTACGCTGGATGGTTTTCGGCCAAGCCGCTGTTTGATAACATTGCCAAAGAGACCGGCGAGGACTATCTCGAATAATTTTAGCAGGCGTTGTATGATGAGATGATCTACGTAATAATGAAGTAAATTGAGCGTACAGATCATGTCTTTGTGAAGAATGTACGAGGGCGCACTAACCAATAAAAACGGCAGTGTATTCTTGGAATATTATATAATTATACCATAATGACACGATATTCTAACGTATAAAGACGCATTTATCCTAGGTTAAATGGTTTATATAACTCGTAATTGGAGCATAGTTACGAATAGTCTATACGCGTAGGGTAGAGAGACAGAGAGGTAGACACTGTAACTACACAGCGCCACCAAAGGTTGTCGTTGTAAGATGTATAAAACAAATAGAATGGATTCATAAGCATCGGAATTAACAATCTACGTTATTAGCAACTTTCAAAACTCCACCAGACTTGTTCCTTTGCCAATTTCCAACATCTTGACGCGGCAGACAAATCAAGCAATGTGATTGGCTGTGTCGCTCGCACTTCCTAATCGGGCTAGCATCCCCTCAGTCAGCAAACGGCACAACGCCTCTTGTGGTTTCTGCAATTTTTAGTTTTCGCCGTAAACTCCGCAGAAGAAAGAAATCGATTGCATTCCGTCGGTGTAGATCCGCCTGATATACGCGCATCCGCTGTAAGATAGGGCTGTTGCTTTCCGTGCGACCATGAGCGGCACCGGCAGCGTCATCCGGACCCGGACCAAGGCCAAGACGGGCTGCACCACCTGTCGGTACGCTAAACCGAGTATGTGGCCGGCTGAGTATAGACTGACACCTAAATTAGCATACGAAAGGTAAAATGTGACGAGGCCAAGCCGTCGTGCCAGAAATGCGTCAAGACAGGCCGTACCTGTGATGGCTACGACTCGCCCTTTCGGCACGTCACTGGTCCGCCGGCGCCAAAAGCACCCGGAAAGGCTACTAAGTCCTGCTTTAAACTAGACACTACGTCCAAACCATCGTCGGAGGCAGATGCTGAGGAGGTGAATCTCTTGAACCGCTACTTTTCCACAAAGACACTCTTTAATGTCCCACTGGACTGCAAGGATGAAGCGAGGCAGGTCCTCGAGGCGAGTGCAACGGATCCGCATGTACGGCATGCCCTGGCGTCGCTGCGTGCGCTGCGTGGTGATCTCGAGACGTCTGGCGATGTCTATGCGTCAATAGAACAAACAACACCGAGAAACGACCGCGCACTAGAGCAGTACTGTACATCTCTTGCGGGCGTCGCGTCTAACCTGGCGGCTCCCAGGCCAACCCCGTACCACGTCCGCTCTACGCTGCTGTGCTGCCAGCTGTTTATCAGCATAGAGCAGGTCCGCGGCCACTTTGCCGTTATGGTACAGCATATCACAGCGGGACTGGAGATTCTGCGCGAGAATCGCCCAAGACCGTTCCTGACAGCGCCAAAACAACTTGTTCGTGTCAATCAAGGCTCAGTACCGTTGCTAGACGTCTTCGTCATTAAATTGTTCGCTGCGCCATGTAAGTTTGCCGATGCTTCAGCAGCAGCCAAAGACGACATACCACAACCAAAGGATGACAACCACCGCGTAATCTCGCCGGATGTGCGTGCTGGTCTTACCAAGACAGCTGCTTCGACGTTGCAGTTTCTGGAGGATGTTGCTGGCGTCCAGTCGGCAGACGAAGCGGCAAGGCTGCTCGTCCGGCGATCGGCTCTACTGCAATCGCTGGAGGAGTGGCTCTCTAGCCTAAAGCAGATCCATCCAGAGGAGGATCCGAAGCTGGAACTTTTGTCTGTGTCGTTTATGCGCTTGTTTCAACTCGCGCTCGGGATTATTTTGAGCGGGACGCTGGTGGACGGCGTCGATGCGGACATACGAGCAAAGGGCGAACAATTACAAAGCAGGGCGGCTGTGATTGACGAGCGAGTCAAGCTGTATCATATGAATAGACAATAATGAATAAATGAAAATGAAAATGAAAATTAGTAATTAGAAAACAGTACATTATTTGCGTTTGTCAGTGTGAAAGAAGGTAATTTCCTATTTGGGAACGTGAAGCGACGCAGCCAATCAGGTGTTAGCGCTACGCCGGCGGACTATTGGCTTTATATCCGCTATTGTCAGCAACAAAACGCCCACTGGCGGCTTGTAAGTGAAGATGTTGGCGTTTTGTAAAATTATAAATATGGCCCAAGAGAACCCTCGTTGAGCCAAAAAAATCAAATCAATCCAACAAACAAACACATCTACACACTTGGGGTTTCTACTCTATTCACTTTTCACTCAAACACAACTACTCTACAACCACTACAACCACTACACACAAACACCTGCAAAGATACACAGAAAGAATACAAAATGCACTTTCTTCTCTTTGGCGCTACCGGCCGCACCGGCCAACACGTCGTCTCCCAGCTTCTCGCCCAAGGCCACACTGCCATCGCCCTCGTCCGCAACCCAGCCAGTCTCGCCGCACGCAACGGCCTCACCATTGTCATAGGCTCGCCCCTGTCCGCCGCCGACGTCAAATCTGCGCTGTTAGCAACGGCCACCAAGCCAACGGCCGCCATCTTCACGCTCAACACGGTCCGCGAGTCCGACAGCCCATTTGCCGCACAAGTCTCGCCTCCTCGTTTTCTAGCCGACTCGTGCGCCGTGGCTTGCAAGGCGCTCGAAGATGAAGGTATTCGCCGTATTGTTGTCATGTCGACTGCTGGCGCGGGCAGCTCGTGGGGTGGCTTGCCGCTGCTGAGTAAGGCCTTTATGCGGTGGACGAATGTCAAGTACGCCCTGGAGGACCATGACTTGTTGGATGAGGAGATCCGTAGGACGAATATGGACTGGACGCTGGTGAGGCCGGTCAAGTTGGAGTTTGAGGCGGGCGAGGGCGCGGCAGTGCAGACGCTGGGTGATGGTGGGAAGGGGATGAAGTTGAGTGATAGCGCGAATGTGGTGAGCGTGGCTAAGTTTTTGGTTAAGACGGCTGTGGAAGGATTGTATGTTAAGGATGCGGTAGTGGTGAGGAATTAGTTGGGCTGGTGGGAGGTTGACGGATGGATATACGATAATGATGTGGACACTGCAAAGTGATATAGACTCTTTATAGAATGCGCTACTTAATAATTTGATTTACATAATCTTTTCTTTTACTTTTTATGAGGTCTTGAATCTACCGCTGAATATCTGTATAGTTTAATTAATGGCTTTATTCTCTGGGTCTACAACACCAACAGCCACTTTCTTGCTGATCGCAAGTACAGTGCTACCACTACAAGTACACTGCATCACTTGATAAACACAAACCACCCCAGACTTCCTTTTTAATTGTTAGTGCACTTTCAACAACCGGAGCTTATAGCCACGCTATCCCGCTTCAACTCCGGGGCCGACGTCGACCATCGCCACACCCGGCCCGGCCAAATTCCTCCGATCGCCCGGCCCGGCAGCCCCGCTCGCTTCCTCACATGCCAATTCCATCAACTGTTTCTGTTATTTTGTTGAGTTAGTCATGGCCCTTGTAAAGAGTAAGATTTGTATAAAGTAGATGGCTACTGCATTTATAATCCCTTGGACATGACTGGCTCCCAACCCTGGCCACAGCAACAACACACACTTCATCTATTCCCTGGGTAAACCAGCATCGCCATCATGGCTACGTCTACAAAAACACGGCAGCGCAAACAAAATGGTCATGCTGCTTCTCTTACAGCCACCAAACAAACCATCACAAAATCACCAAAACCTTCAGCCCCCAAAGCCACGGAAGGCCGGCTCTGGAACAAGCTGCTCGGCATCCTCATCGCCGTCATCGTCCTTCTCTATGCACCCATCTCAGCCACCTACTTCCTCGTCGGCCCGCAGATTGGCCATGTCGGCGACAAGTACTACTACAAACCGCTTATTTCATGGAACTTTGCGTACGGCAACGGGTCCGGCCACCCAGGCTACCCCGGCAGCAACTACGAGGCTCTGAAGCGCAATGCGTCCGCCATGATGCCGCACTCGGTCCTGGGCACCGTCGCCATTGTGCTTGGCCTGATTCAGTTCCTACCAGTCTTCCAGTTCCGGTACCCAGCTATCCATCGCAACTTGGGCCGCCTCTACGGACTCTGTGCCATGGTCATTTCGTGGTCCAGCGCCTCATTTCTGCGCGACACCATTCCGAAAAAGGACGTCTTTTCTGGCGACGTCTTTGCCCTCATTCTGTCTCTGCTCTCGTTTGGCAATCTTGTCACCATGGGCTTGGCTGTTGCCATGGCCTGGAGTGGCGACATCGGGTCCCATCGCGAGTTCATGGCGCTTAATTACTCGTTGATGTTATCGGCGCCACTGCTGCGTGTTGCGTGGCTAATTCTAGGCATTACCTGGGGCGAGACAAAGTACATTATCAATTTGTATTCGTCGTATTTTGCTGGCCCGTTTCTACTTACGGCGCCCATGTTTTATCTGCGTAGGCACTATAAGCGGCAGGCGAATAAGACACTAATGAACATCAAGTTGCATCTGGGCATTACTGCTGCGTCTGCGGCTAGTCTTGTCTATGTGATTCCGCTCATGGCCAAGCCCGAGATGTGGGCATACCGAAGGACGGAGTACTTTTGGTTTACGATCCCGCAGTTTGTATTCCAGGCTGTGGCATTTACCTGGCTGGCTGCTGCGTCTATGCAAAGGGGCGATGACAAGGCCAACACGGCATGGAGGACGTATCAGAACGGGCTGATTAGTGCGCCCATCTTTGCGGCGCCAATGTACCACTTCTTGCGGTATGTGTATAACTGCCCAGATGAAATGATGGGACTGGGAGTAACTGTCGGCGCTTGGACAACTGGGCTAGTTACCTCGTTTGTGATCTATGTGCTGGCCACGTCCAAGTTTGTCAATAAGCCGGCCGCTGGAAAGGGTTTGAAATGATAGAATTTGATAGATACCCGATTGTCGTTTTCGGAAATGTACAGATGATGTTTCTTTTTCTATGTTGGTCTCCTATGTGACTGCTTGTCTACCGCGCCATCTTGCACGCTGGGAGCGCATCTGAAGCGGATGATCCTCACAATCCCGAGCGCAGCCTTATTCTTAATTGGCCTCATACATGGGCATTTAAACTGTCCATTTTGCTGCCCCTTTATATTTCCTTTTTTTTCTTTTAGTGTCAATATTTCTACCCTCTATTCACTCTTCATTTATATCCTCTCAGTTTATACTCTCTATAATACACATCTTCAAAATGCTTTCTACTCTTGCTGGCTGGGAACGCAACCAGACGACCTGTAGGGCCCCCAATGTGATAACCACAGCCATCCCGTTGTCTGTCTTTGAAAAAATCCCCCAAGGCAAGGATATTTCCTTTATTTTCAACCTCAAGAATGGCACATACAACGAATCCACGGTGGAAGCGTGCTGCGCAAATGACAACTACACCGTCGTGGACGGCTGCTCCCTCTGGTGCCATGTGCCCCAAGACATTGCCGCCAAGCAGAATACGACAAATGTAACGGACATTATGTCTACGTGTATTGGAAATGAATATATAGACCAGAGTAATCTGGTCGCATTTTATGTTGGTGCCGGTGCTACCACGCATGCATCATGGAGAAATCTGGCGTTTGCGGGCATCTTGATGATCCCAGCACTACTCATGTAAAGTTGCTTTGATGGGCGAGCATTGAACAAGCACGAATATAATGTAATAATGTTTAAACATTATCAAATAGGAGCTCCTCTATAAGAACACGGCAATTGCAGCTACTGTAACCACCCACAATCCAGGTACTAGCGATGTAGCAGCACTCGTTTCGCCATCTCGTGTGCGGCTGCCGCCATGGAAGTCCGTGGCGCGGATACATCTTATAACATCTGTGACTGAGAAGGTGTAATTGGAGTGATCCCCAGGCTTGTGCCCACTGTTGAAGAACCTCGTGCCGACAATGTAAATATCGCGAATGGCCTGGTCATATTCGTCTATGGGCGCCTTGGCTGGAGGTGCCTTGTCCACCAGAAGGAGATAGGACAAGTCAAGGCCCTTACCAGGAACAGCTAGTAGTATCAAAGCATGTTAGAATCGTGTTGTTCTTTCTTTTCGTTTGGGGAATACGTACGACCCTGACCTTCAAAGCGCATATGCTCTTGTTCATCCCTACAAAACTCCTTATACAAGTTGGCGTAGGACGCATCAGTCAAGTTGGCGGGAAGGCTACCCATCGCCCCCAAACAATTTGGCGAGACGAGACTTCTACAGTCAACGCGCCCGTCGGTCTCCTTGACGGTAGAGTTTGGTCGGAATCGCCACGTCAACGCAAATACTGACCAGGTAGGATCTGCTTTGCCCATGGTGTTGTCCTTGTTAAACATGCCCTCGGGCGGAATAATCTGCAAAACAGATCCCGTAAAGGAATCTGGCTTTTCGAAATTCTTATAGGGGAGATCCGATTTGATAGAAAGAGATAGTTTCCAGGTGTCCACCGTCTCGCCGAGGTAGGGCTTGGTCAAGTCAAAGTAGCCCAGGTCCACCATGGCGCTTGCATTGGGCGACTGCTGCACTGTATCCCATAGCGAAGGAGTAGCATTGTACAGCGATAGAGCGCTGTCGCTGAGGGTTGCGTTGCTCGGCAAGGCGGCTGCGGCCAGTGTCGCCGTGTATAAAAGGTTGTGAATTAGCTGCATTTTTGAGTGTAAATAATTCAATGGAAACATTCCGACATTAGAAGATGGCTTTTGACAGCTATTTAAAAGATGTTTACTACGACGCCATTTTCTATTTAATCGCCCGACTAGCCAAAAGGCGCCGCAGCCTCGTTTCCGTCGCATTTCCATAGTATGACGTCTGTTGGGCTTGGCGATGCTGGCTCAGTAAGCAACAAGGCTGAGTTTGGTGAGCATACACTCCATCGGAGTGGAGAATCATGATGCAAATCTTGGGAGCTCATGACCATAAAACGACAAGAGCGGTAGCCGCCGAGGGTCCGCCATCGCCTGATGGTGCTGTGAAACTCAATTTGGACCAAGGATTGCGTCTGTCTGTGCATACCAGACTGACGTAGGCCGAGGTGAGATGCATTAGCATGCGTGGAGAGTCGGAACTGGAAGGATGTGCGTGATGATCTGTTGCCGGCCGCTCGAGCAATGTGAACGCCTACCGGAGTATATACTGCTGGGTACACCTGCACTTTCAAACACATAGCCGCAAAACTCACCAAACCAAAATCATGTATCTTCACAGCATTCTTACTCTTGCCGCTACACTTGCGCCGCTTGTGGCAGCCACCCCCTTGGACACCAACACCCAATTGGGGGATGCAGCCATTGGCAGCAGACTGTCACGCCGTGCAAGCTGCGAGAAATGGAAAACCGACGGTGACATCTTTACCAAGTCTTCAGATTCCACAATAGTCGTCTCGGATAACATGCGTGGCCCACAGCGGTTCTTTGTACCGGTTGGCCGTGCACAAAACTGGACACACAGCGCCAGCATCAATCCTGATGATATTGGCGATGTTGAGGCCCTGGGAAAGAGCATCTCCAAGGACTTTAAAGTCTCGAGAAACGACACGAGCAAGTACGTGTTTGAAATTGACACAGCAAAAATGGGCACCGTAGGATTCACACCGATCATGGAATGCGTCAAGGGTAAGTTTACGTTTACACTGCGCCATTGGCTAACGAAGACTGGTTCGTCTTTGTCTGTTTGATTAAACCACTAAACACCAACTTCTTACTAGGCAAGACAACCTGTAGTGGCAAGCCTGTCGAGGGCGAAATCTGCTGGCCCAAGGCTGGATTCACCGATCCAGAGACGAGCGTTGATGGAATTTGGGCTCTTATTCAACACTGATAGGCATAGTTTTATTAATTATTGCATGCATCACTATATAAACTTTAAAGGGAATAGAGGGGGGCATTGCGGTATACTATAGAGGGTATACACTGTTTCTTGGATAGCAGCACCCTCCCCTCCTCTCAACACAAATACAATTTCTTTGTACAAAAAAAATAAAAGAAAACAAGAAATTCCGCAGTTGTTCCAGCTAAAAGCCACTAGCTATCATTGTTTTCGGCAGTATACAGCGCCACCATCAGCTTCATCGCCCACAATACTACGTTGCGACCCTCTCACGGCCCTATTCTATATTCCCCCGCACGCCGCACAAGACATTGGGCCGATTATTCCCCCTATCTATTTCCCCATACTATAATACTTGACAGCAAAATAAACAATGAAGACACGTGCTGCTCCTTCAGCCTAAAGCTCAAGCCCTAAGGGCCATTGTCTCTTTTGTGGGGGAAATCTAGCTTCGTGCAAAACGCCCCCAATCGGCCCGAAGATGCACATCACTTGATGTCTTTTTTCTGGGGTCGATGCAACCAAGTGCCCGCTTGCCGATGCATGTAAGCTCGCGGAGTATCGCACATAACCCGTTATAGGGAAAGAAAGGCCGAAAACAGAATGTCAGGGGAAAGCATATAAGTAAAAGCATGGGCGCGCCCTTGCTTGTATGTTCTGTAAGTCTATCGTTGCCTTCTCACTTAGACACAATGGCTCTCGACTCAAGCGTCCGCTTCGGCGCATGGAAGCTCTACACAGTCTTCCTCTATGTTTTTTATCTTACAAGCTTCACGGCCCAGGCTGCTCCGGCCCTTGGCGCCATCAATGTTCAGCAGATGCAGGCGGCCGCCCCCAATGCCGCCTTTGTCAAGCCCGCCAAGAGCACTTACACGCTGCTGGGGCGCAAGGTCGACGCGCAGGAGATTCAAGATGCCCAGAGCCTCATCAAGCTTGCGCAGGCTGAGTCTCGACAGGCAAACATGCGCATGATGAGCCACCCGCGCGTGGCTAACAACGAGCACCAGCTCAAGCCTCATCGCAGCTTCCCTGATGCTCGCTCGCTCCTCCAGACCCCCGAGGAGGACCGTCTCTTGGGTCCCCGTGACGCGGAGGTTCCCTTGCCCACTGCTGCTGACTACATGCCACACAACCAGACCGTCAAGGAGGCTGCTGCCCTGCTTGCTGAGTTTTCCAACCTCGGAAAGCCCAAGAAGCGCGCTGCACAGGCTACTTCGTACTGGCTGGCTAACACGCGCCATGGAAAGAGCCCTTTCAACCCTACCGGCGGCTACCAGGTCTTCCGTAATGTGCAGACAGACTGTGGTGCCCGAGGTGATGGTGTGACGGACGATACTCAGGCTATTCAGAACTGTATTGCTAACCAGAACCGATGCGGTGGCAACTGTGGTTCGTCGACGGTGGCTGGTGCGGTCATCTACTTCCCTCCGGGTAACTACATCATTAGTACATCTATCCAGATGTACTACTACACGCAGATGGTTGGTGATGCTACACAGATGCCTACGTTGACTGCCTCTTCGTCGTTTGTTGGTCTGGGTGTCTTGAGCTCGGATTACTACTTCCCTGGAGGTAATGGCGCCGAGTGGTATGTCAACCAGAACAACTTTTACCGACAAGTGCGCAACTTTGTGATTGATACGCGCAATGTGCCGACGAGCCAGGTTGCTGGTCTGCACTGGCAGGTTGCTCAGGCTACTAGTCTGGTGAGTACTCTTATCCGTTACTGAAGAAAAAAGAAGAAGGTTTGCTAATGGTGGTGGTTTATAGCAAAACTTGCAGTTTGTCATGTCCAATGCCCAGGGCGCCAACTCGGTCGGTATCTGTAAGTCATCAGCAACCTTGAGTTTTGCTAAATAGAAATGAATACTAACAAGGAAAAACTAGTCATGGAGAATGGCAGCGGTGGTTTCTTCTCTGACATTACCTTTACCAACGGCTTCATCGGTATGTTCCCTTGTACTCTCTAGTATATATAGACAATCTAACCAGAACACTCTTATACAGGCATGCAATGCGGCAACCAGGTACATATCATCAGTGTTACCACTTACAAGCCGTCAGCTAATCATCTCCATAGCAATTCACCACCAGAAACCTCGTCTTCAACAACGTCAACACCGCCATCACTGTAAGCATCCCCTCTATTACTCAATCAATCATAGTATAACTAACTCTTCTGAAAACAGCAATTCTGGGACTGGGGCTGGACTTGGAAGTCCCTCACCATCAACAACGCCAACATCGGCCTCAACATCATCCCCGACCAAAACAACCTCAACACCGCCATCACCACCTTTTCCTACGTCATCCTCGACTCCAAGATCAGCGCCAACACCGCCATCCTTACCTACCCCGTCAACAACCGCGACAGCACCGGCTTCACCCAGCTGACCCTCGACAATGTCGACTTTTCTTCGTCCCAGACCGCCATCAAGGACACCAGCAACAATGTCATCCTCAACGGCGGCCAGCATGTCACGTCGTGGGCCCTCGGCGAGATTGTTACCACCTCTAGTCCCTCTGGCCAGGCCGTAAACGGCGTCAACTTGAACCCCTCAAGAAACCCTCCTGGTGGTTTACTTGGTGGCCCTCAGGGCGGCTACTTTGAGCGAGCCAAGCCTCAGTATGAAAATGTCCCTGCATCTAGCTTCGTCAATGCTCTCGACCGCGGCTGCCACGGTGATGGCCAGTCTGACGACACGGCCTGCCTCAACTCCATCTTCTCGCAGCCCGGATACGTCTTCTTGCCTGCTGGTGTGTACATTGCTACGGATACCGTGCGCGTGGTTCCTGGTGTCAAGATTGTTGGCGAGGCTTGGAGTCAGATCATGGCCAGTGGTAACAACTTTGCTGATATGAACAACCCCCGTGTTCTTCTGCAGGTTGGCCAGCGCGGCGATGTCGGATCTGTCGAAATGCAGGACTTGCTGTTCACCACAAAGGGCAACACTGCCGGTGCTGTGCTTGTCGAGTGGAACATCAAGGCTAGCTCTGCCGGATCAGTTGCCATGTGGGGTGAGTTTTTTACCATCATATCTTTATCTACTACATACACTAACATATCTTGACTAGATTGCCACTTCCGTGTTGGTGGTGCTCTTGGATCTAACCTTCAGTCTGGCAACTGCCCTAAGCTCACCGGTAACATCAACTCCAACTGCATTGCCTCCAGCATGCTGCTTCACCTCACTCCAGGCTCATCTGGCTACTTTGAGAACGTCTGGGGCTGGGTCGCCGACCACGATCTCGACGTTGAGGCGCAGACACAGATTGACATTTACGCCGGCAGAGGTAATTCTTCATTTCTAATTAGTTTGAATGATATTTGCTAACAATTGACTTACAGGCGCCTTGATTGAGAGCACCGACCCCGTCTGGATGTATGGCACTGCCATGGAACACAACGTCTTCTACCAGTACCTCATCCACAACGCCGCCAACGTCTTCATGGGTATGATCCAGACTGAAGGTCCCTACTACCAGTCCACACCGGCTGCCCCTGCTCCCTTTGGCTCTACCGTCGGCAAGTTTACCGGTGATCCCGACTTCTCGGGATGCCCTGGCGGCTCGCAGACTTGCGCCATGTCTTGGGGCCTCCGCGTCGAGAACTCTCACGATATCCTTGTTTACGGTGCCGGTCTCTACAGCTGGTTCCAAAAGTACGACCAGGGATGCCTCAACCCTCGCAACTGCCAGGACAACATTGTCTACTCGTCCAACAACTCGCGCTTCTTCCTCTACAATCTGGTGACTGTCGGCACGCAGTGGATGGTGAATGCTCCTGGTACACAGACGAATCTACCTGCGACGCAATTTGCCAACAAGAATGCCTACACGTCTTCGTTTAACGCTTATTTGGTGCAGGCCAATTAGGGGTGGCACCTAGTCTGTTCGTACATACATAGCCATATATAGTCATATACATTGTCCTTCACGTTTCTCTCTTTCTCCTAAGATGACCAACCCGGGTACTTGCTGTTATAATGCTAAAGCTTCCAACTTTATTTCGGGAATCCTGCTGCATATAACTTCTTTCAATCCTCTAGACAATATGCACCAACACGTGACGAGCAGTGTGTGACAAGGCAACCATCTGCTTCTCCGTTTGTCCATTTACCGCTCTTCTACAAACAAAATAAAAATGGCACAATTGTATTCTCTAAATGATTCGATTGACGGCTTTTTCAATAACCACACCTCTGTAACACGCCAGCAATGTGATGACTTTGTCGCGGCCCATTTCCAAACGCCCGCGGAGCCGGTCCCGATACAAGGCTTCTGGAGCTATACACTCATGGCAGGCGATGATAATGCCACCATTATACAGTTTAGATCAGAGTCTTCTCCACTTGAAGAAGAAAATCTGCAGCTTATAAAGGAGGCGGCTACTGGGTTTGTGCCGGACGTGGTCTGTCTTGGAACAATTGGTCAACACCGCCCTCTACACATTTACAAGATGAACAAGCTCCCCGGTTCACCGTATGTACTAGCAGTCGATCTGTCTATCAAACCACCAGAATGCGCTGCGCAAAGACAGGAAAACACCATACGGGACTTTGCAAAGTTCTTTGCGCAGTCGTGGAACTACAACCCGCCAACTTTGCCAAATCGCGCAGCCTTGTCTCAAGAATATGAACCCAAGATCCGACGTTTGATGGAATCACTTCCAGAGCAGTTCTTCCCATCGCTATTCTCTGTTATACCTCGCTTTCGGACAATATTCTCCGACTTACCACTTGTGGTCACGCACGGGGATTTATGCGGGTTAAATATCCTCATTAACGAGACATCGGGGCATATTACGGGCATCATTGATTGGGCGGAAATGAGAATTCTTCCTTTTGGGTTCGCACTTTGGGGACTGGAAAATATCCTTGGGTTTATGGATACTAATGGCTGGCACTACTACGACAACCATGCTGCCCTTCGAGCTCTCTTTTGGGAAACATTTCGGTTTCATGCAGTCAATTTTACCGAAAAAGACATGGCTTTGGTAGCCAAGGCGCGCGTACTAGGACTTTTTGTCCGGTATGGATTCGACACAGAAGACGAGACGGCTCTTCGTGTTGTTGATGAATCCGACGCTTCTACCTGGGCATACTTGAATGCATTTTGCGGATCTGATGGGGCTAACTAGCAAAACATAGAGTTTTAAGAAACAATAAACTGGAACGAGAATATACTTGATCTTGCTCAGATAAGCCGAGTTCGCCTACCACATTTCGTAGCCGTCGGGATCCCTACGTGCCCACAACACCCTCAACGTTGCATTGGCGATGTTACATTGGCCCTCATTGGCCCAAGCAAGGCTCTGCAGGTAGCTACACTGAGGGGAAAGCGACGATCATGACGACTAACCAACAAATACCCGAGATCGATCCATCCTTCAGATTCAGAAAGCCCAATATTCGTGTCAATTGAAACTGGTAGGAATGGCCTTCTAACATTTCTTGCTTTCTGACATCATCTTCACTTCCATCCAACGTCCAAGCTCAATGTCCTATACGGGCAGGTCGTTGTCCCCCCGCCACCCTCTACAATATACAATGCACAGCTCCCCGTTCATCACTGCCACTTTACATCCTGCAGGGAGTAGATGCACTTCCGTGGACAGCCGACGGATGACCTCAGATCTGCAGGTCTGTCATTGCATGTTGCTAGTCGGTGGCCAATCAGGGAATAACCCCATAGTCTGCATCCCCGCTTCCGTCGGGATATTCCAAGTATTGCGGGGTTACCTGGGTTTAGCGAGGGTGTTAGCCTCCCCAGTACACTCTGGTAGTAGTAGTAGAGGTAGGTAATATATAACGTAGCAATGTCCCTAAGCTACCAGCTCAGGTTGCACTCCTTACTCTTTCAGTTCTTTTGCATCCATTTTCTTGGGATTTTTGATTGACGAACATGCTTCTTCGAGTCCCATACATTGCATTGGCAACCGCCTTTGCTGGGCTTGCCGCCGCTAATGGTAAGCAACAACACCTTCGCAAAGAAAAGAGGCAATTGATGTTGATTAATATACTATGAAAAGGCACCGGCGCAGCTTCGATCCAAATCATTCAAGCCAATTCCACCACCCGATGGGAAGAGTGCAAATCATGCCACTGCAAAGGCCAGATGCAAATCATCGACGTTGCCGTTAAGAATACCGACGACACCTACTGGATTACCACGGACGACCATCTTGTAGTAGACATTGTTTCTGATAGCATGCGCACCGTCAAAAAATCCCACATCAAGCGCCTCATGCCCGGCGAATGGACCATTGTGGAGGTTGGTGTACAAAACCAGCCCGGCGTCGCGGCTGGATCTGTTGGCTCTGCAGCGGCCAGAGCACGCTGGTCCGATTCGCAAGAGTCATCTTTGACTTTCAACTCGGTGTATGGACTGCCAGACTATGTGGAAACAGCAGACTCTGTCAACACGCACCAGTCGCCTAGGTGGTTCCGCAAGGCCAAGTTTGGCATCTTTATCCACTGGGGCATCTACTCGGTACCCGCGTTTGGAAACGTGGGCAAAAAGGAAAACTACGCTGAATGGTACCAATTGCCCTATCCATGACTGACTATGATTGGTTGCTAATGATGATATAGGTACTGGTCTGCTATGGGCGACCGCAAGGACAAGACAGAGACGTACCAGTACCATCTCGACCACTACGGCGCCGATTTTAATTATGACGACTTTCTCGCCAACTTTACCGCCGCCAAATTTGACCCCAAGGAGTGGGTGGACTTGTTTGCCGATGCGGGTGCTCGCTACTTTGTGCCGACGACCAAGCACCACGAGGGATTCGCTCTGTTTGATATGCCCTCGACTGTCTCGAACCGCACTTCTGTCAAGTACGGGCCGAAACGTGATTTGATCAGAGTATGTGGCATCAATACGAAATTGTGAACTTTGTTTACTAACATATTTTCTAGGAATTGTTTGACGCGGCCAAGGAACACCAGCCCCAGCTCAAGCGCGGCACGTACTTTAGTCTGCCCGAGTTCTACAACCCAGCATTCAAGTACAACTACACCGTTTATCATGATAGCTTCGCGGTTGGCCCGCCTGTCAACCCGTACACTAACAAGACGGTGGAATACACGGGCTTTGTGCCTGTTGATGACTACCTCACGGGTATTCAGCTGCCCCAGATGAACATTCTGGCCTACAACTACGATACGGTGCGTCTAGCCTTCCAATCTTTCCTATGACAGTGTCTGGCACGCGCTATCGTCTTTACAACGCACATTTACTAACCCATATCTACTCACCTACAGGACATCATGTGGTGCGACATCAGCAACACATCCAGCCACTCGGACCAATTCGCCAGCAAATGGTTCAACCACGCCCTCAAAGAAAACAAACAAGTCGCCCTCAACGGCCGCTGCGGCTGGAGCAGCACCGGCCACATCCTCGGCGACTACCTCACGCCCGAATACAAGCCCGTGACGACCTTTTCCCCCAACCACTGGGAAGCGTGCCGCGGCATGGACCCTCACTCGTTTGGCTATAACAAGGCCACGCCCGACGACGAGTACATGAATGCCACGGCGATTATCCACTCTCTTGTCGACATTTCCTCCAAGAACGGCAACTTTCTTCTTGATATTGGCCCCCGCGCAGACGGCACCATCCCGGAGCCCATGCAAAAGGGCCTCCGCGAGGCAGGCAAGTGGCTCAAGAAGCACGACGAGAGCGTCTTTGGGACAAAGTACTGGCCGGTGAATCAGGGCAAGGATAACTTTCGCTATGTGGTGACGGAGGATGCGTTTTACGTGCACGTGCTGTCTCGCCCGGGCCCAACGGTGACGCTGGCCGACAAGGTGCCGTACATGGAGGGGGATGATGTCTTGGTTGTAGGAGGAGACTTGGATGGGCGGGTTGTGCCGTCGAGCGTGAATGAGGAGGGCTTGTTGGTGTTGACGGTGCCGGAGGAGGTTGGTGCAGCTGATGAGCACGCCTGGACCTTTAAGATTGAGTTTTAAAAATAGTCAGAAAATATTTACAATGCACCTTCTGACCAAATCTATGATTGACAATCATTTTGTAACATCTGTATTTGAAGAGTAGCTACTCAAGACAATCGACATACCCATCACCACGTCTCTCCCTTGACCATGTGCAGCAACACCACGACTCTGCCTCCCCAACGTTTCACAACAAGACCTTTTATTTTTTTTTAAAATAAAAGACTTCATTCTGCAAAATTACCATCCACTTTCCTGTAGTCTCTGCAAATTTTTAGGAATTTTTTCATCGGCCAGAATTAGACACAATGCGCCCATCCCGATCTCCACTTGAGACAATAGGGTAGGCCGCACAACGGGCCTCACCACCACAAAGGCACTGGAATGCGTTGCTCCGCACAACCACATTCGCCTCATGAGCATTTATATCCAAGTTGCCCGAGGCTTTTCAGCATGCAGGAGCTTCAATTCTTTCTTCTTCATCTCTCTCCTCCCCTCCCTTCCACTACTCCCTTCCTCCCCCTACACATCGACTTACAAGCACACACACACACACACACTTTGAAGAGTCGAACAACCTGCCCAGCATGCAATTGTCTGAGCATCTCGTCCGTCTCGGCTTCACTCTGCCTCTCAGCTTCCCCGCCGGAGCCGCAGACAGCAGCAGCCTAAGCACCCGTGATGTTGACACCTCCGCCATCGCACACTTCCAGCACACCGTGCAGGTCGCCCGCTCTGTCGTCGAGCTCTCCAAGCGCGACACCATGATCCAGGTATCCCAGGGCACGCTCGCTGACATTCTTAGCAAGATCAGGGCCCTCGAGGCCGAGGTCGACGCCATGCTCAAGTCGCAGTCGTCTGGCGCTGTGCCTGCTGTCCACGCCGCCCCCGACGCAGGTTCCCAGCGCGCCTCCAACGACGACTGCGCTCCCGAGAAGCTCCTTATGGATCTCGGCGCTGGTGCCATCAAGACCCGCGATGTGGTAGGTGAACACCCGCTTTTCCGAAGAACTGACAAGTGCAACTATAGCTCTGTGACGGGAAGCACGGCCAAGGCGGCTGGTTCTCGGCCCAAGGGTGCTGCTGCTGCTCCGGCTCCGGCGGCCGTGGATGGTGCAAAGGCCGCTCCCGCTGCTCCTTCGGCTGCTGCTGGACCTAGTGGCGCTGCATTCCTTGAGCAGATAAACCATGCTGGCGCCAAGGCTGATCCTGTGGCTCCTGGTGGCTTGGCTACTGATTCTCAGAAGGCGACTAGCGATGACAGTACGGTCCATCTGGGTGGCGATGTCTATCCCGTCGATAGTGCTGCTGCGGCCACGACTGGCAGCCCTACTTCTGATGCTCTGCTTACTGTCACTGTCACGTCTACCAGAAAGAAGCAGGTCACTGTCACTGTCACAACGACCCGAACCAAGCTCGTTTCCATCACTGGCGCTCCTGGCCGTGAAAAGGTGGTTGATCCCGTTCCTACTCCTCCTGCTAGCGATGCCCTGTCTGGTCTGGCATCTGGTGTTCTCGGCGCTGTTTCTTCCCAGGTTGCTGCCGCTCAGGCCTCCGTTTCTAACCAGGTGTCTGCTGCGCAAGCATCTGGCTCTGGTCAAGTTTCGTCTGCTCTGGCGTCTGCATCTGGTCAAGTCTCGTCTGCTAAGGATTCTGCCTCCAGCCAGGTCTCGTCTACAGAGGCTTCGGTAGCCGGTCAAGTGTCCTCTGCCGTTGATTCTGCTTCGTCTAACTTAGCCAACGCTACCTCTATTCTTGCTACCGGTACACCTGCTGCTGGCTCCATCCTTGCTGCCGCTACGTCCAAGCTCAACGAGGCTGCTCCCTCAGCCAAGGCTGGCTTGTTGGGCAACATTGCCGGTGCCGTCTCATCCGCTCTCGGCAGCAAGGGGCCCCTTCTTGTTACTGCGCAAGGCAACGAGAAGGGCGGTCTCCGCGCCCCTGCTGAGGATGTAGTCAAGAATGATCACAATGCTACGCACGCTGCTCAGGGGAAGCCTGCTAACCCCAAGAGCGACGAGGACAAGAAGGATTCCAAGGCTGGTGCTGCCGCTGTTGCTGCCTCTCCTGTTGCCCCTACTGGCGGAGCTCGTCTTCCCAACGACGGCCATCCCACTAACGGTACCAAGGCGCAGGAGGGCAAGCCTGCCAACCCCAAGTCTGGCGATGACAAGAAGGATTCCAAGGCTGGCTCTGCGGCCGTGACTGCCACTCCCAAGCGCGGTACTGACGGTGCCAAGGCTGTTGAGGATAACTCCTCTGGCTTCATCACCGTCTCCAAGCGTCCTGGTATGTAAGTCACGGTTTAGTCGGGGCCAGTTTGATGCAAAAGCCCCGTTGCATTGGAACACAGAACTGCACTAATACCCTTTTCCCTTTCCCTTTTCCCTTTGTCGCCTAGACTGGTTTCTTTTTGGCGTTCCCTCCTCCCCGGCGGTCAAACTGCGCTCAACTGATTTTTCGCTCTGTTTGGCTCGATTCTGTCGCTTCTGTTATATTTATCTTTTGGCTGTTTGGATGGAAATCCATCGCTGTGTATTCATCTCTCTAGTTGGTTATTTCTCGGGGCTTTTTTGGAATCCTTCGTATGTAGAATAGAACAATAATTCAACCACCACTTTCTCCCCCTCATCTTTTTTATCGTCTTCGTGCATCGTCTATCTTGTGCTCTCTCTTGTGATTTTTTTTTTTTTCATCGGTCGGTTGGCGATCGATCGGCGGTCTCCGCTGTTTGTACGCTGTCAGCCATCAAGTCGATTGTTAGTCGTATGTGTATGAGCATATTGGCTCTATTTAACCAATTGTGCAAAAAATGACACGTTATTCTAACACTCGACATAATAAAAACCATGGCCAACTCGTTTACCGGCGGGCGACATCGGCGCTAGACCGACAAGCTGGCCAACACACAGACCAAGCTTAGGCTAGCCAAGCCCTCCTCTCCCCATTACAGCTCCAGCTTCTTGTAATTTCTACTCCACGGGGCGCAAGTCGTGCCACAGATGGCCCCCCCACATTGTTGGGTAGGTTGGCATCCCCCCGCCCCCTCCCCCGTACCTCGCAAAGCTAGCGGCGGCTGTGGTCAGGTCACGATGCAGACGCGGAAATTGGGTTGGGTACGCTTTTTCTCTAGCTGTTCGCACCACTGACAGGGTCACATGGACCGCTGGATTTTAAGGGAGCGAGGTGAGTACATGCATTCCGCAACGGCCCCCCTTCTTGGATGCTGCATCAGGCTCGGCATAACAAAAAATACTTGTTGGCTGCAGCACACACCAGCAAGACCTGCAGTAGTAAGACCTGCAGTAGTAAGACTGGTAGAGTTTGGGGGTCGCCAGGGCGAAATGAACCCTTTTTTTTTTTTTCTTTCCTACTACCGCCACAGTAAGCTTTTAGTACGGGGTCTGCTTCGTTCCGCACTGCTTGCGATTCCCCCAGCTAAAGGGTCATGCTTCGCAATAAAAGCTCATTTATTGGCAAATCCAGAGTGAGCGGGGGACAAGGCTCCTACCTATCCTTTTTTCCCGCGTCTGTGTGTGTGTGGTGTATTGGCCGTGGGGGGTGTGTTGGGCAATGTATGCGAGGCCGGCGTGTAGTCCGCGGCGCAATATGAAATCAACGAAGCAAATGGCCCACCAAACGAGTCGCAAAACACGTTAACCGAGAGAAGAACCAAGGAACCCCCACAAGCAGCGCAACGCCAGAAATACAAAGCATGACTTTGTGGTGCGTCTTATTCGCTCGGCATGCATGGAGACGCCCGCCCGTGTCTGGCCGGCCACAAGACCGATCCCCACCAAAATGCCGGCGCTGCCCCACAAAAGGCCGGATTCTGTTCCGGCCTCGTGGCCGGAACACTTCCGGCCAAGCTCTATATAGGCGCCGCGCGGAACCCCGGGTTGGCGGATGAGAAGAAGGACTTTATTAACAAAGCACACAGGATACTCTGATCCCTGAGCAACAGATCTATCTCTGATCTCTATTTTCCTTATACACATATACCCTCTTACACACTTACACATCTACCCTTACCCTTCCCTCACTCACACTTACACGCTAGTACCTACACGTACACTACGCGCACACAACCTCTCTCACATCTCCCCTTCTCACACATACACATTACACACACATTTCTTCACAATGGGTTCTGTCGGAGCTTCCACCTTCCAGGTCCTCGACGACTGCCGTCCCGATGACACCACCCTCCCCCCCTTCATGGTCTCCTCCGACCGCGGCTTCCTTCCCCGCATCGAGCCCGTCAAGACGCTCCCCAAGGAGTTTGACGCCCTCGAGTCCATCCTCCAGCGCATGCCCGTCAAGACCCTATCCGGCGAGCCCGGCCTGCTGGCCAAGAACCAGCTCGGCCCCGAGGTCGACTCTGTCTTCCCCGACCTCACCGACGCCATGGACCTCTACAAGGACAACCTGCCCATCATGACCGCGCTCTACCGCGACTACTCCTTCCTCGCTTCTGCCTACCTCCTTGAGCCCTGCCACGAGCGCTTCCTCCGCGGCGAAGAGTACGGCCTCGGTCGCCAGACCCTGCCCGCCAACATTGCCCGCCCCATTGCCCGCTGCGCCGAAATCTCCGGCTTCCTCCCCTTCATGGAGTACGCCGGCTCGTACGCCCTGTACAACTACCACCTCGTCGACCCTGCCAAGGGCCTCGAGTACGACAACCTGCGCCTGATCCGCGCCTTTGAGCACGGCCTGCACCCCGAGTCATCCGAGGCCGGCTTCGTGCTTGTCCACATCGACATGGTGCAGAACTCGGGCCCCCTTGTCTCTGGCGTCATGAAGTGCTTCGAGTCCGCGTCCAAGGTCGGCTCGTCGCTTGGCGCCACCGAGATCCGCGCCGAGTTCAACGAGGGCCTCGAGTCTATTCTGGGTGCCATGAAGAAGATCAACGCCGTCATGGAGACCATGTGGGGCAAGTCTCGCCCTACCGAGTACACCAGCTTCCGCACCTTCATCTTTGGCATTACTTCCCAGAGCATGTTCCCCAACGGCGTCGTCTACGAGGGTCTCAACGACGGCAAGCCCATGTCCTTCCGTGGCGAGAGCGGTGCCAACGACTCCATGGTGCCTCTGATGGACAACTTCCTCCAGGTGCCCATGCCCGATACCCCTCTTACTGATATCCTGCAGGACTTCCGCAAGTACCGTCCCAGCAACCACAAGGCTTTCCTGTCTTTTGCCAAGGACCGCTCGCTGGAGCTCGATCTCAAGGAGTACGCTCTTGACCTCAAGGGCAAGGCTACATCTGATGAGGAGGCCGATCTTCTCCGCACCTCCCGCAGCTTGTGGCTCCAGATCCTCGACCAGGTCCGCGACTTCCGCTGGCGCCACTGGTGCTTTGCCCGCGAGTACATTCTCAAGCGCACTTCTCACCCCACCGCCACTGGTGGCAGCCCCATTGTCACATGGTTGCCTAACCAGCTCATTGCTGTCCTCGAAGAGATGGTCGAGGTCAACAAGACTGGCGATATCGACGGCAAGGGTCTCGGCAAGGTTGCTGAGGACGTCATGGAGGCTGCTCTCCGCCAGCGCGAGACTCTCCGCAAGGAGGTTGACAAGTACTGCGCTGAGCGTGGTGTCACCCGCTCGTAAGCAGTTTCCGATTGACTGCAAACACCTGGTGAAATAAAAGTAGAGAATTGTGACGCATAGATTTAATGAGTAATAAATGAACTATTTTACATAATTACTCTTGTTCTCTTTTGTGCTTGTGCAATGTAGAATTGTGGTATCAGTCAAGTCAAGTCTGGTAAACTTCATTCATATTATTATGGCCGTGGTAATCTTACAAACTGCGAACATGCAAATTGTCATGCAGCTGCTGCTTCGCGTATCCTAGTCGTGGCAATCTACATTCTTCCTCCGCTGTGTTGTTGTACAGGAAAATAAATAGCAAAACGCTTATAAACGCCGTGCCTCGGTAATGGCAGTCAAAAAATAGAAACAAGAAAAGACCAATCAATCAACAAAGGAAATATCAAACAAAAATAGAAAAATCAAAAGGTATCACTTGCTTCATCAGCATACCACACCGCCAAAGGGAGCGCATGTTCGGAGGTCTCGTACAAGATCCTCCACGCTGCTGAGATGCCTACTAAGCAACTTTTGCTTGTCGGCTGTTGTCAGAGTGCCTCTGTCGTCCGTGCTGCCGCGGCGCTTAGCGTCTGCGCCAAAAGCACCAGCCAACTTGCTAGGGCTGCGCTGCAACATAGCTGGCACCGAATCATGCTGTGTGGCATGAGGCAGGGACGGCGACTCGGGCATCAAGTAAAAGTAGAGAAACTCGACAAGCTTGAGCTTGACCTCGCGGGACGTAGCGCGTGACTTGAAGAGCGAGGTAACAGTGAGGAGACCATCCAAGCCTTCAAAGGTGCGGGTATTCTTTGGGGTATCGATGAGGGCGACGACCAGCGTCAGGAGGGTGGCGGACTGGATGGCGGGACAGTTGATGGGTTCGAGGAGGTCAAGCAGGAGCTAGGTACTATTAGCAAACAAGTTATTGAGTAGTTTTGAGGGTGAAATGCGTACGTTCATGTTTTGCTCTCGAGAAAAGAGAGACTTGCTAGGTGGATGCAGCAGCAATGTGCCCTGGATCAAGTCCAATGCACTCAGGATGAGCAAATCGTTTTGCCCATCGCTGCCCTGGGCCAGCAGACGGTCCAACGTGCCAATCAGGCGCATGCCAACATTCCACTCAAAGCCGTCCTGCAGCTTAAAGAACTCGCGAAACGCAAGATCCTTGGAAAGCTGGCCGAGGTCCTTTCGGGGCGGCGACATGGGCATATCGCCATCCTCATCGGGGCCTTCTGCTGGGCCGTGGTCTCTGCTGTTGGACAGGCAAATCTGCGCCAACAGGCCCTCAACTTGCCGCAGGCCCTTGCGGACTTTGGGGCCGTCGTAGGACGAGAGGTTGTCAAAGGCCATGGAAAGGAGGTTTTCCATTGTGTAGAAGGGGAGCTCTGAGCGGCTAGCACAACAACAAGCTTGGGCAATATAGCTTCGTCGGTCAACACTCTGCACGAGTAGTGTAGCAGTGGATTCGATCGGGGTCGAAGCAGTCAGTCAATGGTTGTCTGCCGAAAGGTACTGTTGCGCTGCGTGCGAGCTGGATGCTGCTGTTGCCGTTGCTACTGCGTAGGTAGCAGAAATCAGAGGCGCATCTAGAGAAGAGAGGATGAGGTTGCAGTTATGTTTGTTGATGCGATGCTGCTGCAACAAAGGGAGGAACAGACAAAGGGAGAAAAGAAAAAAAAAACTGGAGATGGCGCCTCGCTTTTCTTTTTCTTTTTTCCGTTAAATTGGATGTCACTGCTGCTCGCTGACTGTGCTGCGGGAGTGGATTGCTGCGTCTCTTTAGTTTGTTGGTGTTTGGGAGCCTTGCGCTGGGGTGCATGCTGGTGATTGGCATGGCAACGCACGAGTGCTGGTTGGTGAGTGTGGGCCAGCCAAGTGCTGGTGCTGGTGTCTTAGCAGCTGGCCAGGTGTGCCAGGTGTGCCAGGTGGTAAGTGTTGCGTGCGCTAAGTGGGCCAACAAAAAGCGTTGGGCCTAAGCAGCGCCTCTTTTTTGGCTGCGAACCGTTGCGGCTTTGTCGGAGATGGCTTGCCGGACCGCCGCCAGTGGCACTTTGGCAGCTGGTAACCTGCAGCGGCTGGCGGGGACCTGGCGGGCACCTGGCGAGAGGGGTACCAGTTGAGCAGTAAAAGGCTTGTTTAGCAGTAAAAGTATATGATTCTTTGTGCAGCTACCTAGTTTAATGGTATATATGTTATTTATTTCCTTTTTTTATGCTGACAACGTAGTTGTTGTCTCTTCTGCCAAGGGTCAAAGTTGTCTGATTGGTGGACCCTCACTCTACGCCCGATTGCTTTCGAGCATGAACCTGTATGTGATTGATGGGACTCAATCTTGCAATGCTAAAAGAAGAATATAAATTTTCAGCTGGCACCTGGAATATAGAACACTGGACCGGCCTGTACTCTCCACTGCGTATGTAATATCTACGTCCAAACACCATCAATGAGACTGGCAGCTAATCCATTGCTAAGGACTTTAGAGACCGGAAACTATTGAAGTACGTGCCCATTGGAAGAAGGAGAGGGCTCAAGGATACTAATATGTTTTTAGAAAGACCATTGCGTCAGTCTATCGCATTTATTTGTTGTTCTATAACGATACAAGACCAACTAACCTCTTCGTTGCAGCCGACTTGGTGCAAAAGATCAGATTATGGCAATTGTTATAATCCAGAACTCCAGATAAAAAAGGAAAAGAAAAGGGTAGCCATAAAGCTAATTATTAGAATGCTCTATGGCACCTATAACTCTATTGAGTTTTTGTTGCTGACCTTTTCTTTGTAGACGGATTGTGGTGTGGAGGTAACCATTCCAGGCCTTTGCTTTGTGAAATCCGGTCCATGCGGCTGGGGCAAACACGGATGTGTAGATGACGAGAGAGGAAAGTGGTCTGATTTGCCTCCAGGAGATCACGAAGGACATTGTCCACCTCCAGATGAAGCTTGTGGCGTTTGCCAGGACAAGAATAAACAGTGCCACGAGGGCGGATACGAAGCGCGCCGCGTTTGTGACTTGGCATTCTGCGTAAGGCTGCCACTCAGTCCAATTGTTGTTTACATTTACTAACATCTATAGCGTGACTGTCGCAATGACGAGTTTGCACAGGAATGCGGCGAGTGTGTCGACAAAAGGTGCACCAAGGACAAGTTCGATTGGGATGGCTGCAGAGGGTCTTGCGTATTTACACTGTCTCGCCAGAGCTTTTGTGACAAAGAAAGACTAATATGAAATATCCAGGGATTACCATGCTTTGACCCTGCCAAAGACTGCGAACTGTGTTTGCGAACAAACACAGATCCTGCTACTTCAGAATGCGTAGGTCATTTCGCTTGCCCCATTTGGGCCATCTATACTAATGATGTGATTTTTGGTGGTTGAATAGGACGGGGTATGCAAGGACACAAAATCCATTTGCAGCCGCTGTATGAACTTGACGCGCAAGAACTGTTCCGAAAAGTATTCCAAGGACGAGGACAAACTTCTCTGTGCAAAGGCCGGGTACTGCGTAAGTTCTATCCTATGAGACGCTTTCCACTGTGCGAGACATTCCACAGAGTGAGTGAAAGGCTAACAAAACTTCTCAACAAAATATACAGGCACCGTACTGCAGTACTCCTCAGGACATGTGCGACTTTTGCGTCGTGGAAAACCGGTGGAATTGCAACGCGTGAAGGGGATCTGCTAGCGAGATCCACTCTTGCAAGTTGGAGAACGAAAAGGGAGGTTGCGTAAGTAACATGGTGTTGACTGCCGTTCCCACTCTTTTGATTTTGTTTGTTTGGTTTGATATAAGCTAACGTTGGAGAGGGATAGTCGGAAATTTTCGTGATGCGCTATAGGGTATTATGTGTGTACTCGCTTGACATGACCTGGAACCCGCCATTGTTTACCAACTATATAGATATCAGGTGTTGCGAAATTACTTATTTTGGCTTGGAATTAAACAAAGCTAGTTGTCTATGTAAACTCCATTTCGGGATTTTTATTGTACTGTACAAGTATGTATACTTTTGCTTACTACAGCACCATCACTGGCTGGCCCCATGACGTCGCGCATCACATGAAAGCGGCCGCCGCACCAACAGTCGTTAGCGCCGTAACCTCAAAGAGCTAAAACGCAGCCTGTTTGGGGTTGCACCGCGAATCCTCCGGCGCGTGCATACAAACTTGGGAAGCCTGAAAAAGGAAGGATTCTCTCTCCCCTCCTTTTCTTTTTTCTTTTTTATTCTTCTGCCTGCTCGCTCACCAATCTCCATCTACTGCCGTCGTCGTCATCTACCCTTTGGAGCTTCTTTTTTGGCGGGGCTCTCACTACAAACGCAACGCACACGCACCACCACCACCCCTCCAGGCTCCCACTTCCAAAAACGTTCCTGGCTGCAGCATCACCACACCAACTCACTCCCTTGTTGCCACCTGTTGTCAGCTTGCTGCCTACAATCGTCCAACTTTGTTTCCTCTTCTCTCATTCGACGGACGGACAACACCGCAGAATCCGTACAAAATGGACACCTCACCGCGGGATCCCGCGACAGCTTCCACGCCGCAACAGCACCCAATCCCACAGCGACAATCCTCTGCAGGCCCTCTCTCTACCCCGATCGATGCAATCCCTCTCCGCACATCCAGCACAAACAGCAACCGCATGAGCAGCCACACATTCGGCCAGCAGCCCAGCATCTCGTCCGTCATGGCCGACAACGGCGTCCTCCCGCGCACGCGAGCACCCGACACCGGCCGAAAGAACTCCATGGCCTACATTGACGTCTCGGCAGCAGATTCCTCGCGGCCGCCGCCACGTACAAACTCCGGCGTCATGCTGCACCAGCAGTCCCCGACGTCGCCGCAGGACCCGTCCCGCTACGCCTACGAAGACCTCGACTTTGCCCCCGAGCGATCATGGACCGACGACAAAGAAGGCATCATCCGCGGCCCGTACAATTACCTCGTCAGCCATCCGGGCAAGGACATTCGATCGCAGCTCATCTCTGCATTCGACGCTCTCCTCGAAGTACCACCCGACAGCCTCGCCATCATCACCAAGGTGGTCGGCATGCTCCACGAGTCCTCGCTGCTCGTTGACGATGTACAAGACTCGTCCGAGCTGCGCCGCGGGTTCCCGGTGGCCCATCACATCTTTGGCGTGCCGCAGACCATAAACTCGGCAAACTACGTCTACTTCGTAGCTGTCCAGGAGCTGCTCAAGCTCAACAACCCCGAAGCCCTCAAGACGTTTGCGGACGAGCTGGTCAATCTACACCGTGGCCAGGGCATGGATCTGTTCTGGCGAGATACTCTAACGTGTCCCTCTGAAGACGACTACTTGGAAATGGTGGGCAATAAGACGGGCGGCCTGTTCCGGCTGGGCATCAAGCTGATGCAGGGCGAATCGCCGCACGCCGCGACAATTGACTGCGTGCCGCTGGTCAATTTGATTGGTCTTATTTTCCAGATCCGCGACGATTATATTAATTTGGCGTCGGAGGAGTACTCAGCGCACAAGGGCATGTGCGAGGATCTGACGGAGGGCAAGTTCTCGTTTCCTGTGATTCATAGCATCCGGTCGAATCCGAGCGACTTGCAGCTCGTGAGCATCCTCAAGCAGAAGACGTCGGATGTGCAGGTCAAGAGATATGCTGTGACGTATATGCAGCGCACGGGCAGCTTTGAGTATACGCGCAAGGTGATTGCCACGCTGATTGAGAGGGCGAGGAGGGTGACTATGGAGCTGGACAAGGGCCGTGGAAAGGCGGATGGCGTCATGAAGATTCTAGACAAGTTTGTCGTGGAGTAGTCGCCGCTCTTCATCTTGTCATATTTGGGATTTATGAACGGGGTAAATATGCTGGTTCGTTTTGGGCGTTTTAGGGTGCATCTAGCATAGCATAGTGTAGCATGCGTACAGACTTGTTGCTATTTGGTCGTTTCGCCTCCATGAGCACCGTTTATCAACTTTTGTTTATTTTGGGGAACATGTTCAGTGTAAAGACACAATACAAGAAAAGAAAATTCTAAAGAAAGGCTCATGAAATTTATATCACGTCTAATGTTCATCTATATCGTGCGTGTAGCCTTCTTCTGGTATGCACCCATCACGAAGCATAGTCTACTAGCGTCACCTTGCGCTTCACCAGGCGAACCCATCGTCTACGTCGCCAGTCTCCCTTGTGCCCATTACCGTCATCACCCTCTTCCCATGTAGTCTGCGACATTTGGGGCGACTTGGCCTTCTCCGGCACCTCTAGCACACCAGTCTGCTCCTCCGCCTCGGGCATTATATCATACACCCAGCGCTCGCCCTCAGTCTCGACTTCAACACCCGTAATAATACGCTCCTCGACCCATTCCCTGCTCCATAGATCAAGAGCCCACTTCTTCTCGCTCCACTGCCAGCCATCCGGGGCCTTGACATCCTCGAAAAAGCGCGTGCCTCGCGGCCGTTCGCCAGCCAAGCGCGCAGGCGACAGAGGATCAAACGGCGACGGGGAAAATACCCACGACTCCCACGTGTTTCCTGCCTTCTTCTGCAGCTCAAACACCTCTACTTCACGGGTCTCGGGGGCCGAGTCAATAATCACGTCGTTGGCAACCCAGTGGTCAAACGCTTCCTTTAATTGCTCCTCTTGCACCTTGAGAATAGGTCGTAGCTCGGCCCGGATGTTGGCCAAGAGGCGTGCGATGCCCGGATGGAGAGAGCACACACCTAACCAACCCGAGATGAGAATGACAAATCGCCATGGGAGGAGGTGTGCCGTAATGGTCGTGATGATGGCTGCGATAAAGAGGAATAAAAAGACAGACGACGACACTGCCTCATCGGAAAAGTTGGTTAGAGGGAGAAATGTCTCGACAGCAGCGTCGTGGGCAACGACGAAATCTCCCATGACGTTTTGCAGATCCCGCATGTTGTGAAAAAAATCTTTGCTCAGCTCTTTGGCCGGCTTGATGGTGGCTGCAGGTGCCAGTGGTGGTCCGGCGGCCGAGTAGCCGATGCTCTGCTCGCTGGACAGCGTGCCCTTGGGCGGTGCAGGATGGCGAGTAAGAAAGTATGGGATGAGAATGGCGAGGAGGGCGAAGAAGATGGGTAGTGTGGCGATTAGGTGGGGGTCGAGGCAGAGAAATGTATAGATGGAGAGAAAGGATAGCGTGTGCGAGGGCTTCTCCCACGCAAAGAGGCGAAGAGCGGCCGCCTGGAACTCAAAGACGACGCCGATGCGTGCGTTGAACTGGCGAAAGTTGTACGACATGGTGGCCAGGCTAAATGGAGGCTTGTCTAGGTTTGCGGAGAGCTCGCCTGAGAAGACGGCTGCGTTTTCCTCGGTCGGGATGATTTGGTGAAGCAGCCTAGGAGCGTGGTTAGTATTCATCTGGAGTGGTATGGCGCTGGAACGGGTATGTACTTTTCCACAATTGTATCTTGAATGCTGGCCTGTCCACGAAGGGCGGCTAAGCCTTCGCGCAGGCCAAACCGTTGCGGCGTCTTGGGAGCATGGCTAGCTTTGGCTGGGGCAGGCGATGCCGAGCCGCTCTTTGCCGCCTCAAACTCGGCTTGATAATCCTCCATTGGTGTATTATTTAGAGGTTGTTTGCCGTTTTATGTCTGGGTTTGCATGCTGCAGATGTGAAGGTGGCAGAAGAAAGAAGTGGTGGTGGTGGTTGTTTGGACGCCTTCGGCAAGCGGACATGTGACGACATTGGGAAGCCGAGCAGATGCGCCGGCTCCCCGCAAAGCAGCGTGGAAGCGGCGCAAGAGGCCACGGTTGAGCGCTAAGCCGGATCGGGAAATTTCGTTTGGGCGGTCTACAAGATAGATGCCGTTGTGTGCTGCTGCTCTTGCAGACAAAGGTTTGCCATTATTTGTCGTCAACGAAGAAAATAATAGATGGCAATTAAAAAAAAAACAAGAATGTGGAATTGAAGCACGATGTTCTTTCTGGGTATTTTTTTGGGCACGCAAAGATCATGGATCATTGCCGAAAGGTCGGATGTCGTGGATGACAGTGCCACTTCTCAATCCTGTAATGTATTTAGCAACTAGACCAACAGAAATACGACAGATATGATCGAGTTAGCAAGTAACGCGCGTTAAATCAGGCGAATATCAATTGTATTGTGTTCAAGACTAGGAAAAAGAAAAAAAAATGACACGTTAAGCCAACATCCTTTGAGACTTGGCGTATTTCCAATAAATGTAGCATATACCCACAGCCGTCAAAGGTAAACTAGCCACAGCCCAAACCCACCACAAATCGTTGACCCGCCAGGCGCCATTCTCCGTATCAAACGAAAAGAATGTCATACTGAAGAGGCCAGAGAAGAAGGTACCCGGAAGGAATACCACAGATACGATTCCAACAAACTTGGATATATAGCGTCCATCATTGCGGCTTTCGTAGAGCAGTCCTTGCACATGCTGCAGCTGTTTTGCGTTGTTGATGTGATATGCCTATTCATGTCAGTCTCCCTAAAATAGTACAAAATCCTGCAGAAAGCTATTATAACTACACAATACACGACTTACCAGTGAAATTTCATTGTTTAATCGATCGACAAATGCTACAGCTCGCAGTCGAAGGTTCTTAACAAACGTGAGGCAAAATTCTGCAGCATCCCCAGATTGGCTATTGAGACGTTGGCGATTCATGATGGCTGCAAACGTAGCTTCTGCGGCAGCAAGGGTTTCTTGGGAATGGATCAGATGTCTTGAGAGTTCATGCATGTCAAAATACAGCTTGAGGTGCTCTGCTGCCTTCTTGTCCATGGCATTGTACGATCCACTCGGCACCTTCAGCGCATGCTCTTGTCGACGCTATTAAACGAGTTAGTCAATTAAAAAACACTTTAAGACAAGACAAAACTGAGATCACGAGAGCAGTATATACGTACCCTTTCAATATTACGAACCGGCGAACGGAATCCCCAGAGCGCCGTATCGTAAATACCAGCGACTTGTTCCAAAACAAGATCCCAAATCCTTGGCCTCTGGCTCTTCCCCGCCGCGTCTCTCAATATGTGCTCAATCAAGAACTTGATCTTGGGACTATTTCCATCGTCAAAGCAGAGCAATACCTGCGCGTTGTTCTTTTGAAACTCCATGGCCCAAAAGTAAAAGTAGAACCAGTGGTACATGTGTTTAATATGCGTAGACGAACCAGCATAATATGGAGGTATGGTTGGATGTTTTTCGGCAGCCTCGCCTACGCTAAGACTAGTCCCTCTATTCATAGACATCACAGGCTTTCTTGGTTTTTGGGAAACATCTTTGTCGGTCTGGCGCTGTTCTGGCTCGTGGAGAAAGCAGTTGACATTGTGAAAAGCGTTTAGAACCATCTCATCCAATAGAAGCCACAGGTCACCACTATCATCCTTCTTTTTTTGCTTCTTTTTTGCGTCATTTTCAGCGGCAATCATTGCTTGTAACCCTGGTGGTAATAGACAACGATGGTCCACCCATGGCACTGGCTCAAATAATTGGATAATACCAGCTGGAGACCTGGGCGTAGCCAGATTGGTCAGAAAAACAGTAAAATCCGTGGCGATGCGAGTAGCCTCCTCGATTTCCGCTTTAAGTCCACTTTTGTTCGCAAGTTCCGGTATATTCCTGTAGTCTGTAAGAAGTTGTGCTTCAGTCCGTTCGGCGTTTGCATGCCAAAGCGGATTCTCCGATTCCCTTTTACCATGCAGTTGTTCATAGATGACCGACTTGTACCCCGTCGTTTCGGAATATTGTGTTGATAAAATGTACTCCCGAATCTTCCACATAGGATATTTGGACGTGATTGTGGCTAGGATATCTGCATTGGAGCGCTCTGGTTTAGCAGTAATCTCGCTCTTGATATCGTGTTCATCCTCCTTGACTATACTTTTTCCTTGGGATGCGGTTTGAATCTGGTCGCGTATCCTCTTCATATCTGCAGACTCCATCATATCGCTGACTTCTTTGACAAGAAATCGGCAGCTGGAGAGAATGACGGCTGTGTACCCAGTGTAAGTACCCAGTATTAAAGCTGGTAAAAGATATATATTCACTTACAATTAGAAGTTTCAAGTCCACGAAACAAACCATTGGCCTTGTAGGCCCGTTTGGTGAGAAAGAAACTGTCAATAAGAAAGTGTTTCTCCAACATTGTTCTTAAGCTGTCGTTCTCTGCCACAGCAGTGACACGAGGTAAAAAGATAACAACAATTTGGTCTTTTGAAGGTTTCTAAGGAGACTATAAGCAACAGAGACCACAGATTTACATCCTTTTCAACTCACACTGAATGGAATCAGTTGATTCTCTGTTTTGTAACTCTCGTAAAACTGCCCGTCATCCCTAGGATAGCTTTAGTACAGTCATGGGAGAGACGTGAGATTAGGGCTTATATTCGCTACTTACGATTGACCCATAATATGATATTGGGCTGCAGGAGGAGTATTATGGCTAGTTGCAGGGTTTTCCATTGTGCGGCTTTCGCGGTTGTGAATTTTGACAGGTATGGTCACTGAAGACGGTGTCGTTGCACTTGCCACTAACGTAGGAGGCGATACCTCTTGATTGCTGGTTGATGTCTCCAATGTCATAGTATCTTTGCTTCCTACGTCTCGGCCAATAACGCCATGTGAACCTCGAATCTGTGTTTTTGAGGAAGATGCGACTTGTAGCTCGGTTGGGGTTTCAATCTGTACACGCCGGCTTGGTGTTTTCGAGGGAATAATGGTCGGAGGTTTTTGCCCTAAATCTAGGTTATCGTTCTCTTGCTTAGAATCTACATGCTGCGTAGAGTTGTCTATCCGAGTCATAGCAATAGCAGGCTGGTTACTGTTGTCTTGCGTCTGGTCGTCTAGCGGTTGGTTGTTTTTGGCTGGAGGCGAGGCTACCTCATCTTTTCTGGATCCCATTTTAAACTGTGAACTATAGGAGGAATCGAAATACGACAAAGACAATTGCGAGCATGAACACAGAAGATTCAGGCATTTCCGCAGCCTTGGCGGTGAATCATGCGGGGTTCAGCTTCACTCTGCATAGCTGTGGCTGGAGTGTGAGGCTTACCTGAAATAGAAGCTTCTATGTATGCAGCGCAGTAGATATGGAAATTTATACATTTTCTATATACGAGTAAAGAATATGCCTTGAAACAAGGCGTATTTAAAAACCGCCTAATCGACAATTATAAGCCCCAATCTGTCTCCCCCACTGCGGGTACGGGCGCCTCCTTCGCGCGGGCACTAAGGTTGCCTAGCGCTGTGGCGGTGCAACTCTAGCTCTGGCACTAACTCAACGTCTCCATAGTACCCGCCTGGTTCGCAGACGACACCAAAAACAAACTCATCATGCACAACACTTTACAAAGCTATGGATCTATACATTGCAGGGACACAATCCCATACCATGAAAGAATCGCTTGAGACGTACATCACGCAAAGGATTCACCAAGACGTTCTCAGCAGACAATGGCACCACATCATCATTAGCGGTACCATTCAACGAAGTGCACCGGCCACTATTAGTTCCTGGGAACGGACAGATCGACCATTTAATTATCGTCGGCCGACAGCTACAATTGAAGACGACTCTACTATCACCCTCCATTGCTTGCCAAGCGCGAGCTGCGTCCAGCATTACGCTAGCGTCATTTCCACCTACCTGTCTCTCACTGGAGGCAACCCCGCCATCGTTCAAGTCAAGATACCACGAGACGACACGCTGGCCAATATCTTTCTGGCGAGCAATCTTCCCCAGATAGAAAAGAGCGATGTTTTTATAATTGGTGATGTAGACCTGCTTAGGGGTCTATCTGCTGGTGTATCGTGGGGAAACCAAAGCGAAGACGAGCTGTTTGCTTGGCACAGATACACCTCACGCAATGGGAATATTGCAACGTTACTCGGATGCAGAGAGAGCATTTGGGGGGAAGCATCGGGAGCTCTTAGCCGCCTTGTTCACAAAATCGCCGATGCGCAATGTATTATATATGTCGGCAAAGTAGGGTCACTACATCCAGGGCCAACACCAAACACGACAATCGCATCTGGGTCCAGCGCTATCTTAGACGGTAAACTTATTACTTGGGATAGCCCGTTAGAACAAGCTATCGAAGGATTTGAGCGAGTGACAGTAGGATCGCAGATTACAGTCTCATCGCCACTCTGCGAGACAAACGACTGGCTTGAGACCTGGAAAGAGAAATGTATGTGGGTTGACTGCGAGTCTGGACATATTGCTCGCGTTGCGAATGAAACAAGGATGGACTTTGGATATCTTCACATTGTCTCGGACAACCTGAGCTGTGAATCTAGAGATAATCTGTCCAACGAACATTTCGATGATGTCGGATCAAAACGAGAGGTACTATACAATGATATAGGGCGTATTATAGACTTGTATTTATCCACATATAGAAGGAAATTATAATCTGTAATCTATAGAGAAAATTTAGAAAATTACATATATAACTTTTTAAGTAGAGCCTTGCTTTAATTTTAGACAAATCCATTGATACTACTCTATAGGTAACACCACGCCAACATTCTTGAATGAAAACATCGTTCTTATCTAAAAATCAATCAAAACCACAACCGTCGACTTTGTTGTCAAGCGGTAATATAATATAGATATATCATATAGTTCTATCTCTCTGTCTATAAGCTGCTTTATCGCTACAAGCCACAATATTTTGACAATCGACTGACATGTCGAATTCTAACATCAAGACCATACCAATAGTAACTATTTTTTCGAGTTCGAGAATTCAATCAAGGTAATACTTATCCGAAGCCAGCTAGCCAAGAGCTGCGTTAAATGCTTTCCATGTCTCTTGTTTTGCGACTGTTGTACCGGCAGACGCGGGGTCGGTATCCACGGGGATGGGTATACTGGTCAGGGCTTGTTGTGTTCACGGTTTTAGAATACACTCAAAGTCCACGCATCTGCCATAGTAATGTGCTCTACAGCTTTTGGGTAAACATCATTCTCAAATACACATCGATTCTGGAAATTATCCCGGTGTGTCTTATTGGTCGCATCAGCCGCATAATCCACGCGATAGTCAAATTCTGCCTCTTCAAGAATCCACTTATTTAATTTGCCGCGTGTCACAGCGCGCGGCCGGTTTGCAAAGTTGAAAGTTGTGTCGCTATAGGGAGCCGACGGCAATCGTCTCAATTCCCCCGAATGCAACTCCGTCTTCAACTTTGGCATTGCGCGGCGCAAGTCACAGTGTATGCTCAAACCAAGCCCGGATAACTGGCATGTACAGATTGCGCCTATTCAGCAAGTGCGACAAAAGGTGCCCGGTGTCGAGATACTTATCAACTACGAGAACCGGGACCCCAGACCATTCTCAGCAACATGGAAAAGGATACAGAAGGCCCTTCACTGGATACGCTCAACACGACGATTGGCGACGTCACAGGCCACGGTTGAACGCTAAGCCAAATCGGGAATTCGATCAGGCGGTCTACAAGACAGATGCTGCCGATGTCGTGATTGCAGACAATGTCTTGCTTTATTTGTCGTTGAAACGAAAGAAAATTACAATTAAAAATGGAACACAATGCTGGAGCTGTATGTTCTTTCTCGGTATTTTTTTTTTCCTTTTTTGAGGTTTCAATTGATGTATGATTCAACGTCTCGGTGAAATGTACCAGCTTGAAACATGCCCCAACAAGCGACTGACTACTACCGTTGTTCCTTTTCGCCATGCTAGGCCTCAATCGTGTTTTTCCAGAGGCTGAAGAAATATATAGATGTTGTATATCGCCAATGAAGGTATTCCGTAATCGCCACGCGTGTACAAAAATTGCTAGTCATCGAGCTAGGACGTGCCCGTAGCAGCGGATGCTGCCGCGTCTCAGCAGAGTCACCATCCTCATTCCAGCTGCGAGCATGACCAAGCCCAGCAGGCAAGGCTGATGAACATTTGTTTTACTTGGAATTAAAAAGGGGACCTCCCGCATGTTGCAAGTGGTGTACTTGTACTTTGTCTGCATGCACGGCGATGTTGGGTGCACACCACTCCAGCTGCAGAGATAGATTGTGGCGCTGAATCATCGTCGTTTGCTGCACGCGCTCTGTTCTGCATTACTTGTTAGCAAAATCGGCTTTCCCCTTCAGGAACAAATGGCGCAGTTAGCTGAAAGACATGTTGAAGAGGCCAGACTTTTCGTTCATGGGTCCGTAGATAGCAGCCTGTAGTTTCTTCCATCTTCCCTGTTTGCTGGTGGCTGGGAGTGAGCAAGGCCATCCATCCCCTGCCTGTGATGGGGGACGATGGTGCCAAGCCGGATTTACATGACAAAAATAAGAAAATAAAAGGAGAAATCAGAGCAAGGATATCTGGCTTGTGTACAAAGTATGATGCACAAAAAGAAGCCCGACAAAGAGGTTGGCTGCAGGAACGCGTGGGATGCCAGGTGCGTTGCAAGCCAGACGGGACGTGTGCTTGGGCGTGGAGACCAAGGTTTTGGTTCGCGGTGTGGATTAGACGCTATGCTGTTTGGATGCAAGTACCGCAACCAGCGGTCTACGGGCGAGAAACGAGGTATTACGGTACATCTGATGCAGTGGCAAGATATGTAGCCTGGGGGCAAGGCAGTAGGGGCAATTGTGCTTTTTGAAACGAATAAAAACGCATTATGTGGCATACATTATTTATAAACAAACAAAGCAGCATCACAAAATCAGCCATGCATAACATATCGCCTTTACCATGCTTCTTTGATCCGTTGCCCGTTTTTTTGGTTACCTCCAGCACATGCACGCTCACACACAAAAAAGGAGGGTCGCCTGCTTCCCCTGAAGTAGCGTCCCGTTCGGGTCTTCCCTCCACTAAAAAAAAGGAGATGGGCACTGGGGGCCCGCGCCACGGCGTTGTTTTAACTAGCGCAGGGTACATCGGACAGGACCCCTCCTTACCGCAAAACTACATACAATCGGCAGGGCGGCTGGAAGTACCTCCTCTCCTCCAACTAAAAAGCCACCCAAACTGCTACTACCACCACTACTGGCACTGCTGGGCTTGCTGCTAATACAACCACCAAAATACATTTTATTTTCATCCGCTTGTGGGAATACGCCGGGCTGGCACAGACAGACAGCATACACTATCGTTTACTACTAACAAAATTAATGCATACTAAATAAATGGTGTGTCTTTGTTATTCGCTATTCTATTTCTTGCCATATAACAAAACAAGTACATCCCATTTTTTAAACCCCGTCAGCGCTGCAGAACCCCCCGTTTTCCCTGAACCACCTCACTGCGGGCCATGCCTTTCAGGAGGGGGGGCCCGCTATAAAATCACTTGCTTCTGCGCTAAATTGGCACATCCGTCCGTGCTAGCCACTCAGCGCGCTTCCTGGACGTGGGTCTCGTCTGCTGCCCCAGCGTGTGCTTTGCTGGGTGCTGTGCTGTTCAACCTCCGCAATCCCTCCATTTCTCGCAAAAAAACAATTCCGTGTTGCTTGCTACGGCTCCCCGCCTCCTTCCTTGTCACGCTTTTCGTTTCTCGTCTGTCTGCCTTTCATCATCATCACCAGCAGCAGCAGCAGCAGCAGCAGTAGCACCTCGCTTCGGCCTCGCCATCATCGCCAACCTGCTAGCAGCCCGTGTCCTGCAGCGAGCCGTCTTCAACAACAATCGACCCAGATCGCCCTTAGATCTCCTTTCGTCTTGTCCCCCGCCTCGCCTTCCTTGAGCAACCGACAAGACAGCCACAGCGTTTTGTCACAGCGGTAGTCTTCCTCACTTCCGCTTGGTCATCGTTGATTCGATCCGCTTCCTACATACGCCTGGTATTCGCGGAATGAGGTAGCTCCTGTCGATGCACTCAGCTCCCTGACCGGACTGGGGGGGCCATCGTCTCCGTGCAAGTCGTCTGTCGTGACTCGTCTCGGCAGCATTGACTTGCTCCTATCCATCAGATGCCTTTCGGCTCCAGCAAAAAGGCTGCGTCACGCCCGGCAAACTCCTCTCCTACTCGCCCGTGAGTCTTGAATTCTTTGTTTATGCCAGAAGTAGTCCGCCACCATCATGATATAACCACCAATCACGCCTGGCTTACCACGCCTGCTCTGTTCGCTAACGCGTTAACCCTGTCACAGCTCGCCTCTCTCTTCGAACCCCCTCCAAGAATCAACATCGACCAACTCGAGACGGCTGTCCCACGCACCAATGCTCAGCGCATCATCTACCGCTGGCCACACGTTCTTCTCCGGTGAAGGGGACACCGCCAAAATGAAGAACGGCCAGAAACCGGGCACGCTCGACTTTTTGCCCTCAGTCAGCTTCGATGACTTGCACGCTAGCATCGAGTCTGCATCGACAGACTTCAAACTCGACCAATTTCCATCACCAACGGGCGACGGCAACATCCTTGATCGTCAAATGGCGGAGAAGGAAAAGGCACATAATACACATGCCCGAAACACCAGCGCCACAAAGGGCAGCATTCCGACATCATCATCCAGACAAGGTCGTACAGGCTCCATCCTGCGTCGACCTAGCACGTCCAGTCGTCAGCCTAGTACCTCCTCGATAGCGTCAACATGGTCCGGCACCGTCGACGCCCCTACAGCTGCTTCAACTAACGCTTCTCGCGCTCGTCGACAAAGCCACTACCCCCCCGTTTCAAATATCGCCACAGTCAAGCAGCCTCGCAAATCCATCGGACCCGGTGTGCTTGCAGACCCAACAGATGTGGCTGCTACTGCCGCTGCCGTTGCTACTCGGACTACCCAGCGACGACGCGCCAGCATCATCTCAGACCATGCCGCTGGCACCGACTCCGTTCGAGCTTCTGTCGATGGCGCCGATTCAGCTCGCGGCTTGAGCAGTAACTCTAGAACAGTAAAAGCCAAGTCAGTACAACCGCCGCCTCGGTCAGCGCAACCTGGCATGATCCCGGGCTTTGGCACCGTGCTCGCATCGGAATCGAGCCGTCTATCATTGGCCTCGCGTTCGCCGCGCCTTTCCAGTAAAACGTCTACCCCATCTTCGGCCTCGAAGCGTGCCTCTATGATGCCAGGCAGCACACACGCAAGCGGTCTGGGAGCCAGAACGATTAGTCCCACAGACACCCGCCGAATGAAACGCCTTTCCATGATGCCACAAACCCAGACTCTCGATCAAGTCCTCAGTGTACCGATGCCCGTCGCTTTACCTGACGGCCAGTCTCCTGGATCTGGTACCTCTCCGTTACCGCCCGCCAAAACATCTGGCCCAGCCTCCGGTATAACAACGCCTGAACCGAACCGCAGGGCCCCGAGCTCAAACAATATCGGCAGTACGTCGAACGTCCGCCAGTCTCTGGGTGTTACTCCGCGGCTACCGTCCTCTGTGTCCACCCCTGTGATGCGCTTGCCGTCACCCAAGGCCAATGGTATGCACAAGCCAACAAATTCGTCTGATGAAGAGGACGTACCGCCGGTCCCAGCTATTCCTAAAGCCTATGAATCTCCCAAGGATGTCTCTCTTGAGACATACTTTGTCGATAAGAAAAAGTCTATTATATCAACCGACTCAACGAGTTTGAAGAGCACGTCCAGCAGCACAAACCTACCCACTCAAACTGAGGCTCCAAAAGTTAAACGAAACACGAGCATCCGCAAAAGTTCTTATGTTCCCACTCGTGCAGGTGAAAATGACCTAGGGCAAACCAAGAAGCAGCTGGTGCCTCTCACCCTGCCACCTTTAAATCTCGGACCCCTAACGATACCGACGACTGTCAAGTCCAACCACACACGAGACGATCTGTCAAGCTCCAAGCCTATTCGCGTACCGAAAACACCGACAACACCGATGACCGCGTCCAAGAGCACGTTCTTCTCGCAAACGCGATATGATGACATTATCCAGCTCCCCTCGCTTCGAAGCAGCAGCACCGTGCACCAACCTGCTGAGCTTGATGACACGCCTGATAATAGTTCCTCAGACTCGTCTTCGTTCAAGGAGCCTGAAAAGCTCAGCATGTCGCCGTTCCTCTCATCATCACTTCCTAAGGGTGGGTTTGATCATGAAGGGCTAAAGCGCTCCAAAACTGGTGGCGATCTGGCTACTATTACCGTTCCTGTATTTGACGAACAAGAATACAAGAAGCCGCAAGGACCACGACCGCCTGTCCAGAATATCAAGATTCCAAAATCGCCACCACCAATTCCCACAACTGACGAACCGTCTACGCCCTCATCTATTAGTTCTCTTCGACGCAAGCTTAGCATGTCCTGGAAGCGCTCCAGCTCCAAAAGTGGTCCGACAAGTGCCACTGAACCCACGAACGGCAAGTCGACAACACAGGCAAACAACAAGTATGATGGCATGCCACCGCCCCGCATTCCCATTTCTTCCACTACCAACAACCTGCCTAGCCTCAAGCCTAGAAGCCCTGTTTCTGGATCGGGCAGCAATAACGGCCTCACAAACTCTTCACGAAGACGCAAGAGCTCGGCTTCTAGCCTAAACAACTTGATTGCGACCTCTACAAATGACGGCTGGATTGGCAACAAGGACAAGGATGCAGCCGAGACAACGTCGCGACTACCCGAGCCCAAGATGGTGAAGCCAAAGACATCCGCGGCACCCGTCTACCGCGCCGTGCCCTACACAGCCGAGCTAGACAAGGAAGACATGGCAGCAAACGAAGAGATGCGGAAAATGGGATCTCGACGCAAGGAGACCGATATTGCTGCTCGAACACTGGATGCACTTCGCAAGCGAGCCACACCCAAAGAGCGGGTTGGTCCGCAAGAGGCTATCCGAATTGCCATGCTCAACATTTACGAACGGGGCGAAATTATCGACTACAACGACATTTACTTTTGCGGTACCCAGAGCGCCCGCAAGGTGATTGGCAACCTGCAGTCTGATGCACCCAACTTTGGATACGATGACGAGCGTGGCGACTATGCTATTGTCCCGGGCGACCATCTCGCATATCGCTATGAAATTGTAGACGTCCTTGGCAAAGGTAGCTTCGGCCAAGTCGTCCGTTGCATTGATCACAAGCATGGCGTGTTGGTCGCAGTCAAGATTATCCGCAACAAGAAGCGCTTCCACCAGCAGGCGTTGGTGGAAGTCAACATTTTACAAAAGCTTCGCGAATGGGTAAGTTTTCTTTGGTTTGTCGCCCTCAACACAATACTAACCACGACTATTACAGGACCCCAAGGACAAGCACAGCATGGTAAGCTTTACGCAAAGCTTTTACTTCCGTGGCCATCTCTGCATTTCGACGGAATTGCTCGACATGAACCTGTACGAATTTATCAAGGCGCACTCCTTCCGCGGCTTCTCCCTCCGCATCATTCGACGATTTACAAAACAAATCTTGAGTTCTCTGATTCTGCTCAAACAGAAGAAGGTTATTCACTGTGATTTGAAGCCGGAGAACATATTATTGAGGCATCCGCTCAACTCGGAAATCAAGGTCATTGACTTTGGATCAAGCTGCTTCGAGAACGAAAAGGTCTATACGTATATCCAGTCCCGATTCTACCGCTCTCCCGAGGTCATTCTGGGCATGACATATGGCCTACCTATTGATATGTGGAGTGTCGGCTGTATTCTTGCTGAACTCTTTACCGGCGTCCCTATTTTCCCCGGAGAAAACGAACAGGAACAGCTAGCATGTATCATGGAAGTATTTGGACCGCCCGAGAAGCACCTCATTGAAAAGAGCACACGTCGCAAGCTCTTCTTCGATTCTATGGGCAAACCACGCCTTACAGTGTCCTCCAAGGGCCGTCGACGTCGTCCGTCATCCAAGACGCTCCAGCAAGTCCTGAAGTGTGACGACGAAGCCTTCCTCGACTTCTTGGCCAAGTGCCTGCGATGGGACCCTGATCGCCGTTTACGACCAGAAGACGCCGTGCGCCACGAATTCATTACTGGGCACAAGATGCCGCCACCGCCGTCGCGACTTCGTGACCCATCGCCGGCTAAACGAATCGGGCCACTTTCGCTGGCTCGACCCCTCCCCGATCCGCCAGCAAACAAGGCCGCCGGTTCGTTGAGAAGCAGCCCCCAGAAGCACATGTCTCTGGCCATGCCATCGTCTAGGCGCGTATCTGGCGTGACCGCAGCCACCACTGCTAGCATCAACCGGCGAACAAGTGCCGGGCCGGGCCTGACGCTCTCATCGAGCGGGCTTCCTCGTGTGGCAGCACGATCAGCAAGTGGCCGCCCCGATTTAGCGACTGCGGGTGCATCAGCGGCCATGACTCGCCGATAGTTCAACGACAGTCGAGCCCCTATAATGATTCAATGGCAGTCGAATCTTTATAACTACAGTATACAATGAATGGCGCAGTACAAGCTGCGGTGTGGCGGTCGCCTAAACGTTTTTTCTTGCCAAACTATCTGTATCCAAGCCAATGCATAGCGAGCCTTTCTGTCTTCAGACCATACAATTTTCAACATTAACAGCAACAAAAGAAGACACATACAATAAGGAGGAAGAGTGTGAGGAGGAAATAATACCTGTGGAAACGTTGGGAGGAAAAAAGCAACATGGATTTGTGGAATAGAGCATGTTGGTATACACTTGGCCATCCGGCCTTCATACTACGTATTGAACGATTGCATCATGATGATTATTATGTTTTTGTTTTTTTCTAGTTGCATTGCTTCTCACTTGTCTTTCGCTCTCCCATTCATATACCTAGTGTCGTTTTTGTCAGTTTGCATATATACCAAATTCATGGCTGGGCGACAATTCTCTTGACTTTTCTTTTTACGTGGGAAGCGCCGGAACACGAGGAGGAGGAGATATGGGACCGACGGCCAGCACACACTCTCTCACACGACGCGACGATTGGCGGGTTTACTAAGAAAAAAGAAGAAGCTCATAGAATAGAAACATGGAATTTCCGTACTACATTACTTTGTTGGCAGAGCAGTGACGTGTTAAAGCATAGCCTGGAGCTCGTTTGCATCGCATCGTTCACATTTCAGTCAGTCAGCATGTGTGTGTCTGCGTGGTCTCGAGCGTCTTGGCGAAGCAGCACGGAGCCAACTGAGCAGTTAGCCTCGCCTCGCCTTGGCCGGTGTAGTGTAGTGTAGCCTAGGCGCTAGCCTCTATGACTTATGACTCTATTCTTGTACGCGATGCCTGCCTGCCTCAACGGCTGAAGCCCTATCCCTTGACCGATGACTGCATTCAGTGGCCTTGTCACGCGCGAGGGACGGACTAACCGGACGGCTGGGCTACTCAGCGTAATCCGTGTTGCGGTGCGTAGGGCAGGCAGGCAGGCAGCTAGCTCAGCCTTGATGCAGACGACGCACCACCACGAGCACAATGCACAAAGTAGCAGGACAAAGTTACTGTAGCTGGACACAAAGAAGCAGCCCTTAATCCACGCCCCTCCATCAGGAACGACGAGCGATTTCCGACCTGAGGCTGGAACTGCGCACTGTGATACACTGCAGCAGCAGATGATTTTTGTATTTTAATTTATGCTTCTCTTGTTAGTTTAGCGTTGACGAGAGTATGCGAGGCTCGGCTTTTATCCGTCACGCTGGCGATGCGTCCTGTGTTTTAGTTACTGTAGGGTGGAGGGCCGGCCCGGCGAGCCGTGTAAGTGAGTGTTTATTGTAGCGAGATCGACAGCTGCTGTAATTTTTTTCTCTTTTTTTGTGTAATGTTATCAGGGATAGTAGAGAAGTAGACAAGTAAATGGTAAATTGAATGCGCCGCAAGAAAGGCGCCCGGGTGGGCGCGGACTGCGCGTATAGTTTCGCCGACTAGAGGCCGAGTAAGGCTGGCTTAGCTGGTGGAAACGAACAAAGATGGTGGGTGGTGTGTTGCAAAGACGCTAATGCACACTTCGTTAGAATACGTTTTTAACCTGTGCGGCTTTTGACTGTTTCTAGGTATTGCCTCTTTGGGATACATGATTCTTAAGCAGCGGTCCATGCCCTCGCTTTTGCTCGTCTCCGGGCGGGTGTTTCGGCACGGCGCCCCGGGTGTGAGGCCCGGGTGGCGATGGGGGATGCTTCGCCACGCCGGAGAGAGCGGATGCTGAATTATAAAACAGATACTATGCAGAGGACTGTGTCCGTGGGAGGTGTGCTTTTCAAGCATGTCGTATTCTTTTGTGTGTGTGTTGTGATGTGCTGGCAGAAGCAGCATCGCATGTCTGGTGGTAAGAGTCATTCGGTAGACGAGTTCGCCGGGCAGTCCCTAAGGCAAACAGACAATCTGTCGTCATCCTTTATTTAATTGCCTGTCAAAACGACACGCTATGATGCATGTCATTTCCGCCATCGTATGACTAGGCTTGTGACAATGTCCTGTCAGGCGCGTGGCTCCTACATTACTAGCTAGTGCCATTTTTTGTTAGCGGTCGGCTCTCCACATCCGATGTAGCCGGTAGCTGGTAACCGACCAGTAGGGCGGAGGAGATCTCGGGATGCTGCATGCTTAGATTTGCGCGAGTCGTGTGCAGAACACAGCAGCCCAGGGCCGTTGGCAGCCTTGTCTTTGGGTGTAGATGGTGGCTTCTTTGCGATATTTTTTGGACGGGAATAAATGCGAGATACCTAGTAACTATAAAGTCAGCACTTGTGCATTATTCAGGGCAAGCGGAACGGAGGGTTGGGTATCAAAGTTGCGCCGTTGCGTTCATGCCCCCACTGCAACAACCCACATAAGTGCCCTCGGCTCACTGCAAGCGGACGAGTCGCTTTCACCCACCCGCACGTGTAAGGCCGAAATGCGTTTATATACAAAAATGACATTGCACCTGACGCGACGCCATCTGCAGCATGCCCTTGTTCTCTTTGTTTCTTTTTTTCGTTTTGCACCTTGATTTACTGAAAGAACTGTGTCACATTGCACGAAATACAGCTCGACAAAATGGTACGGACCGAGTATGGGTGGACGACAACAAGACCTCTGGCTAACAGAATGTGTAGCAATCGAAACCGAGACTTACCTGGCGCGAGACTCTTCTTTTAGTCCCCAAGTTGTTGGTGGCATGTACGTATATCCACGATGACCAACACCCCGAATACGCGAACTAACAAAGGTTGTGCTAGTCCCTGCGGTGTTTACAGCAAATAACTTGCGTGTGATTGCTATTGCCATCATTTGGAGGCTAGACATTCGGGTTGCGATCCGATGTATGCTGATTCGCACTGCGTTTAAAGTGTTGACCCCCCGCGATCTGCAGTTCATTCTGCCGACTACAAGGCAACGCTATGACAGCTTTATCAAGAAGCAACAGCGACAGCTCCGCAACACAAAGTACGAGCAGCTCGCCATCCACGATGTGGAGGTGCTTCCCACAGAAAAGCCAAGCTCCCTCTTGTGGCTCGGCAACAGAAAGACGGCGGACAAGGTTGTCTTGTTCTTACATGGCGGCGGCTTCATCATTCCCACCTCCAGCCATCACATTCCCTGGGCCTGGGACTGCTATGTCAAGGCGCCGTTTGAGGCTGGCTACAATGTCGCCTGTGCTGCCTTCCAGTATACTCTCTCTCCCGAGGCAAAGTACCCCGGACAACTTGAGCAGACCGTTGTCGCGCTCAAGCACATCTTCAGCCAGGGGTTCAAACCGTCCGATGTCATCATTGGCGGCGATTCAGCGGGAGCCAACCTCAGTATACAACTGATGCTGCTTCTATATCGAGGAAACGAGTTCTTACCTGACTGGAAGCTCGATGAGCCGCTGCTTGGTATCTTCCAAGTGTCCACAGTCCTTTCTATGATCGAAGACAACTTCCCTTCATGCCGCACCAATACGGCTAGCGATATGATTGCACCAAATCTAGTGCATACCTTTATGCTGGACTTGCTCACCCCAGAGCACTACATTGAATACAAGGATGGTCGCACAACCGATGGGCTGCCGCTCGACGCCGGATTCGAAGACTGTCGCGATCTCGACAGTGTTGTATCCAATATGTACATTAATTACGGCGAGTATGAGTACGCTGCGAGCCACAGTGTTGAACTTGCTCGACTCCTCGCGATCAACTCACCCAGAATGAACGTGACGGTCAGAGAAGATCCCAAGGGGCCACATGATGCCATTCTTCTGGAATATATGGTGCATGGAAAGCCTGGCCCATCGGCAAAGGCCATGAAGGAGTGGACGCAGTCCCTTTGGAAAGCCTCATAAGGCGAAGGCAAGCTGGAGAAGCTTTTAGCTGGCGTATGTATTTAGTCTGCATTACCTTGGTATATAATCATGACATAGCACTTTGCATTTTCACGGAATCACTATCTTCTTTCTGTCATGTATAGTCGCAATTGGCACTTTTAGTTGGCTAGATGCCTGCCTGAGGTGTTTGCTTCAATAAAGACACCCGTGTTGAAGTGCCGGCGCAGAAGCCATGGAATGGGCCGTGCCTCTTGGTAAACTCGATCGTAGCGCTGCCCAAAGCTAGTTGTTCGCTGGAAATGAAGATCAGTGTGTGTGGGGCGGGCGTCGTGGTGCGCGGAAGCCCCTGTTGTTCAGTATTGTTGTGGAAAAAGCCACACCGGACGTTGTGCTCGATCTGGGTATGGTGACTGTGACCTATGAGGCGAAGCTGCAGCACCTGTTTCTTTTGTCAAAAGAGGCGCCGGCGCTGCGCTGTCCTGCCTAGAGCGCCTGCCAATAGCGTTCCAGAAGAAGGTTCCTAGTTGAATATGTTTGGTGAGCCTCCTGCAGGTTCGCTTGGCCCCCTATAACCTGCAGACATGTCGCTACCGGCTGCCACTTTAGCCGCAAATAGGGGCCTTTCCTAAGCCGGACACATTTGTCGACTATTGGTGGATGCGAGTTGTCAACTGAGGTGTTTTGTCTTTTTGGCGCGGTGGCTATCTGCACGAGTTGCACACCGAGGCCTCCATGGTAGGACTATCGGGCGAACGATGTTCATCGCATGTGATGGGATTATCGTCTTGAGAATGATGATCGCGGAATTATAATTGATGATTCATCGCATTCCTTTCCATTTTGGCCTTTGTCCACGTGGACTGGTTCGCGTAGGAGCTCCGTCTACCCGCAGCCAAGGATCCAAACACCGATACTAATAGCGACTTGGATCTCGAATTTGCATCGCATATCTCATTTCCTGAGTCATACCGACAAATCTTTTGAAGATTGTGAATGGCTAGCCGGGCCAAATGACTGCCGAAACGTGCGTCATAGGCCCGCTTGTACTTTCATCGTCGACATAGCTCTACGGTGTCTTATTGGCTGCTCTTCAGGCCCAGCTAAATTTCATGTGTTGTACTTGTGCAGGGGCACATGCAAATTGATTAGTCCGCAGTAATATCGATCTGACGTCTCCAGCACTTTTGCTTCGACGCACGGAGCAGAGTATGGGTGCTCATGTTGGTTCGGAGGCCACCAACCCCACTAGCCATGTGCTCTGCTGCCCATAACGCCACGGTCAGTCTGCCTGTTGTGGTGGTCCCCTAAACTGCTGCAGTGGGTAGTTTGCAGGAACAACGGTCCATCAAATTAAGCGGATGAATTAGACGTGCCGAATAGCCACTCTGTGCGAGACAAAAACCAGAAAACTCCATGGGCGACATCCGGTTGGATCCATCCGTCTCTCTCAGTTAGAGTGGCTGGCTCAGCGAAGCCAACTCACGGTGTAGCTAGCCACCTTGGGAGGAGGGGCGATCGAGACATGCATGGATGGTCTCAGACATGCGCTCCAAGTCTCAGACATGCAGTGTTTGCCGAGTGTTTCGCTCAGCCAGGGCGCCTAGTATGGCTGATTTGGGGCAAAACAATTGTTGTATCTTTTTTTTTCCTCAACAAAGACCCTTTTTCTACAGCCCTCTGTGGCTCGTCTGTCCTGCTTGCCGACACGAGTACGCGAGCGTTAGTTCAAGTTCGTCAAAGCGCCACGCAAAATTCTAGAATGCGGCATTTGACATGCTGTATCTCATCGTCCAAACTGTCGGGGCTTGTTTCTACCACATGGGCCAGCCTGTCCGTTTCAAAACTTAATTCAAGGTATGGCCCCAGGCGAGCGACGAACCTCAGCCAATAGCCTAGGACCTGGCCGGAGTTGCCGAAGCTGGTCTGTACGCAGATTGGTCGGAAGGTGAGCAGGGCAGCGAGGCTGAACTACGCCGGGCCCCCAGCGACGTGCAGCCTCGAGGCGCCTCGTAAAAAGAATTGGTACCATGGCGGGTCGCGGATTGCGAACTACTTTGCGAAAACATAGGGTGTTAAAAATTATATGTATAGTCGATAATTGGGATACGGATGCAGTGAATTGATGAGTTGTCTTTTTGCTTAGTGGTTCATCTGCTTGCATGCGAGAATCGGCATCCGGGTCCCGCGGTGACTGGCGAATCTTTCAAAACGAATCTCTCGGTCGCCAGCCTGAACCAAAAGCTGGTTCGCTTGTCCTGCTAGCGCAACGACTGGGCTACCGCGGGTAACGCAGCCGTGCCGTGGGCGTCGACGGCCACTGGGGCTCTTGTGGAGCTGGCGACGGCCTCACGCCCGACCACAGGCAGACTAGAGGTCGACGTTGTCGTCGAAGCCGAAAAAGAAGGGGCGTGTGAGTAATGGCTCCGGATCTTAGTTCCCCGTACTGCTGTTGTTGTCACGTCAGAAAAAGCATATGACAACAGGTTCGTTTTTTATTCAATCAATTCCATTTGTCGAGTGCATGTGGCTCGTTTTCGACTCACACTGTCTGCCGTATTGATGAGCAATGTTCCCGATTGTTTCTATCCCACCTACTGCCGACACGGCACCGCGGATGATGACTCCTCTGGCGTTGATTCTCGTTTTGGTTACGATGACGTTGGGTGAGGTGGTGGCCTCGCTGGTAACGCTCTGGTATTGGCTGGCGGGCCGGGCTCACGTGAGGCCGGCTGGTGCCTTGGCCAACAGCTGCCAATACTGCCAACAGTCCGGCAGTCCCTGGCGGAATCTCACCGAATAACAGCAGTAAATAATAGTCAGCTTGGCTTTTTAATGCGTAATAAACAGCTCGCACTTTGATTTAGTGTGGTAGATTAACTACACTGAGGTTCTCGAAACCCCTATCATCCCCGATTTCTAATCCGCAACGACTGCCGTTAGCGCTGCTCCGCGTGGTCCACAGAGCGTCGACAACAAACCTTGGCCGCATCTATTTTCAGCCCCCCGGGCGCCGAAAAGCTTACACGGCATGGGACCGGGGGACGGAGTCACTCGTTTTCAGGGCCACTACGCGCAGCAAAAATAAACAATAAGCTCCTGTACTGAGTTGATTGATGCAGCGAATATGCAAGGGACGGACACCATCTGTCTGCCGTCTACTCGTGTCCCCAGCAAAAAGAAGTCAGGGCAAGCAAATGCTCCAAGAATAAGTGCTGCCGTATTACACCGCGCCAAAAAAACGACACACAGCTCCTCTTTCGGGCGTCGTGTTACTGCTGGTCAGCCCTGCTGCAGGCGTTCAACGCCCCCAAGACAGGCAACGCTAGCCCCCGAAGTGGCTCCCTCCGCTAAAAGGGGGCACCGCGCTAAGTTAGAAACGAGCCCAGCCTGTAGTGGGATGTACATCATGGTGCATTTGGAGCTGGGGTACCTGCTGCCGCCCACCTGCGATAGCGTTACGTGGTGAATGGTGGTGGTGGTGCTGCGGTCTGCAACTGGCCCAGTTTGGTCAACAGTAAGATGTCAAGGGGCAGGAGAAAGGCAGACAGACAGAAGGCTAACCGTCTGCACTTTGACCTCATTGGCAAAGTCCAAGCAGCCTTTATCGGAGAGAAAACGAGAGAGGGCTCCTAGGCGGAATGCGCCCAAGCTGCTAAGCAAAGTAGTACTTGCTCTGGGCTGTCTCGTCGTGTATTCCGAAGAACATTGCGTTGAATGATGTCTGTCCTAGGTTTGGCTTCGGATAATTATCCGCTGCAGCTCGTTAGGTGCATTGCATACACACCATGCACACACACACATACGCACACGCACACACGCACGCACGCATTCAGTCGCTCACTCATACGCAGGCACACACTAAACTCAATTGCGTACGCTGGCGCGCGCACGCGCATACAGTACGCATTCCCCATCGGCCCTCCTGGCAGCAGATGCGTCTCCGGCGCTGTAGCCTTTTCGCACACGCCCCCCGGCGCTGTACTCCGCCCAGTAGCGGAGCCAAGCACGGCTTTTGGCCCTTTCGTCTACTGCTACGGCTTCTTCTGACCCCCAGCCGCACGATGGGTTCGGCATACAGGCCATGTTAGTCCACAAGCCGCCGCCCCTTCTATCGCTTTTGCTCTACAGTACCAGGTGAGGTGTACTTGATCCGCTGGTGCCTTGGGGCCGTTCCACGTCAAGGCTAAGCCCGCAGCCTTCCCTTTTCTATCTCGCACTCCCACGTCCCCTCCCATCTGTATTTTATTTTTTTTATTCCACTCATCTGCCCTTTTTTATTTCTTTTATTTCTCTTTTTTCTTCCACACTGTCTTATTCAGCGAAAAAAACGTCAGAGTGCGCGTGGGACTCACACCCTCTAGGCTGCCACCCCCAACCTATAAGGCTGCGATGCCTCGTCCTGGTTACCTGTCCCCGAGCTCCTCATCCTAGTATATCTTGACCTTCTTTCGTTAATTTCCTCGTTTTTCCTTTCTTCCCTTTTTCCTATCTGTCATCCACCACAACACACTCTCATCTCTCACTCTACTCTCTTAAGAGCCTGCTTGTAATGAACTATATCTCGTCTGCTCTTCTTTACACCACCACCACCACCATCACAACTGAGTCACACGCTTTGCTACGACATCATCAACGAAATCCAAGTCAGTTCTCAAATCGACCATAAATCGTTCAGCAAAGAAACAATAAGCAACGGCTTCAACCCTTCCAGTGCTTCTTAAGCCTGTGTCGCTTTACAACCCCTTGTTGTTCCTCAACTCTTCTCACTTCTCACCATGTGCTACCAACTTGTTGAGTTGTACTCGGCCTGTCGCTGCCTCTACTACCAGCACGCCGTCGACAGATGCGCCTCCTTTGGTCGTAGAAACCACTCTGTGGAAAAGCGAATCATCTATGTTGGTTATGCTTGCGGCGCACACACCGGCCGGTCTGGCGAGTACACAGCAGCTAGCCACAGCTACTCCGATTCGGGGTACTACAGCGGATATTCTGGCAGTGCCAGCCGACGATGAAACTTGCTGTCTTCGGTAGCAGGTTGTCAGTCGCGGCCGGTCCCGCCTTTTATCCCTTTTGAACTGGACGACTGGATCTTTCGTCTATACTCTACGAACCCGTCTCACCTCACCTCTTCACTCGTTCTTTACGCCCGGCGGTCCGGAACCTTGCCATTCCCCGACTCGACAGTCAATGCGATAGCAGACCACCATTTCCACTCTGCGCCAAATTGAAACTCCTGGTATTTGTGTCTGCGGAAAGACAACTCAAACCCAAACTTTCCGTCGTCGCAATGCTATCCAAGACATGACTCTACGACACTATACACAAAACAGACTGTCACACTATGCTGACTGGCTCAGCAACAACCACCATCAACCACTCATCCACCTGTATTTTTTTCCAATCTAGAGAACACCATCAGTGGAACCTCTCCGTTATGAGCAACTCCTTTACAAAGGCGTTCTCATAACCTCCTCCGCCACACCATTCATCAAAAAGCTACTCAGCTGCTTTCGGATCTTAGACACCACCCCCCATCAGCCATTTGTTTGAGCGATCTTCGATTTGTACTTTAGCAAGCGTTTGCATGTTTTTTTGATTTTGCTTTTTCTGATTTTTTTTTCATATCTGTCTTTTTTTATTTCTTTGCGCATTTACGACCTGTTATTGCATAATGATTGGTATTGGACAAAACCTAATGCGTGGACTGGAAAAGGACGGATTTACCAGCGAATATTTAATGCGTTGCTCTGGAAGCAATGGGACACTTGGTTCTGACTGGCTCAGGACATTACAAACAAAGCATATAGATCAGGTACACCAAATGATTCCGCTAGATGCGCTCATGATACGTACCCTCAAAAACAAATTACACACTATTTCCTCTTCATCTCTCCCTGGTTCCCTGTACCATCGATTCGCAGTGTAAACCTCATTTGATTTAACTCATGAAAGCTATTTTTACTATTCAGCCTTAATCATCTACACGCCCTGCTGCCAGCAAATACAATCTCCGTGCGCAGAAGAGGGTAGCATTCATCTCATGTTTATTTTGCGGGTGCAGCCGTTTCGGAGAATATTCCACCACAGGTACGAATGTCCTCGTGTTCTGCGCATGCCTTATGACATCAACTGTGTGCTGCGGCGCAGGTCCAGGCTCCAGGCACATGGTCCTATTATGGTGGTGGTGTGCTCCCCACGCGGTGCTAAATTTAGTGTCTTTTCTAGGCTGCCCGCCCCACCACCCGTATGCCCCGGCTTGCTCTATGGCTGGAAGCAGTAAGGCAAACAAACATGGGGACGAGCCGTACTTGGCGTGGATTACGGGATTGGCAGAAGTATGGCGTGTGATATTCATAGTAATGGGCGTAATTAGTTGGAAACTGGGCAAGGTCAGGTCGCCGAATAACCAGCTGCGACAAAGGAACCTGGCACTGTTTGCCAGCTGGCAGACCTCGCCAGTTGGCCGCCAGCTGCAATTGCCAGGTGCGTGCGCCGGCTGTCGTCGCGCCTGCCTCGTTAATTCTCCAACGAACGCTCGTTTTCTAACCTATCCGTCCGTCTATCGAGGATAGGCTGTGGCGCAGCCCGCATCTCACTTAGCCTCTTCTACATCTTCCTAAGTAGCGATCAGACTTGCGTCTCGTTGCCATTATTAGCATCTCTATCATCCCGTGAAACCATCGATTTCGCCCTCTTCGACGTTGCTCAAAGCCTCACGCCCATTTAGCCAGCACCGTCCGATATGCTACACGCCCTGTATCCCGCATCACACGATTCTTGGGCCCAGAATGAGAATCATAGTGAGCCTCGGGTGCTTACTGACCATCTAGATCACACCCCGGCCCCGAGCGCTCGGCCCTCTATCTCAATTCCCCGACAGCTTGGTGGGTTCGGCGTAGGCAAACCCAAGGAAACTGAAGCAACAGACGAGAATCATCAGGAGTCGGACAGTTTTCTCCCGAAGCTCCCAGAACGAACATCATCTCTAGCCCTAAATGCTAGCCGAAAGATTACAACCTGGCCTTCAAAGCAGGACGCGTTGTATCGACTCCAGCGATATTCTGAGGCCTCGGAAGATGTTACTCCTAGTGTGGTAAAGCATCACAGTAGATTTGCAGATGGTGCTCCATCAATAGAGACCATATCCCTGGATAGCTTGCAGGCACCCCCAAACACCGCTCACTAGAGACGAGACGGTCCTGAATCTGACAATATTCCAGCAGTAACTTTGGCTGGCGATGGTAACCATAGTAGCCGATCGGCGGCAACTGCTGGGTGTAAGCAATCTATCATAATTGTAACCAATTGGGCCATGATATTAACTGTTCCGGTAGTCAATAAGAGAGAACATAGCTTAGCCGATGACGCCCTTGAGCATGTTTATGTTACAACAGAAGATCATCGACCATCCAACTGTCCGGTCGCTCCATATTCCGATATTCCATCATCTCGTACATCTAGCCTGGAGCGGGAAATGAACCAATCACGAAATGATACGACCAGGTTTGCCTCGCGCAGCTTGTCACTAGGGTCACTACTTGACTATGGACGCACCAAGAAATGGCTGCAGGATGTAATAAAGTATCCTGAAAGTTATTCAACAAAATTAACACGAAGACCATCTGCCTATAAGCCTTTGAATATGGAGAATGACGATGCTAGTGGCGACCTGCTGCCATCCGTCGATCAAATTAGGCTCGCGCGGCACGTCACTGGCTTTCCCAATGAAACTACGAGATCAGATTCGCATTTTGATGGGTTCCTTTTTCGAAAGGCAGTTGGTGATCTAGAGCGGCTGTTGACCGAAGCTGTTACTTTAACATCCTTGGCGCTTCCGCCCTCACACGCACGAGAACGATTCCAATATCCAGACTGCTCTTCAGATCAGTATAGTGATGATTCTCTGTCGGAAGATACGCAATCCATTATCTCAGACTCGTCCGACTACGGTGTCGCTTCTACATGCGGGTCACAGGACGATAGTGGTAGCTTTGAACCACGGCGTCATTTACCTGGGGTTTCTGATGGCATTGATGCACTCTGTTGGCACAAAAGCGGCCACCGGCCTATGGAAAACTCCCATGCTGAAAGTCAACACGTCACTTTTAAACTGCCCCCTGAGCACATGACGCAGCATGATGGTAATGGTGATGTGCGTGGTGATGGCACGCGGAAGTCCCGACGGCGTCCAACCGGCCAACATGCCAGCGCAGTCGCAGGGCCATCTGGCCTCAGAGAGCTACCTCATGATTATGACGTTAAAGATTCGCAAAGGCCACAAGATAGAGATACTCTTAGTCGCCGATCGAAACCCGATCCCGGTATCAGTCTGCACAAGAGATCCCACGTGAGCCTCCGCGGTCAAAGAGCTTTCAATCTTGCTCGGTCACGAAAGCGCCAGCCTATTGCCCGAGATTGGTCAACAGTACGCAAAAGATTCGTCGCAATAGTGGCTTGCTTAAGCACAGCCCTGATTGGGATCTTGGTTGGCATTTATGCTGGTCTGGTCCCATCAATCCAATATTACATCCTGGATGAAACGCATATTGCAGTACTGGGAAATATGGGTTTGTTCATTGCCATGGCGCTTCCCACATTTTTCTTATGGCCTCTGCCACTTCTTCATGGGAGGAAGCCCTATATCTTAACAAGTCTGGTCATGGCCATGCCGTTATTATTTCCCCAAGCGTTGGCAGTGAATTCGCAACGCTTAACAAACACTCTTTCTTGGAGGGGCATACTTCTCGCTAGCCGAACGCTAATGGGTGGATGCCTTGGGTTCGCCAGTATGAATTTTCATTCCATACTTATGGACCTCTTTGGCGTTTCTTTGATGAGCGTGAACCCTCATCAAGAGGTTGTAGATCAGTATGATGCCCGGCGACATGGTGGTGGAATGGGAGCTTGGCTTGGTATATGGACATGGTGCTGGATTGGGTCTCTGGCAACTGGGTTCTTTGTTGGAGCTGTGATTATTGACAATTACACTCCCGCCTGGGGATTTTATGTCAGCATCATCATTATTGCGGTCGTCCTGTTTCTAAATGTTGTTTGCCCAGAGACTCGGCGATCTGCATATCGACGATCAGTAGCCGAAGTTCGGACTGGAAAGGATATTTCGAGACGAGTGGCAAAGGGAGAAATTATGATGCATCGTACCAAAACAGGCCCTAGATGGTGGGGTCAAGAAGTATATCATGGCATTATACTGTCCTTTGAAATGCTCCGCCAACCCGGATTCCTGGTCATGGCGATTTATTCGGCCTGGATATATGCGCAAGTGTTGTTGCTCATTATACTTCTAGGATCGCTTGCCTCCAAATACTACGACCTACGGCCTACTATGGTCGGCTTGCTTGTGTTCATGATTGCCATTGGGGCTTTCCTAGCAGTTCCTTTTCAAAAGGCCAATCTATTTTCAAGGTCGCGCCTTGCGCAACTAAATACAAGCAGCGCAACATTGGACAGACGAGTGTCGTGGTCATCACACATGGTTCGCCGAACCGTCTTTACGATTTTGTTGCCTATTACCGGGATATGTTATGCAGCCGTTTCCTCGGGCCCATCACTACCCGTTGCGCTTCCTACATTGTTTGCGACAGCTTTTGGCTTCTTGTCGTGCCTGGCAATATCCGAGTGTAACGGCTTCATCTTTGAAGCATTTGACTGTTCTGACCTTTCGCCCGGAATGACTGGTCGTCAAAGAGGCTCCACTGCTCGACATCCCAAGAAGACCAATTACTCGTCATTTCCACGTGTGACGGCTGGGTTTGCGGTAATACATACATTCTCATTTATTCTTGCCGCTGCGTCTACTGCTCTGGGAGGCCGGGTTACGCGAACCCTCGGCCAACAGGTCTCTACAGGTGTCGTCGCTGGGATCTTGTTGATCTTGACAATCATTCTTTTAATGGTTCTCATTCGCTTTGTTGAAGTAAAAATTGTTCCGTCCTGCAAACTTGACGAGATGGACAAGATTATCGACATGCGCCGCAAATCTACACTGCGACGAACATCCATGCCAAACGACTTGCAGGCAGTGATTGAAGAGGAAAAGGCTTGGCGACCAGCAATGATTGGCAACCCGATTGGCAAGACACGACGTATGAACATATTTGAGCTTGGAAGTCTCACAAGATGGCAAGAGATCAGGAAGAAGAACAGGTTGATTGATTCTGGTGTCCATGCGCATTTGAACCGAACAGCGTGGAATCAAGGGCTTGACGCACTTGATGACCAGATGAGCGACTTCAAGCGGGATGCGCAGGAATTTTTACATATTCGAGGCAAAGGCAAGGGACATCGCCGCGTCAAGAGATCGAACGAGGACAGTGAAGATCTTGACTTTAGCTCCTACAGCATGTCCGATCAAGGGCCAGCCAAGAGCCGTAAGATACGCACACCACGGGACGGATCAATGAATCAGATTATTGATGGGGCTAGAGAGACACACGGTGTTTAGCACGTGAATAGCGTCTTTCAACGTGGATAAAGTCTTTTCAACCTATAAGTTCTTCTATTGTAGGGATACAAATACATTATACAATCATTTTCTTTCTTCTGCGCAAACATCCCAATGGACGAAACGAAACGTGTGACAAGGCCAGCCCCGTAAATAAAAATAAATCCAAATGCACGTTCTCGTATCAGTTGAAGTCTAAAATTAGATCTTGACCTCTTCTCATTGGCGTCACTCTAATACCAGGGCCTTGAGAAGGAGAGGAGTCGGTAGGAGTCGGAGTATATGGTGGCTGCTTATAATTGTGATTCTGGGGAGGTAATGCGGCTGGAACGGCCGGATAGTGATGGCTCTGTCGTTGCCAAAGAGCTTGTGACGTTGGCTGTCCATTAGGCGGATTCAGCATCATGTCTTGGGCCATCGATGGGCCACGACGCTTTTCCAACAGATTGTTTGGTGATGCTTGGCCAGAAGGATACTGCCAGACTGGGGGCCTCGCCATCTGTGGTGAGGGATACTTAGGCCCTGGACCGCGCACCATACGTTGCTGGGGTCTTCCGTGTGGGTTATGTGAGCCCTGCCCATTGTATGATGCTGCCAAGTTTATGTTTGGGCGGTGGCCTTGTTGGGCACCTCGTGGATACGGCATACCACTGGCATTAGGGCCCGGCCCGCGAGGCGGATGAATGGGGTACATTTGCCGAGGCTGGTGATTTGACGAGGGGAGACGACCTCTGTCGTCAGCTCTTGGCCCAGTAGATGGAGAGATGGCGCCCGATGAGGGTACCCGGAAAGGAGCTTGGGGGCGTACAATATCCTGTGGACTGTGAGGATATCGCTGCTGCTCTTCGGGGTGTACTTGGTTGATCTGGTACTGGATCGGGCGGCGAGGAGGAGGGATCATCTGGCCTGGTCGTGGGGTAGGTGAAGCGGTTGCTGCGCGTGCCGTGGTTGGGAAGATTGTAGCAGACATCTTGGGCTCTGAGAAGGGCGATTCGACGACGGGTGAGAGGTTGGCTTGGACAGGCTCAGGCGGTTGAGGGATGAAGCTTGTGATGCGGGCTTCGGAGCTGTTGGAGATGTAGGTGATGTTGGAGTCGTTGGATTGAACACGCTCCACGGGAGGTCGCTCGTTGATCTCTGTTTGAGATTGGACGTTTGGCTGCTCCTGTATTGTAGGATGTGACGTGCGTACGACGGGATCTGAAGCAGATCGTGGATTAGGGTGCGAGGAGAAGAGTGGCGAGGGCATCACCTTGCGCTGAGTGGGAGGAGGGGCGTTCACATTAATGGCTGCAGGAATCTTGGTCTGCTTTTGTGCTGGTACGGGAGGTATGTAAGTGGTCGCCTGTAGTTGAGGGTATTGGAGTGCCGCCTTAGGATGGGGTGTATGCGGTACGCGGGTAGCTGAGCCGACAATTGCGGTTTGTGCAAGCGATACTGTTGGCTCGACTGTCGAAGCAGGACTAGCGAGCTCTGCTATAGCAGGCTGGTCTACTGGGATGGCCGTCCAATTTGAAGTGCTTGTGGTAGAATCTGGGTATGGAGTAGGTGCGGTTTTAGCCTGGGTTGGTTGCTCAGCCTGCGCCGGTGCTGGTGCTGGTTGGTAGGTTTGTTGTGGAGGAGGAGATGCGTAGCTGAGTGTAGAGCCGTTGGTGTTTATCGGTCTAGTCTTGGGTATAATGAGTTTTGGTAGGGTTGGTGTCTTTTGCTGCAGAGACTGAGGCAATGGGGGAGTGTTTGGCTGCACCTCTAGAGCAAAGCTCGGCTCAACGGTGCGAATGGAAGGATGATGGAGGGGTGAGGCCATCTGCGTCGGCTGTCTCTGTGGAGGAGAGAGGCTGTGATGACTGGGGAGATCAGGTCTGTCAGGCAGAAGCTTAGAGACGGGCCTCTTAGGAGTTTGCTGGCCGTCTCCGGGAGATGTTGCGGTGGCAGCTCGTGTAGATGCAGTGCCGTTGCGAGAGGCAGGTGTGACAGCATACCCTATAGCACTCGGACGCCAGCTATCGCGATTGTAGGTTTTGTTTGGTGGGATTGGCGGGATGGCAGGGTGATCAAGGTGCGATGCCCAATGGTCCTTTTCGTTGGAGTTGGCAGAGCCACCACGCTCCACGCTATAGCCCCAGCTATCTCGCGATGGGATGTGGCTGCCTCGCTCTGCCTTGCGGCGCTGGCGGCAGTAATGGATGAGAAGTGCAATTATACCAATGAGGCATACTGCACCGACGATGCTGCCAATGGTTACGCCGGTGATTTGCGACTTGGAGAGCTTCGTAGGCTCTGAGATAGCCTCGGTGGGAGACGATGTTGGTGTTGTGACGGCGTCTGTTGAGCCTGAGCCTGGGGTCCTTGTAGAGGAAGAGAGGCTCGTAGCAAATGTAAGCTGGCTTGTCTCAGTAATGAGATCTTGAGAGGTCTTTGTTCGTGTAGCAGCGCCGGCTGGGAACGTCATGACGCCGCCTGTAGGAGCGAGCGCAAGCGTTGCGGTGATGACGCCGTGGGTTGGCTTGATAGCCCGGGGTACATTTTCGCAGATATGGTAAGCCTGGAAGACGACATTTTCTAGCGCAACTATTAGCTAACTTGTAAAAGAGAAAATACAAGGGGGGTTAAACGTACGGTTGACTTCTTGCTGAGAGCAGTACTTGACAGTCACCTCAGCATTGAGACACTGCATCAGCGCTTCGCCAAGAGTATACTCTGTGAGACCCGTTTGGGTACACAGAGTCTCCAGCGAGGGCTGGACATCTTTTTCAAAGTTGTAGTTGACTCGGAGGAACGACTCGGCGCATTCCTGGGCGCACTTGGGGACGATGGCAGTGACTTGCGACGGAGCGCGGATGGCGGAAACAGAAGCGTTAAAAACAGATAAAAGAGTGACTAGTTGGATAACGACATTTTGGCGGAAGGACATTCTATTTCTGTAGTGTCCTGAGGGGAATCAAAGATTTTTTGGTGTTTGCGTCGCGCGAGAGAAGGGCGGCTCGGCTTATATTGGCGGCGTACGAGATGTATCAGTGACGGGACATCTCAGAGTGTATATTTGATGCGATGGTTATTAATGGTTGTTCATTTTCCTGTTTTTAAAGAACAAAGAAGTAAAGCGTATCAGGTTTCATTCATTCACTGCGAACAGTCGTAGAAAAGATGAAGAAGTGAAAGTGAAGCACAGCTGGCTGTCTGCAATACGAAAGAAAAACTACAAGCGCCCAGCCATGATTCCCTCTGCACTTTCGGCACATACATCGCAGCCTCGTAGACGGGCGCTTCGAAGGCCAGCGGCAAGCAGACGTCCGTCGACGGGGACAAGATGCAACGGGCGCTATCATGACGGCCTGGGACTGGTTGAACATGTTGGGAAAACTGGGCTTGTTTCACGGGTCGCTGGACGAGGTCGCATCGCGGCGAGGCGCAGGCGCATTTGGTAGGCTGTGGTCTAACGGCGGCTAAGCGCCCGGGTGGATAGTGCTGATTGGGGGGATACAGCGGGCCAATGAAATCGAGGATGCGTTTTCGTTTTTCTGGGGGAGCTGGAGTGGATAGGATAGGCGATGACGGGATTTTTAGAACCGAGGAATAGATTGGTAGGAAGACGGCAGGAGAATTCTTGCAGAGGCAGGGTAGAGTGGTGATGTTGGAGGGTGTGGGTTGTGTGGATGGCGTGATAGGTTGCGGCGCGAGGGGAAATGTAGATGGGGATGGGTGGTGATTGGAAGGGATGGATTGGGTTTTAGGACGGATTATGTATTTGTTTGTGTAGTTTATGTAGTTGGTAATGTGAAGTGTAGATGTCGGGGTTGGCGTGTTTGGGTTGGTTTACCCGGGAGGTTGTGGCGATGGGAACTAGGAGGCTACATACATTTATTTAAAATATACAAATATAAGTAATAAATTCTGAACAATAATAGTAGCCTATCTGGTGTAGTTTGGGACTCAAATAATTTTTGGATGTCGAAAATCATACCCAGTGGTGCGATTTTGTGGTTCGTCTGTAAGCGCTGAAGCCTGCTCTAGCGAACAAAGACTATGTTAAGAGAATTAGTATAGAGCAATGTTGAAGCAGTATAGAAGCCTAGAATTGGTAAAATCCTATAAATAGTAGTTATTTAGTATCATGATTTTTTCGTGATATTCTTTTGTGTCTCCTCGAGTGACGAAGACCGCCCGTCCCTGTAAATGCATTGCTGACTCTCCGTCTTCATGCTGCTCGTTCACTGCGTTTAGAACTATTCAGTAAATATTATTAATTTCAATATTGCTTTCAACATTCTAATTTTAAATCGTTCCATATGTGGCCGATTAGTCGGTAGCTTTGCGTACTGTTGACGGCGATCGGCCGTGACAAGGCTGTAGAAACACACACCTGGCGCACCTGGCAGAAAAACGGGCTGGCAGCTGGCACACCTGGCAGCGAGAACCCACCCAACCAACCAACGTCTGTTCGCGACCAACGGCAGTTAAACTCACCACCATTCACATTGACATCGCCGCATCTGCTTCGCACACAAGCGACCTGAGAAGCAATGCCAATGCCTAAAGTAAGCCCATGGGTTGCCACCGCCTACCTCTGCGTCTTCGGCGCAATCGCCATGGGCGCATACGTCGCCTTTGTCGGCGCCATTGACTCGGCGGTCATCACCGTGGTCCTTGTCGTCATGACCACAACTACCTATGCGCTTAGCTTTGACAGCCGCAACTCGAAAAAGCTGCGAGATGGAAATAACAGATTGCCCCCACCGCCAGGCAACGTCTTGGAACAGATCCTGTATACGCTGCACTACCTCTACGACCAGGCTGGCTTTCTGGAACGCATGCGCGAAGTTTTCCCCGAGGGCATCTTTTCTCTCAAGTTGTCTGGCAAAAAACATGTCTTCATCCACAATCCAGAATTGTCAGCCGCACTGTTGAGCCATCCGCGCGACAACGTGGAAGCTGGCGGCTTTCGAACAGAGCTGCTGCAAGACGCGTTTGGCTTCACCAAGCGGGATGCCGAAAAGTACCACGTCGGGCGGGACTTGCTTGTAAAGCCCATGGCTACCCTGACCGCTGATGTCACGCTCAATAAGCTGCTGCAGGTCAATTTGGTCGAGATGAACCGCACCATTGCCGACATGGTCACCTTTAACTCGTCACCCGCTGACCAGATGGACTGGGAGGTTATGGCGGGTGCTGAGATTGTCGAGGACAAAGATGGCACCCAGTATGTCGAACTGGACTGGATGAAAATGATGACCAATTATATCGGCAGAACGGCCTCTACGGCTCTCTTTGGATCCGACTTTGTGTACAACTTTCCCGAGATTTGGTCGGATTTGGAAACTTTTGACAAGGGACTCAAGGACCTCACTGCCAAAAAGCCCTGGTGGATTCCGCAGCCAATGCGTCGGTTGGCTGCTCAGGCGCGCGCACGACTGCTTGACTATATGCGTGACTATGACGACGCCTTGGGCAAGCACCTGGCTGGCGAGGATGTTGGCGTCAAGTGGCAAGATATTGAACATACCCACGAAGTGAACAAGGCCAGATACAATGTCTACAAGACCCAAACGTTGGGGGTTGATGGCATGGCGTGTGCCAATCTGTCTTTCTTTTGGGGCGTCCACGCCAACACGAGCCCGCTGACCGCGTGGATGATATACGAAATCAGTCGCGACCCCGTCTTTCTAGAACAGATCCGCGAAGAGATTGCGCCATATGTTCAAATTTACGAAGAGGAAAACCACTTTGGCGATGCTGTCTGGCTGCCTCCACGCTTCCAGACGGTCGACCTGGACGGATTGCTGAAGAAGTGCGTCTTGCTCAAGGCGTCGTACATTGAAACGCTGCGACTCTACACAAGCTCATGGTCAACGCGCGAACTTACCCAGGACCTCTTTGTCAATATGAAGGCACAAACGCACCGGCCGTACATTCTGAGCAAGACTACTATTGCGCATGTGACGCAGGGCGTGCACCAGATGGATCCTGTATACTATGAAGATCCGGACGAGTGGCAGCCGGAGCGCCATATTAGCGTGTTGTTGCACCAGGACGGCAAGACGATCCGGGATGCGGGTATGGGCGTTTTGAAACCCTTTGGTACGTGGTGCTCATTTTGGGGGGAAACAAAAAGCTAACTGTAATGTATAGGTTCTGGAAGCTACACCTGCAAGGGCCGCAGTCTGGCGTTTAGAGAGATGATGCTCTATACTGCGATTATTATTACCGTGTACGATATCCGGCCACCGCAGGATGAGTCGTGGGTGCAGCCACTAGTGGCGGCTCGTGCTTCTACCAAGATGCCTACGAAGCCGCTGCTGGCGTGGATTAAGCGGCGCCAGTTGCCTAAGGGCAATAGTAGTAAAGCAGCGAAGTGAGAGAAGGTTTCGGGTGCAGGATGTACTATTACAATAGTTGTATATATGTGATGAGAAACAAAAACCAGAGATTTAAAAGATGTAGGGACAATTGCCGCCTTAATTCCAAGTCACGTCACTTGTGCACGTTGTCATGCAATTGCCCAGTCTAGCACCTCTGCTGCGCTTATCTAAACACTCTATCGTATATTTTACATCTCAATCCTCATCTAGCCGTGCGTCTAGAGATATTTATAATTATCGCACATTTATCTCCACGCGTTACGTGCAGCCAACCACAGCGTTCGACTTTCACATTCGTCATCACGTCATCCGGGGTCGGTGGTGGGCGATCCACAAACTCCAATTTCCATCCACCGCACCTTGAGGGTTACCTACAAACCAGTCGTCTCCGCCCATCGCCCAACATTCTCGACTCGTGTCTTTTTCTTTTATTTCTTCCAATTGCACTGCCCTTCTCTGCAACTTAGTGCCCAATTCGCAGCAGCTTCCGCACCTCCACGCGACCATCTCTTCGTCCAATTCTCGCAAACGCCTATCCAACAAACCCTCACGAGACACCCTTCACCCCGCCATCGGCCGCAAGGCCACCGCGTAAACAATGCTTCCGCGACTCCTCACGCGACCGTCGCTGGTCTGCTCGCGCTGTAGCCTCGTCCGCAACCAGTACCGCTCGCCATGGCTGCCGCAGCATCCGACGGCCACGACGTTTCAGCTGCTGCAGACGTCAGCGATCCGTAGACAGCAGGATGCGAAGAAGACCACAGCCACGACGACAACTACAACTACAAAAAAGCCGGTAGATCCCCTTGCGCTGCCGGAAAAGACGACCGCCGAGCAGCGCAAGGTCGACTGGGCCATTATGAAGGAAATGTCGCGGAATCTCTGGCCAAAGGATAACTTGGGCACTAAGCTGCGCGTGGGCCTTGCCGTGTCGCTGCTCATTGGTGCCAAGGTGCTGAATATCCAAGTACCGTTTTATTTCAAGAGCATCGTGGACGCTATGAATATTGATGTAGCGGCTGTAGGAGGCACGGCGACAACGATTGCAGGTGCTATGATTATCGCCTACGGCGCATCGAGGATAGGCGCCACGGTGTTCCAGGAATTCCGTAACGCCGTCTTTGCGTCGGTGGCCCAGTCGGCTATTCGTAAAGTCGCTGCCAACGTCTTCCATCACCTGCTGCGTCTAGACTTGAGCTTTCACCTGTCCAAGCAGACGGGCGGTCTGACCCGCGCCATTGACCGCGGTACCAAGGGCATTAGCTTCTTGCTGACAAGCATGGTCTTTCACATTGTCCCTACGGCGCTTGAGATTAGCATGGTCTGCGGCATTCTCACGTGGCAGTATGGTGTCAAGTTTGCGGCCGTCACGGCGCTGACCATGGTGGGATACACGGCGTTTACCATCTGGACGACAGCGTGGCGCACAAAGTTTCGCAGACAGGCCAATGCGGCAGACAACAAGGCGTCGACTGTCGCCGTGGACTCGCTCATCAACTACGAGGCTGTCAAGTACTTTAACAATGAAAAGTTCGAGGTTGCCCGCTACGACAAGGCCCTGCAGCAGTACGAGAAGAGCTCCATCAAGGTCGCCACGTCACTGGCCTTTCTCAACAGCGGCCAAAACATCATCTTCTCGTCCGCGCTCACGGCCATGATGTACTTTGCCGCCGAGGGTGTTGCACAGGGCACCATGACAGTTGGCGACCTCGTCATGGTCAACCAGCTCGTCTTCCAGTTGTCCGTGCCGCTCAACTTCTTGGGCTCTGTCTACCGTGAACTGCGCCAGTCGCTGCTCGACATGGAGACGCTGTTCAACCTGCAAAAAGTCAACGTCAGCATCGACGACAAGCCCGGCGCCAAGCCCCTTGCTCTGACCAAGGGCGGCGAGATTCGCTTCGAGAACGTCAACTTTGGATACCACCCCGAGCGCCCAATCTTACAAAACTGCACCCTGACCATCCCTGCCGGTAAAAAGGTGGCCATTGTCGGCCCCAGCGGGTGCGGCAAGTCGACGCTGCTGCGCCTGTTGTTCCGCTCGTACGATGTGGGCAGCGGCCGCATCTTGATTGACGACCAGGATATCCGCGATGTCACTGTCGATTCGCTGCGCAAGGCGATTGGTGTTGTTCCCCAAGATACGCCACTGTTCAATGACACGGTTGAGCATAATATCCGCTACGGCAGGATCGACGCCTCGCGCGAGGACGTTATTGCTGCAGCCAAGCGCGCCAAGATTCACGATACGATTGAAAAGTTCCCGGATGGCTACGACACGAAGGTGGGCGAGCGCGGTCTCATGATTTCTGGTGGCGAGAAGCAGCGTCTAGCGATGAGCAGATTGTTGCTCAAGGATCCTCCTCTGTTGTTCTTTGACGAGGCGACTAGTGCGCTGGATACGCATACGGAGCAGGCGCTCATGATGAACATTAATGGTATCTTGCGCGAAAAGGGCCGAACGAGCGTCTTTGTAGCGCATAGATTGCGCACGATTTTCGACTCGGATTTGATTATTGTGCTCAAGGAAGGCCATGTTGCGGAGATGGGCACGCATAGAGAGCTGATTGATCGTGGTGGTGTCTATTCTGAGCTCTGGAGTGGTGAGTCTGTGCATCTTTGATGATTTATGAATTTATGCTAACATTGTTTCGAAATAGCCCAGGAGACTCTGTTCAATGAAGACGGCACGGAGCGTGAGGAAAAAGAGGGTGAAGAGAAAAGCGGCAGGGCTGAGTAGACGCCAGGCACTATCAGCTTGCAACAAAGTAAACTTGTTTATCATATATTTGGGGAGAAAATACCTACGAATGGCGTCTTCTGTATACTTCTTTTATGATAACACCATCTTTTGTTCCCATCGCTGCACTAGAACCGTGTCCCTACCAAGACGTACACAAAAGCAAACAAAATAGTGTTGTTTAGAAGCATTATGGAACGAAGGATCCACCAGCTGCTTTACAAGGCTACTATTACTTACTCGGAGACTGACACCCTGTTCATCAGATGGCGTCGGCGAGACCCCGCCCAAGCGGATCTGATTAGATTATCATTCGACCAGCACCATGACTAGCGCCGCCACAAACCCTGCGACGAGGGCTTCTGTATGGCGGAAAAATTTCAAGCTTCTTTCAAGGGTGGGTATTAGCGTCCGTTGAAGAATTCTTGTCTGTCGCGTGCGGGAATATAAACGGCTGTCAGTCCCATCCTCGTTTTGGGTCACAGCACCTTCATGGCTAGTGTTCACTCCCATGACAAGTAGTGAAAACCACAACGCAGCCATGGATACTGAAAAGACTGCAGCAGCAGCACCTCCTGCTGCAGGATCGCAAGTGGGCCATGTCGTCCAGTCGCAGGGCGTCACCCGCATGGAAGCCGTATACCGCGAAGCCAAGACGAACCGCAAGACGTTTTACCTTGTCGGCGCCTCAGTACTTGTCTGTGCATGGGCGTACTCGCTCGACTCAGCTACCACGGGCTCATACAGCATTTACGTGTCAGCCTACTTTAACCAGCACAGTTCGGTGCTTGCAACGCTCTCAATTGCCACGAGTATCATTGGCGCCGTGAGCAAGCCATTCATCGCCAAGATCTCGGATATTACGTCCCGGCCGTACACGTACATCCTGGCGCTCTTCTTCTACACGGTGGGCTACATTGTTGCCGCAACATCGCAGAGTATCTCGGCGTATGTTGTCGGCGAGGTGTTTGTTGCGATTGGCAGCGCGGGCCTCGACTTGACGAATGATATCATCGTGGCGGATTTGACGCCGCTTGAGTGGCGCGGGTTTGTGAGCTCGTTGCTCTCGACGCCGTTTTTGATTAATACTTGGTTTGCAGGCGACATTGTGCATGCCATGTCTACGGGCAACAAGTGGAGATGGTGCGTTTTGAAAACTACTATTTTGAAAATGATTATGTTTTGCTGACTTGGCCGTAGGGGCTACGGAATGTTTGCCATCATCATGCCTGTGGCCATTAGTCCGGCTATTGCTGTGCTCATCTACTTGGACAGAAAGGCACGCAAGAATGGCATCGTCAACATGGCTTCGAGCAATGCAGAGCGTCGTGCGGCCAAGGAACTTGCTGAGGCAGAAGGACGCGTAGCGCCTCATGGTACGATTGTAGCCTCAGCTGCAAAGTGGGATGCTACGTGGACGGAGAAACTGGTTCACAATCTTCATGAGATTGATGCTTTTGGGCTGCTACTTCTCGGCTTTGGATGGTCGCTGCTTCTTTTGCCGTTTTCGCTCAAGACCTACGCAGAGCATGGGTGGAGGAACCAGTCGCTTATTGCCATGATGGTTGTTGGTGGTGTTTTGCTGATTGCCTACGTCGTGTACGAAATCAAGTGGGCAAAGATGCCTAGTGCGCCGCGCAGACTGGTGTTTAATAAGACATTCATCATGGCCATCATTATCGATGCCTTTTACTTTGGTGAGTACCCTTAGAAACAGGATACAGAATGTATGCACAATGTGCTAACAATGTGCTAACAGTGGACTAGTTGCTGGAAACATGAGAGGACTCTACTGGAGCTCATATGTCTACGTCGCGAAGCCATGGACGGAGCAGCAATGGGTGTACTACGGAAACGCCTTAACACTGGCTCTCTGTTTCTTTGGTCCCATTGCTGGTCTTTTGCAGAGATGGACACACAGATACAAGACCATCCAGCTGGCTGGCCTGTGTCTCAAGATCATTGGTATGGGTATTCTCCTGGACGGCCACCGCGCAACCGACAACACCGCAGCCATGTCCATCGCCATGGTGTTAATCGGTGCTGGTGGCGCCATGTCAGTCGTTGGATCCCGTGTTGCCTCACAGGCATCTGTTCCTCATCAAGATGTTGCCCTCGCTATTTCGCTACTTTCGCTCTGGTCGAAGATTGGCAGTGCTATTGGAAGCGCCATTGTCGCTGTCATCTGGTCGTCCCAAATGCCGGTGCAACTGCGTGAACACCTTCCCAAAACTGTCACAAACAAGGACGTCACCAAATACTTTGGAAACATTCGCTCTATCCGCACGCTGCCGTTTGACAGCCCCATCCGACAGGGCGCCATTGAAGCTTACCGACAGACACTGTACTATTGCATCGCCCCAGCGCTGGGATTAGCGTTTATTCCACTGATTGCAGCCTGCTTCCAGACCGACTATTACCTTGGAAAGAAACAGAATGCAGTCACCAATGTTGGAAACGACGGTGTGGCGGTAGTTGATGAAGAGGTGCAGAACGCCCAAGAAAGCAGACCAGCGACGCGCAAGGAAGCGTTTTTGAAGTTTTGGGCTGGAAGGTAGTGCTTCCGCAGACAAACAAATGACAAGTATATTTAAATGATCACAAACTCAATGCTGTCGTAATTGCTACGAGGAGTAGACGGCTACAGCAGCAGCCCCTACTCAATCACCTTGCTGACTTCAATCTCATCCTGTGTCTATTGTTAGCTGTGTCATCATCAGAGACATTTTGCTCTATAGAATTGCTTACCCCAAATTCACCAGGAATAATAAGTCCTGGAATGGCCCAAGTTTCCAGCTTTGGGTGCTTTCTCACGTATTCTCTGTACTCCGGAGCGCCTGGTCGCAGAACATTGTCTGCCACAACATGGCTGCCCTTCTTGAGCAGCTCCAAAGATTCCACGACTTGTAGATCAATGTGATAAATCTCCTCCATATGGTCAAGGAAGAGCATGTCAATGCTGCTAAGCTTGCCCTCCTGCTTCAGTCTAGCAAGCGAGTCTGCGGCCTTACCAGTTACGACCTTGACCACGTCTGAAAGCCCAGCGAGATCTACAAGATTCATGGCAATGCCTGCAAACAAGGGATCGGCCTCCAGACTCCAAAAGACAGGCTTAGCATCGCTGGAAGCCGCATCCTTGTGTGCTTCCTTCAGGGCCTTGCCAAATAGAATGGCCGAGTAGCCCACGTAGCCACCCAGCTCAACAAACACGGTCGGCTTTGTCTCTGCAATGAGAGCAGCCACTTTCTGACCCTTGTCCGGGCCAATGTTGATTAGAAAGTCACTCTGAGCCGCAAACTCGTCCATGGCAGCACAGATGACGTCAGGGTTGTTGCGCATGCTGGGGAATTGGGGGTGTTCGTAGATCCAACGGATCAACGTCGCTTCTCGGCCGTCATTCCACTAATAAAATACACGGTTAGCAAGCTACCCAGCAGAGACAGCTAGTGACATACTTCTACATAGGCATCTCCCATCTCTTCAAGCTTCCTCATAGAGGGATACTTGTGGTAAAGCTTGCGGCGTTCTTCCATGGCGATTGAGTGTGTTGGGGGATGTGTGAGAGGCAAATGAGGGAGGGGTGAGAATGAGACGAGCCTTGGGGAAACCGGAACCTATTTATACTTGATTTCCAGGGCGGGGCATTCTTTTGGTCATCTGTTCATGATCCAATCACATTCGTCTAGGCTGCCACCGGATCCTTCCTTATTCGGGCCAAAACAGGCTGCTGATGAATGAGCTGGCACACTGCTCCGCGCGGAGAAAGCCATGAGGTAATACGAGCTAATTTTATGATTGGTAATTATTAATTGGTCCGTCTGACTTGTTTTAGCGACAAAATTGGAATTGGTCTGTGGTTTTGGAGGAGTGAGGAAGTCGAAAAAGGCGAGTGACGAGTGACGTTCCATCCTCTTGCACCTGTAGAGTCATGTCCAATGACAGTAACTGCAATAATGTGAAATCAAAACAAATTAGTAGTTGGTCTTCAGCTTCTAACACATTTGCACCTTGGAATAAGGTGCATTTCATTGTTGTAGGGGGCAGTGACGGATGGAAGGGTAGCTTGCCCTAATGGCGTTTTCTCATAAAACGAGTTGCAGTCTACAAAGGCGATTAAAAAGGTGTCGGATAGATCAGGAAATATGTAACATGCTACTCCGCATCTTTTAAATATAAATATAACTATCCGCTATGTACAGCGAAAATCTTGGGGTGGTGAATGTCGAAAACTCACAGATGAAGCGCACAACTTTGTCGCACTGAATTGGACACTTGCAAAATACAGCTCCAAAAGACGTTCAAATCTGTTAGCAATGGAGTGTTAGTGTTCCTAGACATAAAATATAATTTTATACTATTTGTCCTTGATAGCGAATACCAATGGTTGGTTATTTAGCTGTCCTGCTGTGTCTCGAACTGTGAAAGGCAATCCAATTTGGTCGTTGTCTATTGTAGTTCAATAGAAAAGAAATTCTCAGAGCTCTGTATGCTGAGTCTCCTCCTCTCCAACCACGCTAAGCAATGACATGACAAACTGCATCATCTTGGTCGCTGTCTGAATACTATCGGGGTGACCATCGCCAAGTTCCGCAATTTGTATGGGATGTAGCAAAGCTAGCATAGCTAAAGCAGCCTCCACTTGCCCTAGGTATTCATAAAGCGCTGCCAGAATCTTGAGGGTGGAAGACATAGGAATGCCCGGAATGACGAGCCCCTGCAACTGGGCTTCAAGCACCTGCACGAAGGCCTTGACAGCCTCGTCACCATTTTCGAGCTCAAGATACGTCTCCCCGAGGAGGAACATGGAGCGAGCTATTTCGGCATGTGTTTCACCGAGAACCTCACGCCTCACCTTGATTAGCTCGGATATTGTCTCCTCTGCATCATTGTACTTTTCGGAAAAGAACTGGGTATTTGATAGAAAGTCCAGACTGTGAATAGTATCTTGGTGTTGATAACCAAGCTTCTCATTTCGTAACTGGTATGCTTTTGATTACCACTCTTCTGCACTGACGTATAATTTGAGCCGATAATACTGAGATCCGAGGGCATGCATAGATGTGATGGTGTGCGGCTCTTCACCTCGATTATTCTTTTGTTGCATTGCTATCCCTTCCACATACAACTCTTCTGCTTTTTCAGACTCTCCAAGCTCACAATATGCTGATGCAAGGTTTAATAGTGTGTTGCCGATTTGGCTATCACTACCATCACCCATGTCACGCAGTAAGACTAGTAGGGCAGACCACTGCACTATTGCTTCGTTATGCTGGCCTAGGATATTTTGTGAATGCCCTAACACGGTCATGAAAGGGAGGGTATCTTCCATACGAATGTCAGGACTCGTCTGCATCATGGGGAGTCCCTTTGATAGCATGTCTTTGGCCTCAACGTATTGGTCATTATAATAATACATTGAGCCCAGTCGTGCCATTGTTAAAATAATCTCAGCATCATCTATACGCAAGTATGTCTGCCGCATGACTAGAAGCTCTTCTGTAATCTTGATGGCGTCTTTGGTTCTCTTGGCCTCAAAATACATGATAGAAAGAGCTTCCAGAGATTTGTGCAGTTGGATGTTAGATAGCCCGAGCGTGACGCGCTCTATTTCAATTGCTTTTCACCAAAATTGTTTCTGCTTCATCGAACTTGTTCAAAGAAAAATAGATCTGCCCAAGAAGAGGCATTAATGCTGTAGTATCCGGATCCGTATCACCAAAGACATCTCCTCGTGCCGCGAGGGCCTTTTGAATAATCTCCTCTGCTTCGGCATACTTGCCAGCTGCTTGATACATGGTCCCAAGCATGGCTGGAGCCTTGATTGTACGAGGGTCTTTGTCGCCGACTCTTTCTTTATATAGCGCTATGGTAGAGAGAGTAAAGTTTTCTGCTTCTTCAGGTTTGCCGAGGGCGTGTCCAGCAACAGCCCAGTCAGTAAAATGCTCAAAGCTGGCGATATCATCTATCATCGGACTATCCATGATGTATTGAACAACATCTGCCAGAAGCACCTCAGCTTCATCCAACTCTTTTGAGCCAGAATCTGCTTTTGCAAGATTGGCCATGGTTTGGATAGTGTATGGGTGGCTCTCACCAAGAGCCTCTTTCTGAGATGCGAGTACCGCTATTAAAAGCTCTTTGGCTTCGGTATATCTTCCCTGGTAGAAATAGGAGAGCCCAATGTGAGATTTGACTTTGATGGTTTCCATATCCTCCAAGCGAAGCTTGATAGAATTTATAAACTCTGTTGAGAACTGCCTCAAATTCTATCACTCGGCGCCGATCGAGGAAGAAGATGGCTATTCTCATCAACAGCCCATCGAATCAGACTCTTTGTCGCAGAGTCCTGCCCAATCTGTGGCTCGTAATGCATGTGTAAGATAACACTCACAGAGAGACATGGTTTCTTTGGATACCTCTGGAAATGGAAACAGGATGGACATGATGTCAAGAGCTGCACCTGCAAAATGCTTCTCGAGCTCCCTTCCACTCTGTTGGCTGCAAATTAAAAATATATGGGATATCCGTTAAAGCAGTTATAGCAGTAACAAATCGCTTGTTCAAGAATGAATCGTTTCTCACAGTATTCTAGGATTGTCATGCAGCGCGCTGAAAGCACTAGACTGATACATCATCGTGTATAATAGAAGATGGGCTTCCCTACGAAACGTAACTGAGGTGTGCGGCCTAGCTTCTCAACTGTAGTCTTGCTCTCCCTTGGCAGCCCTGTGAATTGAGTTGAGGGATTCTGTTGGAGCAAATTGTATAAAACGACTGTTCTCTTATCACAAGGAACGTTTCCAGTAGCACAACGTTAACCTAATATTTATGTGTATGCTTATTTCTTATACAAAGTTATTCTACGGTCCCCTCTTCTATGCCCTCTGCTTTTCATATTCTTAGGACTGCCTTGCCAAAATTGTTGCCCACAAGCATGTCGACAAAGCCCTGCGCAGCGTGGTCAATACCCTCAGTGTAATGCAGCTTGGGTGTAAAGGAGCCGTTTGAAATCCACTCAGCGATTGCCTCATAGTGCTCCTTAGCGTAGGCGGGCCCGTATTCAGGGTCGCTGACGACAAAACCACGGTAGTTTAGTTGCTTCGCGATAATGTTGCCCAAGTTCTTAATGCGATAGCGCTCTTCAGGAGCCTTGTTGTACTCGCCAATCTATTTCAAGATGTTTGTTAGTATACAATTAAATCAAATATGCTGCACGTATTTATTTGGAAACTTGCCATGCCACAACCAACAATGCGGCCTTTGACTTTCAAAGCGTTGAGGGCGGCATCGAGTTGTTCACCACCAACATTGTCGTAGTAGATATCAATGCCCTCTGGGGCTAAGCGCTTGAGAGCATCTTCGGCCGTTTCTTCTTTGTAGTTGAAGCCGCCATCGAAGCCAATGTCATTGAGAATAAAGTCAAGCTTCTCTTGGCTGCCAACGGAGCCAATGACCGTAAGGCCTTCGTGCTTGGCAATCTGCGCGACGACCTGGCCCACAGCGCCAGCGGCCGAGCTGATGAAGATGGTCTCGCCCTTCTTGGGTTGGCCAATCTTGTATAAACTCGACCACGCGCTCAGGCCTGGCATACCCAGGGGACCAAGAAAAATGCCCTCATCGAGGTTGAGTGGATTGTGAATCTTGGTCACGGTCTGAATCCCGGGCTTCGATACCTCAGCATATTGGGCAATGGGGAAGATGCCCTTGACCAGCTCGCCCTCGACAAAGTCAGGGCTGTTGCTTTTGAGCACCTTGGCGATGCCATAGTTGACCACGGGGCTGTCAATATCAAAGGCCCCTGTGTAAGACTGCGTCGTCTGCGCTCGCATACGCCCGCGCAGATACGGATCGTATGAGGAGCGCAAAATGGCAATTAGAATACCATCTTTAGGCGCGGTATCTAGCGAGATAGGGCGGTTCTCAACAACGAGATCTTGGCCCGCGATGGGCATGCCATTAGGCACTTGTTTGAAGATGAGCGTCTTGTTTGGTGTAGACATTGTGTAGGGACGTGATTCTAGATGGTCTTTAGATAGATTCCATTGTAATATTCAACGGCACTGGCATTATTATTTATACTATTTATTTCTACTATAGCTACTCTCTAATGTCGAACTGGCCGGAGTTTAAGTCCGCATTTCTTTGTCAGTGTTGCAACAAGATTCCGCTCCGGTGTTAAATCGCCGTAGAATGAAGTTAGTAATTGGTGATTGGTAATTGTCATCGCGCGGTAGTGGACGGAGCACTAGCGTTGCCAGTATTAGCGCCACGCGTGGTCGCTAAAGGCGAGAGGTTAAATTAGCTCAATCAGGAAAATAGCCAAATTGGGAAGCCCTATGGCGCAACGTCGAGCGATTCTTCTATAAGCGTTGGCTTTCCCACTCTACGTCTTCTGGAATCATACCGGAAAATTGGGCCGCCATAAACGCCGGCCGGCGTATATGGATATCGGCGCCCGGATTTAAGTAAAGTACATATATTCTATTATTTTCCATAAGCTTCTCCTTCTTCTTTTCAAATATGGATTATTTTAATTATAATTATACACTGTACAGTCTCCAATAAAGGAATAATACCTTACAGCAGCAATAGGGGGGGGGGGGGGGGGAAGCGAAACACCATGGTCAAGATCGCAATTGCAGGCGCAAGCTCTGGTTAGTCGCATGGACCGCTCACAAACAGCAACAAGTCCAAATTTTTGACTTTAAATGACTACAGGGCTGGGCCGTGAAGTACTTGATACACTTGTTGGCACTGGTAAACATGAGATTCTTGTTCTCGGCCGAGGGGTGAGTTATCTAACCAAAGAGCAGTTCGTCGCGCAAGGTCTGACGTCGATACATCTTCTGTTTAGGATTCTTCAAATAGTGGTGTCTTGCCAGGCGTCATAAGGATACAAACTGCATTTGATAACCACACAGAGCTTGTTACTCTACTTGATGATGTCCACACTCTGCTATGTTTCTGGAGCCCTGCCAAAGACCCTGGCGCGGAGGCCCAGAAACGTCTTGTCAATGCCGCCATCGACGCCGGTGTAAGGCGCTTTGCACCTAGCTCTTGGTCAACGTGAGAGAATGCGCTACCATAAAGGATATCATGTATGCTAACTAGATTGCTACAGTGGTTCAAAGCTTGAGGAATGTCTTGACGTATATCCGTTTTACGCGAGCAAGTTGGCAATGCTAGACTACTTGCAAGAGATTAATAAAGATAAAAAGGTACGTTTTTCTCTGAGAATTTCTCTCATCATTTTAAAGCACGTCTAATATGCCAAGGTTATCGAGTATACCTCTTTTGAAGTGGGAATGTTCATGGAATTCTTAGCGTATCCTCAACAAACGACAAAGCACATTTCTCCTATCCCCGGTATTGTTCTACTCAACGATAAGAGAATAATCGCTCTCGAGGGTCACTTGGATGATGCTCTCACCTTCACCTCGGTCGAAGACATTGCTGGCGTCGTGGCTGTAGCGGTTGAATACCAAGGGGAGTGGCCCGCGGTTGGTGGTATCAATGGTGATCGACTCAGTCTCCGTAGTATTCAAAGGATAGCCGAAAAGCTATACGGTGGGTATATTTGTTCTCATTGTTGCTGCATCTTGACTAACAAAATCACAGGAACACCATTTAGAGTCGACATTCTCCAACAGTCCGACGTCGAAGCAGGCGTCGTCAAATTGGACGACTTGCCTGCTATAGAACATGCAGCCATTCCCAAAGAAAAAAGAGCACAATTTGCAAAGCTCGCTACACGCGGTCTATTGTTATCAGCTGCACGTGGTGCTTGGACAGTGACGGATGATTGGAATAAGCTTCTTTCAAACTACAAATTTACTAGCGTTGAGGACTTTGTAGCCAGATTAATAAAGCCGGCAGATGCCAACTAAAGACAATGATATAATGTGGTAAATTGAAAGATCAAAGCTAGAATACCTGATTTTAGCGTGATATTTTAAAAGGAAGCTATTTTATTTTAAATATATATATAACTTATATATATGTCCAAGATAACTATTATGACAGATTAGGTGTTATATACTCGCAGGTAGAGTGCTGTATTTTGCTTGACGTTGGAGCGTGTGTTTTTTGCCTATTTTAATTTCTGATCAGCATGATTCTCTCGAGTGGCGCTAGTGCGTCACCTTAAGCCGTACACTAGCAATTAGCTGGCGTCAGACTCACACACAATATGTCATGCAGGGTGGAAATCTACTGTTGACTCACTTGCGCATCATGGCGGGGTCTCTAGATTGACTCACAACAACTGTCCCAATCGGGTAAAAATTCAAAAAGAATACTGGCAAAAGTACCACAGTGTGGAGAGGCAGACAAAACATCAGAAAAAAGTCTCCAGTGTCAGCGAACAAGTATAAAGAAGAGCTCTGAACCCTCAATCGAAGCTCAATTGCTCAGCATCACAACCCACAATGACCACCTTTACTCCCTTCACCGTGGACCAAGCTCCCCAAATCGCCTCTTATGCCGCTGGCGATGAGAAGCATCGGTATATCGAGATCGGTCAGACCGAGCACCGTCTGCATCTCATCAACTTTTGGCAAATCCGTCCCGGCGCTCGTGTGCTTGAGATTGGCTGCGGTCAGGGCACCACCACCTCAGTGTTGGCGCATATTGTTGGCCCCGACGGTCACGTCGATGCCGTTGATCCTGCTAGCCCTGACTATGGCTGCCCGCTTACACTGGGCCAGGCTCAGGCTCATCTGAGTGGCACAGAGATTGGCCCTCGCATTACCTGGCACAATGAGGATCCCGTGGAATTCCTTGCCAGCGGCGATGCCAAGTGGGATTACGTGGTGTTTGCCCATTGCATCTGGTACTTTGACTCTCCGGAGATTCTGGAGAAGATGCTCTCTGCACTAAAGGGCCGCGCCACCAACCTTGTCATTGCAGAATACGCTCTCAAGGCAACGAAGCGTGATGCCGAGGCGCACGTCTTGGCTGCGATTGCCCGTGCGTCATTGGAGGCGCACAACAAGGCTAGGGAGGCCAACATTCGCTGCCTCCTCGGACCCAATGCTATTCGTGAGAGCGCCGAAAAGACTGGATGGGCTTTCCAGGGCGATGATAATGTTGTTCCGGACGTTGACCTGCTCGATGGAAGCTGGGAGGTCGGAGATGTCAAGGGCAAGCACTTTGTCGAGGAAATCGATCAGCATATCCAAGATGACAGGGTCAAGACTATGCTCAAGTCGGCCCGGGATGCTGTCATTGCAGCTGCTGCCAAGGTCGAGGCCAAGAGACCTCTTACAATGGACGTGTGGATTTCCAAATTTAACTAATTAAGATAAAATGTGTATAAATGGCTTCTTTTCTAGTCGTGCAAATGAACTGATACAAATTATTGCGACTAGTTGTTACGCAGCGCGTTCTCCGTATCGTGGTAAGGCTTCTGACCAAAGATTCTCCAGACGTCGGATGCCATCAGTTCCTCCTTTTTCTCCTTGGATTTGAAAAGGAAGCTACTGTCACCGTCGCCGAAAAAGGTGACGGAACGGTCCAAGCTAAGCGTGAGCTTGATGAAGCCCTCCATCCAATGCGGCTTATACATCTTCGCTGGTTTCTTTCCACATACGGCCGCTATAACATTCATACCAGCAATGGTTCCCTGTTCTCGAGCAGAACGGCCGTTGGGCTGGGGCGTGCCGGTGGCAGCAACATCGCCAATGGCGTAAATGTTTGGAAGGCTTGGATCTGCAATCTGTAGGGTGGGAAGCACCTTGATGCCGTCTGTAGAAACTGCATTGGGTGCGATGGACTCGAGAATCGATGAATTTGGCTTTTGGCCTGTGCAATTGACCAAAAACTCGCAATCGAGGGTGCGTCCAGACTTGAGCTTGATAGTGCCTTCAGTGTTTTCGCTAATGACACGGTCGTTGAGGATGACGTCCACGCCTAGCTGATCGAGTCCTTCCTGTGCAATATCTTGGAGTCGTTTTCCAAAACGATGCATGACGGCGTCGCGAGAATGAACAAGAGTAACACGCTTGTCTGCGTACTTGCTCTTTGCATCAGTTGCCACTTCAACTCCGGCCGCACCGCCGCCTACCACCACCAAAGATTTCGCAGCCTCGATACTGTTTTGCATCTGCTGAAGCGCCAGAATACCCTGTGTCTTGTCGGTACAGTTGACGCGTGAGGGCAAGCCATGAGCGACACCAGCCCCCGTAGCAATGACTAGATAGTCATATGAAATATCTTCGTTGCTCCCCTCCAGCTTCACTGTGTCGTGCGTGATGCTCTGGACACGAGCCTGGATCCAGGAGATGGCTCCTTTGGGAGCAGAAATATATTTACCGTACGGAACAAACGCCTTGTGTTCGTGGCCTTTGGCAACACAGAATCTTGGTAGGACCCAAGTAAACTGGAAGTGGCTGTTTGGCTCAATGACAACGACGCGGTAGTCGGAGTTGTAGGGAAGCAGGGTAGCGATGACCTTGGCGGCGTGATGGCCAGCAAATGAAGCCCCGACAACAACAATCGTACGGTGTCTCTCTGCTGCAGATTTGGATCCATGAATACGTGACTGGAAACGAATCACCAAGGCTTTGAGAGCGAGTCCGATTTCTCGTAGTATCAGCGAACCGATGACGGCGACAAAGTCTCCTATAAGACGAAGCTTGGTTGGCATTTTGGGTGTAGAGATTTCGCAGAGCGAGGATGAATAACGTGTCTTGGATACGAGTTTGTAGACTGAGTGTTTGAGGGAATAAACGTACAAGTTTATATGCGGCTGAGGGTTGCAATTGGCCGTTACGAATATCCCGAGCACGCCGCTTAACCCCGAGGTCCGCACGACGGAGCTGAAAGATTATCTGATTGATCTGATAAGGGGTGCCGCATCAGCCACAGCTGGCACTTGACACTTGACAGCTACCCATTGCCAGCTGCGCGGTGTGGCTAATGCAAATGGTATTTTTGTTTGTATTTTGTCCGCGTTTCTTCTTTGACATCTTCATCTCCAAAATGGCAAGCAGCCATGGCATCTCTCCACACTAGGCAGGCTCTTGGAAGCGCCTCTCGAACGATGGAACAATGCGGTCGCTAACTCTACCATAATCACAAACGATTTCCGATGAAAAAGATGACAAACTACAATGATACGCGAAACAACGATTGGTGTAAGATGGCCATGCCCTGATATACACCACAACGAAACAAATCACCCAGATGCTATTCCAGAGTTAACATACGCTAGTCGCCAGTCTCCATGTCGATCCATGAGCAGCCATCGCCCGGCTACAGCGGTCGCACCCCTCTGCACCGGCCGACCTAACGCTATTAGTGCGCGACCCTTCCACACAACCATAAATTTAAGCTGGCATTAAGTGTTGGGCGTTAAATTTCCCCCAGTTTTCCGCCACGTCTCCCCACTGTCTCTGCTGGGTTGGCCGACCGGCCGGCAGGGGAGCTGCATCATCCACATACGTGTGGTGTCTTTATCCCGTCGCTCCAAAATAGGCGTCAACGGTGATCCATGGTCTGCTTCAGCATCGTTGAAGACCAACACATTCATTCATCTGATAGAAGAGAAACGATGTATGCAACAGCGAAATGTTCAAAAAACAAGAGCCTCCGTCCTCCTAAATTGGATATGACGCCCGATGCACGAGTAATATGACCGAGGCTGAACAAACGAACGTGAAATGAGTCCACACCAGCCGTCAGACCCACGGATTCTCACTGGTCCGCCGGTCTATTGCAACCGGAATCCACTTAGGAGGCGTCTGAAGGCTGCATGGCGCCCAACACCGTTAGTCCTCCGCCGTCTGGTGTGGGCGTGGGTGTGCAGACCTTGGGGACACAGAAACACCCAGAGCCTGATGGTTGCATATGTTGGTGCTCCTTTTTCTGTGGGAATGAATGCACGCCTGCTTAATTTGATTTTGTCATCTACAGTACGGATACTTTGTCGCATTTCATCCCTTTTCATCGCATCGCTATATTCTGTGGCAATTTGAGGTTTGGCTGTCGATCCCCGTTGCCCTTCAATGTTCCCGTCGCATTCCCATCACAACTGAGACGCTAGACCCCCGCGGCGTGTTGTCACCATGGGTGTTTGGGGGGTTCTAGAAAAGTCGTCGCGACTTGGGCTGCGACACTTGAACCAACGGCGCAATAGAGTTGCTGCTGTTGTTTTCTTTGTTATTCTTTTTAGTCTTTTTCAAAGCACAACTTTAATAGATCGTCGTAAAGTCGAATTACCACAGATCCCCTACGCTGAAGCGAAGCCCGAAGACTTTACCCCAGCGACACAGACCAGCAAGTTTAATCCGGTCGTTTTGAACGGAGGTCAGAAGACAACAAAGGAGCTTTGCGATACATTCCCACGCCATATCGCCCGTCGTATACAACCAGTTCTCAGAATTGGCCACGCTGACGTGGGCGGTGCCACACTCAAGGGACAGTTTGAAAGCTCCAGCGCCTGCTTTACGTCAAGCGAGCTGCTCGTCTTTTCTGACTGGGAAGATGAGGTCTACGGCCATAAATCCATCGATGTTCTGGCTAGGGTGTCCAGCTGGTACTACAATTCGAAGCGGTTTAGGCACTGGAAGATTTACGATGCCATGAAGGCCGCAGATGCAAAAGGTCAATTAGCGAAGGCGATGAAGGAGAAACGATTCGACGGGTGGAAGATTGACAAATTCAAGTTCTTACCTAGCATCGAACAAGCTTGGAAATTAAAGCCTAACAAAGACTTTTATGTCTTTTATGAGACAGATACGTGAGTTTGAGTTCGGGTCGTCATGGTTTGTATGGCAGTACTGACGACTTGTATTTTGCGGACAGATATGTTTTTTGGGACAACATGTATCGGTACCTCGAGACTTTAGATCCAGACTCCAAAATATACATGGGATCCCCTTCCCCCGGCCGACGCGACCCGCACCGTAAAGGTCAGAAAATATGGTTTGCCAATGGTGGACCAGGCTACATTCTCAGTCGTGGCGCGATGAAGGCACTGCTCGGAGGCCGCACATCCATGGTTCGAAATCCGATAAGCAGCAAGTATAGCCAATTGCTTAATGATGACGAATGCTGTGGTGATAGCGTCCTTGGATGGGTGCTGTGGGAGGCCGGTGTCCAGCTACAGGGCATATGGCCCATGTTCACGCCGTACTCTGCCAACGAGATCCCCTACATCGAGAAGGTCTGGTGTTATCCAATTTTGACGCTACACAAGACTATACCAGAGGATATGGGCGACTTATTCAACTGGGAGTTTGCCAATCGGAACGAATCCGTAAGTGGATGGTATCATGAAGGGCGTAAGAGATGACGACTAACTATAGACGCAGCGTCCTCTTCTTTATTCCGACACGTGGGACTTTTACAAGCCCGGAAGTGTGGCGCGCAAACCCAATTGGTTTGGTGGCCATCGTGGCCATTTTGATCCGAAAAAAGGAGTCAAAGTGAAATCTGCGGACGAATGCCAAGCAGCCTGTATAAGCGAAGAGCGGTGCTTACAATGGACGTGGCAGGATCTTGGGTTTCAGCGCTGCATTCTTATGGATATCATTGTTTACGGTAACGATGCACCAGAGGCCGTCGAAAAGCACGGCTTCTTCAAGAAGCGAGTCAACTATACAACAGGTTGGATTCAAGACCGCAACAAGCGAGTACGGGATGGCCTGACTTGTGGCCCGGCGAAATGGACTGGACCAAGCATGACGCGCATATATTAACATACGGAACATATAAAATACCCAGGGAGGCAACTTTGACTAAACATTGGCACGGCGCACTTATTCAATTATACAACAATATCAAATAACTTTTCGACGTCTTTACACACGTCCAGCTTCTCAGTATGTGTACCTAAAGTACGGGTTTTCTTTATCGGTAAGGTCCTGGAATGCGAACTTGGCCCACTCTGCCTCGTCTACTAGGACAAGGTCCTTTTGCGCGTTAGCTCGGCGCAGGACGGCATACAACGCTACAGATGCCGCAATACATATGCAGTAGCAAATGATGAGCCCAGACCATAGGGCAGGATAGTGCTGTGCCTTTGTTTCTGACCACACCAATTGCGGCCCAATAATATTACCAACACAGTAAGCGATAAAGGTAGTGGCAGACATGAAGCTCTTCTTGGTGTTGCCCGCGACGTTTGACATGGCAACTGTGATGATCAGAACGGCTGTTCCACCAAAACAGCCGGTGAGGGTGTATCCAACCACTGGTGTCGCAGCGTGGTAAGTCCACTCGCTCTTCCAGATCATAGCGCAACCGGCGATGACAGGTAAACAGGTCAGAATCAGCATGAGGATGCGAATATTCTTGTAGTGAGAGCCAAGATATCCCACAATAAGAATAGTGAAAAAGCACAGCGCGCCAAGTGGAAACTGCAAGAGAATTGACTGGAGACTGTTCCAGCCAAACGTTGATACGATCAGCGGGCCGAATCCACTGACTGCACCATTCATACAATAAGTTGATGCCATCATGATGAAGATGAGCCACATCTTGATATCCAGGATCGACTCCTTGACCTGCGACCACTTGAACTGTGAGCAATGAACGCCCGTCTGGCCGCGTCGCAGACGCTCAACAGCCGTCTCCCGCTCCTCTTTCGACAGGAACCAAGCGGTAACAGGCGACGTGGGCACAAAGTAGCAGAAGACACCAAAGATTAAGGTCAAAGCGCCGGCCAGTAGGTAGATGTACTGCCATCGTTTCAAGCCGCCGCCCTGGATCTGCGCAAAACCATAGTTGAGCGCGCCACCAATAACGGTAAAAGACCCCGTGGCGCTGAACCACCAACTCTGGCGCAGGGCCTGTTCCTCCTGTGTATAGTACCCGGAAACAATGCACATGAATGCTGTGGGGATGATGCTTTCGAGGAATCCCAGGAAGAAGCGCTGGATGTATAGACCCTGGTACGAGGTGACTGCAGCCGTGAGCATGCAAGTGCCAGCCCAGATCACAACGACAGTTCCAAGAACACGACCAACAGGGAGCCGCTGGAGGATGAATGTCAAGGGATAGAGTCCAGCAAGCATGCCGAAGTAAAACAGCGATGTGGCCCAGCTCAGGCGCCGCGACGACGGGTTAGGCGGCGGTGTGATGAGCTCGAGGTCCTGCGTCATACCAAAGAGGGCTGCGCCGCCGAGGATTGCCTTGTCGTAGTATACAAGGCCATCTAGCACATGTTAGCGATGATCGTGTCAATTGGGTAGACGAAAAAAAGACTTGCATCCTACAATCATAGCAGGCATGAAGAACAAATCCAGCTTGCGCAGAACACGCTTGGCCACCACGGGATCAATTGGTCGCTCCTGATCGCCAGCAAGGGCAATTGCCTCATCCGCCTCCTTGTTTCTGACCATTTTTTATGTTCCGGTCAATCGAACAGATGATAATGCAGCCTAACAAACTCGGGGCGAAATGCAATGGAATGCGCGATTATCGCCAGATCAGATGGTTTTGCAAAAGATCAGATTGCGGCAGTTGCAACGCAAAAATGATCTTCACAACGCATGCATGCAAGCAAGTACAAAAAAAAAGAAGCGCTCTTTTTGGCTAAAATTGCGAACGCCAGCCAGCGCACGCAGAGATAGCGCGACATCGGGCCAACGGTGCGGCTTGTTGGGAACGCAAGCGGGTCACGGCCAGTGGCGGCACATGCAATGCAATGCAATATATCTTTTTATTAATTATTTATCTTTTTGGGGGTTATCTAAATATCGCGGGATGGAAAGAGTACCTGCCATGCAGATCCTAAACAGAAAGAACGCAAATTGACGCCAAAGTATGTGGATGGTGTGATGTTACAAATTGGTTTTCGTCGCGTGCTGCCGACAGTGCGACAACGGATGGCTGCAGGAAACTTTACAGCTTGGAGGGGGCCTCGTTGGTGTTCTTGATCTCAACAAGGAGCTTGCCAGAGTTGATACCCTTGTAGAGATCGACAAGGCCCTGTTCGGCAACCTTGAGGCCACCAGTAAGGACGTGCTCAGTCTTCTTGAGCTTGCCCTCCTTGATCCAGCCAGAGAGCTCGCGACGGGCCTGGACGAACATCTTGGCGTGGTCGAAGATGATGAAGCCCTGCATCTTGATGCGCATGGTGATGACACGGCCAATGTTGCGGGGGCCGATGGGCTTGTCGGTGTTGTACTGGCTAATCATGCCGCACATGACGAAGCGAGCATGCTCCTTGGCCTGCTTGAGGGCAAGCTCGAGAGTCTCGCCACCGACGTTGTCAAAGTAGACATCGATGAAGCCCTTGGTGGCCTCGGTGAACTTGCGCGCATAGTCGGCGTCCTTGTAGTTGAGGGCAGCGTCAAGACCGAGCTCGTCAACGAGCCACTTGGCCTTGTCGTCAGAGCCGCAGATACCGACGACACGGGCACCCTTGAGCTTGGCAATCTGAGCGGCAACACTGCCGGTAGCACCAGCAGCGCCGGAAACAACGACGAGCTCACCAGGCTTGGGGTCGCCAATCTGGGTCATGCCGTACCAGGCAGTCAGGCCAGTCATGCCGAGAGCAGAGAGGATGTCCTTGGGGTCCTGGAGACCAGGGTATGCGTCGGCTGTGGTGAACTTGCCGTCGCGGAGGATGGCGTACTCGGTCCAGCCGAGATCCGAGTAGACGTAGTCGCCAACCTTGGCCTTTTCGGACTTGGAGGCGAGGACGCGGCAAGCAGAGGCGCCGCGCATGACTTCGCCAATGGCGACGGGGGGAACGTACGAGCGGACATCTAAAAGCAAATGTTAGCAATTGCATGAGAGGACATGATTATCAAAAAGAATACATACCGTTCAGCCACGAGCGCATGGCAGGATCGAGGGAGAGGTACAGAGCCTCAACAAGAATCTCGCCATCCTTGAGGTCGGCAGCGGTGGGCGCGGGGGTGACCTTTTGGTGGAAGGTCTGGCCGGGGATGATGTCGCCCGTGGGACGCTCGGCGAGGACAATGGAGAGGTTATCGCGAGGCATTGTAAGTTTGATGAGTTGGCTACTGTGAGAAAGCTACTGTGTGAATGGATCTTTCAAAAAACAAAAACATCCAAGAGGAAATGGTAACCGCGGGGTATTTAAAGCCCATCGGGGTTCATCAGTTTTTCCACCTACCTCTATGCAACTTAACCCCGCCTCCCAGTGGTAGAAGCTTCTTCCGCTAGTGCGGGTAAGCTACGTACAGTAAGTTAGTGGCTTTCACTCAGCTAGAAGCTTCAAGTGCCGCAAGTAAAAAAATCAGATCGATTTCTAATACAGTACAGCGGAGTTGGGGCGCTAAGAAAACGCCGTGGTGGTGCGCCGAAAGAGGAGCCTGCGCCGGGCGGTGATGCGCCGTGAGTGCGCCGGACGCGGTGGCCTAATCGGGCAATGGCGCCGGCGAGCCTACAGGGGGGTTGGTGTCCTGAAACAAGCACTGGAGTCCACTGAAGTAGTAGAGATACAGGAGGGTTTGGTTACAGCGAGCTACAGTGCATTGGGCGCAGAAAATAGCGGGGCCGTGCCGAGGTTTGGCGGGACGGAGATTTCGAAAGGCGTGCGCCGGAGATTTCTGTTTTTTCTACTATAACAAAGAGGGAATCGAAGAAGGTCTCGATGAATAATGCACAACGGTTATTCATTCGATACGGATAGGTCCAGGGGTATACGGAGATTGGATCGAGATATGTCCGGATTGGTCAGCTCTATTGTTGCGGAGTTGAAGAAAGGTTTGCTGGGAAAGGGTTGATGATTTTCTTGCTATACAGCTCTATGCCCATCTACTGCAGGTTACATACAGCACGTTACAACACGCCTGTGAACTAGCGTAGCGTAGTGGGTGGTGCTATTGAGGGACTAACTTATATAGTATCCAGATTACTACACGGTGTTATGGGAGAACGACGACAGCGCTACTCCATTCTTTGGAGGTAGCATACATTTACATGCCGTCTATTAGTCAAATATAAATACAAGGCAATAAATGACATCTTGGCAGCACGCAGCCTGCCTGATCGAGCGGTGCCTGAATCGGAACATGCGGGGGTCATCAATCAAGACGCTTAGCCCGAAGCTAACCTGTAAGAAAGCGCAAACACGACAAGACGTGCGACTAATATGAAAAAAATGAATTGATAACGTCACGAAAATTTATAGGCAATATATAAAGGTCCCAGCGCACATTGGGATATTAAATTGTAATACATATGCGAAAAAGGGCTTACACCTAGTGCAGCAATCCACAGAACCGGTAATCCCCATCACTAGACAGGTACAACCTTTATGATGACGCGATCCTTGACATTTGGCTTAGGGACACGCAACCTGAAAGTGATGGGGCCCTTGTATGTGTTCATCGGAGGGCCTTCTAAGTAGTAATCCTCTAGATACGACATAGTATTAGCACATACGATTGGAGATTCCCTTGAGTTGACTCTACTCCCTAATTAACTCTCTTTTTTCTTTTATCCTCTGATATCACACATTTTATACCTCGTACCATATTGAACCGAGACGGTAAAGGCAACACTATGTCAGGACTACATGTATTATTCTTCGCCTTGTGCATTGCGCTGGAGCACTATCTATATGGGCCGTGGATATAGATATGCTACAGCGTGGTTTTTGACTACAAACCGCCTCTTTCGCTCTTAAATAATACAAATAGGCGCCAAGAGCTGCGTGCTTGAAAGAAAAAAAATTCAACTACAGAAATTAATCTTCACGAAGGTATACTTACACAGTAAGATATAATAAAATATTATTTCTTGAAATACGTCAACATGTACACACTGCCTCATCGATCTGGAGCGGGCTGATTGATTACCCGCGTGTAAACGGTTGGGCGCATTGTAGCGTGAATCCTGCCTATTCAGCCCCAAGTAACAAAACAGCCCTACTTAACATTTTCTGTCGCTGCTGTCGTTGAAGACGCTACGTATTCATCCAATCGTCACATCCGATAGACGACGATATCAGCCACGCCATCATCGTCAAGATGCGCCTCTCCCTCCTCGTTGCTATCGCTATGGCTGTCATAACACCCTGCCTGGCAGCTCGTCCGCCACCAAAGCTCGACGACGAGCTTCTCAAGGCTTTGCCCTTTGACGCAGACTGGGGAGCTGCAGCTCGCGTCTACGAAATGCCATGCCCAACCTGCCGTATCGGCCCAAGTGACCCTCTCGACAATCTGCCCCTCACTGGTCCCCAACCTGGCGAAGTGTTCCCCGAGAGCATCCTGCGGGTCAACATCTCGGTTGAGCAGACCAACGACCAGGATGCCTTATTGATCAACGGGTGCCAGTTCTACCCATCGCCCACGCTATGCAGTTCCAGCACCGTCCGTGCCGACCAGTATGTCAAGTCGGAGTGCGGGACGTGGGAGTACAAGGCGAGCCCGTATACGGCGTTTAGATCGACAAGAGAGCATACGAATGACAATGTGCTTGGCCGGGGTATCGCCGCCAATGTCTTTCGCCTGTGGATTGGCCGTGTCGCCACCAGGTTGATTAAGCCAGAGCCTGAGATCAATGTTCGCTTGCTCATCTTTCCAAATGGCCAGTTGCTCATTGCGACGGGTGCTGCCTATGTGCCAACGTCGCCAAAATCGACTTGTGAGTCACAGCCACCGCAGCCACAGTCGTCGTGCAATAGTACGACATCACCCAATGCTACCGGCGTATGTGCTGTTGTGCCCTCTCATCCGCCTGGTATTAATGGTGCGGCGAGCGCCGTAGTAGGGACGCTGGGAGCTTTGGTGGTCTTGGTGTGGGGAGGTGTGTATTTCTTTTAGAGACGGTGGATAGAGAAATGTCTTCTTATATTGCTAGTTGTAATATTTTATAAATCCTGGTGTGTATATACGACTTTTTGATTCCCCTACGTAGCCATTTTATACACTGTTATAGGTCGTAGGTTTATAGTGAGTGCCTCGGCGCGGAGCAGCTACCCCGCCATAATGAGGTCATGGGAACTCTGCCGTATGCATTGGTACTATTTGCAGCTTTTTTAAAATTACAAATTTCGCAAGAAAGAAAATTAGCATAGAAGATTTACTTTGACAGTAGTCCTTTCTACAGACTACATACAGCGACTGCTGCTGGCGGATGCTGGTGTCGGATGCAGAAGTTCCGATACGGAGGAGGAGAAGGAGGGGCGTCGGCTATTACAAGGCCTTGGCTGCAACGCGTCTTCTCTTTTTATTCATCTACATCTACACTTGGTCATATTTACTCATAAACCTCAATTCTCATCATGACTCAGCGACCTTCATTTGACTCTCTCCCACTGCGCAAAGATGGTCCCCCAGGCAATGCTTGGGGCCTGTTTGGCGAAAATGACCAATGCGGCATGCTCAACCTCCTCACGCCAGCTAACACGGCGGCAGCAGCAAAAGAAATCCAAGACGGCACGCGTGTCAGTACCGACTGGTTCTTGGAGGGCATGCTGAAGCCAGGATTCAACCGCCAGCCCTTGATCCAGAACATCATCCACAAAGCCCCGCGTACTGTCAACGACGATGTATTGACGCTCAATACGCAGAGCAGCTCACAGTGGGACGGCTTTAGACACTTTGGATACCAGGCAGACAAGCTCTTCTTCAACGGAACGACACAGGAGCAGATTACGAGCTCCGATATTAACGGCACCCATGGTAGGTTGCCCCAATACATCCGTCGTTACTCATGGCTAAGATTTTGTTAGTATGGGTGGAAAAGGGAGGCATTGTCGGTAGAGGCGTGCTCCTCGATTATGCTGCCTGGGCAGATGCCAACAATATCCCAATTGAACCGTTCAAGACCACACCAATCCCACTGTCAGCTCTTCTTAAAGTGGCAGAGAGCCAGGGCACAACGTTCCGTAGCGGTGACATTCTCTTTGTCCGCACCGGCTGGAATCGCGCCTACAAAGCTCTCACCGACGAAGAAAAGCTCAACCTCGGCAAAGTCATCCCCACAACCTCCATCGGCGTCCAATCATCAGAAGAGACGCTGCGCTGGATCTGGGAGAACGAGTTTGCGGCTGTTGCTGGCGATCAGCCTGCCTTTGAGGCCTGGCCAATTCAAACCCCGCCCTTTTGGATGCACGAATGGCTCCTTGCAGGCTGGGGACTACCAATTGGTGAACTATTTGACTTGGAGAACTTGAGTCAAGAGTGCAAGGCAAAGAATAGATATACCTTCTTCTTTTCTAGCGTGCCACTCAAGATTAGAGGCGGCGTTGCAAGCCCACCGAACGGAGTAGCCATCTTTTAGCCGTATTCTTGTGTATATATTATTTATTCAGTATCTTTTTCGTATGAGTTAAACAATGCCAGCGTCCTTTTCAATCTCCTCCTTGCTAAATGACCACTTGTCCTGCAGCTCCTTGTCGCACGACATGGCAATAGTATCTCGGGACCACCACTCACCCCAGCTGGTCAGGAAGATGCGGTCTGGGTCCTCAGGGAAGTCGTTGCGCTTGAGAACTTCAATGATGCTCTTGGCACCTGTGGCAACGGACTTTGCATCGGGCATATCCTCCGATATTTTGAAGTTGCTGTAGCGGCCAAGGCCGGTGTTTGGGATTAGGCCAGGGGATACTGCCACTACATCACACTGGCCTTTGAGCTCGCGGCGCCACCAGTGCGCACCGAGGAGCTGAGTGAACTTGCTGGCGCTGTAGATGTCAAAATGGCTTGCGGATGACTTATCCTTCAATGTCTCCTCAATCTTGCTAGCGTCGGGGACATTGCGGATCGCGCCAGAGGACACGATGGCAATGCGCGAGTGAGACGCGACGAGCTTCTCACGGAGAAGGTGAATGAGATAGTGCTGGGCTGCAGACGCGAGTTAGACTGAGTACATGTGCCTTCTAGGTAGAATGGGAATCTACATACCGACATGGTTGACTACCATGGACTCACACCATTTGCCGCCGTAGGGAGTAGGCTCGGAGGCATTCTTAATAAGAGCAGCGTTGAGCAGCAGATAGTCAATGCCAGTGGTGCCCAAGTCCTGGAGGACCTTTTGCGCAAAGGTCTTGGTGCCCTTTACATCAGTAAGGTCCAGCGGCAGCAGCGTGACGGGGTTAGCTGTGCGGTCAAAGTCGACGGCCTTGAGGGCCTCGTCTGTAGAAGCGGTGTTTCTAACGCCGAGAATGAATCGGTATGGTTGCGACTCAGCGAGCAGCTGCTTAAGTGCTTCAAAGCCCTGTATGGTGTTAGCTATGAGAGTGCGCCAAGTCAAGAGAGGGGCAGCATACCAAGCCGGATGAGAGGCCGGTGGCGACAATGGTCTTGATGGCTGCCATTTTGGATGGAATCTGTAGTAGCAAGTTGATGATGAAAAGCTTTAGTTCGCGGGGACCTTGGTAATTTTATGCTTTGGAGTTGACGCGGTGGAGAATTGCGGATGGCCGATTTATAATCCAACTTGGCCTAGCGGACAGTGGTGATGACGTTACGGAGATAGCGGGCTTATAGAGATACTGCGTTCGGGTCGTCGCTAGAGCGGAACGGGTTAATCTTGAGCCACTGGGAAATATCTGAGACGTCGAAATAATGAGTTCAAGGACGAAATATGTAGACGATGGAAGGTGTTGATTTTAAAATAATTAATTGACAGCTGGCGGTGGTGATGACGCAGTGTAACACAACTGGCGCAGCTGGTGCAGTTGGCAGCATCTCGTGTACCACAGACTTGATAAAACACACCTTGGTCAGGTCTTCTCCCACCCAGATGCATCATTAATGTATTCACAAATTGATATTATAATTAGTAATAAGCTAATTAATATTGCCTGACTCTTCTTCCATAGCACGCTGCAGCTGTCTCTTTAACAGCCAGATTGGACAGTCAGTGCCAACATTGAGCGTCTCGTCCAGCAAAAGAATCGCATTGCACCGCGCAACTACAAGACCACGCTGAATTGTCGGGTTAGAATAGCCTGCATGCTTGCCGATACGCATAGCAGCCACGGCGCCAATAGAAATCGCTATACCACCAATGTCAACACTAGGATCCCCGATTTGGGCGTCGCTCCAGTCAATGATGCCTGTGAGACGGCCTGTGTCGGGGTTGACAAAAATATGCTCGCCTTTCAGGTCTGCATGTTGGACTATATGCACATGTTCGTCAGGAGACGTCTCGTCTATTTGCAATAATTGCCCCAATTTCGAGTGAGGTGGCCACTGCTCCTTGGAAATCAGCCGCTCCCACGCAACGAGCGCATCACGTCGTAGTTGCGGCATATCAATAGGGTCCTCATCCAGGAGTTTCAAAGCTCTTGCCCCATCGAGCGACATCTTCCGTAATAGGTAAAGTACCGATACAAGCCCCTCTTCTGTATGCTGGCTGACCGCTTCGGGGACTTCTTCTACCGATATGCCGCGGATCTTGTCATACACTCCAAACGCAACGCCTTTGTGTTGCCCAGTGACGAGGCACGACGGTATGATTCTCTGGTCTAGACCGTTTCTTGTTGCTGTAGATCTCAACGACTCTAGGAGCAAGGCCTCTCTTTGTAAGAGCTCATACCCGTCTTCATCGTCCCGCACACGTACGACATAGGAGTCGTTGATAATCCACGCTTGGTGCTCGCCTCCCTCACCGGAACGTTGCAGAGACGTCACAGAGGGTATGAAGTTGCATTGTAGCTCGATGAGAGCCCGGACCTCGTCATCTGAAAACATCCTTGATAGTTTGGCGATCGATGGTGTTGACTACAGGAGGAAGTAGTGGGGATCATTGGTGACAGTACGTTGCCAAAATGTAGCCGAGCTCGTGCAGAAATCCGCGAGTGTCACTATGAGTCGACACATACAACAATATCAGCTATTGCACTATCCCATCATTGAATGAATAAATCTCATGCAGATTATACATATAGACGATGTCTGTCGTTGCTCATGATGTAGAAGCAACCACCAGCGTCAACCACAGCATTTCTCGAACACAGACGTATCCCATTCTTACCTCCAAGCAGTTAAAATATTTCTCTTCGATCTCATCCCCAGAAAGTGGTCAAACTAGCACACATGCTAATTACTAAACAAGTGTAACTTTAATGTGAGGCCCGCTGCCGTCGGATCCCAACCCCCGCGCATATTGCGGATCCGACGCCGTCGCAAATGCCAGCCCACAGCCGCGGATAGGAGCCAAGCCAACACATCATACAGCCGTATACATAACCTTAACAGGCCCCTAGCAAAAAAGAAAGGATACATCATATTGTCAAATTGTGGGGTATTCTCGTTATATATCGTTACATGTCCAACGCTGAAAAAGGAAATGCAAACTCAAACTGCTATCCGAACAAATCGCTCCTAGAAAATGACCAGCCCATGCATCTGAGTATATCGAATCTCAGCCCAATTGACAGGCTTACTAGTCGGTGTAGCCTCGTCTCTCGCCTTCCACACCTTTTCCATCAGCACTCGCGCATTATACACATACCCAAACCCGCACGTCCGCTCCATTACCAACAGTCGGTCGCTCACAATGAGCCGGTCTTCATACGAACTGCACGCCCCACCAGCCATAGTTAGCGGATAAATCAACGATGTTTCCAAAGGACTACCGTATCGAATACGCTGGATGGCGTCGAGGATGCCGCGGACGAGGCCAGGGATAGGAGGTACTAGCTCATACCCCTCAACAATCTGATGGAGGCGCAGACGAATGGCATACTCATATGCCACTGTGGCAAACAAGACATCCTTTTCTAACGGCGTCTCAGGCTTCCTCTCCATGGTTCGGCGGCGGTTATGCGCTGACCAGATGTTGATCTCGTCTTCTGCCTGTGCAGCATCTTTTCGGAAAGCAGCTTCCGACTCTGCGTCCACACGAGTTGCTCGATTGCTGGCAATCTCGTTGATACGATCGATGAGATCAAATAGTTGTTTGGGTACACCGTATAATGCAGAGTCTTCTTCGTCAGGGGCCGCTGTCAGCCGCTCCATGGTTTCCGCAGCTTCTTCCTCTTCCGCAAGAAGAGGTGGCTTACATGTGGATGTGGTAGAGGATGAATCGAGGAACCGGGCGAGTCGAACAAGAAACTTGGAGCGGCCGCTCATTTTGTCGCCTTGTTGATTCTTAAGATTGAGCAACAGCTTCTTGGCGCCGGCAAGATGCAGCTTCCATCCCTCGCTAGTGCCGTCGAAAAAGTCGGACATACAGAGCAGCAAGCTACCTACTAGGGCAATATCGCCGTTACCCTTTTCAATATCAGGCAGCATCTTGGCCAGCGCCATGGTAGCTTTGCTTTGGTGATAGATGCCGCGGGCTGCTAGCTGGGGCTGTGTCCTGCGCCAATGATTGGCAGAAAGAGCCAGCAGACAGTGCAGTACCATGTCGTTGGAGGAAGCCATGGGCAGTAGGTGGTGGTTGTAAGGATTGTTTACAGAGGTTTTGCGAGAGAGAAGCCCCGAAACAATAGTCGAGTAGTGATTCATGAGGGCGCGGTCTTCGGGGCTTCCCAGCTGTGGCATAATCTGCGGCATATATACCGACAGTGACGATGCGTCCTCGTATAGCCACCAGTCTGTCTTTTGTTGCACCTTGTATAATGCAAAACTTCCAGTGTCTGAAGACATCTTACTGTCGCTCTGGCGAGTGTCTGACTGGCTAGAGTCCCACATGAGGTCTTCTTCAGGAACAGGCGTCCACTTGGGTTCCGATGGCTCCATCTTCGGGCTCTTGCGCACCGGCAGACTGGCTGAATTCTGGCCATGTGAAGGTGATAAAGATCCTGTAGAGGAGCCCTTGGACGAGCCAGATGATATAGTTGCACTTGAGGACGTCGGTGGCCGTTGTCGCTTCGGTGGCTTTTCTTCTGGCCACACACATTCGAGACAAAGACGTCGGCAGTCGCCGCATCTCGGCTTTACTTCATCGCATTTCTTCTTTCGCTTCTTGCACACTGCACATCCTGTCTGTACTCGTCTAATCTGCGCCTTGGGCAAGCTTCCCGCAAAGTCCTGCGCAGATCCGGGGTCGTCGGTGCGCGAGCGGCATGGCAGCTGAAGACGGGTGCAGCGGGCACAGGGAATCTCGCCATTGCACGCCTGCTTAATCTGCGCACAGCGGAAGCATACTGGGTTCGAGTCGTTGCCCATTGTGATAATCGGGTTGGTCGGGTTTGAGGGGTAGAAGTGCTGGAATGGTTGCGCAGCAAAGGTTGTCTCCGGACCGGCAGATAAATCGTCCGACCCTAGCTGAAAGGGGCACCGTCGGCCAGGCTAGCTTCCCCTTTTGCTATATTCGTCGATGACAAGTTAACAAAATCGCCAACAGTGCGCTGCTTACAGATGGTTCGATGTCGCAAGTCGGCCGGAGTTCGTGGATCAAGACGAAACTCGCAAGATTTGACTCCGATGAATTCCCCGGGGATGCCGTTGTGGATGGACTCTGTCCCCACTAGCGTTGAATGGGGAGCTACAGCAAGACATTGGGGGCGGCTTATGCGATTGTTAAAATAAACTGTAAGTTAATTGAATTCGATTGGAAAATTCTGAGATCTTAGGTTTTGTTATGTGTGTGTAGACCAGACCTGCAGCTGGCAGCTGCGCAACACCTGGCACAGCTGCCCGCACAAGTCAACGACGTAGCTGCCGCTTCCAATAGTTAGGGACGTCGTCTGGTCATTCTTCAATCTTCATCAGCGTACAATTTTCCACTGCGGTTCGTACCCCTTCCATAAATGTCAATATAGAATATTCAACGTTTGGAACAACATATAATTTCATTCGGCTTGCTTTACGCCACAATTCCAACCGACGGCGCCACACTATAGACATGATTCAACCGTCGGGAAGCAGTACCCTGGAGCTGCAAAAGCAGATACAAACACTGGACTACAGCGTGGTCATGCAATCACTGTTGTTTATCTTATATGTCTTGTGAATTATTCAGAATCGGTGGGTGTCTGCGGATTTCCAAGTTGCATAAATGGTGTTGTTGTCGGTTCTGCAACATGCCGTGGATCGAAGCATAGTGGGAACCAAAGTCGACTGCCCGCCCGTATTCCAAACAAAATCTCTACACAACGACAGACATTATCAAAGCGTAGACTCAGCCCTGAGAAAAGATTTGTCAGACCAGTTCCCGCAATTTGCTTGATAGACCAACGCTTATCTCTGTTAATGAAGAATGTGGCGATATTGGCTCAGCAGGCGGCGTCTTTGGCATTTCACCCATGGAATTGCGGAAACTGTCATACCCGGGGAACAGCTATGACCGAGGTTTATACATTTCCCACAAAAGACAGTCCAGCATAGACGGCGTCACCGGGGTTGTCATAGGGGGTGCCCGAATCTCTCCGCCACGCTCCGTTACAGCTCTTGGCGATGCATGTTCCGTTGGCTTCTCCTCTGTGTTCTTCTAGAAGAACAGCCGAAACGGGCAATAGCCAACACAGCTGCTGCTGGGCACACGATCTAAGCCAAGACGCCCCAAACCTCCATCAGCTAACCGAATTGCTTATCCGCCCAGGTCTCACTACGGCAAAGTCCCTCCAATCGCGCCAGGACAGCACAGCACAGCCTCCTCCTTCAAACCAGCCAGTGTCGTAAAGAAAGGGATACGGGATGGTACAAAAGGTGGAGCTAGCCTCAAGAGGTATGGTGAGCCTCACGAGGCGGCTTTGACGTTGGATCACCTCGCCCAACAACGCTACGGCACCGCCTGGGCCAATCATGCAGGGCGGCCGGTGGTAACGTGAGAATAGGGAAATTCGAGTGGTAGCTCACCGCACGCACCAAATCAAAGGCATCACACAGGCACGCGTCATCCCGGGCAACAGCCCCCAAAAGACCCAATCAGAGCCTGATTCCACACAACCAAAGGCCCCCAAAAATAGCGAAGCCAAGACGCTAACATGGGCAAAACGCTATCCACCTTTTACGATTTTATAATGTTCGACGACGATGGTGGTGTTGGAAGCATCATACAGAGGGGAAATGTGATGTCAGAAAATTCCAAGAAAATATGGAAAAGATAGCCACTGGCGCCCTCAGTTGTTCTTGCAGTATTCTGATACTCTTAACGGTCTTGTTGTCTTATAATAACACTACAAATGGGACGCGTCATTCGTGGGGAAGATCCTCCACACCAGCCTCCACTAACAGACTCTTCAGTCGCACTGGGCTGCGAGCCACCACCGGCCACCCTGCCTAACTTGGGGTCTCGCAGCACAAAAGCCCTGGCAGGATTAAGTCATTTCGCCTTCAGTGCACCTATTAGGGCGACCAGAGGGGACTAACCGGTGGGGTTGCCCACTGAAGCCATCTCACCTAACAGGCGATGGCTCGACAAGCCTGCTCGTCCAAGGAGCACCAGCCCAGTCCCAGTTCGGCTGTCCCCCAAGCAAGCAAAAGACATGGAACGTGAGCCTTTTCTCCATACATACCAAGGCCATTGGTAAAGGCGGAAAAAGTCGTCGTCAGCACTTCTAGGGTGTCCGCCGCAACAAAGCTTCAACCACAGGGCTCCCCTTTGTTTAAACACACCCCGCCTGAGTCGGAGCCGGCGCATCGCTAGACTAAATTTATTAACCATATTATAAAGTACTTGTCGCCGGCTCTCGGATATACTCCAACTGCGGCGTGAATCAGTATTTAACCTTTTTTTTCGTCTTCCTTCATTGTCGTTGTTTAGCCCGCCTCTTTGGTCTTTTCAGCTGGCAGTTGTTTCTACGCCCACCATCACGCAGCACACAACCACGCGCCCACCCGACTCAACCTCTGCAACCACAAATCTCGACACGCGCCGCCATGTCCGACCGAAGCGAGAAGCCAAAGGCACGAAAGACCTTGGAGCGCCTTAGGCTGGCAGAGTCGATTGAGAGGCTGGGCTATGAGGTGCTGCCGTGCTCGTTTTGCGCCTCAAAGGGCCTGCCATGCAAGATGCTGGAGAAGTCGTCGAGGTGCGCCGAATGCGCCAGACGAGGGCGCGCATGCGACGCCGCGGGCCTTGCCACCACCTGTACGTTTCGGCCATCTGGGTTAGTTGAGGACAAATCTAACAGAGTATCGTGACTAGTAGCGCAGATTAGTGCCGAATTCGACCGCCTCGACCGCGAAGAAGAAGCCGTCGAGGAACAAATGTCCGAGGTACAAGCAAAGCTCAAAGAGACAATCAACAAACTCGCCAAGGTCCGGCGACAGAAGCAGATGTTGCGCACAAAAGGCATCGAAATGGTGCGGCGTGGTGTCAGCACCATGGACGAGCTAGAGATGGAAGAACAGAACGAACAACAGCAACAGCAGCAGCAACAACAACAGCAACAACCACAGCAGCCCTTTTATACATCGCCACACCCAGGACAAATAGCAGAGCAACAGGCACAGACACAAACGCTAGAGCAAGCCCTCACCACGGATGGCTTTTACATGGACTGGGGGCTCAACATGTCCCAAAATACGCATCCATTTCCCGGTCCTAGCTCCGGCGAGGCTAGTAAGTCGCCCTTTTCCTGAGTGCGTATCTCGTCCCGCAACAACGCAGGTCACGCGATTGTGAAAAAACATCTTTGCTAACTTTACGTCTCCTCATTAGCTCGATACTTGGGCGTATCGTCAAGGTACATCCCCATGGAGGGCATCAACGACATGCAGCAAACCGCATACATTTAGCACGGCGTATAATCTTTTGTTTTAACTTCACATTTCTTGGGCGATCTTGGATACAGGCGTTTCATGTTTGGCGGTCATGATGATTACGAATACACTCTTTGTTTCTTTGGGCTGTAATTACGGGGAAAGGGGTCAAGGGTTTTGCATCCCCAATGCAATGTACAAAATATACAGCATATACACTACCTACGCAAATACCATTAGAATAACCTATTTTTCTTGCTTCTAAGACTATACTCTGCTACTACCACTACTGCTACTGCTCGTTATCGCAAGGAAAGGGGCCAAATCGAAACCAGGCACCTGGAGAAATGACGGCATACTGGAGCTTGGCTCGCCAGGGGAGTGTAGTGATCCAAGACGGGTAATGCAGAAGGCAGCTGTCAAATTTATAGATTATGTCTAATTATAGATGAGGGGAAGAGGCGAGAGCTCAGCTCTTTTTCTAAAAATAACTTTTCGGAGCGAGATCTGCGCGATGAGATGGGTTAGAGGCATGCCACGCGGCTTTTCCGAAGACGGGGCGGCCGCAGCAACCGAGGAACAACCCATAGAGAATGGGGCGCTTAGTGATGGTTCGCTAGTGCATCGTATGTATATAGTTACATCGAATGCCGAACAAAGGGTCTAGAGGATTGGATTTACGGAATTGGGTTGGACTTGGGAGTTGGTAGCTGGCGTGGCGTGAAGGCAGGCTGAGAGCAGCAGGTAGGCTGAGCAGGCTTCAGCGTGAAACGTCATAATGATGCGGATGAATTATAAATGCCTTATGTATTTTGAGGCTGTACAACTTTTCATAATTATACATACCTGAATTTGCAGGTTGGGTGCATAAGCCCCTGTGGTGTTTGATGTTGCGTAGTGCCGGGGCGGATATTGCGGAAGAGTCCACCACGAGTTTGGTGGCAGATGTCTGGGACAAGGCGCGCAATATCCGCACTATCCGCATGGAAAGCTTCGACTTTGCGTGTAAGTCGCCTGTTGCTACGCTTGCGAATAAAATATAAAAAGAAGTCAAGGAACGGTGGTTCTCAGATCTTTTTCTTGTTCAATATCATCAAACACAAAATACTCCTACTCCAATAAGCAGTATTTCACAAAGGAAACCATGACTGCCACCACTTCAACACCAACAAATATCGCCGTCGTCACCTGCAGCACCAGGTCGCCACGGCTCAACCCCTACATTACCAACTACGTCCTCAAGGTCTTGGCCCCCGAGCACCCACAAGTGACGTTTACCGTCATAGATCTTGAGGCGCAAGGCCTTCCGTTCTATGACGAGCCGGGAATTCCGGCCCTGCTGCCCAAGGACAACCCTAGCCCACACTACGTGCACGACCATACCCGCCGCTGGTCCGCCAAGATCAGCCAGCACGACGCCTTCATCTTTGTCACTCCCCAGTATAACTGGAGCATCCCTGCCAGCCTCAAGAACGCCCTTGACTTCCTCTACCACGAGTGGGCGGGTAAGCCCGCGCTCGTGGTGTCGTACGGCGGGAAAGGAGGATCCAAGGCTGCCGCGCACTTGCAGCAGATCCTGGGCAGCATGCACATGAAGGTGACGCGCCAGACGCCCATGTTCGTTGTCACAACGGATACATTGAAGGGCGTTGTAGACAACGGTAAAGCCGATGCGACGGATGACGAGCGGTGGTGTGCGGCCAATGTGGACGGTCAACTAAAGCAGTCGTTTTTGGCAATGGCCGACGGTAGCGATGTGCTGGGCAGGATGTAGGGCGAAGCTAGGAGCTCCAGCCAGCCTTGCCGTTAAGGCTGTGGTCGACGGTGGTCCGAGGCGCTCACTGCGAGACTGGCTGGCTGTGGCCAGATTGTGGGAGTCATCGCCACCTAGGACGAGGCCGTAGCTGAACGAAATATGGCCGGCGCATACTGGAAGCCGTCATCTTGGCTATCCTTCAATATAGCCCGAAGCTCTGTCGGTGGTCGGTCGTTATGTTCCCGTGGGATGCACAGCGTGTGTGTGGCTTGCGAGCAGTCGCGCAAAGAGGCATCGAGACACGACCAAGCCCTGAGGGCAGGGAATATGTCCTCGGCCAGTTGCCACTTTTAGATCTAAGATGCATAGGTAGCAATAAATCAATCAAGATTGGATAAAAGAAAAAAAATGACTCCTCTTTATTTGGTGATAGCCCTGTTCGCCTCGCGTCCTCCGGTTATGCGCCGTCACCTGAGCCCCAGCGAAGCAGGCTTCCGGCTGTTACTGGATTCGGCAATCGCCAAAATAACTAGGCAAAATCTGTGGTGGACACGGGCGCCTCAAAGTCTAGACAAATTCACACAAAATATTAGGCAGCTTGACGTGCCTTAAGAAGCAATGCGCGCTTCCCACCTCTGTCGAGGCGTCGCATGATTTCATTTGTTTCTTGAACAATCCACGCTGCTTCCACCTTTGACGAACGCGCCACCCCAGGCAGACCATCATCTTCTTCTTCCGCCCATCGCATCACTCCGTGCGCTCCTTGACCACGGGTGAGCTGCTGTGACTATGCCCAAGCGGTCGCAAGCCGGCAGTCAGCCGGATTCACAGAAACGCAAGAGGGTATACGCGGCCTGCAATGAGTGCCGCCGTCGGAGAAGAAAATGTGATGGCAATGAGCCATGCGCGTCGTGCGATGGCTACGGTTACTCATGCACCTATGGCAATGTGCAGTCCCCAGGCGAATTAGGCGATTCTTCTATAGCAATCAGGCTTCACAGCAGCACTCCCGCCACGGGCCCCCAAACTGAGGACCCCTCGGGAGACGAGGGTGCGGTGTCGTCTGTCGCGACAAGAGAGCGCGGCGATGGCGATGTAGCGACAAATAGCGCCATTGCGCTGCCACGCCTAGTCGGGAGAGATATGGGCGTCGAGAACCCGCCTCGACTGCATTCGTTTGCTTGGAATCTGGGTATTCGACCAGAACGACGCGGAACTGTGGGTGTCGTTCTATCAAGCTACCTCACCTACGACGAGTGCCGCAACCTATCGTCAACCTATTTTACGGCTGTTCATCCTATGTTTCCATTTCTCTCCAAAGAGTCATACTTTACCAGGCTGCAGCAGAAATGGCAAACTCTCGAAGAAGACCCTAGTTTCACAGCCGTGGTGGCTGGTGTATCAGCCCTGGGTTCATTCTTTTCGAAAACATGCCATCCCAACGAGGAGAGTATAAAGCAGCATTGCTTCTCAATTCTCGACCTTGCGCTTTCTACGCCAATATCCCCAGTCGATATTGAGTCCATTGCGGGCTGGATGCTGCGGGCCATATATGCTAGACTTACGACTCGTCCTGCTGTGGCTTGCCTCTCGATACACACGGCGATACACATGGTCGATATCATAAGCATGCGCTATGAAATAGCGTCGCGGGTCGCCAATTCGCACTCGATCGGCAAGAAATTTGAAGATGGTGAGGCTGATGTTCGAAGCAGCTATTATAAGTCGGCTCGGTTTCTGGATACCCTATTCAGTGCCGAGTATGGGATATTCTCAGTCAATCAGCCCCGACACCGCTCGAACCGCTGGTCATCGCTATCCAATGTCGATGGAGATCATTTGACAATCATGGCCGGCATTCTCCATGAAAGCCAGCAATTAGATAAGGATTCACTATCTTCAAACATGGATGAACAATTCCGGTTGCTAGAATCGATAGCCGATGAGTTTCCTGCTATTTCTCTCTTCAAAGCTGCGGTATGCCTTTGCCTACTCAGACAATATGTTCCTGCAGGGCGCAAGCCAGGCCAACTGGCAACTAAAGTCTCCATTGCGATCCTGACCAACTCGTTCGAGGATGTGCGAACCTTGATCACGGCGGGACACCCATGGTGGAATTTGCTAATGGTGCCATTTCATTCTGCATGCATCTGTCTTGCTTTTGATAATGAGCCATACCTCGGCCTGTTGCCTTTGGCGGTCGATTTGTTACGGATGCTGGCAGACACTTATAGAACGCACATGGCCAAAGATGCTTTAAATACGGTATTGCAACTTGTAGAGGCTTCGAAGAATGATAGCGATGCCAAGTTGAAAATCAAAGCGGCGGTCCTAGCCCAGGGTGGTGCTGTTGGGACCGATATGGACTGGTTCGCAATGGATCCGACCTTTAGTGTGGATGATTGGCCGACAGAGTTTGACTTCACAATGTACTAATGAATAATGATAGATTATTAGGTATATCTCTAATAATCCACTGAATGAATGATGATGTAGATAAACGTAGATGCAAAGCGAGAAAGAGGCGTTCTCATATGATACCTGGCGACAGGTGGGGCGGCTGTGCCAACTGTCAAGCTCCCTACAGCTCCCCTTGCGCGGAAGCTCCTGTTGTCCATATTCCACCAGGCGAGGAGCATAAAGCTACCGTGTGGGTGGGTGTTTTTATACATATCCAATAATGTAAGCTTCATGAGAATCTATCTTCTGACGTGACCGTTGACTCCTATAGGATTGACCCTTCCATCCGCATGAGGCGGGCGATACATACCGGTGACGCGCTGCTCTTCGAACGAATCCTCAAATCACACAAACAGCTGCTGCACAATCCTGATTCGTCGACGCAAGGCATTTCAAACTCGAATTTACATCTGGCAGCGTCCTTGGGCCACAAACGAATATGCGAAACGCTGCTGGCTGCCGGGCACGAGACTCCCAACCCCGCATTGAATGAGCAACATCAAACGGCTCTGATGCTGGCTGCCCGCGCAGGACACTTGGAAGCTGTCCGAGTTATCGCTGAGAACGATTATACCTGTATACTACGACGCGATATTCGTGGCCGGGATGCTATTATGGAAGCTAGTGCTGGGGGCCACGACAAGATTCTCCAGTTCTTGTTGGCCTATGTGCCGGGCGGCGCGTATGAAGCGGTGCAGAGGGCCGATGGAGAAGGAAATACCGCTCTTCACTTTGCAAGCATCAATGGGAACCTCATGGGCTTGCGAATTCTGCTCGTCGCGGGCGCGGATGCGGAAACAACAAATGCCTGGAACTGGACACCTGCGTCGTACAGCGCCAGCGTGCAAGCCGAGGTCTATCTGAAGGGTCTTGTCGTGGAAATGAAGAACCGAAAAATGCTCCGACAAGAGATTGAAGGGGCAAGGATTAGCATGATCAAGAAAGTGGAAAGCGACGACGACGACGACGACGAGGATGACGATGACGATTCCTAAATCTGATTCACTATTGGGTCATTGTTTGTCGGTGTAACCGGCGTTGTCACTTCCGCGAACTATATGCAACAAAGCCGGCATTACCTCTGAACAAATGAAAGGGTGTTAGAGCACACACACCGTTCGTCGCTATGCGGTGATTGTTGTCCGGCGTGTGCATCAATGAACGATTCACAGCTAGCTAGCTGCGCGGCAGCTGACACCCCCATCGATGCGCCGCTGTGCCAATCATGGCCAAATCACTGTTACACGACAAACCATATAGTCTTCGTTTGTCCCCCGCTGAGAGTATGCCATGCCTAACCCACATATTCCATTCAATCATATATCGCAGCTGCCAAATCTATGCCAACTCGACCTTTAGTTGAGCGGCACGAACTCTCTGTACCATCAGACAGACTTCCCTTTCCTGCAGAAAAACTTGTTATCACAAAAATTGCAGAACGACTAGATAATCACCCACAATCCTGGGCGTGTCTGATTATTGGCGCGTTCTACGACATACGTGGTCGAATCATTTGGAGTCGTGAGACTTTTGTTCTCTGCGACCCTTCACAGGTTGAGCTACCTGAGGCTGACGGTGACTGGTTTCTCACTGAACTTTGTCAGTCCGACTTTCTTACTTACATCGCTTCACAGATACTAATGAGATATAGATAACCCCGACGAGCTGACCCAAGAAGAGCCAGGTTTTTTCTACTCTCCTCCAGACGAAGGTACTTTGACGACTTCAGCAGCATCACCGAGATTTTCTATCGACTACAATTTCAATCCAACCTTATCAGCTGGTACTAATCTGTGCCCGCCGCCATTCTTCTCAGATACTCACGAGACACATCACTGGCCAGTCTAACTGTCAGTATACCAATATGACTGGAGGCTGGAACCCTGTCACAGGCCGAGATGCCGCTGGGGGAAGACCTACCTTTGCACCTTATGGTGCACCTATGCCCAGCCAGGGACAAGCATATATACCGCATGCCGGTGGCCCGGGATACAACTTTGGACTGTCCAACCCATGGGGTGGCATGTCCGGCGTGGTGTATCCTCCACAACCCATGATGCCGACTAGTGCTCAATGGCCCATGGCACCCATGGGATCCATGGGATATCCGCCACAGATGCAAGCTGGTACTAGAGGCTACTATACTCAGCATACTGTTGCATGCCAACCGAATGGTGTCGGCGCACCCTATCCCAGACAACCACAACCATACCCGGTGATTGATCCATCGATGCCTGCGGCACACATGACAAATAGCACTGGCGGTGTTGGATGTGAGCCCGGGTACAACTACTTCTTCCCGGCTGAGCACACCAAAGCACACATTTTCAAAACCAATATTCCGCCATGGCAGCTCCCACCAACGGCCCAGATTCCTTTCAAGGCTGTTCATATCCCATGCAATACAACTATGAAGGATCTCTTGAAAGGCTTTGGGTGTACTAACCCGGTTGAAAAGAAGAATAAATGCTTTGAGATCACCACAACCGGCAACGGAAAATGGTACAAAGGCCTAGAGATTAACGGTTCAGATAAAGAGATGATGAAGAAGAGCATCAAAGAGGTTGGCTGGGACATGACCAGAACCGGTCATGGACGGGAGAAGCCCGTAGTGTGCCTGTGGTTTTGCAAAGACTGATTTTATTTTCCAAGTGCATAGCGATGTCGCGCAGCGTTTTGTTTGATTTAATTTGCTATATTGATTGATTTACACAAATGAATTCGGTTGAACGATACCATAGCACTACATAGCATATTCCAATTGATCTAACAGTACATGGCTACACACACAAAGTCACCAAGTTTATTTTTCTGTTTCCGTCCATGCGTGCATGCACTTGACGTCATGACTTGGAATACGGCGTCCTTTTCGACTGGGGCATTTAAAACGGTCCGGACGCCATAAGCAGAGCCCTGGTCGCTGCATGGGAGAGAGACGCATACGGTGGAGCGAAGCGCGCACATCACGAGCGGATAATGGCGGCTGAGGAAGGATTTATTTACGAAAACAAGCCATGAAAGTAAGAAACCATGGCACTGGGACCCATTCGGAACCACAATCGTTCAAAAGGACAGTCGAGGGAAACAAGGCTGCGAGTTGGTATCAGGTGTGTGTTGGCTACTGTAGTTTGCTTCCTGTGCTCCGTCTTGGCAGACGTGTTGGCTGAACAGCGGACATCCTGTCGCATGTTTCATACCACTTTGAGCAATGCGAGTGACGGCGACTAACGGTCAGGTGTTTGGCCCGGCCATCTTTTGCAGCCGAGAGAGGAATGTAAGGCGAACGAATGTATGAACTGACATGCGGCGCTAGATTAGTGGAGTTTGATGCAAGTAGGGACGGAAAGCGGAGTTACCAGTTTTTTCTTCATTCGCAAAAAGAAAAAAGAAAAAAGAATGGAGCCGTCACTGCCAGGTTGATTCCACATAGTTGGTTAGTCCGTCTGTAAGTCTGGGGGAGAGCGTTGTCTCCCCGCGATATCCCCAACTTTTGCCCATCAGCCTCAACAAAAACCCCATCCCATTTCCCTTATCTACGCCACTAGTTCCAGATGGATAAAGGATTAAGGTTGAAAAGAGGGTGTGCTGCGGGCTCGTGGTCTCCGATGGCGGCGGCAGTTTTGCGTTCTTTGAAGGATATCGAAATGGAAATATGGTTGCCTAGTGGTATTGGGAGGGGCGGACAGAATGGCGCTGGGGCTTGCCGAGATGTCAGTGAGTTGGGGCCCTGTAAGTGTCTGAGTGTTTTACGGAGACCAGTAAGCCAGCCACGCAGGCAGCAGGATTATTGTATTGGGATATTCAGCGACGGGACAAGCAAAAGCCACAGGATGGCGGCGGTCTAGAAGGTGAGCAAATATTGGCAGCAGGGGCAGTAGATAAGAGATTTTCTATCAATATTTCGGGAATTTCTTTTGGAAGGTGAAGATGGCTTTGCTGCATGGCTTGCGTGGGAAACCTTCTACAGGACATGGTGGCTGTGGCCTGCCAACAGCGCCTGGAAAACGTCACTGTAAATTTCCGCCATTCACCTAACTTACCAGTTAGCGCATGCGCTAAACGCTGGTTAGCGGCTGCTGTGGTTCGACTCCTCGTTCTGGACTTTTTGTCTATCTGCTTGTCTGGACTACCATGAGACCCCCAGGAAATTAATTTAAAAATAACAATGAAAGTTTTATGTAGAGGAACATAAGATTTAGCCGCTCTATAATGCTGTTTTCCATTTGCGTCTCCCCTTTTCCTGGTAAACTCTGTCATACTAAACGGGTTGATCGACACCGTCTTCACGTGGCCCAGGGCCCTTGAAGTTACAGCACAGCGCAACGGCTACCGTTTCTTTGTTAGGGGTCTTGCTGTTGTTAGCCAGGGAGCATGCTTAGTTTGCTATTCCCTTGGCTACCCTTCCCAATAACCAATATGTTAAAAAGAAATCCAATAAAAACTCTGTGTAAAACTCTGCACCATATGTGATCATACAAAATACTCTTCAAATTTTCCAATGGCTCCATCCCGTTGCCCAGTGCTGCGTCCCAAATACACAATTCTCTTTCACCTGGGGCACCCCGAGTAATGCGCCTTGTCCCTGTGGGTTCCTCCTGTGCCCACTAAAACTTTTTCCCTTCTCCTCCTCACCCACTTCTTCCCCTCCACCTCCACAGCCATCTCCGCGTTCTTGTCCCAAGGTACATTGCTACTGCAGCATCAGCTCATCTAATCCGAGGTATCATTTGGAAACTCTCTCCCCGCGTCGGCACCACTTTTCTCTCCATGCAAATTGTCCTGTAGGCAGCAACATTTGGGACCGTTCTGTTGCTTATTGTCTGGGTCCTGTAGGTCTTGGTCTGTCTTGTCACGCATGCATTCGTCTAATGAGCCGCTCGTGTCGAAGCTTCATCACAAGCACTATACTGCATGGTATCCCTTCAAATCATATCAATGGAACGCACGGGCTGTTCGCTCTGGGTAGCTCTGTCACTTGCACGTCCAAACGAGGCTCTGATCCCGTCGGGCTATCGTTGCGGAGTGTGCTGCTGCATCCCTTCCAGCCTCCGTGAAACTAAAGGACGTCAATCACACACATGTTGCTAATCTCTGACCAACAGGAGCTCTCTGCCACCATCCCTCTTAGCAAAGAATGTGACCGCCACTCGGTCGTCGCTAACGCAGAACCGCCCTACTTTTGCACATCGCCTGAGCACAACTGGCCTCCATGTGGAGACGCCCTTGGTACAAGTGGCCATGCCGAAAATCTCGGCGCTCTGTGGCAGCCAGTCACTGAAGCTGTAATTCTGTTGCCTAACTCAGTCCACGGGCTGGCCTGTCGCTGTCGTGGATCGTGGCGCTTTTAGCGGACGCCATGATCCACTGAATGCCACCGGCGAATTTCCCGACAAGAACCATTTTGACAGGCGTACCGGACAAAAGCAACACGACCAACTGCAGGTGGTGTTGACAAGGAAAAGCCAAATCTACCTTCTAGAATATCGTGGTTTCGCCGTGTAAATGACAGTCCAAACCATGCGGGTAAGATCGCCGGGCCACTGTCTTGCAACCTCGTTGTTGTTTGACCCAGCCTTTGTCGATGGCGGCGTCGGACAGGGGGCCAGCGAGAGGGTCATTGCGATTCCGGCTGCGGCTTGAGCTGTCTTGCTGCCCGGTGGCCATTGGTGCGCTTACATTCCAGTGGCGTCTTGGGCACCACACCTACGTCAGGAGGCGCTGGCAGATCAAGCCATTACTTGCTCGAAAATTGTTTTTACTTGTATCGACATTGCCACCAATAAAAGGGAAAATGGTACAATTGTTGAGAAGCCACGGCAGAGAGCGCACACGACCTGTTGTCAGCCACCTCCTATAGCCAAGACGGACTTGCAACAACTTGCTTGGCCTTGCGGAGGCCAGAGTCAGTCGGACAGAGCCCGGCGTGCTGTGCAACACTTTTTGCTGCATTCAGACGCCGGCGAGCAGCAACAGCCGCCGTCAGTAAACCTGAGGCGGACACGTCTGATATGTGGAAGTCGTCCCTTCTCATCTGCATTGCCACCCCCTCGTACCACCCACTCTGATGATTATTGCAAATGGAAAAGGCATGTCTTTCCGTACTTTTTGCTCATGACCCCAACTTTTTAGCGCCTTGCAAGCCCTAGCGACAGTAGCGCCGTCTCTCACACCAGCCATGGTCTTAGCTGGCAGGCTAGAGGTGTGCTAGATCCATTGTGACGGTGGGGTTCGGCTGAGCATGGACCAGGGGCTGGATGCGTCGCGCGACATGGGTCTCTGTTGGAGAAGCAAATCGTGGGGAAGATTCCGTTGCGCTGCTGCTGTTTGCGACGCCGCTCCCACTGCAAAGGACGGCCCCCGGCTCTCTCGACGGCCGAGTCGAGCTCGCTCTTAAAACTCACCAGTTTCCCCCACTCCTCTGATAGGCTTCCTTTCTTCTTGCTCTCTACTCAACTCTACCAGAGCTGTCTCTGTGTCTTTGATCATACTTGCGTACTTTTGAACGCAATCGACACAATCCCTTGCAGTCAGTACCTGCAAACAGACCATCCACCACCATGGCCGACAACGCGCCTACCGTCATCACCAAGGTGGCTGGCGGCGACATCCTTGAGGAAAAGGGTGTCAGCCATACTGAGCAGGTCGATGTCAACAAGACCCTTGAGGCTCGCATCCGCAACCCCCTTGAGGGTCTGTCGCGCGAAGCCTTGATGCGCGAGGTTGAGGAGTTTGCCTCCAAGCGCGGTCTCGAGCAGCACCTCGACCATCTCAAGAAGGGTGCTCTCGTTGCTCAGAACCCCGACGCCATTGATGAGATTGACCTTCTCACTAGCGAAGAGCGACAGGCTCTCCATGACGAGCGCACCTACAAGTGGAGAATGCCCATGAGACTCTTCTTCACCATTGCGCTTTGCTCCATCGGTGCTGCCGTTCAGGGTTGGGACCAGACAGGTTCCAACGGTGCCAACATCTTCTTCCCGCCTTACTACGGTATCGACCCGGATGGCAAGCTCCCCAACGGTGGGCAAGAGGACCCCTTTGATGAAACAGAGAAGGTCCGCCGTCAACTCATCATTGGTATTCTCAACGCTGCTCCTTACCTCGGTTCTGCGTAAGTAAAGACTCTGTCGTGTAATTGTTCAACATGACACTAACATACATTTACTCCAGTTTCATCGGCTGCTGGCTTTCTGATCCCATCAACAACTACTTCGGACGACGTGGTGTTATCTTTTTCGCTGCCCACTTCTGTATCTGGCCCGTCATTGGTTCTGCTTTCTGCCACACTTGGGGCCAGCAGCTTGCTTGCCGTCTCCTAATGGGTATTGGTATGGGTGCCAAGGCCTCGACTGTCCCAATCTACGCTGCTGAGAATGCTCCTGCCTCTATCCGTGGTGCCCTCGTCATGTCATGGCGTAAGTTAACATCTTTCTAATCGTCGTTATTCAACTGCTAACAAGTCTGATAGAAATGTGGACTGCCTTTGGCATCTTCCTCGGAACTGCTTTCAACCTGGCCGTTTTCAACGTGAGCCACGACATCAACTGGCGCCTCATGTTCGGTGCTCCCTTCATTCCTGCTGTGCCTCTTCTCGTCGGCATTTACTTTTGCCCTGAGTCTCCCCGCTGGTACATGAAAAAGGGCCGCTACGTTGAGGCCTGGGATGCCATGAGCAAGCTGCGTTTCACCCAAGTTCAGGTTGCTCGCGACATCTTCTACGCCGGTACCCAGATCGAAATCGAAAACGCCATCATTGGCAAGACGAACTACGTCACCCGTTTCACTCAGCTCTTCACCATTCCTCGTGTCCGCCGTGCCAATCTGGCTGCTTTCACCGTCATGATTGCTCAGCAACTTTGCGGTATTAACATCATCGCGTTCTACTCCACCACTATCTTCAAGGAGTCCGGTCTTTCCGACTTCCAAGCTATGCTTGGCTCCTTCGGTTTCGGTGGTGTCAACTGGCTTTTCGCTTTCCCTGCCTTCTTCACTATCGACACTTTCGGCCGACGAAGCCTGCTTCTTTTCACATTCCCTCAGATGTTCTGGACCTTGCTCGCTGCTGGTCTCGCTACCCTTGCTCCTCAAGGTAACACCAGAACCGGCCTAGTCTGCCTGTTCGTCTTCATGTTTGCCGCCTTCTACTCTCCTGGAGAAGGCCCCGTTCCCTTCACCTACAGTGCCGAGGTGTACCCACTCTCGCACCGTGAAACTGGTATGGGTTTCGCTGTCGCCACCTGTCTCTTCTGGGCTGCTGTCTTGGGTACCTCATTCCCCTTCTTGCTTGGCAGAACCGGCACTATTGGTGCTTTCGGTGTCTACGCTGGCTTCAACGTTGTCGCTTTCATCATGATCTTCCTCTGGGTCCCCGAGACCATGCGCCGCACCCTCGAAGAACTCGACTGGATTTTCGCCGTCCCCGTCCGCACCTTCATGAAGTACCAGATCACCGAGACCATTCCTTGGTTCTTCAAGCGCTGGGTTCTCTTCAACAAGAACGCTACCAAGCCTCCTCTGTACCACTTCGAGGCTGTCGAGCGCCGCAAGCATGGTGAGGATGTCCACGCTGCGGGCAGCGCCTCTGAGGATGGCAAGACCGCCCTGTAGATGGGAGTGTTGAAAACGACGAATGATTTCTTTTTTTGCATATTGATACCATATTTTGAACTTTGTATCTAGTTTTATCAGGTGCTCCTTCTGATGCGTATGCATTTAGAGTAGACTTGAGAGCGAATACATTTACCAACCTACAACTACTTCGCCATCATTAACGTGAAAATAATATCCAATTAAAATAGAGCTAAGATAATCTTTTTTATGCAAAACTAAAATATATACATCATACATAACCCCGTATATATAGCGATCTTATTTACGGGCGCGAAGGCGCTCCTTCTTTTCAGCCCATCTAGCCCGCATGAGGCGTAGCAGTGCCCATGCAATGACACGGTACACAACCACACATGCAGCAAGGCAGCAAATGTTCACGACAGGGTTAACATTGAACCCGTAAAGATCGAGAATCTCCTGGCCAGTGCTGTAGGGGCAGCTACCATTCGGTAGTCTCTGCTCGTCGGTACAGGTAAACTGGATATCGCGCAGCGAGAACGGTGCCATGGCGTTGGTAGCATAGCGCACCGGCGAAAGGTAATTGACGGCCTTGAATGCATCCGGCATGTTGAGGGACAGCACACCAGCCATGGCGGTTGCAATGGACAGAATAATGCCCATAATATTCACAGCAAAGCCGGTGTGGCTGAAGAGTGTGTTGAACATGATACCGAGGGATTCACCGCACGAGACCATACCGAAGCAGCAAAAGACATTGACAAAGTACATGGTTGCGGTACGGGGGATCTGCACTGCAAACACCGACAATATGCCGTAGATCATGCAGCTCATAATTTCGAAAGGAACTTCAAGAATCGTGTATGATAGAAGGAATGCGTCCACACCGTAGACGCCATCGTCGTCTTCGCGGTAAAAGACGTCCCGCTCAGCGGGATACACTGCGACATTCTGGAGCATGCCGACAAAGTAAAAGGAGCCGACTTGCTGGATGAAGCCCATGCGGTTCTGGATGGAGGCGTAGTCATTGTGCAACGGGGCAAAGAACAGAGTGAAGACGATGGCGAGGCCGACGACTTGCATGGTTCGGGCGAGGATGAGGTCTGGTTGACGACGGGTGTTGATGACAGCGCGGCGGAGGAGTAGTGGGAGAGCGAAGACAAGAGAGGCTGGCTTTCGTATGAGAGCTCCGAGTTCAGCTGGAGTCGAGACGGATTCCTTGTTCAGAGACTTGCGCGGCTCAGGAGGGGAGTCGCTTGCAGATGGTTTCTCGGTCGTCTTGCTGGCTGGGAGGATAGATGGATCTTGCCAGGCATCAATGAGCTTCTTGACTCGCTCGCGACTCTCAGCTTCGCGATCATCTTGCTGGAGATCGATGGTGATCATGTCCAGCGCAAAATCGGCAGGATTGGTTTGGTCAGGGCAGTTGTAGCCAGCGCGGTCAAAGTAGGGAATCATCTCGTTGCCAGAGCCAGCGTACACGGGCCATCCACCGCGAGAGAGCAGCAAAACATTGCCGAAATGTTTGAAGAGATCGGAGCGAGCCTGGTGGATGGTGAGGATGAGGGTGCGGCCTTCGTTCGCAAGACCTTGCAAGACTTCCATGATGGAGCTAGCAGTGAACGCGTCCAGACCAGAGGTAGGCTCATCGAGGAGCAGGATGCGAGGGTCAGTAAGGACCTGGACAGCAATACTGACACGGCGCTTCTCGCCACCAGAGATACCCTTGATTAGGTCACTGCCAACGAGGTTGTCGGCGCAGTCCTTCAGACCCATCTTGAGAAGAACCTCTTCGGCGCGTGCGTGCTTCTCCTTGGTGCTCATGAACGAGGGGAGACGTAGGCCGGCGGAGAAGTGGAGGGTTTCGCGGACAGTGAGAGAGGGGAGAAGTGCATCGTCGTCTTGGCAAACGTATGAACACACAGACCGGATGACCGAGTCGGAGGGAACGGCGCCGTTGAACTTGAGCTTACCGGATCGGCGGTACTTTGTGCTGACTGAGTTGCGGAGGCGAAGGGCTATGGCGTTGAGGAGAGACGTCTTACCGCTGCCAGAAGGACCCATGATGACATTGAGGACGCCGGCTTGGAAAGTCGTGGAGATTGGGTTGACAATAGTGCGAGATGGAAGCTTTTTACCACTGGCAGCGCGCTTGTCGAGACCAAGGGAGAAGTCTTCGAGAGATAGATCAAGTGTGCGGACTTCAGCAATAGATCGGGCCGTCATCTTCTCCTTACCAGCAGATAAATCGGTATCCTGGGTCCTCACGCGGGCAATGGTCATTTCAACTTTGATAAAGGTGAGGCCAATAACCGATAGAGTGAGAAATAACACAACAAAGCCGACCATGGCAATAATGGGGCGTGTTACCCAGTCTGTCGGGAAGCCTAAGGAGCGCATGATGTATTCGCCAGAGTATTGCTCGCAAGCTGGGTTGGATCGTCCGCCAGGCAAAGGGCAGTCATAAAAGTTGCCTTGGAACTCGTTGGCGCAGTATGCACCCATAGCGTAGAAGGTATAGGTGCACCATTTAATCCAGCGGACGTATATCGGCAGACTGTTGCTTTGGATAAACATGCCGCAGCATATACTCTGCAGCGTGTATGCCAAGTTGGCAATTAAACTGGCGCCAGGGAAATGGCGGACAGCGACGACACATGTGGTGGCGCATGTAACTGCGATATAATGGTTGACGATGGAGATGGCAAGGAAGATGAAGTACTTTTCAACCGTCCGCTCATAACCAGACATGAAGTACATGAAAAGGGAGAAGATGAAAGGTACAGGGAAATCTTCGGTAGGTAATCTAGAGATACGCCGTGAAAGGAGGAAGGGAAGGGGATCGACGCAGTTTTCAGAATGCTCGCGATCAAACGTGGGAATATCAATGGTCATGCGATACGTCTCAAAAAGAAGAATCAGATATCCTTGCAAGGCTGCAGTGGTGTATAGAGCGCCTTCGCGGGATCGAATACCGGCCTGGTCACGGCCGAGGTTATAGAAGAGGTAGCCAGCGATAGCGCCCATGAGAATGGCTTCGACAATAGACGCCGTCATTCCGAGAGGATCTCTATATGTGACTTTGAAGGTTCGGTCCGTTAGGACAGCAAGCTGGCGGAGGAATCCGGCATGCTCGCTCCTATTTTTGCGTCGCTCTCTGCGTGTCTGTTCTACAATGGCTCCAGTGGGTGAATAGCGATGCTGGCTCTCCACCTCCCATGAAGCCTTGAGCCTCTCCACACGAGCACTCGTCTCTTCCTCCAGCTCGGGTGTGCGGTTGTCGATGGCGGTGATATCAATGATGAATTCGGCGGGGTTGACAAAGGCAGGCAAAGCAAACCCTTGTGACTCGAACCAGGGCACACAGTCGGAAATGGCGCCAGAGTATACGGGGCTGCCTCGGGTTAAGACGACCAAGTTATCAAACAAGTGCCAGATTTCTGAGCGCGGCTGATGAATAGTCGTGATAATGGTGCGTCCTTTTCTGGCGAGCGCCTTTAGCGTGCGGATCAGTTGAAAGGCGCTGGTAGCATCTAGGCCGGTGGTGGGCTCGTCAAGGAATAGTACAGACGGGTTTGCGAGCAGTTGGACGCCGATACTGACTCGTCGCTTTTCACCTCCTGAACAACCGCGATGCTGGCTGGTGCCTATTCTTGTATCGGCGCATTCCTTGAGGCCAAGCTCGCGGATGACTTCCTCGACAATACGGTGGCGGTCTTGTTTTGTTGTATTGGAGGGCAATCGGAGGTCGGCCGAGTATCGAAGCGTCTCTCTGACGGTAAGGGTTGGAAGGAGGATATCTTGCTGCATAACATAGGCACTTCGGACATTCTGTACTCCAGACTGACCATTAAATGTGATTGTTCCTTGTCGGTGAAGTCGAGAGCTAGCGACTCTCTCCGCTAGTGTGTTAAGAAGCGTTGTCTTACCCGAGCCACTGCCGCCAATGATGGCCGTCAACGAGCCCGGAGCCATGTCTGCCGCCACTGAGTGAAGCAGTGTCTTCATCTGTGGGCTGCTTCTCAAACCACCCTTGAATAGGGCTGGATATGTTGCTGGATCGACCCATGACGGAGATGTATCCACGGACACCTTCAAGTCTCGAATTTGAACATGTACAGTGTCGACGTCGTCGAGTGACAGATTCTGGTCGACAGCGACAGAGGCTCTCCTTGATTGTACTTTCGGTTCGATAGGCTGGTCGATTGAGCTTGCGACAGAACTCCTGCGCTCGATTTTGTCGGAAACGGGGACATCAAGCTTCTGAGCTTCGACGTCAGGCGAGGGATCGGCCATGGCGATGATGGTTCGGGGCACACAAAGAGACAAGTCTCAGTTCGGGAGCACAGCCCTACAGGTGGGCGTGTCGGGATCCCTTTGAATGCCTCGGGAAGTCGTAAATGCAGTAAAATCAATGCTAAAAGGAAACGCTCACTCGCTTTTAAAAATGATGTTGCAGGATCAAAAAGCTAGACAGGAAGCGAGCCTCCAATCTTCTGGACAGTGCACTCGGAAGCAGTTCCGTCCGTGTGCTGTCAACGCTACTCGACGCCTCTCCCTAACTTGGCTTAGTGGGGACCTGACAAGTTTCCGTAGCCGCCTGTCGTTTAAAGTAGACAACAAACTATGTTCCTTGTCAGGCCTCCTGGTTGCTCTTATTAGAGGCGGTCTGCAATAATAATAAAATCGTATTAAGACTGAAGGGAAAAATGCCGCCGTGCAAACGTGGCACTGCCTTGGACTCACATGCCAGGTGCAATATATTTTTTACCAGCTGGCGCACCTGGCGGCTTGCAACCATGAACTCCGCTACCACCTTCCATCCACCACCACTACCATCACCATACACGACAAGAAAAAAGCAGGCTGCGTACAAAGTCGGCCCACCATCCTGCACCGCTCAGCCCGCATCCTGCATCTCAATTGGTCGCTGACTGATTCATGGCGTTGTGGCTCGCTCGCCATGTTGTGCATCGGTTCTTCCCTATCCGAATGGCATGACTTTCCAGCTAATGTAACCCTACCAGATCACCCAGGGCGCCCCTTTGCTCTTTTCTTTTTTTTTACTTTGGCCGCCGCAGTTTTCTACCACGTGTACTCGACGGCTTCCACGAGGCTTCGCCGAAACCTTGAGAGACACACGATTTTCCGGTTTGGGCTGCCGCCGCAATCTAAGAGCGCCACGCGTGGGGAAACAATTCATCGGATGTGCTGTTGCCGACAAACAGGACCCTCCCCTCTTGTGCTTGGGCGGTTTCGTTAAGCGATCATTTTACGGTCGGCACAACTCTTACCCGATTACTGTTAGAGCAGCCGCGCTCTTGTGCAGTTTGTTTGACCGTGCGCCGTTTTAAAATATCTATATTCATGCAGCTACTGTATCTGGCTGCCACACGCACGTGCGGCTACGCGTATTCATGTCGAATCTGAGCTACCAGATCGAGAGCCGTTGCGCTGGAATTCCGCTCTAGACCCCTACCCTATGGGAATTGAAGTTGGGTTTGCTTAGGGGAGATGAGAAAATGAAAAGCAAACGGATACAAGGTAATAAAATGATCTCGTAATATACAATATACTGAACCGTATAATACCATTTTCATGCTATAAGGTTTGTTTTTAAATCGCGTTAACGAAAGAACTGGAGTTACGGCTCGCCGATGAAGCACCAGTGTGAGATTACGCAGCGACAAAAGCGAGGAGCAGATCAAACCAAAAGGACAACGACGATCATAAATTCAAATGCTGTGTATCAAATTCTACATACATGACAATGAGACGACAATCCCAAAATAAACACCATTCCAACGATTTTCAAATGAACGCGACTCTCTACTGCAGCAGTCGAGGGGTCATGTATTCCTTAAGCGTCTCGTTCGAGATTTCGTCGCGACTCGTCTTGAATTTTCGGACAACTTTGAGGATCGCTTCTGTCAACACATCTCGAAGTTCAATATTCAACAGCTGATGGGCCTGGTGCTTAGCCTGGATCTCCGCCAACTCATCGTCATCCTCCATGAAGAAGCGAAGCCAGTCAAAAGCGACATCCATGCTATTCTGCCCAGCAGGGAAAGCCTGTCTGATTTTGTCACGGATAACATGCTCGTCATCGGCAAGATAGATGGCCGAGCTGCTGATGGAAGCAGACATCTTACCGTCTCCTCCTTGTAGTGAAGGTAGTAGGCTTGAGTATAGAAACGACGGTCGCTTCTCACCAATATCCTCTGCATGCTTGCGGACTTCTGCAAAGTAGCCAGAAATGTCATACGAACAAGGGATTAGGCATTCCATGTCCCGCAAAATGGACCGATCGTGGTCCAAAATACCAGGAAACGAGGATGCGAAGCAGCCGGCAGACTGTGTCGAGCAACAGTAAAACATGCCAACATTGTGGTTATCAGTGAAGCCTAGGTCTTCCTTGATACTGCCAACGGTAATGTGTCTTGCGATGGAAATGATGTTTTGGTAGAACGCGCCACCGACGAAATCAATATTGGAGAACATGAAGGTCTTTGAGCAGTCGAAGCCAAACGCGAGAATATCCTTTGCATTTGCAATGTCATATTTTCGGACGTCGGAAATGGCTAGGTTCTTGTCATGCAGAATTTTCATGTCGTCCGTGAGCATGAGGATCAGTTTAGCACCAAGGGCCTCCTGAAGCCATCTGCAGTCTGTTAGTTCCTGTCGGCCTAAAATGTAACTACCGGAGCAGAACTTACTGTGTGAATTCAAAAGGAATCGAGTGCCCAAGATGCAAGCTATCGCTGCTCGGACCACGGCCCGTGAAAAGGTAGATTGGGCGCCCGGCCTCATATCTGTCAAGAATCGCATCTAAATCATGGTGTGAAAAGACAATGCCTCTTCTGAGATAGCGATGCGGTCGGCGGCCAGTCAAACGCGCGAAGCGATCCAACAGCTGCTGATCGACAGGATGCGCCTTTGTCGAGCTGATGAACGCCTCATGCTTGGGGTCTTTTGGTGCCGTTAGAATAGCACGCGTGTTGCTTTCCAACGGCTTTCCATTGGTAAGTTTTGTCTTGGACAAAACGTCCAGCAGGCTCTCGTATGGAGCGCTTGTCACTGCCGACGGAGACATGTTGGCTAGTATAGTTGATGATGGTGAGATGGAAGTGAGAGAAAGAGACAATGACGCAGAGAGTGAGATTTTTTAGCATTGACTCATCTCCTCGGCTTAAGAGAGAAAAAGAGTACAAGACGAAGGACGAGAGGTCGCCAACCCGGATATACGACTTACACTAAGGCTGATGAGGTCTCCTCAGCCCCGGACCAAACCAGCACCCGGGGCGGACTGGGTGTGGCGGGCGGAAGACCCACGGGGGTGGGTTAACGACATCCTAATGCGTACGCCGGGGGGCGGCTGATGGTATGCTGCGTAAATGCATATAGATTGAGTAGCTTTGCGACGAGGCGTAGCACAAGTAAGCTTGTCTTTTTTTAGTGTTGACTGTACACTCGGGCCAGGTTGTAGGCATCTACGTCAGAATAATAGGTGCCTAGTTAGGAAGGAAAATACTACTCCAGCTGCACTGTAGTCTTGGGGTGTATGCGTTTGCTCCTAGACGACATGTACAATGATGTATTGCGATGAAATTGTTTCTTATTGAGTTATCCTGACTTAAAACATTATGTGAAAAGCTTCAATAAACAACAGTCTATATAATTATACCAAAATTGAATCTAATCCTGACCCAGGTCACTTCTTAGCCAGTCTTGCTGCACTGTACTGATAGCATTCTGGGAGCTGGGTCGTCTCCCACGGACGATTAGCCAAAATATCGACTATGCCCTTGGCACAAGTGAAAATATTGGCCATGCCGTGACCGTTGAAGCCCGCGCAAATGTACTGACCGGGCGACCCTTCGATCTCGCCCACGTACGGCATCCTGTCGGCCGTAAAGGCAATCAGCCCCGTCCAGGTGGTATCGATGCCCTCGCCGTGCCGTGTCGGCTGACCTTCTGTTCCAAAGACTTTTTGCATTCGCTGAACAATCTCATTGGCCACTTCTTGTGTTTGCGATTCCTCGGCCTGAACGCCCTTGCCCGCTGGTCGTCCGACGCTAACAATCACAGTCCCGTCAGACGGCATCTGCGCGAAGCCATAAAACATGCTGCCGTTGTCCTTGATTGCCATTGTGTTTGCGAAAAAGTTTGCCCCGGACGCTTCTGCAGGCGGGATAATGGACGCGACCTGAATCGCAAACGGAGTGAGCTTCTCCATGGTCATCTGCTGCAGAAGCGCACCCGCGTATGCATTGGTGCAGTGAATAACCTTGTCTGCAGTAACTAGCCCATGGGATGTTTGCAGCCGCACGGCAGAGCCTTGGCTGGCCACGTCGGTGACAGGGCAGTGAGTCCATAGTTGCACACCGCGGTCAATGTTATAATTCAACACCCATTGCACAAATCGTGCAGGATGGAGAGACGCAGACGGCCACTCGTAGGCTGCGACGGCGCCTTTGTTGCGACTCCTGGATTCGGCTTCCGCGCCGTACCAGCACTGTATCCCAAACTTGGCGAGGCTGCCACCAGCTGCCATAAAGTCTTTTATATTGCTCTCTTCATCGTCAACGGCATCTTGCGCCATGCAGACGTCGAAAGTGGTAGTGAGGTTCAGATCACATTGGATATCGTTTTGCTTGATAAAGTCGGTCAACAGCTTCAGGTTCTTCTCTTCCGTGTCGACAATCTTGAGCGCCTGTTCGCTTCCATGAATGGCTTTGTAGCTGGAGAAATTGCGGAATGCATCTGGTCGGCAGTGGCCTGCGTTGCGGCCGGTTGATCCTGAGACAGCTTCGCGGGCTTCGAGTATGAGAATGTCTTTGCCTGGAATGCCTTGCTGTAAGAGGTTGTAGGCGACTAGCGAGCCCGATAAGCCCGAGCCGATGATAGCATATGTAGTAGAAGCTGGGAGAGGCTCATTTTGATTATGGTTCAAGTATTTGAAGGACCGTGTAGTGCGATGCCAATAGGAAAGACCAGAGCTCTTGCTAGGCAGCGAAGCGCGAAGCATGGACTCATGATTGCCGTCTGTTGTCATGATGGATTTTTGATTCTATAAAGAAGTGAAATAGAGGGGAAAAGAGCTGGAGAAGAAGAAAGTAACAGATTGCAGCATTCAGCTCGCCTCGTAAAAAAACACAATAGAACAATTAACGAGGCTCGGTTTTAGTCACAAAGTAGACTGGTAGGGCCACCACTTGAATCCTCCAAGGCTGACTGGGCGGCTCTCAGCTGCGACCACAGACACCCACGCCAGCTGCTACATACACCCAGATGCACCAGCTGGCGGCAGCTGGCGACAGCCATGGCGGGTGGGTGGTGTCCGAACTTACACACGCCGATTCTGGCACTGCCAGACGCCCGTCTGCCAGTTGGTGCCAGGTGTTACAACTGCTAAGTTATTATGCACGTATACGGTATTTCTCAATACATTTCAGTAATCCCGGGTTAAACGCATATCCTCTAGTTAGGGGCGTGTGCCTTATTCTGTGATCTACCTCCTTTAACCAAAATGCCGGCTCAATGTAGTTTCGTATTTAATGCGCGAAACCGAAACTACTAGACTCTATTCTTACCAATTTCTCGGCCGTGGCCCCCACACTTGCAAGTGCGCGAGACGCGAGAGCCGAGCAGGGCCAGCTGGAAATAATGGAACCACTCTATTAGCTGAAGCTCTAGTGCATCTCACGCCAACGTTGCAACAGGGAATCGAGCGTTGTGAACCCACCAGATTCGCCCTGCAAAAACCGAGTGAACCCACAAGCTGAGCTCGGATTCCTGGGACGAACGCTTTGCCTGCCTGCAACCCAGCGCACTTTGAAGCTTGGGACTAGCGTCTGCGCAAAACTTCGGAGGTCTGACACACATGAGCCGCTTCACGCCATGTAACGGGTGTGGCGCGAGTTTGGATTAATGGCCAAGACGGATCGAACTTGTTTCGGCCGTGTGTCTGTCCGTGTATCGTCCTGCCAAAATGACAGGGCGAGCGAGAGGGCGGCCCTGGTAGAGTGGTTGCTTTTGGTTGGTGGGAGGGGCGTATGGCTCGCTGTTCGCTACTTTCGCGCTTCAATGGTACGCTGCAGCAGTATGGTGAGTGTCTGGGCCGTCCATGCTCCCAGGGGGCACAGCATGGTGCCGACTAAACGCGCAGCCGAAGCACTGTTGGTTCATTGTCAAGGACTGTCTTCGAGTCCTGGATTATTTTGAAAATTGTAATCCTTCTCATTGCAAAGATTCACATTCTACTCTACGCATCGCAAAATAAAACATCGTTTCGACTTACACAATAGGAGCCAAGATGGCGACAGCGACAGGCAATCTCGTCAACGACACTAATGGGCTAGGGGACAAGTCCCACTCATCAGACATGTCTCCTGAGGTCGAGACCAAGCCTGCGAACCCAATGGGCGATATCCCCAATGGCGGAACTATGGCGTGGCTGCACGTTTTGGGCGCCTTCATGCTCTACTTCAACACTTGGGGTATTCTCAACACATTTGGTGTCTTCCAGACATTTTATGAATCTGGCACACTGTTTGTGCAAAGCTCGTCCAATATTTCGTGGATTGGATCTATCCAGGCGTTTCTGGTCCTTGTTGTTGGCTTTCTCTCTGGCCCAATCTATGATGGCGGCCATCTACGAGCCCTTCTCGTTACCGGCTCGTTTCTTATTGTTTTCGGCCACATGATGCTCAGTCTAGTCACCACGTACTGGCAGGCTGTTCTGGCACAAGGTGTCTGTATTGGGTTGGGCTCTGGACTCATCTACGTGCCGGCCGTGGCCATCCTGCCCACCTACTTTAGCACCCGTCTTGGCCTAGCGGTTGGTCTAGCGGCAGCCGGCTCCAGCATTGGTGGTATTATTTACCCAATCGTGTTTTACAAGCTCATTGCATCTATTGGATTTGGCTGGAGTGTCCGGGTTGTTGGGTTCATTGCCTTGGCTACGCTTGCCATCCCCATCATGGTGATGAAGATGCGTGTCAAGCCACCCAAGGCTCGTGCCCTCTTTGACAAGTCTGCTCTCACCGATTGGCCGTTCCTCCTCTTCACGCTGGCGACACTTATTGGATTCATGGGTCTATACACCATGTTTTTCTACCTGTCGTACTATGCAGAGGCCAACCATATCACCTCCACCGACTTGGCGTTTTACTTGGTGCCCATTCTCAACGCCTCGTCAATCTTCGGCCGAACTATCCCCAACGCAGTCTCCGACTCGACTGGCACCTTCAATCTGATTGGCCCTGGTGCTATCATTGTGGCCATTATTATTTTTGGCATGCTTGGCGCCAAATCCGTCGCTAGCGTCGTCATCCTTGCTATCCTTTTTGGTTTCTTCTCTGGCGTCTTTATTGCGCTGCCCCCTGTCTGTATTGTCAGACTGACCAAGGATCGCGCCACGATCGGTACTCGCATGGGCATGGCCTTTGGTATTATCGGCCTTGGCGTCTTTGTTGGTGGTCCTGGCGGTGGCGGTCTACTCGCCAGCGGCTCAGGAAATAACTGGGATGCCCTCTGGACATTTGGTGGCGTGGCATCTCTTGTGTCCGGCGTGCTCTTCATGGGCGTCCGTGTTTGGAAGGCGGGCTTGAAGCTAGTCAAGGTCTAAGTTTACGCTGCCCTGTCTGGCCGCCTGTCAAAGATCGTGATGCGATCGGTGAGCCCACTGAAAATCTCGCCGCTGGCCTCGCTGCAACCAACTGCAAGGGATAGCTTCAGTGGAGTCCAGCGGAGGTGGGTCAGCGATTCACTGTAACTCGGAAGATAGAAAATGCAACAATATGATTAAAAGCTTCGATTCACTCTAACTGTGCCGTTTTTTACAAGGTGATTGTGCAGAGGTGTTCATTGCTAAGCCGTAGAGGTGAGTGGTTTATCAAAATGTACTAAAATGTACTCTATAAATTCAAACAAAAAGTGTTTAACTAAAAGAGAAATCCCGACGTGTACTTCTATCAACCGTGTAAAGATAATTTCTTGCATTCTAGTTCGTCTTTCCGGTTTTCCAACGCGGTCATCACATCACTCTATTTAACGGTAGCCTTGGGAGACATGGGAGCCATAAATGAGGCCTCCTTGGCAACCTCGACGTGGAGCGGAGCCTGAAATGATCCTTCAGCGGGGGCTTCCTCTGCAACGCTCTCCTTGACCATGTAAAAGTACGGCCGGCCGTTCTTGTAGACAAGGTCATGAGTCATCTTGACATCCTCCGAGTGGACGCAGTGGTAGCCGCCCTGAGCGTCAATCGCAACGCAGCTGTGCCAGGGCGAGCGCTGAAAGAAGCCCTTGGGACACGGGATGAGGGAGATGGACAGCTTGGCCGCGCCAGACGAAGGATGCATCGACAGGCGCACATCCATGGGCCGCAGGCTGCGGATGGCCATGGTGAAGGCCTCGGAGCGCTGCATCATCTTCTTGGCCGTGTCCTTTTGCAGCCTCTTGCGCTCCTTGTAGCTCTTGCCGACGAGCGCCGCGCTAATCTCCGTCTCGAGAAACTTGACCATGCCACAGTACGTGGAGTTTGTATCGCGGTCCGCCGTGATCAGGGCCTCAATCTCCTTAATGGTTGATCCGTACTGGGCCTCCAGCATGGAGCGACACTCATCCGCCGTTTCCATGTACTTTTCGCGCGTCATTTCGCTGGCAGGCACCATGCCAAGCAGCGTCTGAGGATGGACAAAGACGACATGGTGCAGCTTCTTTTCCGCAATGATGGCGCGCAGCTCCTGGCCGTATTCCCAGGTATCCTGGTCCGTGACGCCAATGACATCTGCCACCCCCAACAAAGTCAGCCTTGTGATCGCCCAGGTATATTTTTTTCCGATGCAAGACATACCGTTAAACAGAATACCGTCCGAGGCAATATTCACAATCGCACCCTGCTCGTAGACTTCGCTAATGGCCACGGCAATATCATTGAGGCGACTGAGGCCGAGTTCTTCACCAAGGTCGGGCAAATGGCCAAGGACCTTGTTTTCGCGATTGGCCTAAAGGTGGGTTAGCAAGTGGTGCTTTCGCGATGTGTGGCTGGTGGGTAGTGAGTGGCCTTACGCTCTTGCATGGGAAGGCTGGCATGGTCAGCTGAATGGGTTCTTCTTTACGAACGCGGCTGATCACATGGTGGAGAAATTTGGGTTTTCCGATCCATTTGCCCTGCAGACGGGGATCTTTGGTGATGTGAGTTCCGAATGATTCGAGAATGTCGAGAATGCGGATCGTGGTTTCAATCTTGGTGAGATCGTTTGTGATGCAAGTGCATGCAGCGACGTCGTCACAGGGGGGCGAAGCAATAAATGAGGAAGTCTTCACAACATTCTGTGTAAATGAAGTGGAAACATCTTCCGTGTTGTTTGTAAATGAAGAAGGAGGAGAAGAAGCAGTGTTTGTGTGCTTGTTTGCCTGCTTGTCTGTGACAAGAGGCAGAAATACAGGGACGGTAGCGGGCATCGTTGTTGCGGGCTGAGTGGAAGTGGGTTGTATGAAAGGGGCAGTATATAGTAGTATATTATAGGTGAAACGAACGGAGCACTGTATATGTATATGAGAATATATGGAAGAGTGTCTGGGGACAATGAATGACAAGTTCCAAGCAAACAAGTGGTGGCCTGTGGTGCTTTATATCCCCCTCCGATACAGCTGGATCCAGGCAAAGGCCCTGGATAGCATAACCCAGCAAGACCTGTGAAAAAACTCAAATGACTCTGCTAGGCAAAAACTCAGCTCAGCGCGTAAACGGGCGTGTCTATCCAGAATAAACGTGGGATGCGAGCGAGGCAGGCTGAGCAACGCCTCGTGGAGGGCAACCGAGCCAGTCACAGCGCAGCATGGCCCAGGCACATTATGTCCGTCAGCCCCATCCCAGGGATTCTTTTTTATTATACAGACATGCATAGACATATACGGCGGGTGCTTTTGATATATTGCTATACAGCTTCATTTCGTTTCTACTTGTCTCTGGTCCTCTATGCCGTCGCCCATGATAGCTGTCTCTATCTCGATGACTACTCTCGATGACCTCGATGGCCTGTACTTTCCGCCCAGATACATTTCCGACGTGTAATAAAATCCAGTAGAACCGGCCCAGCAAGCCGTATTCCCCCCGTATACTACTTACACGCCGTGCATCGCAGGGCCGAGGATGCAGTGTAGCACTGCCTGCCGCTGTTACGTCGTCCATCTCGATGGAAAGACCACTTTTCCGTGCAACTCCGAGCGTAGCCGTCCCTATGGCTAGCATCCACGCCGTGCTTTGATATCTACACTAGCCAAACTCCGCTAGGCCGGATGTGAAAGTGACAATGGCACCGCACCACAACGCAATGCAACGTCAAGTAAGTTTCCGTCTTTCCGCTAGGAGGGGTGTGTGTACATGATGCAAGGCAAGAAGAACGTGAAACTGCTGGCTTGCAAACTAGATACCGCCGGCAATTGGGTGGCCCTGGGTTTCGAGATGACGATGAACCCTTTGTTGGGGATCAAAAGAAGGTAAAATTGCCACTAGCTGAGACCTGGGCTTGCAGGAATATGGAGATGTTGTGCATGGAAGCACGTTTGGAAGACGTGAGATCGCTCAACAGTTTCTTGTTTAGGCAAGAGGCCGTGGAAGAATAGAGCAGGGCCGTCTTCAGCTGCTAGTCCGGAGACTGTCCGAAAGATTCTGACTGATCCACGAATAGCTTGTGGTTCCCTGCTTGTGCTTTGATTCCAAGCTTGTCTCGCCCTGCTGCTGCACTGCAACACAATGTTGCCACGTTCCCCTGCACACCTTAAAACGTTATTATTCCACTCTAAACCGTCTGTTCGCAAGAACACGTTCTCTCTTTCTGTGCCGTCTTTCTTCGTATTTTACTCCCTTTCTTTCTTGTTTCCTGTTTCGGCGTTCCCGATTGTCGTCGATTCTGCATCACTTGGCGCCGCCGCCCAGATCCCACACCACCAACAATCTATCGCTGGAACGCCCTCAAGCCACTCCCTCTTTTACTAGTTACCCTGAATATTGCCATATAATGCGGCTGAATAGACTAAAACCCGGTAGTCTGTAACCACTCAGAGCTCGCTAAATTACGAAATCGTAAGCAGACTGCGCCAGCACCAAGTACACTGGTTGGTGGTGTGCGGGCGTTCGCGTGCCGAAGCCACAACGTGTAAAGGCGAGCCGGATAAGGGAATTAAAATCAAAAAACAGCCTACCAAAAGGGAAACCGCAGGCGGCGATCGCCCGCTAGTCGCATGCTTTGCCTTCATTGTCCTCCTTTATCCTAACTAAGTGGAGATCTCTCAGCCACCCCAACCAGGCTCCGTGCTAACAACGTAGCTAACCGAATAAATACGATCGGATGAAGGGCAGGGGGGAGGGGGGCGTGCAAGATGGGGCAACCCTACGTTTTCTGGATATAAGAATATTTCGAATGTAATACGCCCCCTTGGACAGAGAACAATGAACGGGGGGCGTGTGCGTGTGTAAGCCGAAGAGATGGTTTCGGCATTGACAGTTTGGGGCGGCGCGGAGAAGCTCGTGTAAGACGATAGTTGCGCTGCGTCGAGTGGAAAGTCGTTATAACGATGCTGGTTGACGTGTTTGCCTGTCTGTCCGGGGTGATTATGTAGCCGGGTGCCCGTCCTTCCTCCTTCTTGTTTGTTTGCTCTTCTCTGTACCTTTCACTCCCCCATTCGCAATACACAGACACTATGGCGCCCATCTCAACTGCAGATCTGAGAGACTCGCCCGTCGTTATTCTCCCCAAACCTTCCCCCAAAGCCATTGAGTCGCGGCTCTTCATCAACAATGAATTCATCCCGTCCGTCTCTGGCAAACGCTTTGATGTAATCAGCCCGATTACAGAAGCCGTCAGTGCTTCCGTGTATGAAGCGGGCGTTGAAGATGTCGAGCTCGCTGTGCAGGCTGCCAAGGCTGCGCTGCCTGCTTGGTCTGAACGCAATGCAACTGAGCGCGCGCACTTTCTCAACAAATGGGCCGATGCTCTAGAGGCGGCGGCCGAGGAAATGGCCTATCTGGATGCCATCTCCATGGGCAAGCCGGCATATCCTGACCGTCTGGCGCCCATGGTGCCCATCATTGTGCGCTTCTTTGCCGCAAAGGCACTTGACATTACGGGCGAGAGCTCGCTCAACTCTGCGGGCTTCATGAATGTCAGTCTGAGACAGCCGTACGGTGTTTGTGCAGCCATTACGCCATGGAACGCCCCCGTTATGATGATGGTATATAAAGTGTCGGCGGCCTTGATTACTGGAAACACACTAGTGCTCAAGTCGAGTGAAAAGTCGCCTCTTAGCTCACTCGTTGCTGCTCGATGTGCCCGCGAGGCAGGCTTTCCTCCTGGTGTGCTCAATGTTCTGAGCGGCTTTGGCAGACCGTGTGGTGAAGCACTAGCACGCCACATGGAGATCCGCAAGATCTCATTTACAGGTAGCACTGCCACAGGCAAAGCGATTCAGAAATGTGCTGCCGAGTCGAATCTCAAGAGTGTCTCTCTTGAATTGGGCGGAAAGAGCCCGCTTGTCATCTTTGAGGATGCCGACTTGGCAAAAGCCATTCCTGCATCCACAATGTCCATTCTCATGAACTCAGGACAAGTATGCAACGCTATTACGCGAGTCTATGTCCACGAGTCTCTTGCCGAGGCGTTTATCGAGGGTGTCAAGGGCGCCATGTCAGCCATGGGCGCCAGCGCAAACCCTCTGCACGAAGGCACTATGCGTGGCCCCCAGGCCGATCGCCTCCAATTCGAGCGTGTGCTTGCCTACCTCGATCTGGCCAAACAGTCTGGAATCAGAATCGCACATGGCGGTAACAGAGAAGCATCGCCCGGATACTATGTCGAGCCAACAATCCTTGTCGACGTGCCTGAGGACTCGAGACTTGTCAAGGAAGAAATCTTTGGTCCTGTTCTCATCGTCAACCGCTTCTCAGAAGAGAATGACGCCTTAAATCGCGCTAACGACTCCGAGTACGGACTCTACGCCAGCGTATTTACTCGCGACCTCAGCCGCGCCATTCGAGTAGCCAAGAGACTCGAGGCCGGTAGCGTTGGCGTCAATTGCACATCACCTGTCCTAGCCATGGACATGCCGTTTGGTGGGTGGAAGAGCTCAGGCCAAGGCCGCGAATTTAGTCGATATGCTACAGATTACTGGACGGAACTGAAAAGCGTGTATTTTGCCATTTAAGCGACGTAGGAGTTGTATAGAATAGACGCAGGCGCATATGTTTATACCAAAGACTGGATTGAACTGAATTTCTTTTTAAATCTATGCTGTGCGCTTCTCAGTAATGGACTCACCAAATGGCTTCTCTTCGACAAAGCCTGCATTGCCGGCACCATGCTCAAACACTTTGCGTCCGCGCAGCCATGTCTCCTTGACACGGCCTGTAAACTCGTGCCCTTGCCACGGCGAGCACTTGTTCTTCCAGCGCATATCGCCCTGTGAAAACGTCCACACCTCTGCATCGTCAAATACGCAAACATCGGCGTCCATGCCCGTTTTCAGCGCACCCTTACGGTGATACAAGCCAACTTGTTTCGCTGTAGCCTGGCAGCAGAGGCGGACCATGTCCGTCAGACTAGGAACGGCGCCAGACCTCGCCTTGGCAGACGAGTGAAGAATAGGCAGCCCGAGACCAACAGACGAAATACCACCCCATGCGCCGTGGAAGTCGCCCTTGGATTCTTGAGACTTGTTAGGCGTTGCTGATCCGTTGGCGGGCTGCAAGTGTGGCGGAAGCAGCTTGAGCTCAGGTGTGCAGGGCGAATGGTCAGATACGACAGTCTGGATGCACGAGTCGGGGGCTACAAGCTCGGCCCAGAGTTTGTCGCGGTTGTTTGCCTCGCGGATCGGCGGGCAGCACTTGTGTCGGGTATCGCCTGCTTCGATTTCTTCGGCGCTCAGGCCCAAGTAGTGGAAGCATGTCTCGGCGGTGATGTTGATGCCCTTTTCGCGGGCCGCTCGTAGCAGTGGGATACATTGTGTGGCGGACAAGTGGACAATGTGGAGAGGAAGTTTGGGGGCAATATGAGCGAGCGAGAGAATCTCTTCAATGGCGGTGGTTTCAAACACTGGCGGTCGTGAGTCGAGGAAGGACTTGTAGGCGGTTGCGTCGCTGTTGGTGGCGTCTATCTTAGGGGCACCCTCGGCCGGGACCATCTCTGCGTGGAACATGAGCGTTGTGGTTGAGTCTTTGAGCGTTTCCATAGCGAGGGCAACATCGTTGCCATTGACAGCAGGGAATTCGTCAACCTAAATGATCAATTGGATTAGCTGTATGTTTCCAAAACCAGTAGACTCAGCACCTACACCAGATTCGATTAGAAAGCCCTTGAAACCACGAACACCAGCTTCCACCAAAGGCTTCAGCTCATCAGCATTTCCAGGAATAACTCCTCCATAGAAACCAACATCCACCCAGCATTGTCCACGGCTAGCGGCGAGCTTTTCATTAAAGCCATTAATCGTCGTTGTAGGCGGAATAGCATTAAGCGGCATGTCAATGACTGTCGTCACACCTCCACTTGCAGCAGCTCTAGTTCCGGTCCAGAAGCCTTCCCATTCCGTACGACCAGGCTCGTTCAGATGAACATGCGCATCTACAAGACCTGGAAGAAGCAGCTTGGGCGAGTAGTCCACATAGACTGCGTCTGCAGGGCACTGGTCCTTGGGCACTACGGAAGGCTGCACAGAGACAATCTTTCCAGTCTTGGACGATATTGTGATTGTCGCGGGTGACATTACCAGGGAATCATCGTCCTGAGTCAGCACCGCCCGCGTTGAGACGAGAATCGTAAGGTCGGAGATAGCCATGGTGGCTCGCGTGCAGGGTGCAGCAGCGTGTTGGAGATGCGGTGCGGGGGCGGGGTAGTCTGAGATCGCAGGGGCAGACACGCACTGGCTGGTGTATTTGCGTAGTGGCTGCAGCTGCTGTTGTTGTGATGACGAGGGGGGAGTGAGAATTATAAAAAAGATCTTGCGGAAGAAAAAGAAGAGTGACGAGGAGAGGCCAAGTTTATCTGTTAGGTTTGCCAGCTGTCGGCCGGCGCCGATGTGGAGACGGCATTTTGTAGCGAAGCGCGCGGCGATGAGCGATGGGCGCAGCGGCACGATGAGATGCTGTGCGGTGTGCTTGTACCATAGAAGTAATAGAAACAAAAATGTGGTGCTAATTACACGGAACAAATTAAGCTTCTCCTTTGCGCTTACTTGGTTTTGTCTCGCGCATTACATTCGGTCTACATCTGTATCACGGGTAGCTTCAAGCATACCGGCCAAGACATCACAAGAACAGACTCCGTTTGTTTTTGGAAATGATCAAAGACTTTGTAAATTATACGTGATACAATGATGGATCGACAGCACCACACTGAAATTCAGTAGGCACATATCCAAACACCAACCGGACATTACGCCGTGCCGTCAAGTAAACCCAAATCGCCTTCCAGTCACCGTCTAACCGCTCTATATGCGCAATCCATAAAAACAAAAGATCCCTTACTTTTCTAGAAGAAAGAAATTGTGTCGTTCCGTTATTTCTCACTTATTTTCTTCTCTTTTTCTCGCAGCAGCTATCGCGTTCCTTTCACTGTTACCTGTCACGGTCGTGCGGGTAACAGTCCGCTCTGTTCGGTCTGTCGCCGAGGGCACGCGAAGGTTCCATTTCCATTCTGTTGTTTGTTGTTTTTTGACGAAAAAAATACAGTATTTATACAAAAGGGGAGGAGGATATTGGCTTTGAGTAGAGTGTTTACTTTTGGCGCTGAATCGTCTTTTGGGCCATCTCGATGAGGCCGTCCTTGGCTTCGCTCGCGGGGAAGTCGGCTAGTGCGGCAATAGCCTTATCGGAGTAGTCGTGGGCGAGAGCACGGGTTTGCTCAATGCCGTCGCTCTGGAGAACAAGATCACGGGCCTGGAATAAGTTAGCATGAGTCACGCTCACAAGTTTTCTTACAGATAGAAGAACCACTTACACGTTCAACGTCACCCTCGCGCTCAAACTTGCGGCCAACCAGGGCACCAAGCTCGGGCATCTGCTTCCAGGCAAACAAAAGAGGAGCAGTAGCAAGGCCGAGCTCAAGATCAGCACCAGCAGGCTTGCCAAGGTCCTTTGCCGAGCGCGTGTAGTCGAGCATGTCGTCCACGAGCTGGAAGGCCAGGCCAAGATTGCGGCCGTAAGAGTAGGCTGCCTCGACGGTGGCGTTGTCCGCATTGCCCAGCAGCGCGGCGGCTCTGCACGACTTGGAGATGAGACTGGCCGTCTTGAGATATGTCTTTTGCAAGTAGTAGCTGAGCGTCTCCTCAGACCACTGAGGATTCTTCTCATCCCTCTCCGTGTTCTTCAGCTGCATGAACTCGCCCTCGACAAGGTTGGCAATGACGGTGGCGAGCAGCTCAACAACTTCAGCGTTGCGCAGTCTAGCCAGCGCAACAGAGGCACGGCCGAGCAAAAAGTCGCCGGCTAAGACGGCCATCTTGTTACCGAATTCGAGGTTGGCCGAGGGAGAGCCTCGTCTGGAGACGGAGTGGTCAATGACATCGTCGTGGAGTAACGAGGCTGTGTGAATCAGCTCTGTGATTTCGGCCAGGCGGCGCTGGCTGGGCAGGATATCGAGGCTGCCGTCGGCAAGCTCGGGCTCCCTGGCTGTGAGCGGCCGCTGGGAGGGGTTAACGTCGGCGAGGATCTGTGCGGGAGAAATGGAAGTGTCAATGCCTCGCAGGCTCTGCGTAGGCTCGGGAAAGGGTGTTTTGGGGCACAAGTGGGTGGCTCTGCTCATGAGCAGAACAATGAGCGGGCGAATGTGCTTGCCCTCGGCCTGGGTGTAGTACTTGGCGACTCTGTCAAGGGCCGGGTGTCCAGAGCCCAGCAGTTTGCGAATGTTGCCAGTAAGAAACTTCATCTCCTTGGCCACAGTTCGCAAGGGGTCAATGTGCATGCCGTCCTTGGAGGCCTGCTTGACCACGTTGCCCACCATGTTGGAGGCGACCTGGACAGCGGCGGCCCAGGCGGAGTCTCTCCTCGAGGAATAATGTATCGTCGCTCGCTGCTGCTGCTGCAGTCGAGTTGGTGATGCTGCAGCGTATTCCAGTCTGCACAATCGGCACGAAGAGTGCATAGTTGCGGCTCTTCCGGACATGGCGTCGCGGAGGACGACTGACCCTGAACGGAGGCTCATGATGGGAGAAGGGAGAGTTTGTCGGGCGAGGCGATGCGGGAGCGAAGAAAATAAAAATCAGAAATCGATCGAGATGGTGGAATTGATGCCGCCGGTGATGGAAATTCAGAGGAGTCGAATGCCCGCGGCGGTGCAAACTAGGCGGTTGCTTGGGGCGGAAGTTGTTGGATGCGGCAGAAAGCTAAACTTTTTGCTAGCTCGCTTTTCGCTGCGCTGCTGATTTCAGCGCAACCGCGACCTGCGGAGCAGCCCGGAATCCGCTCCCCGTCGCCGCAACGCACGCTCATTGGCCAGCGCACCACGTACCTGATTTGGTTGGCAGGCAGCCATTTGGCGATTCCACACGTGCTCTGAGAAGAGCTGGCATCATCATCATCACCACCACTACTACAAAGAAAATAAATAATTTTATATACGGAAGAATATATGCAGTAGTGGTTTTCTTTAGTGCACATTACTGGTGAATTACTGCCCGACGTATAACTCCCTCCAAACACCTAGCACCGAAAACCACCCTTGCGACCACATCAACCATCACCAAGAAGACTAGACGGACGGACGCAGCATCATGGTTCTCCTCACCATGACACCGTCTATTGTCGACGGGTTGAATACTCTCGGCTCCCAAGCCACCCAACTACAGCAGGACACAGAGCCAACTCTTGCCAACTGTGCTGTTGGAAACCCCATTTCACATGCCCAGGTCCTTCGTCTCTGGAAGCAGCTCCAGTCCTCTACGAAATCAACCGCCACATTAGAATCGCTCCTCGTTGGAGCAAGAGTATATACTCCACCTCCACCTCCCAAAGCAGAAAAGGTTCGTCCTAATCATCTTGTCATTGTCTGTTCGCCCTTCTAACAAGACCGTTCCCAAAGTCCCCAGAGTACATTGCCCTAATGGCCCGATTACGACGAGACGAAGACGAGCGTGCATACGAACGAATGATAAACCCCACTGCCAAAATGGAAACATTCAACGACAGATTTCCCAGTGCTGCGCAATCCTATTCTGCCGTCAACCGCCCCATGACGCAGGCGGACATGGGCGATGACGAGGTTACACTTACAGAGGTCCACCGACAGGTCATGTTAATTATGAACTTTGTGCTCAGCATCGCTGGTGTAGCTGGCACACTCTGGGTTCTCGCTAGATGGTGGCCTTTATCAGCCCGCATATTACTTACACTCGGAGGAAGCATAGCAGTTGCGATTGCCGAGGTGGGTGTGTACTCTGCCTACATGTGGCGGCTGGGCGAGGCGCATAAGAAGGATAAGAATAAAAAGGAAATTAAAGAAATAACGCAAACATGGACGGTCGAAAAAGAAGAGCCAGATACGACGAGTGTCTTAATTAAGGAGAAGGCCAACGTCGAGAGTGATGCACTGCGGAAGAGGGAGGTGCCGACCAAGGCAAAGTCATAGCAAAATGTATCTGAACAGTCTTCACTTTACACCCGTCGTGACGAATACGATATCAATATACAAAAAGATCTTTTATCGCACATCGTATCACACACAGGCGACATCATAGGCGGTGCTACGGCTTCGTCATCAACTAATCTGGCCAAGAACACCTATAATACGTACTCAACACCAAATAGCCTCTATGTGTTTGTAGAAGCAATTTGCCAGATAAATTCACAACACATACAGAATATAATCACCTCTATAATAATGAAACCCAACAACACATAATTAGAAACCGTGTTATTCCCGGCCAGCCTTACACCTAACAAGTCGTTATGCTCTGTCGAACCACTTTAAGTGCGCGCATGTGACGACGCGTCGCGCGCGGCGATCAAAAACGGACGCGTCCAACTCGGTGGGGCGCGCGCCATCAACGCAACGCTCGTCATTTCACGATGGGGAAATTGTTCTCCAAAACCCTTGCTTTTTTTTCTCTTGCGTTTCTGCTCCGTTGAATCCTCTCGTGCCTCATCGAATCATCATCATCGACATTACCGCCCCGTCATATCTACACATGCATACATTATAAAGCGACACTTCCACCCTAACCAGTAGTGCATCTCCAACGCACGCCTGTCTTGAGGACGCGGACCGCGACGTTGACCCTCTCTCCCCTCCAGCAAAGTCACGCCAACATGGTCAACTCGTCGCCGGAATATGCCATGTATGCTTTACTCGTCCATCCCAATAAGACAACCACACTAACCCTCTCACAGAACCAAGGCGGGTGTCTTCAACTCAGGCCGAAAGCGCGACAAGATGCTACGAACGTACGGCAGAAAGGGCACTGCCACGCCAGAGGCACGCGAGAGCCCTACAAAGAAACAAGTCAGATTTGCCACCGAGGTCCAAGAACAGGAGATTTACAAGAACGAGCCTCCATCGGCATGCCGTCGCCGTCCGAGCAAAGCAGACGACGTGACGCAAGACGCGGAGGCAACGCCGACCAAGAGCACAGGCGACACACCGTCAACACCGTCAAAGCATAGCATTCTCAACTACTTTAAGCCCGTTATCCCATCTCCAAGCGCAGCCAAGACGACCAAACGAGCGCGAGAGGAGGTTGAAGAGTTGTCGTCGCCGCTACTAGCGCCCAAGCCAACGAAACGAAGAAGACTGTTGAGCGTACGGCCGAACCGCTTCCTTACCGACGCGCCATCTTCTGATGCTGATGATGAGGGTGCCAATGATGCCAGGCGGGCCAAGGCCAAGACTCAGAAAGAGGAGCTGTCGCCCCTCAGAGACGGCGGCGAGGCGCTTCATAATAGAAGGCCACTCGTTGACTCTGCGCCGGGCGACAAGAAGGCTAGAAAGGAAGCAAGCGCGCAGGTACAGACTACACTCAACATCTCCAGCAAGGGTACGATTACTGAGTGCAAGGTCTGTGATACGGTCTGGAATCCCCTGTATCCGGACGATGTAAAGTACCATACGAAACGGCATGCGGCGCATCTACGGGCAAAGGCGAAGAAGACAGTGGACGAATTATAATGACATGACATGGCGTTTTATTATGCACGACAAAAATTAATGGGAGGGCGTTTTGCTATAGTGGCGTTTGGAAATATCATGCTTGCTGTCTTGGTGTTGGCGTCTTGTCGTTTAAAGCTGAGCATTGGGTAGCGCTAGTTTCTTTTTTTTTTAGGAATATCATATGTACTGAATATCTAAGTGGTTTGTTTTGAAAGATGTGACTTGGTGTGATATGCTAGTCCATTTCAATTACCGAAGAATCCGAGATGACTCCTTGGTCTTCCTCATCGTCGTTATAATGATCATGGTCATCCTCCTCCCCAGTGTTGCCGTCACTGCTCTCCGCCTCATTGCCATTATCATCATGGTTATCATCTTGCCCAGTATTGCCGTCACTAGTCTCTGCCTCGTCGTCGCTATAGTCCAACTCGATCGAATCGGGAAACAGTCTTTCTTCATTAAACTCAAGCTTGATTCCCTTTGCTTTAAACTGCAGCTGCAATGCTGCAGCCTTCGACTCATGAAAATAGCCGCCGTATTTAAAGCTTTTGAGATTTGGATATCGATGGGCAACTCCCAAGAGCAGTGATAGGTCGGGCAGCCTGCTGAGCAGGCCAATCTCTATAACCTGAACACTTGCAGGAAAGAAGAAAGCCCATTGCGCGTCTGTAGCACCTGGGCCTAGAACATGCCCTGCCTCGCCCAAACAGACCTTCTCTAGGTGTTGGAGCCCTCGGAAACTGGCTACTCGTGGAATGTCACTTTCGTCAGCGTACCCTCCCATGGAGCTAAATGAAAAATTGCGCATGTCTTGGTCTGTCCATGTTAACGACAAGGTGCGGAGTTTGAACTCGGGATGTTTGGCGCTGTGAGACTCCAGTATGCGCACCAACTCCTCCGGCATTACCGCATCGTTCATCATTCCGTCGAGCATCCACACATCTTCCAAATCCAGCAAGTATCGAAACGTTGTCAGTGAGGGAAAACTGGCAAGTATATCTTCCAGCACATTGCTGGTCATAAGAGACTGCTGCAGGACCAATTCTGTGACGCTGGTGCTTCGCAATGTATGTGGCATGTAGGATGTGGCGAGTTTGTGCATTGAGAGCGTCCGAAGTGCTTTTGCCTTGCGTATAAATGTGCCTAGGCTGTCCGTCAAATATGTATCGTTGGAGCCTTCGTAGTTAGAGTGGTCCCTGAGCCACCTGAATACCATTTCTTCTACGTGGCTCTGCTTGGATAATTTTGGCGCGGTTGGGAATAAAACTTCATCTTTTATATCCAGCTCGATGTCCAATCTCTCAACATTTGTGCACTGGTCAAGTAGAAGCCGCCGGATAAGCATCCTAGATTCATGAGATGGATAATAGCCCCGATCCCACGTTTTCTTCTTGCTAAAAGTCTTTGATTCGATAGGCTCAACCTGACCAGCCTCAAAACTCTTCCTAGCTTGCAAGTTCAAGCAGGCTGCATCTTCTGGTGTAATGCACCAACTCTTCGTCCCGTCTTCTCCTCTCACAGCAGGCAGGCCTGGATAGAGTCTCAGCTGCGCATTTTTTACTAGAGCTGCCAGATCAGGCCGTTCAATCAACGTCCGTGCTAATCTGGGCAGAGCTGTCGTGACTGGGTATCTGTACATTAGTGGTGTGAAAGTCACGTTGAGTGTTTTGCATGTTAGCACGAGACTCGCCAAGGACCCTTGGTATCGATGCCAGATGGACAGGCCGGTGTGCGACGGATTGTTTGATAGTACATGTCCGCCAATCTGAAGTAATATCTCTAACGGCAGATGTATCAGATTGGGCACATCCATGGTTGTAGATGCAGTTTGTTACATCGCAGGGTGACCGCAACGATACTCGTAAGCTGAGTTGGAGTGCGCAGTAGGGTACAAGGTTGAGGGTTAGGGTCATTGTATCAAGTACCAATGTTGGTGCCGCGCAGTTGAGCCAGCCGCGGTAACTGTATTTCATATTCAGAGAAAACTGCTACCAAGCCAGCAACGTGATTTGGCATAATATGGCCAACGAGGATGTCTTGGCTGTAAATAGTAGATGTTCCTATGGAGAGGCGCTTGTAATTTTAGCATTAGCGTGCAATTGATTTGTGAAATTACACTGTAGTGGTCGAAATAGATGACCAAGACAAATGCGAGTAGGCGAATACTGAACATCCAAATAAGGCATAGCTAAGAAAACTGCGACTCAAATAAATATTACATTTTATTTCACAGGTCAGCATCGGCATCGACATGAACCACATCGCCATCTTCCTCCATGAGGCTACCTTTCCCACCGTCCAATACCGCAACAGCAGCTGCAGCTCCGTTTTTCGAAATCTTGAGGAGCTTCTGCTTTTCATTGGCAATGTCAGCATCGCTGAGCGCAGTAGTATCCAAATTGACAAGTTTTGCTAAAATACCGTGGCGTCTGTTACTTAGCCCAAGTATATCGATTCCGCTGACCTGCTCAGCTTCTTTGGCGGTCAATTTGCCTCTGTTAACTAGGAAGTGAAGTAGGTCGTAATTATCCTTAAATTCCCCGTTTGTCACTTCGACGGCATGCAGAATCTATAAATTAGGTTAGTCCAGAGGCAATCATTTGCTACACCACCGCAACATACCTTGTTAACCAACCAAGTTTCCAGGAGCTATCTTGTCAATGACGCCCTTGTGATTGCCTATGAATGTATCATGGTGAGTCTGCCCATTTTTATATACGGCAGCGACGTCCATTTTGATAACCATGGCGGTTGCTGCAGCGTGGCAGATCGCCGCCAGAAGCATGGCAATTGAAAACTTCATTTTAAGGAGGGCTCAGTTGATAAGGCTGATACTCTTTACTTTTACTAGACCAGAGACAATAAATGACAGCGGGGTGGGTTGGTGATTAACACAAGTGGGAGCATTCAAACCTGTTGGTTCAAGGGTAAATAACACGTGTTATTAAAAGGTAAAAGGTTGTGGTAGAAAATCGTTTCTTCTCACGTTGTCTATATGAGGTATTCTCGTTCGGTTGTTTGGAGGGTATTGGCCGCGGCGGAATGCTCGATCGGTATAGAAGACATGTTGTCGTGACGGTTTTGTCTGTTCAGCAATCGCAATAGCCTGTTGTAGATCAGCAACAAGTTCCTCAAAGGTAGCAGCTGGCCTCATGAGAGCAGGAGCACACTCTTTAATCCCAGTGACAGCTGACTGTAGAGTATCGCGCATGCTGTTGAAACCAGTATCAACATCATCGAAGAGGCCTTGGTGTAGTTTCTGAATCCTTTCAGTCAACATCTCCAAACAAGCTGACAAGCTCTTTCCAGAATTTGTCTCGATGATTGTCTTTAGTGACAAGGCTCGCCACTCGGTGCGATATCGGTTCATCATTGCTTCAGGCTCAAATCGGGCCCTGAGCCTATGAACTAATCCACTATAGTCTAAGCCACGATTCGAAAGATTATTGACATAATGTTCCGATGCGACGCCAGACAGCATAATTGGGAGAGCTCTTGCAAGTTCATTTACTGGGAATTCCAACCTTTGACACTTGTCTGTAAAGAGATTCAATTTGGTACGCAGGAAATCGCCCTGTTTCCCAGAGAACTTCTCGTTTTCATGGTAGCTTTTGGATAAGAGGTCTAATCGTCGTGGGATATCAATCGATGAGGGAAGGCGAGATGGATCCACCAGTTCGGGCGTACGGGGTCGAAGCGGTCGTTGTCGTGTTCGTCGTGTGTCGAATTCAACAGATTCCCTTGTCAATTGTGTAGAGGGTCTCTCTTCAATAACATCATCATCCGGTATCTGTAGTTTTACCTCATTATCTTCCATCCATGTCGGGAACACGGGAGATGAAAGAGTGTCATCAATAGCCATAGCAACTGAATACCCTCGTCTTTTCTTGACATAAATGCCATTTCGACGTAGAAAGTCTCGCAACTCTCGAATAATAAATTTCTCAAGTTTTGTATAGGTATCTCGTGTCCATCTATCGAAGTCTTCCGTCAGGTATTCCCACAATTCTTCAGGTTGAAGTTGATGTTCTCGGTAGTAGTACATCGTCCAAATAGCAGCGTCATTAAGTTCTCTGACTGATGTAGAGCTTATATCGACTGTAGGTGGTGTGTGTTCTCGCCAATCTTCTGAAATCCATTGTGAATACCTTTCCAATTCAGCAGGTATCTTCAGTGATGTTGGGGTGTCGGAGAGGGGAGGTTCGTCAGGGGGGGTTGGAGAGGTTGGCATCGAGCCTGCCATGCGCTCCATAATTTCCTGGTGATCCGATCCAAGATCTTTAGGGAGGCGATCAAGCAGTCCCTTCTAATCTTAATCTTCACAGAAATTGTTTTCTCGTGATGGACGATAGAAGATCGTGCATCGAAGAAGGGGCGGGCAAACGCAGCAACTTCGAAGCAATTTCTTCGGGTAAGCACAGGAAAAATTGATCCTGTCTCTTCTTGCCCTTCCTGTCTGTGGTTGTAGAGCAACCACTGATCAGTGTTGATTCAAGGGTTAATAACACGTGTTATTAAAAGGTAAAAGGTTGTGGTAGAAAATCGTTGTTCTCTTCTAGTTCCATGTTCGGAACTGCTCTAGTTAAATACAGCGAATACATCCTGTATTCACTTCCTTTTCCTGTGTTTTCCTTAGCCACTTCCAGTGACTTAACTATTCCTTCACTCCTCCAGCAAAGTAACACACGTCCAATGTCACAATAGTCACAACAAAACCATTTATATGGTTTCGCAAAAGAAACGAATCAATGTACTATTGCAGTGAAACAAGCCTTCCCTGCTACAGGAGCCGACGTAGCTTTGTATTGCCGTTGCCAGGAGCTGGACAATGTTTGGTGCTGGCCTAGTAGTAGGTACACACCTGATCTGGGAAACACCTTTCAGCCGGATTGAACTGAGGGTCGAAGTGCGACTCTGGCGGCAAGCCGTATTAGTTTTAAAGGCACGGAAGCTGTTAAAGCGCTGATCAGATGCCGACTATCATTTCGGTTAAATGCAAGAGTGTGCCGTGTCTTATTGTAGTTCCGCCTCTTCACGTTTATGTTATATCTCATGCTGGCAAGCCAGGCAGGCTCTTATGAGTAGATACAAAATACGGTATATAACTGCTAGCTTGACCAGGCGCTTCTGCTCTTGATATTCTTTTGAAATCGTGAAATTTCGAGATGTTATTCTTTTTATTTTAGATCCAGTATAAAATATTGCAGAATTCGTCCGACTCCTCATTGGTCTCTAGAGGTTGTGGGCCGCAGTCACCACAATACACATATTGGGCAAATCGTACAAGGTTATTTGGCCTGTATGAGGCCATACCACTCGTTCCCAGGCTTATTCTAGGAAATCGTCGTAGATCGGCGAGTGCAACCATCTCGATTGTCGTGCTACAAGATCCGAGTCAAGTGTGAACTTCTCCTCATCTTCCCCATTAATGAAGCGGAATGAGGGAGATGCCAGCGCTGTACCACAAAATATTAGGGATGATAACTTCGTATCGAACGCAGCCTATTTGCACATACAGTTCGTTGATCTCTGATATGGCCAACATGTTGGTACGGACTGTTGCGCAAATACGGACATCCACGTTTCTACCCAAGACCACTTGGCTAGCGAATCGATAAGCAGCGTGCCTCTTAGGGGTGTAGTACAGAGTGAAGTGATGCCGTAGGCTTTATGAATCTATTCATAGGGAAAGACAAAGCTATTTCTCACTATTTCGCGAGTATAAACATTTCCATCTCTAGCTTAGTTCTAGTTTATTTAACGGCTGTTATAAGCTAAAGGCCTAAATACGCCATCCATTAACAGCTCAAAGTAGAGTTAATGCCTAATCTTTGCTAGATAGCGTAGTGGTATTGTGGCGACTGTTACAGTTACATGTCTAACGTAGGGTTCGGATGTACCAGGTTAATTATTCTTATCGTTTCTAATATCCTAGTTAACTATATATAATTTTTTATCAACTAACTTCTCTTCTAAATAACATCTCAACTTGTATATGTTCAGAGTTTTCGCTGTTCTTAAATTTCTTTTGACCCTGCTCTCATTGGTCGCTGCTGACAGCTGGTACGTCTGTCAACAGCTAGCGGGCACCTGGCGAATGACACCATTTGGTAGCCCTCCGGGTCCTCACCAGTCCCCGCCACCCACCCAAGAAAAGATATCATCAGCCAATCCCGAAGTGCAAATCAGAGCACACGGAAAATGGTGCACAAAATAAAAAGAAAATAAGCGAAATATGTCAATATCTTTTTGAGACTTTAATATTTTCTCTGCAGTAGAAATGTTCCCAACAGCCCTCGGGAACAACCACCAGCCCGGCCCCGAGCGCCACAGAGCCGTAATCCTATCAACATGGTCACACGCCGCACATCTCATGCAGCCCACCCCACGCTCGCTCCCAAACTAGGTAACAGTCCACTTGGGATGAGTGACTGTGAGCGTAGCGTAGGATGAGCAGCACCACAACCAGCGGCGACTTTGTTTCACAAACACCGGTCTCGATGGCGTGCCAAACCTTCCTCCTTCATCTCACACCGCAACTGGTGCAGCAGCAACACATCTCGCCATGAAGCTGCAAACCCTCGTAGCCGCCAGTCTCGCTGGTGTAGCCACCGCCGTCGTCCCACGCGACTACAAGGGCCAAATCATCTTTGGTCCGCACAACCTGCAGGCAAATCATGCCCCTCATGCCGTCGACATGGCTGCCATCATGGACATGAAGCTCAGGCAGCACGCAACCGACATGAAGGACGGTATGTTCGGCTACAACAAGTACAAGAAGCAGCCGCCTACGGCCTGTGTTCGTGGAAGAGCGGGCGAGTACGCCTGCGACAGAGTCGACATGAAGGGCTTCCTCCGCCACCAGGACATGCACAGCAGAACCCGAACCGGCAACGATATCTGGGGATGGACTTCACCTGATGGCCGCGAGTTTGGCCTCGTCGGTCAGTCTGATGGTACGGCATTTGTGGAAGTTCTCAAGGACGGCAACCTGCAGTACATCGGCCGTCTGGACACTCAAACAGGCACTTCGCTATGGCGAGATGTCAAGGTCATCGGCCACCATGCCTACATCGGCTCCGAGGCCGAGGACCACGGCATGCAGGTGTTTGACCTCACCAAGCTGCTCAAGGTTGACCCGAAACACCCCGAGACGTTTGACAAGGCACTTGATCTTGCTGCCCACTTTGACAAGTTTGGCAGCAGCCACAACATTGTTGCCAACGAAGAGACTGAGACCATCTTTGCTGTTGGCACTTCTCGCTGGTTGCCCTGCCGCGGAGGCCTCTGGATGATTGACGTCTCGAACCCCCGTAGACCCCAGGACAACGGCTGTGTTTACCAAGATGGTTATGTGCACGATGCCCAGTGTGTCATTTACAAGGGTCCCGATCGACGCTTCCGCGGCCACGAAATCTGCTTCAACTACAACGAAAATGCTCTTACCATTGTCGACATCACAGTCCGTGCCATCCCAAAACAAATCTCACGCACCACGTACAATGGTGCGGCCTACACCCATCAAGGATGGCTCGCCACTGAGGACCACCGCTACTTACTGCTGGATGATGAGCTGGATGAGGTGGTTGGCTCGGAACCTGCAGAGGATGGCAAGACGACAACGTACATTGTCGATGTAACCGATCTCACTTATCCTGTGTTTAGAGGCATCTACAAGAGCCCCATCATATCTATTGACCACAACCAGTACGTTATCGATGGTATTTCGTATCAAAGCAACTACGGATCTGGTCTGCGCATCGTCAACGTCACTTCGATTGCAGAGGATGATACGGGCGCTGGGTTCGAGGAGATTGGCTCCTTTGATGTGTACCCTGAGGACGATGAGGTGGGCAGCCGAGAGTTCCACGGCTCTTGGTCGGTATATCCATTCTTCAAGAGTGGGCATCTGTTACTCAACAGCATCGAACGCGGTGTCTATTCTCTAAAGTTGAAGAACTAAATCTTGACGTTATGTTGTATATAGCTTTTCTTTATATACAAATCATGATGCATTAAGCCATGTCCTGTTTTGCTGCAAGCACATTGATCTTGTCCAAGTCATCTTCCACTTGGAGATGTCCGTCAGAGAGCACAGCAATAGCGTCATGGCCGGGGCGCATACGACCAACAAGTCCACCCAGCCGATGGGAGATGATGATGACAGTGTGGCCTTCTTCAACAAACTCCTCTTCGATAATATTGTAGATTTGTGACTCCGTCTCTGAGTCCATGGACGATGTTGCTTCATCCAGGAGGATAATGGGTTTGACTGTTCCCTGAGGTACATCATCAGTGTAGCGTGCCAGTGAGTATGCATGCTTTTGAACAATACCACGGGCGATTGCCAGCAGTTGTGAGTGACCAACGGAAAGCATAGGCATAGAGTCCATGGGCATGTCAAAGATGGTTTCCTCAACTGGTGCATCACCCGTCAATACATGCCAAAGACCAGTCTTTTGCAGCACTTGACGAATAATCTCGTCACCAACTACTTGGTTGGGATCCAGATTGAATCGGATAGATGCTCTCGGAAGCACGAAGCCGTCTTGTGGAACTGCAATGAAGCCTTGCTCGCGTACAACAGAGCGCGGCAGACGAGTTATGTTTACACCATCGATTTCAATCTGGCCAGAGCACTCTATGAGGCGTAGTAAGGCCAGAAACAGTGTACTCTTTCCACTAGCAAAAGGTTAGCTGTGAATATATAGGCTATGGGTGTGTACTTGCCTGCCAGTGCGACCACAGACAATGAGCTTTTGGCCCGCAGGGACGCGTAGATTGACATTCTTCAAGATTGGATCATTGATACTTTGGCTTGTTAGTATAAGATATAAACATAGATGCTTGGAAACTTGCTTGTATCCGGACGAGACATTGCGTAATTGAAGCTCACCCTTGCTGGGCCAGTTGGCTTCAGGAATTGCAGTCTCCCAAGTCTTACTTTCCCGTGGAGTGTTTTGCTCAATCTCTCTAAGACGGGAAACGGCACCGAGAGAGGTTTCGAAACCAGTCCAAGCATATACAAGGGACAAAAGAGTGGCATTTGCGAGGATGACCACATTCAGAACGGAGCCGATGCTGCTGGCGCCACCAACTTCGAAAAAGACGGATCGGATAACAGCAATAACGGCTACGGTACCAACAATCAGTTCAAGAACAAGACTCAGCCATCGCTGTGTGCAGAAAAGCAAATAGTTAGGCTTCATAGAGAGGTCCATTGTGCGCAGCAGTTTGCGCTCGGACGCTGCTTGCCAACGAAACGCACGAATAGATGCGATTCCATCAACCTAGTTCAGTTAGTACGTACTTGTCGACGGTGGCAGAATGACCTACAGTCTCAGCAAAGGTGTTGAACAAGGCAGCTTTAGAGTCAAGCTCGAGTACACGTAGCTGTCTCGATGTGCGTAGATACAGTCTAGCGATAGAGTACACGATTGCGGCGCAGAACGGCACAACCAAAAGCAATGCCTTCTGAACGACGAAGATGATGATCATTTGGACCGACATCTTGCATATCTCTATTCAGATTGTCAGAAACAATTTAATACAAATACCGAGGTACTCACGAGTTAGTAGACGAGCGAAGGAATTGGGCAGCCTGTTGTCAACAAAGCCAATATCCTGGCCAAATCTGTTCAGAGTGGTTCCAACCTCATTTGCAGTGAAGAAAGAAAGTGGTGCGCTGGACCTGTTAGAAGCCGCAATCTACGTCTGAGAGAACAATGACATACTATAATATGGAGTAAAGCAGCCGGTGGTGTAAGTTGGCGCTGCTGCGCTGCCCAAGGAGTAGAAGAAATGTACTGTTATCGAGTTAGCGGCTGCATAAGGCGCGAGTTCAGAGATACAAACGTCATTTGGCAGCTCGTTCCAAGCCAAGCAATAAATGAAAGAACAAGATATCCCACCAAGTAGAATGTGAAATCACTCTCAGGAGCATCCTTCCATAGCTTTGTCCAGAGAGGAGCCACGACGTTACTAGATGTGACGAAGCAGCACACAGCGACAATCAGGACGGCTTTCCAGCCAGCGGACTGGATGTAATACACTATCGCGTTGTTAAAAGATGTTGTGAGTCCATGACGCCTAAAAGCTTACAGTAGAGTGAGAAATCACCGGTTCTGCGATCGACATCTTGTTCGGCATCGATCTCAGCTTGTGTTTTCTTTTTCACAGTTTGATTGCCATCTGGTGCATCAAGGCTGAGCTCAAACTTCTTTACTTCGGAAACACAGGCCGACATTTTTGACAATGGCCCCTGGGCTTTCACACAGCCACCATCAAGTAAGATGATTTTGTCAGCCAGGTTGAAATATTGTGCTGATAGCAATTGTTAGACAAGAAAAGTTCCTGGGCACATCGCACGACCTACCAGAATTGGTCACCCAGAATACAGTTATGCCTGCACGTTTTAGCAATCCACGAGGGCCAAACAGGTTATTAACAACAGTTTTCTCTGTAGTGCCATCTAGTGCCGCAAAAGTATCGTCAAGTATTACAGTTTTGGCGCCAGAGTAGAGTATTCGTGCAAGTGCCTACTAGAATTAGAGTTATTAAACTTGCGTAGAACCGCATGTACTTACAACTCGCTGTTTCTGGCCGCCAGAGAGATTAACGCCACGAGACCCAATTGTAGTCAGGTCCCTACTCGGTAGGCCATTGATATCAGCGTTAAGGCAACATGCCTCCACGACTTCTTCGTAGGAGAGATCACCACCTGTGCTAAAACCGCAAATTATGTCTCTGATAGTTCCAGAAGGGACCCAGGCAGTTTGGGCGCAATAGCCAATTCTGGCCGTTGGTCTAGCGACAACACCACTAGAAGGTGAGAGTTCACCAAGAAGAAGTCGAGACAACACTGACTTGCCGCTGCCTATCTTACCACAGCAGATATTGATTGTGCCTCGTCGGAGTTCCACCGTGATGTCTTTCAGCAGTGACCGGGAACCATCTGTAACATTGACACCATCAATCACAATATCGTTTTGGGTTTGGAGACTGCGACTGCTTGAAGGGTTTGGTTTGTTGACAATGTGGGCCTGCAAAAGGTAGTTTTGGATTCTCTCAAAATTAGTAGAGAATGAAATCATGTGTGGCACAACCGTCATCACCATGTTGGCTGGGTGAGTAACGATGGCGAGAGTGGCGAGGGTAGTGAACATGACGGTTGCCTCAAGCGGTTCGCCTCTCATGCGCGTGGTAACAGCATAAAGAACCATGGTTATCGCTGGTGCAAAGAGTCCAATGGCGTTCGCTATGAATTGTTAGCTCGCGGATATTTCTCTTTCACAAAAGGTGACTCGTACCAGAGGAGTTGTAGATGGCCTTGACGCGACCAAGACTAGCAATCGATTCCAACTCGTTTTTGCGTGTAGCTTCAACGTAATTCACCATGACGCCTGTCAACCCCATCGCCTTAAGGCTCTTCATGTGGCTTAGAATGGAGGTTAGAGCCGACATTCGAGTCTGTTTCGCGTCGTTGCAGGCCTTCTGCCGTTTGCCAAGATTTTTCGCACTAAATTTGCTGACTTGTGATCCAACTGCATCATGTTAGTATATAGAAGATAATTTGTGAATCACCGTCTTACGTAGAATCATGACGACTGGGACTGGGAAAAGCCAGTGAACTTGTACCACTAGGATGGTCAAGCCAATGATGGCTTCAAGGGTATAGCCCCATGTATCATTGAATAGCTGGCCCGTGTGTGCTGCGTTTTCTACATCAGAACTCATGAGAGTGAGGGCTTGCCCGGCATCCGATCCTTCACTGCTAACTGATAGGGTCTTGTTGTATATGAGTGATACCAGAGCTCCATGGATGACAATGCGGAGTCTGTTCATGCGATGTTCGTAGATAGATTCAGTGATCTTGGGGACAATTGATTAGCAGCTATAATCCAAAATATCCGCAGCCCACTCACGTTGATTCCAAGATATACAAAGATGGCTACTAATACGACGAACAACTTCTGGTAGAGTGACTTCTCATGATGCTCTTGCTCCTCGACGAATTTGGTGACCTGGAAAATGAGTAGCGGCTGACTGCATCTAAAAAGTGCGACAGCAAGCCTCGGAATGGCGACAGAGATGAATTGAGGCTGGATGGCTTTGAATACAACTCTAGCTAGCACCAGATCTGTCTTAGTTAGATCTGTCACGAGATCAGCATACATTCAATCGTTATAAAAAGAAGAGTGAATACTTACCTCTGTTCTCCCACTCGTGGAGGATGTTGTCTCTCAAGACCTTGGAGCGCATTTCAGTCTCCAATGGCGGTATGTCATCGTTGACTAAGTTCCTCTTTTTGCCAATGAGCAAGATGCGGTTCACCCACCAGAAGAAGGTTGTGTTGAGCACATTGCCAGTCTCCATCGGTGACGGCTTCTCTTGTTCATCTTCCATGATAAACTCCTTGCTTTTGCATTCCAGCCATAGAAACACGGATCGAACGCTAATCTCAATTGCCGCGAAGATTTCAAATCCGTGCGTCTCGCAGGAATCGCCGTGGAGGAAGACGGCTAAGGAGAAGATGTCGTTCAAAACGGCCACGAGTAAGAATAAAACAATCATTGTAGGTGGTTTAACCGAATGCTTTTCATAAAAAGCAGAGATCCAGCATACATTGACAGCGGCAAAGAGGGAAATCAACGTTGCCAGCCGCGATGGGCTATCAGCACGATGATCGACTAGAGACCAGCATAGATGTACAAAGAGGACGATGGGCAGAAGTACAGCGACCAGCTAGATTAGAGTTTGTTAGTTGCAATTGGCTCAATAGAATACAGTTTCAGCTGTTCCATACGCGTTTTGAGGTGGCAGACGACGCCTGCTGAATCTTGAATCCATCATGACGCGTCCCCCACAGCAAGTCAATAGAAGTAAAGATGAAGAAGAAGCAGGTGCTGAGAAAAGGCACAATCGGCGGGTAGAGCCTAAAGTGGCAATTCTGCACTGCCGGTATCATGTTTTATCGAACCAAGAAGATATGTTTCGTACCCAGAACTGTGGTGGTGTCTGTGTTGTGTTGACAGTCGCCAGGTGTCGCCAGGTGTCAAGCGGCAGTTGGCATGTCTGGCAGCTTTCCCCTCTGCTCCACAGCCTTGTCCGCTGTGGCTTGCATTTACGGGGGACACTAACTGATACCAGTTTGCGCCGACGGCTACTTTCCACGTTTACTGGATCTTAAGTGCGGAATAACTTTGTTACCCCGGCTTTAGCTTTTCTAGGAAATAACGGTTGTCAATACTATAAAGCTCATGTGCTTCATAGCCCGATGCATCCATGCGTACGCTAACAACAGACGAACCCACGATCGATCAAAGCAGGTAAAATGTGTCCAATGCAGAAAGGATTTTATATTCGCTAAGTCATGTTTTTTTTTAATTCATGTCTTTTTTCTATATAGAACTCCTCTATATGTGCTACATTTGCAGCGTAATGACTCGGCTGGTTTACCGTCTTTGTTGCCGCAACAGGCGAGTAAAGCTGTATCGACTCAGTAATAAGGGCCAGACAGCCTATATTTTGGTCCTACAGGGCGCATTTGCTGCATGTTACCTTACCTGGTCATTAAGTCTGCACAGCCAATCTCACCTTTATCGCATCGCTTCATCTTGTTGACACTCGTCGCAATCTCTGGATTTCCCGAAACCCCGAAACAATTTTACAATTTCCACATAATCTCTATGGCTCGTCGCTATCGTTCAATATTAACCGGCCTTTGATGTCGCCTGTGGTGTCTTGGGTGACACTTTTGTCACGTAACTATACCTCCAGAAGCTGGTTGTGACGCTGGGGCGCAGCGGGAGGAACGACAGCCGAAACTGGAAATCTACAGAAAAGACTGAAACTTTGTTCGTTATTTAGCTCAATCGGGTTCAGCCAAGTATAGTATGCGCCTAAGTTGTCTTGCCGTAGCGGACTAGTGGAAAATAACCAGTGGTGACGTCGCCGCGTGTTCTGTCAATCTATTAATAACTGCGGAGTTTATATAGAAGAGGCCTGCCCAGTAACTTGTTGTTGGATACTCACCAAACTATCGATCTCCAAGTCAACAAAAAACAAAATCCTCCAAAATGAAGGTCCAAATTCTTACTGCTGCCCTGGCCTCCGTTGCTGCTGCCAACGTCGCCATGCCCAGCTTCTGGCCCACTGAGGGACTTGAGCACCTCCAGTCCGAGGATGGCTACACCATTACTATGTACGAGAACATGCAAACGGAAATTACTGCCGTTCAGAAGAGTAAGCATTCTCTGCAAACAAAATGCGATATCTCTCGTATTAATCCATTCTCAGGTGATGGCGGGTTCCGAGGCAACTCGATCTACGACCCCAAGACTTGCAAGAAGACCAGCCTAAAGGTTCTCCCTCGATTCACTACCGCTGTTTCTGCCTACTACTCTTGGCGCATGTCCAAGGTTGTCTACAAGCTTGATGATGCCACCATGATGGCGTACTGGGGTAAAGCAGACAAGGCTACCCGTGATCTCGTCTCCAACACCTACATAAAGCTCTTCTGGGAGTCTAAGACCGAAAACCGTGGCTTCCTTCAGATTGCGTGCGACTTTGAGCACTGCGAGAATGCCGAGAAGCCTGGTGTTCTCAAGTTGACTGTTAACCCCAAGGAGCAGACTGTTGATGTTGCCATGTGCCCCGTTTACTACAGCATCTTCGGTCTTCTAAACCTTAACTGCAAGTCCGAGTGGCTCACCTCGTCGGGCTTCCAGATGGTTTTTGCTGGCTTGCCTCCCCAGGGCGCTGGGCTTCGTCTTGAAGGCGAGCGTACCCGCAACGCCATTATTTATTGGATGGCCGCTGAGAAGCTCCAGTGCACAAACATCGACGAAAGCCAAGAGTTGCAAGGCATGGCCCTCAAGCAGGAGCTAGGTATCCAGAAGCTGTTTGAGCAGCTGTAGGTTGATATGCGTGTAAGGTGAATGCCTTCACTAGGTTATGTAGCAGAGTACGGTATAAGCAATATTTAATTATAAAACAACTTGGCTGTGAAATTCTTACATTTGAGCCTTAGAGTGCCTTGCCACGGTCGGTCTAGTCTATCCGTCCCGCATTGTTCCTGTGGAGAGCATGTAATGCCATGACCAGTAAAAGCGCGGGCCAAGCAAGCCCTAGAGTCAACGTTACCATTTTCCCCTGATGTCTCCATTCTCCAAGATTCAGCAGCCCATGGGGTATGGACCACTTGGCAGACTGTAAAATAAAATAGGAAGACGCGATGTAGGTTTCTGGTCGCCATCCACAGTAATGTTGATATGCGGCTCAAATGATGTAGACTTTCAAGCCCTCTCTTTTTTATGGCTGCAGCCGCATCTCATCTGAGTTTGCCTCGCAGCTCCCTAATTGGAACTAGCCGCGATGGCGCACACCGGCACTGGTGTTAGATTCGATTCGGGGGGCCAGAGCATCGGGTCCCACTGCCTGCCTGCCACAGAATTCAACGTTGCAAGCCGCCTGTCCGTGAGAAGCCGAAGCCATTGTAACGGTGGCAGTGCTGTATGCCGGGGAATTAAACGGCTTGTACTTCCGAAGCCGGGGTATTGGCAAGTTGCAAAAGGTCGACACCATTAGTAGGGTGTTGGTGAGAGTGAAATCAGACATACAAGCGACGTCATTTTTTGTTAATGAGTAGTACTAAACTCCTTTTGTGGAAGTAGGTAATAGACGCCATCCTGGACTGCGTTGGTAACAACCTCAATAATCCTCGGCTGTCCTGTTTGGGCTACGACAGCTTGAACAACCTCTGCTCTATAGTCCTCGTTCTGTAACAATCCCCCGGATAGAACCAATCCAGTCTTACTCATCGGGATGTTGTCACTTTGCATAAGTAGTTCAACAAGACGGGCTAGACTTGCGGCGCCGTTGTAAACAATGCGCCGAGCAGCATCGTTACTGTGGGATAGATTCAGTACAACTTTTGCCACCGATGCAATTTTGGAAGCAGTTTGCGAGTCATTACTTCCGGACTGAGGAGTACCAGCACCCCCTGTCAGGATCGCACTCAATAGGTCAAATGGTGTTGAGCTCGAAGTCGCTGGCTCAAAGTGTTCGACGATAGCCCTTGTCAAGACGCTTAGCTGGGGCTGGCCATCACTGTAATTTTGTAGACGGTATAAATCCAGCTCTTCCAAAGCCCATCGCAGAGCGTCTCGCCCAATAGCATAACCTGATCCGTCATCGCCGAGCAGATGACCCCATCCACCTACTCGGGCTGTCCGTGTCCATTCGGTGCCCCTTTTTTCATATAGCATAGCAATAGATCCGGTTCCAGATACTAGTGCAATAATCTTTTCCAGATCTTTCTTCCAATAAGCTTGAACAGGGAGAAGATCGATATCCGTCGTTATCTTGATATTCGCACGTGGTGTGGAACGGAACAAAATCGCAAGCTGGTCATTCGCTTCAGAGGCCAAGGAAGGTCTGTCATATCCCGCCATTGCAATCCAGATTTTAGAAAATTCAATATCGCGTACGCGATTGCCTTTAGTGAATTGACAAGAATCAATTGCTTCCTGTACGGCTTCGGACACTGCACGGACCGCCGCATTCACACCCATGGTAGACCTGTGCTTGTTAATAAGGATTTTGGCTGGATTCAATACATTACTTACAGGTTGCTTGGTCCAGAGGAGCCACGGCCAATGGCACAGCTCTCGCCTAAGAATTGAGCTTTGCAAGAGCTGCCGCCTGCATCGACGCAAAGCACAAGTTTCTCAGTGGTGGACACCTTGTTTTCCGCTTGTGCGAAATCAAAGACTTGTGCCAAAACGCCGTTACTATTTTTAAGACGTTCTTCCGCTTCCTCCACAGTGCACTTTAGAACTATTGTCACGGCAGCCAATTTGGTGCTTCCGTGACAAGCGTCAAGAATCCGGTCGAGCTCGTCATTTGATTGGGTGCAGGCATCGCCGCCAATGGCACGCAATATTGTTCGGGATCTTTCCTTAAGTTTCAAATTGGTTGCTTTCAAGTCAACCATAAGATTACCGTAGGTTTTCCCCATCTTAATCATGACGCCTGTGCTTATCATGTTGAGCACCAATTTTGTCGCCGTGCCAGCCTTCATTCTTGTGCTGCCCGTGACAGATTCTGGGCCCGTCACAGCAGCAATGAGATAATCAGTATATCCATCCTTCCCAATGGCTGATGGACTAACACAAACGACACCTACAGTAGGGCAGCCGATGGATTTTGCGTACTCAAGCCCACCCTGCACATAAGGTGTTCTTCCCGAAGACGCGATGCCGATGAGCGAATCAAGTTCACCATTAATATTATGCTCATCAAGATCAACCTTGGCCGCATCTTTGTCGTCTTCGGCACCCTCTTTCGCATTTCGAAGCGCATAGTCTCCTCCAGCAATTAAGCCCACAAACTGGCCAGCTGGAGCTGAGTATGTTGGCGGAATTTCGGATGCGTCCAATACACCGAGTCTATTTGTAATACGTCAGTTCTTACATGCCACAATTTCAAGTCTAGTATTGTACGTACCGCCCACTGGTGCCAGCCCCGATGTAGAAGATGCGCCCTCCACGCCTCACGCGGTCAGCCAGCGCGTCAATGGCGGCCGCAATGGTGGGCAAACAAGGCTCAACAGCGGCGGGAACTGTACAATCCTGCTCATGGAGCAGTTTGCAGAGCTCCTCAGTATCTAGTCTGTCAATATCAACCGTAGCTGGGTTTCTATTTTCGGTCTGCAGACCACGCAGGTCGACCGCGGAAGAAATTGACGTCATCGCTCGCCACGTCCACCAAGACTGAATACGAAGTTCGTGAAAATTCGCCTTGTTCGTTCGTGATGAGATGATAGAGGAGTTGTAAGGTTCTAAAAATTCGCCTTTTGTTCTTTGAGAACTACGAATTCCGCACCTTGAGCATACAGGCGAAGAGAAGTTGACTAGGATTTCAACGCTTTTTCAGCCGAGACCGAGTATCGGCACTAGGCGAGGCCCTAGATGCGCCACCAACCAGCCCTCCGGGATTAACTACCCCGAAGGCCAATTGGACACGCGGAAGACGAAGACCGTTTTGACAATAGCCGGTGCAGAAGGCGCTCGTGACCATTTAACATGTTAATGGATAGGAAATGGCTTGCCGGTCATCTAAAATGGTTGAACAATACTAGAACACAAATTCCGCGCTGGGTAGACGCCGCTGACGATGTGGTATGCCGCAGACCGTGATGTTGCCAAGATTGGTTCGTCTCTTTGCTGTCTGGACATACTATAGTTCTCCGCCACTAAGTGTAACAACGCGGAATTAGAAGACTTACTCCAAATTACTCCTCATGTTGAATGCCAATGGCGGGGAAATCCCAAAGACGGAGAGCCCTCCACGTTTATCCTAGCCATACCATCACTGGCCGCGATTTTAGCCATGTCCAGCTCTCCAGGTGGATTCAACTCCACAGTGCAACTCCAACTTTCTCCATCTATTCTGCGTATGTAACGTTTATGAAAAAGGCATTATGGATGTACGGAATCAATTGTTGATGTTAAAAGTGGCGAGTTGGTGGCCAGCTGGCGCAGCTGAAAACTAGTCTGGGGCAGCTGGCAGCCTGGTTATACGGCAGGCTTGATAGTGCCGAAGGCAATCCGAAGAAAAAGGCGAAAGGATAAAAATAGTGCAGATTTCTCGCGAATTTTCAAAGTCCTGTTCGTCAACATGGAAACACGAAAGAATTTCTCTACCATTTCCGCTTTTAGTTTAATATGCTTGGCGCCGGGGCCGAGCAAAGCGTTGTACCTGAGTCCTGCGCCGGCCTGCGCCAGGCTTTCAGCCCACTGTAACACGCCGTCTTTAGCGGACTTTGCGACCGAGTGTCCACTAATTTTCTCATCTTTATGGGATGTAACGTGCCAAAAGAGACGACGAGTGCGGGCCTTTCTGATTCAAGCCAAGCATTTTCCCTGATCAACTTTTTCTTGCCCCTCAAACCCCGTGTTGCTGTGCAATAAAATCTGTGGAAAATGATTTTATTTAATTGATTCGATTTATTCTCCGGATTAAACTGAGTCTCGTGCGCATGGTAGCTTTTTTCTGGTCTTGGCACCTCCTCTTGTCCCTCCGCAAGCCGTGCTGTACCGCCGCCTAACACCTGTAACTACAGCGCCCCCAACTAAACCTACAGTGACATTGCCGATCTGCCCACCGTCCGGGCCCCGTACCGTACAGTACGCTAGCACTGCCAGCACCTGGCAAGCACCTGGCTGGTTGTTTAAATAACACGGCGACTCCCGTCCTCCCTCTCTACTCGGTGTCATTCTCCAATTGGCGCTTCTGTATTTCTACCTATCTTCTTCTAATTATACTGATTTCGATTCTTGTATTTCCCAATCCCGCCTATTTGCCAGCAACAGTACAGTCATCATGTCTACTTCGCCAGACAACCACTCTGGGCCCAAGGTTGAGCCCGAGAGTGGTGACGCTCAGCACCTCGAGGCCCAAACTTCCCAACAGCGAGAGTCCTCGAGCAAATTGATGCGTTTTTACTCGCATCCATGGACCCAGATTATTCTCATCAGCTTAATCGCTTTCTGTCTCCCAGGCGTACGCAATCTCAGTCTTTAATGCTGCACGTGCTTGATACTAACAGCCTTCTTTTGCAGATGTACAATGCTCTCAGTGGCCTGGGAGGTGGTGGTCAGGTCGATCCAGATGTCAACTCTAACGCTACTGTCGCTCTTCTCGCCACCACAGCTGCTACCGCTCTCTTTGTTGTCGGTCCCATTTTCTCTTGGGTCGGTCCCAGAATCTGCTTCCTTATCGGTGGTTGGACCTACGCCCTCTACAGCGGCAGCTTGTTGCACTACAACCACACTCACAACGCCGCTTTTGTCATTGCTTCGGGTGCAATCCTCGGTATTGGTGCATCCTTCCTTTGGATTGTGCAGGGCGCCATCATGACCACCTACGTTGACGAGTCGCAAAAGGGACGTGCCATTGCTGTCTTTTGGGTCATCTTCAACCTAGGTGGAGGCATTGGCTCGCTCGCTTCGTTCGGCCTCAACTTCCACTCGCAGAGCTCCACCGTCAACGACTCAACATACATTGCTCTCATGGTTATCATGATCTTTGGCTGGTTCCTTGGTTTCTTCATCTGCTCACCCTCCCGAATCCGCCTTGCGCAGCTCAACCGCGCCGTCGAGACCGAGAAGCACTCCTTTGCTGGTACCATCAAGTCTGCTGTCAAGACTGTTGCCAAATGGCGCGTTGCCTGCATGATTCCTCTCTTCTTCTCTGCCAACATCTTTTACAGCTACCAGCAAACCAATGTCAATGGTTTCACTTTCAACATTCGCAGCCGCTCACTCAACGGTGCTCTGTACTGGCTGGCGCAGATGCTCGGTGGTTTAGTCATGGGTCTCCTTCTTGATGCTCCTTGGTTGAGCCGCAGCAACCGAGCCCGTCTTGGTTGGGTTGTTGTCTTTGTTACCGGCATGGTTATCTGGGGTGGAGGTTATCAGTTCCAGAAGTGGCAAGACGACTTCCTTGCCAAGGGTGGAAAGCAAACCCTCGATTACACCGAGAGCAGCACCGCCACCGGACCCATCTTCCTCTACATCTTCTACGGAGCCTACGATGCTCTCTGGCAAAGCTTCGCTTACTGGCTCATCGGTACTGAGTCCAACAGCGCCGCGCGTGCCGCCATTCTGGTTGGCATGTACAAGACGCTTCAGGCTGCCGGTGCTGCCATGGCTTTCCGCCTCAACGCCCTCCACCTCAGTGGCATGGGCCAGCTCATCATGGACTGGGCGCTCTGCATCGGTTCCCTCATTATTGTCCTGCCTACGGTTCTGACTGTGTCGAACCATACCACAGAAGATGGAGAATCACCCAGCTCAGCTGATGAAGAGCTGCAAAAGACAGTCTCTGCTGCTACACAAGAAAAGTAATACCCCGGGTCAGCAAAATGGATTCGTAATTTTAGTACATATTATATTTAGAAACATAGTAATTTAACAACGTGAAAGATACCAACTCCGTCGCTATGCATTTAAAAACCCAAGGGTGGCTTGCGTGTTGTTTATTCAACAGTGCCGTCCAATCCACCTCGGATCCCGTCCAAGACAGCAGCCCATTGGCTGTTGGCGCGATACTTGCCAACTTCTGCAAACTTGTCGCAGGCGATGCGTCTCACCAGTAGCATGTCCTTGGCTTTCTTCAAGCTACGGCCATCCCCAGAAGAGAGGTACTGCTCTAGCCATGCATCCTCGATAGTGTCGAACGGGAAGAAGAGGAATTCGCCAGCCTGCGACGCCTCATCACCGCGGCCTTGGCCAAAGGCATGTTTCAACAGCTGCTGAAACAAAAGCTCTCTGGTAGGTTCGGGGAATGTTCGCGAAAATAGAAGCGCCTCGGTGGCACTGGTCTGAACCATAGAAGCAAAGAGCAGCTCCAGAGCAGCAGTAGACTTGAGAATGGGCTGAACGCTATAGAAGTACGCCAATGCCAGGTTTTGCTCACCAGCAGGAGCATGTCGGACGAGTGTCATGAGGATATCATCAGCAAAGTCGGCGCCCAAGCAAGGATGCGCTACGTATTCGATCGCCGCCGAGAAATCGGCACGGTCCATGTGCCACAGCCCGGTCATGAAGAGCTGGTAGTTGCTCGGCATGCCTGATGCCATGGCGAATCTGTTGCAAGCACTAGAAGTTCCATTGACAAGATCGAAGTCCAACAAGATGTAGTAGAAGAGTGAAAGCTTATGGTGAGTCGCAATGTTGGCTTCGCAAACGTGCTGGTGGAATTGCTTTAGTGCTGCGTCGGTCTTGGGAGGGTATGTTTTGGCTAGACAACAGGGTCAATACATGGGATAGTCCCAATGGTCTATTTAGGTAAACAAGGCTACCTTTAGTAATGCCGAGCGCCTTCAGAACACGGTCGACAAACAAGATCCCATCCAGCTCTTTACGGTGGGAATCGATGTCGTTCTGTAGCTGGCGGTCATACGGCGACTGAAGCTCGGCCGGGAAGACTTGGTGGAATTCGTTATAGTTGATCATTTTTTTGTATGGTTTAGGTGTATTTATTCTTTTCGACAGTCTCCCTCTTAGTCAATTCGATAGCTCTGCAACCAAGACTAAACATTTGCTGGAGCCGTCTCCAAGCTTGGCTGGCTCGCGTCATCACGTGGACACGCCTGGCCGTGCCGCCCTGTCTTGCGGGACCCACTCCCCCAAGTGCTCCCTTTGCATTGTTTACAAACCACGCTTCAGGGAATTTCCAAACAAACGCCCGCCTACGACAGCGACGCGCGGGGTGACGATTAAACAATTCACCAGCAACCATCACGACCGCGAACTAACCCGCAGCACAACTTGTGAGAGAGCGAATTATTTCTGTAAAGGGAAATATCCCCTTTAGTAATTCTTTACACATTTTTCTCTTAATTATTTTTCCTCTCTTTCATTGCACACCTCACATCGACAAGCCATGAGCACACGGCCGACAAGACGCGCCGCGACACGGCGTACAGCCGTCGTTGATTCGGACGACGACGAGAATGGCTCCAATGTGAAGCCTCAAGCCAATGAGGACAGCTTTGAAGACTCTGTTGCGACTACTACGCGAAGAAGCACCCGCAGAAAGGTGTCGGCAACTCCTGCGGCGCCTGCGACAAGAACGACGAGAACATCGAGAACATCACGCAAGACTTCTACTCCTGTTGCAACTCCAGAGCCAGAAGAGCCTCAGAAGGCAGAGCCTACGGAGCAAGAGGCTGAACCCGAGCAGCCACAGGACGAGGTGATGAAGGAGGAGCCTATATCGTCTCCCGTCCAGCCAAAGGCTGCCAAGCGCGAAAGCACTCCCAGACAATCGCTAGGACGAACTCCTGATCTTGCGCCTCCTACGACACCTAAGGCTCCGACGACTCCACGACCGCCAAGCAGCTCCGCCCCCTTGGGAGATATCACTACCGCTACTGTGAACGCCACAGCGAGAGAGATGGCCATGAACATTAGCCCTATCAAGGCTATGGACGCTCTCCTGGACAAGCCCATGGACATCATGCTCAAGCAGCGCACCATGACTGTGGCTATTCCCGAGGACACTGCGCCCAAGTCCCGTATTGTCTTGACGCACCTGATTCTCACCAACTTCAAGAGTTACGCTGGTCGCCAGGAGGTTGGACCTTTCCATGCGTCGTTCTCGTCAGTTGTCGGACCCAACGGTTCCGGCAAGTCCAACGTTATTGACTCTTTGCTTTTCGTATTTGGTTTCCGTGCCAGCAAAATGCGACAGGGCAAGATCTCTGCCCTCATTCACAACTCTGCCCAGTATCCTGACCTGGACCACTGCGAGGTTGCGGTTCACTTTCAAGAGGTCATGGACCAGGTATGCCTAGCTTACAATTTACGTGATTAAAACATTAACTAACATGAACAGGCTGGTGGCGGTCACTCTGTCATTCCCGACTCCGAAATTATCATCTCCCGACGAGCCTTCAAGAACAACTCCAGCAAATACTACATCAACAACAAGACTTCGGACTTCACAACAGTAACAACCTTGCTCAAGGAAAAGGGTGTCGATCTCGACCACAAGCGTTTCTTGATCTTGCAGGGTGAAGTCGAATCTATTGCCCAGATGAAGCCCAAGGCGGTTACTGAGCACGATGATGGTCTCCTTGAGTATCTCGAGGATATCATTGGCACTTCCAAGTACAAGACGCCGATTGAAGAGGCCGCTACTAAGGTGGAAGAGCTCAACGACATCTGTATCGAGAAGAGCGGTCGCGTTCAGCATGTCGAAAAGGAGAAAAAGAGCTTGGAGGACAAGAAGGACAAGGCTCTCATGTTCATCCGCGATGAAAACGAGCTGACGCTAAAGCAATCCGCCCTCTACCAGCTCTTTATCCATGAGTGCAATGAGAACATCTCCATCTCGGAGGAGGCCGTCAATGAGATGCAGGCTCAGCTTACTGAGGAGCTCGAGCATCACCAGGGCAATGAGCAAATTATCAAGGCCCTGGAGAAGCAATACAAGCAGGGCTCCAAGGAATGTTCTGTAATGGACCATGAAACCCAGGCTCTCGTTAAGGAGATGTCTCAATTCGATCAGGAGCGTGTCAAGTTTGAAGAGAAGAAGAAGTTCCTTAGCGACAAGCGACGCAAGCAAGAAAACGCCATCACTACTGCCACCAAGGCGTACGAGACTGCCAACGAAACTATTGAGGAGTGTACTCTTAACATCGAGGGCCGCTCTGGCAAAATCACCAGTCTCGAGGAATCTGTTGCTGAGGAAGAAGCCCAGCTGGCCAAGATTCGCGATAGCCTCAAGGGCAAGACTCAGGCGTTTTCGGATCAGATTACAGTCAAGCAAAAGGCTCTCGACCCGTTCATGGAGAAGATCAACGAGAAGCAGTCGGCTATTGCTGTTGCTGAAAGTGAATTGAACATCCTTCAAGAAAAGGCCAATGCTGGAGCTGTTGCTCTCGAGGATCTGCAAAACAAGATTCGATCCATCGAGGAATCCAAGTCTGACAAGACACACGAGCTAAAGAAGTGCGAAGCGGAAAAGGCTGCGCTCAAGGAGGAAGCCGACACCATGGTTTCCGAACTTGAGACCCTTGCCCAGCAGGAACCCAAGTTCCGCACCAAGATTTCCACTACAAGACAAAAGGCAGATGAGGCTCGCTCCAGTCTGGCTAGCACTCAAACTCGCGGCAATGTCTTGACGGCGCTGATGCGTATGAAGGAGTCTGGTCGTATTGAGGGTTTCCACGGCCGTCTTGGTAACCTTGGTACCATTGACGCCAAGTACGACGTTGCTGTTTCTACCGCTGTCAGCGCGTTGGACAACTTCGTCACTGAATCAGTCGAGGCTGGTCAGCAGTGTATCGAGTATCTCCGCAAGAACAATCTGGGCCGCGGTAACTTCATTTGCTTAGACAAGCTCAAGGGTCGCAACCTATCACCTATCCAGACGCCCGAAAATGCCCCTCGTCTCTTTGATCTTGTTAAGACCAAGGAAGACAAGTTCCGACCAGCCTTCTATCACGCCATGCAGGATACCCTTGTGGCCAAGGATCTGGCCCAAGCTAACCGCATCGCCTACGGCGCCAAGAGATGGCGTGTCGTCACTTTGGATGGTGAGCTTATCGACAAGTCCGGTACCATGTCTGGTGGTGGCAAGACGGTCAGAAAGGGTCTGATGTCCTCCAAGTTGGTCGCCGATATCACAGTTGAACAGGTCGCGCAGCTTGAAGAAGCTCGTGATGCCATCGAGACCCAGTTCCAGGAGTTCCAAAAGTACCAGAGCGAATGTGAGACCAAGCTCCAGGAATTAAATGACAAGCTGCCGAAGCTTGAGACTCAGATTCAAAAGCTCAAACTTGAGCTGGAGAGCTCGACTCGCAACATTGCCGATCTTCAGAAACGCATCAAGGAAGTCAGCAAGGAATATCAGCCTTCGGCTGCTGATACAACGAGAACGGCGGAGCTTGAGAAGACCATCCAGAAGCTTCAAGCTGAGGTCGACCATCTCCACGGCGAGACTGCCAGTGTTGAGCAAGAAATCAAGGTCCTTCAAGACAAGATCATGGAAGTGGGTGGTGAGAAGCTCCGTTCTCAGCGCGCTATGGTCGACTCGATTAAAGATCAAATCACTGCCCACAACGAAGAGGTTTCGCATGCTGAAGTCCAAAAAGTCAAGGCTGAGAAGCAGAAGATCAAGTTGGAGAAGGATATGGCCAAGGCTACCAAGGAGCGAGACGCAGCTGACCGGGATCTCGAAGCCCTGCAACTCGACATTGACAACCAGGGCGTGAAGGCTGACGAGCTACGCAGCCAAGTAGAAACAGCCAAGACTGCTCTTACCGCCAAAAAGACAGAGCTCTCAAGCATCAAGGAAGACCTCGACGCCAAGACCACCGAGCTCAACAACACGCGTGCCGCCGAGATTGAGATGCGAAACAAGCTCGAGGAGAACCAAAAGGCCCTTGTCGAGAACCAGAAGCGCTTGCGTTACTGGGACGAGAAGATGTCCAAGCTTACTCTGCAGAGTATCGAGGAATTGACAGGTGAGCCTGCGTCAGCAGCCAAGATCCGCGCCGCTTCCGAACAGCCTAAGGCAGAAGGTGACGATGAGGAGATGGCTGATGCGGATGCTGATGCTGAGGCCGAAGCCAAGGCTGACGAGTCGGATGTTACCATGGGCGAGGCTGAATCTAAAGGAGAGAAGCCGGCTACTCAACCTACTGCTGACCTGCAGGAACTTCCTCAGTACACTCCTGACGAACTCGCCGGCATGAGCAAGGAGACCCTAAAGGGCGAGATTGCAGCTCTCGAAGAAAAGACACAAAACGCTGGTGTTGACCTCGGCGTTCTAGGCGAGTACAAGCGCCGTGTTGAGGAACACGCCGCTCGCTCGTCTGACCTCCAGACTGCGCTAGACGAGCGCGACGCCGTCAAGAAGCGATGCGACGACCTGCGCCGCATGCGCCTCGAGGGCTTCATGGAGGGTTTCAGCACGATTTCGCTGCGCCTCAAGGAAATGTACCAGATGATCACCATGGGTGGCAACGCCGAGTTGGAGCTCGTCGACAGTCTAGACCCCTTCAGCGAAGGCATCCTGTTCAGTGTCATGCCCCCCAAGAAGAGCTGGAAGAATATTGGTAACCTTTCTGGTGGTGAGAAGACCCTGAGTTCGCTTGCCCTCGTCTTTGCGCTGCACCACTACAAACCCACGCCGTTGTACGTCATGGACGAAATCGACGCCGCCCTCGACTTTAGAAACGTAAGTAAACCAATGTCCCCTTATGTGCAACCTCGCGTATCCATCCGAGCACAGTCACTAACCTTTCCTGATATAGGTTTCCATTGTCGCAAACTACATCAAGGAGCGCACCAAGAACGCCCAGTTTATTGTCATTTCCCTGCGAAACAACATGTTTGAGCTGGCTGCTCGCTTGATTGGTGTCTACAAGGTCAACCATATGACTAAGAGCGTCACCATTGAGAACCGCGACTTCATCGTCCGCCCGCAGCAGCAGCAGCAGCAGTATCAGAGGCAGTTTACGGGATCGGGGCAGACAACGACACTTGCGCTTAGATAGTAGGAGTCGTGGCAGGTGGCCGCTGTATATGTTGATGATGTGCGATATGAGGCGTTCTTGGCATGGTAGATGGTTTGCTTGTTTTTTTTTCTTGATATAACCTATTTGGATGTACGTTATGGTTTCAAGACGAATATATTTAATACGTTTTTGTTATGTTTTTTTCTTGGCAGTCAACCAGTTCGGGTCGCACTGCCTCGGTTGCTTAAACGCGCCAGGCCCCGTATTCATTCCGGGATTATACAAACAGGTTTATGTAAAACAGACTATTGGTATTTCGGCTACCATTGGAATTATCCAAGCGAGCTGTCAAGTGCGTCTTGAAATGTATAAAGACTTGGTCATTGGACTGTTGTTGCTGTATGTTTGGTATCCAGACAACTCTTTGATAAACATGTCGCGCTCGTTCATTGTGCTCTTGCTGAATCTGAGTCTTGTATCGGCTCGGATTAAGCAGCCCGTTTGCCCTCAGGATGAACTGTACACAGCTCTCTCTCGTAGCGGCACAAAGTTCTGCTCTACGATACTGCACGAGAAATGTACGGATGCACCGATTCCCACAGAATATACCAGGTTTCCTCGAGAGACTCTATCATCCTATGTAAGTTCAATACATGACCTAATAAGACATAGCTAACGAGTGCTGTAGTGTCGGTGCGTCTTCCCTGGCTGCCATGATTACAACAGCACTGTCACTGCAACTGTTACAAAGACAGCTGCGTCGTCATCTGTTCACTGGGTCAATTCCACAACTGCCGTCAATACTACGTTCTCAAAGCCAATCATTTCCATGAACATCACGACTGCGGCGCCTACGTCGACAGCGAGGGTCACTAACCGAGTCAACTCGACATCTATCACAGTGTCTAATACGAGTAGTGTTATTACAAGCACTTCCCTAACCATCCCTGGAATGACGCTGAGCCCAGTATCGGCTCACAACTTCACTAGCGTTGTCCAAGCTGTCGCAGCCACAATGACGTCCTGCTACCATCTTCCAGAAGCCAGTGATGGGCTGAATCATGGGGTTATGCTGCACAACGCTGAGCTCCGCGATCAGAATGTCAGTATCACGACCCCGTATATTGAGGCATTCTACTCAGACGTCGACGGAATCCGACCTCTACTCATGGCGGTACAAAGCACGGGCAATAACCGCTACTTTGTAGACGTGTCGCAGAGTGATCGCATATCTGTCGTGGATCCATTGGGTAATTCTCTCCTACTAGACAGGACTGGTGTTCACTTTTCCACCAATCAGTGTCAGTATTCCTTTTCTCTGTTAGTCGACGATTTGTACCGTCAGCTTGCAGCCCACGCGGGCATTGCTTGCGCAGCGCGAGGCTTTGGGCTTCGAGACACGGCTTATCAACACGTCACACATGTCATGTATATCACGGACCAGTGTGGGAAACCAGTCAGTAGGTCGATTCGACAGTACCCAGAGCTTAGTGTTGCTGGAGTCCCTTGCAACATCATGAGTGTGGATGACGGTAATGGGAAGTGGACATTTGATTGCCTCTTTTCAAACTCGACTTCCGTCATTGCTCAGTGTGAGCAATCTGTATCAGCAGAGATGGATCGCTTGTTTTCTGATCCATTCAACAATGCTTGTCCTGACCTCTCTGATGTGGTTACCACCCTTAGCCGCTATGGTCAGGACATTTTGGGATCAGAGATTATGGTACAGGCTTTTCAAGGTCTGGTAACAAATGGTACTGAAATTCTCCGAGTCAACCAGACCATCGGGTATTACCAGCTGCTTTGGATGACTCTGCAGGCCATGTTCTCCAAGGATGGCGATACAACACAGAGCGCATTGGAGCAGCAATATGACACATACAACAACCACAGAGACTTTTCGCACGATATTTGCCACGATCTTCATCCATCGAACGACACCTCGTTCAACGTTAGCTTCCGCGCTGGCGCAACATACAACCCAGCACTGCTGACGCTGTCTACCATCCCGGAGTCGCCGGCGCCCATGAACATTACAATACAAAATCCATCAAATGTCGCCTGTTGTGCTAAGGGATTCACTGCTGGTCTGTCTAATTCGACAAATACGTGCTCATATCCAAAAGAGGCATTTTTGGAGATTAACAATTGTGTGTGTGGAATGACTACTTCTGACCAGTCTGTGGCGTTCAAGTATAAGGCCTGTCAGCACTATGATACAGAATGTACAACCAACAGCGACTGTAAATCAAATGGAAACGAGGATAAAATTTGTTTAGTAGGTAGTTGCTGTGGTCATGGGATTTGTATTGATCCCTTTGAGTGCTCGCGGGGATGATTGTAATTATGGTGGAATTAATTGTTTGCGTTGAGGTTGTGCAGGGTAGTTGAGCATCCCCCACCAAAATCGCACGATGCTCTCCTGGATCGCGTTTTCCCGCAAAGCACAATTTGATAGCTATAGCTTTTAGCGACGACCTGTTTATTGTCTGAAATTACTCGATATAAAATAATCAATATATATGCAATTGGCTACATCTGCGCACTGGCATATCTAGGATCATCATGTCACATTTACATAGGAGCGAAACAGATATTCTGGGTCGTTTAACTTTTTTATTCAGAACTGCTAGCCCAGTTGTCTTCGTTCCAAATCGTCATTTCAATGCAGACGTAAACATATAACCATCCGGACTCCAACCCATTAGAAAATCAAACCCATTTAAGCCTTAGGGGCAGTAGGAGTGATCTTCTTGCCGTCCTTGTTGTATCGGACGCGAGGGGGAGGGGCACGGTTGCGGCGGCCGTCGCGGGAACGGACACTAGCGAATGAGTTAGCATTAGGTCGACATACCTGCCTCCGCGTGGGAGGGAGCGGGAATTTTTCAGCAAGTGTGTTCAAAGTACGCCAAGGTTCATCTGAAGCACATACGCAACCAAGGCGTAGTTGTCACACTCCTGAGGAAGACAACGTACCGGACAATCTTGCCGTGAATGGCACAAGAGACGCAGTACTGCAGCTTAAGGTACATCTTGGGAACGGTGTATTCGGCGAAGACAGAGGCGTCCGAGATGTCACCTGTAGGGGAGGAGGTATGTTAGCATGCGTGTTTCTCGCTCGTCGTATTTGATGGCTATTGCGATCTCTGGTTTCGAGCTTCGGGAGCTGTCCAACCCGGATCCAGCAGCATCGTGGGAGATAGAACGTACGAATAGCAGCAGACTCAACCATGTTGCGGATGGTGAAGCGCTTGATGGCCTTATCCTTGGGAGTGCATCGCGAGCAGTTGCTGCAGCGGATAGGGTTGACGTGGCCGCGACCCTTCTTGTTGCGACCGTTATTCTTTCTCTTCTTGACCATTTTGCCGGTATTCTGTTCACAGGCTGTTTGTTAATATATTATATCGAATGGGCTGTCGTGGGTGGTCAAAAGGTACATACACAAATTTATGCTGGCGGTGGGTTGGGAGGAAACAGAAAGCCTGTAGTGCTGGGAGTCTTTTCAATTGACTGCGACTCCACACGCCTGCCACCCACCAAAAACCACGGGCTGATTTTTTTCGCCTATACAGGGCAGTGTGCCCCGAAAAACCCTAGGTCACGTGGCGCCACCTGCGCAAGCGCTAGGGTACGCCGGCCAAAATTTCTACTACTGCGGGTCGCCACTACAATATATTCTGCTCTTGCAACCATCGCAACATCTGAGGATTGCTTAGGACGGCAGTAATAATATTGTCGAGGTACGTCTCAAGATGATGCAGATGCTCGTTCTTCTATGCGACGGGGCATTTGATTATTCCTTTCGATGATTGAATTGCACCCGCTGTGCCTCTGTCGACGCCCACGAAAACCGCAACCCGACGTCCTCGCAGCGAAATATCTCGAGCGCCCATCCGCCCTCCTATAGACGGATGGATGGTTGGTTGAGCGGGGAGAGGGCAATGTCGACATGCACAAGTCGCAAGGAACAACAGTGTCGCTCATGAACACCGGTTGACCATGGATTCTAACATTCTCTCTTCTCTTCAGGCAAGATGCAGATTTTCGTCAAGACCCTTACGGGAAAGACGATCACCCTTGAGGTGGAGTCTTCCGACACCATTGACAATGTCAAGTCCAAGATCCAGGATAAGGAGGGTATCCCCCCTGACCAGCAGCGCCTGATCTTCGCTGGCAAGCAGCTCGAGGATGGCCGCACCCTCTCCGACTACAACATCCAGAAGGAGTCCACTCTCCACCTTGTCCTCCGCCTGCGTGGTGGTGGCAAGAAGCGCAAGAAGAAGGTCTACACCACCCCCAAGAAGATCAAGCACAAGCGCAAGAAGACCAAGTTGGCTGTCCTCAAGTACTACAAGGTCGACAAGGATGGTGGCATTGAGCGTCTCCGCCGCGAGTGCCCTGCTGACACCGTAAGTCTTTTTCAGGATATATCATCCAGTCAGAACAGCCTTTGCTAACAAACATATCACAGTGCGGTGCCGGTGTCTTCATGGCTGCCATGCCCGACCGTCAGTACTGCGGTCGCTGCCACCTTACCTACGTTTTCAACAAGGAGTAAATTTAACCAAACTGCTTTTTCGGGTATTGAAATGGATATCGTTGAGGCGGATCGTTGAAAAATCACGACCGCTGCAAAAATGGCGTTGATGATGTAGCATAAAGAACATCTTCGGTTAATGAATGACTTGATTGAAACGTTGGCATTAAAAAAACAAAAAATTATTATAAGCTTTGTCCTCAGCATAACAGTGATGTCGTAAATGGTAAAACTGCGTGCTGTAGCTACAGGCCGTTGTGCTGCTGGTGCACACGACCAAAACTTTTCTCGCAAGAGTGGACCAACCACCAGCGAAGTTTCCGCTCAGCTTACCCCGTCTTCTGGTAAGCTGCTGCAATTGGACGCTACTTGGGCAAATGGACAATCCTAATTGAGCTTAATAAATTCATTGAAAATAAATTTTGCATATTCAGGTATGCATATCAGTTACTGTACTCTTTATGTCATAAATCTCCAAGTGTCAAGTTAAACATCTCATATCCATTGATAACTGGAGTGTATTAATCCAGAAATTTTGTACATAAAATCGCACTAAGCATACGCGCAAAACGATAAGAGAGCCAGCTACAAAGAAAAGAAAGATCCGTAATAACGCCGTGTGAAACCAAGTCCAGCAACAAACTCCAACAATCAACCAACGTAGATATCTCTTTAGCGCAATGCTGGGACAAAGTTCGATGCAAAGAAAGCAATAGACTTCTACTCGTCGTCAGCAGCCTCGGACTTTCTCTTCTTCTTCTTCTTCTTCTTCTCGCCGTCTTCCTCGTCATCGTCGCTCTTGCGCTTCTTGTCCTTCTTGTCCTTCTTTTCCTTCTTTTCCTTCTTTTCCTTCTTTTCCTTCTTTTCCTTCTTCTCCTTCTTGGCAGAGGCGGGCGCGGGGGCATCCTCCATCTCCTCATCCTCATCGCCGTCGGCCATGTCACCGAGCGAAGCCATGACGGACTTCATGACATCAGCGTTCTTGGCAGGGCGCTTGCCAGAGGCGTAGAACTCAAGACGGTCCTCGACCTGCTGGCGGAGAGCCTCACCAAACTTGGTTCCAGGCTCCTCAGTGAAGCTGTCGATACGGCTGGCCATGGAGCACTTGTTGGCAAGGTATCTGGAGATACGGCCCTTGTTACGGACGTTGGCCTTGCCAATGAAGCTGGAGTGGTAGATGAGACCGTACTTGGGGGTGTTGCTCTTGCTCTTGAGGGCACGGAAGAGGGCCTTTTCGGCACCGAGAATCTGGAGGGTAGAGGCAGGGTACTTGGAGAGAGTGGTCAAAGAACCAGCGTGGGAGATGAGGCGGGCGGCAACAGGAGTGCCAATGAGAGCCTGTAGGTTGGGGGCGACGTGGCCCATCTTCTTCTCGAGGTAGGTGGAGGTGGACTTGCGGTTGGTGGCCTGCTTCACAACGGCCTGGGCGAGCTGGTTGATGATCTCAAGATCAGTGTCGGTGATGTCAAAGCCCATGGAGACCTTGGCAGCGTCAATGATTTGCTGGGCAACCTCACCGTCCTCGCCAACAATGGCAGCAAGGTCGTGGAGGGAGTCGTCGGTAAGAGACTTCTTGTTGCCAATCGCAATGACGAGCTTCGAGTAGGTCAAGTTGTCCGAGACAATCTTGATAAGCTCGGGGAAGTGCCAGCCGTACCATTCGCGGACGCGCATGAAGAACTGGTTCACGCCCTTGTCCTGGAAGTCGAGCGTGGCAGAGGCCTGGATAATGTGGTTGTCGTTCTTGGTGACAGAGAACTTGACCTTGGCGCGGGAGTAGGCGTGGCCCATACCGAGACCGGCCTTCTCAATGTCGCCAGGCTTGAGGTCGCTCAGAAGCTTGTCAGCGTGCTGGCGAATGCCGCGGAGCACGTCAGACACGACCTCGGAGGTGTCGGCGGTTTCGCACTGGAGACCCTCGAATTCGTTCTTGATGGCACCAGCCAAGTTCTTCTCAGATACACCGAGAGTGACCTTGCTCTTCTTGCCGCTCTTGGGCAGGTTAAGCTCGAGAACGTTCTTGAGGTAGTCGGAGCAGATGCCTTCGGAGACGAGGTTGATGTTCTCGAGGGCTTCGACGTGGCCGCTGGGAAGAGGGAGACAAGGGTTAGTCGCGACTTCAAATATGCTCAATGGTTTAGAATTGAGGCCTACCGGAAGGGAGAGAAGTTAACAAGCTTGACCATCTTGCCAAACTTGGCGAGGTCGTTGACGGCAGCCTGAGTCTCCTTCAACTTCAAGCCGACGGCGTCGGCCTGACGGACGATCTGGAAGACGGCATAGCCGACAGGCGACTCGTAGAGGGCGTAATCGATTTGCGACATTTTTGTTTCGACCCAATCTGGACAGCAATTGATTGCGGGTTGAAACGTAGATTCTGGCGAAAAGATGCCTATGAATTGGAGGTTTGGGAACGCTGCTTAATTTTTTTTCCTACCACTTTTTCTTGGAGTGGAAAAATTTCAGAGAGCTGCGCTGGGAGCCAATCAGCAGCCGAAATTGGGCGAATATGGGGCGAGTCACGTGCAGCTCCAGAACCGTGGTCTGGCTTACAAGCGATGAGTGGTAGAGGTACATGGAAGTAGAGCACAAATATGACATGTATACTATTTTATACTATTTATTATAAAATACTTCTGTGTGCTGATTATAAAAATATGCCTATAAAATTAGTAGAGAGTAATGTTGTAAACCCATGCTGTTGCTTCCACTGTCCTACACTCTGCTCAAAGCTCCCCTCTAGACGGCGGTAAACCAGCTGCGCAAGATGAATAATAAAATACTTGTAAATTTATTGAAAACTTTATAGAATGTAAGTATAATCGTATCTCTAATCTTTCGTCATAACCATAACAGTGCGTGTCGTCAATTCTGGACTGGCCGTGCTTTACGGGAAGCCAGCTCTCAAGTTATCATACTTGGTCTCAGGATAGCTAATGCAATTGTCCTGGCGGAGGAGACCATTGGGACCGCCGAACTCATCCACAACTGTCTTGATCAGACTCTCATCGCCAGACTTGTCAGCGCTGCTCTCCCACCACATACCACCACCAAGGCCTCGCTGCTTGATGTACTCGGCCTTGGTCTTAGCCATGGCCTTGGTATCATAGGTAACAAGGACGCGAGATCCAGGGTTGTAGCAGTAACTAGCGACGGCTTCAGCATCGGTGTGCTCCTCAGAACCCTCAAGAGGAAGCTTCTTGTAGTCGTAGACACCGGCCTCCCATGTTCCAGGGCCGACGCCGTTGTAGGGCTTGCCGAGGCCGTCGGTGTTCTCAAAAGTACGACCGTATAGCGGCATACCGAGAACAATCTTGTTCGAAGGGACACCCTTTTGCTGGTATAGCTCAATGGCGGCAGTGGTGGAGAACGGGGTAGAGGTAGGGACGGAGCGGCTGGGGTACAGGTTGGCCTGGTGGCCGCTGTTTTGGTCCCAGGAGCCAGCGTAGTCGTACGCCATCAGGTTCCAAAAGTCAACGTATTGGCTCATGCCTCCGACATCAAGCTTGTTAATGTTGTCGGGGCCGGCTGGGCACGCAACTGTGAGCTCAAAGTGGTGACCGCCGCTGGTTCTGTTGGCGTAGTCGTCCATTTCCTTGCGCACGCAGGCGAGCAGCTCAACAAAGTTGCGAGCTTCATCGGCGTTCTTGGGATACTCCCTAGAGGCGTTTGTTAGTAAAATCAGATATTAGTGATGTTCATTGGACCTACCAATCAATGTCGATGCCGTCAAAGCCCATAGTCTTGAGTAGCTCTACGCAGCTCTTGGCAAATGTCTCGCGGCCTTGCGGTGTGCTTGCAGGGGCGGGGAAGTTTGCGCTGTAGGTCCATCCTCCAACGGAAACAAGAACCTTGAGGTTACGGTTCTGCTTCTTCAAAAGATTGAGCTGCTTCAAGCAGCCGTAGAGGTTGGTGCCGGAGTCGTTCCAAGAGTCGTTCTCAAAGTGAATGTCGGTGTCTGCCCAACCATCGGTCAGGTAGCTGCAAGTCCAATTAGCACCATATTATTACAGTGTTATAGCAATCCCAACTACTTACACTTCGCCACTTTCCGGTCTGACATTGGCAAAAGAGTACAAGATGTGTGTCAAGTTCTGGGCGGGAAGATCCTGGGGGCGATGCTTTCTGGCGTAGATGGCCCTACAACACGTGTTAGTCCCTCAATGATGGCGTTGCTGGTGCTGTAGTTGCATGCGTACCAGTTAACAAAGTAGGCTACCGATCTATATGTCATGATGAATTGTCGTGGATAAAAGATGCTGTGAGGAAAAGAAAGCAGAGTTGGGCCGCAGCTTGTAGGTGTAGAAGTGATGAAATACAGGTGACAATGGAGGGGGGCCAGTGCAGCCGCCAGTGCCGCTGGTACCTTGGTGGCAGTGCAGGCGGTGGGCAGCAACGCAGGGATTACGGCGGACACAGCGCTATGGCAAGCAAGGAACAGCGCTTGACTGTGCCGGACTGAGTGAACACAGAATTACCTAAAAAGAAGGTTTCCACAGTGTTCGATTATGCAGGCCAGGAAATATTGCAACGGTCAATACGAGGCTGCAGGATGGGAGACGGTGGACAGTGGGTGGGCGGCGGCTGGAAGATGTGATGACGAACGAGTCGGATTAAAGCCCGCTAAGCTCGGATAAAGAAACAATGTAATATGATGCGGATTTTAAGTTTGAAGCTAAAAGCATAGTATGAATTACCATTAAACTAATGTAATTCGGCCAAGCGATCTGATGTAGCAAGTAAGACTAGTATCATATATACGGAAACGTATATCCGAGACATAATTCTCGTATTGCATTATAACAGTATAATCCTGCTTTGCAGCAAACTACAAACATCCCGTCTAGTATACATATACAAAGTCTTCATTCTCCAGGTCTGTGACATCACCACCCGCCTTGCCGCTGTGGTTGCATCCACTCTCTCCACCTGTCTCGCCGTCCGCGTCTGGGCCATGCGCAGGTATTTGCTGTTCTTGTTCCATCCTCTCAGCATCTTCAGCAGTTTCCAACGTAAGATCAACGATCTCCGCGTTTTTGCCTAATGCCACTCTGCGCTTGGCATGCTGGTTATTTAAGTCGTGGAGATAGACTGCAGTGCCGCCCGCAATCAGAGCAACAAATATGAAGAATACTATGTTGGCTCGGATGCCGCGCTGGTATTCTGGGGCCTCATCAGGTGTGAACAGTAGTGGGCCAATAATATTGCCAGCAGAAGACCCGATGAAGATCAATGCTGATACTGTCTTTTTCTTGGTGTCGCCAGCTGTGCATTGTGCTGACCAGGAATAAATGAGGGGCGCTGCGTGTCGTTAGCAAAGCTCGAAAAATGTCATCTTCGTATTGATAGTACTTACTGATACCGGTATAAGCAGATAGACAAAAGTAGCCTACAAGCAGAATCGCTCTGTGGTGAATATCATGGGGGAACATGAGTAGCACTCCAAACCCGATGAGAGGTGGGATGCAAAGTCCAACAATAACGTATGCTTTGGCCTTCCACTTCATTGCAATGTATGCACTGCCAGTAACTGCAATAATATGCGAGATTCCCACAGGCACATTAAAGAGCATTGTTTGAAATGGGTCGGAGACAAAGGACTCGATAATGAGGGGCCCAAACGTCGAGATGCCGTTGGACGGTACCGATATGCAAAAGATCATTGCCACCCAAAGCCAGGTTTTAATATCTCGCATGGCTTCAATGAATTGCCCATGCTGCCACTCTCTGGTCGTTATTCTAGATTCACTAGATCGAAGCCGCTCAATAGCGATGAGCTTGTCTTGGTCGGTAAGAAATCTGGCTTCAAGGGGCGAATCCGGCATCCATAAGAACATGAGACTGGAGACGAAAATCGTGACAATACCGAAAAATAAAAAGATAATCTGCATATAGTTAGAGGTGTTTATAGAGGAGTGACCGGATGCTGATGGCGTACCTGATATGGTTTCATGTCGGATTTGATACTTGCTAAGCCATAGGTGATGAGGCTGCCGAGCTACATGTGGTTAGTATAAGCCATCGATGAAGGCAAGTCAAACTTACAATCCAGGTCAAGCCATTCATGCAGTACCAATATCCAATTCGTACTGTTTGTTCTCTAAAAATAGATTAGCATCGAGCCATCACAAGCTGACTGTAAGTATACACACCTTCGCCTCCACCACATTTGGGTAATAGCGACAAAGCTTGGGCCAACGCCAGCTTCAAAGGCGCCCAAGACAAATCGGCCAATTAATAGCGATGGAAAGCTTTTTGCCCAAGTCATCAGTGCAAGGGTAAGGCCCCAGCCTAGAACCATGCCGCTGGTAAACTTGCCAATGGGAAGCTTCACCAAAGCGTACGCCACTGGCATCTGCATAATAAGCTGCGCCAAGTACACGATGCTGCCCAGCCATGAGTACTGTTCTCCCACTAGTCCGGTATCCTCAATAAGCCCAAATATAGATGCGTATGATAGGGTTGCTTTGTCTAGTGCTTGGAGAAAGTATACTGAGAGCATCAGAGGGAGCAAGACAAGATCGATGCTGCGTAGGACTCGCGCATCGTCGGTAGAAGCTATAGGGGTTCGGTCATTGGGCGATCGTCCGAGTTTTATTCGTAAAATAGCTGCATCGTCTCTGTAGATACCTGCGGCTTCAGCTTCGCGGGCTGCTGTGGGTGTTTCTACCGTAGCTTCATCTTGGCCGAGGGGCAGATAGGAGCTGGCGTTCCCAGCTGTTTCTGAGGGACCTGGTCGAGCGGCAGCCGCGCCCGGAAGGACGGACCGGAATATGTCGCTAAACTTCATAACATTTATGTGTCGCTCCCAGAGTGTTTTACTGCTGTTGGAAGCGGCTGCGGGTTATGAGAAAGGTGTCGTGAAGGGAGTAGTTTGGCGGATGAATGCAACTGACTTTCTGGTTGTGACGTAGCGCGCTGCCAGTGGGCCACTACCAGCTGGCAGACGACATAAGTTCAGCTCCAACACTTGCTACGCCCCAACACAAACAAAATAAAAAAAAACTTGTCTTAAATGTATATTCATGTCTATTAGTCTATATGCGGAGCTGACTCCAAATCAAATCATCATAATGCTCTATTTTCCCTTTAACCCATGCCCGACATTTAACGCCGCGTAATTGTGATGCATGATGCATCCTATGCAATTGCCGCCACAGCTTCCTTAGCGATTATCTCTGTCTTTTCGACAACGGCCTCTTTAAAGGAAGCGTGTTCAGCCTCTTCCAGAACTTCTGCTTGTCTGTTCATCCAGCTCATGTATGTCTGCCACCAGATTGATACGAAGCCAGAGAACAGAGCTCGGTACTGCATGGGCACATATGTCATGGTAATTGCTGTTGTCAGAGGCCAAACCTTCCACGAGTTGGTCCAAACAGGGATAAACGTATCTCTGACACGCTCATACACGCTGTACACTCCCTCGCCAGCCAGCAGCGCCTGTCCACTAAAGAAGTAGATGGGAAACGCCACGGCAAAGGTCAGCTGGTTGAACAAGACCTTGGCAGTGATAGAGAGCGCCTTGGACTGGTAGTTGAAGTATTTAGAAAGAACAAAGAACCTAGTTTCATTTGTTAGCCCTCATGGGTTCCAACTCCACAACATCCGATACATACCATTTATACTGCGGGATCGCAGACAAACCACCGAGAAACAAGGTCCTCAGTGTTCGGTACGGGTCGTATTCCGAACCACTGATATTCTGTGCCCCCAAATCTCCACAGAGAAAGATGACAAGAGAACTAATGAAGTGCGTCCATAGTGGCCGCTTTTTCTGTGATGCTGTGTACCCGTCGATCGCCCGTGTGACCGGCCCCAGACGTCTCCAGAGCGCCGGTTTCGCCGGGACTGCTGCATTTGCTGTCGAAGATGCCGATTCCGCTGCTTGTTTGACTGTAGATGCTGTTTTCGTGGAAGACGATGTAAGCCGATATTGGAGGGGACCCCGGGTAGAAATTTTAGGAGCCGGTGTGTTGCGCAGCGGCGTTCGAGGGAACGCGGCGCGAAGCATACTGCAATATTTTGTGGACGCGATACTATAAAGAAACCAAAGAGTGTAGTGGAGTTGAATAAAAGAAAGACAAAAGTGCGCAAAGAAAGGAAGGAATGGCGAAAGACGGGCAATTCAGGATCAACAACCCGGATGACAAAGAAAATGGTGTCGCCTTTACTCGGCGCTCCGAGTCGGCAAAAAGCGGAGCCCCCAGGACAGGCACCTTCTGCATTCTGTGCGTTGTAGCTGGTGGAAATACGCCGGAGACTACGATTTATGGCGCTGTAGTAAATGCATGCACTGGCTTAATTGGCGACTGCAATTCCCTCCGTTTGTAACGGTATGGCCTACAAGGCCAAGTTACAGCGGTGGCTCGCGCTTTGCCGTCATTTGCTGTTAAGCCAAAAAATACAAAAGAATTCGTATCAACAGGTCAACCAGACACCCTTACAAGTCTCCTATTCGGTCCAAAGACCCAATCTATAACACCATCCGAGTTTTTGATTTATAATTTACGAACCTTGTACCAATGCATCCGCGACGGAAAGCGATAATAACCAGGAATCAATAACACCACCGCTAGTAGTCCCCTAGCAATCTACAAGGACGTAACCCTTTCTTTCTCCCGCGCACCTGGGACACGGCCAGGTCAACCAATAATTCGAAGGTATCAGTGGAAACTAACTACTGGTAATGACTCACCTTGCTCCTCAACTAACGACGACCAGCGCGCTATCTCCTGAAGCGGGACAAGCTTTGCTGCATACACCACTAATGTAACCAAGCGAAGCAAGCTACTTAGAACTGAGCACTAGGGAAACATTAAGTAACCAAAGTGGTATCTTGTGCTTAGCAAGTAGCTGATTTCCATCGATACGTGTATAGGGACTATATAGCTAAATATATTGCAAACAGGTAAGCTTACTTAACTATATCAATAGGCCGTACGTTCATCATCTGGTCATTTCATCTATTTTATGCTGTGAACTTCGTAGAGGAGTAAAAGATAATACAATAGAATACTTCTAATCTGCTACTTTGCCGTTACCTTTCATATATTGGCGGGGCCAGATAAAATATTCTCGTGGCTGAAAGGCAATTACTACTTCATGGCGCTAAAAGTAAATGAGACATGGTAGTTGGGAGAGACGGTATGCAGAATGATAAGGACGGGATTCAGTTGAAAGCAGCGTATCTTACTACCTCTCCACTATGCAACTTGCGCCAAGTACTGTCTAGAACGATACGTTCTGTTGCTAAATTCCATTTATTTTATCGATCTATCATTTTTTATGATTAAATCATCCAGGTGCTCAAAGAAAGCTTACTCAGAGCCTTCATTCCAGACATCAAACATCCGAAAGCGGAAATTAGTCACATGCCAATAGCCAAAGCGAGGCTGAGCCAAGTGGTTTTCTATTTAATCCGAAGAAAAGCCAAGCGAGCGGAGCGGCTTGAGGACTAGATAGTAAACTCTATCCGTTTTCTAGCGCGTATGCCGGATATCTCGGCCCCGATGGGTCGATTTGAGTTCGAGGTCTCTTTCGGCTCTTTCCGGACATGCATATGGTTTCACGTGTATTAACCCTGCTGCGGGCATTGTAAAACGCTATTTGGTGGAATGTACTAAACACCAATCTCGGTATGTTAGTGTAAGCGAGATACCCAAGCGAGGTGCCCAAGCGACGAACAAACACATTTTGGCCGCATTCGGATACCAGTGCGACGAGTGAGTACATTGTGGCCGAATCGGATTATCTGTAAATCATGCAAGATTAAGATGGAGACGCGCAAATCATCGCGGAGGCAGCGGAGAAGAAATTTAGATAGAGAGATACGGATGCACATGCACATGTCCAATTCCGGGCCGGGGGCAAGATAAATATAATGCGGTTTCCAAAACAAAATGGAAAATCAATTGCGAGGTTTTCATGACTGTTCTTGCTCTCTTTCTATACACTCTCTGAATCATATTGGTCGTTCTACCCCCAAATAAAACAATGCGTGGCAATACCACCCCCCTTCTAGGGGTTCTGGCTGCAGCAGCATATGCATACCCCAATGCAAATACCCATGCCGATACTCAAAGCTGCTCGGTTTGTGTGACGACCTACCTGGTGCTTGTACCTTGCTCGACGATGATATCGTCGACAGGGCTGAAGTCGTTGGCAACCGCGTTGTCGTCCAGCAGCAGCAGATGCGACGATTATACCACCGTCACTTCTCCCTACACTGGCACTGGCAGTATTACAGCGGTTATCACGTCTACGATCTCGCCTAGTGGTACGAATAAGGGTACAAAGATCGTTATCACTCCTGTTGTCAGGACATCTACCCTGCCAGGCACTTCAACCTCTAGCTCTTCAACTTCAAGCACACGAGTCTCTCACACTTCAACTACAAGCGCAGACAACTATGTCACAATCACCGCGCCTTACACTGGCACAGGCAGTATTTCTGCACCCACCACGTCTACTATCCCACCAAGTGGTACCAATCCGGGCACGAAAGTGGTCATTACACCAGTCAGCACAACATCGTCCAAGCTAAAGACTTCCACGTCCCGTACTTCGATTTCGAGCACAGTAACTCGGGATACTTCAACGTTTGTAGTATCAGCCACCTCTACAACTCGAGACAACTATGTTACTGTCACGGCTCCCTACACTGGCACTGACAGTATCACGGCACCTATTACATCAACTATCTCGCCCAGTGGTACCAATCCTGGCACCAAGATTATTATCACACCCGTTACAAAGACATTATCAAGCTCAAAGATATCTTTGTCAAGCACTGGGCCATTAGAATCTACAACCGTGGCGTCGACTACTACAGCTAGCGATACATATATCACTATCACTGCTCCTTACACTGGAACGGGTAGCATTACAGCGCCCATCACATCAACGATCCCCCCATCCGGTACCAATCCTGGTACCAAGGTTGTTATTACGCCAGTTAAAACAGCCGCATCTTCATCAAGCATGTCTTTGTCTAGTACTTCACCACAGAGTAGTTCGGTCTCAGCCAGTTCCAAAGTGAGCTCGACACCCACAAACGCCTCGTCGTCAAGCAAATCAGTCTCAGTATCGTCTGTTTCGGCGCTAGTTAGTACTACAACTAGCGATACGTATATCACCATCATTACTCCTTACACTGGAACGGGTACTATCACGGGACCCATAACGTCGACAATTCCCCCAACTGGTACCAACCCAGGCACCAAGGTTATCATCACACCAATTAAGACGCCCACATCTTCCTCAAGCGCAGTGTTGTCAAACACGTCCTCAAGCACATCTTCGTCAAGTACACCAACATTGAGTACGTTTACCTCAAGTTCGGTAGTGTCAACCTCTTCAGTGCCAGATATCTCAGCCTCGAGTATGTCCAAAGCAAGCTCGACAGAGGCGAGCACGTCAGCCTCAAGCAGTTCAACCAGCAACTCAAGCCGCTCCGCTTCCAGTATTTCAACTTCTCAGTCAAAGTCTTCGGCTTTGAAAACGTCCTATTCGAGTACACCGAGCTCAGAGCCGTCTAGTTCGAGCTTGTCGACTTTTCAGTCCAGCACTTCAACTTTGAGCACTGCAACTTCGAGCACCACAACTTCAAGCATAGTACAACCCAGCTCTTCAGAGACAAGCAAGTTAGGACAGAGTAGTAGCAGCACGTCGTCCACGCCAGTCACCAGTACTACCCCTGATGCTAAGATTACAACTACCACGTCAACTAGCTCTTCATCCTCTGTGCCTGTTACGAGTTCGTCTTCGCCTTCTGCTGTATCTTCCTCCTCGCCGCCCCCCACATCATCCACTTCCTATACTTCGTCCACAATGCCGTCTGGGCTTGTCACGACAAGCACCTCCACTTCTTCCTACTCCGTGTCCTCATCTTCCTCATCCGTGCCTGCCTCCAAAATCTCTTCCACGTCTACGTCTTCTACATCGTCCACTGTCTCCTCCTCCGCGGCTATCACGACAAGCTCGTCCACCACCACTTCATCCACCACCACTTCATCCACCACCGCTTCGTCCACAACCACCTCAGCGTTGCCTACCCCCTCCTGCTCTGGTCTAGCCTGGTCTTACTACCAGCTAGACCACGGCAATGACGTCGGGCATATGCCCTGGCACACTCGCCACGGCGAACCTATTATTAGCCGAAAGTGGACATATGACATGCTCAACTTGACGATGGCGCTGGCACTGCAGAAGCCCACAAAGGAGGGTATAAGCAAGCGTGTAGGATGGGGTGGCAACTGCGGCAACCCGGTGCTGCCCGATGGAACTGGCGCGTTGCAGCGCGGCTTCTTCATCATGCAGCACTATGGCTACTTCAAACCCAAGACAGCAGGCACCTATACGTTCAGCGTACCCTATGCTGATGATTCCGCCTTTGTGTGGCTCGGTGACAAGGCTGTGAAAGGCTGGGACCAGCGCAACGCCGACGTGGCCAGCTGGATCGCACCTTCTGGACCGGGACGGGCGCCGTTCTCGCTCACCGTGACGACGCCCGGAGAGTTGATCCCGTTCCGTATTCTCATGGCGGAGGCTATGTGGTGCTCTAGCTACTCGGTGGTGGTTACGGACCCGAAAAACAAACCGATCCTGGGTATGACCGATGCGCAGTATGATGACCAGTTTGTGTCGGACTGTGGCGGCGTTGATTGGGGCTTACCAACGTCCATTGATGCCCCCGTCGTCCCTTCTGATTTCCCCGCGTCGCCTGTCGACGCACCTCTTTCCGTCCAGCAGGGCTTCACATGGCAGTACTTTGGCCTGGACGAAGGTAACGGCAACGGCAACGTGTCTGCCTATTCCGTTGAAGACGCTAGCAAGTTTATAAACAGCGGCGCGCAAGAGTGGGCATCGAAGCGCACCAACGTCCGTCGTGCCCTGAGCCATCGTAAGCCCTTACTGGATGGGGTCTCCCAGCTTGTGCACCAGCCTGTGACGGCAGGCGAGCAGCTGCGACTATTTGGTAAAACATATCCCCAGTATAACCCCAGGTTCATGGCGGTGCAGTACACCAGCTACTTCGTCCCTAACATGGCCGGCGCTTATGTCTTTTCCATCAGCGCCGCCTACGACGCTGCCTATCTCTGGATGGGAGATAAGGCAAAGGCTAGCGATGGCTGGGGTAACGACAACGCGGATCTAATTGCTTGGCGAGGCGCTCCTGAGAAGAAGTTTACCGTGGAGGTGCAGCAGCAGCAGGTGGGAACTCCTGTGCCTATGCGGTTGTTGCTGGTGCACTCGTGGTCAGGGCTGGCGCCTACGTACTCGCTAAGCCTTACAGTCAAGGATCCGGGGGACATCACCATCCTGTCCAACACGAAACAGACGGGCAAACACTTTGTCACCAACTCTGAGCTGGCAAAGTAAGGGACGACTACAGGTGATTTTAGTTGTACCTAGCTCATTTTTCTTTTTTTCTTTTTTTCTTTTTAGTTGTAGGCTACTTTATAGAGTGCTTTGTTGTCTTTCTTGGTTATAGATTACTTATAGACTGGCTAGCAACTTGCCCCAGGCTCAATATTGGGATAAACTTTATTGTATGGGATTTCTATCATGCGGTGAATGCGACTCCTGCCTATGCTTACAAGTATAAAGGAAATATGAAAAAAGAGAATAAAAAGAATGAGAATAACTCCTTAAAATCATCCACGCCTTCGAAAACAGTTTCTTGTTTTTAGATTGTTGAATTTAAAATGTCGTGTTGTCTTCCTCTAGGAGACCAAGACCGCTATCTGGGCGTCGTCTTGCCTTCTTGGTGTTGCTTTCTCGAGGCGCAAGGCTACCGATTCTGCTTTCATCGCTCTCGTCCGATGAACGTTTAGAACCGGATCTGAAGGGGCTAGATTTCAGCCGAGTTTCGGGCTTTGGGCTACTGAGGAGCCCGTTACTCATCTCAAGCACACGCTCGAGCTCTGCCTTCATGGAGTCCAGAGCTTGCTTGGCCTTGAGCCGCTCGCCTGCCATCTTAGTCTGTAGCGCGCCGTTTTGAACACGCAGCACGCGGATCGACTCGTGAGCGGCACGGATGGCCTCGTTGACACGGTCGATTTCCACACGGAGTTCCATAACTCTGGCATCACGTAAAGCTAGGGCCTGGCCATGTTGCTTGTTGAGACCAGCCACGCGCTTAACGTGATGATCCTCCATATCAGAGATTTCTTGCAGCAATTGTTCTGTCTGTTTGACGGACTCAAGCATTTTCTGGTCTAGTTCATCAATTGCCTTGTTCTTAATGGCCAGCTCTTCTTCTGTTTCGTCTTGCTGCATCTTTGTCTTGATAGCTGCCTCTTGACGATCCTTGTCGAGTTGTTCCACAAGCGCTTCAAGCTCTGAAATATCGCGAATGTAGGACTTGATGGCCCCTTGGAATCGACTGTTGCCATGCTTAAGCTGCTCGACCTCGGTTGTCTTTTCTTCCAGCAGTGCCTTGGCCTTTGTGAGCTCTGCATGTAGAGCATCCATGGCGGAGACACGTGCATCGAGCTGCTTGCGCAGAGATTGTTCGATGTGGTGGTATTCATCAATGCTTGTGTCGTCTTCCTTGGATTTGGAGGCAAGTTCTCGTAGTCGTGTGAGGAGGAGGTCAAGCACTTCGGCACCATGTGACGTGAGCGGCAGTGTCAGTTCGCCAGGTGTCAGGTACTCCAGCTCAAGGCGTGCCGCGCGGAAGCCAGACGAAACTGACGCAACCATTTCTCCAACATCCTTTCCCGGGAATCCAAGTTTAGAAATTAATGCCGACAGATCTGCGAGAGCAGCGTTTTTATCGGTGGCCGACTGCATCAGCGAAGCAAGCTCGTTTTCGATGCTGTCAAGCAGCTCAGATCCAGAAGCTTGGGCAGCCTCAGCGGAAGAAAGGCGTAAAGCCATGCGAGAATGCGTGGCTTTGTAGGATTCCAGGGTTGTGGTTAACTTGGCAACTTCGAGTTGCAATGAAGCCAGATCCTCTTCCATTTGCAGCTTTTCTTTATCGGGCAGCGAAGTCTGGACGCCGGCATGGCTGTTTGGTGAAGGAAAACGCAGCGAACAAGGTGTCGCAGGGACAGTTGGGCTAGTGGCCGGTGGTGTAGGAAAGGAAGATCTTGCACGAGACGGCGTGCTTGCTCCAAGTTGTGCCATTGTCTCATTGCCAAAATGATCGTCGTCAACAATCATGTCTGTATACTCATCATTATAGGGGCCTCGTGCAGCCATTGTCCAGTCGTGCTCCATGGTATCCTCGCGCTCCTGTCTCTCCTTCTCTTGAAGCTCGCGCTTCAAACGGTCAACCTGATTCTCCAGATCCCATATTCTTTCCGTGTCAATCACAATGGTGGCGTTTTGAAGCTCGTGGATTTCTTTATCACGGGCCTTGACTTCGTCTTGGAGACGCCCAATCTCGGCTCTTGACAGCTGAACCATGCGCCTCTTTTCAAAATCGAGCTTGTTCAGCATGTCTCGCATGCCATTTCGTCTGACCCGCCGTTCGACGCGTCCGTCCATTGTGTGGTGAATGGGGTCTGAAAAGGAAAGCGACCGACAAGTCGTACCGTGGATCGAAGAAGGGGTACTGTGTCGTCGGCCAAGAGAAGGTGTTGAAGATCGACGAGATTTGGGAGTAAGCATCGAGGTTCGACGCATCATGGGCGTTAGGCCGGACTCGGGTCCTGGCTCAGAGAAGCGGACAGAACGCCTTCTCCTTCCTGGAGTCTTGGGAGGAAGAGGGCATTCTGCGGATGTGTCTTCGAGCTTGATCAAACGGGCATTGCTGCGACGAGTACGTCTTACAGCAATAGGGAGGTTCGAGTCCGCCATGGCGACAAGCTCCAGAGTCGACAATAAAAAGTACACTGTTTAGCACGAGGAGGCGATACGGGGTATTCAGAACAGGAAGAAGAAAAGGCAGAGAGCAGATATCACCAACAATCGCGTCGTGTGGAGGGAGGGTGGCGCTTGCAAACGACGACGAGGTCGAGCAACAACAAAGCAGAAAAGGATGAAAGGGCTAGTGTCTACGGATATGCTACTGTACAACGGTCACAGGCACAAATAGCCCCATCGCGTTTATAAACAAAGCCACCGTCGACGAGCCCCGTTGTTTCCCAAGTCGTGTCCACCAACAGCAGCTGCAGCGTGCATCTCAACGCATCTACTTGCACGTATAATTCACGAAGAGACCCCTGTTGCCCGCCTTGGCCCCAGGCAGGCCTTTGTTTACAAGTTGCCGTTTTGGGTTTAGCAGGCGGCCGCTGTACCGGGCCGTCAGCCCCGCTGTAGCCTTTTTCTACAGTTGACAGCCAACCATTGACTACCCTGAAGGGGCAAGATGAAACAATTGCATTCTCTGCTGCCGCTGCGCCGCAGGGGTATTTTTATTGTTTGGTAACGATGTGGCACATAGAATCGCTCATGTCTGCTTTCTTGATTTTTGCCTTTTATAGCTAACCGGATCCATGTGAAATGGCAATGTGTAAATGTTAGATTCTAGGGACGCGTTTTACAACACCGCTATATCTATAGAGCCACTACCGCTAAAGTGGCCCACTGTAGGCCGCCATTCTGCGTTTAACATGACTCTTTAGCATTCCTCTCATGTCTGTAAAAAGCAAAATTCAATTAAAGCAAAAGCAAGTCCAGAATGCAAATTTAGTAAAGAAAGCAAAATTTTGAAACCTATTTCCCAATTTTAGTTTTTTATTTTCCCACGTCTTTACCATGGTACCAGAAAAAAAGAAATGGGTGTCGCGGATTACTTTACGTGGTACGAATAATTATGTTACTGACAGCATATATTCTATATAAAGAAAATTTGAATTGGTTTCCGTCAAGTAAACCCTCCTAATGTTGTAACCTCGGTCAGATATCGATCGTACTCATCATTTGGTAAGGTTGCCAAGTAAGAGACAAATGCATCAATGTCGTCCAGAGCAGGAGGCTGCTCCGCTGTATTCGGGAATGATGGATACTGTTCTGTTAAAGGTTGTGTTTGATTCGTTAGAACTGGCTGCTTCATCACAGGTTCAATAGGATACTCCCAAAGGTCATCTTGTACCGTTGCTATGGTATTGAGAGAGAGGGTTGACTGATCCGAATCGATTGGAGTTCTATTATATGTGCTTGGCCAAAGGACTGAGCTTTGAAGTGCTGGCACTGGGGCCGGGATATCTGAAGTGGTAGTGTCGGTGACTTGCGATTGCGACAGACTCTCGGAAGAGGGCCACTCCGTGCTCGTGGGAGCCTGTGATTCAGACATGACAGATGAATCTCTTAAAATATCCTTTCCTGAACTTGGTGAGGTGGCAATTTCCATAGACGAAGTTTGGTCAAATCGTTTGAAGAGAATGGAGATTGCATGCTGCAAAATATTGTCCGTGACTGACCTCATCATTCCTTTCTCCTTCATCAAAGCCGGCGGTATATGTACATCCGCCAGCTCATCAAAGAGTTTAGGCCACTCATCCTTGACAAAGCCCTCTAGCTTAATAAGCTGCTCCGAGTGAAGGGAATTTATATACGGACTGTCTGGTAAGGGATATCCAGGAAATAGCATCTTGAAAACGTCGTACCATTGATCCTCTTCAGATTTTGTTGTGTCGCCTCGTTTGCCGAGTTGCTCGAATTGTTTTGCGGTCAACCCTTCCCACGAAATAGGCTCCTGAACTTCACATGGCGGACGCTGTCTGGCATGCACGCCAAGCTCGCTCTGGGTTTTGAATACTGTATTACAGGACTGGCAGTGGATGGGTACCAGATGCCGGCGTCTAAGATGCTGCTTGACTCGATGAACCGCCCTTAAAAGAGGGCCTTGGCATTTTGTGTATAATAATGGTTTCCATTTGCAAAACGGGCATGCGAATAATTTGGACGATGCTCGACCATGTGCTGCTCGATCTATGTATGATCGACGATGCCTTTTGTCTTGGTAGGGAATGTGATTCAGTTGACCTTTGTGTCCAACAGCTGGATACGGACGTTTGTTGCTGGGGCCTTTTGTCGCTAGTGTACTAAGAGTGGTCTCCTCAGATGCAAGCGTCGACCCAGGACATTTCGTAAAGGAGGTTCTTTTAAACCCACTCATGAATTCTTCCCACTCTCGATCATCTAGACGTCGCTGTGTTGACCTGAATGGATCGAAAGAGCCTGGCTGGAGTGGAACAGAACCAGGGTACTCAATGCATAGTGCCTCTGTTCCAGTATCTTCATCGCTGGATATATCGCTAGTCTCGTCTTGCAACATGTCGTGTATGTCTGGGACAATATGGTCCACGCTTTCCGCATCTTTTCTGGGACTGTCTCGTGTCTGTACAAGGTACCGTGATGCATTGGCTGGCCCGTACCTCGGCTTTGTAGGATTTATAGGCGCTTCTGCGGCGTGGAATGAATTGACAGAATCAGTACCCATATGACAATCTTCACTATTACTAGAGGTGATTGTGTATGGCTCGCTGGAACGGTCCTCTTTGCGCCCGACTTGCTGGATCAGTCCGCCTCGTTTAACCTCTTTCCCACTTGGCGTATTTTTGCGTAAAGAACTGCGTGCGATAGGTATAGACTCTCTTTTAGAGTTAAAGGTGGAAAATCGACGTAAAAACATTGCTAAGAACAATGTCATCGTCGGCGGCGGAACATCTGATAGACTGGCATCGGCGTTAGTGGCCGGCCATCCCCAGTTGGAGGCTGGCACGCTTGGTTTGATGCCACTAATGGATGCTTTATAATAGCTCTTGGTTTCATTTTGCCCCATTTCAATTGATAATGGTATATCTTTCGTCTCGGTCGCACTATTGTTCTTTCGAGGCATGGAAATGCTAAGCCGTAGAGCTAGTTGAGTCGTTACGGTTGGGGATCTTCTGATAAGTGCCGCCTGCCCAATTGTCAAATTGGTTCCTTTATTTATATCGATAGAGAGAAAGGGAGTTATTTATTGATCGATTTAAGCAGACGTCTGTTTGGTGAGCAGTAAGCCGTTCTTAAGTAGCTCGTCTAGCGCCACAGCCTCGACCTGACCGGGATACAGCAGGCTGCATAAACTAAGACATAGTGGCATGAACAACGCACAAGAAAGGGCACTGGTGTCTCGCTTCAATGGGAGTATTTTGAATACCTAACTGATGAGTTATTCACACCCTTATGACGGCCAGCATCCAGCTTCGCCGTGAATGCTTCCACTCAGTAACTGTATATCTTCAAATCAACGAGTAAGCCTTCAATCCGCACGATCTAACAACTAATAAAAGGTACCATTTTGAGATTCTCATGCTGAGGCGCTGGTGAGGCGGAGCACATTCAGCTGGATCAGGCACACGCACACCTGTGTGTGCATGATAACCCCATCCGCCAATGTTGTTAACGTGTGCTATTCGTATTCCCATTGGTAGGCTACATGCAGCTTCGCCAACATTCGGATCTACCTACAGTAGCAGCAAAACGCAGAGCGGCTTCGTCGATACTTTGTACAAACGCATTTCTAGCTGTTAACAGTGGAATCTAAGCCAAGGAAATTTAATTATTCCATTTTCTAACTAGACTTGGAATACTCTACATGGTATTTCTGATGCTTAATTTATATAATACATATAGTACCAAGCAAGAGCCTTAGTCCTCTTCCACTATTTGTCCAAATCCGGATGACTAACCCCCCCAGCAAAGCCACTGAAGCTAGCGCCGGCCCCGCGCCACAGCAGCAGCTGCCCCCCCAAACAAACTCAAAGTGTGGCGCAAACTCAGCTGGTGATTCTCCAAACGACTTGGCCTAAACATCGTCAACACCAACTGCTTCATCGGCGGTAATTGCACCGGCGCTCCAAGTCAAGTCGCCTCTTGACACACCAAAACGGCACACGAGAATGTTCTAGTCTGTTTCTCTCGCCTCCCCGCCCTCTTGTCACCTGGCAGATCCATCACCCAACATGTCGTCATCTTCAGCCTCAAAGAAGGTCAAGTTTGTAGCCTCGGACCCCAGCCGTGGTGGCTTGCCTGTCAAACGCAAGCAAGTTCAACAAGCTTGCGAAGCTTGCCGCAGAAAAAAGGTATGCTGTCCATACTCTGTACGATTTTACTGTGTGGCTTTGATATTGATACTCTGACCAGCGACGATGTATTCATGCCGATGATGCTGTCGATGAGACGGATGACACACATGGAAGTGAAGCATCCATGTCTCACTCACCGTGAGTAGTAGCCTTATGAATGAAACTTGCAAAGCAGATACTAATATGCCCACTCAGACCAAACAGGCCCATGAAGTCGGCAATGCGCCGCTCTGCTTCCGCAGAACCAGAGGCAGAGGTCGACTACACTGGCCGTCGCATTGGCACCAACATTCCCAAAACAGAGCCCTCACGCTTCGTCGGTGACCTGAATCCAGAGGGTATGTTTATCGAGGCTACCGCACCAGCCACTGCTCGAGAAGCCGCACAGAACGGAGAGGTTGGCGTCTGGCTCCCGTCGTCTGCATTTGGCGGTAGTGGCGGTGCATCGTCACAGTTCATCACGGCTCGTCCACCCGCAATTATGGACCAATTCTTATTGCCCTTTGTTCAGGAGCATTGCTTGACTTGTCTCCCTCCGGATGAGGACTACTTCAAATTGAGGGCCGTCTTTGTTCAGAAGATTCATCCCATCTTCCCGGTTGTGCCAGTGTCTCACCTGAATAACCCTCCCGATTCTCCCACGGAAATCCTCCTTAGACAGCTTGTATGTCTGGCGGCTGCTAGCGATCCCGATATGCTTGGACACTTGCGGCTGAAGAACCAGAACAACAAACGTCTCGCACCACAGGACTTTGCACACGCACTGTCCGCCTCTATCCGCGCAATCCTTGAGACGAGTATGATTCCAGACAGAGTCATGCATATCCGCGCCTTGACAATTCTCTCACTATATACACAGCCCACTTGCGCCGAGGAAGCTGACTTGCCTGCGCAGCTTGGAGGCCGTGCGATTCACCATATCCAAACCTTGGGCCTACATTTGCTCCGCTACGATGCGCCGAATTGTGATGATTTGAATAACCTGTTTTGTGCAGTGTGGGCTATTGACCGCATCAATGCGGCTGTCTACGGCCGCCCATGTCTTATTCACGAACGTGATGTTGGCGCCAACTTTGACCGAGTATTGCGTAGACGACCGCCCTGTTTCCGACTGCTCCTCAACATTGTACAGTGGCTGGATCAAGTTATCGAACTGTACCGACCAGGACCCAGCGCCGATGCGCACGGCTACCAGAAAGTCGCCTATATTGACCTTCCAGTGCTAGAAGCGATGATTGTGGATGCCGATGCTCTCAAAGTACCATCATCTCTCATTGCTACTGTCGAAACCCTTTACCACGCCGTCATAATACTATCCTGCCGCTTACCACGACCAGGCACTGTACCGGCAGCATCAACCATCCCGCCACCCTCAGCCAATGCTCGTCGTTCTCTTGCGGCAGAACGCATAGCCTGCGCCGTCCCCAGAGACTGCCTCAGTCCTGTTCCTTTTGTTCCGTATGCGATATCGCTCGCCTTGAGCGTAGAGTATCGCAAGATGCGTCATAGCCGATTCCCCATGTTCCGAGCGCGGGCCATGACTGCCTTCCGTCGCAATTGTGAGCTGCTTCGCCCCTACAGAAACCACTTTTGGAGCGCCAATGTTGTGACGAGCCTCGGTGAACGTGTGCTCAAGGAGATGGAGCGAGCTGCCAACACCCTTAACAAGGACAATACACCACCAGTTTCTCTCCCAGAGTCAAAGGCGACGTCTACAACAAGCCAAGAACGAGTGGAGGTCTTGACTGATTTCCAGCCAAACGGACAACAAACCGCCATGGACACGGTTATCGACTCTGCCATTGGATTTGATAATGCTGTTGACTTTTCGCTCGTGGATCCCGTATCTGGGCAGGACGTCTTTGGCCACATTGATCCCAACTTCAATCTAGACGCGGTGGAGGATGCTCTTGAAGCGAACCTCGATATCGCTCTGCCGTTTACCTGGGGCGAATGGGGGCACTACGCAACCTGAGCGTGCTTTGGATTACGGCTCATACTTCGGAATTGAAGCGCAGTCAAAACCAATTTCTATTCATTCTCATTCTATAGGCATTTATGTTTTGTTCTCTAGTATGTGGACAAGTTGAGTCTGTATAGACCCAGGGAGTCTTGCATCGATTACTCCGCATAGCGAATGGTACGACGACGCTCCCTTTCCTTCTCACGATCGATGGTATCCATTCTCTCCAAGGTTTCGAGCTGGAACTGCACGGTACCTGGAGGCTCACCGTTTCTGGGAAGCGTGTAGCTCTGAAAGTTGGGGCGACTGAAGCGGTTGTAGGCGATGTAGGTATCAACATCACCAGCCACAGCGTTTGCGGGCAGAGCGGCGCTAACCGAGCGTCTCCGCATCTCAACTGAATCATCCTTGATGGGCTTGACGCCCATGTAGTTATAAATCATATTCAAAGCCGGGATGGAGAGACCGTGTACAAAGATGGAGAACAAGACGAGCCAGTATACGACCGGAATCATGGCCTTGACCAGGTTTGTCTCCTCTTCATCACCCTTTCCAAGTTCAGGGAACAAGTGTCGAGCATGTTCCACATAGAAGACAGCACCAGCTCCGATGGGACCAAAGTAGCCCATGAAGAGCGCTTCTTTATAGTTGGTGCAGACAGCTGGCATGATCTTGTATAAAGCGAGGATGGATGGGATTCGGCGGAAAATGAGGACCAAGAAGCCCAGGAGGAAGAGTCTTGGGTATGTTAGGCCGGTTCCGTCGGGATCGTTGAACTTGGACCAAGGCATGATGGTGCCGATGAGCATAAATCCGCCAAAGTTGAGCAGCACATCAAACGTGTTGTTGACCTCGTCGTGTCGGCGCTCAGTTTCAGCGAGATATTCACCGTCCCAGTTGAGGGCGTTTCCGGCAACGAAACAGGCGAGCAAATCATCGGTTCCAAGGGCACCGCAAGTACCGACGATGAACATACCGATCGCAGCTGGAAATAGGACGTAGGACTCGCTGTCGATCCATTTCCTAGAGAGTCACGTTAGCGAACAAGACAAGCTTTTATGCTGTGCTACAGCGCTCAAAATTGAACATACTTGCGCAGAGCAAACCTGATGCTTTTGCAAGCCGCAAATCCTACGACTGCACCATATACAATCGATAAGACAACGATGTATAGCCAGGTTTCAACAAACCAGTTCTTGAGGGCCTCGCCGGGACCGCCACCCAATCGACCGACAAGTTCGCCGTGAGCGGCGCCACCAGCTTCCTCTTCTGCTCTTGTCTTTAGTCCCGTGAGATCGGCGTGACGGATAAGGTAGACGGCAAGCATGAGGAACGGGAAGCCGAAGCCGTCGTTGGCTCCCGCTTCTGAAGAAATGATTTCTCGAAGCGGACGGGCGACAAACTTATCAGCAAATGGGCCTTTGGCGATCGCCTGGGACAAGATGGGATCGGTGCAAGTAACACATGACCCAATAACGAGGGCAGCCAGAAAAGTTAGTTTTGGCACGCTGGCAATGACACAAACTGTGGTACACAGCCACATGATGGTCATGACGGGAAGCAAGCATATGGTCAGCTCCTTGATGCGAGTCCAGTTGTACTTTGCTGGAAGTTGGTATCCAACAATAACCAGCTGAAGACCAATCATAACACGCATGACTCCCTAAGATGAGTTAGCCCAATGTCAACACACACCCCTCAAATGCAATCCTTACGAGAGTGATTGCACCGGTTTGATCCTTGGCTGCAGAACCCCATCGCTCGCTATCCAGGAACTTGGCCGCGATTGGACCCAGGAGAATACCTAGTGTAACGGCAGGTACTTTACCCAGTTAGTTAGTAGATTCGACTGATTTTTGGTAGTGACAAATACATACTAGCTTCTCCGAGATACCATACTTGCTTGATCTTGACAGATATGATGCCATAAAAGATGATGAACGCGCCCAAAATGCTCAGCACAATGTTGAGCTCGCTAACGTCTAGGACAGGCATGTTGAATATGCAAAACAAGAGGAGAAAAGCTGGACAGAAATAAAACAAAAGGAGAACAGGCTAATCGCAGGGCCAATCTTGTCCAGCAAGATGACAAAAAAAGAAGGCAAGAAACAAGAAACAAACAATGAGATGTGTAGTTTGTCGAGGAGAGGGAGAGAGAAGGCAAGCGATTGTATATAGATGCTTGGAGAGTTCCACTGATGCTCAACCTCCGCGTTGAGAACCCAGTGATGATCTCTTCGTATATCTTGAGCACTCAATGCCGCAGGTCGACAGTGTTTGAAAAGCAAGTTTCTCAATTTGCTAGGGGCCGGATAAGACCGCTCTCTGTGGTGCGCTGGGGTAACCAGGGCTGTGTGAAGGACGAACGTGGCGTTGATGTTGGACGGTGAAACGGTGAGAGGATTCAGTTTCGGAAAGAGGACTGTAGCGACAAGAATGGCCTAGAACAGCATGCACCTGATGTCGAACGGTCGAAGATGTCCTTTATACCGAACTCGAAACGAGACAACTTTCAACAGCAACCAGACGCCTTTTGAGACAGCCAAGTTGACGAGGGAGAGAGTATGCGTATCTTTTTTAGAATACAGGAGAGAAAGAGAGTAAACTATCCAGGCCAAGTCTACAGAGAAGACAGTTCATTTCTTTTGGAATTCTCGCCACTAATACCAAGCCGATCGGCCGTCCTCCCCAGCCGCGGGCCAACACTCACTCTCGGCAGGGGCAGGGACACTAAGCTTGCTTGGAAGTTGACACGGCGCATTGCTGGGCATTTCTGAAGGAAAAATTTCAAGAACCACTCTCTGTGAATGAAGCCATCTTGGCGTGTCATTGTGTACTCCTGCCCAGCCGCTAGATGCTCGAGGTGCAGCAGAAAGAGTGGAAAGCCAAGCCTGAAAAAGCCACATTAAAAAAAACAAGACGTGGACAGAAAAATCTCCTGATTAAATTATAAACAAACAAACTGCTTTCGCGTTCTGGGTGCAGCAAGATGAAAAGGAGGAAGCTGCTTTAAGGTTTACCGACAGTCGTTGGCCAGCTGGCGCCAGTTGGCCGGACTTATACGGGAATAATTAGAGACAACCACCCGATGTGTGGTATCGCCGGGCTGAGCAGCAGTTGGTTCGCTTCTCGGGCATAGTCCGTCTGCAAGAAGGGGGACAGGCTGAACCAGGAGAAAAAAAAAGGGTAAAAACAAGGTTAATTATTTTGGGGACGGGGAGCCAGGGCAAAGATGAAACCGCAACGTCGCCAAGCCCTACCAGCCCTGCCACTTTGTAGTAGCCCCCGCGACCAGTAATCTGCAAAATGCACTGTACATCACAATGTAAAGTTACATGGTAGGTGCTGATCTCTAGTGTTATTTGCATGATGGACGTTCTATTTTGGTATCTTCGTGGCAAAGAAGCCTACGCGCCAGCGTGTGGCTGTCTTGTCTTGTTGGCGGTTAAATGCAAGATTATCGAACACACACTGGCTGACGGAACTCTTTATCGAGCGTATAGGAAGCTCGTAAAGCAAGCTTGGGGTTTCATTCCGAGCGTCACCCCGTCGCCTTGGCGCTTGGCTTTGGGTCTTGCGTATTGGGGCCCCGGCGGCCAAGCGAAAGGGGTTGGAGAGAAGCTGGCCCTGTCTCAGTTTATAAAGTGGTGAAAGCGAGGCATTTATTGCATTCTTTTGTTTCTTGGAAAGTTTGCGGGAGAATGAACGCTCAGTGTGGAAACGGCCGCGTATCGGAGTATCTTGAACAGCCTTCTGATAGGGCTAATACCTGCCTGCCCACTCCCATGTTTGCGGTGCAATGGATACACGTCCGCATGCATGGAATCGAGTACCGTATTTCCTATTGTAAGAAGTACCTTGGGGAGGCGGATCGGCATCTATTACTCCACAAGAAAGAAGAAGCTCGATGGCTTCTGACCCCAGCTCTGCTTTTGCCTGGTCAAGCAAAGTTATACCCAAGAATCGGGATTCATTGAGCGAAACCCCAGCCGTCGCTAGTGTTTTGACTATGTGTGGATTGAGATTCTTGATAGCCTCGTACATGGCGGCGATTCCAGCTGTTGGTTGTTCCGATGATGGATCAGATTGCACGACGCTTGGATATTGTTGGCAAAGCCAACTAACCAAGTGCGACTGGCTGCCTAGCGACGCGAAGAGCAGCGCTGCCGCCACAGAAGCCCCATGATTTAAAAGTAGGCTCACTATCTCCTGGTGACCTTGAAATGCTGCACATTCGACGGGAGCTATCGGTATTTTCTTTGTTGGCCGAGTTGCAGTGTAGTCTGGGATCGTGGGATGGTTAGGGATCGTGGCATCCGCTCCCTTGCTCAGCAGTAAGCGGACCATGGGCGTATTCCCTTGTTTACTTGCTATCGATAGTGCGCAAGGGAGGCCATGCAATCGACCGAAATCGTTCTCTGTGTTGATACATATGCCCAGGCTCAACAGATGGTTGACTAGCGCAGTGTTTTTGTAGAGCACTGCCGCTCTCAAGTATTCTTGTGCCAGCAGTGGATACGCAAGAAGCGATTTTCCCTCGGTAGCATTAAGAAGAAGTTCAAGGATGTCCAGATGGCCCATACGGGCTGTGGCCAAGATGGCTTGGAAGAATTCGACTTTATCTGTATCTTGTCGGTGCTCCGGCTCCATGAGCAAACGTGCAATATCGTCATGGCCAGCCAATACAGCGACTCTTAGAGGGCTGCCGGTGACGGAGCGATCAGCATTACGCCAATCAACGACTTGCAGGATTGACGCAGGTGCCCTGGCGGGAAGCAACCAAGTGGCAGTGGGCTGATTCCTACGGTCAAAAGACGGCGTAGTAATCCTAGGATCAGCGCCCATCTCGAGGAGATAGCGAACAATGTCGATGTGACCCCAGGCGGCGGCCAGATGGAGCGGGTAGCCAAACAGGAGCGAATCCCTATTCAATGAGAATGAGTCCCTATTCAATGAAAATAAGTTGTCGTTGAAGCCATAGATCGGATGGAACGCCAAGCTAGACTGGAGCGATTCCTTTATAAATGGCAATGAGGCGTCTTTGGAGTCATTGAAGTCTTTGACCAAAGAGCGGACTATGGACAAATCGCCAAGCACTATTGCGCCGCACAAGATGGTTTGCGCTCGATCCTTCTCGGGCCCTGGGAGGCTACTACAGGTGGAATAAGCATAGGCGCTGGTACGCCAGTAATGATGTGAAACTGCCTTTGCAATCTTCAAGTGTCTCTCAAAGGTGACATCCTGGGAAGTGTGACCGACCAAAGCGTCTAGCTCTGCATTTACATACGCAATGGCTTTCACCTTCGGATCTGGTACGATATTGCGATTTGAAGACGTAGCCTTTGGTAGTAAAACCCTTGCTCTGAGATCCAGAGGTGCCACTGGGCCTAAATCGAGGCGGGGGTCGTAAGGATTCACAACGCGGCTAACGCATATGGAAACCATAATCTCTGCATCAAAGCGCTCTGAATAGGTTAGGTCGTTGAAGCCTTGAGATAATGAAGGGGTTTTGCGGTGTACAAACTGTTTACAGATCGATATTTAACTGCTTTAAGGATGCCAATTTTGACAACTAAAGCTTCTATTATATTGCAGACCAGCTCGGGCGGCAAACTGTTGAAGTCGGTGGCTTTCATCGGGCGCTGATGGTTTTTGGTCGCCCCCATGGTTGATTCTGTAAACCGCGTCGCACTGTAATTCTGGCTAATAACAGCACTAGTGATATTCAATATGATAATTTACCCAATATGTATGTCTGATGATGAAGTTTTTGAATTTCAGCATGTCTGTGGCACTCAGCCCGGAGAATATCCGCATCAGGCTGAGCTGAGGTTACCATACAGGTGTGCCAAACACAGCCACAGCCTGATTACATTATATTAACCGTAAATGGTTCCAAAGTGTAAATATCCTTTTATTTTTGCTTATATACTACATATATACTACGCTATGTATATACTATGTACATGGGCTTTGGGTGCTCTTCTTTAGATGTACTTGCAGGTTACGCCCGAAGCGCTGCCGCTGCAGTCGGTGAGGAGGTTACCGTTGCCATCAGCAATGTTGTACGGTTCGCTACCCGCCGGAGATGAGCTTCCGCTTTGGCTGGTAGCTGAAGCATCAGTGAAGCTCCATGTGCCAAAGTTGGCAAGCTCGCTGGCACCGCCGCCGAGCTCAATGATCCATTCGGCGTCGGTGAGACAAAGCGACTCTCTCATGTTGTTGAAGGGAGTTGTGACGGAAGCACCGGTGCTCAGGTTCTCCAGGCTGGATGTACCCGAGTTGGCAGATGTAGCATTGACAGTCATGCGAAGCTTGTCACCGCCCTTGACGGGGAACTGGTCGCCGTAGTAGACGGGGTCCTCGGGCCACCACTCGTACCAAGCGGCAACGGTGCCGTCACCAAGGGCCTGGACACCGGTTTGAAGGATAGCGCTGTGGCAGTTGGCGCCTATGATTCCATGTTAGTATTCGCGAGTCGTGAGGGGCATTGGGCGTAATGCATAAGAGGAAAACGACTTACCATCAATACCGACCCAGCCAGCAGCACCAGCGTTCTGGCTTCCACCACTGATGACGGGAATCACAGTCTCAGCAGTAACGCTGATCCAGCCGCTGCCTTCCTGAACGGCACCGGCCCAGTTGCTGTCGGTGACGAAGCCTGTTTCGGGATGCTTCTTTTGCTTGAGAGGGCCGCCGACGGAAGGGCGAGCCTGCTTCTCAGCAGGGGCGGCGAGAACACCGCTGATGAGAGGGAGGACAGCGAGGCTGTAGGAGTACTTCATTGTGAAATAAGAGCTTAAGAGGTAAGATTACTGAGCTGATGCAAAATGAAAAGGAACTTTCTTGCAAATCTGGGGGAGGAAAACCGCTGATCTTTTATACTACTCTTTCCCTCCATAGTATCCAGTGCCGGCCGGGCCATGTTCTGCAGTTTTGGTATCCTGTTAGACCGCCCTGCCGCTGCCGATATCCCGTCGACTTCACGTGGTATTGTCGCTATTAGCCTGACACGCGCCCCCGAGTTTCTTGCCTAACCTACCCCGTGGAGATCGCCCCCGACAGCAGTGATGGATGGGCCGTTGGCACCACCACGCTAGAGCCGGCCTTCCTAAAGAAGACCGATCGCCGACTCATGCACGCCAAAGTAAGCGATTCCATTAAGTAAGGGATCGCCAAGGAAGTGCCGAGCATCCGTCTATACAACTTTCCCCATACTACCTTCTTATTTAAGCTCATACTCATGTTTCGTATCGTGGGGGACATGCAGATTACGCAGTGCTGCATGTGAATGCTAATTAGGATAGGCAGGTATTGGTGAACAGGCTGATAGGGGAATAAGCGAGGTAGCGGAGTTTTATGACGCAACGATGCATTGGAAACAGACGAAATACAGTCAGTGACCAGGGATGACGGCTTACATCGGATACGCAGGCGCGGAATGGATTTAATACGATTTTCCACGATTATATTCGTAGGTAGATTCCGCACTCAAAACACTACGACTCCAAAACGTATACTTAAGTGCCTATCCCTTGCGCGGCCTACTCACGAGTATGTAATAATGCAAGTAACCATATAATTAAAATTTGATTGGGTTGTATAATTTATGCTACGTAATTCTTTCTCTATTATATCTGCTAATGTCTTTTCCGTATACAGAACATGTTTTACGTATAGTGCAAATATATAGTGCCATACAGAGTGCTTGGAGACGAGTTGTAGCCCCCAGTGCACTAGTCTCGCTGGTAGGCCTTTTCTATTAGCGCATTTGTTTGCCAGCCGATTATTGGGCGACCATAGTTGTGCGCGATGGCGTCATCCATCGTCTGCGTCTCCAGCACATATCTGCAACTTCCTAGATATAGACATTTCTAAATCTGACATACATTGCTTATGTGTCTCTGAGTACAACAATACAATGCAACAGCCGAATAAAACACTAAAAGGACACAAACTTGTCATCCTTTTTGGTCTTACTGGTCCGCCGAAAACCATCCAAGCAGCCGTCTTTCCCGAAGACTGGATTGCAGAGTTGACGGAATTGTTCTCCGATCTGAAGATTGCTAATATAAAAGGCGTAACATGGGGTACAGATGATTTTCAAGCAAAATTTCCAGACGAAGAGTGGAAAGACGCCACAATTGTGGTGACGGGGAGCGCATTGCCAACGCCGGAGATGGCACCGAACTTGGAATACATACAGATTCAGATTGCTGGTGCAAATCATATGCTTAAGAACCGTCTGATTACGGAAACAAACGTCAAGCTCTGCAATGCCAGTGGTATACATGGGTACGTGACGTTACAGCATACACATTCTTGAAAAGCTAACTTTGCGAAGTACCCAGATTGCTGAATGGGTTGTGGCTACGTTTCTGTCGTTCCGTCATCAACGTAGGTCCCATCTCGCATATTCAACGAGCCTGACTGCTAACATACCAAAGTTTTACAGTATAATTCTTTACAAAGCCAGGCTAAATGGCACAAGCTTGGTAATGGTGCCCAGGACTCTGTTGGCCAACGAATGTGAGATCTATATCCCTCTCTAAACAGACCACTACTTGTTGATGCTAACACAAAACCTAGAGGAATACTCGGCTATGGCGCAGTAGGCCGCCAGGTTGCGCGAGTGTTCAAAGCCCTGGGGATGGTTATCCATGCCTGTACATTACGCCCACGAGAAACCCCAGAGTCCCGCAAGGATGATACATATGTGACCCCGGGTTGCGGAGATCCGGATGGGCTACTTCCCAGCAAGTGGTTCTCTGCCAGCTCCAAGGCTGGACTTCACGAGTTTCTGCTCTCAGGCCTGGATATTCTAGTTCTCGCGATACCCCTGACTTCCAAGACGCAAGGCATCATCGGCCGAGAAGAACTCAGGCTTTTATCCGCGAAGCGAACGTTTATATCGAATGTCGCTCGAGGAGAGGTAATTGATACCGATGCTCTTATTGAAGCAGTGGAGGCGGACCTCATATGCGGTGCAGCTCTGGATGTAACCGACCCAGAGCCTTTACCAGATGGCCACAGGCTCTGGAGCACCAAGAATGTTATTATCACACCACACGTAAGTGGCGATAGCGAAGTATATGCTCGACGTGTGTTTGAAGTTCTCAAGCACAATTTGGTCAGGTTGAGCAATGGAGAAGAATTATCAAATCAGGTAGATAAAATATCAGGATATTGATTGTATTAAATATATACAGCATTATGAATCGGGTTGAGACAACTATGAGCTTCGAGAACCGCGGGGCTCGAATGGCATGAGAGCTGCAGCGATGGCACTAACTATGTACAGCGACGCGCAAATGTAGATTGGCACCGGGGTGTTGAGATTCACAAACTGGAGCAATATCAGTAAAGATCCCTTTCACACAAGATGATATATAGTTGCACTTACTGAGCCAATAATGGTTGATACCAATCCCATGATTCTGTTGAAGCCGACAGCAATACCATTTCCTGTGGAGCGATGCGCGGTGGGAAGGACTTCGGGGGTATACGCATAGAGAGTTCCATAGTACACGTTGCTGTCTTGTCATTAGTCGAAATATCAGATAGCGTAAATGGGTAGTTGAACTTGCGTGGTAAAAGTAATCATGCATGCAAACGCAACATTGCCCTCATTACTCTTGACGGTGCTGTATGCCCAAGAAAAGGCCATTGTCGCCAATGCACCGATGACCATGGTATACTTTCGTCCCAGGAAGGTCGATGCCATCAGACCAGCTACCAGAGGGCCGAAGATGGAGCAGACATTGACGATTGCGTAGTTTCGCCAAGTGACATCCGTTGAGAGTTGATTGAACTGTGCGCCACGGCTTGCAAGATACGTGGGAAGGAAGACGTTGAACAGGGGGTATGCTAGGCCAATGACGGCCCATGAAAGCCAGATTAGGAGAGTCGAAATGGTGAGATCTCGGGTTCGGAAGAGGCCGCGCACGTGGACCAAGATCTCGGCGACAGAATAGTAGCTCTTGGCGTGGGTTTCTCGCAGGTTTGTTTCGCCGCACGCCTGAACGGATTCCAGTGTGATTGAACAAGGGCGGTTGTAGATTTTGGCGAGCTTCTGCATAGTCTCGACGGCTTCGGCGTCTCGCCCTTGAGCGAGTCTGTACTTTGGGGTTTCCTACGAAGGGAGAGTGTTAGCTTGCGGCGCATCACAGACCACAGCGAAAAGCTATCACTTACATGTAGACGAATGACAGTAAGTCGCAAAATGCTCATGGCAAATACGATGGAGCAGCAGGTCCAAAACACGTAGCGCCATCCCATATTGTTTGCCCTCGTACAAGTCGCAATTGATTCGCAAGAGTATCGCGGTACTGGTAAAAGTTAGCATTAGCAGATGTAAAAGGATGGAAACGGATCATATCTTACAGAATGCCCAGGCCATCAAGCCGGTGAAAGTCTGACCGAGACCCCAAAAACCGGCTAATAGTGTCAGGGTGTATTGCTTGTTTGAGGGCAAATGCTCGAGCAGAACAATGGTGTCCAGCGCTAGGTTGCCTCCGGCGCCAAAAGCAACCAGTGATGCAAAGAAACATAGTACAATGTAGTTCGGGCTAAAAATAAGAGTCAGTAACTTTGCTTCTCAAAGAACCATTTCTTCATTTGACTAACGCGGCACCGGCAGCTAAGCCTGCAATGGAGCAAATGAGCAGAGACAAGTTAAAGGACCATTTGCGGCCGACAATGTCAGCCAATGGACCCCAAACAAGGGCACCAACAATTAAGCCGATATTATTGGCGACTAGAATGCCCTTGGAATAAGGCGGATTGAATTCTTTTGTGATCGCGGGCAATGTAGCGCTTTTAATCAGAATAATCATGGAATCGACGGCATAACCGAAACCAGCAAGTAGAAAGAGCCGTGTGTGGTAGGGTGTCCAACCGATTTCGTCAATTGCCTGTAAACAAAAAAAAAAGAATAAATTAGTAGGGAAACAACCTAGAGTAACTGAGACTTAAACATACATTATTCAAGAGGTTGAGCTTCTTTGTTATGACAGGATCAACAGCCTGCCCGCTAAGAATGTCTGTAATCTCTACCGAATTACAGCTAGCGGCTACTACAGAAGCTGTCTTGCTGGGAGCAGCATTGTCGGAAGATATAGACTTGCCGTCTTCGATACTGCCAGGTTTCAAAGAGGCCATAGTGACAACTCCTGAGAACGGTGGAAAAATGAAGCTTGAGAGAACAGAATTCACACAACAAATACTAAATAAAGTTGCTTTTTGAACATGAGTGACCACGAGACTAGCTTCCCAAAATCAACGAATGGTTGGCATGTAATACCCCACGAGAAGCTTAAATTCGGTGCTAGTCACGCCATCGCCAGCCTCCATTGATGACATAAATGCATACGAGCCTCTAAGAACAAAGCCAAGAAAATTTATGCATTTTGTGCATGTAATAGATGCTTACGATTTTGACAGGCCCAAGTTGTGCTGAGCGTCGTTAGTGCATCGTTGGGGGACAATATTGAATGTGCTGCTTGGGAGCGACGATGGCGTGCTTGCCGCTACCAGAGGCCAGGGCTTACACGTACATTAGTTTGGAATCATAGCTCAACACAGCCGAATATTGCTAAGCAAGGTGCGATATCGGGTTACCTTGAAGGAAAATGAAGAGTCAATTTCGAAAAAAGGGCATCCCACGTATGGCGCCTAGTTTAGGCGACTGCGCTTTGTAAATCTCCTCAGCGCAAGTAAACATGGCTACTCCAGACGTCGCCCGGCCTGTTGCAGCAGGTAATTCCCAACGTGAACAGCCTTTTCATCATGTCAAATTCGATCCAACTCGACATCTTCGCTACGAGAAGCCCACGTCGTTGATTACGCTAGACGATCTTGCGCTTGAGCTACCAGATGCTACTTGCAGAACAGCCATAACAGCGCCGTTTCCTCTGCTTACCCCGGAAGGTGTTTATCAGCTACGATCAGACATCTTCCGCAAAGATATTGTGGGAAAATACGGTTCGTGGAAGTATCCAGGCGTATATCGCATTCGTGGTTATGGCCCAGCGGCCCCCTTTGCGTACAGCATGTGGCGGAGCCCTGAAATCCTAGCCGCATGTTCGGATGCAGCAGGCATGGAGTTAGACATTATGATGGACTATGAGATTGGGCAGCTCAATGTCCAACTTCCGCAGAGCGTGGATCGAAACGACCCAATTACAGAGAATCTGCCTCCGGCTGTGCCGCCCAAGCCACGAGACGACGAAGCACAAGAGCACGAAGAAGGCGCTGATTTAAAGGATTTGGTCTCGGCATGGCACCACGATTCGTATCCCTGGGTATGTGTACTGATGTTGTCAGACCCTGTTGGAATGTCTGGCGGCGAAACAGCGCTGCGCCGCGGCGATGGCGGCGTCTTGAAGATGCGGCAACCAGGCATGGGCTACGCCGTGATGATGCAGGGCAGTCTGGTTTCCCATGCGGCCCTCCGAACCTTGGGATCCGGTGAGCGCATCACGTTTGTAGTGTCTATGAGACCGAGAGACCCGACGAGACCAGACACAAGCACGCTTCGAACGGTTAAGCCGATTAGTGATGTCGACGAGCTGTTTCGACAGTGGGCGGATTATCGATTGGATGTCATCTCCAAGCGTGCACAGGCAATGAAGGAAGAATTGGCTCTAACAAAAGGGCGGCCGGCGCGAAAAACGCACGAATTGGCTAAGAAATGGGTAGAGGAGCAGATTGACTATTTGCAAGCTACAGTGAAAGAGATGGACCTTGAGGACTATATCCCACCGAATTACTAGAAACATATCCAATAAAAATCTTTTAACATATACGCATACACTCCAAAATAGAATACTTTTATTAAGCGTATCGTAATTGCTGGCCAATGTTGAGCTTGGCTGCCTTTTCCAGAATGGCACTTCCCAACGCAATGTCGCTTAGACTGAGGCCGCGATGCCAAAACAGTATCGTCTCGTCGTCTGACTCTCTACCTGGTTTGATTCCCGCAACCACTTGGCCGAATTCCGCGTGTAGATTCTCCTCTGTCAGTTTGTCATTGTCCACATGCTGGCGCAGCGCACCAAGCGGCAATCCCTTGCGACACTGGCTCCAATCGTCCACAAGCATCTTGTCCATAATATCCGTGAGGGAAAGCTCTAATGCACTCATTGTGCCATACGGCATAACCAATGCACCTTTCTTAATCCATTCTGTCTTCAGCAGCGGTTCTGGTGCTGTGAGTCGGGATGCCTCCACTACAATGTCCGCACCTTTGATGGTGTCCTCCCAATTATCCAGCACGCTGATGGGCCGTCCTAGTTCCTTCTCTAGCCGTGCTCCCAGAGCCTCTCTGCTCTCCTTGCGCTTCGAGTGTATACGGATTTCGTCAAAGTCAAACAAACTGGCCATGAGTCGGATATTCCAGTACGAACTTCCGCGTGCGCCAATGTGTCCCAGGATCTTGGCGTCTTTGCGAGCTAGGTGCTTTGCACCGAGCGCTGTGACGGCGCCAGTGCGCATGTCAGTGATACTTGTTGCATCCAGGACTGCCTTAGGCACGCCCGTCTCTGGGTCAAACAGATTGAGCAACGCAAACTCGGAGGGGTAGCCTAGCTTGTAATTGTCGACAAAGTCGCTGACCACTTTGACGCCTGCGACATGGAGAGGATGCACGACGCCGCGCAAGACGTTGAAGTGGCCCTTTGCAGAGTCACGCGGCACAAGATGAACACGAGGCTCAATGACAGTTTCTTTGCGGCCCTGCGCATCGAGAGTTGTCTCAATGGCCCCGAGAATCTCCTCGTTGGTGAGATTCAAGGCGGCAACATCCGGGCCATTGATGTAAGTGATGTGGATGGGCTCTGTGGGCGGCGACATGCTTGCTTGCTGGTTGACTGGATAGTATAGTGAAGCACAAGAATTCGTTTATTCGTCCCAACGCATATGGGTATTTTTATTTTTCCATGTATCTATCGATAAAGCATCCCACCTGCCGCGTAACATGCATTACTGCTGCCATAACCAAGCCATTACCAAGTCAGCTGCCTTAGTGGCCGACTTCGCTCTTGCGTCATTGCGTTGGCTTGGTGGGGGATCACCTCATTGCTGCCAACAGCAGCTTTACGAGGTGGATTGGCGCATAGTTCATTTGTGGTACCGGTTAACTGTACTAAGAGTTATGTGTATAGTGGGGAATACGATTTATGAAATTTATATGCAGGCCACATCTACATTTGCGCGGTGTCGGGCAAATGGCCGGCGCGAGGGTTTAATACACTAACTATAGTAGCCCCTTGGTTAGAGCATTTCAAGTCTCTTTGCAAGCCACGGGCCTCAGCGACCTTTAGAGTATTTTATATTGTTTTAGGCTTCTATGTAAGTCTCACAACTACATCTCTGAATTATGTAAATGGTCATGATGGAATTTGGCCATCCACTCTGTAAGACCTCTCCATTCATGCGCCTCAAACCACCGGACAATACTTCCAAAGTCTCGGCATTGATGAACAGCGTAGGAGGCTTCCGCTTGTAAAAAGTGTTCCTTGTCCAGGGCGCTGAGTGTCACATCGGCGTTGCACATGAGACTATTCTTTACATGCTCGATGCAGTGGCCAACATGGTATCCCGCTGATGGCTGAGGCTGATCGAATTCGATTCGTATTTGATCCTGAGAAGACATCTTAGCTAGGGATAAAAAAGACGCAAAACACCAATAACGTACTAGGCAATGGAGGGCGTGAAAGACGTCGATTTGGTAAAGTAGCAGATCTGGCTGCTCAGGTGCTGGGGCACTAGGAGGAAGCCGTTGCCGCGTAGCCCATGGTCGCTCAACAGCGACGATTCCATGATCTGTTATTCCAGTCAGTGCCATCCCATATCTCCATTCTAGAGGTATCATACGCTTCCTTGTCCCATTCCAAGACTCTGAAAAGTGGAAAAGTGGATGTAGCTTGTCGTGAAGAACTGCATCTGGTACTGTGAAATCCCAGGATATGTTCTGCCGTGATAACGATGCATCTATACATACAAATATTAGCAATTCAATAGTTCTTATAATTGAAGTTGTAAAGACATACATTCATCAATATCCACTAGTCCAATCCGGCTATGAAATACATAGCCAAGCCAAAATGCCACCACGTTCGTCATCTCAAGCACTAGCAGCCATAGGCAAATTCGTCCAGGGCACCATGGGCGCTTAGAAAGGAGTGGTTGTGCTGGATAAAATTCCGAATCTTCCTGTGAGAGTAACAGAGAAGTCTGTTCAATCTCTTTTATGTCAACCATGGTATAATAAGTGCGGACCTAGCGAGAAAAAAGATGGTCGTGCAGCGGCAACAGTATGTTAGAAGTGAGAAAAACGGAATGCACCTCTACAATCACTACCCTTGCGTTATCCATGGGCCTGCAAAAACAAATGCCGCCTGAAACATCTCGGTACAAACAACAGAAGATCAGCTGCGAGGGAATAAAGTAGTGTAACATGCAATACATGCATGCAATCATGCCTACGGGCCGCGTCTGTGGCGTTCTAGATGGCCAAGCAGAGACAAGTGTCATCAATATGTGATATCCCACGAATCTAAATCCGAAAACAATTCTTTAATTCTAACCGACAGTAAAATGACTTCACAAGTGTCCTCGTTCCTCATACTCGGGGTCCGTGGCAAAGGTCAACTCAAACTCCTTGGTGTTCATGGCATATGGCCACTTGTAGACATTCTCTGGAACAGGCATACGAGCAAATTTGTGAATATCAACAGAATGCTTCTTTTCCCAGTCCACCAGTGCATCGAAATCCCGACACTTGCGATTCAAGCTGAAATCTGGCCACGGCATCGTATGATTGTGCATCCAAGACAGAGTAAGAACCTCTGTATTGGCATTACACTTGAGCGATTGAAGCAAGATGTCAACACAATGGGCAAGATGCGTCCAACGCATGATGCCGCTTAGAACGTCGGCCTTTGGTTCGTAGCCAGGATATTCCTTGAAAGCAGCGCGCCGCAATGAGTTGAGGCAGTGGATTTGCTAGCCACCAAGTTAGCAACATATATATATATATATATCGTGCTTCAAATTCTGTACGCACATGCATCGCATCCAGCTGGACCATGTACGCATCATCTCCAAGGTCCCAATAGTCTTGTTCAAACTTGGCGACCTTGTCGGGATCTCGACCAAGCCTTATAATATCCTGTCTGGAGGCTATGAGAGTGCGGACTTGTTCATATTCGTCCCAACGGGCATCGTTTTCTTTGCTCGGGGCTTCTCTTGCCAGCGATACATGATATTTGGGGAGAAATGTTCCATTGACGACAATATCAATCAGCGGAACGTCGAACCGATTTAAGACTGGGGCTAAAGAAGACAGATTTTATGGTTAGCTTGAAATGAGCATGAGGGAGTATTCATCTTACACCAAGCAGAAACTCTTCTTACAGCACTTCCGTCACTGTTTGCTGATTCCAAGTATATCAGCACGGTGATGGAGGCGAGTAAAAGCACCATATTGGCCAAGGTGAGTAGTAGCCATCGGGAAGAGAGCTTCAAAGACTCGCCATTGATAGGAGCCTTGCTTTCTAAGATTTTGTCTGATTCAGAGTCTTCGCTATCTCTGTAGCTGCGAGGTGTCAAAATGGCTTGATATTGGCGCCTCCACCAGATCAACTTGACAATATCGTCAATCTTCATAATGGATTGATGTTGCTTCTGAGTGTATTCAATGTTTACTGAGGAAGAGAAAACAAAAAGCTCTCCATACTCAAGATTAGACCAAAGACAGAGGCCAACTTGAAGGGCTATTACAAAGCTTCCGGCCCAGCAGGACCTTTACTTCGGAAGATGCTACACTATCGCAAGAATCACTAAATTCAGAAACCCTGCATATGTGTGTCTCATGCGACCGTCATGTTGACCTTGTAGCAGCCGAGATATCAAGGCGGACACTGTATCTCACCGGTATATGTGGCTACCTAGGCCGCGTCGCACAGCAGTGTAGATCAATCTATAAAAGACAACCGGTAGAGTGTTTCCGATTAATTCGCCATATCGCGCGATGCCAATCCGGCGGTGGCGCCATTGGAGAAATCTGCATGAGGATTGCCATGAGACAACAAACATCCCGAGATTATATATGTTGGGCTGGCAATCGGCAACCGGCAATGCACATGAGCAAATACGTATCATTGATTTTCCAGTATGCACTCATTGAGGTTGTCTTAGCCAATAGTGACATACAGGCAGGCCGCTTGCCTACCAGGCCTCTCTACCTAACATTCAACACGATGGAATGGCCGCTAGGTATTTTATTTGACGCTGCACTGTGTGACATTGAATTTTGTGTCAACAGCTGAATTTCCAGAGACTTACCGCACGGCCATCTGCCGGTTTCCGAGTCTTTATCTAGCATCACGAGACGTATGTCGTGTGATTGCGACTTCCACAGTCGACAAGACCTCCTCGGCAACCCACTGAGTGTATCAGAGGACAAGCCCAGATAGGCAATTGTAGCGAAAATGGTTACCAAGCTCGAAGCACGTAACCCCGATTAGAGCACTATTGAATAGCAGGTGCTACATATAAATAGTTGCCAGCTAGCATCTTGTTGTTGGCATCAGCATGATCCATCTCATCTCTTACATTTAAGCAGTCAATATTATCAAACTATGCATTCTCTTCATTTATTCAACATTCTAGCTGCTGCGGCCGCCGTTGCGGCTCTGCCTGTCCAGCAGACTCAGGATACTCAGCCGTCCAAAGAGGATTCACTGATTGTCCCCTCCTTTGGCTATGATCCATACAAGAAGCGCAATACCGACAACAAAGAGGACACGCTTATTGTATTTGACTATGATCCTTACAAGAAACGTGATACCGACAACAAAGAGGACACGCTTATTGTATTTGGCTACGATCCTTACAAGAAACGTGATACCGACAACAAGCTCTAGTCCTCCCCTTTGACTGTTACGACTACTCAAAGAGAGGTGCTACCAGCTAGTATCATCTGTTTCACCTCAACCACTATTATGAGGGATTCTAGAAGCCAGCCGCCTATGTAACTTCAAAAATTGTCACAAGGAAGTATGAGTGTGGGATTCTGATAGTCTCGAACTTAGCTAGCAATTGACCAAAGTCTGTCTTTCCCGACTGCCTCCGTATTATATATACAGTGATATGTACATCTACCGGCTATATACAGCACCAGATTGCCAAAGGGCAGGGACTATTTCTTTTTCGCATACCACCTCCACTGAGGCTTATAGTCTGCTGTCAGTTCCCTATCCAAAAGGACAGCCCGCACCAACTCGATAGACATGTATCCATTCCGCAGCACCGTGTCGTGAAACTGCTTCTCCGTTAAGCGCCCGCTCGCAAGGACCTTCCCTCTCAGCGCCCACAGCTGCAGAGCACCAAGCATATATCCGCACTGGTACAGCGGCGCCCATTCACCGTTAAACGAGCGCCGCACCTCGGCCTCGGCAGTCGACCGCTCATGTCCGACCTTGTTGACCAGCAGATCCACACACTCTTGAGGCGTCATCTGCCCAAGATGAAAGCTCAGCGAGAAGATGATGCGTGCACATCGATGCATGCGCCAGAAGAGCGTGCCAATCTTATCCTCGGGTGAGACAAAGAAATCGCCTCGGTCCCAGAGCAGGAGCTCCCAGTAGAGTGCCCAGCCTTCAGTCCAAAATGGCGTGGAGAAGAGCTTGCGGTGCGTATTGTACCGCGCCATGCTGTACTCTTGCATCTTGTGGCCGGGGATGAGCTCGTGGAACGCCGTCGCCCGGGCAAAGTACCGATTGTTGCCGCGCATCACCATTTGCTTCAAGTCGTGCGGCATATCGACGGTAGGATACGCAACAAGGATGCCAGGGCCGCCTAGGAAGAACGGCGACACCTTTTGCTTTTCGGGGTCCAGCATGGTGACGCGGGAAGTGGACTTTGCAATGGGCGGGACAGTGAGCAAGTTGTGCTGCTCGACGTAGTCTGCACCTTCGCGAGCTAGCTGTCTGACAAAATGCGGGTATTTGCCTGGTTCTACAGTCTGCTCTTTGACGTGTGCAAGAGCAGCTTTCCAGTCGTCGCCAAACCCGAGGTCCTTGGACGCAAGCTTCATTTGATGCTCGCACCAGCTAAAGACATTGTTGGCAATGTCTACCAACTCGTCGGGGCTATATGCAATCATTTCCACCCTAAGTTCGGTAAGTAGAGCTTCGCGGCCGATGGGCTCGCCAATAATTTCATCGCCGTTTTCAGGCCCGATGCCCGCTAGTACAGAGGATGCGACTTGGATGTAGTCGTCCAGCGCAGCCTTTGCATCTTTCAACGGCTTTGACGCCCACCAGTCAAACATGGGGTCATATGTGGCATAGAATACACCGAGCTCATCCAGCGCACTCTTTAGATTCTGTGCATACTTAACAAGTCTATATCCGTTGACTTTGGATGTAGTGAGATTGCCGTTTTTTATGCGAAGGGTGGTTTGAGCGGCTAGCTTGGCTACATTGTCCAGATGCTGAGCGGTGCTCTGGGCAGAGACAAGATCAACACGCTCACGAGCTTCAGAGATGAGAACTATGTTGTCGGCAAAGGGCATAAAGTGCCCTAATGCCAAAACAGTATCCCACTCTGCTTGCAGGCGAGCAGCGCTGCGTTGCAAATGGTTGCGCAGCAGCAGATAGTCGGCGCGGTCTTGCTGGTTGATGCTGTTGAATTTTACCAGAGACAGCTTGATGAGCTCTTGTGCGTAATATCGCTGCAGTACATCTCGGCGGGCGGGCGACACATTGACACGGTAATATTCTGTAATGTCTCTGATGTCTGCGTCAACTCGACGCACACGATCAGTCATGGACTCAGCCACAGCAGCAACAGGTTCATCTGGGGCTGAGATGCTGATCCATTCAGCATCTGCTGCTAATTCTGTATCTGTTGCCATTATGTTTTACAGGCTCCAGGCACGTGACGATAATGATGATGCGTCCTGGTGATGATGTTGAGAGGAGGTTGTTGAGGTGGACGTTGCCAAAAGTGGTGATGCGACCAGCAATAACTGCCGATAGTGGGGAATACTCTGGGGATGGGGATACCGGGCCGAGAGCCGAGCTGTATGTGTAAGTCAGCGCAATATAGAATAGAATAGAATGATACGATTCTTTATTGTACTCTAAATTCGGTCTACAAAATATTTAATATGACACAAACTAAAATAAAGATGCAAACAGCAACATGCATAGATTGGTCGCATCATCGCCAAACCAGCCAAAACATAGCCATCACAACTAGAGACGACCATTTCGTACATGTGTTACCCTAAAAATAATTACAATGGAGTTTGCCCAGCCCTTAGATCGAGATCCAGCAACTTATTCTGTAACGTGAAACGCCTCGGTCACCGTTACAACCCCCCCGGAACGGGAACCAAGACCTCGAGAACCTAGAACGGGCGCCGATGCTACTCTGCAAGTATGTCCGGCGATTGTATATAAATATCCCCAGAACCCATCATTTGGCGCCCATTTCATTTTCTTAGAAGGTCAACTGTGCTCTAGAAAAGCTAATCAATATGCATTTTTCTGTTACTACAGCTGTTGTTGGGCTGGCAACCATCTCGGCTGCTCTGCCCCAGGGCGAGCTCTGGACCGCAGATAACCTCAATGATGTCGAGCCAGTCGACGCCGTGCCCATGGAAGATCTACGTGCTATGAAGCTCAAATTTGCCAAGGAGCAGGAAGAGGCTGGATTCTTTGACGCTGGCCGCTACCCATCAACGATGGCAGCCAAGAAGTGCGAGGGCGGCAAGGCCGGTGACTTCAAGTGCCAGGGCGTTGACCTCATGGGCTTTTTGTCGCACGAGGCAATGAAATCCAAGACCCGCGCCGGCAATGATGTCTGGGGTAAGCAATTTTCCTTTCTCCCACGTAGAAAAGTACAAGCCTCATGCTAACGAATCCGTGTGTAGGCTGGACGTCCCCGGATGGCCGTGAAATTGCTATTATTGGACAGCGCGACAACACCGGCTTCGCCGAGGTCATGAAGGACGGCTCGTTGGTTTTCCTTGCCAACCTTCCCACCGCGTCCGGCAACGACATGTGGCGCGATATCAAGACCATTGGCGACTACGCGTACATTGTGGCCGACGTGGCCAACCACGGCATGCAAGTCGTAGACATGAAGAAGATTCTTGCTATCGACCCCAAGTCGCCCAAGACTCTCAGCAAGTCGGACCTGACTGCCCACTACACCGGCTTTGGCGCCTGCCATAACGTCGTTGCCACCCCGTCGACCAACACCGTCTACTGTGCGCTCACCATGAGCAACAACTGCGGCGGCAAGCTTGCCCCCGTGGACGTGTCGGACCCCGCGAACCCCAAGGGCCTGCCGTGCATCAAGGGCGGCATGCGTGTACACGATGCCATGTGTGTCATCTACGATGGCCCTGACACCAAGTACAAGGGCAAGGAGATCTGTCTCGACTTTGACGAGAAGCAGTTTACCATTGTGGACATGACGGACAAGAACAACGGCAAGGAGGTTGCCAAGAAGACCTACAACGGCCTGCGTTACACCCACCAGGGCTGGTGGACTGACAACACGCACCGCTTCATCCTGCTGGGCGACGAGCTGGACGAGGGCAAGACGGATATTGCTAAGGATATGCATACCAGAACCTTCATTATTGATGCCAAGGACCTGGCCAACCCCGTGTTCACGGGTGTCTACAGAAGCCCTGCCAAGGCCATCGACCACAACTTGTTTTCTATTGACGGTATTGCGTACATGGCCAACTACAATGCTGGTATGCGTGTTGTTGATACCAGATCGCTCGCTGAGGATCCTACCGGCAAGGGCATGAAGGAAATTGCCTACTTTGATATCTACCCCGATGATGATAATGGCAAGGAAAAGCTCGGCTGGGTTGGTTCTTGGGGCGTTTACCCGTACTTTAAGAGTGGTCACATCATTATCAGCGGTATTGAGCGTGGTGCCTTTTCCGTCAAGCTGCAAAAGGGCGTATTGTGAGCGTCACGAACGTCATGGCCGCAAGGATGCATACAAGTAACCACTTGCGCGAGGGGGTAAAGTTGAGTAGCATTGCCAGGTCATCTTGACTTTCCCAGCCGACGATTCCGTTTTCGAGATCCATGACGGGTATGGTTGTCGTCGGGGGAACTTTTCCTTTGCTCGATGGAGTCTGGTTGATTGAGCAGTTAGCGTGTCGGTCCAAAGGGATGTCGCTAGTGTTAGGAGGAATCAATGTTCGTACTATTTGGGCCTCGATGTCTACATCTCCCTGAGAGGAATCTGCAGCGGCGGCTGGAGACTCGACTTTATGATGTTCTGGGGTTGAACCACCAGATGAGGCTGGCGGGACATCTTTTGTATGGCCAGCTCCGATGTCTGAGCCAGTTGAAGGAATGTTATCAGGGGGCATGGTATAACGTATAATAAGTGGTAGCGGGTGGGTGAGTGGGTGCTGTATTTTGTGTTGCTTATGAGGAGCAGGGGGTACAATGATGATGGAGATACAGAGTAGGAGACTCACAGAGAGAGGCTGCGATCGGGGGATGTCCAATAAATAGGTAAACAAGGGGCTCGCTCTCGGATGCTCGGCCCCATCCGAGGGCGATGCATAAGGTTCTGCATTTTATGACAAGTGACTCTGAAAATCTGGGCGGGCCGTTGAGGTTATAGAGGTTCGTGGTTGGGGTGATGCTGCTAATCACCGATCGGCCTTGGGGTGAAATGAGGGGAGTTTCCTATTACGGTAATAGGCACGAGGCGCCTACCCTGTAGACGATAATCAAAAGACGAAACACCTTTTGCAAATACAAGTTTATTGCAAACGTCACAATCGGAATGACGCAATCTTCCACTCGTTTCCAATTTTTGATTAGGATGCTTCGATTGTGCCGTCTATCTCCTAAACAGGGTTGCAAGAACATATATGTTGGCAACACGGCGAGTTTGGACTGTGTGAGACTTAGACTGGCGACCCGAAAATATCATTGAGAAAGCGCGGTAAAATTGGTAAAAAATAGTGCGGGTTGGTCGAAATAAATATACTGTTAAAGATTTAGAGTAGACCTTAGAATCACTCTCAATTGCCTTAAAGCGGGGAGTATTTACAGCGTAGTCAATCTTGGCTACAGAACGAGAAACAGTTAAACAGCCAGATCCGAACTCTCTTGCATTAGCCGTATGATGCGTTAACCATATGAGAGAGTATTTATCTATATCAGAAGAAACAGAAATGTAGAAATAATTAACAATTTCATGCAAACACATTATTTATACTGGATCGAGATATTGAGCTTTTACGGAAAGCGTCTTAGGACTATATCGAAGGGCTGGGTATGGCTGTGGATAATTTCCATCGTCATCTGCGATGAAAAAAAGGATAGCAAGGGTCCTATGGTTAGTTAGCTCTGCCACATGCTACTATAACTTCAGCACTTTCGTGTATATGCTTACATCATAAAGAGGAATATTTTTACTGAGCTGACGCCACTCCCTAACCCACTCGTCTTGATGCAAATGTCGACGCCGGCACCAGGCACAGCGAGCGCTTGTACCCTCTGGCACACTCGCATTACAAAGACACCAGACCTGTCAAGGCGTCTATTAGCAGATGATAGTGAGGCGGGAATTTCGAGCGCAATGCATACAAACCGTGAGAATTGGTGGTCCGTCATCTCCATGGTATCAGGCCATTCCGGCCCGTCGTCCTCGGAATACTCTTGTTCTTCTTCGATAACCCAAACCCCCTTGGTGTGCTTCTCCAGGTAGTCTTCTCCCAGCTTCAGTTCGTCGGCATGGCACTTGCCGCATACCCATCTCGTGAAGGGGTCGCAGTCGCATAACTCGCTCCCAAACTTGCCGCTGACTTCCTTTTCCACTTTATCGTCGCACTGCGTGCACAATACAATGATGTTTTTCAGGAGAAACGCCCCATTTAGATGCGGGCGCCGGGATAGGTAGTCCCTAGGCAGACGGGGATAGTAACGGCATTCTTCACACACGTTGACGTCGCACTTTGCGCACGGCAATGTATCGTCAGCCCGGCATGTGAGGTTGTACACGCGGACCTCGATCTCTTCATCTTCGTAGATTTCGCGTCGCCCATCTTTCCGGCGTATATATTTGCTGTCTCGTGCATGATGTAGGCCTCGTCGCTCTTGGCGATCACGAAGACCGTGACCATCACATAAGCAGCGACGCCTCAGCTTATCCCAGATGAGATCAGAAGCGAGGATTTGGCTGTAGAATGTCTTGTTTGTTAGTGCAAGGTGGAAAAGGTCAAGTGTTGATAATTGCGAAGCGAGAGACTGGAGGATTGGATATGATGTAATGAGGGCTGTAAGACGGTCAGTTCTTGATAATATGCTTTGGGTTTTTTCCATTGTCATTGAATCTAGAATGTGTATATTTTGAGTTTGGAAGGAATTAACACGGAGCGGTTGTAAATATAATGTGGTATTTAGAATAGCAAAGAATTAGACAGAAGGCAGCTAGGCTAAATTTGCTCGTTTGGCACTTATTTCTATGCGAGCTTGGCGAGGGTATGTCAGGTACAAGAGATGTGGCCGTATAAGATAGCTTGTCTGTAATTCCGGCTTTGGCTGTAATGCATCTGATTCTCTTATAGAATCAGAACCGTTTTGCGTGTGTTCTCAGCAGTACACGGTATGCGTATGCTAACCACAATTCGCCGAGGCTTAGTGTTATATTATAGTAGAGCGGACAACGAATTAGGATTTATAGTAACATATCCAACGACCATAATTATTTTGTTCTATAATTTTCGACGCTCACCGCTTCTTACAAAACAACAAGATGTTATTGGATCGCCCTGAAAACTCAAAATATCTCTTGGTACACAGCGGGCGCGTGCACATCATCACATTCACGCAAACCGTGAACAATGCGGGCGCAAGTCAAGGCGAATGCCACCCAACCAGCCCTGGGCTAGCGCAACGCCGCCAAAAGCTTGGCTGTTTGCTGGGTGACAGGCGCCTCAGGCGCACTAAAAAAAAAGCCGCCGGGCAGGCTGAGACCCCTACGCGAGACATACGACGCAAGGAGATGCCGGCGTTGGCTCGGTGGGTTACGTGGTGTATTGCGCAAACTATTTCTCTTTTTGTTTACGCCTGCTCGTTCGTGTTTTTAAGATTGAGAGAACGAGGCAGCTGCTTATGGCGAACAGGGCTGCGGCGCGTATTGCCGTATTCGGCTGTCAAATTAGAATCTAAGGGGGGGAAACACAGCGCCGGGGCGCTCTGCCGGAGAGACAAGGGTCGTTAATATTAGAATGACGCGTAATGATAGGCTATGATGGTGCGTTGAACGATCACAACGGTGGACTTTCGAATGTTGATGCTGCGGAGTTTGGTATTGGAGATGTAATACTCTATCTATCTGCGTTTGGCGACTACTTTGTACTGCTGTTGGGGCAGATCATCGAACGAGATGGCAGATGTGAGAGGTATCGACCGATGCACTCGGCCCGTTGATACGTGTATTACTACTACTGTGCTTGTGTGCAGGCAGCCTTATTGTTGCTTGTGGCCGTGCAAGCAAGGCTCCGCAGCGGCGGTGTTACGCAGAATGGGACATATAGGTGGTTAACTCGTACATAGTGTAGGGCTAGGTCTGGCCAAGGCTGGAGATGGGCTGGAGATAGATGGAATCTCCGAACAGAGTAACTACATTTTTAATTCTTCATTTATTTTTGGTGTATTACGCAAGCTATCGCCGGCTGCCGTGTGCTGCAGGCCCGTGACGCTGGTGCGGCGCGGGTGGTGTTTGTTGGCAAGTGGGCGGCAGACGGGCGACGGTCTGGTGGGGGGAGAAGCCAAAGTCGGCGGTCGGGCAATGCGGAGTCCGGCATCGAGAGAAGCCCGAGAGTCTTATTTTTCTCGGAGGTGGAATTTATGACTCAACTCTGGGCAGAATTCTACAAAACTCTAGCCACAGATATAGAATAAGTCTAATAATATAGAAATAATTTTCCTTTAATTTTCTTCAATACTTTGCAAACATTACAGCGACAAACGTCTACCGGGTCTCGTTCCGTCGTTCAAGGCCCTTGCATCCACCACCACTAGCGGGCCCCGACATTGTCCGCAAAGCTTACGCTCATCAACCAATCACAGCCCTAGCCTCGTTTTTTTCTTGCGCGAGTAGTAGCACGCCTTTTTTTTCTTTATTTTATTTTTAATCCTTCCGTTAAACTTTGTTCTTTTCTGATTGGCCCCTGAGCGTGCTTTCGTGCATGTGTGACTCTTTCTCTGGCCCAAGGGGTTCGTGAATACACGTATCGCACATCCAAGCCACGGCAATCAGTGACTCTTTCTTCATGTATGGCTTTGAGTTTTTTTAATGTAGTCATGATAACAAGCATTCGGAAGATCGTCGCGGTCACCTTGGCACGGTGCATCATCACCACGAGGCCTTTCGGCGAGATATTCAAAAATATTCCAAAGAGGTTTACGTAGATGGCTCCCTGTGACGTACGCTGAGTAAAGGCCTGTCATTGCGCACTTTACTAGAGTGTAGGTAGGGCATCGGGCGGTATTGCGCATGATATTTGCGCATTCGTCGCATTCGTCGCATCTACGCCCGCTACAACGACGTGGTCCAAGGACGCAGATTCTATACTGTAACTTAGATGTGCATCAAACGACTTGGCGGAAGCGACCATCGTTCTGGAAAAATTAAAAATAAGCCTCTGATTCACAACTCAACAAAAAAAAAAAAAGAACGCTCGTTTGTTCAAGCGCCAATCTCCCTCGATCCCCTGGGCATCTGTTTTAGGCCGCATTGGCTGGCTGCCTGCTCGTCTTCGGGTCCGCCGCCCCGGATTAGCAGGTCCTCTATCTCCGGGTGGGGGTTAGGTTTCAGGAGCACGAGAGCAGTGAACCCGAGAGTGATGCAGCAGAGGCTACAGAAGTCGTAAAAATATAGTGATTGTACCGAACAAATCATAAGCTCTCCTATTAAAAGAATAACATTTTACTGCTATTTATCCGTCTAAAATGCAGACGCGTGGCTACCACTCCCACCCAACTCCGGCGAGAGGCGGGTGTAGTGTGTGTTTGACGGACTTAGCCATGTGCGGACCCCGAAATGTGCTGGCGCGGACAGAAGCCCAGGCTCAGGGAAGAAAAAAAACAAAAGAAAAAAAATAGCAGATTGACAGCCAGGCACGCCGTCGAGTCATCGTTCAGCAGTCATCTCGCGCTGTATGTGGGACACCCGCCCGGGTTCTTGTCTGGCCGGAAGAGGTGTGTGCCGCTGGGTCGCCCTCTTTTTTTTTTTTTTTTTTGGCCGCTCCTCCTGCAGAGGTGCTGGCAACTGTAACTCCACTGTAGTAGTTACAGTTACAGTTGCAGGCTCGCTATCGGCATTGGCAGCTGAACGACACCAGCGGCGCACGCACTACGCAAAAGGCAAAGGTCCGCAGGGCGACAGGCGGGGCGCCGCAGGGGCTGAACGTGGCCTTGCGGAACAAAGCAGCTAGAACAAAAGTAGCAATAAAAAAAAAACAAAAAGGGAATTGGGTGAGAGCGAGAGAGAGCGAGAGAGATCGTGAATCCAGAACACTTAAACCCATCTTTGTCCCCTCCCCTCGTCTCCTTTCTTTTTTTTTCTCATCACCAACTTTTGTTCACTGTTTCCTTTCCTTTTCACTGTTCCTTCATTCTCTCTCCATTGTTCTCTGAAACAAAGAGACAGAACCTCACTCTCACCTCCCGTTCAACTTCGCCCACCATTCCGCTACCACTACTGAACGACACAACAAACACAACAAACACCACAATGGAAAAGTCCGACGCCGCTACCGACGTTGGCTCCGTCAACTCGGCTGCCCTCCAGAAAGAGCACGACTCTACGCCTCCTCACACCGCGGCTCCCAGCGAAAAGACTGCCGCCCCCAACGCCGACGCTGCTGACGAGACTAGCGACGAGGCCCTCGGTGGCCCTCTACAGGAGGTTGCTACCGAGTATCCTGCGCCATGGCGTCTGTTTTTGATTTCTGTTGCCCTGTGTCTTGCCGTCTTTTGCATGGCTCTTGTAAGTGGTCGTCCTCAATGTCGTCACCGTGTAATCCGTACTAACGCCTGCGCTCTAGGACAACACCATCATTGCCACCGCCATCCCCCGCATCACCGACGAATTCAAGGCCGTCAACGACATTGGCTGGTACGGCTCCTCCTACCTGCTCACCACCTGCGCCCTCACCCTCATCTACGGCAAGCTCTACACCTTCTACAGCATCAAGAGCATCTTCCTCATCGCCCTCGGCCTCTTCGAACTCGGCTCCCTCGTCTGCGGTGCCACCCCCAACTCGACTGGTCTCATTCTCGGCCGTGCCGTCGCCGGTCTCGGTGCCGCTGGTGTCTTCTCTGGTGCTCTGCTCATTGTCCAGCGCTCTGTTCCTCTGCACCAGCGCCCTACGTACATGGGTATTATTGGTTCCATGTACGGTATTGCCAGTGTTGCTGGTCCTCTCATGGGCGGCGCCTTCACCGACCGATTGACCTGGAGATGGTGCTTCTACATTAACCTCCCCTTTGGAGCTGTCACCGCCTTCTTCCTCGTCCTCTTCCTCGATCTCCCTGGCAAGAATGGCCTCAAGCAGTCCTCCGTCAAGGAGCAGATCCTCTCCTTCGATCTTGAGGGCACGTTCCTCTTCATCCCCGGTGTTGTCTGCCTTCTCCTCGCTCTTCAGTGGGGTGGTACCAGCTACCCCTGGGACAATGGCCGCATTATTGCGCTCTTTGTCCTTGCTGGCGTTTTGCTTGCTGGTTTCGTTGGTGTCCAGATCTGGAAGCAGGAGCGCGCTACTGTGCCCCCTCGCATCTTCAAGACCCGCACTGTCTGGGCTGGCGCTTTCTTCGGTGCCACTCTTGGCGCTGCTTTCTTCGTCCTCGTCTTCTACCTGCCTCTCTGGTTCCAGGCCATCCAGGGCGCTTCGGCCGTGCAGTCGGGCATCAAGAACTTGCCCATGATTCTCTCCGTTGTCGTCCTCTCTATTGTTGCCGGTGGCCTCGTCACTGTTCTCGGATACTACGCTCCCTTCATGATTGTCTCTTCGATCATGATGGGTGTTGGTGCTGGTCTTCTCGCCACCTTCACTGTCGACACCCCCACCGCTCACTGGATCGGATACCAGCTCATCTTCGGTATGGGTGTCGGTATGGGTATGCAGCAGACCATGGTTGCCGTCCAGGCTTCCCTGCCCGCCAACGATGTTCCCGTCGGTACCGCCATCATGATGTTCGCCCAGACCCTCGGTGGAGCTCTCTTCATCTGCGTTGCCCAGAACATCTTCTCCAACAAGCTTGTCTCCAACATTGCCGCCGCCCACATCCCTGGTATCGACCCCATCTCCGTCATCTCGCTTGGTGCCACTCAAATCACCACCCAACTCCAGGGTGAGGCTCTTGCTCTCGTCCAAGTTGCCTACAACAACGCCGTCACCAACGCTTTCTATGTTTCTGCCGCTCTCGGTGCCGCCTCCATCATCGGCGCCGTCCTCATGCCCTGGAACTCCGTCAAGGGCAAGACCATTGAGATGGCCGCTGCTTAAGCGACCTTTCTTACTTGGAATTTCCTTTTTCTGTTTCTTCCTGTTCGCATTAATAGAGCGCGATACTCGTCACGAATAGTAGACGGTGCATATAAAATGGGTTGGCGTTTTTCTCCTTCTTTTTTTTTCTCATCGGTATAGGATGCCATAATGAATTTGGTAGTTAGTTAGAAATCTCCCTCACTACAGTGTATTAATATCACATACATATCCCCTCCGATTACCGCTTCTCTCTTCTTTTTAACTTTAAACGGTGTAACTATAACGAAAATCGCCTTGGCAAACGCTCTCCGTTCCTCGTCTTCCCAAATAGGAAAAATGATGGGAGGCTAGTGCGGGTCATGACGACTCACTCGGCTGAGCTCAGCACCGCCACGAACGGGCGGCCGCTGCACGGGAATGACGCTACAGCCTGATTTTCTCTACACTAGGTAGCATATATAGTTGAACTATCCCGCATAAATATTCACAAACTACTCTGTGGATTCACAAAAAATATCGCCGGTTTATATATATCACAATGTCAAAAGACTACCCCCCAATCGTTAAAGCAAACCAAACGCATCAACCGCCACCAGACTTTCGACAGCACTGCGCTGGTACATTTGCAGCCAATGCACAAGGGAAACCATATCTCAATGGACTCGAAGCGGCCTCTATTTTTCTATCAAGCGGTCTAGACAAGACTGTTCTATCAAATATCTGGGACCAAGCCTCTACATACAAGAACGGCAGGTTTACATGTGACGAGTTCACCAACGCCATGTGGCTCATTGAGCAGCACAAGACCTCCCAGATTCCGATCCCACCTCCATATATACCGTATCCAGCACCACCTCCTAGGCCTTATCCTGTGGCAGTGGCGGTGCAGCCACCAACAGTGACAAAGATGGACATGACAGAGCCCATGATCTGTACAGGATGTGATACAGGTTTTGTTACCAACAACATTGCATATGTTTGCAAAGCTTGTCCATCAGACAAGAATAGCTACTGTGAGGGGTGCAATCGGGCCGGAAAACGCTGCCGGCATGTGCAGAGTGCATCACGCCATATCCTCGAACGAGGCCGCAACCTCAAGACTCAAGATAAAGAGGACGAGCTTGGGTTTAGCTACAAGTGCTCCAAGTGCAAAACCAAGTTCAAGCCCGATGAGCTCTGCTGGCACTGCAAGCGCTGCTTTGAGTCGAACTTGTGTGAGGGATGCTGGCCGGCGCGTGAGAAGCGGTGCAGGCACGCTGCCAAGGGCAAGGTGCAGCTTCGAGTTGTCGGGAAGCCAGCCTCCATCGGAGAGATCTTAGACGATATCGGAGAAATCCACGACTTGATAGGTTAGATTGTATCGTGTTGAGTGTGGTGCTCTCGTCATCGCTTCTTCGTCAATTTGGTTGGCTCTTCGTCCAGGTCGGTCGGTCTACCGGAGGCCTGGTTCCGCAGTTCGCTGACGAAATGTTTCAGAAATCCCTCGCTAGTCGGTGCATTCGGATCAGCTATTGTATAGTTAGTTAGTGGTGGATATCGTATATGGAGGCGTGGACGTGAGCATACAGGTTGCCTCGCCTGGTCGGAGCGGCTCGTTGGGGTTGCGCCCGTGGATCTGATCGTCTACCGTTCGCTGGATTTTACCGACGGCACGGTGGAAGCCAGGCTGTCGCAGAATCTAAGACTAGTTAGTCGCTGCTGCTACTGTTGCTGCTGGGTGATGTTTTCGGCATGGTCGGACATACGGCATTGACGATGTGGTCCTGCGGCAAGCGTTAGACGAGGGCATTAGAAGAGGTATCGGGTAGATTACGTACTTCAAATACAATCACCATGCGGTGGATTATGTTAAATAGCGACATTTTTATCGCAGGCCGCCGTGCAGTTGAACGAGAGCCCGTGGAGAGGGTGACAGGTCGAGAGAGGAGCGTGGCAAAGCGTCAGGCGAGCACAGGCGATGGATTTCAACTGTTCGCCGCCCCTGACTAAGCCGAATTATATGTGCATATTCAACAACAAACCCTCTTTACGACTCACAATAAATGTATCTTTTTTTTAAGGACATAGTTTCTTAAAATTATTAATAATGATATTTGACTGGCTTTATGATTTGCAAATCTTCTCATACGAAATGTTGCACTATTCAGGTCAACATACATCGTACGCGACATAGCCTAGACTGTGCTCGCAATTCATAATATATCGCTTTATGTTTTGTATAAACTGCTACGAATTCAATTTAACAGTTTCATATTACATTAATTACTAAAAAGAACAACCTTAGGCTTCGAATCAGCCACATTCAACCACTCCAACCACCATCAAAACCACCCCAACAACTTCGCAGCACCGATCGCAGCTGCGCCAATAGCCACAGGAATAGCTACCCGCGCTACTTTATCCGTAGTCTCCTTAGTCTTGACCCGAATAAACTCATTCAGCATCGCAGCCTCGTTGTTCCACGGGAACGGCACGTCGGGGACCTCCTTGCCCAGGAACTTGCACAGGGGCTCCCATCCCTCGCCAACTCTGTACACAAGGAGCCTCTCAGGCGGCACCAGCGATCGAACCAATGCGTTGTGTTCATCATATCGCCTCTTCATATTGCGGCGACAGTCGTCCATAGTATCGCCTTGGAAAAAGCCCCGGATCATCTTCCACGACGACTGCATGCGGTTGATGCCGACCAAGGGCTCAGCAATCCTCCGAAGAAATACACTGAACCAGGTATCAAATGTGACAAACAGAGTGTTGTTTACTGAGGGCCTCCATTTCTCAAAGTCTCGTTCTGTCAGGACAACTTTGGCGTCCGGGTACGCTGCGATCAACTCGGCGGAAAAAAAGGAGGCGACGTCTGTGACAACGTCATAGTGCCCAAACAGCGTATCCCAATCGAAAGAACCTCCGCGGTACGTAGGGAGTGTTGTAAATGTTGCCTCGGATGCTTGCTCTATTTTTGTCCAGTAATCGACATCATCAATAGTGTCGATGCCGTGCAGAACCTTTTCGTACCCAAGAATCCGGTACGCTTCGGTCATGGAGGCAGTGCCAGTCCTGAGAAGGCCAAGAGAAAGCACCTGAATTCTCTTCTCTGTAGGGGCCATTTTGATATATCTAGCACTGCTTTTGTGTCGTTTTAGTGTTGCAAGATGACTTAAGGACGGAGATTGCTTGTAAAGAGATTCGCAGGTGGGGTCAGGCTGCCCAGTCACTGTTTTCAGTTAGATCCGACCACTTGTTTCTACAACACAATGTGCATTCGAGGCAATTGAGAATAAAAGTTCATTATTTATGGTATCTTGGTTGCTAGAGACTTTGCTCTGCTTTAATATTTAATACAATGTTTTTAAACTGGTCTGTCTTTTTGTAACAAGCAGCTCCATTGCTTCCAAACAATCAATGCTTTTCATTAAAATTTCGGGTCCATGACGTCCAATCGACTTGGGACGATTTAAGACATGTAAGGACCAATGAAAGGAGTGAGGTAGTCCATCTTGCCAACATCAACACCGTTCTTGCGGATGATGTTGTAGGCGGTGGCAGTGTGGAAGAAGATGTTGGGAAGGGCGTAGCCGAGAACGAAGTTCTTGCCAAGAGTCTCGACGCTCTTGCCGGGGCCCATGCCGAAAGTGACGGTACGGGTAGCGCCAGCCTCAACAGCGGCGGCATCAGCACCAGCAAGGATGGCGTTTACGGTCTCAATGCGCTTGTAGAAGTCGGCAAAGGTCTTGAGGTTGTTCTCGAAGGGGGTGGGGTCAACACCGGTGAGGCGGGCAACGAGCTTGCTGGCGGTGTCGGTGACAACGTGGACCTGGAAGCTCAAGGGAAGCATGTCGTCGACAATGCGGGCGTCGGGGAGAGAGGCACCGTTGGGGGAAGCCTCGCCCTTCTTGAGGATAGCCTCAAGGGCAGCAAGGGCGGACTTGGCCTGGCCGAGAGTGAAGTCGGTGGTAGACATGATGAGTTATGTGGTGGATTGTTTGGTGAAGAAGAAAAGAGAAGAGAGTAGATGAGAGTGTTGATAGTCAAGAGATAGAACGCGGAGGGAGGGGCAGAGGCGGGGTGCTTTTATACTTGAAGCTTCCTGCCACCCCAACAGGAAGCTATCTTTTGGGCTAGCGGCTAGCTTGTAACCGGCAGGAAGCTAATGCGGCTCCATGGAAATCTTGAAAGCCGCTACCCAATAGAAGCCTCAAATTCTGCAGCTGGTTTCACCGACCAGACCAGATCGCAATGTTTACTAATTCCGCGCACTAGCGGACAACCCCACCTCCTGCGTCATGGTCCTGGCAATTGTGGATTCTGTTGCGAGGGTAGCATTAATAATAGAGGTGAGGATTTTGGCCAACACTGCTGACCTCGAGACCCAAAGTCCGCAGCAAGTAAGTGCAGAAAGAGGAACCAGAGTGGCGGCTGTTGCTGGTGTAGATGGGATGGCAACGTGAAAAGCTACTTGGGCGCCAGGCGTGCCAGCTGTGCCACCTGGCAAGTCCTCGTTTGCTGACGTGTGCTTCCTGTTATTTTTTTCTGGTTGCAAATCTGTCTCAATCCTATTCTAGCGTTTCTTCGTCTACAGTCTCCCCTCCAACAAGAAAAAGAAAGCAATCGAATCAAGAGGCCCTCATGGTAGCGGGGCGATAGTCCGAGCGAGGGGTAGCTTGGAGACCTGCGGGGCTGGTCCAAATATTTCCACTAACAGTAGTAGCCACCAGCCTCCTGTGCATGGGATTGGCGCGGAATATCGCTGGCGCTAGGGAGGCTCTTTTTCGCCCATAGCTCGCCTGTTAATGGGTGGCTTGATACAACAGCATACACAACATCGAGGATTCACGTTCGGAAAACGGCTATTCGTATTCTTTACGGAACACGCCACTACCAACGAGAGCGCCATTGCGCTGTTCAAATTTCAGCTCCCAGCCAGAAAACTCGCTCCGCTTCAACAGGTGTGCTATGCGAAGCAACAGCGGATTTGTTGGTGGAGCAGGCTCCGAAACACGCTGACAAATGCGATCTCAACATGTGCAACGTGGAATCAAATACCGAAAGTGTGTGGCAGGTACTTTGCTGAGGATCCTAGTCGGTCAGAAGTGAAGAGCCTTGCTTATAAAACAATCTTGCATTAACGCTGCCTAACGATTGGTTCATTCTAGGTATAACAATATTACACAGGTGGTGCGGCAGTGCAGCGTATCAACTGCCGCTCGGCTGTCGCTCAACTTTGTTTTCATCTTCTTGCGACGGCTGGATTTAGAACCCCAGGATTCGGTTCGCCTCTTCAACTACTTTTCTTTGCCCAGGCAAGGCGCCAGCATCTGCCATTAGCTTCTCAAATCCCATAGCGCGGAGCCCGTCTCCTGTGGACCACCCACGGAGCTGCTGTTCGGTAGGACGGCCGGCATGGCGGGTCTCACCTTCGCCGCCAGGGAAGTCCGGTCCGGGGGTGCCAGCCCGGAAGGCATCACGCTGCCGGACCAGGTACTGAGCATTAAAGGCTGTGACAGGGCAAATGGGAATGTACAGAACGCTGGAGTCAGACGTTCCATTATGCTGCTTATCAACTGAGTGAATTGCTATAGAAGGGAAAGAAGGCATGGGTTAGCAAATACGCTGTCGGTTTCTCAGTCGGGATAAAACTTACTATCGCAGTGCCATGCAACAAAGTCTCCAGGTTTGATCTCTGGTACATGCACCATTGTCTGCGCAAGCTCCAAGTGAGGATGGAGGTCATCGGTCAGCTCTTGACCATGGCCCGGGGAAGCTCCCTGGAGATCACTCGTCATCTCGTTCTCTCCGGCAAGCTCCCAATTGGCCTCATCCAAGAAGGCTGCACCGGTGCCTTTCCGGATAGGCCGGAAGAACGGTCTCAACAACACGTATGCTGTGGCCATGTGCATCAGCGGATTGACAAGCAGAGTACCCTGGTTAGGCCCACAATGGCTCATGCTCAGCCAACCCTGCCACATTCTGAACATGGAGCACGCACCAAGACCGTCATGCAAGTTATTAACAGCGTCAACACGCCCACTGGCATCCCATGGGTCATAGGATTCCCAGTTGCCGTCAAAAACAGCATCGTAAACGCCACCGCGGCCGTAACCGTCAGGCTCCCAGCGCTCGACGCTTCCGCCGTCAATGTGAGGGCCGAGCGCGAAGCTAGCATCGCCAGGCTGACGAATACGCAGTCGGTCTGCATATGTCAAGGGTTCTGTAAGGGAGATAAGAGATGATGGGGACGATGTATGCCACAACAACGACATGAGCTGCCGTTGGACGGTGAGAAGCGAAGGATGCGAGCGTGCTTTCAGCTGTGGAGCCGACCAGTACAGCTCGTATACTTGGGGGTCGTTTGGCGGGAAGGCTGCAAGATCCTTTGTTAGCGCTCCGATTTGGACCCTAACGTACGCCTAAATAGGCAAACATACCTCTTGTCCAGGGATTTGTCTTTACATAGTCTTCGACTTCGTCCTTGTAGGCTCTGGCTTCGGCCTCTGGGACCACGCCGCGCACAACGACGGCACCACGCTTCAGGATTTCGTCCTTGAGACTAGCAATGCCACTATCAAGATTTGAGAATTCTACCTGTGGAATAATGGCAGACCCTTTGCGGGCAATCAACTCGTTCTCTTCTCGTAGAGAGCGGAGCAGCCGCTTCCAGCTGTCCACTATCTGCTTCTCTCGGCCTCGGACAAGGGCACACTTGAGCTCGCGGAACCGATCAGGCAGTGGATCTCGCTTCGCACCAGATAGCGATACGAAGGCATCCGAGATGTCCCCTTCCCTCTTTGGGATTTTGGGTGCTCCGTCTGCCACTGTCGCCAGGTAGCGGCGTAGGGCAACGGACGGCGTACCCGTACGAGAGGCTGTGGAGCGAAGCATACGTGCTAAACGAGCCACGAAACACACCGTGATAATGATATAAAAGAAGAGAAAAATACTAGGAATATACACAGAGTGCACAAACGAAGCAATGAAGAGGAGAATGCAAAATGAATCAAGATTTTGTGCGCTCCGCATCATTGACTTTTTATAAGTCTGGTGATGGGAGACGGCTCACACGCGGGGATTCCCAATTGGGAAGTCCGCACTTCAGACTGGGTCCCCAAACCGCCGACGGCTTCGTTCCACAACAATCACCCTAGATGCCACTCATCCGCCTCGTATGCGCCCGAAAAGATAATATATAAATACGTTGGAAATACTGCATCGCTTCTCCCAGCACTATAGAATCCTGCGAAATACCAAACTTCCCCGCGAAACCCCCAAAGTACACCAATATCACAATGGCGCCTCAAACCATCTCCGTCTCACTGCCCAAACTAGCAAAGGTCATTGACCACTCTCTCCTCCACCCCACAATGACGGACGCCCAAGTGCGGTCTGGACTGGAGCTTTCCCGCAAGTACAACGTGGCGACCGCCTGTGTGAAACCATACTCCGTGCCACTTGCGCGCGAAGTCCTGGCGGGCTCCCAAGTTGGCATCTGCGCCGTCGTGGGCTTCCCACACGGCAACTCCGTCGCCGCGGTTAAGATTACAGAGACCCAGGATGCGCTTGCCGCTGGCGCCACGGAGATTGACATGGTAGTCAACATTGGCAAAGTCCTAAGCGGCGAGTGGGAGTATGTCGAGCATGAAATCCAGGCCATCAATCGCGTGACAGTGGCCAAGGGCGCCATCCTCAAGGTGATCTTTGAGAATGACTTCCTCGAGGACACCCACATCATCAAGCTCTGCGAAATCTGCACTCGCCAGGAAGTCGCGTTTGTCAAGACCAGCACGGGCTACGGCTTCGTCAAGCAGCCCGACGGCATGTACACTTACAAGGGTGCCACTATTCCGCACCTCAAACTCATGAGACAGCACTCTGGGCCCAATGTGCAGATCAAGGCCGCCGGCGGCGTCCGAACGCTCGACGACTTCCTGTACGTCATGAGCCTGGGTGTGACGCGAGTCGGCGCTAGCGCCACAGAAGCCATCATGAATGAGGCTGCGGCGCGAGGATTGACAGATGAGGACAAGGAATTCGAGGTGAAGGAAAAGGAAAGCACTACAAGTGGAAGTTACTAACTAGTTTCACGATGGCATTTCATAGTACAAAGCATTTAGTCAATCATTTAGTCAATTAAAGAACATCTTTGGAACGTCAAGGACATGGTTTTTTTAGTGTCACATTTCAACTATGCAAGGGACCAGTGCTAAGAGTATACACATTCAAGACGTAACATTCATCAACAGGGACGATAAAAAGAAATACGAGAGAATACAAAAAAAGAGTCCCAAGGACACCAACAGAAAAACACCGGCAAAAAAGTTACCCAATCATTGCCCGACCCATGCAGCGTTCTGCAAATAAAAACAAACTTGTACAAGAAAGACTTTCAAAGAGGTGCAGCCCGCCTACTCGCCCGTGCTGCCTGATCGACGCACACGATCCCTCAGCTCTTTATTCTCCGTCTCCAGGCCACCCAGACGCTGTCGAGCTGCCTGTCGATCCTGGTTACGGCCCTCTCGCTCCATCTTGAGCTTGTACTCCATGTCTCGCAGGCGCAACAACCATCGGTTGTCGTTGCCAGCGTTGCTACTCTCGCTGTTACTTAGCGCAACATCCGTCTGACTCTTAGTCAACGAGCCCTTGTCCTTATCGATCGGACCACGATGAATTGAGGGCGCCGGCGAGCCATTGGAGCTGAGCCGGCCAGATTCACGACCAGGTTGGGAAGCGCGAAGCCGCACGTCATTTGCTGTGCGCAACGTGGCATTCTCCACCTTGAGTTGTCTGTATGCGTCTTCGAGCCGCTGCATGCGCTGCCTCCCGTCCTGCGAAAGGGAGCCGGCAGCTGCAGTGCTGCGAACCATGATTTCGAGGCGGTCAAGCTTCTTGGTGCGCAAGTCAAGATTGCTCTCCAGAGCCTGGTACTCGCGAGTCAAGTCTCGCTCAACAGACTTGATCTTGGCTTCAAAAGAACCGAGCATCAGCTCAATGGCCTTGACAGCGGCCAGCAAGTTCTTGGAAAAGCCAGGTAGACGACTGGCAATGACTTCCAGCGAGGGTAGAACTTGCTTGTCCACCAGAGCATGGCTGTTGGCCCATTCACGACCGCACAGTGTGCTAAGTCGGCGCCAAAGGATGAGGAGCAGCTCGTTGCGCTCTGCAAGCTGGTCTCTGGCTGTCTGCTCCAACGATAGCAGCTTGCGGCGTTCCTGACCTCTCGTACTTTCCAACTCTGCAATGCGTGAGTCTTGGTTGGTTGCAGTCTTGGAAAGGTGTTGGTGAGTCTTTTGGAACGTTTCAAACTGGGTCTTGGTGGCCTTGTGTGCGCCCCGTTCCTTCTCAAGGGCATCATTCATCTTCTTGGTCTCGAGAGCATGGGACTCCAGAAGAGCATCGCGCTGCGTAATGATGCGCTCCTTCTCTGACATGGATGCCTTGGTAGAGTCGAGTTCGCGAAGAGTACTCTCAAGCTCTCTTTGCAGATTCGCGATCGATTTGAGCAAGGATGACCGTGTACCATTCAAGTCGCCCAATGCTTCTCGTAGATTGTTCTCCAACTCCATCAATCTCTCCTTCCACTCCGTCGCCTCGATTTCGCGTGCCGACAGATTCTTACGCAGTCGTTTCGCTTCATCCTTGGCGGCAGATGCCTCGCGGTTCAGTTCATTGACAAACTGTTGCACATCCTCCTTCTCCTTGGTTGCTACTAGCTCACGCTGCACACGCTCACCCTGTAGACGATCGTCAAGTTCTCGGACCCGCTCCTTTTCGTCTCGCAACGACTGTTCTGTATTGGCAATAGCCGCCTCCAGCTCGCCGATGCGAACTTTGTCAGACTCTTGCTCATCACGTAGGAAGCTGACTTCGGACTGTGATGACTCGAGTTGAATATTGAGACGCTTGTTCTTATCATTCGCCTCTGTAAGCTTGCGTTCGGCATCCTCTACCTCCTTGTTAGAAACGTCAAGCTCTTGCTCCCGCTGGACTATAAGTCGTTCATTGTAGGCCTTGGCATCCTCCAATCGCACTACTGACTCGCTCATCTTGCGCATCTCGCCTTGTAGCGCCTGCATGTCCTCATCCCGAATCGCAAGGTCTGTTTCTAGCTGTTGGATAGTCTCATCCTTGTGATCGAATTCAAGCTGCACGACTTCAAAGTCGTTATCGGCCTCGCGCTCTATACGCTGCACCTCAAGTTCCATGTCGTGTAGTTCCCGTAAAGCTTCTTCATGCTCAAGCTGAAGCTGTTCAGCCTTTGCTCTGAGATCCTGAAGTTCTTCCTGGACATCCGTAAAGGCATCTTCGGCGACCTGTTTGCCATGAGCCATGGAGTCATACTCGGCAGCAAAGTGGTCAAACTCTCGCTGCATTTCTTGCTTCTCCAACGTGATTTCATTGATCTTGTCACGCAATTCAGCGACTTTGTTCTCTAGCTCTTCACGGTCGTTATCGTCGAAAACAGGTACGCCGCCTGCGCCGCTGCGAGTGGGTGACATGTCACGGACACCGGCTCTTGATGCCGATCGCTCCAGGATGCTATCCGTCGTCGTCGACATGGCGCCATCGCCACGACGCATCTTGAGCTCTTCAATCTGTTCGCTTAGGTGCTCCTTCTCGCGGTGTCTTGAGGCTAGCATAGAGACTTGCGCGCTATTCTCACGGCGCAAGTCGCTGTTTTCGCGGCGGAGGTGTTCGGCTTCGCGCCTAAGCTCATCAACAAGCGTGTTGGCAGCACTGAAGTTGGCATGAGAGCCATCTCCAGAGACGCGCGATGACGAGCGGCTACCGGGACCACTCTTTTCACGCTGCTTTCTGATATTAAAGATGTTGGTAGTGTGTGGCGTAGATGTCTGGAGACCGGCAAGCTCCTTCTTGAGCTGAAATACTTCTTCGCGGAGCAAATCATTTGAATGTTCGGCTGCGCTACGGAATCTCTCTTCCTGCTGGAGTAGCTCATTCAATGTGTCAACATCGACGTCGCGCTGCGTATGCTCGCCTGCTCGTTCACTTAGCGACTTGACAATATCTGTCAAGCTTCTCTTTTCAGATTCGCGCGCTAAGCTCTCACTTCGCAGGCGTTCCACCTCGATTGCATATTCCTCGACTCGTTCGCGGAGAAAGAGTAATTCTTGCTCCCGCTCGTATGCCTCTTCCTCGGACATCTTGACGGTGTGGCCTCCGGACGAGGTTGCGCTCTGTGATGTGTTTGGCCTTTCCTCATCGTCTTTGATCTTCTTTTCGAGCTCCTTGACGCGCTTGCGTAGCATCTTGTTGTCTCGTTGTAGGACTGCCAAGTTGGTCTTCAATTCCACGTTCTCGGAAATCATTTCCTTGATGCCCTCTTCCGAAAGCTTGTCTAGGCGATCGCTGAGGAACATGACTTTGAGCTTTAGGTCAAAGTTCTCCTTGGACAGGCGCTCAATAGTGCTGCTCTGCTCTTTGAGTGTCAGGTTCTTGCCGGCTCTTGATGTAGTACCAGCTGAGCTAAGGCTCGCTGGCTTGTACGGTGTCTCGAGATTGTTCTTGAATTTGAACTCTTTTGCCATGGATTCTGGAACATGGACATTCTTGACATGTTGAGCGATGACAGTATCTGTGGGTGCATTGAGGTTATCCCGGGACGGTTTCGGTGTTTTTAATAGATCCTCGGTAGAACGACCGCGCGACGGGCTCTCAACTTCTCGGACAGTTCCAAGATGGCGACCGTTATTATCGGCATAGTCATCAATACCCAAGCCTGACGCCATGCTTCCAATACTGATGGATCTAGGCATGGGGTTGCTGACCTGTCGAGAAGCGCCAAAAGAGGGCATAGCGCCGCCTGTTTGTAAAGCAAAGTCAACATCGAAGCTAGCGGTTGCATCACTGCCTTCTTGTGATTCCGGGTTGGTAATGAAGGACGACGTGGAAGAGCGCTGGCTGGCAAAGCGACTGCGGACATATTTTGGTCGGCGGGTTCGAAGACCGAATCCTGGCGTGTTTCCAGCGTCCAGCATATCGGATTGGGCATTGGATGAGCCAAGCCGACCATCGAAGCTTCCGCCATTGGAGACGAAGGAATCGCCCTGCGTATCGACGCCTGTCTCATCGTACTGGGTCGTGTTGCGCGCAGCAGTGCTTGCCATACTAACGGCTCGAGAAATAGTTCTAGCAGCGGCAGCCGCAGTAGGCGACGAGTCTAGATTTTCGAGGTTGGATATTGTCTGACTAGCCAGGGTCGTATCGGCATCGGAGCTCTGTTTGGGGTCTGTTTTTTGCGGGGAGTCAAACAAGAAGGTATCATCGGCGCCAGGGTTTGGGCCCGTGGTTCCCGTCGGTATAGGAGAGAGTGTGGGGAGAAAGCTGGACTCGACATCTTGAAAGTGCTGGCGAACAGCTTCTTCGGAAATAGTTTGGTCGACAAAGGTGCTGGTATCGATGTGCGGCATATCGAGCAGGCTATCGTCGGCAGGGTGATGAGAAGCGCCAGCATGGCTCAACGGAGCTGCATGAATGGCACCTTCGTTGGCAGCGCTAGTTGGCGCCTGCTGTTTGCGAGGCGAAGACTGAGTCGGTGGATTCATTGGGAAGATGGGCTCTGCTGTCGCATTCTCTTTATCTGATCGAAGGTTTAAAGGACTGAAGGCGTGTTTGCTTTGGAGCGTGTCATTCGAATCGGCCATTCTGCATCTTGTAAATGTTTGTAGCACGGTCGATCGGTAGCTTCAATGATAAAAGGGGACCTTGTGATTCTTTAGACAAGGCAAAAACACGCTACAGGAGTGTGGTGGCGATTGTTTCGTTGCCGAGGCGGGACGCGGCGCGTGTGTTTTGAGGTTCGTAAATAGGGAGATCGAGATCGGCAATGCAAGGTGCTGTTAAGAGGAGTAGATGTTGTAAAGGAAAGAGATGTGATAAAAGGAGAAGGAAGAATAGTAGAAGAAGAAAAGAAGAGAAAAAAAAAAGATGCGGGGAAAGAAAACAGAAAAAATGAAGTTGGGCAAAAATGCAGCAGTCGCAGTAATGGTGATGGTGGTGTTGGAGTCTCGAAGCGCGGAACAAACCACGCGGCGTCAGGGGATGCCCGTTTTTTTTCCGGTGCTGCCCAACCACGAGCCCATCGCAGCGCAACCGCTAGGTTCGATTTAGCGGACGCTGTGGGGGTTGTGCTTACAGGGGACCACAGGCGCTGTCCGTTGTTGCGTTAACTGGGCACCCACCAGAAAATATTGGGTTGCCCCTTGCAGTGGCTAGGCTACGTTGGGCTTAGTGCACAATTTGGGATGTTTGCTTCTTAGGCTAACTTACTACAGTATCAAAGCAATAGAATAGACATAGAGAAATTAGGTATAAGTTGAAGGTTGCATTTTATGCATCCGCATCGCTATCTCTGAGTTTAAGAAGCATACTGAAAATATTAATATATAAGAATATAAAGATACAAGTATCTGCATATATACACATGCACAAAACTGCATGCGCGCATAGTATATGCAACTGTGCTCGACGGCAAGGCTGCCACAGATGATGGCGATATGGCCGATCTCAACGTCAAAAAGATCAAGCCTGACCAATCCATCAGCCGCAAGCTGAAGCCCCACGCGGACAAGAAATAAAGAATCACATTCTTCCCACCAAAATCTCACATTTGCGTTGGTGTGTCCACCTAGCGTCTCCTCTCTGCCGAGGCGGACAAGGGGGTACGGGCACTCCCATATTAGACAGGGCGATAGAGTAAAGACTGTATTTAGGGAGGCTTATTTCACCGATGGCGGTCTTACTGATATCTTGAAGGATAGCGAGGCCAAAGATATTGTTACGTAGGGAGCTGAAGCCGGATATTACGATGAAATAGCAGACATAGTAAAAACGCGAGCATGAATTAATGTCAACCTTTGCTACAACAATGCGTCCTGGATTAATGTAGAAGACTGTGCGATTCGCTGGTTGATTGCTTTCTTCGGGTCAATTATACAGAGACGATCAAATTAAAAAGTGTCTATACATGGCGATGTTGGCAGCCCTGCGACAATGACTATATATAAATTGTGTTAACATTTCCCTCACAACCTCGCGATAAAACATGTCAAATGCAGCCACAACCCTTCATTTAGGCGTGTCTGGTACAGTCCACTCAATGCCTAATGTGTGGCTTGGTCTCCTGAGCTCGGCGCTCGGCGCTCACACCTTATGCGTGGATATCCATGATGCATTGTCAACTCCGCACAATGTAGTGACACTATAATGCCAGATAAACTGCTCCCATTTTAAACCCCCGGTATATAACTTCTACAAGCCAAGCCTGCAAAACAACTTTCCTGTGGCTTCAGCCAAGTACATGTATGCATCACTCCATGCTCTCCTTGAGGATTTCTATGAGCACGTGCAACTGCCGATGTAGATAAAGCCTTGTCATCCCAAAATTCAAGCTTATAGTAACCGATTCCCACTAAATACTGGACAGGTTTAGCTCCCACAGCGTTGGACGACAGCCACACAACCTCCCGCATCGTTGACTGGCTCAGCTGAGGGCCAGCTGAACTATCCCCTGCATGCACCATGCCTTCAGCTCTCCATATTTGGTGTTTTAGGCGCTATTCTGGCTGTTATTGCCGGCATGGTTACGGGCCGACGCGCTCGCCTGGTGAGCCTCACAGCCATTGTCGCTCTTTGTCCAACATTGTGTGTCTGGTGCTCAACATCTCTACACGCCGCTGGTCGTTTGCGCTTTTAACTCGACGATAGAGGGTGATATATCTCTTCAACTTTCAGTCAACAGCTTTGATGACCTGCTAGCTTCTTCAACCCCGTTCAAGGTCGGTTTTCCTGCCCGCACAGGTCTAAATGTGGGCAAGGGCAAGGCGAATGAACGGACTGCAGATCCCTTAGTGGCGTATCTTGGTTTAATTGGCCTTAGGAAGGAGGCAGTAGAGTTTTGTAACACTTATCTAGCCACCAGCGGTTAAAGCCCTTCCAGTTAACGGGGTACTTCAGTGGTATAATATACCAGCCCACACCCTCTCCCGGCTACACACCGATTGTCCATTGCTTGTAGGAAGATTGGCATATGATGCGTCAAAAGTTTTCTCTTTCTGCGCTGATTGCGCTTGTTTTCTTCGCCAGCACAGCTTCCTGTGCCACTGCCAGCTTTACGTCGATAATTCCACGATCAGCTCATTCATGCATCTACTCATGCGCTTGGTCCAACTATCAGAGTGACCACGTAGGAGCGGTTCTTGGTTGTGGTCAGCCATTTGAGAATGAGTGCTACTGCCCAACTGCCACTGCGTCGGTCAGCAAGGCTGGTATTGCTCTTCAGAAATGTGCCTCATCCCGATGCGCATCGGGCGACTACACTCGCGACCTCGCCTCCATGAAGAGCCTCTACGCAGGCTATTGCAAAGATGCCGGTTATTCGCAAGATGCAGCAGCCCTTGGATATTCTGCTGCTCCTACAAACCCAACTCCGAGTGTTTCTGACGACGGTGCTTCGTCTACTCCCCCCTCTGCAGGGCAAAAGTCCGACTCCGGCTCGCAACCCTCGAAAACCGCAGGCAACGCAGGCGCCTCCACCACTACACTAAAGACACTGATAACGCAAACAAAGACGGGTGGCGCTGATGGTTCCAGCACTCAAGGTATGTTGCTGTTCCTCAGCTTGGCTGCGTCAATGCTGCTTCTGTAGGCACAGGTTGTTACCCCCCTTTCCGCAACCTGCATGGAGAACTCCATTACTAATGTTTTATGGTATTAGTTGTCGTATTCGAGACGGAGGTAGTCATTGTCACCACTGGGGACGACAATACTGCAAGCGGAACATCAAATGCAGTCAAAATTGGTGTCGGTGTTGCTGTCCCAGTCGTTGTCCTTCTGCTGGCTGGACTCGGACTTTTCTTCTGGAGAAAGAAGAAAGCTGCTCGCCGGACGGATGAAGATGCTCCTGCAGTTTCGAACGAAGAACATCGTCAGAATCCTGCCATTTTTGAGAAGAACCATGGTATCAGCTCGATTGTGAAGGCGGACAAAGCGGATGAATTGCGCAAAGAGGCGGAACTGGAGAGTCGTCGCGAGACACCTACGAATCGACCACACGAAGTTCCTGGCGGTTATAATAGAGCTCATGAAGTACAAGGCAGTAAGTACAATAGAGCCAATGAAATACATGGTGGCTACAACGCTGGACTTCACGAGGCTCACGGTCACCATACGAGACCGGAGCTGCCAGGCTAGATTTGGTAGTTGACTGAATGCCAAGTAATTTTCAATCGTAAGACCCGTGCGTACGCTGAGGGATGGAGTGACATATCTAGTGCGACAGTTCCCCTGATCATATGTCTGATCTTGGACGAATACCGACAGCACTGGAAGGTGTCTGTAACGAATGGATGCTTCACAAATGTTATTAAAAGGTTCCTTTATTCATAAGCTTGAAGGGTATAATATTATTGATATAAACTGGAGTCTGCAATAAGCAACAAGCAAGAGGTTACCTCATTGGGCTAGCCTGCGAGCTCGGCTCTGCTGTTTTCATGCGGTGTTGGTTTTGTTTACAGAAAGCATTGCTTAGTTGGAGAACTTCTCGGGAACCTTCTTGCTATTATTGCGAAAATGATTTTGTTAGTCCACAGTTGATGAAGTTGGCCCTTGTTTGTGTGTACTCACCCAGTGGCCTTCTCGAACATGGCTCGGCCCTGGTCGGTGATCTTCTCCTCAGTGTCACGGTCAATGGTGTGACCAGACTTCTTGGCGACAAAGTCAAAGGCTAGGCAACGATATTAGTACGGTACCCTTTACGAAATAGCCATCATCATGAGGAGTACATACCCTTGTCAACGTAGTCCTGCTGGCCAGCGCCGCCCTGGGCAGGAGGAGCCTGGCCCTCGGCGGGAGGGGCACCACCTTCACCACCCTCAGTCTGGGGAGGGGGGTTAGTGTTGGTGTTCTTGTTGGTGTTCTCCTGAACAGCGCTGACGGCCTTCTTGACGAAATCCATGGTGATAGTTTGTGTGGGAGGGGGTATGTAAAAGACGAAAGATGTGGAGTAATAGTGGTATTGTAGATGAAGAGGTTGAGACGATACGCTCTGCGTGCTTTGAGGGACTTTGGCGTCTTTTATAACCCCTCACATAAGACTAGACTTTTAGCCAGAAAGCTCGCCGACGCAGCCTTTTGCGGGGTTCCTTACGCAGCCGTGAGCCGCATGCGAAGCTACTAGCTCGTACCATTTCGTCATGGCGTGCGGGTTACCTCTTCCCGCAGGTATCGGAGGATCCACATGAGCTCTTGGTTCGGGGTGGCGTTGCGTCGAGATTCCCCGTCGACCACTCAAATGCAAGACAGGGCTCCAGATGGGTTCCATCGCTAATGCACGGCGGCCTCTGGTGGTGTCCAGAGTACCTGAATGGCAGCCAGGATAGAAGGACCCTGCTGCTGGATTCTTCGGTCGGCTTCGTTTGCAAACAGCAACTGAAGTGCGTGATTGTGAGAGCTTCGGATCATCGATCGCCCATCAATTCCTGAACCTATCCACTTTTATGCCGTCAATTGTCGTCATTGCCAGACAAAAGAGTGGATGGTCTGTGGACTCACCTGGAATATTCTACTTCCAACTATTCCTGCTCTATTTTTTAGACTTTCGCTACATCATCGCTTGCTCATTCTATGTCTCGGCGCGTTTTGGTAGAAATCCAGAAGAGCGGGGTTGCCGGTTCATGGTGGGGGACTCTACAGCTGGACAAGGGTCTGCCAGGTGGCGCAGGTGCCGCGATAGCGACCACTGCAGCTGAGTGCGCAGTGGCTCACTGTTTAACATAGTCTTCTACTAAATTATTACGGTACATTAGAACATGTGGAGTAAGTTAAGAATATGCCTGATCCCAAAAGCGGCCGTTGTAAAAACACTTCAATTTCCAACGTTGAAGCAACGTTCTTCACGGCAGCTTATTAGCCAGTGGTACCCCGCCTATACCCAAATGCTCTTGCGAGCGTAACGGAGCACATACAGAATACGCGACGAGTATTTCGATACATATACATTCATATTAAAAATTACTATTCTTACATTCATTATCCAAAAACACGCTATCATGACTGAACAAACACGCGGTACGACATGACCATTACCCACACAAAGAAAAGTGCGCCCGTCAGCGCCATAGAAAAGACCAAATACCACGATTGACCTGTTCCTCAAAGTTAGCGACTGCAATTCAGCGATCCAGATACAAGAACCATAAACTTACATATGCTCTTCTGTTGAAGCCAAGCTAGAGTCTCCATCGTCGCCCCTGTCGGGTTCTGGTTAAAGACTTGCAATTGGCAATTACCTGCCACCGATCCAGTTGGGCCCCAGAGCTCGACAGCAGTTGAGATCAATCCAACCATCCACAAAATAAATAATAGAAATGATCCAATCATAACTATGGCGGGTAGTAATCGTCGATTCGCAATCAGCCATATCATGGTGGCAACAAAAACAATAACGAGCGCTGCGACGGTGATGAAGTACGGAAAGTACCTAGCCACGCATTAGCAAGATCAGCCAATAACCAAAACTCAAGTTCAATGATGTAGACTCACCAGGGAATCGGCAGGTACAACTGGGTTTGTATTTGTATAAATGTTGAAAAGACACCAACAATGCTTGTCGAGGCGAGAAGCATGACGAAGATCCAAAAGTTGAGCTGCAGTGGCGGCCAATTGTATGTGCGAACATGGCTAATAACGTGTTCTTCGTATACTACTGAGCTCCCGCTCAGTGTCGAGCTGCCTATGGTTCTTGTGCCCATGGTACGTGCCATGACTGTGGCCTTGGTTGTTTAGTCGTCGTCGTCTCGTTTGGTCGCTGTCGGATCGCTGTAGTCGTGGGGTATCTGCGGTCGCAAGGGCTGCGCTATTGACAGTAACTGGAATTATGCGCGCCGTGAGGTTTAAAAAAACATATGGCGATATTCGAATGAAGATCTCGACAGGTATGGTAATTTTTTTTTGTTAAAAGGACAATGCCATTGTAGAGTTCAAAATGCAGTGTTGATGCATCACGGACTGCAATGTATTGAGGTGGCTGGGTGCAACCAGCCACACCAAAATCTGCCGACTGAGCAGGGGTCTAGAGATTCAGCCTGACAGGATCTGCAGCATACAGCATGTGTCAATATCGCAGAAAACTGTCTGTATAATCAACAGATAAATATATTACTTGAATCCATTATCGAGGGAAATGGGTTTGCTGCTAATGAATAGTCTTTAACTTCCCAAAGCTAGTAACATAGGCTGCAGGAGCTAAAAAGCCAGCACTGCTCAGGCCAAAGAAGAGCGGCACAACAATCGGCTTAACATAAGTAACCACTCTGAAGCCGCTAATCTCCAATAGATATAGCCAAGTGCAAATACTTATCAAGTTTTTGGTCGAAAGCAGTGCATGTTGGCGAGCCCATTACAGTTCTCGAGAATGTCGAAATACAGTTGGCAGGTGGCCGTCGAGCAGTAAACGTGCTCCGAGTAGGGAGGCAACGAACACGCAGGGCGGTACACTAAGTGACAAGGACGTGGATAACGGCCGCACTCCCCAGTGCAGGCAGATAGTGGACTGCAGAACAGATGATGACAATACAATGTATCGAGGTGTTCTCGAGGCGCCGATGGCAGCGAGGAAAACAGCCTGTGTAAGAGTTAGTCGGTTAAAAGTTAGATCCTCGCAAAGACAGAAAGTGGGGAACATTTTAGAACTAACCTCAAAGGCAGCATGGCATATGGGAATCAAGCTTGACCATGTTGAAGGTACAATTGCTGACAGGACGAGCCCAAAGCCTGCTGTCCCTGTAGTTAAAAATAGAGCTCGATGCCAAGATACATCGATACAGGCTATAATCGCACTGTATTGTTGTATTGTTCCTTCATGACAAGCTGCATTGGCAATTGGTAAAGGCTCCTCGCATTTGTCGAGAAGCTTGCCGAAACCAAAGTAGACGGCTGTCCCAAGTAGCAAGGCAACGAGACGGGATGATACGTAAGTGCTACCACCAGACCTCCAAAACCAAACATACAAAGCTGCTATCGATGCCAAAAACATCATACGCAGGCTTACTGCGTAATGGAAGCGATTGATCAGAGCACGGATGAAGTTGAAGACGATGGCAAACGCGTCAAGAGACGCCATTGTTCCCAACGCGAACCAAACATCGACAGACATGAGCATAGCCATGCTATTGGAGCGATACCCAATATCACGTACTGTGGTAATATTTCCCGGCAATGTAGTGTTGGTGGATTTGGGTGAGGTGATAGGCTGGTTACGATCCTTGGAAACGTAGTTCGCTATCCCGAGCCATGTTATGAACGATATCGCGCTGACGAGTTGTAGCAGCCAAAATATGACAACACGGCCATCTTTCAGATTGGGTATGCTCAATAATTCGAGGATCTCGGGGTCTTTTGAGTGACTGGAAGAAGAAGAAAGCCTCAAGGTAGGGACTATTCGCAATAGTTTAGTTACAGAAACGTACATTACGGGAGTGCTATACGTACAGGCAGGACCCGCTCGCTTAATAGCCAGCCTAGTTTGAGTATTTGACTTCATGGCTTAGCCCTTTCCTTTTTCTTCGAAACAATAGTGAGCGCTACCAAGTACCCGGGGCTGCTCTTATTACTTTATAGATATCATACTGTATTATCAGTAAAACTTAATCACATTGGTATGCAGCTATACAAGGTGAGTTCATCCGACCATGGATTGTAAATTCCTGTACGGCACATCGGAATTGTCGGTGAACTCTCGGTAAATACTTTAAACACAAAGTTCGGCTGTCGGCCGTCTTTGACCCCCATGTTATGTGTGGAATACACTAGGATATGGTTGTTACGAACGAAACAGGCCGGCGGCTACGGCCGCCTAAGATGACATGCAGCTGTCCCAAATAGGCAGTCACGTCACGTGACAGCTCAGTGGGGAACAGCTGCAGCTACTGAGCACAACTGAGCACTGGAGAGATGGACTGGCATATAAGTAGATAGCTAGATAGCTCTAGGATAGTTCAGATCTTCAGTGATCAATCTAAGCAATTACTTGTTAATTGAGGATAACTCCTTAACGACCGCTTAACCCAACCTTTGTTACTACTGCTCTTGGACTTAGTCCACTTACATCGCAACTGTTCTACTAGGATAGACCCCTGCGTAGTGCAAGCCACTTCGTTACAACACGACGCAGCGAGACAGGGGGCAGCAAGACAGGGCACAGCCGCGGCACTTGTAACCAGTATAGGTCCTTAAACCGGAGAGATACATATTAAATACTATTTATTTATATCGGATGGAATTCTCACTCCTATCACGAGCGCGGCATCTCTCTTAAGGGAGGCTGACCGAACAAGCGGCCTTCACGGCTCTTGTATAAAGCCCTAACCCTACAGACTAGTTGCAACATCGACGTAGACGCTAATAGAGCTTTTTACCAATACATAATGACTAGTAGTTACCATAGGAGATAGAGTTCGATTGTGATTTTAGAACACTGTGAACTTGCATAGCAATTCAGAAAATAAGGGGGGTGGCTGTACACAGTAAGAATCTAAACGGACCAAATAGGAGCGGAGCCGCGTTTGCGCTTATTAGCGAATCAAATCTTCGAACCTGCGTGGTAGGTCACATTGACTGTAAAATATAAAATCAAATAGAATAGACTACTAATATTTCATGCCCTATCGCTTTCTAATAATAACATTTTCTGGCTCAGATTTAGATGTTACTGGTCTGTTTACCTGCTCTGTTTCTACACATCCATGCTTGCACCACTAGCTGCGTCACCCTAGCACCTGCCATGAATCAGAGATTACCAAGTAGTATATTCTTTTTGAAATGTGAAATAATCAGAAATAATAGCATTAGGATTTTTTTTGTTTTAAGAAATTGTTTAAATAGCGAATATACACATTAATATATGAAGTATGTTCCTCTGGTCGCCCAACAGGTTATGAGAACAGAGTTGACATCCGGCTGAGCTTACGGTATTAACGTTGCAAAGATGACAAAAAAGGTACAGTACAAGAAATGGCAAAAGGAATTTAATCCAACCCCAGTCTAAACCCAAACAGAGTTTAGCTAGCTTATGCGATATCCATAGTTATTCAAAGAACTGCAATTCTGCTCTAGGGTATCTCTACTACTGGCCGTCGCCCGCTTGGCCCTAATGATAGCGGTATGTTCGCTTTTTATCTTCTTCTTCTAAATGAAACTTCTACGTTTTTCTTTTCATTTCCACAACCTTCGCATTTTAATATGTGAGCGCTTCACCGGTCGCGCCCAGCCTGAAATAGACGCCCGCTCGACCGCAGCAACTGAACGCCACAAGCAAACATCATACAGAGAAAAGTTTTTGGCCACGAAAACGATTGGACATAAACCCAGCTTCTCTAAACTCTGACGCCACAGAATGATGCGGCCGTGCTTCTATTGGATTCAGCCTCGCAATGGCTGCCACACCTCGTCTATACCCTAGTACGCCTGGACAAGGACCGTTTCTGTTTCCCTTGTCTCCTTTGCCCCTTTCCTCGTCACCAGCGTCCAGTTCTGGACGTTGACGACTATCCTGTAGAGATAGATGCTAGTATTAGGGGCTGCTGTTTATGTTTTCTATTTAGAAGCCAGGTACCCGGCCTCTTACACCATATGCGTGATTTCTTGCGAGAACCAACAAGAGCTCTCCAATAACAGAACGACGTCTTTTACTTTCATCAACAGCAATAATGGCTCTGAATGAACAACGTTTGACAAATACCCAGGGAAAACCAGACGATCTGTCTGTATGTTACGGTCAGTTCACTAGTGGCCTTCTGAAGAGGCTACCCTCCCAAGCCCAGAGAATACGGGATTTCAAAAATTATAAGAAGAGGAAATTTGACGAAGTTGATGGAGAATGTCCCTCTGAAGAAGCAGCCCAGATGACAATGCTATCAAATGAGCTCACAGCAAGGGCCGCGGCTATAGAACTGGCCAAACATCAATCAAACGAGAAGTTTATAAAGCTTGTCCACGCAATGTATAAATTCGAAGACCAGATGATGCATTACGCTATAACCGAAAAGTTCAAACTTCCAGCTTGGCTAAGGCAACGCTACGGTCGACGTATGGTACATTTTCGTCTACCATCGCAGGCAAATGCCAGCCTCCGTCCGAAGCACTCGAATCAGCGGGACGTACAAGCCACTGACACTGAAGCGGAAAATGAGCATCAAGGCAATGTTACGAACATGCCTGACGCCACCGAAGCATCTAATGTAAGTAATCTCGACTGACACTGGGAGTACCTCCTAGTGCACTTATGCATAGGTTTGACTGTAACGATATAAGTTATACTAACAGTACAGTAGCGCGAAGCTAGGAGGGAAGATGAAGTAGGAGAGGAAGAGGAGGGCATAGTTTATGCCTGCAGGAACAGGCGATCTAGAGTACCAAGAGTGGTTACCTCACCGCCGCCTAGTCCACGCGAGTCGCCTTCGCCACCAGAGCATCCTCTATCTATAACGCATCAGGGAACCACTACATTTGAAGAGATATTCAACAATGGTCTGACGCAGCGGGAAATCATTGAATTTCCCAAAGGTATGAACATGAGATATGTTCTGTACTGCAAACAATGCAAGTATGAGTGCAGTCGTAAGCTTACTGCAGATTTCAAGCCTACGGATTGCATGCGCAGCGCCATTGCGCACATGCGCCCACATAAATTACCTGTTCCTCGAAGGTTGACTGATTGGCAATGCAAGCAGTACGACATCACTAATATGCAGGTCCATATCGTTGAGACCATGGGCATCTTGGTACTACATTGCACAGAGGCTGAACAGGACCGAAATAACGAATTCTTCTACCGGCGAGCTATGGCCTATGAGCTGAGCGGGATGGTTCGGCCGGAAAATAATGGCCAGACACCTAACCGACCTTCCTCACGCAGAGGTAGTAAGTCATACAGCGCTTTCATATTATACTGCGCAAAAGAGGAGTACTAACCTCTCATATCATTTAGACCATGTTGAAGACTCTGAGTTTGATGATGATGAGGATATGCCCATGGCCATCGAAGGTGATGAAGAGTCTGATAGGGAACCGGCTAATCATACTCGCACCGCCCATGTGGAATCAGAGCCGGCCGAATGTATCTCTGGTCATGTCTTGAATGCGAACCTGGTAATGGAAGAGATCAAGATTCCAGAGAGTACTTCTACGGCATCTACTACTCAGGCAGGTGCAACCGCATCTGCAGCAGTACCAGCCTCACTCTCAGCATCAGCATCAGCATCAGCATCAGTACCTAAAGCAACACCTGCAGCTGCATCTGCACCTGCACCTGCACCTACGCGTGTACCTGCATCTACGCCTGCAGCCACACCCACATCTGCCCCAAGACAAGTACCGGGGCCAGCATCAGTCCCTAGGTATATGCCATCAATGGCATCTAAACCTGTGGTATCTCATGCGTCTTCACCAAAGCACACACCCATGCTATCGTCGAAAGAGCGTGAGATAATTCGTCGCGTAGCGCCCCAGGGGAGCCAGCCTCAAAAACCACCATATATTGTACCTATGAGGCAACTTACAGATCAGAGAGCCCACCTTAGCCCTGGAAGCGGCTCTAGGTACATCTATAACCCTACAGCATCATCGTCGTCTACATCTATGGCAAATCGCCCATCGCCAGTCTATGCCCATATGGGCGGCACACCGAGCCCTGCGCCCACTGGACTCTGAGATGCTGTCGTGAATATAGTCTTGGTTAGGACGTCGAATCAGCTTCCTTTGTCAATTTCCTTTTCCTTAGTTACTTGTTCTATCTCTCGCCTTTCCTATTTGCTTCGTTATTGTCTTGATTTGGATTTTGAGTGTAGGGTTCGCAGTCGAGGTTCATTGAAAGCTACTTGTACACGGCTGTTACGCTTTCAATATGGTATATCACAAGTTTGCACAGACTATTTTGTAATGTTTGGTTATATTTCCTAAATTCTACTTTTGGTATTTACGTTCATGGCATTCCCGTGAGAGAATGCGTGGTGGTGATGTCACAGACTTGTGGTTCCTCTTCGCAAGTCGAACGTAGCAGGGGTCATTATCGTTTGCTTTTTTATAATATCGTTCCAATCGTAATTTACAGGAGAGTCTCGCCGAGAGCGCAGCGGACAATGGAGCAGCCGGCACGGACGGTCTCCTGGGCGCCAGCCTCGGTGGCAGCAAGAGCAGGGTTAACCTCGACAAGGTCGACGGCAATCAGGTTGCCGGTCTGGTGGATGCACTCGCAGATGTAGTCACCCTCGCGGAGAGTAAGACCGCCGCGGACGGGGGTACCGGTGCTGGGAGCCCAGGTAGGGTCGAGGGCGTCAATGTCGAAGGACAGGTGGATGGGGGTGTCGGCGCCAATGTGAGCAAGAGCCATCTCCATGACACGGCCAATGCCGTAGCGGTCAACATCGAACATGCTGAAGGCCTTGACGCCGTGCTCGCGGAGGATCTTCTTCTCGCCGACATCGACGTCACGGAGACCAATGTAGACAAGCTTCTTGATGTTGAGCTGGTGCTCCTCCTTGACCCAGCCGAAGGCGTCGTCGCTGTCGCCCTTTGCAAGGCCAGTCAGGAAGGCAACGGGCATGCCGTGGATGTTGCCGCTGTCGCTGGACTCGGGGGTGTTGATGTCGGCGTGGGCATCGACCCAGATGACGGCAATCTCGCGGCCGAGGCGCTCGCGGGTGGCCTTGGCGGTACCGGAGATGGTGCCGATGGCAATGGAGTGATCACCACCGAGGGTGAGGGTGAGGCGGCCGGCAACGGACTGTTCGTAGGTCTTCTGGGAGATGGCCTTGTTGACGGCAGAGACGGTGCGGGGATTCTTCATGCCGCGGTGGTCGGCATCGTTGGCGACAGCAAGGTCCTTGTAGTACTGGACCTCGGAATCACCGTGCAGCTTGTAGCCAAGCTCAGTGTTGATCTGGCCGAGGAGACCAGACTGGATGAGGGCCTGGGGGCCGTTGTCGACACCGGCCTTGGGCTAATAACGAAATCAAGGTTAGCATTGATTACAGGACAAATGGTTGAGGAACGCGTACCTGGCCACCGGAGAAGCCAACAGCAACAACACCAAGCTCCTGGGGGTTGGAGAGGAAGCGGCTGGTAACGATTTCGTGGTTCATGATGGGCGTAGAGAGGAACAAGGGTATCTTTTGGATGCAGGAGGAAAGAGAAAAAGAAAGGGAAGCTTGTAGGAAAGAGAATAAAGTAGATGGATAAGATTTCAGGAAGAGGAACGTGGGGTGGGTTGGGGAGCGAGCGCAAGACTATTTAGAGTTTTTCCTTTTTTGCTATTTTTTCGTAGTAGCAGCTTCTACTCGGGATCCACGGGAGAGCGCTTGATGGCGGCAATGCCAAGGCTGGCCGAAAAGGCAGGAAGAAAAAACTTTTGGTTCACACGGGCAGTTTCAGCCCATAAAAAATACATTAAACTATGCCTCTAAAGTTGACCACTGCGAGGTGAATGGGCGCTTTTGTGGTGGGCTCCTCTGACGCAATGGCCCAGCCTAGCCGTTAAAGGGTCGACCGTCCGGGCTATGGAGTTGCCTATAAAGGGTTTAGTCGGGACGCTGCTTTAGCACATGGTTCCCCCAGCTGAGGGAGACAGAAATGTGTGTTTGTGAATCAAATTATTCCCATTGTCAATAGCGAGTGACTTGGCTAGTTGTAATAGCCGTAATACTGGACGTTCTTATTCAATTGCGTCGAGTTAAATCCCTGGTTGCTCGAATCTCCACAAACCCTGTACTTTGATATGTGCGAACCGCCGCGTGGTTGTCCCTAGGCGTCGCTACCATCGCGCTAGAAGCCCCCATCTTGTGTAGATGCTCCGCCGCTGCATACGTGAGCGCCTTGCCGATGCCATGGCCTTGGTGCACTGCACTGACGCCTAATGGTTCCAATAAACCAGGCCGTCCTGGGCCAGCAGACCAGACTGTGGTCACGCCGACAGGTATAGGTTCGGTAGAGACGTCGGTTTTGTACGCCAGCAGACAGCGTGCTGTCTTGTACGCGGCGGTAGATGCCATAGTATGCCACTTTTCCACGCTAAATGTTGACGTAGGAAAGGCAAGTTTTTGGATCTGAACTCTCTGAGAGATCTGCTCCTCTGTGGTTACAATCTGAAATGACAGCTCGATGTTTGTATTCACTGGCGTGCCAGTTATTCCGTCTCTTCTCAACCATACCCATTCCTTTCCTTCGGTCCAGCCTTCTGATCCTACCAGTTTTTCGTGCAATAGAGCGTCCGGTGCAATGTCGACTGATATGTCACCCTCAGGCAAAACACCCTTTGCTGGATCTGTGATATCTGCTGCCATTGCCTCTGCGAGCGACTCATCGTGCCTGGCGGATGGCGCAGTAGTTACTCGCAACAGGTTCTTGAGATCAAGTAGGCCAATGGCCAATATTGTACCGTCTTCAGTAGACCAGCAGCGGAGACAAGACGCTGTTTTGTCGGGTCCATCTCGCAGGTGCCAGCCAATGTCTCCAGGGTGTAGATTGTGAATGGTGGCGTCGGATTGCCACGCAGCGAGTACCCCCACGACGGTATCTACTGCATCCGCTGGCGGGGTTGAGAGGGAAATCTGCATGGCTACTGATAATTGAAAATGGCCAAACCTTGGGCCTCTTGCCTTCTTGTACGCAGGATACAGAAGAAAATACCCTCCCTTTATATCGGCAGCCTTCTCTTCAGCTGAGCGGCGTGACTCAAAGACAGAGGCAAACAAGTGTCGTCTAACGCGCGATACAATAGGCTTCCCCATGCCACTAGAATCAGCGCTAAGCGGCCAGCTGAACACGATCTCTCCCCCTCCATACCCCAACAGATTGCCCCTCACGCTAAAGCGGCGAGTAGTTTCTAGGGTGAACTTCTCTAACCAGGCGCCGTAAGGTCGTGGGAAAAGTGGAAACGCATGCTCCGAGCCAGGCCGAAGTCCACTGGGAAGGATGAGGAGGAGCGGGCCTCCGTTGCGAAGCGGCCACGGACTAGCAGCCGCAGGGAGCCATAGGAATGGCCATGCGCTCGCTGGCTACTGGAGGTGTGCGCCGCGTGGAGGTGGCATTGATCACCAGACGATGGTCCGAGAGGCTGGCGCTATTTGTTTGTGGTTTTGAGGGGCGGTCAGACAAAGCCATCGGCATCTCTCAGTTATGAGGACAACGTGGTGGTTGCTACAATCAGTCCGACACGGCAGTGGTTGAACGGCATTGAACGGAGAGAGAGCATGTTCCGTAGCCAATGAGATGGTAGCGGCACTGGGCACCTAGTAGATGCAGCGTAATCCTGCGCCGCTGTACGAAGACGAACCAACCAACCATCCGGCCAGCTTCCATCACGGAACCCGACGCTGCCGCATCGCCGAGAGACAGCGACTTTCCTGTTTCTAGGCTTGCCAGCACAAAGAATTACCCCTCTAATGACGATGGGTGGAGGGGCGCTGGGACATCGGAGCGCAGGGGGCCTATTTTGCTAAGCCGGCCATAGCCATTGATATTTTACGGGCTCCACTGTTGCCTGCTCACTGTAGGTTTCCCCGGACTCGGAGACGAGAAGCGAGTTAATGTATTGATAGTTGGGACGATGAAATATTGATTCGGCGGGGTTTGCGGCGTGGAACAGATTTGTGCGATGCAATTGGAACTGGATAGAAATGTGTGTGTGCCAGTGCCTACTGTGGTGTCATGACGTGTGCAACATGCGGTTTGGGTCCGTGTTTTGTGTGTAACAAGAGAGAGACCACGTTGGAACACAGTCATAATTAAAGGAAAAAATACTCTGATTTCAACGTATAGTCTGCTTTATACTGCACAGCCTGCTTGTTTGATTGCCCTGTGGACAATGGACAATGCTATTGTAGAGAGCGTAGCCTGTGGGCTGCCCTAAACTACTGCACCTTAGAAGCTAACGCTCCGCTGCAAACCCAAATCTGTTCTCTAGATCTAAGCTGGAGCGGTGGCGGGGAACTCAAATACATCTACAAGGGAGGATAAATGCAAATGTTTAAAAAGAAGCTTATACAATGAACAATACCCATGATGGTTATTGGGATCGTCGCGTCTTTCCTTCGTATCAACGCAACCCATGTCCGCCAGCAAGATAAACGGACAGCGTCAGAGACCTACACTACCACCCCTAAGCGCCGAACGAGAGATACGCGCCGATGATAGCTACGGTGACTAGCGTGAAAAAAACATCTTGCATAATCTGCGAAATTCAAAATGTGCATTGAGCTACCAGCGCAGACTCCGGATTATTATCCTGATCACGGAGTTGGAAAAAGCAGTGATAGAGAAATTGGCGGAAATAACGCCAAGCGCCGCAACCTCCTTGGTGCCGCCTGGGCTCTGCACGACAAGACCTTGGTTTCTGCACAGTTACAGACGGTAGCGCTAGGACGCGCGGTGGGTAAATTAGGTTTGTGGTCTCTGGTCTTGGGAGATACAATTATCAGGAATACCCGGGCGCCACAAAGCCTGGGGTCGCGTCAACTCCATGTGCTGGCAGGGCATCTTCTTGGCCGTATTATTCCCCGCAGGCGAGATGAGAGTCCGCTATGGCCAGTACGAACGAAGATGAAAGACATCAGGGCTTGGAGCCAAGAAGGAGCGACGTAAAAAAAAATACGAGCGACGAAGGACCAGTCGTCTGTCCAGGGGGCTCAAGGTCAGTGGAGGGAGTATTTGTTCTGATACAGGCCAATCAATGTCTCTTGGGGTGGCACTGGCACGACGCTGAACCGGTAAACTAAAACAAAAAGGTCTGCCCCTGAAAATCACAGGTGCAACTGGACTGTGGGATTGTGAGTGGCTAGTCAGACGACGCCGCAGATCTGAAGCACAACTGACGACGACTAGCAGCCAGTGGGCGTCGTCGCACCCACTCATCCGCCGCCGCCGCACTGGCCCCCTGGTGTTATTTGATTGTGTTTTGTGCTGGTTGTTTTAGCCGAGAAAGGAAGAACGGTTATAGCGGATGAGCACTAACGCCTCCTTCACAGCCTGCCGATCTGGTCGGTCTGCCTTGGTTGTGGTGTCTCTGGTGTATTCCAACATTGATCTCGTCTGGTCACCAACCTGCTAATAAATTGACTTTTTCGCGTAAACAATGGAATCCAGCTTTCTCGCGGCTAGCCGCCCCCAACACAGAGTTTCCTACCTAGGCAAAAAAGGGGGCGAGCCTGCAGCAAGCCAAAGCTTCGATGGCACTAGCCAACCACACTAGCATCCACCAACCCCGGTAGTCAAGCCGATGGCTCAGCCAATAGCTTGCCCTAGTACCGTCCCAAGATGGGCCCTACGGCGGTGCCTTGAAGATACACGGAGCTACAGGCGCCAAACATCATGGACGTGTTGTTGCTGTGTTCTGCTGGGCGCCAAGCGAACGAGATGCAGAGAGCAAACCGTCGCAGGGTTAAAGCTGACACAGCGCCGAGGCCCCATTGAACCAGGCAAATGCTCGCTCTGTTGCCTGCTAGACATTATGCGCATGCGATCGTCGTCCAAGTAGTCCATCAGCGGAGTCCTGACGTCTATGCTTTGGGTAAAATGCTACGATAATCTCTTTTGGGGCCAGGGCACGGCGAGGGCCCCTCCCCCAAGACCTAGAGAAACGGGCCACTATTAGCTGCGGTAGGCAAATGATTCACCAGTCTCTGTAGGCGAACAGGGGAACAATTAAAAAAAATACAGTGGCCTGGTGCAAGCACCGGCGCTAATAATTAGTTCGTCCAGCGAGGTAGCATTGCCCCAGAGTGGTTTTTCGGGTGCGACTCTCTCACCAGCTGCCTCTCTTCCCTCTCGCCTCTTCCGATTTCTTCTTTCTTTCTTTTTTCCGAATATTGGCATTTTGGGCTCTGTGTTTGGGTTTCGCCAATTCTTTTCTTCCTTTCTTCTCTTTTTCTTTCTTTCATCCTTCTCCTCCCACGTTTTTCTTCTTCACCCCGTGCTGCACGTCTAATTCACCCGGACACGCACACGCTTCTATTCAGTCTCCGGATTCACACTTTAACCAGCTTTCTTTTCCGATACACTCTTTTTTATCCAATACTTGGGAATTTCCTTCTTTGTCTTCTTCGCTTCTTTTCTTCGATATCCATTTACGCAATATCTTCAATATTCGACCCTCCCTTTTTACGCTTGACACGCGACAGTCGGCTTTGTGCCCACATTAGCCGTCAAGGCGAGACATCGCTCCACGATTCCTTCCAAAATCAACTAATTTTTGCATTCCAGCCGTCAGGCTCCTTACAGGGTCGCGCATAGCTCGCGCTCAACTGACCTTCGCGTTGGTCAAAGTCAAGGCGCCCCAATAGATAGACGTCGCCTTGTCCTGTCACTTCGTCCGCCTCCATTGCCTGTTCCCATCACGATACCATCGAATCGCCAACATGCCCGGTTTACTCACAAGAAGGTCGGCAGGCATCACCAGATATGTGGCTTTGGCCATATTTCTCTTCTGCGCCTTCATTGTCCTCTCACGCAACAATCATGATAGCCAACCTCGAACCTTCTTCCGTCCTGAAATGTCCGACAACCATGCATCACCCATGGCTGGCCACAAAGCATACGATTCACAGTCTCCCATGCGTCGACCTCCGTCCGGCCACTTCCCCAGACCAAAGACGAAGCAGGCTCCTCTCGGCGATGACGGCCACCACCCTATCGACAAGCTCGTCCACGACGCCCAGGCCAAATATGACGAGATGCTTTCCCGTGAAAGCAAAACTGTGAGTGATGCTGCTCAGGAATATCGCAAGCGTCACGGTCGACACCCTCCTCCCGGCTTTGACAGATGGTTCAAGTTTGCAAAGTCGGTCGACGCGGTGATTGTGGAGGACTTCTTTGACCCTATATACGAGGATCTCGAACCATTTTGGGCCATGGACCCCGCCATGCTACGTAGAGAGTCATGGGATTATGAAATGACAATCAACGTACGAAACGGCAAAGCCACTGCTGGCAGTGACTGGTTCTGGACAGTGCTTTGGCTTAACATGACAAAGTCTGTCGAGCACCTTTTGCCCGATGTTGATCTGCCCCTCAACGCCATGGACGAAACACGTGTTGTTGCCCCTTGGGAAGATGTCAACGCCTTTATGGCAAAGGCTGCCAAGACGGTACATCTTGGTAACCCCAAGAATATTAAAAATACATATCAAGCGCTACCCCCGCCAGGCCAGGGCGACCTCGGCGTCAACCCCCGCTCTAGAAAGTTCCAAGATGATAGTAAGTCGGCCATATCTCCATATTGTCCTAAACACCACTAACACACCGCTTTTTAGAATTCTACTGGCTTTTGGCCAGACAAGGCTGCCCTCCCGACAGCCTAGCGCGCCAAACACCGCCGAAGTCTGCCTTGCGATCACCGCCCTACATCAGCATGGACTACTCCAAACCACACTCACCCGACGGTTACGTTGCCAACTACAGCATGTCTTCTCATCTATGCCACCAGCCTGATCTTCAGGGCCTCGAAGGAGCCCTTATCCGACCTCTGTCTACCTCGACCACACAGACTCTGACTCCCATGTTTGCCGGCTCTAAGCTGAGTGTCAGTAACGAAATCCGACTTCCAGCACCAATGTACTGGGCAGGAGAGGAGCGTTTTACTGGCGGCAACAACCACGGTGCTGCCTGGCACAACAAGTTGGATCGTGTGGTCTGGCGAGGCGTGGCCACTGGCGGCTTCAACACCGAGGATAACTGGCGCGGATTCCAGCGCCACCGATTTGTAGCCATGAACAATGGCACCAAGGTATCCGGAGCCGAATCTGGGTTCATGCACCCCGAAAACTTTGCTCTGCCCGAAAAGCAATACAACGTTCAAGCCCAGCACCAGGGCCAGCTTGGCGAATGGATCGAATCTTTCTCAGATGCTAGCTTCATCGAGCTCGACTGCCACTCCGACGACCCCAACGTATCCGACGAGGACCGCTGCAGCTACGTCGACAGCTTCTACGAGACCACCGAGGGCCTCCCTATGGCAAAGCAGTTTGACAACAAGTATGTGCCCGATATCGACGGCAACTCCTTCTCCGGACGCTACCTCGGCTTCCTGCGATCCACGTCTCTGCCCATCAAGGCCACCATCTTCCGCGAATGGCACGACAGCCGAATCGTCCCCTGGAAGCACTTTGTGCCCATGGACAACCGCTTTGGTGACTACTTTGGCATCATGGAGTACTTTTTGGGCTTTGGCAACAAGCCTGGTCACGACGCCGTGGCTGAGAAGATTGCCATGGACGGCAAGGAGTGGGCTGAAAAGGTGCTGCGCAAGGAGGACATGCAGGTGTACTTTGTGCGCTTGATGATGGAGTACGCCCGCATCTGCGATGAGCGCCGCGAAACCATGGGCTGGGTAGCTGATGTGACAGCCGACCCGACGCTCAAGTCTGCGTGGAGATGGTGGTGAAGAACCAAACAGTGCGCTGTGAGGCTGTCCCTCTCCATCGAATGGCTCATGATTCTGATTTTCTTCAACTGGCGTTTTATGTATTCTACTTAGCGAGGCACTGTCGATTTCATTTCTACATCATCATCATCATCACGCATCTTTCTCCCATCTGGCTATGGCTATAGCATCACCTTTATCTCTATCCTGGGCCAAGCTCTAAGGATAGGCGATACTTTATTTCTGAAGGGCCAAAACTGGCAAAAGATTAGATGCTATCTTACAATACAAACATTTTTCATCCATTAACTCCGTCCTCGTCTAAGTCTATAGTGTACAGTAGTTTTACAAATATTGTGACATGATCATCCTAATCGGCTTCCTGAAGCGCCAGACCGCGAGCCATCCTCATCCTCATACTCGCTCTCGTCAGCCATGCGGCCCAACATGCGCGTAAAGTCAGGCCGGAACTTCCAGTCCATCCAGGCCTGCAAGATTTCCACCCATTGCGTCTCGTTGATACAGCGGGCCAGTAAAACGCCATTGTTCGACAACGGGGATCCTCCCTTTGTCGGATCAAATAGACTCGGGCACGACGCCGCCGAGTCGGCAAACCCAGCCCACAGGCTCTCCATAGCCTTGGGCGCCGGGTCAAGCAGGTACTGGAACCAGAAGCGCAGCATTACATCCGACATGTCGCCAGAGCGAGTGGACTCAGGACCATGCTGTAAGAGGAGTGGATGCGCAGCCTTAGGCTGAATATCTAGTAATGCCGTTGGCGCATTCGGGAAGAATTCCTCATCTGCCGTCGCCAGCGGCTCATAGTGTCGCCGGTCCCAGAGCAAAGCCGGCGGCGACTGCCGAAAGATGTGGTAGTTGTCGCGGATAAGCTGGAACTCGTTGAACGAGTTCTTCTTGAAGTTGTCGATTCGTGCGTTCCACGCCTCATTGAGGATCGCAAAGCGCGCAGGGTTCGAGGCGTAGACGCTGAGTGCCTCGTCGCGCTGCTGCAGAAGCGAGAGGTACTCTTGGCCCTCTGCGCCCTCTGACTTTTTGCGCTGTCGCAGTATTCGGAGCCGCGCTTCATCAACAGACGAGGACGACTCGCCCTCAAGATCGTCCAGCTCCTTTTTAAACGGGCGCGCAATATGGGGGTCGTGCACGCCGGCAAGACGCTTCCCGTGGAGGCTTGGGTCAGCTATGACGCGCGAGTAGAGCTTCGTCTGGCGGTCCGTGGGCATCTTGAGACCCATGCCTTTCATGTGGTAGACGGCCTTGTATCCGGATTCCAGGTTGAGCAGCTCGTCGCGCAGGGCGGTGCGGTTCTCTTCGACATCGGGGCTCGCAACGTCATGGAGCCATTCGCAGGAGAGTTCGGCTTCAAAGGCGCTGCGGCGGCGGCGGGTGAGGGAGCGCGGAAGTAGGCGTCGTTTATCTTCGTCGTTGACCCAGATGAGCATGCGCACGAGGCCGTATTTCTGGAAAAGTGTCGATTGGCGGATCGACGAGAGGAATTGGTAGAGGACCATGGTGCTGATGGAGTCGAAGCCCCGGTATGACTTTTTGGGGAACATGGACAGGTTGGCGGTTACGAGGAGAGTGTCGTTGCGTGTGGGAGTAGTGGCGGCGGGTGTTTCTGTTTGGTGCGAGAGGCGTGTGCGAATCATGTCAAAGAGGTCTTTCCAGATGAGGCCGGATTTGGGAATCATCTCGACGTTTTCTTTGGCGAGTAGAGGAGAGAGGTATGGCTGGTAGAGGTCGGCATCGAGATCCATCATGATGTGCTTTCGGGGTTCGACGGCTTCGTGTAGGGCTTGGCTCCAGAGGCCAGCTCCTGGGTTGAGATCGATTAGGTCGCATCCTTTGTGTCGTTGTAGCGAGGGGCCAATGTATTTGACAACGTCGTCTGGCGGGGGAGAGGTTAGCACGGCCGGGTTTGGAGGCGTAGTAGAGGAGAGATAGCTTACCGCAGAGCTTCTTGCTGACAATATTGACGCGCCGCGGTTCAACGGCCAACTGCTTCTGTCCGGACTTCTTTGGGCCGCGTTTGCCATTCCATACACCGGTCTTGAGAAGACGCTGGGCGATCTCGCCGTCGGCCACTAGCAGGTCGCCTTTATTCTTCCATGCTGCAGTGGCTTTGGTGCTGGCAGCGCGACGAGCTACACAGCTGCACGATGCCCTGCTTAGCGATATTCGCAGGGGCTGCAGCGTGCTGGTCATGGCAATTGCGCGTGGTGCGTGGTTGAAGTTGAAGTCTGAAAAAAGGGTCTGCGATGCCTGACGTCAATCTAAGGTGACGATTGTGGAGCAGGATGCGGCTCTGTGTTGAGCAGTCACAACAGAAAATAAGGTGGCCAATAGGGCATGCTTTAAAAATGATTGGAAATTTGTAAAAAAAAAAAGAAGAAGAAAATAGCAAAATATGTATATGTAGTGTAGAATTCTTGAATGCTTTCTTATGCGCTCACAATACATCATGTCCGCTCAGAACGCTGCGCCGACATCGACGCTCCAGACACGACTTGCTGTTGAAATATGCCCAGTTAACTCCCAAAAGACGCCCAGAGAAATACATCAAATGTTTTTTTGACATGTTTGCCACCAGTTTATGCACCCTCACTACCGAATTCGTTGGTCCATTCGATCTGCTTCGCAATATCGTCCTTGGAAACCGTCGGGTGCGAGTCCTCCAGGGCAATCTCAAAGTCTTTGAGCGCAACATCTGGGGCAAGAAGCTCGTCCGAGTTGACGTCGTCGTAAGTCATTTCTATTTTCTCAGCATCTCCGGGAGAGCATGGCGTCAGCATACGCTTGCCATCCTTCATCACCTATCTTGTTGTAAGTACATGCGCGCATCTTGGGTCAATTGTCAACCACACTTACTGCTTTGAAATGAGTAGCTTGCAAAATCTTTCTAACCGGTCGCATGAGTGCGTGTTGTACCACGTTGCTAATATCACTGCCTGAGAAGCCATCTGACTTGGTAGCCAGGGTATTATAATCGGTCGCCTGCAAGGTTGTGTCGGTGTCGCCAATAGCAATCTTGAACATGCGGGCTCGGCCGTTGTTATCGGGCAAACCAATATGGACACGGCGCTGGAATCGACGACGAATAGCAGCATCAAGCTGCCAGGGGATATTCGTAGCTCCAAGAACCAGAATACCCTTGCTGTCGTTGCCGACACCATCCATTTGCACCAAGATTTCAGTCTTTATACGGCGCGAAGCCTCGGATTCGCCTTCGCCTCTGGGGCCGCAAAGGGCGTCGATTTCGTCGATGAAGATAACCGAAGGCTTGTTTTCTCTCGCCATGGAGAACAACGCCTTCACTAATCTGTTTGGAAATTGTTAGCCCCGAGATCACACTAGCACGGCCAGTTACCATTACCTTTCACTTTCACCCATCCACTTGCTGACCAAGTCGGAACTGCTGATACTGAAGAAAGTACTGTTTGCTTCTGTCGCAACGGCCTTTGCCAGATAACTTTTTCCGGTACCAGGCGGGCCATAGAGCAGAATACCTTTCCACGCTTGTCTTTTGCCCTGGAAGAGACTCGGGAACTTGATGGGGAGAACGACGGCCTCCTTCAATGTTTCTTTTGCGGCCTCGAGACCAGCGATATCTTCCCATCGAACATTGGGTCGCTCTTGTAGAATGGCACCAGACAGAGCGTTGCGGAGCTTCTTGTTATCGTCGTCGTCGGCCGACGGCTTCGCCTTGCCGCCAGCGCTTGCGCCGTTGGCACCCATAGCAGCCTTTCCGCCATTTGCGTTATTATCAGCCTCAGCAGCTAGGAACTGCTTCAGCTTTTCGGCTCGGTCGAGGTACGTCGCCATCTTCTCCTGCATGGTGACTTTGAGGGCCTTGTTCTTCTCCCACTTGAGCGCCTTGACCCATAGCTCCATGGACGACATGTAGAGCTCAAAGGCTTTTTGGTAATCTTTATTGTTATCGGCGGCAATGGCCTTTTGCACCTCCGCGATGGCGCGGTCGCGAAAGTTGGTCGACATGATGGGAATTTGGGACGCGCAATCACGCCGTCACTGGTGAAGGTGGGAGGCGGCTCGTCGTCGGGTTTGTAGAGGTTGGATGGGTGGGTGTCGTAGAAATTATCGAGCAGTCAGACAGAGAGATCTCAGACAAACTAAAATTTCATAAAGAACAGGCTGGAAGGGGACAAACGCGGTGGTGATGTGTGGAATGGCGTCGGGAGGGTGATGACGGTGGTGTACCTGCGGGGGTGTGCATTGGCGGGGTCTACCAAAAACTTGTGATTAAAGTTGCCGCTGCGGTCAATAGCGCGGCTAGGCATCCACGAATCAGGAACATGCTTGCATTATTGGTGCAAAAGGGGATGGAAATAATGACTAAATATAATTTTATTGGAATGAATTATTCGCCTTGTGTCTATTTGAAAACATAATTATTTTATCATCTTTATGCCTCGCACAACTACAATCAAGACTACACGATTGTCCTGCCACGTGAGGACCTAGACGCTCACCATCTGCTTGATTAACATGAGCCCATAGCCACTGGTTTTACGAAATATAATTGCTGATAACTACTAATAGTTAAATTAATTCAAGATCTGTATTTAAAACTTAGGCTCGATTCAAGTTATGATGCATTCTGGTCACTGAGAATGACAACACATCCGCTACTGGCAACTGATGTAATGCAGAGCAGCAATATGGATTCAAATCGTATCAATTTTATCTAACAATAGCTTTGGAATGTTTACCTAATCCATATGTCCGTAAGGTATAGTGGCTCTTCTCCTTCATTCACTGCAACATGAATATTCATCGATTTCTTCACCTTGAAAACTGCACTCGATTCTACTGCCGTTGTATGCCTCTTGAACGACGTCCTTCAGTGATTCTTCCAAACTTGCAAACGTAACATGTCTCAAGACGGGAAATTTCTCCAGCGCCACCTTTGGCAGCTTTAGCATGTCCTGCAACTGGCAAGATTCTGCCCCCTCGATATAAACACTCTGGATCGATGAAGGGAGGAAGTCCACGAGATCAATCTTGGATTCAGAGTCTTCGTCGTCGCCGTCGCCGTCAATTTTGCAAATGTATAAAGACGGTAGTCGAAGGGTCTCCAAAACTTCCATTTGCGAGAGGCTTTTCATCACAGGGTCCTCATCATCAGAATCTTCAATCAAGTCCATCTCAAAGTCGTACGTCCCCAACTCGACATGCTTCAAGGTCTTTTTTAGACTGATTAGAGCTCCGGAGAGTGATTCAGACGACGCTGATTGATGGTCACTGACACAGGCTCCGCCATAAACGTATGTAAATCTCTCCAGGTTGGGAAACGCCGTCGGGATATGAGCTGCCTCATCGGAGTCAATACAGCTGTAGCCTAGCACAACTTCCCTGATCGATGGGTATGGGATCCTCGGCAAGCATGTGATAGACCAACCAAAGAATCTCTTCACGTTAGGGGCTACATTTAGCACACCTTGTGCGTATGCAAAATCAGAACCCCCTTCAGTGTCAGCGTGCTGCAACGAGAATGTATCAAGTGCTGGAAATGAGCCAGGTTTGAAATTTCCAAGAGACTTGTAGTGAGAGGAAAAAATAATGCTTGTGACATTGGGTACAACAGCAAGCGCCACACAGGCTAGGGCTTTGCCAATGGTATCCAGCAGGTCGTGGTCGTTTTGTAGCTCATCTTTATATTGCAGCTTACGGAGAGGGGTGACGGTGGCCATATCAAGCTTTTCCTCTAGAATGCGATTGAATAGTTCCGCATCTTCAGCTGAGATGATTACCCCATCCTGAATGTCTTTCGTCACCCACAGGCTTCCATTAACAATGACTCGTTTTACCAAACATGCAATATCTGGTTTGGTAGCGAGGGTGCGAAGGAGGCTCCGACTTCTCTGAAAACCGTCCGTAGTTTTAAGATTGCAAATCTCATACAATTTGGGCAGACAAAGAGGTAGCAGAGTTTTGCAAGTTCGAGCGAGCTGATACAAACTGACGTCGGGTTGGTAATCGTGTCTGAAGTTGAAGTGGTCTGCCTGTGACGGGCCGAGATTGGCGACTATATCAGCCAAGATCTCTGTTGGTAGTGACGTCAGAGAATGCATCGTGAGGTTGGCAAGCCAATTGTCTTGCGGATAATCAAAGATTGAAGTTGGGTCTCTCAGCTTTGAGGCCAAATTCACGAAAGATTGTGCCCCGCCTTACCTTTTATAAGTCAAAGCGCTCAGTTAGGCTGCCGTACCCAGAGAACTAGGCAGCCTCGCCCTAAACCAGAGTAGGAAGTTGAGGTCAGACTGCGCCGAAATTCACCCGTCGGTGTCACGTTACAAGTACTTCTTCTCGTATTGACATTTGAATAATTCTCCGCATATTGTAAATAGTTAACCTTGTTTACGCCTGTTTGGACTTTAAGTTAGTTCATTGTCCATCACCCTGGTGGGGTAAGAGCTTCAACGATGATTGGTTATCCTACGCCGCCCTACCAGAAATGCCTGTTAGTATGATAAAGGGAAATAATATTACTTGTTTTATCATTTACCATCATTGATACGTATCTATACTTGTACTGCTATCAAATTAAGATCTAAATGTTTTATTTATACAAAAAGCGAATTAAATGTCGTGATTGCCACTCCATTGATGCGCCCCTGCTTTATAGCTCATACGCTACTGCTTTGCAGACGTCGTCGTTATCGTTTAATAAAGGCTCTGGGTATACAACAGAAGCGCTGCTATTGGTCGTATTTAAAAATATAATTGGTCTAAAATCTTGTGATTATGTGGTCTTTTTGTTAGTGTATTGTGCCCAATCAAAGCGTAGTTGTACAGCCAGAGTGTATGTCTAGTTCGAAAAGTACGGCGAAGCCATAGACCTCACTTTTGCCTGAGTAGAAATTAGAAAATAGATCGAAATTTCCTAATTACGTTCAATTTTATTTTCAACAAGTAACTATGCGGGATGAATTCTTTCTGTAGTTCCATCAGGCCGACGTTTCTAAATAACAAACCTTACGAGCTCCCGCTAAAACCCTCCGCGGAGCTTTTCCACAACATGAATAAGATAACTCTCCACGGTGCCTTACGTATCGGATATTTTACGGATATAAATATTCAAATTCTTTCCAACTGCTTCCCATTACTTCCCAGTTTTCAAAATCCTTTTCAACGTTGTCACAAAACACTATTTAACACTAATCATATCGATAGCGCGTACTGAATATCGTACCAACAGGATTACTATATAGCATGATGCAACAACAGTCGACCGCTTCGATTCTTGAATCGAAAGAAGTATCCGTTGATGCTCAGGATGTAGTGGACAAGACGCAGTCAAAGTTCGAAAAGGGTCCGAGATTCTGGGCTATTATTGTTGTCCTTGCCCTCATCAGTCTCCTAACCTCTCTAGAGGCTACAGTTACTTCAACAGTTATGCCGTCAGTTGTAGCTGATTTGGATGGTGGCGAGAATTTCATCTGGGTTTCCAATGCTTACTTCTTAACCATGTGAGACACCGACACGAGTACTGAGCTGCTAGGGCTAGTACTCGTTGACTCTTCCTTAAGGGAACTTTTAGACTAACTATATATAGGACCTCTTTGATGCCAATGTTTGGTCAGCTTGCAAACGTCTTTGGGCGTCGGTGGCCCTTGATTATATCTGGTGGCATATTTATGATTGGAAGTGGCATTTGTGGAGGGTAAGTAACTGTCTTACTAGTCCTTGGATACTATAAAGATGTCTTTCTAGAGCTCTACTGACAAAATCAACCCATTTTACAGAGCTAGCAGTATGTCTGCTATGATCGCCGGTCGAGCCCTACAAGGTATTGGGGGCGCCGGTATTGGCGTCCTGTGCGAAATCGTCATCTGCGACTTAGTGCCCCTCCGCGGGAGAGGCACTTACATGGGAGCTGTTTTCGGCATGGTTGGCATCGGAGCTGCTCTTGGTCCGCTGTTCGGCGGATTGCTTGTCAGCTACAGCACATGGCGCTGGGCCTTCTATATGACTTTACCTGTCGGCGGTGTTGCTGTTGTACTGCTGATTGCTTTTTTGAACGTCAAGTATGACAAATCACAGACATGGGCAATCAAAATTTCAAGTCTTGACTGGCTAGGAAACCTCCTCTTCATTGGTGGCATTATCCCGGTGCTTATTGCTCTCGGATGGGCAGGCGGGCAACATCCGTGGTCATCTTACCAGGTCCTTGTTCCGCTCCTTGTTGGTCTGGCAACTCTTGCAGGATTTATCGTTCTCGAAGGCAATTCTCGGATGACACCGAATCCCATCATGCCCCTCCACCTATTCAGCAATTCGATCAGCTCCATCGTCTTCCTACTTACTTTCCTTCACGGCGTTGCTACCATGTGGGCGCTGTACTTCCTCCCAGTCTACTTACAAGGCGTTCGAGGTGTGGATGCCTACCAGGCAGGTATCGATCTCCTCCCAACTATTCTCGCTCTCCTACCTGGTGCCATCATGGGAGGGCTTCTCCTGAGTAAATTTGGCCGCTACAAACCTATCCTTGTAGTTTGCTTTGTCTTGATCGTCATTGGGTTTGGTCTGTTCACACGTCTCGATGAAAATTCCAACACTAGCGCGTGGGTGGGCTTCCAAGTTCTCGAGTCTTTCGGTGCCGGGTTGGGCATGGCGGCGATGCTTCCAGCGCTGCTAGCTCCATTGACGGATAAGGATACTGCGCTTGCAACAGCAACATGGGGTTTTATGCGCAGTTTCGGTGTCATGTGGGGAGTAGCCATTGCTGGGACTATCTACACGAATCGAGCTGTGCAGCTCGCCAGCTCTGGTGCCATTGGAGACCAAGCAGTGGCTGCGGAGTTTAAGGCGGGTGGCGCGTATGGAGCGGCTCAAGCACACTATCTGGATGCTCTCTCACCAGAGACCCGCGCTCAAGTAATTCATGTGCAAAGCATGGCACTTCAGCGATCCTGGCAAGTTGCTATAGCATTTGGTGCAGCGGGTGTTATTGCCGCCGCGATAATGAGACAAGTTGCTCTCCGCAAGGAGAATACCACTGAATTTGGAATGGTGGACAAGAAGGACAAGCCTACTAAGGAAGAGGCTCAAGCAGAAACTGAGAAGAAGGTCTAGACGGATTGGTACAGGATTGGGGTATGTAAACATGAACTAGAATAGGCGCTTATCAGCGGCTGTATATATAGCCGCATGTAAGTAAATGCAGAGCTTCTTTAATCCGTCGAAAAGCCTTGGTCATTTATTTAGGTGCATGGAAAGCTTTTGGGTCTCTTTCAATGAAGCTACGCGGCGTATTAACATCGTCATAATTGTTATTCTCACCATTATCTAAAAGTGGTTGTTCAAGTTGTAAACCCTCCGAGGAGGGATTAACTTATGTGCTTTGTAAACGAGGCTGTGGGCGGAGCGGACTTATAGGCCCCGCCTCGGCGCTGTTGGTTAACCATCCGAACCTACACCCATTCATTGCATGTCTTTGCAACTCGTTTTCACACTTGCATCGCTGTTATATAAGCTGTTACTAATTTAATTATCATTTACATATACTTATATATAATACAGCATATGCCGAATCCTGCAGTCACGCGCTCTGCCTGTGATGGGTGCCGAGGCAAAAGAGTCCGATGCATTCGTCTGCTAGACAGCCCAGCTGTTTGTGCCCGCTGCAACTCCATCGGTGCCCGGTGCTCCATAGGAAAGACTGGACGTCCTGGAAGACCTCCTAAGCAACGCGGCATTGACCGTGAAAGCGCCAGCAGGCCTGTTGGATCAACACCTACGTGCAGCGTATCACCTCAAGTTCATCACACCGCCGCCCGAAAGAAGACTCACAAGGGCGCCATCAACCAGTCAGCATTGCCAAGATCATCACGCCTACAGCCCAGAAATCATACCATATATGCGATTTCTCAGAACGAAGCATCACGCGATCTTGATCTGGTTGGATCTGCTTCACACCAATATCTACAGCCTGAGACGTTGCATCACGGGTCAGAGCCGGAATTTTGGCCAGCACCAAACGAGAATGCCCCTTTTAGTCCATTGTCGGTTGACCAAGGTCCTCCTTCAAGACGATCTATGCTCTCACTACCAGACGCGCCGAACAGCCCTACACGGTTTCAAGGGCTTCTTAGTGCAGAGCATGAACTCAACGCCATGCTCCAACTAGACCTGGATCCAGCTACTGCCCTTGAGATGTACTTGGATCCGTTTCTCGGTTGTGAGGAAAATATCATAGTTCCAAGATCTCCAGCAAAATCTCCAAGTGTAGAGAACTCTCTGGTGAAATTCCGCGAGGAGATGGAACAGCGCATCGCCGCCATCGATACCTACTATTCAGAAGACCACTCCCAAATTATACAGCGCTGCAAGGATGAAGATGCTGGCAGCCAAGTTGACAATCCAGGCACTTCTCTTCTCATCTGCAGCAAAGACTTCATCAATATCATCCAAAGACTCGCACCTGCAACCCATTCAAGCACGCAAACGACTGATGAGCTTAGTACAGAGCTTGCACTGTTAGTTCTATCAAGCTACCTTGCGCTCATGAGGCTCTTTGATTCTTTATTTCATCGCATCCATCGGCACCTTTGCAATGTATCACTAGAATCGTATAGGTCTCTCAAAGTCAAATCTGTGCTTCGTATTGGCGGCGTCTCGGCTCTCCAAGACATGCCGCTTAAGGCCTATGCCATGGTAATTATCGATGCCATTCAATGCCAAGTACGAACGCTTGAACAGTACATGGGCATTCCACGCGAATACTGTCTATTTGATAAACCTACTGTTTCGGATATTGCTGATGCTTCGGGTATTTTCTCCCGTCCAGATCGAACACGATTGTTTTGGGCTGTGATGGCCCAAGAGGATTTGAAACCGCAGCGTGAAAGCAGATCCTACGTCGATTCGATCCGAGCGAATATCAAGGAGTCCATGGAGTTTTTTAATGACTAGGGAGTGGTCTATATATAGTCGTGACTTTATCATGCCTTATGCGAGCGGGCTCACTTCTCATCTCACTGTTCTGTGCTGACTGCCAAGCCCTTCCAAAATGTGCACCTTTCTGTCAAATCCTGCGGCATGGGTTCCATGGCAGTATTGTTCGTCTCGAGGCGAATACGCTGTCCAGCACCCGAGCCCCATGGCTGCCACTCTGGTGCCTGGGGAACTCTAAATGTGTTGGGGTTGAGTGAGCGAACAAAACTGATCCAGTAGTGTCTAGTAATAGGGATCATCGCGGCATTGATAGTGAAGTCTGAGGCTGGCTCGTAAGCTTCATACCGCACCGGTCCAAAGATGGTCCACCATTCTTGATCGTGGTGCACACCCAGGCCCTTGGCTACCGTTTCAGGATCCATTACATTGTATCGGTAGTTCCATACCAGATTAGGATCATTGTATCGCGCCAAAGAGGAAGCTATCTGGTTTCCGGGGCACGTAAAGCACATATCGCCGTACGCCGCGCTTGCAGATGGAAAGTATGCGTTATGTTGAGGCAGCGCATCCATCTTTGGGTAAACATCGTTGATTTCCTTGAGTTGTATTGTAGATAGATTTGGATAGTTGTTCTTGAAGAAAACTGATACGTCGGCTGCTGTAGAAGCATTCGGCGCATACTGTGATCCCTCGTTGGTGTCATCTCCAATCAGAGCAGGCACATGGATGAAGCTACCGCTTTCAAAAAGATTATAGAATCGGTCCGGGACCAAAGTTCCGTCAACTACTGGCAGCCAATAAAACAGTGGCGGAATCGGTTTGTCTGCGTCGGCGTCGGCAAAGGGCAGTGTTTGGCTGGCAATTTGAAACCTGTCAATATCGACAGAGCGGAGGCAGCCCAATGTTGTGCAGTTGGTCTTTGAAAGTAGTTGCCAGTACTGAGACTCCATTTCCTCTACAGTTCTCTGCGGTGGCCAAAACGAATCCTGTGCTATAACTCCAGCAAACAGCTCATTGTCTTTGCGACCAGAATATGCTGTGAGGTGGTAGGCGACTGATGTGGCACCGGCAGACGCTCCGTGGATCACCACGCGTTTGGGATCACCTCCAAACTATATATGGAATCCGTATTAGCCATTACGCTTATTCCTAGATCCTAGTTCACGTTCGGCAGTACACGTACCTTGTGGATGTACATCTGGACCCAATGCAAGAGCTTTCGCTGGTCCAATAATCCTGCATTCAAATCACCGTCTTTCCGGACTTGATCACTTGCAAGGAAGCCAAGAGGACCGTTCCTGTAGTTGAATTCCACAAAGACAATATCTTGGTCTGCTTCGTTGACGAGACCCGTCTCGTTGAAGTTGACCCAGGCAGCATCTGCGAAACCGCCGCCTGTGATCCAAACCCAAACAGGCAATTTTGACTGGTCGGTTGCATTAGAAGGTTTGAAGATGTTCACAAACAAGCAGTCCTCGGCGTTCATTGGACCAGGCACCTGGGGCTTTCCTGTGCTCTCAGCCACGCCGAGGCAATTGGGACCGTACTATGAGTTTGAATTTCGATTATTCCATTTGTTCATTCTCAAATGTTCTTGCCGTATATTATAGCTTACCTGAGTTGCATCCTGCACCTCTAATTCGGACGATGGGTCTTCGGGGGCGCGGAATCGGCGGTTACCAGTGGGTGGTTTGGCGTAGCGCATGCCGAGAAACTCATCTACACCTGTACCAGGTCGGCGCCCTTGGTATTTGGCGTAACCGAGATCGACAACAGGCCATGAGTCGGGCACGGTCGTGGCATTTTGCGGGTTAGTGGTCGTACCATTTCTCAGGGCTCGTGTAGTGGCGACAAAGCTAAGCAAGCTTAAGACTGCCTTGTTTAGCAGCATGATGGTTAGGAATTGTTGAAAATCAGCCGTGTAATGTGACCGTCAGATAAACAATGCCTATAGAACGGTCACGCAAAGTGAAATAGCTGGGCCAGCGGCCGGCTGCGGACAGCTCAATATTAAATACCCGGCTGAATGCCGACTCTTCCGTCTCAACCAGTACATTAATTGGCCGCTTACGCACATACGGCAGTTTGTATTACCTATGACGTGCAAGCAGCGGGGTTTCCCCAACAGTGAGCATACGATCTTAAAACGGCTCGGCAGATAAATGACGGGGCTAATGCCGGCAAGGCTGCATTGGTATTCGCCGAGCAGTGTTTGCGCTACTCTAAGCAAGGTACAACTAACCGCTTTGGATACATAGAGCACATGAACAATAAATATCTGCTGCATAAGCTTTAGGTTCTGTTTTTCTTTTATGAAAATATAGCAGAGTCATTTCCGACAGTTTCTATGTGCCTTCTCCTGTAGCGCGCATCCAACAGCAGACAGATTCATCCGTCAGCTTTATCCTACCAGTGTCGTCGAACGATTTGAACGCTAATCCGCCATGGACTCTTGCAGTCACTTTTCCTTCTCGGAAACTCTTACGAGCTCCGAATCGTACCGGACTCAAATTAGTCATAAAGGTTCTTATAAGGGTTTGGTAGACCCGGATAGCTTACCCCCAGTACAGCTTACCCCCAGTACGCCTCGCTACGATAAACGGCTTTCCACTTGGGTTTCACGCTCTGAAGCAAGGGAAACGCGCGCAACACTCTGTATGGGACTCATTGCTCTCCCCCGCTCCGTCGAAGCGGTAAATTCGATGGTCATTTACGTACGTCGTGAGAATTTCACGGCCTGAAATATCTTTAACTGAGATTGGTAAGAACAAACATGCTGAGCTAGCTAATATGTTTTTTCTCTACATCCCGCGAAGCACTTGGTGAGAAATACAAAGGGAACTTTTAAGGGACTGTACAGCATTAGCTATAGCTTATACTAGATATTTTTTGTCAAAAAAGAAAGAAAGAAAGAAAGAAAGAAAGAAAGAAAGAAAGCAAGAAAAACACTTGGACACTTAAATAAATGGATTACAAGTATAGCGACAGTCACAAAATCTATGTATCTAGAGTCGCCACAGTTTTAAGCCGTACCTTAGGGTTCCAAGACGACGGCCGGAGACCGTTTTTGACCACGAATACGTACTACTATCGGCTACATCTGAACTCAAAGTTCGCGTTCAACTGCCACAAACAGTCACAATACAATAGTTTCATCACCTGATTGGACCTTTTTCTATCATGGTTGTAACATCCGCACGGTGGATGGGGGGTAGACCAGCTACGTTATGGGTCATCCAACAGCGCCACATCTTGCGATTTCCCGAGATTGACTGTAGGTTTTATTTTTATTCCTATTGTATTGGCTTCAGTAGTGTTCAGCCCTCCCGCCGCCACAAAACAGCCCGACACAGCCAGCCTGCAATTTGGGCCACTTGAAATTATTCATATTGGGTCGAGACCAAGATAGTCCTCGTGAATCGGCCCAAACCGTATAGATTATCTGCATTAGTCCCAAAAGAGGCGAATGGCGGGACGGCGGGATTGCACGATGCATCTCAGCCGCAATGCTACGTCGTCAACTTTACTGCAAGAGGTGTAGACTCCTGTAAGCAGTGGCTTAAGCCCAGGTTTTTCGGTGATTATCAACGCTAATGGAAATGGCGCTAGAACTTTTTAAACCCCTACCCCCGTGCCTTGAACAGTCTTCTTACTTCTAATCCAACTTCCATTATATATGGTTTTATGACATTCTGTCATCCGTCTATTCAATACCTCCATCTTGATTATCTTATTCAACCGTACCGACAGAAGAGGCAATTCGCCTTACGAAGATGAAGCTCTTCGTTGCCAGCTTAGCTGCACTTGTTGCGCCGGGCCTCTCTGCCCAGGCGCTGAAAAACATAGCAAGGTCCGATCAACAATTGCCAGGCGGTTACATCTTTGAATTTGACAATGTCAATGTAAGATTAACAGCGCAACCCTTTCTTTTCTATGTTAGGGTGATGTGTCCCTACTAATGCACGATTTCACGCTAGGCCAAGACAGCCTTCTTGAGCAGCATTGCAGGGCTCGCTGATGTCCATATGGATATGTCATATGGACTCTTTAACGGCCTCTCCATACAGATGCGCGATACAAGTGCATCAAATACGGCTTTGGCCAAGCTGCGCTCTATGCCTGGCGTGGTAAACATCTGGCCCATTGTCACCATGGCCGCTCCTGGGGCAGAATCGCAAGACTCAGAGGCCACCAAGCCTAGCAAACAAGAGGCTGCTGCGAGCGCTGCCGCCAGTGCTTCCGCATCGGCAGATGCTGATTCGGATAAGAAGCCCGCAGCATATAATCCTCATGTCATGACTCAAGTTGACAAGTTGCACGCAAAGGGTCTCAAAGGCAAAGGTGAAAAGATTGCCATCATTGATACAGGTGCAAGTGCCTTCCACGATCCAATGGTTAAATGAGCCGACCCTAACATGTACATGTAGATTGACTACACACATCCCGCTCTCGGCGGCTGCTTTGGTAAAGGTTGTCACGTTGTCGGTGGCTACGATCTTGTGGGTGACGCATTCAGTACCAGCAAGCCACCCAAGCCTGACAACGATCCCATGGATCAGAATGGCTTCGGCACACGCATGGCTGGTGTGGTTGCGGCGCAAAAGAACCGCATTCAAGGCTTTATTGGTGTCGCCCCAGATGCTGAGCTGCTGGCTTACAAGATCACTGGCATTCTGAGAGAATCCCGGTCCGATATCGTCCTCGCTGCACTCCATCGTGCCTACGACGACGGCGCCACCATCATCATCTGCAGCTACAGTGTTCTCGGCGGATGGCCTGAGATAGCTACGGCCGCTGCAGCATCGCAGATTGTTGCCAAGGGCGTGCCGGTCATTGCAGCGTCAGGGCAGACTATCAATACTGCAACACTCTTTGAAATCGGCGACGTCGCTTCGGGCAAAGGCGTCACGGCAGTGACAAGCTTCGACAACAACCAAAAGTACAAATTCCTGTTTGGATCGACATTTACAGTTGACAATCAACCCAAGCCTGCCTCGTTCAACTACGGTCTATCGCAGTCTGCGCTTGACTTCACTCGAGGCGACCCAATCCAGCTCCCTCTGTATGCAACAACCCTCCAGCCTGATGTATACGATGATGCCTGCAATCCTTTACCCGACAGTACTCCCGACTTGGCAGACAAATTTGTCCTTATTCGAGAGGGCGGCTGCTTCTTCCGTCAAAAGGTTGAGAATTGCTACCGAAAGAATGCCAAATACTTTATCATTGCCCAGACCCGTGATGGTCCGATTTCTAGTGACGACGACACGGGCTATGTCAACGCCGTAGTGACAAAGGATATTGGCCAAAAATGGGTTGATCTTCTCAAGGCTGGTAAAAATGTCACGGTTCGCCTCGAATCTCCTCGTACAGCCAATGTTAGCCTCGACCCTAGCCCCAACGACCAAACTGGTGGCTCCGCCATTGGCGGCTCATGGGGCCCAACGGTTGAATTGGATCTAAAGCCTCAGTTTGGTGCTCCTGGAGGATGGATTGTCTCCACGACACCAGGCGGCCAGTACTCCATCTTGTTTGACCACTACTACTCCGAGGGCTTCGTCGGACAGGCAGCATCCTATGCGGCGGGCGTGTTTGCCTTGGTGCGCCAGGCAACGGGTATTAAGAACCCCAGGCGGATTGAGAATATGTTGTCGTCCACTGCGAAAGCCCAGACCTTCCTGGACTTCTACAACCGCACACAGCCGTTCCTCGCGCCAGTCCCCCAGCAAGGTGCAGGCCTAATTCAAGCTTACGATGCCATCTATTCAAAACTAGCGATTGAGCCCACCAGCATCTCGTTCAATGACTCTGACCATACAGCGACAAAGACCAAGATTACTCTCACCAACAAGGGCGACAAACCGGTGACGTACAAGCTCGGTACAGTCAGCACCAAGTCCGTCTATGTCGTGTATGAGGATGAGCCAAATGTGCCGTATCCACCTCCTTTCCCTGATACAACCTCCAGCTTGACTTTTGGTCAATCAGAAGTCAAGCTTGGTCCTGGCGAGTCAAAAGACGTCTCTATTCGCGCAACCGAAGGCAAGTTTGACAAACGCTATCGCCTACCCGTGTGGTCTGGTTGGATCACCATCAACGGCACGGACGCATCGTCTGCAACAGTACCGTATATTGGCATGGCAGGCTCGCTCCACAAGACTGCCATCTATGCCGCCAATGAGACTATTGTTATCCAGCAGAGGCGTACCGTATTCAAGGAAAACGACACGATATCATTCCCCAACGACTCTCATTACAAGTACTACGTACGCTGGGGCTCTCAACTACCATCGCCCAAGGTGGAGTTGGATCTGTTATCGGCTGATACTGGTGCTTTGATTGGCGCTATGCCCGGATATCCTGCAAAGTTCACTCCTATTGGTGGCGATGATTATCCTTTTCTGAACGCTACCACAGCAGACGGTAAAGCGGTGCCTGCTGGTCGATACAAGTTCCGCGTACGTTCTCTGCGCGTATTTGGGCGGGAGGATAAGAAGGAAGACTGGGATATACTATATGGCTATCCATTTTACATTGCGTATGATACTGGTACTAGCAATTAGCGCTGGTATTGGAAGAGTCTATTCAATTCTGCTTCGTCATTCTAGTGGTAGACATTGATACTAAGTATCTGGTGGAGTGTTTTAAACATGTAGTTGTTATTAGTTCATATTACCGAGATGATATATTCCCGCTTCTGACTAATAAATATCTCCCCAAGTACCTAACCCAAGAAATCGTCTGTTATTAGATGGGACATATTGTAACGACGTCGCTTGCACAACGTAGGGATGTTCCAGCCATTCTAGACTCTTTTTATTTGTATTCTAACCGTTTTCCGTAATACTAATCGCCCAACTGTTGGGCAATGGGCTGTTTTTGTACCAAGACGAGAGGTGGGTTTTGCCCGTAACGATGACGAAAGGCGGAATCACGTAGCCATCTGCGCTGATACATTCAATCAAAGTCGCCTATTGTTTATTTCCTTGTTGTGCTTTGCGGCTTTCTTGAGATCTTTCTGAGCTTGTTACGACTATTTTTTGATGAAATCACGCCTATTGCAAAGCTAGTCTCGTTAAAGTTGTAAATATGCGCTTTGTGTATGCCATTTTTCGCGATTGTATTCTTCACAAGCTTGAACCAGGCTCGATATTTATCTGGATCTTTGTACTAGACTCTTTGATAGTCGATTTGACGTGATAAACACGTACTAACTTCGGGGTGTCGTTTAATAAAGCTTGTAATCTAGTTTCTTCTAACTGGAATGTCGTGACGTAGCTCTAATAAGCGATTAGCTATAGCTTTAACGTCACGCAAGCGAGGAGGCTGAGCTCGAGAATGTAGGTCGAGAATGTCTTGAATTATCGTATTTTCTTCTTCATTTGTTAATTTTCGGCTTTTTGAAGTCGTATCAGCTCGACAAGGGATTTTAGTACGACGGCGTTCGAGGGTTAATCGAGAGACGTTGTAGATCCGTGCAGCTTGTAGAATAGTGAGATTAGAGTCTTTTTTGGATAGCTTGAAGAGCTGAGATTACATCAGCTTCATTTGATTCATTTCGAACAATGATGTGTTGTTTGTTAAAGGTTTTAATTCAGTCAATTAAAGAGTGACGCGAGGTGGCCCAGTCACCCGTGAACCACGTTATATATATTAACTAATCAATAAGTTTATATTAAATATAACCGTACGTAATTTTATCATATTCTTTTTATTGTTATTAATTTTCATGTTTAACTAAACACTGTAACTAGTAGAGCTACAGTAATTAAATAGCCCTTGGGTACTACAGAGGACGCCGCCCATGTAATAGCGGGGCTCATCACCTTTGGCGGGGCAAATTTGGCGGCTTTGTGTGCCTTCAGCGGCAACGACTCTTCAGGAGCATCGTTGGAATTCGTTTACGCAGCATCGCAGTAAAAGGCGCCTTTTAAGCGAAGGCTCCAATTTGATTGCTATATCAGAGTATATAACGTACATTCATACCTCTCACACTCCGCCAGCTACACCACCCGCCCATCATGGCCGAAATCCAGATCAAGCTTCAGGCGTTATCAGACGACTACCAGAAGTTACAGCAGGGTACATATCGTCCTTGGTAGCCTTAAGAGTATTTTAAATCTCTAACTCGAGTATAGAGATGCAAACGATTGTTGCATCGAGACAGAAGCTCGAGAGCCAGAGCCAGGAGAACGCTGGTGTGCAAAAGGTGAGTTGAGAACGTGCCCCTCTCTGTACTCTCCTAGCAATATGCTCACAATCTATGCAGGAATTCGAGAGAATTGGCGATGATGAGACTATCTACAAAATGGTTGGGCCAGTTCTTTTGAAGCAGGACAAGTTTGAGGCCGAAAACACCGTCAAGGGACGTCTGGATTTCATCGCCAACGAGATGTAAGCATTCCCCAAGCTCAAAACTGCTAGTTTTACTCTACTAACAGCCATATTACTGTAGCACAAGACTAGAGGACCAGATCCAGGAGACACAGACCAAGATTGAGAAGAAGCGCACAGAGATTATCCAGTTGCAAACATCGGCGCAGGCTCAACAGGGTGCCTAGCCCCAATAGGAGATTGAGGCTACTGAGTATGGAGGCGTTCTACAAAAGTAATGAATTTATACATGTCCAATTTAATAGAGTGGTTGTCTCTAGCAATTAGACGTTGGGGGCGTGAAAATAGGCAGCAATATTGAGAATGGTCTGGGCCGGGTCACAAGCCAAGTCTGGCAGCTACGCATGTTCGGTATTCTGTCTAAACAGAGGCTCACCTAAGTTTAATAGGCACATGCCATATATATACTAAGTATATAAATTTATAGGTATTTTCTAAAATATTTAAAAGGCGTGTGTCCAACATCCATCCCTGCCGACAGGCAAACTTTCAACGCCACGCTCCACCCGCCTCAGCCGTCAAGGTCGGAGCTTGTGACGCGGCGTGCCTTTGCCCCTCCAACACCACCATCATTCATCTGCACCACCAACGCCGACTCAACCCGACAACCCGCGGTCAACAACGCCATAGTCACACACACAACACACTATAATGGAGCCTCAGTCATAGAATTAGCACTCGAGTACATATCGCACTGCCTTCGCCCGCTGGCCGAGCGAGAGCCGTCGCCACAATGCAGACAGCGAAGGGCATGCGGCCTGGAGCGCCGCCGACAATCAAAGAGCTTGTCGCGCAGGCAGAAAACTACAATTTCAACATAAACGTTCCTCTAAAGCACTGGATCCGTTCTGCTGAAACATTATATCAAGAAGTACGTGGCTAACCTTGCTGTCAACACTCATGGTGCTAACCAGGCTGCTAGGCTGCTTTTGCGCTCTCAGACGGCGACTATGGACGAGCCTACGTCATGCTGTACAGACACTCGATGCTAGTCATCAACTCGTTGCGAACACATCCTGAATTCAAAGACCCCGAAGGCCGCAAGTCGGTCAAGCCCCTCCTCGATCGCATCGATCGCATCATCAAAGACCTAGAAGATCTGAAGCCTGAAATAGAGAGCCAGCGGAAAGAATGGGAACGCATGACGGCACAACACCCGGCGAACCAGAAGCAAGCGGCGTCTGACAAATCTGCTACGAGCTACGAAGATCACGCACGGCTAGACCCGACACTCCGCGGCAACGCCCAAATCCTAGATGCTTCCGAGAACCAAGATCTTGCGGTAGATCTTGCTCGCGAGGAACTAAGCCGTCGTGATACACTACGTCGAAGCAGTCGCCAACCGTTCCCAAGCAAAATCGACGATGCGGAACTGCAACGGCAGATTGAGGCGACTCGAAATACCTTGGACAGGGCGCAACGGGGAGAGTACGATGATGAGAATCGTACGGCGGCACCAATTCACAGTCAATACAACTATCCTTCCGTAATGAAGTCGGCACCAGTATCTCTGGACCAGCGCCCGGCTCTACAGCCGGCTTTACCCCCATCAAGACCGCCTAAGGCCGGCTACGAGGGACGTCCAATGTTGCCGCCGAAACAATACCCCCAGCAATCCAGCATACAACCTGGACTGCCGTCACATTATGCTACACATGCCATGGACCGACCTCTTCTGCCTCCCAAGGAACTTATGGCTGCGGCCCCTGCAGTGCCCAAGAAACAACGTCTAACCTTTAAACCCGGCGCATACTTGGAGAATGGCGATCCTATTCGATCCCTCTTCATCCCGAGCAAGCTGCGACAGTCCTTTTTAGAGATTGCTGCCAAAAACACGGCGGCAGGGCTGGAAATGTGCGGTATCCTCTGCGGCTCGCCCGTTAACAACGCGCTGTTTGTGCGCTGCCTTCTGATTCCAGACCAAAAGTGCACATCCGATACGGTGGAAACAGAAAATGAGTCCACTATGGCCGAATACTGCATAGAAGAAGACTTGATGATTCTGGGTTGGATTCACACGCACCCGACACAGACATGTTTTATGAGCTCGCGAGATCTACATACGCACGCAGGCTACCAGGTGATGATGCCGGAAAGCGTAGCGATTGTCTGCGCTCCCAAATATACCCCTTCGTACGTTGCTTTTACTCTTGACACTGTGACTCTAGCTAACATGTATCCTGCAGATACGGCATCTTTCGGTTAACAAGCCCTCCGGGATTGGGTCACATCCTGGACTGCAAGCAAACAGCGACATTTCACCCACACTCTGTTACGAATTTATATTGCGAGGCTGAACATCCCAGCGGGCACGTGTACGAGAGCGACAAGCTGCCATTCTATGTGCATGATTTACGATCCAAGTAAAGACAGACAGGAGACGAGCGTGCGCAGTGCGGCGCAGCGCAGGCGCAGATACACAGTTATAGACGCAGTGGTAAATACAATCAAATACAATATTGTAATGTTCCCTTTCTTTTCTTGGCAGATTTTTTATTCTCTATATTGAATGCATTAAATTAGGCTCGATCTGTAAGGCATGTCTGGAATGCAAGTTATGTTAAACAAGCTGCTGGTGAATTGGGTTTAGCGCCCTTCAGCGGGTAACGTTTCGCCTGCCACCCACTGGCACGTTTCCCCCAGGCGGTGTCCCCTGAAGAGCGCATCGGTGGGGGCCACGGGTGCGCTGTGGGCTGCATTGTTCCAGTGCCAGCCACCGTCAACAACTCGATCGCGGTCAGAGTATAAAAACCAAGCACACGGCTGCTACTGCTACTACACATAATTAATTGTTTGCAAAATTCTCCCCGCATTTCCTTTAACCACTCATTTTTAATCAACCAAAAATCATGAAGCTGGCTCTTCTTGGTTCGCTAACCCTCGCTGGCTCCGCGCTCGCCAACTTGGACGCCGCCGCCATCATCAAGCAAATCGCCCCCAACAGCGTCTCCTGCGCCGGCGCAACACCCGATTGTCGAACAGCTAACCAAGTAGCGCCCCATGCTGTCCACTCCATGTCCCATTATGGACTCTACTCGCCCAAGGAGATGGCGGCCGTGCTGGCCCTCATGGCATTCGAGTCGGCAGACTTCAAGTACAAGCACAACGTGTATCCAGGGCGCCCTGGTCAAGGCACAGCCAATATGCAAATGCCAAGCTTCAATCTCAAGTATGCCCAATCGATTCCGGCTGTCAAGGGCAAAGTGGCGGGCATCGGCTCGGCAGATGGCCTGCCTGCGGCCAAGCTCAATGAAATTCTGGCCCTCGTCACGCCCGACGAGTACAACTTTGGCAGCGGCCCTTGGTTCCTGGCTACCCAGTGTCCGGGGGCCGTGCGAGATGCCCTCAAGGGAAATGTCGACGAGGGGTTCAAGCAGTACATGGCGTGTGTGGGTGTTGCCGTGACGTCAGAGAGGTTGGCGTACTTTAACAGAGCGAAGCAGGCGTTTCACCTGTGACGAGAAGCAAGCAAGCAAGCAGGCTGAATGGAAAGATTAGATGGGCCCATTACGATCGTTACGAAACATATTTTTTTTCCTTTGTTTTTTTATGATTTGTATCTTTTATGAAATCGCTCAGCGAATGTGGTCTGATGCTGGGTATATCATGCCATATTACTTACTTGGTATACGACACACAAACACAAACACAAAGTCTATAATTGATTAGCAAAATCTAATTATATTACAAATTGCGTGAATTTCTACACCGTTTAAAAAGGAAATGAAACAGCTCTACACTCGTGGTGCCCACCACCACCACCACCTCGGCTCGGCTTATCAGATGGCATCTCCATCAGATAAGATTACCCACACCAACTTACATCGCCATTGCGCCTCCACCACCTTTCCACTTTGTTCCCCGCAGCGCCCCTCCTCCCCGGGTGAATACGACACTTGTCGTCCCCGGTTTTCCACGGCAATTGTCCCTGTCTTTTTTAAGCTTCCTTTACAGCCAATTAGCCACTCGGCAGTCGCACATCTGCGGAGACTTTGCGTCTGGAATTCCCACTTGCGTTGGTATGGCTGAGGTGCAGAATGCTTGGCGGGGTTTGTGTATAGAAGGAGGCTCTGCGCTGCAGGATTGTGAGGGGTTTTCTTGTCTTCCTTCTCCTTATTCTCTCTCCTAGAAACACAAGGGAAAGTTCATCCTTGTCTTTGTACACACAATGCCTCAGGACTATCAGTCTCTCAACGACGTCGCTGCCCAAATCTCGGAGCTGACGCAGTCACTTACAAAGTTGCTGGAAAATGGCAATGTGAAGCAGCCGAGCTTTGCGGCAGACAGTGTCACGCGATATGAAGGCTTGGACGGCGAGATGTTCATGACGAGACAGAAGCTCATTGATGCCATTACCGATATGTGGTTTCTTACACAGGGACCCAGTGAGAGTATCTTCAACTATGCCCATTCCGTAAGTTGACTTGGGGTTTTCTGGGATCGTGCAAGCTAACATTTGAACTACGTAGGCTATCCCAGACGCTTCTACCCTCAACATCTTAAACTACTTTGATTTCTGGGCTGCCGTTCCTTTGGACGGTACAGCTACATACGCGCAAATCTCCCAGAAAGTCCGTCTCCCAGAGGACGTCGTCTACCGACTGCTACAACATGCCGTCAACCTTCGCATTTTTGCTGAAGTTGAAGCGGAAGATGGTTCCAAGTCCATTGCGCATAACTCTCGCTCAGCTGCCATGGCCAAATCGAGTGGCCTTCGCGGCTTAGTGTCTTGCACGCTGGACGACGCCGGTGCGCCTGTGATGCTCATGCACGAGTCTCTGCGAAAGTTCAATCTTGATAAGCCCAAGCTCACTGAGAACATTGACGAGACGGCCTTTGCTCTCCTTCACAAGAATGGTCCGTATGGCAACCACACGCGTATCTGGGACTTTGTCGAGAATGACGGTGAGGGTGAGAGAAAAGGCTGGCGTCAGCGTCAAGTCATCGAGTTTATGAAGTACCTCAAGGCTCTGTTCAATTTGGACGGTATTGTGGCTGATGCGCAGGACTGGAAGTCCGCCGGGGACGCCACTGTTGTCGATGTAAGTCAAATAGGTATCAACCTGTAGAACAAACGGTCAACTAACATGCCCGTTCAGGTAGGAGGCTCTGCTGGCCATGATGCCTTTGAGCTTGCCAGACGCTTCCCTGATCTCAAGCTCATCGTGCAGGATCTTCCCGAGGTCGAGCCAGTCTTCAATGCAAACTTGCCGGAAGACGTCAAGGACCGCGTTTCGTTCAAGGTGCACAATTTCTACGAGCCTCAGCCCGTCCAAGCCGACATTTATCTTCTCAAGATGATTCTACACGACTGGCCTGATGAGCAGAGCATCAAAATTCTTCAGGCGCTGCGCCCTGGACTACGCACCGGCTCCCGTGTCATCCTGTTTGAATACATTGGCAACCAGAACGAGGAGAACAAGAAGATCTTGCCTCGCACTATGCAGCACATGGGTACTGCTACGGACATCCGCATCATGGGCCTATTCAACTGCGAGGAGAGAAAGGTAGAGGCCTGGAGCAAGCTGTTTACTCAGGCAGATGAAAGATTCCACGTTGTCAACGTCAAGGCCGACCCGGTAACCTTTTTCGCGGTCGTCGAGGCTGAGTGGAGAGAGTAAAAAAAGCAAAAAGCAACGCGATGAATATATGAACGTTGATTTTGTTGTGAATTGTTCCTATTGTGTCTTTATACATGCAATGCTACGGCATTTCGGTGCCAGAATGCGCATCTCTCACGTAGCTCATCACCAATATCAAGCATTTCCGTCTTTCCGCCCGTCTGGAATACCATGCGTTTTGTCGAATTCGCTGACCATCTCTCCCAGACTGTCTGATCAGTCTTGCACTTTCGTCCAGCTCGGTTCGGGTTCAGGGAGCGGATAAAGTTGGTCCAGTACTTTTGTACAACTGATGACGCCTTTTCGTTAATGCCGCCCTTGTAGTAACTCTTAGGCACCTTTGAGTCTGGAGAGAACTCTGGGCCAACAATGGCACCAAACTCAACAGTGTGCGGAACACCGAGACCTTGAGCGATCTCGTCGGGATCTTCCACGTTCCAGAGATACTGGTAGCTATTGCGGACGCCGTAGCCTGAGATGGCTGTACCAACAGCCATTGCTGGGCACATGTAGCGAGATTCACCGTATGCGTTGCTTGTTTCACGCCAGAAACAGCCCTTATCACCACTAGTGCAGCTCATGTTGGTGTTGGGGTAGAGGCTGTTCATCTCCTCAAGTAGCTCGAGGGTGAAGAAGGGATATTGGTCGAGCATGTACATGTTGCCTTCCGCTTGTGTCGCTGTTGATTGTGGGACAAACTTCGTTCCGCCATTCTGGTCGTCGCCGTAGATCACTGGTACTTTGATAAACTTGCCCTGGTCAAGAAGGTTGTAAGTGTAGTCCGGGACAAACTCGCCATCAATGAGGGGAGTCCACATGTAGCCGGGGGGCTTATTGCCGCCAGGGAAGGGGATGTTGTAGTTTTGCGCCTGCAGCTCGTCTTCGGTCTTGCTTTGAAGACACGATAGACTGTCTTTGCCTACACATCCAAATCGTGTAGCAAAAGAGCGGTACTGGTACTCCGCTTCCTTTTCGGTAAGCATGAGGGCAAAAGAGGGGGACTCGGCTGTTGCACCGATAAAGAGGCCGCGATCTTTGCCATTGTCTGCTGTCAGATGGATAGTGACACTTTCGGCACCTGCACTGCTTCCTCCAATCACCACATGTTTTGGGTCACCACCAAACTTTGCAATGTTCTTCTGCACCCATTCAAAAACCTTGCGCTGGTCTCGTAGCCCGTTGTTGGCCGTGATCTTGTTGCCGCCGTCGGAGATGAAGCCGTACGGGCCTACGCGATAATTGAACGACACAAAGACCATGTCATAATCTGCAGCGGGGATAAGACCCGAGGCATTGACATTTGGGTTCGAGTTGGTGTTGAAGCCACCGCCGTGAATGTAGACAAAGACGGGAAGCTTGGAGATAACAGTAGCATTAGTAGGGGCTTGAACGTCGACAAATAGACAATCTTCGCCATGGTTGGCTTGCTTTTTAAGCTGCCCGGTTGAGAGGCAGATGTTTCCATGCTATGATTAAAGTTAGCACGACTTCAATTGGCGCTGTGTTTACTTTGTCGTTACCTTGTTTGCTTGCTCTGTCGTGCCAGTGTGCGGGGGATCTTCCGGCGGCGTAAAGCGAAGCTTACCCACGGGCGCCGCAGCATAGCGCATACCAAGCCATTGAGTGATGCCGTTGGAAAGCTCTTGTCCGACATATTTGGTGTATCCCAAGTCCACGGTTGTTTTGGGAATAGCCAGCGCGTGAGGCGCAAAGGCGGCGGTAGCGACAAGCCACGATAGGGCGCTACGTGGAGATGCGCCCATGATGGATAGCGATTGAAGCGTGTATCTAGCGGAGAGGATGGCAATTGGTCCGATAAATGACAATGTGATGCTAAGCAAAGGACAGAAACCCGGTATTTCCGAGGTTTTTCGAGAATTAAATTGACGGCGCCGGCAAAAGTCACGTCGCTGCTACTTTCCAAGGTTCAATCTAAGCCTGGGGAAGTCCGTTAGGCCATAGAGTCAACACTAATCCCCTTTTGGTTGGGCGTCTTCACCACCACGGCTAAAATGCACTTCTTCCATTCACCTTGATGGTTAAATCGTCCATCAATCAACTGTCAGATGCATGCAAGTCAGATCGCCGATAAAGTTTTGTCCGGGAATCGGCCGGGTGAGAAGAACGGTTGAAATCCATGCTGTCACCTGAAACATCGTCGAAGTGAGAGACAACACAGGTGATGCACGCGTGTGGCGATGACCAGCAAGAGAAAAGCTGCCCATGTCTGGTCGCGCTCGTTTATAAACTTCTGTTTTGGGCCATTCACATAGATATGCACATGCGAAACCAATCGTAGTTGACTGGTAGCCACACCCAAAGATATTCGACGTCTTGTTGAGGAACTTTTGGCATCTCGGCAACCAGTCTTGACGAAGTACTCAATCAGCGTCGCATCACACACTCTTGTTGTTCCTTTTACGAGAAGGGCATCGTCAGGAGCAAAGACAGGCTTCGGACATATCTCGTCAAATGAGCGACGGATGGGAATGCCCTTGAGTCCGGGGAACGCACGGCTCTCTCGGCTCATCGCTACAGTACATTCACCGTTTGGGGGCACCTAATGAACATCATTTTGAATCACCTTCCTATAGCCAATTAGTTAGTAGGTCGTTTACAGCTCGCGTAGAACTCACGGCAATTGTTTTTCAAACTGCCAAACTCCCCGCCCGAAGATTTTTCGCTTGGTAGGATTCTCTGCAGCTCGCTTGTGCCTGGAGCACCCTGTTTCGTGAAGCCATCACAACCTGCCTAATTTGGTGATGGCGCCATATAAGCTTGTCCCCATGATAGGTGGGCTCGTCTCCTGAATAGAGGGGTGCCTGTCGCCTGTAACTCCGCATTGTCAGCCTCTTCTCCATGTGGTGGGGGAGGCGCAAGGACTTGGGAAGCCCAGTTGGTTTCAGATACAAGCTTAAAAAGCTAGAGGCAAGTCTGTAAGGACCCGCACGAGTCAAGCCTGCTAAACAAGGATCGTTGAGCCAGCGGCGAAATAACCTACGCCAGTGAACCGGAAATTTCTGCCACAGAATGTCATGTAGAAGCTTGTTCCATGCTTCCGTAAAATGTATAGTACCGGTTGGTGTAGTACCGTTACGTCGAAACTCGTTCACAGGATCCCCTGAGTAAGACTACTCTAGTCAACCCCCGAACTAACGTGCATCTTGTGGGGAGAATTTCAGCCCCCCAACATCTTTATTTTCCCCTTGCGAAGAGCCTCTCCAGAAAAGGAAAGTTGCACTGGAAACGCAACGCTTTTGCCGGAGCATAGTATCCCGTAGAGTGGGACAGCTGTCACAATACTGGGGGCGTTGTGTCAGACGCTTGATGGGAAATAGTAGTCTAAGCAAGCGCTAATGCTAGGTTAGGAAGGTTAACATTTTGGTGCCCAGTCCGTTTCTATCGTTTTAATTACCGAATACCCAGGGAACGCCTGGCCGATCGTCGGCATATGTGTTAACCAGTCTACAAGCTCGGCTGCACCACCTTACCTAGCGAAAGTTAGGTTGGTTAGAAAGAGTTGCCCAATTAGCGCTTATCATCCTGCGTGCATGATGGAGCTAACAATCTAGCTTGTTTCCCTAGGCGAGGAGCCATTGTTCGGCCTGGCCTTGCCGAGTCCCAGTGCTGACCTGATCTCCGACTATAAAAGGGCCATTGTCGCCGTCTGATTCCAGAGGATAGAATATCAGACCAAAGTCAGCTCCATCCCATCATCTCTTCTCAAGTTCAATACTCTTTCTTCTCATACACGTCCAAAATGTTTGTCAAGACTGCCCTTATGGCCCTTCTGGCCACCTCTGCCACTGCCAGCGTCATCACCCTTGACGGCAGCTGTGGTAACCTTGAGCCTACTGCTGAACAGCTCCAGGCTGCCCGTGAGATGGGCCGCCAGGAGGCCATGACCTCCTTCGCTGATGATGGCGATGACTTGAAGGCCACCACCAACGTGCCCGTCTATGTCCATGTCGTTGCCGCTGGTAAGAGCAGTGATGAGGGCTATGTTTCGGTAAGATGGTACCCCACAAGTATAATGAAGCAGGTATAAGGATTTGATACTAACCAGTAGACAGGAATCCGACATCAAGACCCAGATCTCCAAGATGAACACTGCCTACGCCAACACCACCTTCCAGTTTGACCTCAAGAAGATCGACTACACTGTCAACAAGGACTGGTCCGAGAACGGTGATGATCTCGCCATGAAGAAGTCTCTCCGTGTTGGCGACTACAAGACTCTCAACATCTACTACCAGACCGATCTTGGACACAGTGGCAACAATTACGTCCTTGGCTACTGCCACTTCCCCACGACCACTTCCGAGGGCGAGGACAGCTTCACCCTCGATGGCTGCAATGTTCTCCACAAGAGCTTGGCTGAGGGCACTACTACCCCTCACGAGGTCGGCCACTGGATGGGCCTCTTCCACACCTTCCAGGGCGGCTGCACTGGCGACGGCGACATGGTCGATGACACCCCCGCCTGCAAGAAGGATACCTCCTGCCGGGAGGGCACTGATACTTGCCCCGACGTGGATGGACTCGACATGATCCACAACTACATGGCCTACGGGCGCTGCCGCTATGAATTCACCGATGGCCAGGCTACCCGCATGCGCAGCTCCTACAACAAGTACCGCGCTTAAGCGTGTAAGACCATTTTTAGAAATTGTTATTTTGGTGAATCGTATACATTGAACTGGAGTTGGCGTTGTGAAGTGTAGCTATGTTCCGGGGTGGGTGTATATATCCTGAAGTATATAAAAGGGCGGGTGAGAGACCGTTAGTAGAGCGAAATGAGATGACGATGATGACGAGTATGACGAGAGTATATTAGCAAAAGGAAATGTACATGAAGAAAACCGCCGCGTTTGAAAATATATTTCTCAGAGTCCACTAAAATCCAGGAATGTTTGGAGGCACTGCGTCAATTTTCATCGATGCGTCGTTCACAGAAGTGATATTGCCGTGTACCAGGCCATCCTTGGAGTCGGCCAAGTCGGCCCATGTGCTCTTAAGTTCGTCAACGCGGACGCTGACCTTAATACCTACTGGCAGGTGTGCGGTGCTGAGAGAGAGCAGGGTCAAAGGCTGCGTCGAGAAGAACGTATTCGTGGCGCTTTCTAAGCCGCCGTCGACAAAGACTTCCAGAATAGATCGATCAAACACACCACTCATGCTCCAGGTATCCTTGGTAAGCAGGCTGTTCGTGGAAAACTTATCTGTAAAGAATACATTGTCGAAGCCCTTGGTTCCGCTGCGGTCAATGAAGAATGGTGTGTCACCGCCGAGGAAGAAGCCACCCTTGAGGTTCTCGCCGGTAATAGGGGATGCAACAGTAAAGTTGAGAGTTGCCATGTCCGGAATACCAGACTTAGGGATGCCTGTCACATTGACTTGCCAGTAAATGGCGTTGGACTCGACATCACTAAAGTCAACAACAACAGTACCGTTTCCAAGGTCCTTCTTATCTTCAAGCACTTCACCACGAACCGGGGTCAGGTCGTAGGGCTCATTAATGAGCTTCCAGCCAAGACGAGGAGCCTTCTTGAGGTACGTCTTGCGCGGCAAGCTCATAACACTGCGCCATCCTTCTTCGCTAGTAGGAACAACCTGGGTGTATTGCCAGTTGGAAGCCCATGCAATAAACACAGGGTCATCGTTTGCCGTCTCCTCATAGAAAAATTGGCCGGCATAGTTGTCTTTGCCAAAGTCGGCAATACGGGCAGCAGAGTCAACTGCATCAAAATGAGTGCCGTTGAACTTTCCTGGGTAATATTGCATGATGGAGCCGCCAACTGGGGCTCCGGGGTTCACGCTGACAGCAAGCAGCCACATATCATCGTGCTTTTCACCCTTTTCGTCAATGTATGGCATTTTGACGAGGTTTGGGCACTCCCATTGCAAGGCGAGCAGACCATGGTGAGAGAAGTTGCTGGTTGGCGTCCAGTCAACCAAGTTTTTGGAGGTGAAGATGCCGATTTCAAAGTCGTAAGGATAGGCCACCGCCATGACCCAGTGGTCATCGTAGCGAATAACCTTGGGATCACGGAACTGCGATGAGTTGCTGGCAATGACTGGATTTTTCTTGTATGGCGTGAATGTGTATCCTCCGTCATGAGAAACGGCGATGTTTTGGTTCTGAGGCCCTGGGCCATCATCATTGTACTCGGCCAGTGTCTAGAGAGAGGTTAGGATATTGTGAGACTCCAAAAAAGTGTGTAGGTTCCAACTTACGTAGACTGCTACCACGCCGTTGGTTTGGTTGGGGAAAAATCCAGATGTGTTGTTTACATCCACGACTGCACTTCCGGAGAAAACAAAAACGTTGTCTTTGGGCGGGAAGAGAGCGATTGGCTGGTTGATCCAATGATAAAGATCGTCCGAAGTAGCATGGCCCCAGTGCTGGTTACCCGCCACATTCGCGGTAGGATTGTACTGATAGTACAAGTGCCATGTGCCGTTTGCATCTCGAAACATACCATTGGGATCATTCATGAAGTGCTTTGGGGGTGAAAAGTGCACCTGAGGACGGTAGCGGCCATTGTAGTCGCCGGCAATGGGTACGCCTGTTGGGACTGTCGGGACTGTAGTGCTGCTGCTGATGCTAGATATCGCAGCCGCAGAACTGGTAGTGTTTGTGGCTGCGGCTCCCAAAGTAGCAAGCTGGAGAGTTCCCCAGAGACAGGTAGAAGCGTGCATCGTCACGGGTGATAAATTACGGACGTAGTGATGATGGCGATGCTGATCAGACCAAGAGACGAGCAAGGCGGGACTTTATACCTTGTTAGCCCGAAGTATCATTAGCCGGACCAAGCCAATATCGTCACTGGCTCTGCTTGGCCTCATTCTTGGCCCCATTGTAAATGGACGGCAATTGATGGAAGCGGATGCAGCCTGCATGGTGCTAAACCGTGTGCGTAAAAGGATGCCGGACCGACAAGGAAAGCTTGGGTACCACTTTATTCCACGATGGCGCCCACGATTTTTTTGTGGAGTGTGGCAACCAACTTGCTGTGGCGTTTGGAGCGTGGCGTCGCCAGTCCGCCTGCCGGTTCAGACAGGAAAATCATCCAAGGGACTCGTTCCATCGAGGCATGTGGCTCGGAGAATTAAAAGCAGAACAATAGAATTGGCTGTCACACTAGTCCAGCCATTAGTATACAATTATTTTACGTTCACGTCAAAACAAAGCTAATGCGTTGCTAAATCTACTTCGCCCACTCGGCTTTCGCAACGGGTGCTAGATGCGATTGGCTGGATAGGACAAGGCAGGATTTTCCACTGTACTATTGACAATTTACTGACACTACAAGCATCACTAATGAGTTAAACCGCCAGAAATGAGATAATAGCCATCTTCAAACGATTTTTTACCCCTTCCCTCGGACCGAGTTTGGGCGTTTTGTCCTCTTGTTTGCCATGCTCGTACCTGTTACCCGGTACACCAATAACGCCAAATACGGCCTCGTCTTCATCACAACAGAACTAAGACGGACGTGTGAGTAAAAAATATCCACCACCATCTTACTGGTAAACCATGTATTAAAAATAATTCTACTTATTTTCTTAACCCTTTTTCTTGCTGCTAAAATTATCTCTTTTTCTCTTGGGCCTATGCCTTACGCGTCATTGTGCTCGCAAAAAGTTGGCGTTGCCCGGTCAACCGCTTCCGCCGGCTGTGCCAGCTGCGCCAGGTGCCTGTTTCAAACAAACCCACCCGTTGTGCAGCCGCCGGACTGTTTATGTCGTAGTGAGCCAAAGACAGACTCAAGCCTGATCCGTTTCCCCTCATCGCTCTCTTCTTCCTTCAAAACATCGTTTTTCCTACTCTGCATAGTCTTCTCTTTCTTTCCTTTCTTCTTCAATTGAATGAATTGATGACTTTGCAGCGCTAGAAACGACTCTTTTCTCCTAACAAAACCCACTAACATCATCTGTCTTGGGTCAACCCACTCGGCGCATTCCAGTCAACAACAACCAAACATCGCCAGAATGGATCGCCCAAGTACCCCTTCTCGGCCGCCGGAGTATACCCTGCCTTCCTATGACGATGAGCAGGATACCCCTTCGGGCCACAATCCAGCTGCTGTTCGTTTGTTGACCTCTGTTGACGAGCCTGTTGATACAGCTGCTAGCAATCTCTCGTACGTACACAACGCACCACTCACAGTCCAGCAGCCTCAGACACTCCCATCCTTTCTCTCCTTATCCTTTCCGCATCGTACAAGTCCGCAGAAGCCTGCATCGTCATCTACATCACCAGATCGCCCGTTAGCATCTACCTACAAGGCGTCTGCTATCCCCAGGCCCCTCAAAACCCATACAAAACAAACTGCAAAGTTGCAGAGGAAACCATTAGACGACTTGAACAAGTTTCACAAACAGTCGATATCCTCATCGGAGCGCGCTATCCCACCGAAGAAGATCACAGCTGTTCCCAAATCACCAGAAGCAAACAAACAGACAAATGTACAGCCTGTCACCTTGAACCATAACTCACAAAAGTTACCTCATAGTACCGAGTCTTCGAGACTTTCTTACCAGCCTAGTGTCGCTTCTGGTCACTCCCGCCGCGGCTCAGTCCTCGACGACGCTCCTAGCATGCCGCCTCCAGACTCAACTTACGTGCCCTACTCGGCTCGTGAGTCCCCCTCATATCGTCCTTGGACGCCCTCTAGAAACTCGGAGTTTACACGACCTCCAACGAACCTCAGCTATGAGCCTTCAGACATCAATGGAAGCCCCAGACCTGGCACACCTTCATCTAGATATGGTGGAAGCCCTCGCCGGCCACTCCCACCAGCTCCTCTCTTCTCCAACCCCGGAGCGAGAAACTCAGCAGGATCTGGGTTTGCAGATGACGCCACAGTTTCTATCCCCCTCAATGATGGCGATGATGTCTTTGCTCCTAGCTCAGACTTGAGTGACTCGCGCCCTCTCCCCGTCGGCCGCAACTCCTTCTCATCCGAATCCCAGGGCACCCTGAATGAGGATGACGAAGAATACTACGAAAAGGTCGAGCATTACGGGCCTGCTCCTGAGGGTGCCCAGGCCCGCCGAGGTGTCCGAGCTCCCCAAATGTCCAAGAAGGAGGTCCAGCTTATCAATGGTGAACTGGTTCTAGAGTGCAAGATCCCCACGATTCTCTACAGCTTCTTGCCTCGCCGCGATGAGACCGAATTCACTCATATGCGCTACACAGCCGTTACTTGCGATCCCGATGACTTTGTCGAAAGAGGCTACAAGCTGCGTCAGAGCATTGGCCGCACCTTGCGAGAAACTGAGCTCTTCATCTGTATTACCATGTACAATGAAGACGAGTTCTGTTTTACCAGAACTATGCACGCAGTCATGAAGAACATTTCTCACTTCTGCGCCCGTTCCAAGTCTCGAACCTGGGGTGAGAGTGGATGGCAAAAGATTGTGGTGGCAGTCATTTGCGACGGTCGTGAAAAGATTCACCCCCGAACCCTCGATGCTCTTGCCGCAATGGGCGTATACCAGCACGGTATTGCCAAGAACTTTGTCAACAACCGCGCTGTGCAGTCTCACGTTTACGAGTACACCACCCAGGTTTCTCTCGACTCTGATCTGAAGTTCAAGGGTGCCGAGAAGGGCATCGTCCCTTGCCAGATGATCTTCTGCCTCAAAGAGAAGAACAAGGGCAAGCTCAACTCCCACCGTTGGTTCTTCAACGCCTTTGGCCGTGCTTTGAACCCCAACATTTGCATCTTGCTCGATGTTGGTACTCGCCCTGGCGGCAACTCACTCTACCACCTCTGGAAGGCGTTTGATAAGAACTCAAACGTTGCTGGTGCTTGTGGTGAAATCAAGGCCATGAAGGGCAAGTTTGGATCCAACCTTCTTAACCCACTGGTTGCTTCACAAAACTTTGAGTACAAAATGTCCAACATTCTCGATAAGCCTCTTGAATCAGTTTTTGGTTATATTACCGTCTTGCCCGGTGCTCTTAGTGCCTACCGATACCACGCTCTCCAGAACGATTCCACCGGCCACGGTCCCCTAAGCCAGTACTTCAAGGGTGAGACTCTTCACGGAACCCATGCCGACGTTTTCACTGCCAATATGTATCTTGCCGAAGATCGTATTCTTTGCTGGGAGTTGGTTGCTAAGCGTGGAGAACGATGGGTTCTCAAGTACGTCAAGGGCTGCACTGGTGAAACCGATGTGCCTGATGCCGTCCCCGAATTCATCTCCCAGCGACGTAGATGGCTCAACGGTGCCTTCTTTGCTGCTGTCTACTCTCTCGTCAACTGCAGACAAATCTTGGACACGGATCATTCGATTCCTCGTAAGATTCTCCTCTGCGTTGAATTCGTCTACCAGTTCTTCCAACTCCTCTTTACGTACTTCTCCCTGGCTAACTTCTACCTCACCTTCTACTTCGTTGCTGGTGGTCTAACTGACCCGACCGTGGATCCATTTGGTCATAACCTCGGCACAGTTTTCTTCATCATTCTCCGCTACGCCTGTGTGTTACTCATTGCAGCGCAATTCATCATCTCTCTCGGTAATCGTCCTCAAGGTGCAAAGAAGCTGTACATGGCCTCTATGATAATCTACAGTATCATCATGGCATACACAACATTTGCAGTGTTCTACATTGTTGTGCGACAGCTTACGGATACGGAGTTGCGCAAGAACTTAACAATTGGAAACAACACCTTCACCAATATCATTGTTTCTATGGCATCCACCATTGGTCTCTACGTCTTCATGTCGCTACTCTACCTCGAGCCATGGCACATGATTACTTCGTCGATTCAGTACTTCCTCCTCTTGCCCAGCTACATCTGCACTCTCCAGGTCTACGCCTTTTGCAACACCCACGATATCTCATGGGGTACCAAGGGTGACAATGTCATGAAGACGGATCTTGGTGGCGCCGTGGGTAAAGGTCAAACTGTCGAACTAGAAATGCCCAGCGAGCAGCTTGACATTGACAGCGGCTATGACGAGGCTCTCCGCAACCTCCGCGATCGTATCACTGTTCCCGCCCCTGCCCCCAACGAGAGACAGATGCAGGAAGATTACTACAAGAGCGTTCGTACCTACATGGTGGTTACATGGATGATGGCCAACGGAATCTTTGCCATGGCCATTTCTGAAGTCTACAGCAACAAGGGCATTGGTGACAACTTGTACCTCCGCTTTATTTTGTGGAGTGTCGCCGCCCTTGCCGTTTTCCGTGCCGTCGGTTCTACGACTTTTGCCGTCGTCAACGCCGTCAACGTTATTATCGAAGGCCGTGTTCGCATGAGCCTCAAGGCTCCCAGCTGGATGGGTGGTGTTGGTAGCAAGCTGTCCGAGACCATGAGCAACGTTGGTAGCAGCTTGAGCCGATAGACGAAAACGCTTTCTGGTTGAGGTGTAATGTGTATAGGGGATGATAATTGGTTTCTGTTTGGTCTCATCAGTTGGGTTGTTTTTGTGTTTTTTTTCCTTTGGTCATTTCTTCTTTGTATTTATGATCTCATCAGTCTCATGATGAATGACCCGGTTTATGTTGGATGTCATAATGAAAATACTTTTTTTCTTAAACCTGAAGAGCCATTGTGTAATTGTTTACAACTTTGTATTTATTTGCTTTGGCTTTTAGACCCAAAAAGATATTGGCACAGCTATAACCGAAAAATGACAAATCTATTGCCAAGAAAAACACAACAACAAAGGGAATACGTTAACAAATGTAGATATACCGTTAATTTTCTTCATCAACGCCACGCTAGTCAGCTCTCCTTTTACTCTTCCTCGGATTCCTCTTCCGCAACCTATATATTCTTGTTAGTATATGGAACCGATTGGGTGGCTAACCCGCGTTACTTACGTTGTCATGGAAGTTCTTGCCGTCAGTGGTGGCCTTGATGACACCAACTCTGATGCAGAAGTCACCAAAGCGCTCACCCTCTTCACGCTCAATAGCATAGCGCTTGAGCAGAGGCTTCATGATCTCGAGGATCTCCTCCTCCTTGATGCTGGAGCGGTAGAGCTTGTTCAGACGCTGGCCGTGGTAACCACCACCGAGGTACATGTTGTAGGCGCCGAAAGCCTTGCCGACAAAGGCAACTTCAGCGAGCCAAGGACGGGCACAACCGTTGGGGCAACCGGTCATACGCATGACAATGGAGTCCTGGCGAAGACCAGCCTCCTCAAGGCAGTCCTCAAGCTTGGTGATGAGTACGGGCAGGTAACGCTCAGACTCAGCCATGGCAAGACCACAAGTAGGGAAGGCAACACAGGCAGAAGAGCTAAGACGGAGGCCAGAGAACTGGACATTGTCGAGTTTGTACTGCTTCATGAGCTTCTTGAGGGCAGGCAGATCCTCATCAGCAGCGTTGCTGAGAATCAAGTGCTGGTTACCAGTGAGACGGAACTCGCCCTTGTGGATCTTGGCAATCTCGCGGAGACCAGTCTTCATCTGGAAATCAGGAGTGTCCTCAATACGGCCGTTCTCAATGAAGAAAGTGAAGTGGTTGAGGCCCTTCTCATCCTTTTGCCAGCCAAAGGTATCGACGTTGCTCTTGAACTCAAAGGGGCGCTCCTTTTCAAACTTCTTGCCCCAAAGCTCCTCAACCTTGCCGCGGAAGACATCGACGCCCATGTCATCAATGGTGTACTTGAGACGAGCGTGCTTACGGTTCTTGCGGTCACCGTTATCACGCTGGACAAGCATAATCTTCTCGCAAGCAATGTGAACATCCTCGGGAACGCAGAAACCCATCATGCGACCAGTCTGGGGGTAGGTCTTCTTGTTGTTGTGAGTCGTGCCCATACCACCACCAGCAAGGATGTTGAAACCAGCAAGCTTGCCATCCTCACCCTTGATAGCAATGATACCAATATCGTGAGCGTACACGTCGGTATCGTTGTGAGGAGGAATGGCCATAGTAATCTTGAACTTGCGGGGGAGATATGTAGGACCATAGAGAGGCTCAAAGTCCTGAACGGCGTCGCCGGCGATTTGTGTCTTCTTGTTGTCGTCATCGGTCAACCAAATCTCGTGGTAGGCTCTTGTCGAAGGCAAAAGGTGGTCGCTAATAATCTGGGCGTACTGCTTAACCTCCGCGTGGTATTCAGACTGCGTGGGCAGAGAACTGCACATGACGTTTCTGTTGACATCACCACAGGCAGCAATAGTAGTCATCAGAGCACGGTTAATAGCCTGCATGGCGGGCTTGAGCTTGCCCTTGACGACACCGTGGAACTGGAAGGTCTGTCTGGTAGTAAGCTTCATGGTCTCGTTGCCAAGTGTGTTGGCAATATCATCCATCTGAATCCACTGCTTAGGGGTAGAAACACCGCCATCAAGACGGCATCTAATCATGAAGGAGTAGGCGGGCTCAAGACCCTGTGCCTTGCGCTCGTCGCGAACATCGCGGTCGTCCTGCATGTAGGTACCGTGGAACTTGGTAAGTTGCTGGTCAGAAGCAGAGATAGCACCAGTCGAGGTATCGTTCAAGCCCTCAACGATGGTTCCGCGCAGGAAGTTGGAGGCAATCTTGATGTCTTCGTTGGTAATGGGTGCAGGCTCATCAGGAAGGCCTTCGACGTTATCAACGCCGAGAGCTTGCCAGATCTTGGGCTCCCACTCAGCGTATCCAGTCTGGTAGCCATCGGGGTCCTGGTCATCTCCAAGGCCGATATCAGCCAAGTGGCGGCCACCAAGGTTGGTGAGGACACGGTCCAGGTCCTTGGCGGGCTTGTTGTAGTAAATCTTATCCTCCTTGCGGGGCCAGTAGTGGCTGTCACCAAGACCAAAGATGGAGTAGTTGACGGTGGCAAGATCGAACTCGGTGCTATCCTTGATGGCGTCCCAGAAGGGCAGACCGTTCTGGGGGAACTCACCCTGGCCGGCGGTAGAGGTAAGGAAGACAATGTTCTCCTCAGTGGCAAGGTCTTCCAAGGGGTAGTCTTCCATAGCCATGACAGAGGTCTTCAGGCCACGGAGACGGCCACGGTTAGCAAGTCGCTTAGCCAAAGATGTGGCGTTACCATTGTCGGAAGCGTAGAGGATGGTGAGGGGGGCACCGAGGAGGCCCTCCAAGAGCTCGTTGTAGGCATCCTTAGCCTTGCGCTTCTGCTGTGCGCGGACCTCGGTACCAAAGTCCTGTGCCAGGCTGGCAGCGAACTTGGGTTCCTTGTTCATGAGCTGGGTGAGCTGGTTGTCACGAGCCAAAAAGGTCTTGAGCTCTTGCTTGATCAATTCGGAGTCCAGAGAAAAGGTGGGCTCGCCCTTGGCATCGTTATCGGGGTTCCACCGGTACAAGGGCCAGTAGCCAACATCGACAGCCTTCTTAGTCTCCTGTAGAACAGTGAGAGGAGAGTCGGACTCGCCAAAGTAAGGAAGATAGGCCAAAACGACGGAGGGACCGTTGAACTTGTCAGCCTCAAGCATAGCCTGCAAGACCTGGGTGTAGGAGCTGTAGACAGCAGTGGACGCAACATAGACGTTGCCAAAGTTCATGGCGTAGAGACCAATGTCCTTCTTTCTTCGGTTCGCGTCGTCGTTGTTTCGTTCGGAGTATGGTGTCGAGTCAATGATGAGCATGTTGACGTTTTCGCCAGAGGCAAGAACGTGGTGAACACCTGAGTTGCCAAGATCATAAGACCAAGCGTCGGAACCGACAAGCCAGAGAGATTCCTTGCGGAAGAGTCCCTGGCTCTTGAGAAGCTGCTGAGCCAATGGCGAACCATCAGTCTGCAGACGAGCAATGACGTCGTCAGCCAGCTCGGTAGACTTGTTAGCATCATCGGCAGCAACAGCCCACTTGGCGAGCCAGTTCTTGGGGCCTTCAGTGATGAAATCCTTGCTAGTGGCAGCAGCCTTGGCGTCTACAACAAACTTCTTGCGAAGCTCCTTACGGGCCAGAAGAGAGCCGAAGCCAAACTCGGGGCTGGCAGCAACAGCAGGGGAGACACCGGTTGTTTGCGAGTCGAGGGCGTTGGCAATGTAGGTACGCTTTCCAAACAGCTGGTCAAGAATCTTGGAGTAGGCGTTTTCGATGAGGGGCTTCTCAAGGCCGTACTCGGCAGGTTGGCGGGGAGCCTCACGGACGCCGACCTCTAAGTTCTGGAGAGGCTTTTCAGCGGTAAGGTTCTGAAGAATGCCGCGGAGGGCCTGAGAAGCAGCTTCGGGAGCAATGTAGCCCAACTGGTGGCCGACAATGGTGTCAACACCGCCAGGACCGCTCTTGATGGAGGAAATAATGTCGATGAGCAAAGGTCCCCACTTGGTGGTCTTCTTGTGAATCTGCTCGAGGACAGCAATGCGCTTGATGGAGCTTGGGAGAACCTCGACCAGCTTGGAGCCGAGCCAAGGTCTGTACAAGCGTGGTGTGAGGATACCAACGTTGGCGTAGATTTCGTCCGCTTTGGCGCTGTCGACAGTCTGGGCAAAGGAGCCAGTATCGGAGCCGAAGATGAAGAGGCAGTTTTCGGCGTTGGCAGGGCCACTGTATTCGAAAGCGCTGTACTGGCGACCAACGGTTGCGTTGAGACTGGTCCAGATGCGCTTGGCGCAGACGTAAATGTCCTCGGAGGAAACACGAGGAGCAGTAGCCTCAACGGTAGTGGCCGCGGAGCCGGGTGTGTTGGCTTCGCTGGGTTCGGTGACAGAAGTTCCTCGCGAAGTGGCCTTGGAAGCCTCGGCGCTGGGTGCTGGCAAAGTAGCGCTGGCAGTGGCAGCAGCAGACTCAGCAGCGGCGGCAGTGTCAGGGTGATCCGAAGAGACAGCGACATGACCATCGTCAGCGTAGATGCCACCAGCGGCAATGGAGCCACTCTGGAAGCGGCGAACGCTGTCAATGTCCAAGATTTCGCGGACAACATTGGCGTCCTCAATGGCAATGGGTGTGTCGTTGGCGGATGTTTCGGAAGAGAAAAAGTGAATGACACCCTTGCCGGTGCGGATGGCGAGAGCGTGGGCAGTCAGGGCCATATCCTGAGCCTCTTGGAGGGTCTCGGACTGAACAAAGGTCCATCCTGAGTTACGAATGGAGGTGATTACTGAGTAGTCAGCAAAAGTCTGAGGTTGGAGAGCGACATGCAGGACAACGGGGTAGTTGGCGAGCTTGTAAAGGTGGGAGATGGCGGGCAGGAGGACGGTGGAGGGCGTGGTGACGGAGACGAGCTTGCCCGAGCGGACAGGAGTAAAGACGGACAACAACGGATCGATGTTGTGTCGGACAGATTGAATCTAAAGAGAGAAGTTGCCATGTTAATCACAGGAACTCAATTGACGAATGCCGAAGCCGGAACGTCGGTCGAGGAGCCGAGATACTTACATCTGGGACAGCGTCTAAAGTGGCAGCGACAAGACTCTGGTCCTTGCGCGCGGCGTATCTCTTAAGGTGAGCAGAGAATTCGGAATCCGAGGCAAGAGAGGGCTGGACGGAAACGACAACATCACTAGAGAGGTAGGCGATTCTCGCGACTGGAAACGCGGGTCACGTTAGTATTGCCGGGCAGCGGCAAGCATATGACGAGACGAGAGCAGACGTACCGGCCTCTCCAGGTGTGCGGACCTGGTGCTGGTTGGGATCCATCTTGTCGGTCTCTGTTGACGACGTAACAGCTCGCAACAGAAAGGACATGATGAAAAAGAAGAAGAGAAGAGGAGCAAAACGGGGATGGGGTAGAAGAGGGAATAAAAAAGAGGGAACCAAGGTTGCGAGAGAGCACGACGAGGCCACCACTGAACAACATGTGGCAGCTGGCGGGCAGCTGGCGACTTTTTTTTGGAGGCAGGCGGGCGATGCTACAGCGGACTGCGGCGCCTGTGGGAGCGCTACCGGGGATGCTGGAGAGCGCTGGAGAAAGGGTCCGCCCCTCGTGGAAGCGTGCACCCCGCCAAATCGCTGCAATTGGGAAAATTGTGGCAGCGCGCCCCACCAAAGACCAGAGCTCTGCCCAGTAAGCCTTCAGGTATTTAATCGCCATCTTTTGGAGGGGAATTGCGTGATCAGCTAGCTCAGTGGGGACATTTTCTCTTGCTGGACGACGATGCATTACCAAGGTAAACAGAGAGGTTGAGAGAAATATGTCGAAATAAATAATATGTAAAGTCCATTTAATATATCATTATCTAGTGTCTCAATTGCATGTCTTTTTTGGCATAAATATTGCATTTAATCCATTATAGACTCTGTCGAAACTACTGAAACCATCTACAACCTGTACAGTATAGTCCTAAACCGGCGGTGTCGGGCCCTCGCTCTGCGCTGCTCTCGACGCACGCCATCCCATCACACGACTCAAACTCCTTACAAATCCACAAATTGGCAGAGAAAAGCCATGCCATTCCATGCCGCACAGTTTATCCAGCTCTGATCCACCTTTTTGTCTGTGCTGTAGCAACCCGTATAGGCGGCTCTTTTACCAGTCGCCAGCCCGTTCCATTGTCTCTAGCCACGCGCCGGACTCGGACCCTCGGCAGCCATATAGAACACTCTCCATCCACATAACCCATTTCTAGTCGCTATTTAGAACTTCTGGCAATTCATTGATGTGCACTGGGTATAGAAAAAGTACATTGACAGAACGTGGACATAATCATTAATCGCGCCAATATATAAAGCCAATCCCCCTCTCCACAGCCATAAGCTGCATTTCCCCCGCAAAAGAATGCTATGAAGAACAACATAAAGACGATGCCATAAACCCTAAACAAACTCCATCCGGTCACTATTACAACCCGCATTACGCGTTGCTGCAAGTGCACGCCAGCCCAAGCCGCACCGACGACCCGGAGGCCGATATTCGCCTCCACAACCAGGGCCGTTGGATGCATCCCAGTTATTAATATATCGCCCACCTCTTTCGTATACATGAGCAATTGTGGAGGCTCCATGACGTGACACTCCTAAGCTTCTGCCTCAACCACATCTATAACATATATCCAATTACGCTGGATGCGTCACAATTACACTTCACCAGCCAACGTAGCTGATGAGCTTGCCTTTCGCGAATGTCCGTTTCCAGACCACTCCTCGCCCTCAGACACTGCAAGCCAGTATCTACGGCAGATGGAAATCATGAAGCGACCAATCTGTCCACGGCGGCCCTGGCCGTCTGGTAGGTCCAGCGCAAATGGTCCATTCTGGTCATCCAGAACATGAGCATCAAGGACCAACAGATGCAGATATCTCTGAATTACTTGTCGCGCAAACGACATGACGACAAACGTAAAATAGACGCGGATCAGCGTAGCAAAGCTGATAAAGACGATGCTCATGGCTGTGTCCTCGGCCGCGGAAAATGCTCGTGGCAGAGTGTTTGATCGTGCGCCAGCGTCGACCTTGTCGGCTTCGGGAGTCGCCGAGACGCTGTTCACGGAGTACCAGCTGATGCCAAAGGCAATAGTATATGCGGCGTTGATCACCGTATCGGCGGCATACAGCCAGGCAAGGGCCAGCGCCTCAAATGGGCTCTGCTTCCGAATGTGGGGGAGGAGGAATATAAGGGCGACAAGGACCGCAAGCGAGTAAATGTATGTCGAGAGCTGGAGCGCGGAAAGCTGGAATCCGGTCAGGATGGCGAGGATGCCGTAGAAGCCGGTGACCTTGTTGAAGACGAGGGCTAGCGAGATGAGTTCGGTGCCTGTCTGCAGGCTAATGAGGCCGAAGAGCGACTGCACGATATGTGATTAGCTGTGTATCTCATTAAGAAGTCGCAACAATCTCTGATCATGGCGACGTGGTCTTGTGAGGTCGTAATTACCTTTGGTCGTGGCACCCGTAAACATGTTCTCGTCAGTCGGGACATGGTGCTATGATACTAGCAGAACGTAGGCGGAATAGAATTCTGTTTCTATAATTCTACTTTGCAGATAACAAACGCAACACAAATGACACTGTTGGAAAGAGACGAGAGGAAGAGAGTAAAAAATGTAACAATCGCGGATGTTTCAGCGATTTCTCCGTTCCTGACCATCTGACATGATAAAATGGCCCACTCCATCCCGCCAATGCCGCCGGCTTGCCAGCAAAAAGCTGTCACGTGTGGCCGGCTTGTGCTGCAAGCGGGTCAATGTCGTCACAGGCCGCCCCGAGCCTCTACAAGTCCCCTGTAGCAGCGGCAATCTAGCGCTAAAGATTAACTTTGATCTACTATACGAGACCCTTTATTGTATTGGAGCACGCGACTACACGCTGCTAGACCAACACTGTTGTAGAGTCAATCCCGCGCTTTAAAAATGCCCTGAGATGAAAATTACTGTACTTAAAGCCCTCTACCATGTGTTAGGATGTGTAGGAACTGAATGGCTGCCTCTAGTGGTATCACCTCTGGCTCGAGCAAAGCAACTGTCGTCGGCAGTGAACTGCAATAATGTGTAATGTGTGAATAATACACTCAGCCATTTCTTTTACTGATTGGGTGCTCGTGGTTTATTTTGATATTTGCGAATGGTCCAGGACTGTGCTGAAACGCTTCCATATGCCTGGATATGGAGCGTAGGCGAGACGAACCATTGCAGGGCCAAAGCTTGAACATGACCTGCCAATGGTAAGCGATATCAAAATTATGCGGTTTAACAACTACAATGGATCATGCAATGTGACGCTGATATGTTTGGATCTCCGCATTTGTTTAGACAAAATGCCTAGGATTCATGCGCAAGAGTCTATCCATGTATATTAACATTGACATTTATCGTTTGTATATGGTCTTATTTGCCAGGCATGTTTCTTTTTTATTTTCCTCAGCTCAGTCTTCTATCCTAATTATCTATTACAATTGCAAGAGGAACGCCATCGCCACTGACATGGGGTTAAAATGGATGGTGCGTAAGGTTGTCGCGTGACGATGGGTTTGCGGCAATCCATCTCGGCCCGGCGCTTTTCATTTTTGTCGTCTACTCGTCTTGATGGTCTATTAACATGAGCAGCCTTCTTGGGCCTGTTGCGTGTTGGTCTTGACATCAATCACTACAGCAAATCTCGGTTAGTCTGTGCATCCTGTGTGGCAACGACCTGCTGCGACGTACTTTGGTTAGAGGCCTGAGCGGCGGCATCGGTGCCCTCCATGCCGGGGAGAGCCTGCGCTATTCTCTTGAAGAGGTTCTTGACGTTATGGCCGAGCTTGGCACTGGTTTCCACAAACATGAGGTTGTTCTTCTTGGCTTCGTCTTCACCCTGCTGCGTTGTGACTTCGCGCTTGTCGTTCAAGTCAGTCTTGTTGCCGACAAGGACAATAATGACGTCGTTTCCACGCTCGGCTCGGACATCGTCAATCCACTTCTTTGTATTTTGGAAAGATTTTGCGTCTGAAAGATGACATGTTAGCACGTGCGGATCTCAAGCCCTGCCGAGGCTGAATGTAGTGTGCTTACTAGAAATATCGTACACGACGACGGCAACACTAGAGTCGCGGATATACGAGGGAATCAAACTTCGGAAACGTTCCTGTCCAGCAGTATCCCAAAGCTGCAAGCGCACTGTTCGGTCCTCGAGGTACATTGTCTGGAAGAAGCACTGTTAGCGGCCACGCAGCGGTAAGCCAGGAGTAAGGTACATACCTTGGACAGGAAATCAATGCCGATGGTAGCCTGGTACATATTGTCAAACGAGTCGTACATGAATCTTGTAATCAACGATGTCTTTCCGACTGCACATGGTTTGGTTAGCAACCGCTGTGCGGCTCTCGGCCGAGGCTGACGACTCACCACTCTGTTCCCCCAAGAAGACCAGCCTATGCGCGCATGTTAGCATCTACAACCACGCAGCACGTACTCCAGCAAAAGCGACGTACTTGAACTTCTTCAAGGGGTTGTTGTATGAACCTCCGGCTTGAGCCATTTTGAAGGGGTATAATTGTTATTTGGCGGGCGGTAGTTGGGACGATGGTATAGCGAGGCGGGGAGGAGAAGCGAGACACTGGTGTGGCCGAGGCGTCGATCGCGGGAGATGTAGAGCTGCAAGATAAGTTGTAGTGGTGGAAGCAGTAGAATTAATGTGAATATCGGCGTAAATAGCAATGGTTTGCAGGTGGAAAACTGGCCGAACCGAAGGGGTTGCTATTTCTGTAGTCTGCAATGTGGTTTGTTTGGAGGGGTGGTGGTTCCGACAGAAATCGTGTCGGTCACTGATTCCAGGAGGCGGCTGCTGCCCGCCAGAGCGCCTCCAAGAGCCAGCAAAACCAAGGCGGTCGGCCTGCTGCGGGTGCTTTGGCGCGGTGGGTGCGCTGATGCCTGTGCTGTAGGGGTGCGGGTGGCCGCTGAAGAGAGAAGCGGCACGTGCTGATAAGAAACCCGGCACTGTGCCACGCCTGCTTCAAGCACCGCTGGATAACTGTGCGTACCGGAGGGGCTGGATGGCCAGACGGTGCAGGCCCCATAAAAAAAACTGCGAATAGTTTGGGCGGCATAGAATTTCTAGACGGGCCTTTTTGCTGGGTTTTGCCATTTACCAGTTACAGTCTCATCAGCCTCTGTTTTTTTTAAACAAAATACGCTGTGCAAATACGATACAATGCCTGCCATCGGTCAACGCTCTGGTGGCTCGGGAGATGCTCCCAGCCAGTATAACCAACGATCGAGAAAGGGAAAGAAGGCCTGGAGAAAAAATGTCGATGTCACAGAGGTACAGGAGGGTCTTGAAGAATTGAACAATGAACTTATCCGAGGGTATGTCTGAACAATTTAGGTGAATATTTGCTATGGTTTACATTGACTAACACCATCCCTGCAGTGGTGTTATCCGCGAAAAGGCCTCCGAAGATCTCTTCACCATCGATGTCAAAGGCGACGCCGCCGCTGCGAAAAAGCTTTCCAAGCACAGATCCAAGACTCTCAAGGCCGACGAGGTTCTCGCTCAACGATCTGCCATTCCTGCTGTCCCCATGCGCAAGAGACCCGGTGACAAGACTACAAACGGCCTTGTTCCTGCTAAGCGTGCCCGAAAGGACTGGGTATCCCACAGCGAGCTTGCCCGACTAAAGCGAGTGGCTGACGGCGAACACACCTCCACGATAGAACTCCGCGACGCTACATTCGATCTCTGGGACGCTCCCATTGAGCCCCCTAAGGACCCCAATGCGCCTGTCGTGGCCAAGATCAAGCAGCCCAAGACCATGTCCGAGGCCCCCATCTCGCTCGTCGCCAGCGGCAAGAAGGTGTCTGCCGTTCCCACGCCCGGCGGAGGATACAGCTACAACCCCGTCTTTGCCGACTACGAAGACCGCCTCGCTCTCGAGGGTGAGAAGGCTGTGGGTGCTGAGCGCAAGCGTCTGGCTGCCGAGGAAGCCGACAGATTGAAGCAGGAAGCATCTGCTCGCTCTGCTGCTGAAGCCGATGCCGCTGAAGAGAGAGCCAACATGTCTGAGTGGGAGGAGGACTCGGAATGGGAGGGCTTCCAGAGCGGCACGGAGGATGGCAAGCCCGCTGTCAAGCGCCCCGAGCGCAAGACTCCCGCGCAGCGCAACAAGATTAAACGCCGCAAGGAAGAGGAGCAGCTGGCCAAGCACAAGGCCGCTGTTCGCGCTCAGCGCACGCAGTCTCACCGCCTCAAGGAAATCACCGCAGAGCTTGATGCCGAGGAACATAGCAAGGCGCTTGTCCTGGCTGGAGCTGAGGATGCCGAGTCGGAAACAGAAGACGAGCTTGCTACCGAGAAGTTGCGCCGCCGCCAGCTGGGCAAGTTCAAGTTGCCCGAGAAGGACTTGGAGCTTGTCCTCCCTGAGGAGTTGGAGGACTCGCTGCGTCTGCTGAAGCCAGAGGGCAACCTGCTCAAGGACCGCTACCGAAGCATGCTTGTCCGTGGTAAGGTCGAGAGCCGCAGACACATCCCCTTCCACAAGCAGGCCAAGAAGAAGGTCACCGAGAAGTGGACACACAAGGATTTTGTCTTGTAAGACGTTACTACTTGCTGGATTGGTCTTGTTTTGGGGTTCGGGTTTACAATTCTGGGCTGTTTTCTTCACAAAAGCATATTTTCTGGCGCGAATGGTGTTTTATCGTTTTTGTTCTTTGCATACGACTTGGTCTTGTTTTTCTCCTTGCGAACATAGAATGTCATGTATCCGTTTTATATAAGAGACAATAAGAGAAATTCAACATGTAAAAAGAATCATCATCTATTGGTTTGCATTTGCTAGTGCTGTGATGAGCCTAGCTAGATATGTACTAAGGTATGCTCGCATCAAACATTAAAGGCATATCAAATCTCTACCAAACAGGCCACGCTTGGCCCAGTCCATCGCCAACAAGCTGCGCGTTCTGAAGCTAACGCTCTGCGCAAAATAGACTGAGCGCCAGGCATACACAGCCCAGAGACCACCCACAGCGCTCCAGCCGTCGCCGAGATCAAAGGCTGCGGAGTTGCCAATGTAGGCAAGGCTGCCCAGATGACGGTACTCAAAGGCCTTGTAGGCGGCAGCATCGAGGTCACCATCTCTGACATCGTTGATGGCCATACCGGGACCCATTCTCGCCAGTTTGTTGAACTTGTGGGCAAGGTAGATACCCTGCTGGTGTGCGCGCTGTGCTGTAGCCGGCAGGGATGTCAGCTTGCTGTCGATCTGAGAGAGGAGCTCGCGCAGCTCGCCAAAGTCGAGAGTGCCCGACTTGTCCTTGTCAAACTCCTGGAAGAGCTTGTCGAGACGCTTCAGGTGGTTAATGGCCTGTGGGAAGCGCTTCTTGACGTCAAGAGCTACGCTGCGCCAGTCGCTAAAGTGGAAGTGCAGCGTCTCGGGGTCCTTGCCACGCTTGTATGCAATGCTGCGCATATATGAGATGACGTGATCAGTGATGTTGTTCTGTACAGTCGAGCAGTCGCCAATGGCGTACACGTCGCCAAGCGGTGTACCGTTGAGGCGCAGATAAGTGTCTGTTTCGAGAGCGCGTGTGTTGGGCTGGAAGTCGCCGAGCTTGGCGGCAATCTTTTGTGCGAGATCTGTCTGCGAGACACCAGTAGACCAGAGGCAGAAGGCGTGGGGGATTTCCTTGGTGACTACCTTGCCGTCCTCACCCTGCTGTGTGAAGATAATCTTGTTTTCCTGGACCTCCTTGACTCGTGAGTTGGTCATGACGTTGACTTGGTCACGCTCAAAACGCTTCTCAGCGTACTCGGAGACAGCTTCGTCGTAGGTGTTGAGGATGTGGCTTCGGCTTTGGATCAAGTGGACAGAGATTTCGTTTCGCAGCAGCTTAGGGAATTGGCGTGTTAAGTCTTCGTTGAGGAGATCGTATAGCTCAGCAGCAAACTCGACACCGGTAGGACCACCGCCACTAATGACAAAGGAAAGCAGACGCTTGCGCTCTTCGTCTGTCGTGGTGGGCAAGCAAGCTGTTTCGAAGTTGCGAATCACTCTGTTTCGGATCAGGCGGGCGTCGGTAATGTCCTTGAGGAAGAAGGCGTGTTCGAGGCCCTTGACACCGTGGGGGTTGCTCACGGAGCCAACACCGATGACCAGCTTATCGTAGGGCACATAGAAGCTGACGCGGTTTCCGTTGGTATCCTTTTGCGAAACTTCGACGAGCTTCTCGTTGAAGCAAACATCATCTGCCTTGGCGCGGATGAAATGGCCATTAATCGGGTTGAGAATGTTTCGGATTGGTTCGACTAGAGATCGCATCTCGAGCGTACCAACCGTTGCAGAGGGCAGCATTGGCGTAAACAAGAAGTAGTTTGTGGGTGAGATGACAGTAATATGGTAGTCTTCGGGGTTGATGTTCTTGAGGAGGGCAACACTGCCCCAGCCTCCGCCGAGGATGACAAGCTTAGGCTTCTCGAGGCTCTGCTTCTTGGCCATGTTGTCTTCATCGTCAATAAAAACTTCAGCAATCGGCAGATTCTTTGGGCCGCCACGGTTGGGCTGAAGCGCCAGCTTGGCAACCTCGATATCGCCGTTCTCGCATCCTTCCTTGTAGGTGCTGGCATCGTAGAGGAAGAAGCCAACAACACCGAGTCCAACCACGGTGATGGAAATACCCATCCAAGCTGCGGCTCGGTAGATGAAGTTGAGCAGCTTTGAATTGACCTGGGGCAGTGGCTTGCCGGAGAGGTGTCGGGCCAACAGCAGCTGTTTCTGGTCGATCTGTATGGTCGGCCGAATAGATCGCGTGCGTAGGGATGCAATTGATCTTGTTCCAAACTGCGCTGTGTATAGACGAGCACCATGCAAAGCTCTAGATGTCGGGATACGCCGCATGGGCTGCGCGGCGCGGAGCGATGAGGGCATCGCGCGCGGGACCGTAGTAGGAGGCCTCATGGTGAGGAGAACGGGCAATTGAACTGCTTAAGCAGACCGGTTACCAGCACAAGCCATATGAAGCTTCACAGAAGCAAGGAAATAAATTAGGCAAAGGAACAAGACGCCAGAAAAATCCAATCGGTGGCGATGAAGAAAGCAACGGCGGAAGGCTCGGGGGCGATCGATGCAAAGACACAAAAACCAAGGCGGGAATTTGGACGGCGTCTTAGCGGCCCGAATGCGTCATAGGCGCTGGGAAAGAGCGGGCGCTCAGCGGATCCCTCACCAGTGGGTGCGTGCAGTGCTTGCAGTGGAGACGATAGCGGCTGTCTCGGAACATGCACGACTCCACAGCGGTTCTCACACTAGCATCACCAAATCGATCGCTTTCTGCAACACAAACACCATCACATTGACAGGGAGCATCGTGAATAAAAGAGCACGAAAAGTCAATAAAACAAATACTCCGTGTTTACTAACATCTGTGATTCAGCTGCACGATGGAAGATCGTGAGTGGCATGCACGAATCAATAAGAAAAAAAATAAAGACACGAGCAAACAAATGCATTTCAAACTAAACAATCTGCCTGCATCTACCTATTTGTGGCATCGGAATTAGAAACAGAACAACAGAAGGGCTTTCTGCCCACGGGTATCTAACTGTAGCAGCGCCTACACGCCCATCAACTTTCTAATTACTGAGCAGGATACGACATGCCACCACTGGCTTGGTACTGCTTGGTGCTATCGGTCTGAGCCTGGCGAAGAAGGGTCTCGCGATACTCGGCCTCCTTGTCCTGCTGGATAAGAGTGCAGCAGCCACAGCACCAGGCCTTGAGAAGATCCTCAACACAGGATCCCTCGAGATGGTACTTCTCACGCATCATCTGACTTTGGACCGCAATCGGCACACAGAAGCAGCCAACGCATCCCGAAGCACACAAGAGAAGGCACTGTATTGCAATCCGATGTTAGCACATCACTTTTGCTTCCATTCTTCATCACACAATAAAATCGCAAGACGTAATTGGTGACTTACAGAAGTGTTGACGGGCTCGTAGCCCTTCAGAGAAGGATCTTTGTGAATGCGGTGGTGCGCCTTGCCGAAGGTGACGCACGGAACGCAGCATGTAATAAGGCACGAGTCGACGGGGTTGAAGCAGTCAAAGAATCCAGCATACCACGGTTGAGCACCAGGAGCAGAAGATGAGTTGAGATGCTCAGAAGGGCGAGCGAGAATGTCATTGGCGCGATCGGTCCATCGCTTCAGGTCGTCCTGGTCAATTGGACCGCCAGTAGAAGCAGCAGCTGGAGCCGCAGCGGGAGCCTTGGTTTCAGTGATAGGGGCAGCAGCAGGTTCAGCAGCTACGGGAGCAGCAGCCACAGGCTCAATGGGAGCTTGAGCTTCGTTGTTAACAGGGGCAGACATTGTATCGTCAAGGTATCAGGTTTGTTGTTGATATGACAGGTGAGAAATGAGAGGTTATGCGTAATTATGGATCGAGGAGTCCTAACACCAGGTATCTTGTTGACAAAAAGGAAGTAAAAGAGAGGAAGAATTAGGTCGAATGGATAAAACCAACTCCTCTCACGCCACAAGAATGCGTATGCCATCCTCTTTTATACCAGCAGCCCAGAAGCCCAAAGCTAGTCTGCCTCGCTCTCTCGCCCCAACCGGCAGAAGTGCCGAGGCGCTAGACTAACCCAGTCCAAGCATGCAGGGCTGCAAGTGTGGCTGTCTTCCCTTGTTTCTTTTTCAGGATAGCCCGTGAAATAACCCAATAGGGCATTTTCTGGCCCTGCTAACCCCTATAAGGTCGAGGGTACCTACGCTCTATGAACGGCTGCTCGTGTAGCTGAAAAGAGGCCTCAGCTATCAACCTAGAGCTTGGCACCCTGAATGTGAGCTGTGGGGTGAACGAATTTCGGTTGTTTTTTTATCCCTTCTCTTAAATCTCTGCTCGAATGGCTCCTATTACCTACTAAACCTCTTTTTGCTTCATTAGTGGCGCTTACAAAGCTGACGATCAAACGACAACTTCAATGGCATATACCACCAGTTACAACCATTTCGAATGAATACCAAACTTCTCAGAGTAGCTATACTTTGAACAGTGAAACAGTCTCTAACACATGGGGCCCTGTCCGAGGTACTGGCTGGTCGGAGAATGCCAGCGTGTAAGTGGCACATCAGCCTCACCAATGCCCCCATCCGGCCGCCTCCAATTTCCCTGCATGATAATGGGTCCCTATTCCGATCTTGTGCTAGTTATCGCCTTAAAAACTTAGTATTTGGAAAATTCAATTCAGCAGAAGATGTTGTTCAAGAACTTGCGCGGCGACCCAAGTATAGCATCAGTCAACAGACTTACTCTACGAAAAAGGGACCGGTCTGTTAAATCCTCTCAACGTTCTCGACCCGGTAAAACCAGTTTCTCAAAGTTAGATTACGCCTACATTCCGGCAAGCGGGCGTGGAGCAAACGAGGCGGCCAGCTGAAAAGGGAATCCCCTTGCTAGGCGAACAGCTCACTTCCTGTGCGGCTGAAGGGCCAAGCCTTTGGGTTCACCATAGTTAATCGGCATCGTCGGTTCAGGTCCGCTGCCTGCCTGATATGCAGCTGCAAAAAGGAAATTAAAGTTATTCGCTCCTATTCCCGATTTTACCAATACGCGATAATTTTGTCTCTAAGCGCGCATCCATCTCGTATAAGTCATTAACTACGGCAGAGTGACTCCGTCGACTCGGTGCTAGCTGAGACGCTCTTCAGCCACCATTTTAGACTTTTCGCTCCTTTCTTCTAGGCGCACTCGCATCGTTCGAACTCATTCCAAGCCGTCAACGGTGGTTGGCGTATCATGTGCTCTTCAATAGCGTGGAATGGCGTGTGCCATCGCTTAAGCCATCTACGCAACAAGATGTTCAAGACACGATCCCGTGCATGGGCGGGCTAAGATTACACATCGTTTGGTGCAAAGGAATTGAGATGGTGAGAAAGCCCTTTTAATAACATCGTCATTTCTTTTTTTCCGATTACTGTACCCCCAAAACGCCGTTTCTCTACAAATTTCTATTAAATTTCCAACACTCTACTGAGCGTTTTGAACCTGGATGGTACCGTCAGGCTTGCCGTAGTAGGCGGCAATTGGCTTTTGAGGAGACACAGTTTGGGTAGAAGCAGCAGCTTGGTTTCCATTGACGCCATGAAACAAGCCAATTTCCACGATGCCGGGGATGCTGAGTAGAGCGGCAGCAAGCTTGCCGACCTCCCAGAGACCATCCTTTCCAGTGCCGTCTTGCTCTGCTGATAGGTCCTTCTGAAGCAACAATGGGGGGAATGGCGCATCAATGAGCCACATGCCGTTGTCAGTAACGCACTCGCCAGCCTTGCTAGGCAAACCAGATCGAACAGCAGGTTCGGTAGATCCCATCTCTAGAAGGCGAGCGAGAACATCGGGGGCAGCCAGAGGCAGGACTTCAATAGGAATAGCCTTCCACTTTGTGCAGAGTCGAGGGGACTCCTTGCGAGAATCTGAAATCAGATAGGTTAGTGGCTGGACTACGTGAATGCAGCTAATGGAAACATACCAGCAACAGCAATAAACTTCTTGGCAGCAACGGCCACAAGCTTCTCTTGGAACAAGCAAGCACCGCCACCCTTGATGAGGTTAAGGTCCTCGTCGACTTCATCGGCGCCGTCAAAAGCAACATCGAGAGGAACAGCCTTGCCGTCCACAACGGGACGTTCGTCCAAGCTGCAGAGGTTAAGTCCTGCCTTGCGAATAAGGCCCTTGGACTGGCTGCCAGTAGGGAAGAAGGTCATGTTTCCGTAGAAAGACGGTCCCTTGGCGGCAATGGCATCGACGACGTAGACGACGGTGCTTCCGGAACCAATACCAACATATTTGTATTCGGGGAGAAGATGGTCGTCAACAGCCTTGAAAGCAGCAGCCTTCTTGGCGGATTCGATAACAGCAGCAGCGTCAGACATTTTGCGGGATATGTATGGAGGGAGACCGCGGGGTATTGTAGATGTCGTAGCGCGGGGTAGCGTCGTAATAGTGATTATGCCGCGGGGACTCGTAATACGGTAGCGAAGTGTTGAGAAGGAAGACGAAGAAGATGCAATTGAGACACGGCAGCTGCCAAGACGAAGAGATTTTATAGTGCGCAAAAGAGATGCTGCTGTTGATGTCATAGGGCGGGGTGCGTATATAACAGTCAAGTTGCTGTCGCATCCAGAAAAAAAAAGCGGCCTTGTGCAGCAACACCCACTGCCGTGCGCCGTCAGACCCACTGTAGCCACTATAAGGTCTCCGCTAGGCTGTTGCGAGGTACCGCCGGTATTTATCTTTGTTGTATTATCATAATCAAGATATTGCATACTAACTTGGTGTAAGATCATATACGGACAATTTTATCGCAGGTAACTGCATAGACTATTGAAAATTTAGAGTACCTTTTAAGCAGAGGGCATCTTTCCAGCGTAGCCGGCAGCTAGAAGCTCTTGTACGATAGCATCCACACTAACAGCTTTACCCCAAGATACCAGATGGAATGGTCAAAAAGCCTTGGAGGGTCTTGATTTGGCAATCTTCCAAATCATAGTTGAAGTTCATGCCACCATACGGAACAACTTACAATTTCCAGCTCGGTATGAGTAGTTCCATTTCCATAGTCTATGGAAGCTAGTTTGGATGTAGGATAGACGTAGTTAAACACTTGTCGAACACCCAAGGCAAAATCTCGAACCAAGGAGGCATCTGGCGCAACGGTAATACCAGGCGCACCGTTGATGTACAACGTCAGAGTCGCATCCGGCCTCAGAGGCAACTGTTGTAGAAAAGCAGCTGTTGCTCCTACTCTTTGGTCGCTAAAAGCCGGTGCTACTCCGTTTAGCTCGTCCACACGATAGGCTGCAGTGCAGGGGGATTGCTGCCTTTCATCAAGGACGGGAGAGCCCAGTAAGACAGACGATGCAAGGCCCAATAGACTGAGAGTCTTTGTGGAAAACATTATGCAAAACCAAATAGTATAGACTTGAATTGGAAACAAAAAGATAGTAAAATAAATAGTGAGTTTGCGAAACCTTATAGGACCAATCCCCCATAAATACGGATAGTTTTGCTTCCCTTAGATAGATAGACAATACATCAACGAGGCTACTACAAATACTTACGGTAGCGAAAATGGCTACTATCCATCTCATTAACAATTCCCTAAACAAAGTAACTGTCTACCGAGGCTATCACGCTGCAGCTTTAGTAGCCGAATTGGCTGCGTAGATCTAGAAGCTCACCTAGTCCAAGTTGGCTCAGAGCGTTGCGTTGTGCATGTCTAGCGTGCGTCGCCAACGCCAGTCGCACCCCAGGTTCACGTCTGTAAATATATGATGTGGGGTATCCCGACAAGAAATTTGGAATAATGGACTTGGAGACATTTATATAAATTTAGATATGGATTTAATCTGGATTTATTTTTATCAGATCCTTGTTTGCGCAAACAAGCAGTTGGCCCTTTGTCGTGGCATTGCTCCAACTGGGCGCTTAATCGTGAAATGACGGATAGTTTAGGTCTTGAGGATTGGGTAAAGGAGATTGCGCACATCCCAATTCATTTATGGTCCTAAAAGTATCATATTATATTGACTGACGCGGTGTGTATTGTTCGGTGAATTTTATCAGAGTAAAGCTATGTATGTGTTATCTAGCAGTTGTGATTATAGGTTGACAGAAGATTGACGTTCACTGGCTTATTATATCCTTTGCAGTCTTTTTTCCTTCTAGACGAAGCCTTGACCTCTCCCAGTCTCTTCAGTAAGCTCCGAGATAAGAGATTCTAACTCTAACACAGCCTTAATTCTATCAAACATTTCGGCGTGTTCAAGATCAAGAATACAAGACTTCGCAGAGTCCTGGTTGTCTATAAGAAAGTTGAATCGGTTAACATCACCATGGATCAAACCAGCATTGTGAATCCGGGTCACAAAGGCCTCGCACACTTCCAAATCATCAATAGAGGCGCATCTGACATTGGGCAATTTGTCGAGCAGAATACCTATTACCCGCCCATGTTCTGTCAAATGACCTAGAAACCTTGGTACAAGAGAATGTTCATCTGCATAGTTCCGCTCATAGCCATTCACCACTGAGTACGCCCAGGTCTCATTTTCGATTTGAGGTATATCGTACTCAAAGTTGGCGACTTTCATGATTGCAGCGTTTCCCTGGTAAATAGTTTCACGAGCACATTTCGTGAGATATTTGCCCTCTGGCAAAGTGAGAACATCAATCCGTTCGTCATGCCAAATACATTTGATTCCATCCAAGGGATCGTTCGATATCATAGTTTTGCGCCTGTCGCCATTTCTCGAGATATGCATCCGCGTCCACTCTCCACCTGGTATGCCGGGCAAAGCAGGAATGAACAGATACGGGCGACACATTGTATCATCGTCAAAGATGCCTGTTTCAACAGTGAGATAGCGAACGCGCTGCCCAGTAGTAGACGATATATTCCAAGGTCGTCATAAATTTCTTGGGACAGGACTTTCAGGTGATGCTTTGGAATAAAGCTCTCCTTATTTGAGACACTAGAGGCTAATCTACTAGAGGCCATAATTAAAGAGAGAGAAAGACAAAGATTAATAGAGAATTAAGTTTTGCTTCCTTGATGTAAGGATGGATAATGCAGATATGAAGAGCAAATGTGGATTCCAAGATCTCTTGACGGAACATTCCATCAACCCCTCACGCCAGCGCTTAGAAGATACCTCTAGATGACCGTAGTATCAAAAACTATCCTTGAAACAAGATGCTTCTACCGTTAGCCGCTTAATGGTTGTAGTGGTTTCGGGGTATAGCTTCGATATTATTCCAATAGTGTGACTGCAATAGGCGCGCGCTATTTTAATAGTATCGTTCGTCGTCGATACCCTAGCAGATTCGTCACTTCGTGGCGCTTATAGTTAAAAATACATTTGCCTTGCAATACCACGAAATATATAAAGCGATATTCACTACCAGTTTCGTTTCTGAAATAGAATAACCTAAATATTAAACTACACAAGTTCCTACCCAAAGCCCACTACCCCCAAAATATAGCGGTTGATCCTATCACTTTACCAAATCACTAATCAAATATTTACTTTAGGAAGCCAAACCTCTATCATTATGTGTGAACAGCAGTTCGTCCGTTAAACCTGTGGATATGTAAATAGGGGACAATTTATACAATGCGATCGGCTCTATAATCAAGGTCGAAATCTTCAATGTAACAATACGAACAGAACAGCAGTGCGGTCTCACAACTACTGTACCAAACATCTGCCCAAGGTCAGCAACGCAAGGAAACAATATAGCACTATACAGGAAAACCCAGATTATACTGGTCCTCGATAAGGATGTCATTGCCAAGACCACGGTGGTTACTCAAACATCTACCGCACAGCTTGTTCACATGGATGCAATGGGTCTATTATTAGAGCATTTTATGCGGGTTAAGGTGGCTATCAATGTATATTCCAATGAATATTATTCAAAACGAAGGGTAAGTCTTGTATAATCGTCAATTCATCTCACATATATATAGCCTATACAACAAGCATATACCCAACACAGGTCCCAACGGATTAGCATCTGAAGTAGCGCTTCTCTATCCAACGCTGATCAGGTTCTCTTAGGATATTTACAACCACAACAGTAATCTCCGGAAAGACGGTCATGAGCCTATGTAGTCCGACTCTTCCGGCAGAGTACGTTGCTAGGACAATGCGGTTCAGGGCTACGCCGTGGTCAACCAACACTTGGACAGCCATCAGCGCGGCACCACCAGTTGCCATTTGCGTATCGAGTAGCAGCACACTTTCGTGCTCGCTAATGTTATCCGGGAGTCGCAGATAATGCAGCTCAGGTTCGCCAGTCTTGTAGCTAGACTGAATCAGGACGCGGCCAGTTCGGCAATCAGGAATAGTCTTGCCAAGAGCAGTCTCAAAAGCAGAGCCACCGCGGAGCACAATAACTGCGCTGACTTCGCCCTTAGGAGCCAGCCCATGGTACTTGTGTCCTTGGGGTGTTGTGATGGTGAGACTTCGGAAGTGAACATTATTCAAGGCCCTGCCATCGGTTAGAATAGAGACTCATTTATACGCAATCTGCTGACTTACTCTTCGATGATGAGAGATGCCAGACGATCAAAATAGAATATGAAATCCTCTGGTGACGTATCGATATTTTGCAGGATAGTATTCATGAAGCGCATCTGGCGTGTGCCGCCGATTTCGACAACTCGCTCCGACAAAGGCTGCTCTCTGCAAGCGTCTTCCAACTTAGCCAGCGCTTCACGATGATGTGTCGACTTTTCGAAAAGCTTCTTCTCTATAAACTGAACCATCATGTCTGGGTGGTTCGTTAATATTCTGTAGGTTAATATCCGTCAATAGACACATACCAAGAGCAACGCGGTTTTCGATACCTCTGGGAACGATGAGGTCGGCAGTCTTTCTCTGAGGTTCAACATACTATAAAATGTTAGAGTACAATCCATAGTTTTCACATCATATATCATTACCTTTTCAAAGTTTGGCTTAACAAAAGCAAACCATTGCTTAATGCAGCCCTCAACATCACGGCCACGCTCGCGAACGTCACGGACGACTAGAAGATGTTAGTCAAAACTGGCCTCGGTGTTAATTGAATCCGATAACTGACTTCGTCTTGCCAAACATGTGTCGCCATCTGCTTCGCAATAAATCTAGGTAAGATGTTAGCACCCGATCTAACGAGCAACGGCGGTTAAAACGTACACCCATGTCAAGCAACTCAAGCACACGAGGGTCATAGAGAGCAAAGATACCCTCCAAAATGAGAACATGAGGGGAGTAAATGGAGGTCGTTTGATCAAGTCTCTGATGCTTGTTGAACGAATAAACGGGAATCTCGGCACGTTTGCTGTAGAGTTGTTAGTCGCGTGAGAGGTGCATCAGTTCCACGAGAGCTGCATACCCGGCCTTGAGGTCACGCAAGACCTCAACCAAGATGTCAAAATCGATAGCCTAAAATTGTGTCAGATGATTTAACGATTAATCCCATCTGAAAGCTAAATTTACTTCGGGAGAATCGAAATCGAATTCGTTGGCAAAAGCCAGCTTTGATTGATCCGGCGTCAATGTTTTATAAAAGGAGTCCTACACCAAAATGTTAGCACAATACTCTAAAGCTAGTAGTTTCATGATTGGTATTTACCATTGACAAAATAACGACCCATGGCAAGTTCAGCTTGCGAACAATGGCCTGTGACAGTGTCGATTTGCCTGAACCAGAACTTCCAGCCACAGCAATGATGCTCAAATCAGCCCACGGTGGGGAATAAAAAGCACGCTGCTTGACCGTAACATGACTTTCAAGCTCTGCCATGGTGAAAACCGGTCACACAGATCTATGCCACTATAAAAATGCTGTTGGTGGGATTTGTGTCGGCAATGAGGCAACACCTGGGCGTTTTGGCCAAGAGCAGCTGTTGACAGGTACAGACCAGCGTAGTGGTTGAAAAAAGAGCAGCAAGTGGGGAAACAGAAGCAAAATAAAATAAGAAAAAGAGAACAGCAAATAGTCAGTTTCCTGCAAAACTATACACAGCAACTCTATCACCTGTAAAATCCCAGATAGCTTCAACCCCAAGCCAGGTCAGTGGGTCGCGACCCTCCAAACGCCGCCCTGTCATTGGCCCTGCGGAGCGCTTTAACTTTGGCGCCGGGGCAGGCTTCGTCCACATGTCCACCACGCAACAGCCTCCGCTCAACTTTCTCTCTTTCTTCCACTTCAAAATACGATTTTCTAGTCTGCGACGGAGGCCTCGAAACCCGACCGACGCGCGCAAATGACCTGAAGCCGTACTGGAGGGGCTCATCTCTCTTGTCTAGATTGCCCTACGTGCCAATATTTTCCGCTCTCCATCAGCTCATCAGCCTCCCTTTTTGATCACTCGCTTCTGACTTGTGCAGTGGCAGCAGCAGCAATCAGCTCAAGGTATGGCTTCTGGACGGTGAATAGAGCTGGGTTGGAAGAGCTACGGAGCTAATCCTAGCATCTAGATGTCGTCAACCTCGACCGCAACGCTGCGAAAGCACGACTTTGAAGCGAGAGTGGACGATGTCAAGACTCCGAAAAGGTAAGGACACCATCCCCTCCCCGACTTACTTGTTCCCTTTCCCCTTCCTCTGGCATTATGATGATTTTATATCAATGGGAATCTCTCCTAGAAAAAACCATGCGGAGAATTCGATATATATCTTCTTCTTTATCCTGAAATTGCCCGTCCAAACAAATTTTTCACTGCCCCACGCTTGCCTCAACAGAAGCTAACCGCAGTCACAGCGACATCAATGTCCTTATTTTGGATTACTTGACGATGGAAGGCTACCCAAATGCCGCTGCGAAATTCTCGAAAGAAGCAAATTTACAGCCCCATCAAGATATATCATCCATTCAAGCCCGCCAGGAGATTCAGACTTGTATCTATAGCGGCAACATTCAGAGCGCAATTGAGACTCTAAATGACTTAGACCCTGAGGTATGCTCACTACATTTTCTTGTTTTACCGTCTGCCCCATCCATTCCCAATCCCGTTCCAAATGATTAGAAAACGAGTTTTACATGCACCACGCATATTGGCCAGCATCTGGCCGTGATGAGACCAACCACCTTTCAATGATTGTTCACCTTTACACTTCATCTCTCATAAACTATACTGTTTATCAAGTTCGCGTAACTAACGTATCGCGCAGATCCTTGACGATGATAAGGCATTGCACTTCTCTTTGCTTCGTCTGCAGCTCGTCGAACTGATTAAGTCTTGTAACGCCGCTGATGGTGACATTAGCCCAGCCTTAAAGTTCGCCACTGAGCAGCTTGGGCCCCGTGCGCCAACAAGCCCCCAGTTCCTGGAGGATCTAGAAAAGACAATGGCTCTCTTACTCTTTCCTCCAGAGACGTTGGAACCTCAACTGGCCGCCTTGTTGGACCCTGACCTGCGCCGTGAGGCTGCCAATAACGTAAACAGAGCTATCCTAGAGCGTCAATCCACTAGAAGGGAGGCCGCTATCCGACATCTCGTACGTTTGCGTGCTTGGGCTGAAAACACTGCGCGGGAACAGGGTACACTGTTGCCTGTGACTCTGGATATTGGCCTTCGAGGTACTGAGTCGACCAACAGCAATCGTAGAACCCTCCACCCTGAAAATGGGCATGAGCCTATGGTTACGACATGACTCGTTTAATTTTAGTAGTTTGATCCTTTGTTAGCGTGCAAGCAAGGCGTTTCGGTTATTGCAGTTTCGGATGGCCTATTGGTCTACAGAGTACAGCTCGGCGTCTGGTAGGCGTACGGGATAATTTTTCTTTCAAGTACAAATAGAAATTCATTTTTCTGTTAGCAACGAATTTCATGTGTGCAAAGTTTAGTATGAATGGTGGCAATGTATTGTTTAAAATTGAGGTCTGCGTTGACAAATGAAACTCAAGGTTCTAGGTATTATTTACAAGTTGGCCAGCCAGCCTCCGGTTTTCCGTCCATTATTTCGTTCTAACCTGCTTGAGCTTGCCGGCAGAGTACAAGAAGTTGTTGGCATAGGCCTTGGGGGTGAACTTGCGGGTGTTGGGCTCCTGGACAAAGTACTCGTAGCCCTGCTTCTCGGCGAAGTGGATGGCGTCTTCCTTGGACTTGAAGTTCATGTGAGTGCCCTGCATGACATCTCCGGATGATTGCCAGCCCATCAGAGAGTTTTCCCAGCGGTGACCCTTGGGGAGGACATCCCAGTCCATACGCCAGTGGTGGCTCTTCCAGGTGCCGGATTGTGTGGCGGGTTTCGACTCCTTGTAGATGCTTGAGTGATGTTAGTATTTTATCCAACAGCTTTGAGCACAGTGAAGACATACCGAACAGTTCGGGCCTGGAGCTCAAGAGGAGCGCCAGAAGTAATGGAGGCGCTGTGGATGTTCTCGGTGCCGTCTTGGATGCGCTTGGGGACAGGAGTAAAGGTGCTGGTGCGTCTGTTAGCTTGCGTTTCGTAGAATCCTGTGTAGATACCCCTCTACTCACGAGCTGGCCTTGTCAGGGTGAATGCTGTAGTCGGGCTGGTTGGGATCAGCGACGAGAGAGTCGGCAGCGGCAGCCTTGGTCACGGAGCTGTTGTATCGTCGGGGGGCGGAATAAACGGCCAATCGGGCGGAGGGGGCAGCACGAAGGGCACGCATTGCGCTCTGGGTGCGGAGAGAAGCCATGGCGACGGGTGGTGTGAGTGAGCGTTGATGAATTTAATTGCTGCAAGCACGCGCAGAATAGCAACTTGAGCAGTGGTGGTCAAAGATTGGGTGGTGGATAAGGCGGGCGCTGATTGGCTGGAGTGGAGCGACGTTTTGCCGAGAACGAGTGCTTTTCGGGAAAGGTTCCTCATCTCGAACACGCCCAGTCTCCCCGTCCATCAACGAACATCCGGGTTAATTGAGCCACGAAAATCCTCGAGGGACAGAAAGCAATTGTTGTCAGCGATTTATTCAATTGATCTTCATCTACCGCCATCATGAGCTTCGTTACCCGCCGCGCGCTTTCCACCCTCATCCCCCCCAAGGTATGTCCCTTCTCCCCCGTGACCGCATTGGCGTCGAAAGCTAACTGTTTGTCAAGGTCGCTTCTCCCAAGGTACGCTATCCCGAAAAAAAAAAGAGAAATACATTTCGAAACCTCCGATTCGGTTTACGTTGTCGCCATTGCATCCCGCTGTTGTTTGTGGATCGACCGCGCCGAACGAATCCGACGAGTCCTTTCAATGCCCCCGTCTCCATCGACCACACGTCTCTCAGACAACGAATGCTAACGAATAACTACTAGGCCATTGGTGCTGCTCCCGATGCTCTGCGCATGCAGCGTGTCGTCAGCTTCTACGAGAAGCTTCCCCGTGGCGCCGCCCCCGAGGTTAAGGCCAAGGGTCTCCTCGGCCGCTACCAGGCCAAGCACTTTGGCAAGAACGCCTCTGCTGCCCGTGCGTATTGTCCCTTGAATTTAGTGGTGTATGTGCGGAATAGCGTTACTAACAAGAAACTACAGCTATCGTCCACGCTCTTATCTTCTTGATCGGCATTGGTTACGCCCAAAACTACTACTTCCACCTCCGTATGTTTTATTTATATCTGGCAAACAAGCAAAAGGACACAGCTTACTGACTAATGCGAACATAGGCCACCACAAGAACAACGCCCACTAAAGATATGCATCCCGAGAATAGAAAGGAAAAGACTTTGGTGAAGGCTGAGGCCTTGTGTAAATAGAACCCCGACTAGATGGTGTTGTCAAAGCACGCACCCGACTTCCCTTTGTAACAACTGTCATCATTATTACAAGAGCATGAAGCCGTCTGTGTGCTGTTTAGGGCCTGTGTGATTTCTTTGTGAATTGTGTGTGATGTAGTGAGCCTGTTTGTAGTGACGATGTATAAAAGAATAGCGTCCATGGTCCGTTGGAGGCCAACCAGGGTAAAGGACGCAGTGTTTGTTTTAAATAGTCGAATTTCTGAAATAAAACATAATAGTGATCTTCTTTTGAAATTTATGATATACGTCTATTTCATAATACTGGCACAGCGTATGTCATTGCTGTCATTATTCTTTGACCTGTCACTCTTTATTCACCTGGCCTACCTACCGTCGCTGTTACAACCTGCCTCGCTGTCACCTGACCTGTACTGCCGCCCTTTACGCAGGGCAAAACAGGTGGCGGAGTGAACCTGAGCTGAGGCGGCCGCCACTTTTTTTTTTTTTTTTACAGGCCCCCTGCTCCCTGCCGCTGGGCTGCCACTGCCGCTAAAACTGCCCACTGGGCTGCTGTGCACGCAACCCCATAGCGGACAAAGGCTCTGCCCCAGTGCAGGTACACTCTGGCCCAAAGTGGCCCCTAAAGCTTTGGCGCTAGGCCAAAACCAGGCAGGCTGCAGCATCACCGTTCTAGTCACCCTTCCACCTCACCTCCGTTACCAGCCCAGCTTTGATTTACCCTTTGCACCTCATTCACCCTTGACGGCTCTTTCGGCCCATCACGGCACACACGACACTTTAATTGCCAGCGCCCTCATCTTCCGCCTCTTGTGATAATACCGCTGCTACTAATACACATTCCGACCGCCGCATTCCTCTCACGCCAACCCATTCGCGCATCCAATCCAGCTCACACGCCCTCCGTTCAGACCATCAACAAAACCACCGCATCAAGTCGAAGACGACGTAATACACTTCGAGTCGGCTTGATTATCAAAGCCGATATCGTTGACCCATTAGCGCACGTCTTGCAAGTCGACGGATGATGGCCGCAGAGCCCTCAGTTGAATCTTCGGCCGTTTCCTCTTCTTCGCTCGATCCTAGTTCTTCTGTAAGTACCCATGCCAGCAAGGTTCTGCTGAAAAACCAGACTTGCCTTGTCTCTTCTCGCATTTCTTATCTGTTACTACCCCTCTGATATGTCGTTTTTTAATCATGGAATTCATCTCGCTAACTACTTTCGCTTTCTACTCAAAACAGAGCAACTACGCTGCCCAGCATGGCGATGTTCATTATTCGACAGTAAACGGCAACCCTGCTGTATCGGACGACGTCTTCAACAAGCACATAGCCAACGTCGAAGACCAAATTCACTCCGCCGATGTTAGCGTCAGCGGCGGCTCCGATACCGAAGGCACTCGCCAACGAGATGGAGAACGCGGGCACTCGCGGACCCTTTCGTCCATTAAGAAGCCCGCAACCTTCAAGGCCGTATCTGTCAACAAAACCTTCCTCGCCGCCAAAGCAGGCAGTGCTGTAACACCATCCAAGACGGCCGAACGTCCCGCGGGCAGTTCCAATACCCCGCCACCTAGCTCTTTCGGCCTATTAAGCTCTCGGCCAAGGCTCGTAGCCAAGCTTGGCATTGGCGCAAAGGATTCCGTTCCCAGGTTCGCTCCAGGCGTAAACGGCGGCAGTGCCCCTGGTGGGCCTGATCCTAGCGCTGTTTGGAACAAGAATCGACGTATGTGCTCTTTTGGTGATGTTATCAGTTTCATGTAGAGTCAAGCAAGCTAACAAGTTTATAGCTCCAGAGCCGAAGAAATTCACCGATGAGGAGCTTCAAAAGTATGGTATTCATATGGCTAGTCGCCTGAATGAAGACGACTCCGGTAATCAGAATAAATGGGCCGATATCGACGACGATGACGAAGACTGGGCGCCAAACGACATTACTTGGGGCGACGGTACCAAGACCACACTAGCCAGTGCTGAGGCTGAAGCCCAGCAAGCGTACGATGCTGAGGTAGCGGCCGAACGGGAGCGCATGCAAGGCAAAGCGCACCAAGGAGGATATCCTCCAGAACCCCCTCAACGATCTAGTGGGCTATCTTCTGGTCGTGGCCTAATCCTGAAGAACGGCTCCCAAGACCGGCCGGCTTTGGTTGCAAAGCCTCCTGCGCCTGTACAGCAAGCCAAGTCGCCTTGGGCCTCACTTCCTCCAGTCGATAAAGTCTCGCCATCATACATTGATAGCCAATATAGTCGGGAAGGACCTCGCGATGGGCCATACGGACGCCCAGTTCCTAAAGAAATTGCCGCTGATGACTTTAGTCGATCAGCCTGGCGCAACAGCAATGGCCAAGGTGGAAGAGAGCTGTACAACTCTCAATCAGGCCGCTACGAGCCCGTCTCTGACCGCCGTGGTCCGCCGAGACCTGATCAGCATGGAAAGCCAGCGGTACTGCACCGACAAGATGGGCCTGCAGAACCATCAAATGCTTTTCAAACTCATCGAGCATCCCACGAGATCCCCATTGGCCGTAGACGTGGTTCCTCCAACGTCAGCGGTGGCAGTGGAACTTACATGCAGCGTGGTCTTGATGCACCTTTCGCTGACTCTCAAAGCCGCAGACGACCGTCGTTTGTTGGCTCCAGCGACGGACATAGTGTCCATGGCATGAACGGACCTAACCAACATAACCGATCACAACTTCCGTCCGGTTGGATGCCTCGTTCGTCTCCCAATGCAACCTACGCCACACCGCATCATATTGATCATCCGTTAGAGATGGGTTCCTCGCCACCCACCCAGCAGCCCGTGGTCGACGAAGTTGAGTATCAAAAGAAGCTCATGCAAGAGCGCCGCGACCTTGCCAGAAAGCGCCGACAAGAAGAAGAAGAGCGCGAAGAGAACGCTAGACGTGAAAGAATTCAGAAGAAGCTCGAGGCCCTTGGCCCTGCACCTGAAAAGAGGGCAGACAGGAAGGAAGAGGATGGCGAGAGTGTATCCAAGTCCCCTCACATTCAAAAACGTGAGGCTGCGCTGAGCGAGCATGATCGACGCGAGAGACGACAGTCAACAGCAGACTCAGACGACAAGTCACGCACCCCAGCTGCAAGACGGCCATCGCATAGCCATGAGAGCAGAAACACGGAGAGTTGGGCGGGGCAGGGTTCAAGAAGCGAAAAGTATGCTTCCTGGACTGGCGCTGGCGCTCCAGCGTCTCGAAACGTCTGGGGCTCACCTAACAACGACAAGGGCCTCGGCAATGGCACCTTCAACCCTGACTTGGGTCGCCTGCCTGGTACTGTTGCGCAATCCCAGACCAACCCTAAGCCCACGACTACAGCGCCAGCTCAAACTACGGCGCCTACTCGAGCATCTCAACCCGCACCTATTGGAAGCCGAGCTTCACGATATGAGAACTCTGCGCCTGACCTTACCAATAAATGGGTTTCAGCAGTAGCCGAGAATGATCAAAACATCAATGCTATGCAGATGGCTGAGCTCGCTGCTCAAAAGCGAAGATCTGTCGAGGCTGGACGCCCAGTTGAGGATGTCCAACCTGTCATCAAAGAAACGTGGCGTCCTGTTCAAGTATCGGTGGACGGCACTCGCCGTAGTGTTGCGGAGACTCCAGCAGCAACCAGCGATAGGGATGGAGCCGGGAAATCCGGTGCATCTATGCTTCGCCAAGCTAGCGGCCCGTCGGGTCAGCCACGAGCCTCTCGCTTCTTCCCCTCTAAGGAGCCTCGCATAGATCAAAACTCGGCTGCAACAGAAGCTTACCGCCCTTCGTCGCCGTCACCACCGCCCCCAACCATGGAGGATCACCCCGTATATGCCGGTAGCGTAACTCGTCCTAACGTATCGCTTCCTAAGCCACAGCCTGTGGTGAAGCTGCCACCTGCCGCCAGTGCACCTAGTGCTGCACAGGCTCACGTCCAACCGAATACTTTTTATCGACTGCAGAGACAGGCAGAACACTCTTCTGCTCGCGAAATCGACGCAAGGCAAGAGGACTGGCAAAGGAGAATTAACGACTTGCTCAACAACCCGAAGCTGTCGCCTCCAAAGACATCTGTCGGTATTGATGTTTCTAGCCGACATGCTTTCGACCATCCAACCCAGCATACCTCTGCGACAGTATCTTTGCCATCGCCAATTGCACCTCGAGCTGTACCAACAGCGGTGACAGCACCAGCAGTCAGAGCTACATCTAGAGTCAGAATCCCCAAATCAGCCATCTCCAAGCCCATGGCCGAAGAATGTTTTGAGGAACAGGAGATGGGATCACTGCCTAGAATTCGACTACCACACAAGGTCCCCGAGGCGGCATGGCACCCTGCAGTACCCCAAATCAAGCCCCTCCCTAGAAAGCTGCTTGTCCAGGCTGCTGTTATGGACCCGTACCCAACGGCTGGCGATCTAGGTGGACATGTCATCCGCATTCAGCTACCCGGTACAACTGATGTACGAACCATATCCGTTCCAGGAGTATCTGGACGTGGTTCACGAGGATCTACTCGAGGCTCCCCTCGCTCTCGAGCCAGTGTCGCAAGCCGAGGCGGTTCAAAGAGAGAATCTACGCCCATCTTAAGCGGCAGTCCTCCTAGCAGGAGCAGCCGAGGCAGCCGCGGATCGTATCGAAGCAGAGCGTCGGACAGCTGGAGCCGACGAAGCGCATCACGCGGACATCCGGCATCACCTACAGCTTAGAGAGCTAGTATGGTCCCTTTGCGATGTAACTTGGCATGAGAATTGCGAATTGAACAAGAAAAAAAAGAGACATGGAAACGACAACCATGGTATATTACGTGTTTATTACACCAGACTCGGCTCACGCCGAGCTCGCTACCTCTGCGTGATGTGGTTTTTTTTGTTGCTATTCTGAAATTTTGCAGAATGGTGTGTACAGTTTTTTTACATTTTTCTTCACAAGGACGATTTATGCGCAAACAAGAAAGGGAGCCTCCGACTTTTAACGGTCTTGACTTGTATCCGAAGCCCACGTTTTGTGTTTCATTATGTTTATGTTACATGATGAACGGCTTCTCAACACATGGATACCGAGCAACAGCGCTCGCCCGTCTTCCAGCTCGTACTGGAACGTGCTGGGCAATATCACACTGATATGGCCCCTTGAACTGGGGACTGTACTGTGTGTGTTTTTTTATCTACTTTTTCTATTATTTGTTGTGCTATTGGGTGTATCTTTGTCTCGTTGTCCTGCTCTGTTTTCTGACCCTCTAATAACAAGAGGAGTGCAGTCTTTGCACGGAGCACCTATTACAATCCAGCCGCTGAAAAAACGCTCTTGAAAGTGCCCATTCTACCATTGACAAGTGCTGGAAGATTGCCAGTCGAAGAAACTTGTCAACAAAGGTGGTTTGGTGTGCCCATATTACACGTTGTTTTCTGGAAGCTGGGTGGTTTGGCTAGCTGCGTGCCTGGGACGCAAACCACATACTATCAATATTTGACTTAACCTTTTTACCTCTTTAATTACTCTTCTCTGTTCAGTGTGATATGTGTGTGAGTGAAACTTAATAAATGGCAAAGATAAATCATTCAATCAACTAAGGTAATCTGCAAATCCCGGTCCTATCCCAAACTCCTTCCATTCAAAAAGTTACAAAACCAGCCCAGCGTCAAGTACATGCATGAGTCTAGAACAAACACAACCAACCAACTACTCTGTCTCGCATCCCCTGGGCAACTCCTCTTTTTTGTTCAGTTCGTCATCTAAGTATGTGTACGGCAATCATTACTGCGTGTGGTATATACTCATTATCCGCGTTGCCTGTTTAGAATTCTTCAAACGAGCAGTTCGGGTGCATGACGTAAACCACCCGCAGAGCAACAGGTGCCGTGGTATTGGCACTGGAATCGTCCTCGACACGGACAGCCATGAGGATGTTTTCCTTGACCATGCGCTTGAGAACCATTACCGACAGCGCCTTCTCGGCGTGGTAGTCGTCCTCGCCCTCCAACTCCGACTCGATGCTCTCCAGGTACCAACTGACAAGAGCCTCGCCCACGACACCATCGCCGCTTCCGCTCTCGTCATCGTTGATGCGCTGGACAAACATGTTGACCATCTTGATGTACTTGTCGTACGTGATGGTGCGTCGGTTGCCAGTTTCCTGGGTAGCAGCCTGGCCTGCCATGGCTTCATCCTCTTCAGCGTCCTCGCCGCTGGCCACTTCAGCAGCCTGGCGAAGAGCGTCAGAGTCGTCAAAACCGGCCTCTTCGTCCATCTCAACATCATCGTGCTCGACGGAAATGATACTTTGGCGGAGCAGGTTGTAGGCTTCAATGACCATTTCGGTGCTAATGTTCTCGGTACAGTTGACCTTGGCAATAGCCTCAGAAAGACGAATCAAACTCTCGAGCTGACGAACAGTGATACGGTAAGAGTTCTTGCCAACACCACCCTGAGCATCGTCTTGACGCAGTTCGCGATACTTTTCAACGAGCACCTCCTTAGCCTCCTCGGTGAAGACAGGGCGGAAGGTACGTGCGAAGCGGATGTATCGCTGCAATTGCTCCGTGCTGAATTCGGGCTCGACAGCTTCATCACGAAGCTGGTGAATACCAACAATGTGGTTTGCAAGATGTCTGTCGACAGATTCGTTGCATTCGTCAAGCACGACAAAGAACAAATCGAAACGGGACATAATGGGCGCAGACATGTTGATGTTGGATCGAAGCGTGGCTTTACGGTCGTAGCGGCCAGCAACAGGGTTGGCAGCAGCAAGAATACTGGTACGCGCATTGAGCGTAGCCTGGATACCAGCCTTGGCAATGGAAATGGTCTGCTGTTCCATGGCTTCGTGGATGGCGACCTGATCAGCAATGTCCATCTTGTCAAACTCATCAATAGCGCAAATACCATTGTCAGCCAACATTAGAGCGCCAGCTTCAATAGTAAACTCGCCAGTCTCCTCATCCTTGATGACTGCAGCAGTCAAACCGGCAGCAGATGAAGCCTTACCACTGGTGTATACGGCACGTGGCGCAAAAGAGCAAACATACTTAAGAAACTGAGACTTGGACGTGGAAGGGTCGCCAACAATGCAAATGTTGATGTCACCACGAAGCTGCATGCCTTCAGGGGTTGCCTTGCTCACACCGGACATGAGCTGCAGAAGGATACCCTTCTTCACCACTTCGTGACCATAAACCATGGGGGCAATTGATTGCACCAGACGGGAGTAAATGTGATCACCGTGGACCATACCACGCAAATCCTCGACTTCAGACTGGTTCATCGATGACAGGATGACGGCTTGTTCGTCTTCCACGCTGCGGGTCGAATCGCTAGTAGCGTTCTGGGTAAGGTTGGCAATGGTATCGGCGATGCTGCTGGCAGAAGATTGGCCAGTGGAGGCATTATCAGGAGACACCATGCAGGCCAAAAAGGCCATGCGGTATGTCAAATCACGGACACCAAGAGCCTTGAGGCCAGAGATTCCCGAACCGCCAGCATCCGCTCCACGAGGAGCGTTCTTGTCGTCACGGATTGCTGTGGGTCTCAGGCCAGGAAGACCAAGTTGGCTAACGTCAGGAACGACGATAACGGCACCAGTAAAGATACACTTTTCTCCGGCCTTGGCTCGGTCCACGATTTCGCCACGGAGGATCACATCCATGGTGCGGGGCATGCTACCGGTAGGGATTTCCGAACTGTTTTCCTGGATTCGGACTTTCTGCCAATCGACAAAGGTACTGCGGCGAATATCAAGCTGCCAGGCGACTCTGTTCTGGCAAGTACTGTTAGGGCACTGTGTAGGTTCGGTGTATCGGAAAGTCTGTTCGACGTTGGGCACGACAGCTCTGCAAGCCTCGCAGACGAATGTAGCGAGAGACAGCTCTGGTCGGACTTCAGACGTTCTGGTAACTGTTCCGGAAATCGAAATGAGCTGACCAATGTTGGTCGCGCGAAGACTGCGAACTCGAGAGATGAGGGGCAGGTTGTAGAAGGCGACTGAGAAAAGTTTGTCCGTTTGCTGGTGCTCATTCTTCATCTGGGGGTTGTCGCTCTGGGTACCGGAGCCCATCTGACTAGCAGCAGAAGTAGAAACTGCACTCGATGTCGACGTAGGCTGACGATGGGCGCGGTAGTACATGGGCTCGTGCTTGGCGATCAGCTCGTTGAGCGCGGTTGTGAGAAAAGGCAGGAAACGGTAGTATTGGCGCATGACACCATCGGCCAAACTGCCGTTTTCCCATGATGAGAGATGTTTGAAATCGACGTAGAATGTAGAGAGGTTGTACACCTTCATAGCTGTGATTTGCGCGCGGTAGTGCTTGTTGGTTGTGATGGCGCTAGAGGTAGGGGGTGCGGATGAAGAGGGGTCTTCGACGAAGCTAGAGATATTCGTTAGACACCTTATTGAAGCATTGGTGAAAAAGCTGCGAACTTACTTTTCAACAAAGTTGGCAAAGTGTTCCTGCACAAGAACACCAATGCGATCTTGTACCTTGGGGATCTGAGCAGTACCCCTCATGCCAGACAGTCGGGGCATCTGGTCGTCGGCAAAGCCTTCAGTACCATCGTCGCTGGGAGCGCCGAGGTTCTCAGATGGAGGACCACGAGGTCTCGCAGATGACGATGAAGGAAAGCCGCCATAACGCCGGCCTGCCGGCATGGACGGGGCGTCCGACATCATGAAGCCGGCTTCGCTCGAGGCCATGATGGATGAGTGTGTGGTTGTGGTGGCAAGTTGCGGTGTGAATAGTTGGCTTGATTGGAATATCTGTTGATAATTGTCTCTTTATTTTTCAGTGCCAATGCTAGAGAGCTGTGGTTGACTGGCGATGTCGCAAAATGCAGCGAGAGGGGAAAGAGAGATTGCACCCTTTGGAATTAATGTGTGTGGTGGGATGCAGGGAACAAAGGCGGCAAGGGCGAGCGCGTGGGACGCGTAAAGTCGCGTCAAATGTGGCAGTTTTAGGCTTAGCGCGTGACGCGACTTTAATTGATTGCATAAGGGCATCTGTTCGGGTTAGGGTTACGGATGGCTGGTTGGCTTATTAAAATTAACAGTGCAACGCATAATTTATTGTCAAGTCTGTTTATTAGTTTTGTCTAGTAAATTATAACCTAAATATATGTTAAATTTTGCGTGGTACACACAGTAGACCAATGGTCACTCCTGCTAGGCACAAGCACAAGTTGTTGCTGTTGTAGTGACGCCTGCAGGCGTGCGCTAATCCAATCTACAGCCTGGTTCCAAATCCAAAAAATGACCGTGACTTGGTTTCTGAATTGATTGCCTTGCTATGGCTAACCCTTTGGGGCCTTTTCCCAGCTACATATTGTCGCAGGCAGGCACCCATTGCCTAGGTGCTGCGGGACGCAGCGGTTATCAAGTAGAGTGTAGCCGAAGTATAACGTAGGTAGACTCGACATCTCTTATGAGCCTAAGATTTGCCTTATTCTTGGATCGAACCATGTCGGACTGTCGTAGGCCCTCGGATTATAGCTCGTTGATTTGTCGTAAAATGTATTGGGTATCGTAATTGCGTAATAGTCAGCCTCTAGTTGGCAGCTGGAGTCTCGTCGTAGGCATTAATCTATATTGAAAACAGTTGGGTTAGCCACATTGTGCATTTCGTAGTGTTTTGCCATATCAAAGCCTTACCTTATCCGCTACGGATAACCATTCTTGCAGGTTTCTGACGTATGGGTCAGCAGTCGCGTTGGGAATCTCTTCGTGAGACCAAATGACGACTTTATCAAATTCAGCGGTGACCTCCATAGTTCCAACAGACTCGAGAGGGACCATGTCGTCATCGTCGTCACCACCTCGAGCGTGATCCTGGCGCAGCTCGTCGGCTTTGCGCTCGAGGACTACGCCTCTGTAGGTTTCGGGAAGGCCAACTGCGCTGCCCTTTAGTTTTCGGCCACGAAAGTATGCGGTTTTGGATCCGTCTGTTTGAATGGCTATTAGTTACGTCGTGTTGTGTCGTGTGTTTCGTATAGAGGCATACCTGATGCATCTTCCGGGTTCCAGAAAGGCTGGATAGGGTCAATGGAGCCACTGTGTTGGATGCGGCAGGGGAGAAGATTCGCAGTAACCTTTGGCTTGTCACTGTTTTCCTTGATAGCAATCATTGTATTTGTAGACATTTTTGTGAGTTTTTGCTGGGTGCTGGACAAAGATGTACGTTTGCGTGGAGAATGACCAGTTGGAGGTTGGAGGTTGGAGGTGTAGGGGACGCGTTTCGTGTCTGCAGCGTGTAAATGGGTTTAATGGGTAGAACACGGGTGCATCAGAGCGGTGGCTTATTCGCACAGCGAGGTATTGTTAATAATTATATTAAAAATATTTCCATGTCTTTGAATATTATAATAATTATTTAGTTGTGTTCATCGACTTTGAAGATTCCTGAAATCGACTATTGTTAGCTTCATTGTTCACTAAAATCGCTAAAGGATCCTTTATATTATCGATAACATAGTGAT